TGGAGGAATCGTCGCTAGTGTTAAACCGAGGCATCCTTGGTAGGTGACACAGTTTAATCTTGATATCGTACATGTGCTCATGGCTGGCGTGAGCCAGGAATTCGGTGATACTGGCAAATCTAGGAAGATTGTGGCAAGCCTCCCAGGTGCAGCTGATCCCATCATGGGCATAGCGCAGATGAAAGTCGATGAGATGACGACGAAGAGAATCTGGACGCCTGGAAGGAAATCTATGCGGAGGTGGATTTGACACCGAGCGACAGGATATGCCGTAGCAAATGATGCATACATCCGTTGGGCATTTCTGATTGACTTCTTCGGGAGGTGATGTATCCTCTGGCTGGTCTGATTGGTCATCATTCTCGTTGTCAAATTTCCAATCAACACGATTACCTCGCCTGCTGGGCTCGAGCTGTACCTGATGGGCTGGCTCATATAAGTATGGAGTGAAAATAACCCATGCCTTTTATTCTCACCATGCACTCTCACCTTCTCTAGCTGAAGATGTATCCAAAAAGGCCGAACCATTTGATCTTTTCTTTTTGGCCATTATCTCTTCGACGAAGTGAACTTCCGAGATCGGAGACATTATTTGCTTAGACTACAGGTGAGACTTTCACATATATACAGGATAATGTCTGACAAGTCTTGGCTTTCCCTTTCCGTTTTAGTGCTCACCCCAAGCCGCTTTTTGCTCACTGAGTAAAACTGAGCACACCCCTGAGTATTATATAAGCATTGTTTTCGCTCACTGAGCATCACCTGACCCTTATATAAGCCAGATGATCCGTCACTGAGCAATCCGATCCCACTCACTGAGCGTGATCTGAGCGCTCTGATTTGCTCACTGAGCACCCCGATCCCACTCACTGAGCGTGACCTGACCGCTCTGTCTTGCTCACTGAGCGCGACCTGAGCGAAGCGGAAGAACTAAGTCAGCAGCTCTCCTCAATAAAATGCACCGCGCTAGCCTCATCCAATGCACTTTTTGCCGCTTGCTCCTAGGAATACGACTTCAACTATAGCGACCTGAACATTTGCAAAACCATTCTAGACGTATAGGCCATGTCTACTGGATGGTCTAGCCTCCCATAATGGCATTCGCGACCCCTCATTTGCCCGATATATTCTAACTACTACAAATAAAACACCTCAGAAGCCTGGTAGGTATTCCTAGGAGCTTCCAGAACCTTTGTGCCGCCACAATGTGATTGGTGAGACAGGATAGATCCTAGGAGCTCAAGTGCTGGTACCCATTCGCGAGAACTGGTGCCGCTAATGCTGAGAGTCAAAGTATATAAAGAAACACCGATCCCTCCTCAAGGCCTCATAGAATCTGCTCATAAATTTAGCAACTTCAGTAATCCAGGTCTGTCTCTTTTCAACCCCTCAGCCAGAGTAAAAGCCTAACTATTATGCAGATAGTCTGATGCCGCAAAGAAAACCGACAACCTGATCGATATCCAATATTTCACAACCGATGAGAGTTGCAATGCCGTTTCCTGCGTATGCCCGAGCTCTGAGTTCGTTATATATGGTTGAGAGCCAAACGGGGAGATGTACGTGATGCACATCCTTCTCAATCTTGCTAGACATCGACATAGACCAATGGCAGCGAGACAACTGAACCTTTCACAAAATTGGCCTAAACTGATACTTATTTAGATGAGATTCATACGTCACAATACTACTACTTCGGAAACTGGGAAGGTCCCAAGTAGAGTACTACACCTGGAAGAGAAAGTTTGAAGATGCCACGAATACGCACAAAAATGAGCCCTCGCTTCTTCCGTTTCTAATGAGTAAGTGTCTGATCTGACTATCGGCTATGCTACGATAATCAGCCTCGCTTGCCAGTCTTCAGTCTGTATCATTCCACTCTGACTTATAGGCATCTTCTTGACTCTGGCCCTTACGCCCTTACTTGTCCGACCATGCTTCTTCCGGCAGTAGGACTTAAAAGCTTTCAGTCGAGTCATGATTTTTGAGAGAACTAATCTATCGGAGCGGAGACGCGCATCCAGCAAAGCCAACATCAACTGTATAGCTTCCTACACTCAATGCTTATGCGTACAATATGATCGTCAATTTCTTCAAGACAATCCGCTCCATTGGGTCTCCGCTTTCGCTGCCACAAAGCGCACTTGATAATGACCGACAAAAAGTGACACAGAAATTCTGTGGAAATTTCAACCTATTCGGACTTGATAACCAAAAGGCCGTATTCTACATTATGCCCTCGGCGTTCCAGGTTCCATATTGCAGATCTGGATTACAGTTTTTATTTATCTTATTATATTGTTCATGTTTGCCAGGTCGATACGGTTGGATTACCATATGACAGGTTTAGAATGTTGTGATTTGAGTGAGGCATTTGCAGATTAGGACCCAACCCGCTTAATTATGTACTATCTATAGGAATGAATGAGCTCATTGAAAACCAGTTGGACTTCATCTTGTATCCTTACGGTGGATATATGGACAAGGCCCGACAACCTACTCCCATATACGTGTAAAACATGAGGACAGAGTAAACCGAGTGATAGTCTCCAGCACCGCGAAGAGGTATCTGTCATTTACTGGAGGGCGGGCAAGAGAAATCTCATCGCAACCCGACCTGGTACTTGATCCAGGATTTGTGCAAGACCAACGGCCTGCGTGTGGAACTGAATCCGACCTGAGCCGTAAAGGAGCATAGCTCAGGATTTTTTACCTGGTACTTGATCCAGGATTTGTGCATGGCCAGTGGCCTGCGTGTGGAACTGAATCCGACCTGAGCCGTAAAGGGACATAGCTCAGGATTTCTCTTGGTCCAGGATATGTGTTCGTACCACAGTGGGTTTACAGTGTGCCGTAGCCTCGACCTCAACGGGTGGGCTCACAGCAGAAGGACACTAGTAGCCACACTCAAACGAGTGGCTAAAAGGAGATGAGGAAACAACGGCGGAGGGCTTGCTTTTATGCTAGGTCCTATGGGTCCCTGTATATGCCCATCACGCAAAATGGAGCTTCAACCTCAGCGCCGAAATCCAGCTCGCAAATACATCGGCAGGTCCTAGAACTACGCATGAACGCGCAGTTAACTAAAAGCGCCGTTTTATCCGGAATTTGTATTATCCTGACAAATAGGCTAACCAAACATGAACCGCCATTCATGTGAGCATATGTGGATATTCAAAAAATCGCAAGATAAACAGGTGAGGGGGGATAACTTCAGTTTGAACGCCCAGAGCCAAACAGATTCCGTTTCAGATGTTGGTGGCGTCGCGAAAGCGGTCGACTCCAACAGGACCTCATAAAGCTGCATTTGACTTCGAGTTTCTCCTAGACGTCTCCCGTAGTCTCCACACCAGCAGACAAGGTAAATATCGTTGGTAAGATTTTAGATTTGGGTGTGATAAACCTGATTGGTGGCTCGTAGTAGGCCGTACACAATCCATTCCGTTTCAATCGACAAGGGTGCTGTTTATCTGGAAGAGGGGCTGAGTCTTAGGAAACAAACTCCGGTTCCCTATTCGGATCGACATGCCCAGAGTGGGGCGTCAAATTGTGGAAGTGGGTCGCGGTTCGCGAGAGCATATTAGAACATCCCAAGATAAACAGGCGACAGAGCCTGGCTTTCATCCTGGACGCCGGGAACCAAGCAGATTTAGTTTCAGATGTTGGTGGCGTAGCGAAGTTTGTCGGGTCGTGGGCCCTCATAAGACCGCGTTCGACTTCGGGTTATTGACGTCTATCCACGTTGAGTGCGATATTCCTAGTGATAACATTATAGCAGGCTATACAGAAGCCGTACTGTTTTAGTCCTGCTGCTTTCGTCTTTCAAGTCATCCCCTTTGATATCGTGCCAGTGACAGAGAGGCAGCTCTCAGTGTTCATACGATCCACGATACTGCACGATCGCAAATTGCAAGGCACGAAACCATGAAGGGCACGAGAAAATTCATGCAACCCCCGGGCTACTCAAAGGCCGCACTGAGCCAGTCACGAGCGGCGGTATTGCGGGGCCCGCGAAGGGAGAGAAGACGGCTTCTACGACAGCTCAAGGAGATTTACGTGCAAGTCGGGATGGCGGAAGCAGAGTGCAGAGGGCTCCGCTACCAGGCCATCAAAGTGATAGCCCTTAGCGTTTTACTTGAGTCATTGAGCAAGAGATCTATTGCTGTATCCAATGGTGTGTCTGGAGATCATCGTTCAGCGCGGATTTGAAATCATGCCGAATCTACGCTAAGGGTTTCATGATCCTCTTTAGAAGCTCTCAGATAATGTATGAGAAATGTCGACACCGACTGGGAATTTCAGATCTAATCACTTCTCATACAAATTATCAAGAGCTACTATTATCTGCTCAACGAAGGCAATTCATACCGTTGCCAGAGAAGCCAAGTCCGAGGACAGTCCAGCCATCGTAGCCAACGTGTGGACTTAAATGGTGTGCAATTGCCAATGTAATAATCACTGGGACAGTTAATCTCTGTTTGGCCGTACAAAACGGGGTTGAGATCGCTCACTAACATTTTAAACGTCTCGTAGTTCGTCGGGCGGATTCTCAAAGGCTAGCAGATAAATTACCCACTTTCGCACCTCGAACAACCTTCTGATAAGAAATTCTCCCTTTCTTTTCTTTTTGCAAAGAACCTGATCTTTCATTTTTCATCGGATTCACTTTTATCATGCCCAAGGCAGCGACAACGTCGAGAAACCCATTGGTGCCGCCCCAACGCGCGGTTCGCGGGTCGACAGGGGCGGAAAGATCTCTTTGCGCAGCCCATAGGGACTTTGCCTGGGAGCAAGGCCGGTGGCCTTGAGCCGGCATCACAACGGCCAGTGAATGTTCGAAAAGTACCGGTCCGTTCTCTATTGCTATAGCTACGGCGCGTGCAGTCTCACTCACATTATACTTTGATAGGGACGAACTTCCCACGCATCTAAAACCAATCAAGACGACAGAGACGAAAACTTCGAGATCGTCCACGCTAATTGTAGAACGACCATCGATAATGCCGACGCAATCAATCGAAAGCTGGCAGCTCAGCTTACTGAGGAACGGCGTGAGTTCGCAGCCAAGGCGGGGCAGTTTAGCAGGGAAATATCCGAGATGAGGACCAAGATGCAGCAGTACCGCCTGGGAATACAACGCTTGAATGGAGAAGTTACTAGACTGGAGACACTTCTTGAGACGGCCAACTCAAATGCTCGTAACTTTCTCTCGCGAGTGACCTGCAACAGACGCTGGAAGATATTCATACTGCTGGCCAGTCATTCATGAGCCATCTTGAAACCCGAATGAACGAAAACGAAACCAAGATGGATGAAAACGGAAATGCGCAGAATTTCAGTCAGTTGCCGGGAATAGATGTGACGGACGACTGGCTCGACACGGAAGCGTTCGATATGATCAATGACTCTGGGGCTTTTGCTGAGATGCCGGCCACCATGTTCCCGGTATCTGACCACGACGGCGTGCCAAAGATCTAATTTGTCCGCGGGTTGAGCTGGGCCAAGTCACCACAAAGGCCATGATTAGCTTTCACTCGCTCACTGGGATATTTAATTGAGCCTGGTTTTTCTTTGATTCTGCCTTCAAGCAAGTCAAGAACCCACGTGCCCGTATATTACGGTACAGCAAGAGCGATCTGGATATGACACATATAATAGCATTACAGGTGGTATATATCTTGCTACGTGTATTCAGGCCAAGGGCCGAAACCAAACCTGCGACCTGGACAGGCCTAGAGCTAGCTTTTGTCTAACATCCCACGGTCTTTTGTTTTTGTTTAGTCATGACCTCAGTTCTGTTCGCCGACCGAATACTTTAGTTACACGTGTTGTAGCAAGCATAGAATGATCGTATTGATAACGGAGCTGGTGTGCTGTAGCTCATAGCTCAGTACGCAGACTCTCCAACCATACAGCCTTCCCTTCAAAGTGGTTCCAGAGGCGCTTTCTATGCATATTATTCATGTCATGCAACACTAAACTCACGCCGACAGGCACGGACCGATGTCGCTCTACGGCTAACGACGTGTTCACATCACTTGCTCATATAAGAACAATCAATTGTATGCTATGTGGCCGTGGAGGTATCGGTTCGACCGTATCATCCAGTCCAAAGTATGAGTTCTGTTGGTACTGGGCGGGCGGGTTGGACCGGGCCATCCCGAGAAGTTGCCGTGCTTTGGTCAAGGACTTTTTCCCAGCCAGTTCTCTCTGAAACCACCGTCTATCTTGTCAATGTTTGCCAGGCGTTCTGTACCCAATGAAATTTGGGAGGGCATGGTACGCACGCGATATCAAATTCCCACAGAATAGGGGCAGACAGCCACCAATTGCACTACTTCGTGAACCAGAAAAATGGTGTTCTTCTAAGGCGTTTGAGAGACGTGATTGATCCGAGGCTATCGCATAACTGGAGCTTTGTAGAGTGTCAGCTCCACCTCCGTCAGTTATACTTTTAAAACCACTTCGGTTTGTGGCTCATCACTCCTGTCATTTATGGCTTGAATCGAAGCACCTCTCTTTTTTCAATCTGTGAGCCTGTTAATTGCAGGGGTCTAACTGTCCCGGTGGCGGCGTTGGGAGCGCGGCTTGACTGTGAATTGCCCACCACCTGTGCATTCGATTAAAATAGCGCTAATCGGACGATACTCGAACGATCCAGCCCTAAACCCCTGTCTGGCACTCAGTAGCCCACGCGGCCGATGCAGCTCACTATCATCTGGGCACCCAGGATTTCTGTATAAGTCCTCTACACTAAAAGCCATATTGAGCGTGGGCGAAATTATTCTACACTTGGGACTCATGCGATAGTAATTCAACGACAAACATTATCCTGCGCTGTTTGATATGTCCTGTGCAATAGCTATGGACTCTTAAACCCCTCATTTTACCGGAAGGTCATTATTTGTGCAAGATGAGCGCTTCTCGGAGAAACATCATGGTTTAGTAACCTATCATCTGGTAATCAAAGAGATGTTGGTGATGTGTTTCGTGGGTTCAAAACCAACAGTGGCACGCTGGGACTGGGGTCGGATTGGCTCAGGCTCACCTAAAGGTGACGTCGTAGAGAAGGGGTTTTAAATTGGTACGCACGAGCGCGGAATATTGGTACAAATTGACGTTTATCAGAGGGACCGAAAAGGTACGTAGTATGTTATTCGGCCCCACATTTGCGGACCTCAGTTTCGTTGGTATCCAACTTAATCCCATTGGCTACGGAGTCACAATAAGCCGCCGGCGATACAGATCAGCGCAAACGGCTAACACGGGATTGTACAGCCGCCACTTTTAGCTAAACTGGTACCAATCGCGTGACCAACATAGTTCTTAGGCCGTGGCGATCTTCCTTTTAGAGCGTCCCCCGTTCCTGGCCTTCCAGTTCTAGTATTTGGATTTTATCTGCGATTCGGATAGCATGGCGGCAGGAGCTCTCTTGATCAGACGTTACTTGAGGTAGATAGAAAAGCGGTCGTCTTTCTTCTATCAGCGTTTTGCGCACTGACGAAGCTCCTGTGCTCTAGTGCGCGCATTGGTACCGCAACACTAGCCAATCATATTGTGACCACCGGCTTTGATTGAGACATTGGACAGTAAGAGAACACACAATTACTCGTTAAAAAAATGAGAAACGGTAAGAAATAGAAGTTACGGACGAACGCATGGGAGTGTCTCCACAGCCCTGTACCCCAAAATGACATCTGCCCTGGCCCTTCAGTACTGTTTGGATAGCAGCTGTACTGTCTTTCACCACTGCCCAAGCACTTGGTCCAATATCTTCCAAAGTTTTCCGGGACTGACTGTCGTCGTCGGCGTTGGAGGGAAAACATCCTGAGTATTGCGTCATCTAGCGCAACCACAATCAGTTCTGACCCATATGATCTTCTTTTCGTATGCTTGTACTCACATGATCGCCGTTGGCCTCTGGTTAGTGATTCTCTAGGATTGAACTGCCGGAGCAGTTGGCGAGCCTGAAGATCCGGAGCTCTCAGATTTAGGGCGGGTGGCGAGTTGGGAATGCCAGGCATATGCGCCAGTCGTTGACATCCTACAGCCTGAGCGTTCTTGCGGCGACATCTTGCAGATATCGAACGCCGCCGGTAGATACCTTTTAGTAGTTGATTGTGTTTTCCACGTAGCGACTCAGGCCCGCGTGCAATACCAGTATCGCAACGGTATTCTATCGATTTCTTCTCCCACGATAAATGCTGGTGTCGGGATAGCCAGTCCGGAAGTCTTTGCTCTTCTGAAGGTGACCACGGGATGTAGTTAGCTTTGGACATGATGAGAGAGAAGAGGAGAGACAAGCTGGCTGCGATGGAAGGGTGCTGATAAATTCGTGATGGATCAAACGAGATCAACAAAGGAAAGACAGGGATTTATGTGATTGTTGAACGGTTCGAACTCCTCCTGAGGGGACACGGGAGGGGACACGGGATTTGGGACGGTTGGTATCAGCTTGGATAGGATGTTGTTCGTCTCCGTCGAAATTACACGATTCTACTCGACCACTTCCATGGGGGTTGGACATTTGACTGTGCAATTCGAGATTAGTCTACAAGCCACCAACGCTCCTACAAGTGCTATGATCGCCTGTTTAAGAATCAGTTCATGTTGGGGCACGGTAACATCCTGGCTCTCAGTCGGGTAGGGCCGGTAAAAGCTGATTTGAACGAAGGTAGCACCGGACATTGTATCACGTCTGCATGAAGGTGATTCTGAATGCATTTCGCTGCCTACCGTGCGTAGAGAAGGCAACCATCACGGAAACAACATAGCATGACCGAGACCGGACAGACGAAGGCCGACCAGGTGCCTGCCCTACTTGAAAAGCCCCCTAACAGGTATCCCTGCTTCATGATTCAAAAAACATGGCTCCCAAGCCATGCATCCGACGGCCGGAAACCGCTCCCATTGCACCGCCCCTCTGCCGCCGCCGACCGCCTGCCCGTCTCCGCCGTCCCCCTTCCCGTCCGGGTATGGCGCCCTAGCCCTGGCTCCCGTTTGGGTTTAGTGCTGTCCCTGGCCGCTTTTACCGCCCTCCCCATTTGCCATCCATCTATAAAAGACTCCTCGTCTTCTCCTCCTCTTCGTCGACGCACTTTCTCTTCTCTTTCCCCCTTCCACACCCTCTACCCCCTTTCTTTCTCGCCCCACCGTCGTCTGTGCATTGGATTTCAGCCCGATGCACTGCCCCTTTCATTTCGCCGGAGATGCCGCTCCATCCGCCCCCGTGCTCATTCTGGCCAGCGTTAGCTGCAATGCCATCCAGTCACCCAGGATCGCCCAGGAGCAGAAACACAGGGCGTGATCCAGTCCTCCACCGCATCGTGTGACTGCATGCCATTGCTCTTTTTCCCGAACAAATTGCCGGGAATCCTGCTACAAGGCTATTTCGATCGCCTTCTGCTGGTTTGGCCTTCAGATTACGTGTCTCCGTGACTCTGCTAGCCTCCCTTGTTGCGAAATCTCCCCGATTGCTCTCATCGGTGCTCCATGTTCCGCTTCATCCGCCCCGTCTGACGCCCCATCGGAGGTTACATTGCACAGCCCTTAGCGTCGCAGATCTCCTCACGGCGGCATGTTCCCAAACGTTTCGACCTTTCATTTATTGGCCTCTCCGGTCCATCCTCACCCAATCGATGAAGCTCGACAGCATGCAACGGCGATGCGAGCCAATAGCGAAATTACCGCACACTCGCCTGACCCAATACGGCAGGCCACAGCACCCCAACTCCGTCGGCACCCAGGATAGTCTCATATTTTTGAAATCCTTCCGCAGCGAACTTCCGCTCCAGCTCTTCAATAATGTGAGCTTCGATATCTGGTCGGAAGAGCGTGATAGCACATCCGCCACCTCCAGCTCCGGTGAGTTTTGTCCAACCAATCTGCGCATAATCCACGAGCTCGCGAATACGTTCTAGACGGGGATGAGAGACCCATAACGAAACCAAGAACCCGTGGTTGATGCCAATAAAATCCCCAAGCGTCCGAGAGCATCCGAGGTGTCACTACCAGGGAAATCAGCCGATGAAATCAGCTCAAGTGCAGAAGTTGCAAGTTTGCCAATTCCGTCCAAGATCATCTCTGTTATTTCAGGGTAATTGGTTTTTAGTGTCTTCACCTTTTCCACCTGTACAGCAGTGGATCGTGGTTGTTGAGTGTCGACGAGAAGGAGTGGTAGTCTCGGAAAATTGGTGAGACGAATGACAGATGGTGGTCCAGAGACGTTTCTTTGGAACATCACAGCCGTGCCACCCGCCGAAACAGTATTATCTACCCCGCTAGGGTCCCCATGTATGCACAGCTCGCCCACAAATGCCCAGCGATTAATGAGTTCAATCTGCATCTCTGCTTCCTCAAGAGGCTGTGTTACGGGGTTCCCCCCTTGGGAACCTCACAGCACTTGGCGATGCGTCTTTGTATGATCGTCGGGGCCAGTGCGCCCCACATGTCATTCGGTATATGGATCCCAGAGATCGGGATATGGATCCCAGAGATCGGGATATGGATCCCTGAGATCGGGACCTCGATAACCGTCTGATCCCGCTCATCTTGGGGCTCAGACCCTGCATTATCTTGTTTGCTTACAGCTGATCTTTCACGGACCTCTATTCCATTATGTCACTTTGGAGGATCGTCAGATAGTCTATGAGAGATTATCATGTTGTATGAGGGATTTCCTCATTCTCGTTATCATGTTGTCATTGAGTCATACTGTTCGCTTTGTTGTTAAATACTTCGACTTGGAGAGAGCCATGAGAACTCTCCAAGATTCAGTCTCGTTACCGAATGAATCATACTCTTATCTCAGACCTACATCTCAGTGTCTCCTCACCTAGCCAACAGTCTTCTGTTTCTACCTGCCCTATAACAGGCTGATCTGGATGGGGTCCAGCAAGGGCGCGTATCTGAAGGAGCAGCGCTGCGCTCAAGCAGACGCAAACACTGGCACTGCTGCCTAGACCGGCGCCAATTGGAATGGTAGATCGAAGAGTATAGATGAATCCAGGGCTTGTCGAGGAGCCTAGCGAGAGGAAGAGGTAGAGGAAGGCGGTTGCAGATTTTATGTGGATTTTTCGCTGCTTCTCTGGAAGGTGCTTCGACACAGCCTCTGCATGTGGCATGATGGCCTCGAGAAATTGGGAGTCGAGGGAGTCGACAACAGAGTGATAGAACCTTTTCTTCGAAGGTTGGTGGAAGACATTCCACGGCAGAGTGTCGATTTCCCATGTATGGTTTAAGCCAATGTCCCTGAAATTCAGTCGGACGGTACGTCGAGATTTGGAGAGGGTAGTGACGAGAAGGTATGATCGGAGAGATATAGCTGCGGCAATAGCGGGCTTACCATACACCGCGGCATGTTCACCGAAGACAATGGCTTTTCCTGGTGCGGACACCATGAATGTGGGGGCCATTGGCGATGAGGGTTTTCTCTTCATGCTGAACTGCAGAACCTGTGGATGGATTTTTGCTAGTCGGGCTGCTGGCGTTTGTTGATCTGTTGATGGTTGTCAAAGTCCAGGAAGATGCTGGTCGCACACTCTCTCTGGACAGATTTTTGAGCTAAGCCACTTTTTGACTAAGACGTGAAACTGGAAGGAGACGGCAGAATCCTGGGAACACAGAATCCTAACCACATTATGTGAGAGTCGGGAACTAGTTACCGCATTCCTATTGGTCTATCTTCTTCTCTATCGCTGACTACGTTAGGGACCTAAACCTGAAGGGGAAGGGCGAGTCGTAACACATAATCCCTGTGGCTTTCCGCCCATCCACACTGCTCGCCGCTCCAAGAACAGTAGCTACTCTCACTTTGGCTATAACCATAGTCATCGAGGTTCAGCCACTCTACAGCTACCAAGATCTCTATTTGAACGTACATGTTACTGAGACCCGGGTGGTATTTGGTCAGAGCTGGAGCCAGCTTAACTTCTAGTTCCCAGGCACCCCTGAGATCGCTGCTGCCTAAAGTTTTGACTTGAACCGCCACACTTCTGATCTGCCTGGGCGGACGCGGAATGCAGACGCACAGATGGCAACGGAGGAAAGACGTCCTCCAGTCTAACCTTGGGGCCTTTAACCTTCAAATGTATAGTAACATAAGGCATGCAAATTGCAGGAGATCATCGTAATGGGCAAATGCTTGGTCAAACACTGGCTCATGGACAGCATTTCAATCACAACTTTACACACATAATGAAGGATACCCTGTTGTATTCAAGAGCTATACAAACATGTTGCTACTTGCCTAGCAAAAGGACAGCAATCCGTGTAGACTAGCCTGCTGAAGGGTGAAGAGGTCGATGACATTGGTCAGGTGCACTGTTAACCAACGTCGCTCACACAGAAGGAGGGAAATCCCAAAACAGTAAGGCATATCTGCAACCAACAACCATCCCGCACCTCTCCTCCCCCAACCCAACCCAACCCAAAATTCTAACGCCCATTCTCCTAGCGTCCGGTTCAACTCTGTTTGTACTATTTAGATAGGATCTTTCTGCAGGCACCATGGGAAGCTTACGCAGCTGCTGCATTCTCCGTTGGAGTTAAGTTCCATGGTGCAACTGGGGCAGTGTCCATTACAGCCCTGTAGGTTGACCATATGTCAGCTCTGAAGTTGAGACATATCTGGAATGTTTCTCGTGAGGAAAAACAAAGGTTGCTCGAGCTAGCCCCCACGAGTGCTTGACAATTTGGTGGCGTGGCTTGCACCGAACACACGTTTTCAGCTTTTAAGTGATTCGCCGCCGTCATCAGAGCTACAGCAGCAAAACAAACCCCTTTCGCCTGGTGGAGATAAACCTCCGGAGGTAGCACAGAGTGAGCTGAATTCCTTTAATGAGATGGCCATCATAATCTAACAACTACAGACTCTCTCCGTGGGCGCGTATTTGCGCTGACACATGAAGATGTTCGTGCAGTCGCTATTTCAAATCAGATATCGGGTCAAGTTTGGATGACTGATCCGTACGATAATGCGTCATTTTCATTCATATCAATGCCTATTACAGATGAAATATCGCTTTATTTCAGTACGCGGCGACGCCAGATCATGTGAATGATCGAATATGAATGATTCATCACGTCCTCACCACATACTGTATCCCAACAGTCCCGATCGAATAGAACCACCAGTCAACATTCCACGGTACTATCACTAGGGCATCCGCGTCCTCTGTTCCGACTTTACCTACGGCGGCAACGCCGAGATCATTGTCTGATTTTTCTCCGACTTTCATGGCTCCACCAGATGCGGATATATCGACGATAACGGCAATCGTATTGGGAGGGGGTGAGGTCTGATATACGACTTCTGTTGTTGGGCCAGGAACAAGGGTACATTCAACTTGCGAATAGAATATTCGCAATCCCGACTTGCCGCGAATAAGTATTCGCATATTTTATTCGCAACCAGAAATCTTGCGAATAGGTATGTTGGTTTTACACTGCAATATTGCTAGTATGCGAAACGTCGAAGACTACGGCGATTACTGGGCAGAGGGCCTACTCTCGTGGAGGCTCCTGCTCGGTGTAATCTTGTGTAGTGTTCGTTGTGTTCTGGTGTTCTAAAGGGGTTCAGGCGGAAGGCTGGGTAGTAGCCTTCCCCCTGACTGCTGACTAAGATACATCTAGTACAAACAACACAAACAACAGATGCCAGTTCCAACACATAGGTATGGATAGGTTAAATGTTTCGTTATAAGGAATGAAAGAATTCTGAGTAGGCTCAGAAACGAAGGGGCTATGGGAAAGAGTGTTATCAGTAAGGAACCCACCGCAAGGGCATAGATCACTGTGAATTCCATTTTCAGCTCGTGTTTATAGTATCAGAAATCTCCGACTATTGCAAGAAAACCATGTTACTTTATAGTAAGCTTCCTCTGTGACGGACGACCAGTAGGCTGATATAATATATCGTCTAGCTTCTTAAAGAAATCAAGGATGCTCACCAGGAGGATGACTCATCTTTGTGCCATAATTACCCTTACCTCTTCAGGTATCAGACATGGTTGTTACTTGTTCCTCAGGCACCCATCTAGCTTGTAAAAGTCAGCATCGCCATTACACAATCCGAACACCAACAAATTCCAAATTTGACCATTCGGCCTTCATCCCTCCAAATTTTAATAGCCAAAAAATGCACCAAGTCCGGCGCGGGTTATTGCACTGTCGAGATGCTACGGGGCGCGGATGTGTTTCACTATCGAAATGCAGCGGAGCACGGATCAGTGGTTATGTAGACTGAATCTGAAGAGAGCGTTCAAAGCCCCTGCTCATCAGCCAGATCTGATTGGCTAGCTCATTTCATCTGGTAGGAGGACCTCTAGGGTTGATTGAGACATTACAGCCAATCATATCAATTATGGAAGCGCTATGCGTCATTGCCTTCAATAGGATAGCGCTTTGTGCGGAGCAAATTTTACCCGAACCGAATTTGGGCCTCCCAACGTCGCAAAGCGCGAGAGGGTCTGTCGCGCGTGACACGATCTGTTTTTATTTTTGCTCCATCTTTTAACGCGAGACCTTTGCTCAGATTTGGACAAAGAGTCTCATCAACTATGTCAGAAATTACGCACACGACTCCCCTGGCGGTCCTTTCACTGCAAAACGCTGAGGCAGCACAATGGAATAAAGACCTCATGCGGCAATTCCACGCTGAACTGGACAGGAACCCTAAAGCTGACCTCTTGTCAATGTTTCCTGAGCTATACCGTCACGAACACCGAAATTCACAGTATCTCCAGCTATCTCATGCCGCCAAAATCAACCTCCGAACTCTGCATGACCTCCGCGAGGCCCTAAGGGATGATCCAGAGATAAATATGCTATCTGTGTTTCCGAAGAATTACAATCGCAAGATCAATATGGCAACGGGTCAAAAAGTCTTACCCTCTAACGGGATAGACATCCCGGCACAAGGCCCAGAGTTCAGCACCCGTCTGGATATTGCTAAGTCGGCTAAGGTCGTCTTCCCATTATCTAATACGGTGATTACATTGATTACAACATCCTCAAAGAACTCTCCAAACGGTCACAAAAAAACACTTGCCACATCTCTCAAACAACTCCTCTTGGACTCGCCAAAGCTCTGGGAGTCTCCAGTGCGTGGCATGGTAGTCCAGTGCAGTGAAAACATTGTCGCCAAGGTTATTATTGGGAATGGTGATTCCACGGAATACACAAGTCTGCGGTTTCTTGCTCAACGAGCGCCCGATATTCCTGTTCCAAGGGCTCATGGCATGGTCGCTCTTGGGCCTTTCAGCGTTATTTTCATGTCCTATGTTCCAGGGATGACGCTAGCCCAGGCATGGCCCACTCTGTCTCAAAAGGAAAAATTATCAATTCAACAGCAGCTGGGAGATATTTTCTACCACCTGCGATCTCTACGGCCTGATAGCCAACATATCGGTGGAGTGCACGGAGAAGGAGCCAAGGAGTTCCGGATCAATGAAACTGCCCAATTCAAAGATATCAAGACTCCCCAGCAATTTAGCGACTTGCAATTTTCAATCCGTCACCACGGCAGCAATACATACGTGGAATTTCTCCGTTCCTTCTTACAAAATGAGGATCCTTCAATGCTGAGATCGGTTTTCACCCATGGCGATCTCAGGGCTGCTAATATTATGGTCAAACATGATCCTCATTTCGATCGCCATACAATAACTGGTATCATCGATTGGGAAGATAGCGGCTTTTACCCTGCATATTATGAATCCACTGCGTTGACACGGTCTTTAAGCCCGATAGATGAAGACGACTGGTATTTGTATCTGCCCAGGAGTATCTCACCATCAGCGTTTCCCATACGTTGGCTTGTGGATCGGCTGTGGAGTATTCATCTCCGGATCACTTAGGATTAGCCCAGATAAGCTTTCCGAACAGATCACTTCAACAACGAGAAGACAGTTTGCGTAATGCTTGTGACAAGGCGCCTCGCTGTCAATTTCACTCTTCCATTTGTAAATTATATCCCTGCCATCAAATATTAAACATTAGCTTTGTCATGTGTTGGTTCGTTAACATGATGTTTGTAAAATTTTGCTGGCGCAGCACGTATGATTTGCGACTTGTCGTCAGATCAAATATAGATGGGGGTTATGAAACGGATTAGGTGCGGGCCAACGTTAAAATGGTCTTAGTAAAGCCAGTAAGGAGCTATAGAAAAGTGATTATTGTAACTGAATTCTCAAGAACATGCTGATTTACTTCATGGGATGGTACGGACGTACGTGCATGGTATTTAGCACTAAGATAGGGCGCTCATTTACCGAGCCGCCCGGCGAAAGGATATGCCCCACCAATATGAAGCGGCGTATCGCCGTCAGATAGAAGCTAGTATTGCATTGACGTGGCTCCTATCGCTTTGCATGGCTTTGAGGCGTTTTGTTGCATCGAAATAGAATATGAGCGCTTAAGAGAAGTATCTTTGGATGAAACTACCCCAAAAGCGGCATAAGTCAACCAATGAGCACTTTGAATATCAATACCTACAGTAGGCATCCAAGTCTATAAATACCCTGGCTGTTTCTTGAGTTCAAATGTTCATCTTGACCCAATTATTCTATCACCACAGTCTGATCTCAAGGACGCTCAATATGGCCTCTACTGTTGGACTTTATGTCGCAATCTACAAAGACGAAGGTGTATACAAGCACTGGGGTCTCTTCGTCGACGGACCCACGCAAGATCAACGAATGCTCCTCCATGTCGAAGGCTCCTCCACCAGATTTCGCTTGACAGAAAGTTCTCCAACGCGCGATCTTCAGAAAGGCTGACAGAGTTGATTCATCTTATCAACGTGCCTGTCTCCAGCATCACTGCTATCGATCAAGCAGCAGAAGAAGCACCAATCCACAACCAGTACCCGGGCTATAACTGCCAGGACTATGTTCTTGAGCTTTTGGATGACTTGGAGACCCGAAGACTCATCGACGGAAAAGACGCAACGTATAAGAGGCAGAAGGCTCTTGTCGCAAGCAAACAAGAGGGGCTTTGATGAACGATCGGCCGATTTATGATCCAAACACAGCGGGGGAAGATTGTACATCACGAAATATTCTTTCGTAACAAGAATTACTCGCATACCCTTTTTCGGGTGATTTTGTTTTGCCGAGATTGTCATCTTTCACCACTGTGGCTTAGCTGTGCACTTGAGTTTGGTATTGAATAGGGAAATGGCAGTGACAAGGGCTCTGAATTGGGACCGGATCTGTGTCCATCATTCTGTACTCACCATTTTTTGTGTTATAGAAAGGGCATATTTCCGTTAAATGAAGAGTCTGATTTGGTTAGCTTGGATAGAAACACCCAGAATTTCCAGCTTGTAATTGTCAATGGTCTATCGAAGACAAATGAAATCAGAGAAAATGTCAGGAATTGTAGCGTTCCAAAGTCTAGGGCGTATTTCTCGCCGCCCCGCAGCACTGCTTTGTATCCTCAGTTTCTCACCTCATCAGGTGACTCAGATACATTTGAAGCTATTCATAATGAAAATGTCGTCTCTTGGAGTCCCTCTTCGAGCCTCCAACATGAAATACAGTCTGAGATATGCACGCAATGATCACTGGGATTTAGCCGATTCTACAGCTCATACAGTCTATAAGGCGGAACAGGTACGTAAAATCGAGGAATGGTAAACTCGTACTTGATTGACAATTTTTGACGGCGGCCCAGCAGAATGAAGCAGCAAAGATGTGTCCCGGACTTTTGGATCACGACTGTAACTTGCTAAACGCCAGCAATCTCAGATGCAGTACACTGAGAAGATTTTTTGCATTTTCCACCCCGAATTTAAGAAACATAGTAGGACGTTCCCTGCACTCCACTAAGCCACACTCACGAATAAGAGATAGATTGTACCAAACACATCCCGATTTCAGGGGCTTTTTCCATTCCTTTCGACAGGTCGCGGATAATAAGAACCCTATGAAGGTCAGAAAATGTAGCCACGTTTTTTCACCTCAACTTTGCACTGACCAGTTGAGAGCTTAGAAAGGACCAGAATCCCGAAGCATCTGCGGAGAAAATGAAGACTTTCCCGGACTGTCGTATGCATATACCCAAGCAAACATCTGCCCCGCATATCTCGCTATACTCCAATGACTTCTTTTCCAGGCATGATCTGCGTCGGTCTCTTTTCTGTCGCAGTGACTTCTTCTCCGCGCTGGGCTTGTGTTGCTGTTTTGGAGAAGTTTTTGCCATTGTTTTGGCTTGGTGGATATTTAAATTAGAGTGGATGTATTTCAATCAGGTCCGTTAGATAATAACTGCAGACGGGTGGTATGAATGTGCTCTTAAATGTGCTCAGGAATGGAGGCCTTAATTTGCAAGGACCACGATTTTCCCGAAAAGACCATGATTTATGCGCCTATATAGACAGGATAAAGTCTGCCGGGTGGGGCCTTTCCTACCTGGGCTGCCGCCGCTTTATGAGGGCGCTCAGGCTCAGGATCAGTGAGTAGATGTCAGCACGGGCTCAGATTCAGTGAGCATGCTCAAGTTCGGTCACGTGTACGATGACTAATCCGCGACGTGCTCAGTGAGTGCTCAGTGAGTGCTCAGTGACCACTTGGGTATGCTCAGTGCGTGCTCCGAGATCGCTCAGTGAGTGCTCAGTGAGTGCTCAGTGATACCTTAGAAACGCTCAGTGAGCACCCCTGATTTGTGTAACTCAGTCTAGACCTTACCCAATAGAGACAGGCCCCACAGAGCCATTTATTCTGTGATGGTTAGTGCGTTGACGATATTTGGGCTGCCCTCGTTTTCTGGAGGATCCCTTGCCCCCAAATTAACGCGTCATGTCTATCAGGCAGAAATAAGATGGCGAAGGCCATCCGATTAGGGATAGTCTAATCAAACTTCCCTGTCTTTTTTCAGTACGGCGGCCGACTTGAGCTCGAAGCCTCAGCTATATAAGGACAACATGTCCCCATGAACCAGCTCTCTCATCATCTCATCCAAATCATTTCATTTCACTACCTAACTGCTTCTACAGCTAGCATCCCAGCAAGGTTCATAATTATGGAGCGAATGGACTTCTTCGCCAGACGCGATGAGATAACCAAGGAAAGGCGCCGTCTACTACGAGAAAAGAATGGATACGTCCCCGGGGCCCATAGGGAGGAAGACAGCATCCGAAATAAAGACAAGAAGCTCGACAAGACCAAGAAAATACACCAAGAGAAGCTGGACCTCTGGCTCGAGTACGTTGACGGACCCGCGAGTTCTTGGAGGAAGCTGACTTCTCTCCTAGCTTCACAGCAGATCCAAGCAATAAGTTCAAACATTACAAAACTGTTCCCGGATGTTCCCCTCCGAGCCATGATGTGGTTAAGCAATTCATTCGCTGGTGTGTGAGTTCTGCTACAGGCAGACTCAGCGAAGGCAAACAGCCAACTGTTAGAACTGTCAAAGCGTGGGCGGAACGATTCTTTGGGGGATTCAAAGAGAGCACCAAAACGGAGGTACCCCAGAAGGATAGAAAAGAAGTATATGATGTGGGTTCTTTATTTCTCTGTCAACAACACATCACTAACTCTACTCTTCCATGAAATGCAGTGGATAAAAAATACATTGACAGCAGAGGGCATTGTCGTGGACCAGAAAAAGCAGAAGTACAACTTCAAGAGGGATGACTTTTTGAAAGTTGTCGCCTCAATTTGGCAAGCTGATCATCAAAAGTTTATTCCCGGGCTGACAAAGGTCCTCATACTATTTGCTCTTCAATTATACCTTTTCACGGGGGCAAGAGTCGGAACTTTTATGCCTTCTGATGAGGATAAACACTACAAAGGCCTTCGATACGAAGTATGTATGAACCGTCTCTGAAGTTCATTTTGTTCTAATTTTTGAACCAGGACATCAAGTTGGTTCTATTTCCTTCATCCACCGCTCCATGGGAGGTTGGATGGAGAGTCAACCAGAAATGGCTCAAGAATAATCGTGATGAAAAGTACACAGTGTAAGGATTCCAAAATATTGGTTCTTTTTTTCCAGTTCTATTAACATGTTCTCAGGTTCGGAATTGGTATCCGTGACAGCAACAAACCTCAATTCGCATCTGGCCAACTTCTCCTCGCACTCGCACTTGCACATGGCGCTCTTTTTGGTATAGAGACTGTTTCAGATTTGGAAGAATTTGATCTATCGAATGGAGAGATCCCATTAAAATGGAAGGAAAGTTTTAAGACGAAACCGATTTTCCGGAATGTCACAGCCGACGGGCCTCAAGAAATTCCTCTTACGAACAAAGAGTTTTCCTCCTACCTACACCAGATCTTTGATGCAGCTGGCTACAGTGAACACCCGACAATACACTGTTTGCGAAGGAACCTGGCCAAGGAGGTCGAATGTAAGCAAATATGAACATCAATACAACTGAGCATGATCCGGTGGTTGACGCCCAATACAGCAAGGTATGGCTCTGCGCCCGTCTCACAAATCCTGGCGCATCGGGATCCAAAAACATTTCCAGATCACTATTAAGCCCATTGCTCCTCTATAGACACAGTCTCGGCTGTTCTTGATGAGAAAGGTGAAACGAAACACATTGAGTACTTCCAGGGCTACACTCAATTTTGTGTGCCTGTGTCTTCCTGTTAATTTGCCTGCTCACATCGAGGAAAGCATTTTGATGCTACCTGAAATGGTGGAACTGAGAAGCCGCATCGGAGATCTCAGAAAGTGCAATAATCAGACGGATCTTCGGGACGCGAAGCTGCGTTACAGGAACGCATTGGTTCGGCAACGCCGGTTTGAACTCAAAAGGTATCAAACTTCGTGGGTACAGGCGAGAAGGGATCAAAAAATTCTCAACCGTGGCAAAGAGCAGCCGGTCTCAGCGACAAATGATGTTTGTATACGTGCTCAGAGTTTGATCATGCCTGAAATTGCGCGAATCGCAACAGCGATGTCCCGAACCACTGAGTTGTCCTTTGAAGAGAAAATCATGTTCGTCAAAGACTTACAGACTCAATGCTCCCGCGATTTTGATGTGGTCTACCTTCCCAATGAAAGTCCAATTCATAGTGCCTGTCCGGCGAAAGCCTGCCAGGTCATCATTACAAGGTAAGTGGATCTTCGGCCGTGATTATGCAGCCTCTGACAGATTCAATCAGCTTAAAAAAAAGTGAACGAAGCACTCACATCCATGCATGCGTTCGAAGCGAGAAGGCAGCTGGTTTCCAAGTCTCGGAGTCACAAATGCGCTTTTGTTACGAATGTATGGAGTGGTGCTTGTTAAGTGAATGGCGAGATCACTGCAATGCTCATCTCCAGTCGTGGGAAACTCAACACTGTGAAGTTATTATATATCGTCACACAGTAATCCGCCCCGGCTACTGTCCCTTGTGCCTGTGGAATGCGTATCTTCCCGCGGAAGAACGATTGGCTTATTGGCTGAAAAGTGGCAACCTGAGGCAACACATCGAAGAACATCACATGTGTCGGCTCCAGTGGCCTACAACAAAGCCAGTATGCGGTTGTGCCCAAGAATTCGACAATGAGCGTGACCTTCGACATCATTTGCACGACATCCACGGGCTTAACAAAGCTATTTGGTCTAGTCCAAAGCTTCCGAGGAAGAGAAAGCGTGCCTTCAAGACGGAGCTGGAAGCACAAAGATCTTCGACAGAGCTAGAGGAGGAGCGACCCAAAAGGTTGCGCTTTTACCCTCATCCGCCTCCGCGTCACGAACAGCAGCCAGACCAGATATTTGTGCCCATTTCTGCATCGCTTTCGTACGTTGAGGAACATCCCGAACGATATTACTGTTCGGAACTCAGTGATACTCCAAGTGAAAGCAGTAGAAGTAGCGCAGCTGCATCATACTTTTCCGCAGCAGATTCTTCACTCAGCTCCCCGCCAACAACTCCCGGTCTTGAAGTCATTGACCCTCGGATCCTCAAGCCAATTGAACTTCGCATGGGAGATGATTGCGAGCCTTACAACCAAGCAACTGTTCAGCTGGACCCGCCCGATCTCTCTATGGACGAGCTGGCGGCAAAGAACGAACCCTACACTTGCCAAAAGCCGTCTAAACGATCTAGCAAAGATTGTGCTGGCAAAGAAGCAAATGAAAGGCCAGGCAAGGCTTTACGACCAGATTCTCTCATCTCCCCCAGCAATCAAAGGCCGAAGCTTAGGCGTGAGGAGTACCATCATATGCAGGCAGAATCCGACGACAAAACCCTTTCTGGTAATCAAGCCTGTGTCTCGCTCACTCGAGTCAAGCCAAGATCACAGTCACCGCTCAATAATCTGGGTGATCCGAGTACTCGCAAGCTCCGTCAGAAGCTTAATACAAGAGAAAAACGAAAGCTGCTAGAGCTCAAGGCCAAAAATCTGACCTTGAGGCAGATTGGGCTCCACTTTGTAGACATAGATACGGCCTTTCTGCGACAGGCTTGGAAGGATTTAGAGCTTCCTCAGCGATGCACCAGATCAGGGTCTAATCGGATGGTCCGTCGGAGATATGCTCGCTAAGTGGTTTATGTAATTCGAGCACTACGCTGTGTGTCAATTGTAGTCTATTTGTACATAACTTACTTTTCATAAATAATAGAGACTCAACTCTTCAACATACCTCTGTCTTCTAAGGTCACAATGTCAGTACCCAAGACTCCAGCGAAAGGTATTTGTCGCTAGCGAAAACCAAAAAAATGAAAGATCTTTGTTACATCCTCCAGAGTCAAAATTACTGGGAATACCTTCTGTCAGAAAGTAAGCCGTCATTCGTGCTAGACTTAAAAGCTGAAGATGTTCGCTGCGTAAAATCGTTATGGTGTGAGTGTGAACACAGCGTGTTCTGGCGAAAACCGATTACAGCGGGCATATCACAAATCAAAACACCGTTACATTACTAGTACATCGTTGCACCGCCACACTTGACATGGCTTGGCTCATGAAGTATTTTATCCAATGTAAGGTAACGTAACTGTTATGTTTTCGTTTGTATGATACAAAATAATCTCAGGCGTGATCTACTTACTGCCATCGAGCTTTTCATATTCTTGATATTCTTCCGAGACCACGAAATAAATCGAATTGTCGTCGTTATCATTACTTCTATATTAATAGAATCAGAGGAGCTAGAGGAAAGTTTCTTATCCAAGATCCGACAAAAGCATATCGGTCAGTGCCAGCCTGTCCCGAATATTCTTTCATACATTGAGAGCAGGTTAATTATAGGTGCCCAATGAAAAGTGCTTTAAATATTTCCTATTGGGGCTATTCAAGAGTCGGTTCCTGGGAGCAAGCGATGACCCATCTGTGTGACGGTTCATGGATGCTTGGGTTTTACCACTACGCCATCTGGCCAAAAAGGCAAAATGTTTGGTCAGCGACCAAACAGCCAATATGCTCGATCTCTGACAGCCTGTTCATGAGCTCCTGGAAGCACCCTTGGTTTGTCCTAGGAATAATCATAGCCCATGAAGCGCGTTCAGTGGAAGCAGGGTTGGAAACTTGGCTGCACATCGTGCGTATTCCTCCTAGGACGAACCGCATGCGTTCTGGGGCATGTGCATCAACCTGGTGATCCTGGGAGCGCTGTATGCTCCCTTCTCTACAAGACTGGCTGTTGTTAGGACTATTCCATCGGACACATCGGACACCAGTTCCAAAGATGAGCTATAAGTACTGGTTGAATTTCCATAAAATATCAGGTTATCAGAACCGGAGAAAAACCACCATCACAACAAGTCGGCTTTCCTTTTGCTCTCGCTGAGTCCTCAAGCTCATTCTACACTCTTTTTCAATATTGAGACATCGAAATGTTTCTCCAGGCTCTCGATTCAGCGGGCGAAGGACACGGGTCGCAACGCAAATCCACTGAGTCCTGCCAATAACTCTTCCGAGAGTGTGACTTCCATAACAGGTATAAATGTGCTGGTAAGGTCAAAGCCCTTCACCAGAAGTACGTCGACCTCTGGATCGAGTGAGTGGCCGCGAAATGCTATTTCAGCTTCCCTGTTTGTTGACTTACAAGGTTTCTTGATGTAGGCGGGATGGCTCTACAAAGCTATGAGCCGGAGAAGGAACCTGCCGCCCCAACACTGTTCTGATCAAAAGATTTATCTGGTGGTACACGCTTTCTACGAGAGGACGGCTTCAACCTGATAGAAGGCCCACGGTGACCACTACTTTGACGTGTGATACGAGGTTTTCAGGGGCTTTGTGACAGCCACGGGAAGCGCGATTGCTGCAAAGGACTGTTCGGAAACTTACAGGGTCAGTATAGTCCGTTTTGCCAAGGCTTTTGATGTTGAAGCCCGCCTTCTCATAGTGGATCAGATTTGATCTGTATGGTCGCGGGACCTATAGGAGAGATTACTAATGAGGTAGGCACAAGACTTAATTTGCTTATTGTGTCTCTGCAAAAGTGGTGCTTTATTTACTGGCCATGATTCTTCTAACTATTGAGCAACGCTGAAAATCAAAGGACAAACTGGCTCAAAATTGCCACTTCATTGTTGGGTGAATGGGCCAACTGATCTCATTCAAGTTTCCACCCTCAATTTGACACCCGCCGTTTTCCAGAAGTCACTTTGGTCCATATGATCTTAGAAGACGGTTGTTTTAATAGAAGCTGCCCAAGGTGCATGGGTAACACGCCTCAGTTGACAAAATACACAGAGATAAAATCAGAACAAAAGCATGGCTAGCTTCATCTCTGTCCAAGAATGTGACCAGGAAGCCGGAAAATATAATTTTTGGTAGGAAAATGCGGAGGGCTGGAATTACACAATTCATGTTAGTCTCGGGATTTGAGGTCACCACGGCCAACAATGGGCAGGAAGCCCTTGACGCGTGGAAGCACGATTCATTTGACTGCATTCTCATGGATCAGGAAATGCCTGTTATGGACGGAAGTTCAGCGGCGCGAGAGATTCGGGCACTGGAAAAGGACAAGGGAACGTATACCCCTGTATCGCATATGATTTATCAAGCCGGACTGCCTACGGTAATAAGAAAGCACCCAACGAAATATTAGGTCAGCGGAGAAGAACCCCTACACTATGACTAGTAGACGGAGAAATTGTGATCTTGCTTCAGAACACTCTGTCTTTGGCCAGAGTGCCCTTAGCTAGCGTAGGTCTGATTGGCTGAAATTGGTAGTCTTGATGTGGAGCTCCTTCTTAAACCTTAATAAGGGCTGTGGTTGATTAACTAAGGATAATTTTGATGAGTTGGCCCGCGAATGTGACTAAAGTAGGAAATATATTAATAATAAGTTCGAGGATGGAGGTTGGCTTCATACCTGTCTACACTGTGTGACAGAATTCTTAAAACTCTCCGCCCTTTACTAGTATGCTGAGGATGTTCTGTCTTGTTTATACCTTGCTAAAGACCACGGGTGTTTAGCCAAGTTGGAATGTTTTATATCCCGCAACCTGGAGTAGGAGTTGACGAATATATCCTCACATTCTCGATGTACTTCTTTTCACGGCCAGAATCAACAAAGTCTTCGGGTTTCTTGGGATAGATTGGGTTGACCCCTGTAAACCCTGATGTGGATGTAATCAGCGCTTCGTCGAAGGTACCCCGACTGGACGTTTTGCGGGCGTCTGGCGTGTGGATACGAGTTGGAGCGTCCCTGGGCTATCGTGGATGTTTTTTATATTGGAGTTAAGGCTTTCCAGCTGCGGGAGTATTTATAGTTAATCTTGATATACCTTGGACAAGTATCTGCGGGATATGGATACGGTCTCTACTGTACCGCAGCCACTTGTCTCTTTGTAAGGTTTGACCTATGTTTAGTTATGGGTTACGTTGTTTGGTAGAGTATATAAAGGATAGTATATCCTTACCTTTTATTTCCCTTCCGATCTCCGTACCTATGGTCTGCGTAAATGCACGTGAATATCTGTATTATTGGTCTGATTATTACAAATTTTGTTTACTATTACTGATCACAATGCGACCTAATTATTATGAGTAAGATAAAGTGCTACGAAGAGCGAACGCTTCTATAACTGATGTATATCTAGTATTATGCAATCCGGGACTGTTGGGTTTATTATTGGTAAAAGCTGAAAGCGGTTCTGGATCTACAATGCGTTGACAAGCTATTTTCTAAAGAAGATACTTAATTCCCCTGTTAATGACGAAATAGATAAGGTCGACTTTGGCTGTTGCTGTGAATTTGTATATACCGGTGATTACTCTATTCTGTTGCTAACTAGAGAGTTTTATCTTATTGAAGAGGACAAACCCGTCTGTCCTCTACTGAAGCGGTGGAACCCTACATAGCTATCCGAAAATATTTTCTATTCGATATTAATTGATGATTATATAGCTCGACTGGGTGAACAAGTTGGCCGGTCAACGTGGGACGAAGATGATGAGCCAACTGACCCTATGGAGGATTATACGGAGATCCTCTTGGCCTATGCTAGGGTGCATCGTGTTGCTCACCGAATGGAATAGACCTTACTACGCGTTCTGTCTCTGTACCGGCTTACTCGGTTGTTGGCAAATTTGACTATTTTTGAAGACTGTACCGGAGATATTGTGAGTTTGTTAAGATTTGTGTTTGTGGAAAGCGAATAGATTAAAGATATTCAGAAGCTGCTGTGTGATTATGCGGTGTGGAATATGGAGGTTCTAATGTATGATGCCGGATTTGAGGAACTTCTGGACGCTGCACTTTTATTGGAAAAGGTTATCTTTCGCGTGATGTGGATGTAAATGTTGCGTCGATGGGACTGAAAACATTGTGTACTGCCGCTATTTTAGATGGGTTATCAAATGTAATCTGTCCCTGTGGCATATGTCCTCCGAGGCTTTCTGAGTACACATCATTGTTCCTAACCTATTTTCTGTGTGACGTAAAGCCGAGGTATTCTTAGCGAGATCCTTAGCAGGCAAATGTTAGGTCGCACTCAAGATCACTACGATCGTGCGATCGGCACAGGCCATACACTGGAAATGTTATTACTTGCCACCAGAAATGAGTCTCATTGTTGTCAATCTATTCTGGTGCGCAAGATATATCACCTCGGCAGGTCGAGTCAATAATCTCTGCCAATTTCTTGAGGCAGGACATAGCATCGGCGTAATCTTGCCTCACCGGTTCATATGTACGGTCCTGGAACGCGGACAAAAACATCTCACAAGAAGCCAAAAGAACTCTGATATCCATTGCATAGTTCATATCACTCATTGGCAGGTCCGCTAAATGTCTGCGAAGGAGCTCATTATGCCTCTCATAGAAACCGATTATTTGAGCGCGGCAATCATCCGCAAGATGCTCCCTTCTAAAGGGGAACCCAGATGCCCGACAAAGTAATGGTAAGAAGTCATCAATTATTGACCGGATGTCACGTGTGATAGACGAAGCTGATAACTGAAGGGACGATAATTGCTCTTCGACAGTGCATTGGTCGTGAATTCGGCCAGTCTCGCTCGCAAACCAGTCCCTTTGCTGATTGCCGCGTATAAAGAGCCATGACATTACGTGGTCATATAACTGGTCTTCTTGGAAATATCGTTTCCAGAGAAAGAGGATAACTTTCGCAACGGCAAGACCACTAAAGTGATTCGCGTTCCCAAACAGTATAGATAGGCATATTTTTACAATACATAACATTAGGCCGGTATTAGCTCTGAACCTAGCCTACTTGAAAAACGGCTACAGTTTATTTTCCAGGAAACCGAAGATTATAGATAGTCGGTAAATACCATAGAGGACGGTATAAACTACGCGAACTATAGTACTGTTGTTTCCGCTTTTTAACTCAAGACGTGAAGAGAGTGCTCGAGTGTTGTCCCTTTAGTATACAGCTTTACTGTTAGGCCAAATCACATCAGGTCAGGTGCAGTTTAGCTGTCTCTATGACCTCGCGCTTCTGGGCAATGGTATTAGTTCACAGCGAAGTTTCTGGCATATTAAGGCAATACTGTAAGCTGCTGCTACCTAACACATGGGCATGTCTGGGTTGCTCTCACGATTTGACTGACGAACGTATGTTACCAATAAAAGATATCCAGAAAAACCAACTCGCAAGGATTAGCGGAAAGTAAATTGAGTGTTATTATACGCCACAGCAGACAGCGACTGAACATTTCTCGCACATAATGGTTTTCCAACTTAGTCTACCACGCTGTGCTCTAGGCGAAAAGTGTAGACAGTGGAGTTCCGCCCCTGGTGATCTAATGTCGTAATGAAAAACCAAGAGCGAAACCATTATGATGGTGCATAGCTACCTCCTCTCCCACTTCCTCTCCGAGATATGTCCGATCGCGCATTACATAGTGAGAGACCTATTTTATTGATCGGCCCTGGCTCTTCCCATTCTAGTTAGCATCTAACTAGCACGCGGTAGGTGCATATACAGTCATTCCGAGCGAGTGACTAATCACGACGTAAAAAGGGAGACATGACTTTTCCCACACAACTCCTCCCACCGGCAGCTGAAAAGCGAGCTGCTATCCAGGTCTTCCTGACAGATCCTTTTTGACTGACGAGAGTGATAAAGCAACGGGCCCAAATATCGAATGGCCGGGATTAATCGCTCAGGAACCGCGGTCTGTTTAATCCGCCGCCACCAGATCTGATCAGCCGGCCCTCATGGACCGGTCCCATGGATACCTCACCTGATGTGGTCGATTACATGCAGTTCGCCTCCGCGGAACAATTCTCGCTCACTCACTTATTCTAAAGCGGCGAGAGTCTTATCCTGGGGATTAATGGCGGGGAAGAACAAATGTCGGGAAGAGTTAAAAGGACGGTGGACTGAACCTATTAATTTCTGATCCCAAGATCCACCAGCAATCTACGGAGTACACCAGCATGGTCGAAATGGAATGTTATTATCATCGGCAATCCTATGTTCTAATTTCGAGCTCCAGCAGTAGCCGAAGGAAGGGCGCTGCTCTCACTCGTACTGGCTTGATTCCATGTGTAGGTCGGCCCCACGCAGTACGTCTTGCCGGCCTGCAGACTGGACGAGCAGCTGGCCGAATCCAACGAGGGATTCACCATGACAAAAACAGCGTGAGTGATGCTGTATCGCCCACAGATCCCCACGCAACTATCGCCAGGCGCGGCCTCGTGCCATTTCCCACAGTTCGCAGTCGTCCCGGCCGCCAGAGTTGCATTGACAGGCGGAGCCACCGGACTGTAGACGTATCCATCCGAGCCAGAGGGACCAGTTGAGCCGCTTGTAGCGCTACTGCTATTATGTTGGCCTCCTTGCGGCGTGAGGCAGATATTCGTGCCGTAGATCTTGCTTGCGACCTGCAGGTTCCCGCAGTCGTAGGAGACCCAGGGGTTGTATTTACGTACATCCCCGGTTTTCAGAGAGTACGCAAACTCAATATCGGTGCAATTGTCGGTCGGCTGGATGGAGTACGTTTTCTCACAAGAGAGCGGGAGACATAATTCCAGCCCGGCAGAGAGGGATGAGCACTCGAGGATGAGGTCTTGATTGCTCATGTACAGTGCGGCGGAGGAAAGACTGTTGGCTTCTGCAATGGAGGTGCAGGTATCCCCCTTGACTGTGGTATACATGGTGCCCGACAAACAGAAAGTAGTTTCTTTCTCCGGGTCATTGTAAGGGATTTCAAGAATTGTCGTTGGTGCATTCAGCCCGCAGCGTTTGTTGATTGTCTCCAGAACCGTCTGGTAATAATCGTCGTACATTGAGTAGGGCGTACGCTGCATCATCTGCAGACGTTCGGTGTAACAGTATGAGCAAATCTCATCTTTAGGCATGGCCTCGGTATTGGGAACCAAGGTGAAACCATCGATAACATCTGTCAATGACCACGGTATTAGAAACGAGGTTGACTGAGTACGGTGTGAGACTGGACATACCGTTGCAATACTTTCCCGTATCCTTGTCTTTGCTGCACGTCTCATTATAAGCAGCCCACATGCGTCCTCCATACAGCCCCGGCGGTGATCCACTGATATTATAACCAGCACAGTTGTGCTGCACCGAGCTGAACCACTGTTGAAGGCTCGTGCCGCAGCTGGGATCACATAGGGACTCAGTAAGTGTATCATTATTCAGAGAACCGTGATAGGTAGCCATCATCATAGTGCTCATGTACGGATCACACTTGATGAGATCCGTCAGGGCTGTTTTGCAGCTGAGTGGAAAATCAGCAGCTTCAAGTGTAGAAGAGCTGTAGATACTGAATCCAGGGAACTCGCGCCCACCTGCCGTCTGATTCGCACCACCAAGCCAGACCAGGATGGAGGACAGGAACCCATTGACGTTATCCTTGGCATAGGTAGGAATTCCCTGGAAAGGAGTAACCATTTCCACGATAGCCTTAGTGCAGAGGTTGTAAATCCAGATGTCGACACTTTGCTCGATTTCAAAGCCTCGCAGCTGGCAGTTTTCAGTTTCAAGGCAGTCCTGAGCGTAATCCGAGAACCAACTGTACAGACCACTTCCTAGAATCCAAACGGAAGAGGAGTCGATAATTCGAACTGCCCACGATACCGCACAATTGACTGAGTCGGCCTCGCATTCCTCGAACCGAGGGTCGTTGGCAAAGGTGCCAGGGGTAAATGGCTTAGGAGCTTTAGGCACAGGTTGATAGTAAGGCGACTCTGTTTGGATCATTGCCAAAAGGATGTTCTGCGCCCCAGAAAGCTGGTACTGGTACAGTGCGCTGTGCTCCGACGCCGTTCCATACAGCCAAGCCAATTGGCTCTCGATCAGAATACCCCGGGCTGCATACACATCAATTTGATCTTGTGAAGCAACGTCTAGATCATGGTCGGCCACCCAGACCCAAATGTTCTCGAGATAAGCAGTCGAGGACGAAGTAAGATGTAGTAAAAGAGATGCTGCAATGCAATCCGAGTTAACCTTTCCTGTCTTCTTAGGGCATTGTGCATTTTGCAGCTTGGACCCGATTGCACCGCCAATGCGAATGTGCGAATCCCACATAGCAGCAGAGCCTTTGACAGATTGCTCGACATTCCATTCCACAAGGATAGCACCCGCAGTAGGGCCAGACACGGTAAAAAGCAGATCCTGTATCTCTACGATACCAACGTCGCCAGAGTCACCGACCTTGACGGCAACCCGCGGATTATCCACATCTGCGAACTTATCGCCCGCCGCCATGATTTGAGACCAAGCCTGTCCCACAATGCGAGAACCAAGCGGGATATGCAAGGTGTCCTGGATTTTGTATACTCCAAAAGGAATGTACACAACAGAAGACAGATTGGCAGCGTAGGAGAGCACGTAATTGAGAATTGCGGTATCATCTGTGCTTCCGTCACCCTTGGCCCCAAAATTCTTAACATTGACAACTTGATCGGCGGTGAGGTTCTCATATTGAGGACGCCGGCGAGTGAACAGATTGGACTTGACATAAGCCTGGCTGCCTAATAAGACATCCGGCCGGAGAATGGCTGGAATGTCCTCACCGTCAGCAAATGATCCGACACCAGCTGCGTCGTTTATCATGCCAAAGCCCCAGGAGTCCTTAAGAACTTCGTTACCACCAGCCAGAAGAACTTTGTTCTTGACTGAATCAACAATGGCAGTTTCAACATTGAAGAATCCCACATTCTGCAGGAGCAAAGAGGTAGAATTCTCTGCGTAAAGCGAGGTGACGATACCATTGGGCGTGTTGGCAATAATGGCATCGGTCAAAACGACAGAACCAACGCCTTGTCCGTTACTCATCGCACCCCCGGCCTACATCTCCAGTTAGCCTGAGGCATAGCATAAGAAAAGCACATGTGACATACTCCGCCAACAATAGTCAGACCGTTCGTGCAGGATTCAATAACATAATCCTGCATAGTCCACGCCCAGTCCCAGTGCACCTGTAGCGCTGTATGACAATTCACGAAAACCAGTTGACTCGAGGTGAACTGCTGGTTTCCAAAGTATGCTCTGTGGTACTGTTAGCATCTCAGCCGTTCTACAATGGTATGTATCTCAGCATGTACAAACCCGAAATTTCCTCCCACGAATGTCAGATCAGCCAGGAAACCCCCAGAGCCGTTTTCCATATAGATTCCCTGCTGTGTGTTTGTGGGAACATCGGAGTTATACAACATGTAAAACTCAATATTTTCCAGGGATGTGCCTTGAGCAACTTGCCAGTGAATAGCACATATATAGGCTGATGGATCGGTCGGCCGAATATCGATCTTGAAGTTCTTGATGCTGCGCAAGAAGTTGTTCTGGTTCACATACCATTCCTCATTATCACTCACGTAAACGTCGGAGGTAATGACGCCTAGGCCTACAAAGCTTGATGCAGCCAGGATGGTTGGAACATTGAGTGGCTGGGGACTGTCAGGGATGCCACCGAGCACATGTGTGAAGACCACTTACGTCTCCCAAAAATTGGGTGTTATAGTACTGGATAATCGATGTGCTAACCAGGTAAGTCCCAGCCGGGAACCAGACCACTGCAGGATAGATGGTACTCGACCCACAGTTGGCACCGCAGCGTCCTCCGTCCGAGATGGCTCGATTGATCGCTTCGGTGTCATCCGTGACTCCATCGCCAACAGCGCCGTAGTCGCGGACGTTTCTCCACACCTGTGTTAAATGAGCAACGCAGTCTATCTCAGAAGAAGAAGAAGAAGATGCATGTGGGCAGTTACCTTGTAGCCACTGGGAGCAAATGGGCTGAGTCCATTCTGGTCCATTGTATTCATCCAGTACTCTGAAGGGGTGGCGCGCTTCTGGATCTTTCGCGGGGAAGTCTCATTTCCCATAACAATGTCATCACTGGTACCAGTTGACAAGTAGTCGTAAAGACCATTGGTATGGACCAGCGCTTGGTGTGGGGTATTGGATTCCCTACGCCCCTTCCCGTACTTTTCGCGAATCTCAGCGGCAACTTGACTGTGATTCCCCGTCGGTTTGTTTGAGGTCGACTCGGCAACAATCCGGGCTGCCCTGGCCAGCTCAGTGGGAATAGAGTATGCCTTGTTCCCACTGGCAGTGGTGGCACTGGGCTCACCACGACGCCTGAGACGAACACTCTCGACTGCCTTGGGACTATAGTCCAGAGGCGAGGCAGATGACACGGCATCTTTCTTCACGCTCTTGGGCTTGTCGAATGTCTGTTTGTTAAAGTTGGGATTGGTGATCCGATCCTTATTGACTTCAGCTAGAACTGCGAGTGCGTTCTCAATCATAGTCGCAGCATCGTGCGCGCTCGTTGGATTCGCAACCCGGTCCTTGAGATGAAGACTTGCGTGTCGATGATGAGGACGGTCCGCCGATACACATCCTGCGAAGATCAAAGCGATCAACGCGACGATCATTGGGAATGAGAAGGCATGGCTATGGCGAGCCGCCGATCTCCCGTTCAGCCTCATGTTGCGATTGCGAACAGCGCCAAAAGTCCTCGAGGCCACACCAGACGCGTGCAGTCGGTCGAGGGAACTTGGACATGTGCGAGTCCATAAATCCCATCTGTTCGGATCTCGTACGGCTCCACCCCATCATGTGTCCACACGCGCGATGTGACTATACTGAGACTAACACCAAGCGTTGCAGACTATACTGAGACTAACAATCAAGCGCCGCAGAGGCTTGCCAAGCAGGGGCAGCCTCCACTAGGGCCCTAGTCAGCATACGAGACCCATTGTTTTTGAGAAATATCACAACTAAAACCCTTCGGGCAGGCATTGTCTTACTTGCAGGCTCCAATAGAGCTACTGTCATTTAAGCGAAATGAACTTTTGCCATCCGCTATGGAGCGATACCAACAACCGTGAGAACGTGTAAATAAGGCCCCTAAAATTATGACTATCGAAGTCTAGGCTCGAAAAAGCCAGACACAGTGGATAGAATAAAGGAAGCCTATGTAACCTCACTTCATTTAGTGCCTCGACGGCTCTGGTTCTAGTCAAACACAACTTGACTAGATCAGGATACTCGAGGAGGACCTCAGAAAGAGACACCGCCGCAGAGGCTTGGCAAGCAGGAGCAGCCTCCGCTAGGGCCCCAATCGACATACGAGACCCATTGTTTTTGAGAAATATCGCAACTAAAACCCTTCGGGCTAGCATTGTCTCACTCGCAGGCTCCAATAGAGCTACTGTCATTTAAGCGAAATGAACTTTTGCCATCCGCTATGGAGCGATACCAACAACCGTGAGAACGTGTAAATAAGGCCCCTAAAATTCTGACTATCGAAGTCTAGGCTCAAAAAAGCCAGACACAGTGGATAAAATAAAGGAAGCCTATGTAACCTCACTTCATTTAGTGCCTCGACGGCTCTAGTTCTAGTCAAGGACAAAGTGACTAGATCGGGATCCTCGAGGAGGAGCTCAGAAAGAGACACTGGTCATGTCCGGCACGGAACAGATTTAAGAGACAGGGCGAGGATTTGCAAAATCCCAGTAGTCATCCAGTGGTGGTGTTGCTCTTTCGTCTACCAGAAATGAAGAGAGCACCGTCAATTGAAGGATTCTCCGTCTGGCTCCTTCTTGCTTGGTTCTCGTTTCTCATCTCGACCGCTCGCGCTCAAGACTGCAGTGTTCTTAATCAGTGCGCGACCGGTTGCTGCAACAAGGGCGGCTACTGCGGCATTGGAGATGACTACTGCGGTGCGGACTGTGTTGCAAACTGTGACTATCAACCAGAATGCGATGTGTCGAGGCCATGTGCAAAGGGTTGTTGCAATAAATACGGTTATTGTGGTCTAGGGCCAGACTGTAAGCTCTCTCTGCCCACTCAAACGTGCAACAGTCTTCCTGAACCTCATTTTTTAACCGATAATCTCACAGTCTGTGCAACGGATGTTTGTGTCGGAAACTGCGACAGGAAGTCCGAGTGCGATCCCGATGATTATGGTGACTTTGCTGAGTCGGCCAAATGTCCATTGAACGTATGCTGCTCAAAGTTCGGCTTCTGCGGGACCACAGAAGAGTTCTGTGGTAAGAAGAAAGTGAAACGTCCTTCTTGCTCCAAGGATGGGTCTCTCAACCGGGTAGTTGGTTACTACGAGGGCTGGAGTCCTCGACGGCCTTGTCATGCCTTCTATCCCGAGCAGATTCCAATGGGCGTATACACCCACCTCAACTACGCCTTTGCTACCATCGACCCGGAATCTTTCGAGATTCTCCCAGCTTCTGACTATGAAAAAGACCTTATGAATCGCCTGACGGATCTCAAAAAGATCGACCCGGATCTGAAGGTCTTTGTTGCAGTCGGTGGATGGACGTTCAACGACCCCGGAGCAACGCTGACTGTCTTTTCAGACCTCGCACGGTCAGAGAGTAACCAGAGGAAATTCTTCGCCTCATTACAGAGTTTCCTGGCCACATACGATTTCGACGGAATCGACCTTGACTGGGAGTATCCCGTGGCGGACGACCGCGGTGGACGCAAAGAGGACTTTGACAATTTCCCCAAGTTTATGTCCAATCTGAAAAAAGCACTCAGACAAACAGGTGGCCGCGATGGACTGAGCATCACCTTGCCCGCCTCCTATTGGTACCTCCAGCACTTTGATATCGTCAATCTCCAGAAACATGTCGATTTCTTTAACATCATGACTTACGATATCCATGGGAAATGGGACCTGGGTAATCAGTGGTTAGATCCCGTGTTAGACTCACACACCAACTTGACGGAGATCACGAACGCCCTTGATCTACTCTGGCGGAACGACATCAAGCCCGAAAAGGTCGTTATGGGCCTGGCGTTTTACGGCCGTGTGTTCGCCGCTGCTGATACAAGTTGCATGGACCCCGGCTGTCTCTTCGCATCGGGAGGCAATCCAGGAAAATGCAGTAACGAAGTTGGCATCCTGCTCAATTCTGAAATCATGGACATCATGGATGAACAGAGTCTGCAGTCCACCTTTGACAAGGAAGCCGCAGTCAAGATTCTCAAATTCGACGACACCCAGTGGCTCACGTATGACAATGGAGACACATTTAAGCTCAAAACCGACTTTGCGAAAAGCCAGTGTCTCGGCGGCGTTATGGTGTGGGCAGTCTCTCATGATCTACCTTACGGCAACTTTTCTCGGGTGCTCGGCGAGGCGGCTGGTCGAGAAGTACCAGCGCTTGCACTGAATGAAGATAAAGACTCTCTGGAGGTCAAAAACACGCACCAGCAGTGCAAATGGACCAACTGCAATGAGGACTGCCCTAGTGGGTGGTCACGCGTTCGCCGCACAGATGACGGTGCCCGCGAGGATGAGCACATGTGGGACAACACCGGATGTGGAGCAGGGCAGCACACATTCTGCTGTCCACCTGATGCTGACCTCCCGAAATGCGGTTGGTATACGCATAACAATGGCAACTGCAAGTCCGAGTGTCCATCTGGGTATGTCGAGGTCGGCTCCAACTTCCAACATTGCAGTAACAACGCCAATGACTACCAGGCAGCATGCTGCACGACGGACACCCCAAGCACTAAGCTCTATTCGCAATGCAGCTGGGAAGGGAAGGCGCCCAAGTGCAAAGAAGGCCAGTGCTCCAGTGACCAAACGGAGGTGGCGCTGTCCACCACCGGCAGTGGAGGCACTTACTGCAACGCAGCAACCGTCAAGCTAACTCTGACGGGCCAGGAGGCCACGTACGAGGAGCGGCCGTACTGCTGCAAGCAGGATGACAATACCAAGTGGAGCGATTGTCAGTGGTATGATAACGTAGGAACTCTGATGGACGCCAGTATCATAGTCGATGGGTTCTGCTGGAGTGGTTGTCCGTATGATCGAGTGCGTGTAGCTCTAGATCAGCATGGCGGTGGGTGTAAAGGCGACGGTGGTCGGGCCAAGTGCTGCGTGCCAAAGTATACCACGGTCAGCAAGAGATCATATACCGATTCAGAAAAGAACCTCGAGGCCAGTGTGGAAGAGTTCATGGATGACCCAAGCTGTGGGCTAGACGACTATGTTGTGAAGCGGGATTTGGCCGGCATTACTTATTCCATGGGCAATATCTCGCTGTCCGATGGTGCCTATTCCCTGTCAACTCTTGAACGGCGCGCAAGCAGCAAAGCACGCGAGGATATGGATGAGCTCATGTTCCAACTCTTCGTCACATACACGGCAAATGCAGCCGCCCAAGAGATTTGGAAGAAGCATGTGGTCTCCGTGTTCCCCAATCTCGCGGTGCAGACCGTCCGCGCATACATGAACACCGCGCGAGAATGGGTCGAGCAAGGCACAAGAGCGTTCTTGGATTTACTGGCTTGCAACATGGCGTTGTTCAATAGCAAGTTGGGGGATCTCGACGTCGTCAGCTGCAAGTGCACAACGAAGGATTGCTGCGATTCAACCGGTGAGGACGCCTGCTCGGATGACCCTGACGATGATGGGCTCTCCAAAAGAGATCTGGAGAAAAGAGCACGGTCCAACACGCTTACGCTTGATGACGGCCGTGGAAATGTTGTGGTTGTTTCGTGGGAGGTAAGATGACCCTTCTTGCCTAGATCCTGCCCTACAGAACGTGAAGGTTCTGACTCGACACTCCAGTACCCACGACGCGGCGCCATCCCACCCAATGATCCGATCTTGAACGCTGTATATGAGTATGCCGATGCAGATGATTGTCTGAACACCGACATTGGCACTACCCAAATCGGCGTCAATAGGATCACATTTTATCAATGTATGTTTCTTTTCCCCGGGAGTAAAAAATAGCGCTTGCTGATCCACACCAGTTGAGCACATTATGGAGCTGAACACGATCGTCCGATTTCTGCGAAATGCCCACGCCGGCACACTGCCCTCTGGCGCCACAGCCAGAAACGGTCGCCTATCAGCCACCTTCGTCCGACAGGCGTTGGATGCACCGATTCTCAATAACCCGCCAGTGATGACAGGGGGCGACCAATCGCTGATTCCCATTTCGCGCGCCATGCACGCGTTGGGAAGCAATCTTAATAGCGCCGATTTCACTCTCCTCCTCACCCGCTTGAACAATGTGAAGTCCCGGGTATGTGTTCCTCGGGCAAGCCAGGAGACTTTTGAGTTTGAACGCACGCATACTGACCTGGGATCTCTATATGCAGATCTGGAGGGGAGAAACCCCCACTTCTAACACGACGATGAAGGCTGCTATCACAAACGACGATCCCACGGCCGCTTTGAAGTTTCTTCGGGAGCCTCTCACGGTCCTCGCGTACCTCAACCACCCCGTCGTGAATTCCCGGATGATAAGCGCGTCGAATACAGTCCGTGCCGCCTGGGGCCTGGCGGATGAAGCGTGGGAGAATAGCGGGAACGCCGGTGAATTTGTGCAGGACTGGTGGGACGAATGGATTCGAGACAGCCTTAAGCACGACGCGAAGCGCGTGCGTGAATGGGTGGAAGAGTGGGCGAAAAAGATGGTCCAGTACTGGGCGGTCCGAACGGGCGACCAAGCGCAGCAGGTGAACGAGATCCTGGCGAGTCTGAGGAGACTCGCCTCGGACGCCGAGATTGGGGTTACCGGGTTGGATTGAGACGTAGAGTAGATAGCAATACTTCCTAGCAAAATGAGTGGCCAGCCACTATGACGTACTATTTACTTTATTGTGTTTTTGTTAGAGGTGGTGAGCTAACATGTTAAGATAGAGCATGTAATAGGAAGAAGAGAGAATTAGATTAATAGCTGCGGTAAGGAGGACTATGGGATAGATAGATACACGACTGTTCGCTGGAGATCAGCGGTGGAGGTTCTGATGTGGCAAGTAGTCACGTGGTAGGGCTGCGGTTGATTAATCATCGGCCGCAGTGCCTGAGGCCGACCAATTTAGTATTATTATTACTAACGAAAAGCGATCGTACTAGAATCAATGTAGAACGTGGAGACAAGTCGAGCGACTATTTTAGCTCGTCTCCCCATTGCGAATCTTCTTCCTCCCTCTTCTCCTACCTTTTTTCTCTCTTTGCCGTCTCCCCTTCCCTCCTGATACCCATAATGTCATTCGCACCGCCGCCCGGATCCACCGAGGAGTTGCACAACAGACTCCAAGGCGAGCCGCACTGGGGATACACTATCTACCGCACTACCTTCTCTGCCCAGGCAGACACCGCATTTCCCACCATTCTCCGCTACCTCGACGCCTGCGTTAAGAAATCGCTCTTTTCCGAGTGCGCCTACTACAGCGAGAAGTCCCCCGGCGTAAATCCCGCCATCTATCAGGACATCTGGGCCAGATATCAGTCCACCGTCGTTGAAGATGCGGCGCAGTTCGCGGGGGCCTCGATAGAGTCAGTTCGGGATCACTTTGAGGCCGTTGTGGAAGGACAGGGCCGACGCGACTTCTTCAACTCAGATCGCATGTGCATTGTCATCGACGAGGAGTCCCTGCTCACGCTGCTGGATGCATCGGTGGAGGCCCTGGAGGCGGAGGGGCCTGACCACGTCCTCGAAACGACGCGGTTCGTGAAGGTGCTCGAGGCGTGGCCAATACTGGACCAGTACGACAGTTTCCCGGGGTGGATGAAGTGTTCGCCCCGGGCCCTGTGGGATCTTTGGAAGATGATGGGCGATGGCGAGGAAATGAGGAATTCGTGGGAAGATATCCATGAAATGCACGGGGGGGTGTATTGTGGGCCATGACGGATAATAATAAGACAACGGACGATAGTTCGGAGCCATAGTATTCACACGATTCTCAATGATACAAAGGCTATTTGGAGAATGAGTTAGGGAATAGTTAAACATCAAGATAACTGTCTTCAATAAAATGGAATTCTGAAAGCTTTACGGATCCGGGTAGCTAATGAATGAGTATTAGGACAAGGAGATAAATCTGATTCCACTTGCGATTCGAACAACACTTTTCAAGAGATGAACTAAAAAGTTCTAAGCATTACCTGAATCACGGGCAACGGGAAATCGATAGGGACGTTACTTTCAACTCATGGACTCTTTGCGTGACAAGCAAGTAGTCGTAGTTGAACGGTCGCGCAGGCTACTAGGTGATAACAGCAGAGCCGTGCTGAAAGGATGCTGAATATCTACCTAGCGTTAATAGCTAGATAATATCGAAGAAAGGAGCACTTCGTATAGTACGATAAGCGGAGATATCTAGCTAGCTTAGATATAAAACCTCCCTTTCTAGCACTTTTCTCCTTACTCTCTGCAGATCTGTTAGTTGTTACTCCAAGAGTTAGGACTCGAAAAGTATTAGGTAGATTTAGAGCAGATTAAGAGGGCGAAATAGACTAGAAAGAAGTCTTTACGCTTGATTAGGGAGATATCTAAACTCTTTATTACGAGGTTAAACTGCCCTAGGCAGTGTCAGTTTTGTGAACGAACTTTTAGTCTGATTTATTCAGATAATTCTCTCGCTGCTTACTGAGATACAATCGGAGTGCCATACTTAGTGCACTCTGAACTGCAATGACTCCTTCTTATGCTACTAGAGTCTAAATGCACACGGGGGACGTTCGGCCAAGTTTACCCGCGGCTAATTCTATTCTGATCCGCTATTTAGGCCAGGCGGGTAGCAGTCAACAGTAGACTTCTCCTGGGTATTTAGAGATCAATCTGCGGGGGTTTACGACCTCCGAGCAAATATTTCACATACGCTAAATTATCGCCAGCGGACAAAAATAGATCGTAAACTGCAATACCCTAGTATTCCGGTAGAGGCGGTCTTTTAGGTGTCGAGACGTCGAAGTAGCTAGTGCTTAACAGACCGCGGGGAATTTAAACGACCGCTGAAAGCTCCTTTGTGCTGTGTAAGTCGACAATAAACGCGAGCGATGATTGGTCAAATTGGGGACAGGATGGTGACGTACAATTAGTGCTGAGTAACCCCGGCAAAGTCTGCGAACAGATAATAGCAAAACTAGCATAGTGGGTGAAAAGTGAGGTTGCTTTACTTATTCAGCCGAATATGTTCACTTTGGCAGAGAGTGAGTGCATAAAAGAACCTAAATATTGAGACACGGACTTCATATTCTGACGGACACTTGAACGAACAGTCTTGAACGAACACTATCTTAAACTTCATAATCTGACTAACACTTGAACGAACACTATCTTAAACTTCATAATCTGACTAACACTTGAACGAACACTGTCTTGAACGAACACTGTCTTGAACGAACACTGTCTTGAACGAACATTATAACAGTATCATGAACGAACATTACCATGATTTGCTTTTAGTATTTAGTGGAGCCACTAATTAATCAAAGCCTTGTCTACAATTCGCTCGGCCTACAGGCTGGGGAAAGTCTTTATTACCACAGTTAAATAAACATAATTTGGCCCATGTTTCCATTGAGGACAAGACTAACACGATCTGCGCCTGCGTGTATTTTTGCCGTAGGGGGATTCTCTAACAGAAATTAAAGGTGTAAATGATATGGTCAAGCAGAAGATAAAGTTTTGGCTACTTATAGAATGGCCATTTTGAACAGGTTCTAGGTTGAGCCAACCTGATCTGAGCTAAACAGGTTTGAATTAAACAGCTTAAAGCTCGAGCAACTGAATGAATGTGTAGCCTCAAATCTACGTGATCTTATACTTTGACTATACTGGTTTGGATATCACGTAGGCGAGATTATATCTTGTCGTTCTGCGATGATTATTTGCCTCTTTCAGGTATCCTATGCCATTTAAAGGCGGTGTCAATTGCGCGGACACGGGGTGTTTGGACAATGTTGACAGTTTTGAGATTTTGAATAGTTCTTGCCAGTTCCACAGACTGTGTAAAATGCCGTGTAAAAATTGAGGGCAGATCTTGGCTTCCTCGGCTCAGATTAAAGCCGAGTAATAGTCTCCAGCACCGCGAAGAGGTGTCTGTCATTTGCTGGAGGGCGGGCAAGAGAAATCTCATCGCAACCCGACCTGGTACTTGATCCAGGATTTGTGCATGGCCAGCGGTCTGCGTGTGGAACTGAATCCGACCTGAGCCGTAAAGGGACATAGCTCAGGATTTCGTACCTGGTACTTGATCCAGGATTTGTGCAAGACCAGCGGTCTGCGTATGGAACTGAATCCGACCTGAGCCGTAAAGGGACATAGCTCAGGATTTCTTACCTGGTACTTGGTCCAGGATTTGGGTTCGTACTACAATGGGTTTACCGTTTGCCATACCCTCGACCTCGATGGGTGGGCTCAGAGCAGAAGGCCACTAGTAGCCACATTCAAACGAGGGGCTAAAAGGAGAAGAGGAAACAACGGTGGAGGGCTTGCCTTTATGCTGGGCCCTATGGGGCCCTGTACATGCCAATAACGCAAAATGGGGCTTTAACCCCAGCGCTGGCGTCCAGCTCCCAATCGGCAGGTCCTAGAACTACGCATCAACGCGCAGTTAACTGAGAGCGCCGTTTTATCCGGAAATTTGTATTGTCATGACAAATGGGCTAACCAAACATGAACTACATGGCTTAAGCCACAATAATGATTCGTCGATGATGTGGCGCTGGGCTAAGCGAAGAGTGATTTGGGCTGTATGATCCACGCTTGCTGGGGCTGGCCTCTTTTTCGACCACAAGGCCCGCTTTCGCAGGTACAACACTGTGACCCAAATAGTGCATTATGGCGAAGAAACAGCAGAAACGTAGCTATACGGAATTTGTGTCATCTTGGGTAAGAATCGTGAACGAGTCTTCTGTTAGTCGTGTGTGAAATAACCATAGCAACGGGTCTGTCTGGAATCTCTGTCTCTCTCTCTCCCTCAAGACAAATTTGTCTAGCGATTATTTCAAACATGCCGGTCGTTGACATGCTGAAAGCCTGGCGAGATTGCCTCGTGCGGTACCCATAAGTCACTTACTACCGGCGTTCCCTAGCACGGGCAGAATCCACCAGTGGACGGCGGCCTCGTTCCTTATCCCTTTGGCTTCATGGATACATTGCAAAATACACAAACCTTGTTTTGTCCATTTCCGGATCGACCGTGCCGGGGCCCAAACCCCATCCCAAGGTGGGTCACCAATGATATATTGCAGTAGTAGGCCGCCATTCACATGAGCATATCACGATATTGAAAAATCACAAGATAAACAGGTGAGGGGGGATAACTTCAATTTGAACGCCTGGAGCCAAACAGATTCCGTTTCAGATGTTGGTGGCGTCGCGAAATCGGTCGACTCCAACAGGACCTCATAAAGCTGCATTTGACTTCGAGTTTCTCCGAGACGTCTCCCGTAGTCTCCACACCATCAGACAAGGTAAATATCGTTGGTAAGATTTTAGATTTGGGTGTGATAAACCTGATTGGTGGCTCTTAGTAGGCCGCACAGAAGCCGTTCCGTTTCAATCGACAGGGGTGATTTCACTGATACTGTAATCCAGATCTGCAATATGGAACCTGGAACGCCGAGGGCATAATGTAGAATACGGCCTTTCGGTTATCAAGTCCGAATAGGTTGAAATTTCCACAGAATTTCTGTGTCACTTTTTGTCGGTCATTATCAAGTGCGCTTCATGGCAGCGAAAGCGGAGACCCAATGGAGCGGATTGTCTTGAAGAAATTGAGGATCATATTGTACGCATAAGCATTGAGTGTAGAAAGCTATACAGTTGATGTTTGCTTTGCTGGATGCGCGTCTTCGCTCCGATAGATTAGTTCTTTCAAATATCATGACTCGACTGAAAGCTTTTAAGTCCTACTGCCGGAAGAAGCATGGTCGGACGAGTAAGGGCGTAAGGGCCAGAGTCAAGAAGATGCCTATAAGTCAGAGTGAAATGATACAGACTGAAGACTGGCAAGCGAGGCTGATTATCGTAGCATGGCCGATAGTCAGATCAGACACTTACTCATTAGAAACGGAAGAAGCGAGGGCTCATTTTTGTGCGTATTCATGGCATCTTCAAACTTTCTCTTCCAGGTGTAGTACTCTACTTGGGACCTTCCCAGTTTCCGAAGTAGTAGTATTGTGACGTATGAATTTCGTCTAAATAAGTATCAGTTTAGGCCAATTTTGTGAAAGGTTCAGTTGTCTCGCTGCCATTGGTCTATGTCGATGTCTAGCAAGATTGAGAAGAATGTGCATCACGTACATCTCCCCGTTTGGCTCTCAACCATATATAACGAACTCAGAGCTCGGGCATACGCAGGAAACGGCATTGCAACTCTCATCGGTTGTGAAATATTGGATATCGATCAGGTTGTCGGTTTTCTTTGCGGCATCAGACTATCTGCATAATAGTTAGGCTTTTACTCTGGCTGAGGGGTTGAAAAGAGACAGACCTGGATCACTGAAGTTGCTAAATTTATGAGCAGATTTTATGAGGCCTTCCATGAGGAGGGATCGGTGTTTCTTTATATACTTTGACTCTCAGCATTAGCGGCACCAGTTCTCGCGAATGGGTACCAGCACTCGAGCTCCTAGGATCTATCCTGTCTCACCAATCACATTGTGGCGGCACAAAGGTTCTGGAAGTTCCTAGGAATACCTGCCAGGCTTCTGAGGTGTTTTATTTGTAGTAGTTAGAATATGTCGGGCAAATGAGGGGTCGCGAATGCCATTATGGGAGGCTAGACCATCCAGTAGACATGGCCTATACGTCTAGAATGGTTTTGCAAATGTTCAGGTCGCTATAGTTGAAGTCGTATTCCTAGGAGCAAGCGGCAAAAAGTGCATTGGATGAGGCTAGCGCGGTGCATTTTATTGAGGAGAGCTGCTGACTTAGTTCTTCCGCTTCGCTCAGGTCGCGCTCAGTGAGCAAGACAGAGCGGTCAGGTCACGCTCAGTGAGTGGGATCGGGGTGCTCAGTGAGCAAATCAGAGCGCTCAGATCACGCTCAGTGAGTGGGATCGGATTGCTCAGTGACGGATCATCTGGCTTACATAAGGGTCAGGTGATGCTCAGTGAGCGAAAACAATGCTTATATAATACTCAGGGGTGTGCTCAGTTTTACTCAGTGAGCAAAAAGCGGCTTGGGGTGAGCACTAAAACGGAAAGGGAAAGCCAAGACTTGTCAGACATTATCCTGTATATATGCACCGGACGACATTATGTACATCTGATCTATAGCAATCGAATTCAAGGGGATGTGCTGGTCTAAATTGTTGAGACGAAGCGGAGTATGACCATGAGGCTAGCATGTCAGTTCGTGCTGTCACGTCATGGAGCAGGAAAGAGGGAACATGCAAGGAGCTACGTCTGATCGGTCTTAACAATCTTTGGAATAGGGTATGTTACAGTAGTGGCTTCGGGACAAGCGCGTATGGAAGATCGTAGTAACCATAGTATATTCACGAAATATCATCGCCTGGCTTTCTTCTTTTCCGGTCCTTGCTCTTCGCCATCACTCAGTTCCGCGTAAATGGGCTTGGGTTGTGTTTCCTTATATGCTTTCGTGAAGATGGGCTCCTTCTCTGCTTTTTCGGCGTATTTTAGAAGTGCTTCGCGTGGATCCTCGTCTCGCATAGAGCTGAGGGGTATATATTCGCGAATATGTTTTTCATCGGGCGTAGCCTTGGAGTATTGAGTCTGCTCGGGCAAATACGGGCGACGAGGGTCCCTAGAACGACCGGAGGCTGTAAAGCCAACAGTAGGGTGACGCGCAGACATGGTTGCTGAGCTGTAATGTGGGACTCCGTTGGAGCCGACAACAACCGAATCGCCTGCCATTGCCTGCGGCATGTCCGCCGCGATGGGGATATCATCGACGTGGCGGAGCTTCGGTGCCTTGGACATCACTGTCGCTGCACCCTTTGTGGACATTGTCGGGTTGTATAGGACGTGGGTTTCGGCATTGGCGGAGCCCGTGAGGATTTGATTAAGCTTCTCGTGCCATAAAACAGTAATCAAAGGTGATCCTGGTGTCACAGGAGTGACAAGCTCTGGCCTGAGTGTAGCAGGATTGAGGATATGCAGGTGGCCGGTTTCAGAGCCTGTGATGACATTTGCAGACGAAGGAGAAAATTGGATGTTGGATGTCGGATAGCGGGAGGATGTCGAGGCATGGGTGACAGTGGTCACTGGGGTCTTGAACTTTCTGGTATCCCAAAGCTTGATCGTATCATCGCCACCTCTCGTGATGACAAGCCTTCCATCGGAACTGATGTCCAATCCGCTTGTCCATGTATCCCGGACATGTGCCTCCCGAATTTCTGCGCTGGGTCGTGTATATGGGCCATTCCCACTCCACATAACGAGACTGCCATCGAGACCTGCGGCCACTAAGACGTTGGCCCCACCTTGTTTCGGGGACCCCCATGCGACGGCAGTCATCTTCGTCCGACCCGCGGAGCCAGCTGCCTTCGACTTGTGTACGATCACCTCCCTCTGAGAGCGACCTATATTGGCATCCCAAATGCGCACTGTGCCATCAGTTCCAGCCGTGGCACATAGGTTTAAATCAGACGGGCTCCAGGCACCACACGTAACCTCAGATACATGTCCTTTTGTATTGTGCAAGTCCCGCAGATACATATCTCCTTTGACAAACTCCGTGAGTACTTCACCATCACGATCGAGGATTCGCGGCTGCGGAGTGGCAGTGATAGCTAGGACATAACTCGGAGCGAGCGGATTGAACGTGACTTGGTGCACAGCGTGAGTGTCCTGCGCCGCGGACGTTTTCTTGGCTGAAGGATCGACTGATTTGAAGGCGCGGAGTGTGGACGGGGTCATCGAGGCAAAGTCATGAATTTTCAGCGTGCAATCGGCTGATCCTGTGATTAGTCGCGCCCCCGAAGGATCCACGGTCATGGTGGTCACGGCACGCTCATGGGTTTTGAGAACGAGCTCATGCGATACGGGAAACTCGTCCTCATCGTCATCCGAGTCATCTGAATCATCGTCGCTATCACTATCTCTGTCCTTTTCTCCGTCGGCACTCCCTGCTGCCTGTGCGCTAGGGGCTATTTTGCGAGTGCTTGGATCATTGGCCACAGGCTTCGGCGTCGCAACATCGACCCGCTTGGAACGGCTTATTTGCGAGTCAACATCGACGGACTTTGACTGTTTGCCGAAGCTTGAGGGAAAGAACTTGTTGAACGCTTCCTCGTCGAAATCATCCATGGTTGAGTGCGTGAGGAAGTTTGCGACAGATGGAGAGAGTGGCTTCGACCTGATAGTGAGCTTGTTTGCAGCGTTTGCAACCCAGACCGATAAGCCGGATCCTGGGCATTTGACGATCTCGTGCAATAGTTACTGTGTAGTTACGAATTGGGAATTAGAAACTCCGTACACTACATACATTACTGGATGGATGGACATCAAGAGATAGCTGAGTAGAATGCTCCTTAAATTCACTCGTCATTCGAATATTACAATACACAAGGGGCCCGATTGAAGTATAGGTCTCTCGCGCAAGCAGTCCGGCACACTAACATCGCCTACAAGTACAGACCTTCCACAGGACCGCCGTCTTGCTTAGTCTTCATGATTCGTTCGCGAGCGGCCCGGAAGTCGTCCATCTGCACTCTCATCCGACGCTCTCTCAGAGCCATCAAACCAGCTTCAGTACAGATGGCGCGAATGTCAGCACCAGAAAGATCGTCCTTCTGGTTGATGAACTCCTCGAGGTCGACATCGTCACCCAGAGACATCTTTGATGTGTGCAAGGTGAAAATCTTCTTCTTGGTGTTTTCTAGAAGCCGTTAGTAAGCAAATCATGGAAATAGCAGACTGGGAAGTAACTTACGATCAGGGTTCTCGAAAAGAATCTTGCGATCGATACGACCAGGTCGGATCAAAGCAGGATCCAATGTTTCAATCTTGTTGGTAGCCATGATGACCTTAACATCGCCACGATCATCGAATCCATCCAGCTGGTTGAGCAGCTCCAGCATGGTACGCTGAATTTCACGTTCACCGCCTGATTGTGATTCATATCGCTTCGTGCCGATAGCGTCGATTTCGTCAATGAACACAATCGATGGAGCATGGTCGGCAGCAACTGAGAAGATCTGGCGAACCAGACGGGGACCATCACCCAGGTACTTCTGGATCAGCTCGCTGCCAACGATGCGAAGGAAAGTTGCGCTGGTCTGGTTGGCAACAGCTTTGGCGAGGAGTGTCTTACCGGTACCCGGAGCACCGTAAAGAATCACACCCTTGGGGGGCTTGATACCCATCTCTTCATAAAGCTCGGGGTGTAGCAAGGGCAGCTCCACTGACTCGCGGACTTCCTGAATTTGCTGCTCGAGACCACCAATATCGGCATATGATTCAGTCGGTGCCTTGTCCAACTTCATCACTGACACGAGAGGATCAGATTCCTCCGTCAGTACACCGACGACGGACACGGACTTGTGGTGTAGAAGAATACTGGCACCTGGCTCGAGGAGGTCTTTGTCGACGAAAGACATGATCGAGACGTAGTACTCGGGGCCGGTGGAACTTGAGACAATAGCATGGTCATCATCAATCAACTCTTCCAAGTTGCCGACGCCCATCGGGCTGCCTCGCATGTCGTCGACGCGACTCCGCTCATCAGCGTTCCGATCCATCACATCCAGATCACCGCCTCCTCGGCTGGCGGGGTCTTGTGCAGCTTGGGCTTTAGCCTTGCGCATCCGCTCCATGTTCTCGACGTACTCCTCCTCTAGCAACAAGTGGTCATGAACCCGTTGCATGCGGAGGTATCGTAGCTTGCAACGCGACGTAGGGAAGATATCTGGAAGCTTGGAGGCAGTGCTAGGACCAGCAGCCTTGCGCTTCTTCTTTCCGATGCGGGTTGTAGGTGGGGGGGAGGTTCATATCTGGGCTTGTCCTTCTGTGGAGGGTTGGCCTCAAGTCAGCGCTGATTCCATAGCAGAAACAATGAGGAACGTACCTTCTTATCCTTGTCATCGCGACCATCGCCGCCAGGGCCACCGCCCAGATTAGATTGCTGTTGACCCTAATTGGAATGTCAGTCAATGAAAATCGAGATGACGGACGGTCGTAAGAAGGATTGAAACACTCACCATGTTTGTCAGCCACAGAGAGGGTGACAACCAGAATCCCAGGTATAAATTCGTTACTCAAGTCAAGAAGCCAAGATAGCGTAAATCTTGAGCTTTGAATGGTGGTGGACGATGAGAAACACGACTTGAAAGGGATGGAGTTGTCGATGCAGATGTTCACTGGTATCGCCGGGGGCCAGTTGCTCGGCGAGCTGGAAGCTGTCACACACGTGACTTTTAAGCCTCAGGCCACCACTGCGTCATCCTTGGCTTTGTTGCCTTAGCGCCTGTTCTATCGGCAACTTACTTGTGCCGAGATTCTCGAGGACAATCAGACTTATACTCCATCGGGCCTTATACTGAATTGTCGAACGAGACTAGCAGCAGTCTGTTCCGTGGAAGTTTGCACCAGGAATATCTCTGATATATCAGAGCTATTGGGCTCATCGTCCGTGCTGGAGCCTTTATAGTTCCATTCATTGGTGAGAACCCCGTCTAGCTCTCTTGCCCTGCCGTCAATTCGCTCGGACTGCAGGATTATTCATATTCGGTTGCGATATTATCTTGCCTGGGTCGAATCCTTACTGACAACGGTCGTTTGCTCCTAGCCTCTATCCATCTTTTCCGCCGCGGAAGTTCCCCGCCTCTTTGTCCGATCTTTGTCGAGACTAAATAGCTATATCTGTCGTCTCTACGACCTAAAACTATAGCCACTCATCTTCCAAAAAAATATACCTGATCTTGACTCGCAAACGTCCTCAGACATCATGGCTAGCAACCGTATGCGTCGCATCGGCAAAGAGATTGCGGACATCCACGCCGATCCCCACTCTCAAATCAAAGTCCAGCCATTCGGCCAACAAGACGATGTGACACACCTGCGCGGGTCATTCCCAGGACCTCCGGGGACTCCGTACGAAGGCGGCACTTACGATATCGACATCAAAATTCCCACCGACTACCCTTTCCGCCCACCTACAATGAAGTTCGAGACCAAAGTGTGGCATCCAAATATCAGCAGTCAAACTGTGAGTACTCTACGCGCACTATGACTTTTGCAACGTGAATACTCATAGATAATATAGGGTGCAATCTGTTTAGATACTCTTTCTAGTGCCTGGTCACCGGTCCTGACCATCAAATCCGCTTTGCTTTCATTGCAATCTTTGCTCAGCACACCCGAGCCTAAAGATCCTCAGGATGCTGAAGTGGCAAACATGCTTCTCAAGACACCCAAGCAGTTTGACCGTGTAGCACGTGAATGGGCTGTGCTATATGCTGGTGCTCCCGTAGGTGATGCCGATAAAGGAAACGGATCTAGCATAGGTGACATTCAGCAAGAAGCTGCCCGGGACAATCTAGCAAGGTGAGTGACACGTGTACCATTGAGACTGTGATATTTGCTGATGATGGTCTATAGATATGATGGGTACAACAAGGATTTGATTGACCGCTTCAGCAGCATGGGCTTCGACGTTGATCGAGTTGTTGATGCTTTCCGGTTTGTTGGCGCTGAGCGACGTGGAGGTCAGAACTATGAATTGGATGAAGGCCGCGTGGGCGACATTATTGCCCGACTTCTTGGTGAATGAATTGCATGTGTACGTCTTGTGAAATATGACAAACAGTCAACATGGAAATGAATGGATTGCATTGGGTGGCTTTTGCATAGCAAATATTTGTGAACTAGCTTTAATCATTCTTTGCCGTTAACTCGCATCCTAAATGAGGCCATTATTTGAAACGATGTATACTCTAAACACTGCACTACGCAGTAACTACGGCATGAGGCTCATCCAACTAAGAGATTCCCCCAAAGTCATTCGGGAACCTTAGGACTTAGGAGCGATGGTTAGTGCCCTGGTAATCAGTCAAATAACATGCCTTCCGTCGGAGTATAAAGTTAGAGGCGGTTTAACTATTTCCCATAACTTCTTCGGGTTCAATATAAATGCAGAGAGAAAAATGATGTTGTTCATTCCAAAGGACTGGCCCTTCAACCCAAATTCTGCCCACTCTCACCGTTTACAACATGTGGGGGCACTATCGGCGTCTCCGCCAATAATAGCGAACACCGAACGACGTTCAATATTGAGGGAACTTTCGACTCTTTGCTTTATCACCACTGGTCGGCACTGGACTACTTCAACTTAATTTGGAAGACTCGATCTAATCTAATGTGTCAACTGCTGCTACGAGGTGACCATGCTCCATTGATACAAAACCAAGCTCAACTTTTTCCAGCTTGCTACCGATGCACTTTCGTTGGACATACCCTATGCTTGACATGTGGCCATCGTTGAGCGACCTCAGAGGTACCTACTGATGTCCTCATACGAATGCAAGCTAGGTTGAAAATTACAGACTGGCAAATAATGGTCGAATTACATTGTCATGGGCGAACGTTCGAAGAAAAAATTGAATTGACTATCTACATCAACAAAACAGAACAAAACAAAACAGAAAAGAAAAGAAAAGAACAAAACAAAACAGAAAGGAACAAAACAGAAAAGAGCAAAACAGAACAGCACAGCACATCACAGAACAAAAAGCAGAACCAGATGGCCTCTACTGCCATCCCCCCATTTCATAAGGGTTCTCAGGGGCGGGGCTGCCGATCGGAGTTGGGCACAGCGCCAGGGCCTGCAGTTGTGCCACCTGGCCTCGGAGTGCGACGATATTGTCACGCAGCTCCCGGATGTCTCTGTCGTGGCTTTGGAGGAGTTGGAGGACAAAGCGCGCCGAGAAACGGGGCCCCTCGGTGGCCGGAGCCGGGTTCTGGGTGACCTCGGGGTGCGCGGTGGTTGTTGTCTGGGCCGTCGCGCTCAAGGTGGGAGCTGCTGGTGCCGCAGCTCGCGCCCGCGCGGCTTGCGACGCACGCGGCTTTTTAGCAGACAGGCCCCACTCCACAGGAAAGGCGCACCGGAGTGCGCGGTAAAGGTCATAGAGGCGGGACACCGCCTCCTCCCTCGGCCACTGGCTGGCTAGCACAGGGAGCCCACCCAAGGCGTCGCCCATCTGCTTTTTGAGCAGATTCTGGGCTTTGGGATTGCGGAGCAAAAGGTCAGGGTGGACCTTGGCAAATTCTGCCTGCACTCGGCGGTCGATCTCGTGGATCCATGCGACCACTTCCTCTTTTTCGCCTTGTTCATGGACACCGAGGTTGCCCCAGTACTGCTGCACGGTTCGGGGGTTCAACCCCTTCCGGAATATCTGGGTGGGGGCCATTGCGACTTTGTACTCGAAGATCTTGCAATAGAACGGAATTGGATTGGTAGCTTTTTGGATATGCGCGAATCGAGAAACAGGAGGAAAGACTTGAGAACGTTTCGACAAGCAAGCCTCTGGTATAAATACTCCAGAAGCTCTTGTTACCGTTAGTCTACGATAAGGCAACGATGTATGTCCTTGAAGTCGAGGAAGCAATTACGTTCGAATCACATATTCAAGCATCTCTATTGATATTCACTATTCAGGTGCCGGACCCGCGCGCAAACGATGTAGGAGTATTCTTTCTACACCTCGGTTCTTGCGGAGCATCGTTGCCTTTAGCCCATACATGTTGGGATTCCTTCAGATCTCGGTTCTTGCGGAGCATCGTTGCCTTTAGCCCATACATATTGGAATTGCTTCCACACTCGGTTCTTGCGGAGCACCGTTGCCTTGAGTCCCTGTATGTCTAAAGCCAGGAGTCCGGCCAGTCCGGCCAGCCCAGCCAGGAGGCAGCGATTGAGCCCATTCGGATACAAACTACCACAAGACATTCGCAAGTCATTCGCGAAGCAACCATTCGTGAATCACTCGCGCATTGCGGAACATGAGCATTATTCATACGGTTCAATAGCGGGCATTATTTGAAGGCGGGTTTGTTTCCAGAGATCCTGTCACAGTTACCAGTATATCGTTATTAATCATTCCATGAAGAGGGAAGAACGCGATGGCGCCCGGGATGATGGACCTAGCCCGGTACCTAGAATGAACGGGGAGCATACTGAGAACCTGATGGTTCAAGAAGCCAACCTGCAGAGATGTATGCTGTCTTGTCATTGTCGGGATACATGTAAAGCTAGGATTTCATCTTTTGCTGGCATCAACCGGGTTATTGGCGCAATTCTCCTACTACATGTAGAAAAGAATAAAGGATACAATAGCTATATGGAAAAGCCGGTCACAAAACATTTATGGGTGAGTGAATTTGCAATGATATCCTTGGGCCTTGTGGCTTTGCTGGATCAATGAACTTTGGGATGAGTGGAATGAAGGTAGATTGATAGTGTGATCAGAATTAGATTGATTTAGTTTGACTAGCTCATACTGACATACTGCCATTTAGAGCGTATGACAAAGTACAAACAGGATTTGATGTACCTCAGAATTTTCAGATATATGAAAGACAGCATTGAGGAATGGCGTGGTCGTCTTCACAGACAACCAGGCCTGCGATACCGCCCAGGGTGTTATCGATAAGCAGCTCTGACCTCTCAAGCTCAGTTCACGAAGATCTACTAAGTTTACTTCACTTCTCCGTCGACCTTCAAAATACTCTATATGAAACAGAGCTGTTCTATTTATTGCTCTGGTCTCGGGAATATTCTACGACAGCCCTATATCGAGGCTGGCAGGTGACCTTGGCGCAAAACTGCGAACTCTCGAGCCCTCTCCCTTCAACAGATTAAAAGCGTCACCATGATTGAGGACGACATATACCGCGCCTCATCCCAATACCGGCTGTGGTCTTACACCGAATCATCTCTTCAATCCCTACGAGCCACCACAAATGCCGTTGCTAGCGAGCGTGTACGCGCCGCTTTGCGCAGATCGCGCGAAACCCACCAGTCGACCGCATCGTCGGCCGGAACACCACAATCAGAAACCAGCGCGGAAAACAAAATCAAAGATGCGAATGACATCGAATGCTTGACGCCGGAGGAGGAACTCGTTCTGGTGCGGTATTACTGCGAGAAGACACTCGAGCTTGGGGAAACCTACAAGCCGCCAATGCCAACAATGGTCCGAGTACGTTGAGCTCCTGGACGGCCCTATCTGCTTGGAAGTCTGTTGCAAAAAGCAATTTTGAGAAACTGACCCAGCACCTTTGCGCATATAGGCAACCGCTATCCAATACCTCCGTCGCTTCTACTTGACCAATTCACCCATGACATACCACCCGAAATCCATCATGGCGTGTGCGCTCTTCGTCGCGACCAAAACCGATAACTATTATATGTCTCTCCGACAATTTGCAGAAGGAATCCCGGGCGAAACAACGGCAGAGGACGTCATTGCACCCGAGTTCCTGCTCATGCAAGGCCTCCGCTTCACCTTCGATGTACGACATCCGTTCCGTGGACTCGAAGGCGGCGTCATGGAACTCCAAGCTATCGCAGAAGGCCAAGGACAACCAGCTCCCCATCTACCACACGAAACAGCAGAAGATCTACAACAAGGATTGCTGTCCATCGCACCACCTCCCGTCCCCTCGTCATCAATGGCCGATCGAATCGCTCGAGCCCATACCAAGACCCGCGAGCTGCTCAAATCCGCCGCGCAAATGACAGACGCCTACTTCCTGTACACACCGTCTCAGATCTGGCTCTCCGCCTTCTTACTGGCAGATCGTCCTCTAGCCGAGTTCCTGCTCGATGTTAAACTCGGTGGACCCGTCACAGCCACCATCCCTCCTCCGGAGATCGACGATAACGGTCTCGTGAACCCACTATACGAGATTCGGTCTAAACTGCACCGTGTGCTGTCTGAATGCTCTGCTCTTCTCCAATCCTACACACCTCTTTCCTCTGACCCCGTGCAAATGAAGAACCTCAAGCGCATTGCAAAGAAATTGTATCACTGCCAGAACCCGGAGAAAGTCAATATCTCTGCTGCTCGGAAACGGGAATCGGCTCGACCGTCTCCTGCTATCCAAAGTGATGCGGGCCCAGTCACATCCGAGAGTGAAAGCGAACGACTGGCGAAAAAGAGGAAGTTAGAGCAGGAAGAGGCGGCTCGCCAGAGTGACGATGTCTTTGGTGGTGAGCTTGTTACTCAGAGGACTAAACACTGAGTTCAAAATCAAATCTATTGTAACGAACAGTCTGATCGGACTAGACACCTCCCAACCTCTTTTCACGCCTTGAAAGCAACACCATCCTACCTATCCTCAAACCTCAACTATCCCAGTAGCTCTAGGCTACGGAACTAGGCATACCCCTTCCAAACAGCAGACTACTCTTCCCTAGTCCAACTACCCACAATCCTACAACTTCCCAAACCAACATCCTCATCTATATCTACTACCAAATCCATACCTAGTCATAAAACCAGGTTAAAAAGGCAACCCCTCCAAAACCCCCACCAAAACCTCCGCAACACCAACCCTCTCAGGCCCCAACTCCCCCAACTCCCCAATCTCCACAATCTCCACAGCCGTTCTCAACAACATCAACTCCTTCTTAACCAAAAAGCAGATCTCCTTAATCGGCATAGCCCCCCACTTCGCCCACACCCTATTCCCCTTCCGAACTGCCACCTCGCCGACTTCACCCAGGAAGCCGAGCTGCACGATGCGCTCGGCCAGTTCATCCAGACGCGTGGCTATCCCCTGCCGGTCTGGGCTTGGGCCTGGACTTAGGAGGGCGAAGACTTGGCATTGCAGTTTATGCGTGAAGGCGGTGCAGGCTTGGGTGTAGAGGTCTGGGAAGGTTGGGGGGCGGATTCGGCTGGTCATCTTATTTGGATTTGATTTTGGATGGGGGAGGGGGGGGGGGGGGGGGGGGTGGGATAGCTTACATGCTAGGCTGGGATTGGGTTGTGGGAGTGATATAGTAAGTAGTCTTGAGATAGTCATGGGAATGGGCTTTGTTGAGGACAGTAAGGGTTGGTAGAGATGCTGTTGCCCGGGTGGTCTTGAGGTTAGGATTGACTAGGTGTATTGTCTGGCGGATTTGATTGCGATTAGAGTCATGGAATGGGAGGAAGAAAGACATAGGCGAGACCTTGTATAGGGACGGCAATGTACAGTAGAGACTAAACGCCATGTCTCAAGAAGAAGGGAGGAGTTCAGGATACGAATGGAAGTTGATACTACAGCCTATATCAACATACTCCGTACTAGCAGGTAAATCAAAGCCCAGGCTAAACTTCAGCATGACCTCATATTCATCTCAAGAGGACTAAGATACCAGGATGCGCAAAGGAAGCGGAAAGACCAGACTTATCAAGTCTGACCCAATAGAAAAGAAAAGGGGTAGTTCAAACAAGCAGAATCCCAAGCCTCCCAAAATCTAGGAAGGATAAGGAAAAACGATCTAAAACAAAAATTGAAATCCCAACCCAAGGAACTTTTAGTCCCGTGGAACCAAACTTTTGATGCCATTCGGGCATTTACATTCCTTAGTTCTCGTCTAGCATTTCGTCGTCATCAATGGGGGGAAAGTGGAATAAAGAAATTCAAGAAAGACAGACTTAGACGGCACCGGCAGACACCATCTTGTTACGGAGGTGGTTCTTGTAGTCACCGATGGAGCCGTCCCAGCGGCGGATCGTCTTGTCCTCGCAGACCATGATGTCCTTGGCGATCTTGTCAAGAAGACGGAAATCGTGGGACACGACGACGACACCACCGCTGTAGGCATTGATGGCATCGGCCAAGGAATCAATGGTGGGGATATCAAGACCGTTGGTAGGCTCGTCCAGCAAGATCATGTTGGGGGACTCGATGGCGAGCAGAGCGAAGACGATACGGGACTTCTGACCCTCGGACAGGGTACCCATGAGGGCAGTCTGGCCCTCACCGCTGAGACCGTAGCGGCCGAGCTGCTGGCGCCAGTACTGGTAATCCTGGGACTTCTCGGGGAAGCGGTCACGGACGAACTCCAGGGAGGACTTGGTGAGATCAAGCTGCTCGGCGGAGTGCTGGCTGTAGACACCGAGCTTCAAGTGAGTGTGACGAGAGACACGACCACCGATGGGGCTGAGCTTGCCGGTCATGAGACGGAGCAGAGTAGACTTGCCGACACCGTTGGGGCCGACCAGGGCGGTACGGGAGTCCATGTCGACACCGAGGTCGAGATGCTCGTACAGAGTATCTTCCCATTTACCGGAGTAAGAGAATGAGACGTCGTCGAAGGACAGAACTGGGGGAGGAAGCTTCTCGACATCGGCGAAGCGGAAGGTGAAGACACGGTCGGCAACGACGGGCTGAATGAAACCATCGGCCTCCATCTTGTCGAGAATCTTCTGGCGGGACTTGGCTTGACGGACCAAGTTGGCGTAAGTACCGGCGGAGGCAATGAACTTCTTGATGTGCTGGATTTCTTCCTGTTGCTTGGCGTAGGCCTTGGCCTGGTTGGTCTCCTGCTCACTGCGAGTCTTGTGGTAAGAATCGTAGTTACCACCGTAGTAGAGGAGCTTGTGGCCACGCATATCAATCATGTTAGTGCAGACACCGTTGAGGAAATCCATCGAGTGAGAGACCAGGATCAGAGTACGATCCCACTTCTTCAGATACTCCTCGAGCCACACACAGGCTTCCAAATCCAAATGGGCTGTGGGGTCATCGAGCAAGAGCAAAGAGGGCTTGACGAACAGGGCCTTGGCAAGGGCCACACGCATACGCCAACCACCGGACATATCCTTGGTCTTCTTGTTGATAGTGTGCTTGTTGAAGCCGAGACCGGTCAGAATGAGCGAGGCACGGACGTGGAAAGTGGAAGGATCCATCTTATCCATACGCTGGAGTAGGGTCAGTTTCTGTTTCGAAAGAAAAATACAAGGGGAATATAGAGCAACGTACGTCATACAGATCCTCAAGAATAGGGCTATCAGGGCCAGTCTCCTCGAGAACCTCCTCAGCCTTCTTCTCCATCTCCTCCAATTGGCGTTCAGCCTCACGAACAACCCAGTCAAGGGCACCGAAGTCGGTGGGGGGTGCACCCTCGTTCAAGAGGTAGATATCGATGTGCTCGGGGACGGGGTACTCGCGGGCAGCAATGGACTTGAGGATGGTGGACTTTCCGCAACCGTTCTCACCGAGGAGACCGTACCGACGGCCGAAGTTCAGCTCAAGAGTGGAATCGGTGACAAGGACCTTTCCGTGGAACACAAGGGAGCAAGATGTGATCTTAACATCGCGTGAAGCAGGCAGAGACGACAGCACACCGGTGGTGACACGATCGGACAGACCGTGCTTGTCCATCTGAGCTGTGAGCTTATCAACGGCAGACTGATCCTTGGTGGCAGGCGCATCCTCGACGATGGGCTTTCCGTTGGCATCGAGTTCAACCTTGTCTGACTTCTTGGGCTTTTTCTCTTCGGCACGCTTGGCCATGCGGGCAGCCTTCGAGGCGGAAACCATGATGGCGAGGTGACGAGGGTATAAAAAAAATATGTATAGAGAAAGGTGAGGTTAAAGGGGAGGCGGCAGGAAAGAGAGGAGAAAGGATGACAACGCAAACAGAGATTGAAGAGAATGCAAAAAGACTGAGTGGATCGCCTGGCGGGGCGGACAGAAATGGAGGGGCGCAGAGCAGTGGAGTGGTGGTTTGCCCTTATCGATAAAATGCCTAAGCGTCGACGTCAGTGGGATGAAAAAGGGAAATATTTGCAAAAGATACCTTTCTTTTCTCTGTGTCTTGTGCTTGTAACAAAGAAGAACAAGTCGAGGTTATGACAACTTTTATGCCAAAAAAAAAATCATCAGTGGGCCGTGTAGATAAGTGAACGCTGATTGGGAGAGACGTCACCGCACTCTCCTGCCTGAGGTGTCAATTTGCCACTGAATTTTTTGCGGTACGCGACTGGCCAAGATAAGGGGGCTAAGACACTGTACGAGGAGTAGTATGCAAGATAACATAAAAGTGAATGTTCCCCTCAAATTCTCTCGCTGATCCTATCTAGGACTTCTCTCTCCTCAGAAGTAACATCTACCCCTGCAGGAAGTGAAATGCAACCGCGCTCTACAATCAGTTGCCGAGGGACATCCGTCAAACTATCCTCATAATGACTTGGCACACTAGGGAACCCCATATGACTGGCCTTTTCAATGTCCGCTCCAGGCAATGACAGTGGATGTGAAGTCCACCAGTACAGAGGATACCGACGCTGCACATTATTGACCAACACCGCGACAGCCTGCATGAGCACAACTCCAAGCAACATCACTGGGAACAGAAACCAACCCAGAGCAACCGTCTGAGGATGTGTCACTGCCAACAGAGCAGTCGCACCCGCCGGTGGATGCATAGTACTGGTAAGGATCATGACAGCCGTTGTGAGAGCGCAAGCAAGAGCACCGCCAAGCTCAGTATACGCTTCGGCATGAGGGTTCAAGGCAAACAGCTTTGAGATACTGATGCCAATGAAGCAAGCAATGACCTGGCTGAAGATCGCATTGCGCGGTTGCGCAAAGGGTGAATCAATCGCACCGAATTCGATAGCTGCCGCTGCACCCTATTGTCCACAAGAATCACGAGTCAGCCCTGCATGATGAACTTGTCTTCTACACCAGAGACCCAGTCAACTCACAAAGCTTCCAATAATTGCCGGCGCACCCCGGGCTTCAAAAGACGGCACTCGTTGTGAGACTGATGCCACCAAAGCTACCGAGCAAAACGCACCCACAATCGACCACAACGCAATCAAGACGTTGCCCATCGGCTTAGGCGGACTCTCTCGATGTCCCAGCATGTATGCCACTGGCCTAGGCCAAAGATGCCATCGTGGAGCCGGCAGGAACGGATTCACATACCGATCGATGTCGAAATTCCACGTTGATGGGCGGGATAGCGTTACCGGCCCATGCGCAATTGATGCCGTGCTCGACATATCACCGTGAGACCTTCTGTGTTGTGGTATGCCTTTGAACCTCGTGGATTTCCTGGGGATTTCACCGACTCTTACGCCCGCAGCACATCTCCCGGGGGGATATTCAACCCTATGGGGATGGGATACAAGAGAAGACTTCCCATCTGAGTCAGAATTTTCTACTGAATATACCTCATCTGTGCGGGTTCAACGCCCGACTGTTCTCTCTTTCTCCGCGGATCGCAACTCGGTCACGTTTCAATGCCAGACCCAATGTCTTTGCGTCGCCACTCAGGGCGTTTGCATTTGGTAACAGAAATTCCCTTTTGGGATTAGTGGCTTGGCATTGGCGTCATTGCCGGGGATTGCGTTTGTTTCAACTTCATGCACGATCTACACGTGGGCAGTATTACGCTTCATTCTGAACATAACTGAGTTACCTATATTGTATATCCGGCATATCAAAGGGTCCTCAAAACAGAGAATGGCACCCATACTAACACTCCGCTCAGTTGGTCCTTAATCCAATTAAGGTTAAGCAGCAACTTGGCACTTGATTTTCGGGCTAATTTCGGGATTTGAAGGTTTTTTTGGAAAGTTCTCAATTCATATAGCTTTTATCAGACAGATCATAAACATCGTTGCATTTACAATTTACAAACATGGGCCTTAGACATCCAAGGTACGTCCAGTGCGGGAGCTCTCACGAGCCAACTCGATCAAGTGAATGATCTCGCGAGCCTCCTCACCACTGGCAGGAAGCTGTCCCTCGCCATTGAGAGCGCGGACAAGTTTGCGGTAGTACTCGGTGTAGGTAGGGGGTTCCACGGTGGGAAAAACCTCCTTGACAGGCTTGTCACCTTGGATGGTAGTCAAGCTGCCGTAACGCTCACTGGGCTCGCGGCCGTAGCCCTTATCGGCGGGCATGACGCCGGCCTTGAGCTGATCTTCCTGGATATCAAGGTGGTACTAAACAATGATGTCAGCTTTTCATTTTTCAACGATACTATGCGCAACACTTTCTTACCTTCTTGAAGCTACCCTTCTCACCACGCACCCAGAAGCGCAGTTGCTCCTCCTCGGGGCTGACTACGGTCGCCTTGGTGGTGACCATAGTGCCGTTGGCATAGTGCAGCAGAACGGTGAAAGTGTCCTCGTATCCGGAAGAGTTGACCTCCCGCGCGGAGCCAACAAAGCCAGTCAGTCGCTGGGGCTTGCCGAGGAGAACCACGGCCTGGTCCAGCAGGTGAGCTCCAAGGTCATAGACCGCAGATCCACCAGGCATGACCTGGTTCTTCCACTTGTGGGCGCCGGCAGCGGGCTCCTCGGGACGGTGGCGATCGAAGTGGGATTCGAACTCGGAGATACGGCCGAGCGAGCCACTCTTGACAAGCTTGGAGAGGGTCACGAAGTCGGCATCGAAGCGGCGATCTATTTGAATTGTCAGTAGGAGTATTGTAGATTAGACGATGGAGCGTACTCTGGAACACAGCGAGCTGCTTGTTGTTCTTCTTCGCAATGGCGATAAGGTCATCGGCTTCCTTGGCAGTTGGAGTGAAAGGCTTCTCGCAGACGACTATTTTTCACATTAGTTCTGCTATCCCAATGGCTATTCCGGACATTTGGACACTTACCGTGCTTGCCGGCCTCCAGCGCCAGCTTGCACAGATCAAAGTGCGAATCCGGAGCAGTAGTGATGATCACGATGTCCACTGCGGGGTCCTGGACCATCTCCTCAGTAGTGCGGAAAGACTTGACACCGGGGTGGTCCTTCTCAGCATCATCGTCCTGCTTCGGGGTGCGCTGGACAATTGCGTAGAGGTTGAGCTCGGGAACTTCCTTCACGAAGGGAATGTGGAAGATCTTTGCGCTGAAGCCGTAGCCGACAATGCCGATGTTGTAAGATTTGCTAGCCATGGTGAGAGTATAGACTGATGTTTAATTATGTTCAATTGAGGGGGAGAACGTGGGGGGGTGAGAAGTTCTTCTTATAACCCCATGAGATGATGAGGTTCTATGCGGGGGAGAACTTTGGAAGGTCCTGGCGACGGCAATTGTTGGTTCAAGTGGGGTCAACCCGGTGCCAAAGACCCGATGGGGCGTCGGGTTCCCGATGTGGCAATGAGTCGATGGCTTGGACCTGCATTTCCATAACCCTACAACAATGTACTGTACGCAGTACGTGGAGCACTGTGTGCCGGATTGATAATTCAGTCATAGGGCGAATATTGTTCGTCAAATTTGACCAAAAGTGTAACTATCTCGGCCTGTGCCGCCCTACGTCATTTGCCGTTTGCAGTCTCTATGCTTGTGTCCGGGTAAATTCAATACATAGCATCCTGTAGATCAATTAAGGTTAGCGTGATTTGGAAAACTTACCCGCAATCCGTCAGGCAGACCGGCTCCGAATAAGTTCGGGTTCCCGAGAAAATCAAAAGATCAGAAGTGGGCTCTTTACCCACATATGACTTCTCCGTACGCACTCGGCCATTCTGGCAGTGTCATAAGCTTTGGAAGGTCCAGCCTTGGACACTTCGTGCTTCTGTTCCACCGTACTGTGGACATAGTCCAGATATGGCGGTTGTCCGGGTAAAGCACATTGTCATTGATGAACAGTGAGCCAGGCATAAAGGCCTTGACATGCTCACGCAGCTTGAGATCAATGGTTCAAGCTGGTTTGTAATGGTCGATGAAAAGTTCCACATTCATGACGCCTGAGGTGGGAAGTTTGTGTAATGACTCGTCGCTTCCGCCAACGATGATGCCGCGATGCGTACAAACTCCGAATTTGTCTCTCGGGCATTCTCGCTATTGCCGGTCGATAACACCATCCTTGTGGTCGCTATGTGCGATGTTACCTATTATTTGTCTATGCTGTAATGAGATATGATACTTGGATACATGGGCAACGTTGGGATTTCACCTATTTATCTTTTTATCTCCTTGTTGTGGCCATTGGTCTCTATCCTCGTCCTCACTGGTGACGCCATTCAATTCATGGTCTCTACTAACGAGAAAGTCATTCATGGCAAGAACCGTGGGTTGGGATGGAGGACGAGGCAAGTCGGGGGTCACCTTAGCGACGCTTCTCTCCAACAGCTGTCAAAGGACATGGCCAAGATTACTTTTGGGAGCCTCGATCCCAGGAGCTCATCTCCAGCGCGAGGTTCTCCCTTTGTGCACGAAGAAGCCCAGGAAGAGCAACCTGTGTCGAAATTCAAAGAGCGCCATGGCCCAGGCTTCAAGCTGACCACCGAGCGGTCAGCGCGCAACGTTTTCGTCCACAGCTCCACCCAAACGAGACCAGTAGCGACACTTCATATATCAATGACTGCGTTTATGCTGCCTTGAACAACCTTAACGAAAGTAACATGTAAGTTCAAGACTTTGATCGAGAATAGAGGCTTTTAGGACAAGGTCCTCACGGAAGCAATGGCAACGGCAACATTTTACCCACTATGAGGATTTGCGTAGCCGTAGCCCCTATCTGTTTGAGCAGGGAGTTGAGAGTATCGGATGGATAAGCTTTGATATCCTCTCGCTACAATTCAAGCACCTACAGTTCACCATCCAGAAGGATCCCGATAGAAGTCACACCAATTCTCCTAGTGCAGTGTCTGCATTTATTGCCCCAGATTGATTACACAATCAAATGCCCTTGGACAGCACAAACCAAAGCCAAGGCTTGTAGTACGCGTCATCATCCTCTGCATCCAGAATCATTGCCAGATACTTCGTGTGCCATTCTTCTTGAACAGAATCATCAAAGTATTCCGGATCCACTCTTACTCGTCGAGCCTTGCAATACTCCCAGTATGCGGGATACCACCCGGCCTGACCCCAATCAATGATCGCTGCTACTTTTGGATCTGGCCCCGGCGACAGAAGGATGTTGGGTGGGACAAAATCGTTATGGGTGAACACAACAGGCATTTCGCTGTTGATTTCGATTCCGCAAGCATCCTGGAACTGTTGGACGGCGTTCGCACCTTCAAACGGCCCAGCTAGTTCTGGATGTGACTCGAGGAAGACCTCCTTCAGTGGTTGCTTACCGAAGCTGCCTACGAGTAGGTCCTATGGTCAGTTTGCTTGCATATTGTCTCTGAGAGGATTCACGTACCGATATAACAGTTTTGGTTGTCTTGGGTCAAGGCCCTCCATGTCTTCACAATGTGCCTGAGTTCCCTGCAAACGGCTTGCCTCTCATTCTCATTCATGTCACTCCATCTCTCCAGTAAGGTCTCGCCCTGGATTAAGGACATGTAAATAAATCTCTGGCCTCCATCCTCAGTCCAGCCAAAGACCTCAGGGATAGGCACCTGGCCTCGTAGTTGCTCGCGTACTTCCATTTGAGTCAGAGCCTCGAGAACGGTCACGTCGGCTCCGTACTTGACCGCCAGACCTAGGGACGGAATCATGACGGGGGGTGGGCGATTGAAGTTTGTAGCGTAGACGTTGCCTGACACCTTGTTGATGGCTCTGATTTCGGCTGGCGTAGGGAGTGCAGAGGCTCGCTTCTCCCTGAAGAAGCTGGACTCCGGGAAGACCTTCATCTGACTAGAAATGGATGGATCTTTTAGGTTGACGCTTGGTTTTGAAGTATCCACGTTCGACATGGTTGTTTGGCAGCGCAAGAGTGACATAGCTCAAGCCACGTTGGGAAGGTGCCTGGGGAGAGAGTGTGCAGACTAGAGTGATCCGAGTGGCCTTAGTTTCAATAGCATCTGCTGTTTGTTCACCAGACAACGGTTGGGATGAAGTTACAGCAGCTCCCCAGCTCCGGTTTAGCGCCCGCCCCCAATCACCCCCGGCACGGTTTAGCGCCGGTCCAATGCGGATTAGCCTCTGCGCTATCCTGTAATGGTCACCCTGTTCCCCCCGCCGCCCGAATGTGTAAATCCGGGGTGCGTCGCTCCATCATCATCACACTCTTCCACCTCTTCTTTCCCCCCTTTCCAACATTCGAAGATGCATCCGGTTGGGGCGACCATCTCGGTCGGCTGACATAGCCCCGATTGAGTAGAGAGAGAGATTTTCTGGCAACACTGCCTCCTGCCTCCACTCCATCCAATGGGGTTGGGTGACTGCTGGAAAGCCGTGGTCTTCCCTCGTTCTCTCCCTCGACCTGCTTGCTCAATTTGACACTTGGCAGGCTACGGCACTTTTGTCGAAAATAGTGTCCATTCACTGCAGATTTGACTCGCCAAAACGACATGTCGTCTCTTCGACCTACGGCGACTGAACAGACCGCTCTCGAGGGATCTCTGTTCCAGTAAGCAGTTGCGCGGTCCTCGGTGAGAACGGACATCTGCAGCGATCGAGAAACACACCTCCGAATCTGAAACAGGCTGACTGGGATGATGTGGCACTTCGTTCGCCCGAGTTCCTCGGAGGGGCCCCTTACTCTGTCAACGTTATATACGACGACCTCGACAATCAAAGGAAGTCATGAGACTAGGCAATGCTCTCACCCTCAGAAATTGCATCCTTCACACAATAGCCAGCAATCAGTTAGATTCGTTACGAAACTCATTGACCAGATTCCGAAGCAGCAATACAACAATTTTCTTTCCAGACTATTGTGTACAAGTCATGGCCACAGTTCCGTCTGGTTCCATTCAGCATCCTCATCACAGCTATCTCCCGTCAACTTCCAACTCCATCTCTTGCCATCTTCCTGGTCGGTTAAGTCTAGACGTTCGACCTCTCCCCGCATTATAACAGCCACAGGGAAGTTTGCTGTAGCAACTGGATCCTTAAGATATGTGACCTTTTACCTAGGCGAAGACCAGGTTCGCTGGGCACTGTGACCCTAGGTTTTCCTGGAGAAGGGTTTCGAAACAAGCCTAGTAACCAGTTAGCATGAGCCTGAAGTGACAGACGGGATTTTTCTATATCTTGCAGCATCTCCAACGGAGCAAATACAGACACGAGAGAGCCAAGATCATGGAGAACACATATCTCTCGCAGCAGGGGAATGGTTTGCAAAGTACTTTGTGGCAGCGTTCTCCCAGGTCCATCCCTCCACGTCTTGTCCATTACCACCGTTTACTCTCAATGACTTCATTATCTCAGCTCTGGATGCTTCTTCTTGCTGTTCATTTTCCCGCTTTGCGTCTCCAATGGCATATGCTGTGCCCTAATTGGGGCGGCGGGGTTCCTAGCTTGCCTCCGCTCAGTAGCCAATCGACGCCGAGTGGCACATGAGCACTTCACCTACGAACTTATAGCGGAAGCCTCGACGACATATATTTTGCGTTGATTTATATCTCACGACCATAGGTAGTATGGAGTCTATGGACTACTTCCCCTGATTCTTTGACCCATACTAAGCCAAAGCTCTTTGGGCTTCCGCTAATGACTCGACGCTTGAAGACGCGCTATTTGCTGACCGGGGTACAGAAGCATCGAAGATGGCCCTCGAACAACGCCAGACCGACATCCACCCAGTCGAAATCGGAGTCCCTAGTTAAAATTTAGCGTCATGTCCTCATAGGCACCGTCAAACACCTGAGACATACTCGGTTCCGTCAATGGTAAGCTCAAAGCGACGGAAGAGGTTTGCGAAGCTGAGATACAATTCACACCACGCCAGGCTATCAAAAGGCACGTTAGCCCGCAACGTAATTGTTACTCTCGTAGAAACAGAATTGGCATACTTGATTCCCAGGCAGCTTCGAGGCCCTTTGGAGAAAGGGACAAAATACTTATCGAGTGCCTTGGCGTCGTCGCTTAACCACCGGTCGGGGTTATACACATGGGCGTTGGTGAAGGCATCTTCGTGCTGCATTGGGAATAGAACTCCCATGCTCACGATTGTCTGTCTCTCCTTAGGATTCGTGAAATGAGTAACACTGCTCAGTTACTTACCCCGCCGGGGATATGTTTCCCTCCAATTGTTGCCCCTTGCACCGGGACCACCCTCGAATTCTCCGAAGTCGTCGTGGGAGCCATGCGAAGAGCCTCCTTGATAACAGCAGTCTGTGTGCTTGCTGTTAATACCTGTCATTTCAGCGTTCGAAGATGACCTACCAAGTAAGGAAGCTTTTCCAAATCGCCCGCACTGGGTCGCTGCTCGAGATTCGGCCACGCCTCCAAGAGCTCAGCCTTGAGCTTGGCGTGGATTTCTGGTTTGCGCAGAATCTGATAGGTACCTACAGTGAGTGTTGAACCGGTCGTGTCCGTTCCCGCAATGACCAATGCAACAGCCTCCTCAAGCAGACTGGCTCGAGACGGAATGGGAGTGTCCTGCTTTTCCGGGCGGATTAAGGCACGATAGACAATGGGATGGGGATACTGATTTGGCTTGTCAAGATTCATAGTTATCTCATCGATCTGATCAGAGAACATCTGCGCATCACAATTAATATTGAGCCAATCTCTCCTGATGAAGTCCACTTACCTTTCTCATTTGTGCAAAGGCAATGCCTTTGGGAAACAAGGCCAGTCCAACCCACTCTGGGATGCTCAAGATAATCCGTCTGAACAATCCAAAATGCTTGAACACCATAAACCAAGCCACAATGGACTCCATTGCCTCCAAAATGGGACTAGCAAAGCCTTCATACTCAAAGCACGAGGCGGATTTTCCAAAGCATGTCGCCGTAATGGTCTCGAGGCCCAGACAGCGGAAGCCCAGTGTCATATCAGACGACACTCCGCGTTCATTGTGCTTGTCAAGATGACTACAAAACTTTTCGATCTAGGGAGGGAATTAGCACACCTGAACGTCAAAAGGCTGTCTCTACCTACGTTTTCCTGAATCAGCCATTGGACGTTGTACACGGAGCTCTTCGCAAAAAATGTATGCAATATGTCCTTTCTGCGCTTGTTGTCCTCGTACTTGACGAATGTCACAGTGGCACCATCTCCACCCAACAAGGCATACATGAAGGGATCTTTATCCCACCGACGACGATAAATCTCATCATACATAGAGGGGTGGTTGAAATGAAGCTATACGCTGATCAGACGGCATTGCCTGTGCAAAATAGAGGAGATAAGTACCCTGTTAGGACCAATCCTGACAATGTCACCTAAGAAGTTGTCAGCTACCTCTACTAAAACTCGAGCTGCCAACACCTTGTACCGTATCTTTCATGAAGGTCCATGCAAATGTGGTGCATGGATCGTCCACGAATAGCCTGCTGGTACGCAGACCACCAAGTCGTTGCAGCCGCCAACTTGGGCCCCGGAAACTCGGACAGCGGGCTGAAGAACACATTGGCAATGGCATTGCTGATAAAATGCACAATATAGATGGCACACGAAAGTCCAACAAGCCCCAACAAAAGGAGAGGAAGTGGCAACTCGAAGAGGTGTTGAAACACCATGGTGAAATCGAGTGATGGCGATGATGAGGGAGTAGATAGATCACTGCATCGAGAGGCCTCCCTCGTTTTTCAACTGTGCACCATACACAGCCTCGGGCACAACGCTCCTTTGCCTGTCTTATCGCCGACATCGCAGTGCAACTGATCATGTCGCGAAGTGGGTAGAGATGCTACATGGTAGGGATTGTCTCTATTCGAAGGCGATATTACCGAAAATGGAACCATCATGCCAGCGCAAAAGAACCATGCATAGTACTTTACGTGCAGGATCTATGTAACTCGATATTCCGGTAATGAGGCTGAGTCCGGTAGTAATAAGTGAAACGTACTAAACGTATTATACTAAAGTAAATACCACTCTTTTACATAGCCTAAAATTTGACCAACATCTCTAGCCTACAATTTGAATTAGTGCTTACTGTATGGATGGTGATCTTTCACGTTTTGGGCCTCGGAGGCTCGGTGAAAGCGGAAATAGTTTATTACAATGAGCCTAGACTATGTGGTTGTATCTCGAAGAGCTAGGGTCTGAGGTGATTCAGCCAATCGGAGGCCCGGAGGCCCGGAGAGTTCATACGCTAAATCCTCACCTTCCTCCCTTATCTCGCCATGGGTTGCTCTGTATCGTCGAGTCAGATGTGCGGGACCCACCTGGCCGCATCAAAGAAGCCACGGTTTGGCGGTGAATTGGGGAAGACCAGGCAGAGAGAAGAAATTGACCATGGACATGTAGGGAAACTGTGAATCCAAGTCTTTCCCACAACTCACTGCCGGTGACTGCCCCTATCTGTGTGAAGTACTAAGTAGTATGGCATTCCCAGCGAAAAGTGGCATCAATACTGAGATTCCCTGCGATCAAACAAAATGGGATCCTGAGGTGCAAGAACAGAACAAGGTTGAAGACCCGTCGGATCCAGCTTCATGGCGGAGTGTAAGTCCAGCATGAGCAAAATAAATCAATGACTTAGACTAGTCCTGATTATGTCTATAGCGGAAGAAGATCTTCGTGGTCTTTGTTGGCCTCCTCACGTTGTTCAACAGCGTCTTCGATTCAACCATCCCGAGCGGTGGGATTGAGTTCATCTCCAGGGCTCTGGATGTCAAAAGCGACACTCAACAGGTGTTGCCCACCTCTGTCTACCTGATCGGGTATGTGACAGGACCTCTGGCTTTTGGGCCTATGAGCGAGCTGTACGGTCGAAGGCCGGTGATGGTAGGAACTTTCGTTCTTTTTACTATCTTCACCCTCGCATGTGCCGTTGCGCCTAACTGGCCGGCCCTCATCATTTTCCGAGCTCTCTGTGGCATCTGCGCTTCTAGTCCGATTGCCGTCACAGGAGGACTTTTCGCCGATGTCTATCGCTCTCCTCTTGCTCGAGGACGGACTATGGCGCTGTCAATGGCAATCACCACCGCTGGTCCGCAGTTTGCACCGCTGATTGCAGGATTTATTGCAACGGTTGGGTGGAGGTGGATTTTCTGGTTGTCTCTAATCCTCGCCGGTCTCACCTTGGTCCCGGTGCTATTTCTCCCCGAAACATTCAGACCTGCCCTCTCTCGAGAGCCACGAAAGCGCGGTGACGGTATTCTGGTCAAAACTTTTACTCGACCGCTATACATGATATTTCGTGAGCCAATCATCACGTTCACTTGTCTTTATCTGTCCTTCGCAAGTGCAATCTTCTGTCAGTTACCCATTTCCCGGTCATCGGGTTGGTAAACTAATGTGAGAAGTTATGTATTTTGAGGCATACCCCTTGATCTTCCAAGGTGTATATGGAATGAGTGATGGTATCGCTGGGCTAGCATTTCTTCCAAGTATGCATTGACATCGCTAGAATGATCCAAAAGTCTTGAGCTAACTCGATGCCAACTCAATCTAGTTGCTGTGGGAGCCTGTATCGGGATGGCCATATTCTTAGCATATGACTCGTTTTTACAGCGCGCAAAATTACAAAAGAAGACATGGTCCAGTCTTGAGGAATATCAACGACTTCCGTTGGCATGTTTAGGGGGGCCACTCTATGTGTTGGCTCTGTTTTGGCTGGGCTGGACTTCATCCATGAAGATTCATTGGATCGTACCCATGCTGGCAGGGATACCTTTTGGAATGGGGTTCTTCCTCATCTTCGTGGCTCTGATCAATTACTTGGTTGATGCTTACCACGAGTACGCTGCCAGTGCGATGGCAGCCGCTAGCTGCTGTCGTAGTATCTTCGGAGCAATTTTGCCTCTGGCAGCCGCTCCTATGTTTACCCAATTGGGAATAGCATGGGGCTGTAGCCTGCTGGGATTCTTGAGTCTTCTCATGACCTTGATCCCGTTCGTGTTCATCCGCTATGGTGATCTTATTCGTTCGAGAAGCAAGTTCCGTCAACAAATTCATCATGAATGAGAGACATATAATATAGCCTATAGGTACCTCAATGGATAAATAGAGGGATTTTTCTTGACGAGCATGGATTGTAATCCTTCCTACCTGTCTTCGTTGGCAATAGTCCTGTACGTAGCTGGATTCCATGTATCAGCAAGCTGAACTTCGCCACTCTCGTTGCACCCTTCCCGCCTGCCTATTACGGATAGCCCTAACGCCTTTCGCAATAGGCGAAGTTGAGCGCCGCAGTTAAATCCCAAGACCCTTGGGCGCCAGGATACCTCGTAGTCTCTCAGTTCGTATGGTAGAAATCCAACTCTCCTTCTCTTCAGGCCTCCCATCTCAACAACTTCCATTCCGGGTCCGAGTGGGGTGAGCTAGTGACCCTAGTTCTCGTAGTGTCGGAGTTTTTGTAATTACGTTAGATCGATACTTAACCGGCAGCGTTACATTCATTATTGTACCGGGCCGTGCTAGATTTACATTACTCCGATTCTAGTCTCCGATGGCGGCCAGCGCCGCCGGCCACTCGATGTCGATACCGAAGTGATTGGGTCAGTTTGGGGGAATACCTTGAGGTGACTTGATAAGGCGCTTGCTTATAGATCAGACTCCCATCCGTCAGAGAGTGTCTGTCAGAATTCCGTTGTCTTCCAAACTCCGCTGAAACAAAAAACAAACTTCGTCATGTTGCCTCCGCCCACTGTCAAGTCTGTAAACAGTGAGACTAACCGTCGTGATCTGTTTACTACATACTGACATGCATGTGTAGTCGCTTTGGCCCCGCCGGAATACCATCGCGATATTTCGCGCGTGCGGTTTGCCTACAACTATCTCAATGAGATTCCGAGATTTTTGCAGCCCCAAGGCCTAGAATATAACGCTGTCCCTGGGCTAAAGAAGTCTGTCAAGTCAGGGCAACGGTTACATTCTATGACCTCCAATGCATTCACATTGGACCCCGTTGCCGCCGGCCTGCCATGGCCAACAGGGTTGGACTGTATTCGCCAGAGCAAGTTCTGGCAGAGCGGATTGAGCATCTCCAGCAAACTCTTGGAGCTGTTTGCCCGCGATGAAACTGTTAGTCAAGCGTTCAAAGCGAATGAAAAGTCGCTTGGTAGCATTGCGGCGCACGAATTGAACACAGTGGAAGAAGATCGTTTCACTAAGTTTGCCACATATCTGTTTCCGGAGGCAGATGAAGATCGCATGAGACTGTTGGCCGCCTCGATTGTGTACATAGTAATCTTTGATGGTAAGTGACATACCTAAATGCTGCATGTCAAAATCTCGTACTAACAACCGGTGACAGACGCTTGGGAAATGGTGGAAGGAAACGAGGTGAGAAAATATTCTGAAGCTTCCATGCGTGTCTTCTAACGGCTATCATTATAGTTGAAAGATGTGAGAGATGGATTCCTGGACCGCCTCCAGGGTCGTGCATGCCAGGCCCCAGAGAGCGACCTTCAGGCCCTCATCACATCTACGGTTGACGGATTCCGCGAACAAGATGCCCTGGCTGGGGATGGAGGACAGGAAGTTATCGACCGTCTGGTCGACTTTTGCAAACACGTCCCACCGGCTCAGAAATTCGATACTCTTGGGGACTACCTCACATATCGTCGGATTGACGCCGGAGTGCCGTAAGTTGGGCTACCTACCAATACAGTAAGCACGGACTTACCAAGCAGATTAGTTACATTCTGGCGTGTGTCAAGTTCTCCATTGCATCGAACGTCAAGATTGAGAGCCCCCAGCTGGAGAAGTTTCTGCGGCTTATCAGCGACCACGTTTCCCTCGTGAATGACCTTGCATCCTACGAGAAGGAAAAGAGAGCCTATGACCAGGGTCGGACATATCATCTGATCAATGCTGTTGAAGTTGTTCAAAGGTTATTCTCCATGCCCACGGAGAATTCAGCCAAAGCGCTCGCCTACGCAATGCAGCTGGAGATTGAGGTAGAGATTGACCAGGAACTGACACGGATGAGAGAGGAACGTTCCCTCACTGCGGAAGAGTGGCAATTTGTTGATGCAGTGTTGACAATGACGGCGGGCAATGTCTTCTACTCGGTGGTCTCGTCTCGGTACGGTGGAGAAAGCACGCGAATTCCGGAATAGAGTCTCAAGATAGCATTTATATCAGCCGTGTCTTCAATTCTATGCAATGTTCTAACATTATGATGTTCCCTAGCTCCCGTTAGACTTGATGAAATGTGCAACTGCAGTGAGCTCTCGCTTTCCATTTGGGACCGCGTGTCCTCCCGCGTGCCAGATAACAATTGGTTTCTTTTCATCCTCCAGCTCCTGGAAGCTTTCTACCAAGCTCATTGATGCATTTTCATCAACGACACTATCCATGCTTCCCAAAAAGTGCAGCGCCGGCGTCCGAAGGGAGGGATTGTAGAAGGCGCGATAAGCCGGGTGTGAGGCGGCATATCCCGAAATGCTGACCACAAATTTGAGGGGGGATGGTCTAAGGTGGCGAAGCTAGCTGGATATGGAATTCCACCCTCTGCTTCCAATTGAGCGAATGCATCTTTCCTATTTTCTTCCAAAAGCGATGCGACCATACCGGCCGCAGCGGCACCTTCGCTAAAGCCGACGACTCCATCGAACGGCCCGGAATCCTTCAGAACAGACCCGATGGAGTCCAGGCCACCTTCTAGCTCGGGATAAAGTCCGTCGATGGAATCAGAGTGGAACCAGGTCCATGCGCCGTGCCGATTCCGCAACTCAGACGTGCCAGTGGGGCTCCCTAGTGAGAAGGGGGCGGTCGGGTAGACAAACTCAGCCCCGGGAAGCTGAGGAGAGCCGAAGGCTCGTTGGATCATTTTTTCCAGGGCTTGGAGCTTCGCTCGGAAGAGTTCCCCCGATTGGCGAGATCCTGTAGATGTGGTCAGATTTTAGTTGTCTCGATGTTTCTGACGGGCGAAAATACCGTGGATCATCAGGATTTTCATAGTTAGGACTTAGGAGTATGTAAATGTCCAAGAGCTAGGTGGGGGTGAGGCTCGTGAGCAATGTCACTCCAGGCCCCAGGGGCACAGATGGCCATAAAGTAGTGGCGACTGCCAAGCATGACAAGCATGACAAGCAACGCCAAGTCCCAATAGGGGCAGTGACAGGCATGTGGTGGACCTGGAGGCTGGTGGTGTTATCCGGGTGGTGTTAAGCCCCCGCTAGTATGTTAGCCAGTTCACTAGTAACTAACAGTAAGTTTACAGCAACGTAACTAGGCTACGTAACTAGGCTACGTATTTCTGTATTGCTAACGCTCAGCAGCAATAAAATGAGGTCTTTCAAAAGTCCTGGGTAATTCAATTTCTTACTGAGATAAATTTTTTCATTACACCCCAGTAAATATTTGAGCCCAGGACATAATCCACTAACTATATACAGGACCTGCATCCGAAGTTTAGATACAACAACGGAATATCTTCCTAGTTGATGCTAAGTAATTAGGGGATATCAGGAGTATCCAAAAGAATTTTTAATAACATACAAGTCGATATACTTTTTTAGCGTTTGAGAATTCTCTAAATGTACGAGGGGCTTTGGCGTCCGCCTGAGCCCAACTTCAGTTGCTCAGCGTTGATGTTTTTGGGACCCTCGAGTAGATATAGATTGCCGGGATGTGATTGGTGGAGGCTGTTATTCTGCCGTTTTCCACCGATTAACATATATGATTTTGGGACCCCTATTCGCAAGAAGGTCCCGTGACGCGCGAGCCTCCTAATTCTGTAACTAACCGGCCACAGCGAGGGTCTGAAATTTTGGTAAAAAATGTAAGGACCGGTTATTGCTGAGCGTTAGCTAGCGAAGCAATAAGTGTGACATCCTTCATAGTTACTTGCCGTGGCCTGCCGGCTGCCGCCTGATCAGGCTGATCTCTCGGAAATACATTGCCTTGATCGAGAATTCAGAATTTCCTGAAGTCATCGCCATGTGCCAGGACTCCAGGAGTCGGCCCAGGACGGCAGGACCCGACTGATTATCTTGACTATTTCGGTGGTGCTTATCCTTACAACGTCGTGAAATCAGACGCATGTTTCAGAACACAGTGGAGTCACATCGCATGCGGGCAGCAGCGGCGTCTGCAAGTGCAACCGTGTAAGTGATCTCCGAGCTGCGCAGCCGACCAAGGCATGGAATTAGCCTTCTAATGGCTAATGAAGAAAGTCTATCCCAACAGAAAATACCCGGACGCGAACCGCCTCATTACGTCAGGCGTCCTAGAGCCCAGGTTACTTTCCAAGGCTGGCTTCGTTCCGGCCTATTGCGTCCCACATTCAAGACACGATGTATGGGCTTCTCTTTCGATCCTCATATATGACCGAGATCGGAGGTTGAGGCTGAGTTGAGCTTACATGGGAGTCTTATAAGGCCCTGTGTCGCAGGCACGGCTGATTCTTCGACAATTTCTTTCTTCATCTTCGAGATAGCTGGTCTGAGTTGGCGTTTTCGTTGCTCTACACTTTTCAAAATTCGTCCAAGATGGCTATCCAACAAATCAGTGCGGAGACTCGAGCTGCTATTGCAGATCTCATCTTGCTCCGGGAAGAATTTATTAAGAACCGTCTCATTTTTGTGAAAGGCGCCCGCCTCATCCCCATTCTCAAAGTGCTAGGCGCCACCGAAAAGGACATGGAGAAGATGAAGACCGTGAGCGACACTTTGCGCGACGACCCGACTCTTCCGTTCCGAAAAAGTAAGAACGGCCGGTTCTGCTTCGACTTCGAGCAGTCCCTAGTCCGCCGTCTTGAGTTCCAGCCCTTCGCCTTGTCGGTGGAGGAAGACTTTGTGCGACACGACTCGGGCCAGATCAGAAAGTTCCAAGAGGTCGATGAAGATCTCCAGGGCAACTCAACCCTCCACGCTCTCTTTGTTTTCAAGGCCCTCATCTTCCAAGGCGTCCCCATCAAACAACGCCCGAAGCTCAATTACGACACCGAGAACTTCGTGTGCACCCTCTTCAACTTGCGGACCGTGACCAACAAGGACCTCGTAGGTGAGCCCGCGCTGGAGGGCGTGCACAGTGATGGAGTCGATTTCACTATGACGACCTTCCTGGGCAGCGAGAACATGACCAGCGACAGTGCGGTGACTTTTGTGCATGACATGCGCGCGAAGAACGCCCTGCGCTGGAATGAAGTCGACCCCGCGCACACCTTGGGCAGTCATCAACACCGAGACTTTTTGGACACATTGCTCTTCGTCGACCACGAGAGAAAACACAGCCTGTCTCCCGTTCACGCGGCCGATCCTGCATTCCCTGCCACCCGGGACATGCTCATCTTCTTCACGCGTAAGCCCGTGGTCGAGGGACACATCTCACACCCCTATGATTCGCTGAACTCTCACCCCTCCCTGCCTATGCAAGTGGAGTTGGCGTAGGCGAGTCTCCGCTTCAATTAGATACCTCTTATTTCCTTCCCTTGCTATGAATCGGACCCTGAATCGGTCGTGAGTTCGGAATGGAAATTGAAAAAAATTTGCAACAGTGCATATGCATGCCGAGAGAGAGTGGCGTTTGTCGGGCCGTTCTCTGAAAAGCCGAAAGGAGATCGGGGCTGCCGACGAGTTCTAAATGTGATGATCTAACTAATATAATCCACTAAAATAACACACGGGTAAAGGAATTGCGCTGATGATAGATCCTCGCGCGTTGATACACGCAGTTCTCGGTTAAAGTCAGGATAACTAGAGGAGGATCGGCTTGTTGAATTGAACTTTTCTATGTATCTGCGTGGAGCAACCCCTAGGCCCGCTACTGTACGAGAGATGGCCAATGTCCTTCTGGAAGCTCGTGGATCAACGCCCCCGGCCCCCCTACCCCGTTCAGCCAGGATGTGGTTTAGTCAAGACCCGGAAACTTTTCAGGTGAAACACCCAAGTAAGCACTTACGCTGCCGTGACCGCTCACCCGTAGATTACGGTAGTGTATTTCACTCTAGATAACGTAGGTAACATTATCTACTCCTGTTACATCCAAGACGGTTCGTGATATAGGTACCTATACTGTATGGTACTTCCGAACTGAGTATTCGGTTCATACTCCGTTATCGCAGCCGGAAGAGATGGCCGTCTAGATCACTATAAACTTACCCGTTGGCTCTTGTGGCCTTCTGGAGCTAGAAAATGGTATCCGAACCAAGTCCAATGGCAACTATCTCCGACCTCGTCGACTCCTGGGAAGGCCGCCTTCCGTTCGGCTTCTCTGCCTGGAGTATTTTCCTTATTCTTCTCATAGTATTCTATTTAACAAGCGCAATCTGCAGCTATGTCCAGCTCAGACAGTTTGATGGTCCTTTTATCGCCAAGTTCTCCCGACTATGGATGATAAGGTCAGCTTTAAGCGGCACCCAGAACACACGGCTGCACGAATGCTCGCAGAAATACGGTACGAGGACCCAATCCATTTATTGCATTTCACAACTTAAATCTCATGCGATATTCTCCAGGTTCCATCTGCCGCATTGGCCCCAAGACTCTGCTAGTGTCGGATGCCGACTTCCTGTGGAAAGTCAACAGTGTCCGCGGCCAATACGTTCGCTCAGTCGCCTATACAGCCTTTAGTCTCGAGCGTGGTAAAAGAAATATCCTCAGCACGCGCGACGAGAAGCGACATCAGGATCTGCGGGCACAGATGGCCGCGGGTGTCAGTCATGCGGGAATTCTCCTCTCTAACAAAGATCATTACTAATGCTTTGCTATGTATAGTATTCGGGAAAAGAGAACCTGCATTTGGAATCCTCAATCGATCATCATGTCAGAAAGCTGCTGGGGTTGATTGAGCGCAAGTATCTCTCCTCGGCATCGGAGGGCTACCGGCCCATGGATTTCGCGCGGACCTCGAGCTACTTCACCTTCGACGTGATCACCGACATCGCCTTCGGGCGGCCCGCCTCGTACTTGGACGTTGATGAGGACAAGTACGATTTCATCTCCAACGTCGCTTCTCTGTTCCCAGTGATGTGCTTGACCGCAGTGGTCCCTTCTTTGGTCCAGCTCACCGAGGTAGGATGGATCAACAAGCTTCTGGCACCGTCCAAGAGTGACCAAATGGGTATTGGGAGGATCATGGGGTATGTTCTCGCCCGTGCTGTTCTTTTCAGTCAATGGCAATCATCTGACTTGCAATAGAATCGCCCGTGAGACGGTGGACGAACGATTCACCCCTGGCCATCCGGACCGCGGAGATATGTTAGCCGCTTTCATCCGCCACGGCCTGGACAAGGATCAGGCTGAAGGCGAGGTTATGCTTCAAATGTAAGTTGCCTTGTTATACATTAGTATGCAAACTGACGGGGGGCTCAGTCTGGCTGGCGCGGACACCACGGCCACCGCTCTCCGGGCAATTCTCTTGTTTATCATCTCCAAACCATCAGTGGTGCACAAAATATCGGCGGAATTCCAAGCGCATGGAGTTGGCTGCCCGGATAAGGTATCAGACATGGAGACCGAAATCGTGTCGGTCCAACAGATCCAACAGCTTTCGTATCTGGAAGCGTGCATCAAGGAGGGTCTCCGATTGCGCCCTCCGGCGACCGGTTATCTCCAGAAAGAAGTCCCACCGGGCGGGGACACGCTCCCTGATGGACGTTTCATTCCAGGTGGCACGGGCATTGCTTACTGTGCCTGGGGGGTGATGCGATCGGTTGAGGCTTTTGGAGAGAATGCGGAGATCTTCTACCCGGAGCGGTGGTTGGAGTCCAGCCCCGAACAGCTGCGCCTGATGAAGCGCCATTGGGAGTTGGGCTTTTCGACTGGCAAATGGCGCTGTCTCGGCAAGGATGTTGCAATGTTGGAGCTGCAGAAGGTGCTGGTGGAGTTGCTCCGCCGATATGATATTGCGGTGGTGGACCCAACGCAGCCGATGAAGAGTCGGAATTACAGTCTCTTTCTGGACACGGATTTTCGACTGGTGATCAACAGAAAGAGTTAGATAGTGTTTGCATCCTTCCGAATGATTAGTGCTTATCTCCGAGACTCCGACAAGAAATAGAAGAAAATAGTAAGTAGTGCATGCTGCCATGCATTTTTATGGACAGAAAGGCTTCATTTTCACACGTGGAGACTAAACCACCTTCAAAGATGGAGATGCATGCATTTGTATGGGATAAAAAAGCTTCAATTTTACAAGCAGTACAGAGCGGTGTAAAAGGCGGTGAGAGACAAGGCCAAAATCAAGCATTAAGGCACCCATATTGGTCAGAATATGTTGGCGCCTTGGACTTCTGGCAGAATATCGACTTTGGCAGCTGGCGTCTATGATAGGTCTTCGTACCCGCCGGCCAAGCTGCAAGCACCCACTCGAGTTGATCGACCCCTCGCCAGGACATGCCTTCCTTCCTTTAATCATGAAAACCATGCGTACCCCGGGGCGACGGAGGGACTTTACGAGTGTGTCGGCAGTCCCTATCGGAACCGTCTAATCTTGCAACAGGGATGTTGGCGCTGTCGAGAGCGCAAGGTGAAATGCGACGGAGCCTCGCCGTGTTCGGCGTGGCCAACGTCCAACGACTGGGGCTACAGTGTGATGGTTTCAGTACGCGCGTCATCTGGCTGGATGGCAATCAATGCTATTGATCCACCGGCCGGCGATACATGTACTGTGGTATTGTTTGCCTGACTAGAAACAGGGGGTTGAAGCTCGCCGATTCCCAGAGTGTGAGGGCGAGATCAGTACCTCTCTCGCGTCCAGACAAAGAAATCACGACACAAGTAAGATTGGACTATTTCGGCTGTGTTCTACTACCCCACTTTGCTCGATATCAACGAACAATATGGTTAGTTATAACTACTTCACAGGGAACTAACTAAGCGGAGATATCGCAGGTCGCGGACTTTGGCGGACTTGCCTCCAGTGTTTGTCTTGACGGCAGAAAGCCCATATAAAATCAACCATCTAGGTCAATGATAGCTGCGCTACTAAGGATCTTGAAACCTCAACCCCATGCAATCGTCACGATCGCCGGTGAAAAGAGGCAAAAGACGACCTGACCTGATCTTATCTACCATGCCTCCAATCACAGGTTCCAACATCCTCGTAATTGGCGGCTAGTCCGGGATCGGAGCAGCAGTAGCCCAGCTGGCCGCCGCCGAGAGGGATGTTCACGTCTCGGTTGCCTCGTCCAATCTCGCCGGTGTGGAAAAGACGGTCCAAAATCGATATTGCCGTGCCGAATGCCCAGATCGAGGGTTACACGGTTGATGTCAGTGTGGATGATGCCGAGTCTCGACTCGAGAAACTATTTGCGGAGGTGACGACAGCAAAGGGCCGGCCCCTCGACCACATCGTCTATACCCGCCGTTAATCTCGAGTTCAAATTTCTCCAGGACGTGACTATCGATTCTCTGCGCGGTGATGCGCAGTTTTTGGTCTTTGTGCCACTTTTCATCGCCAAGATCGCCTCGCCTCCATGACCAAAATCCATAAAGTAGATCATCCCCGGTGATCCAATATGACCAGCCAATCATGTTTGGTCTGAGCATGCCGGGGTAACTTCTCCACATGCTGTCTGCACTTGCTTTTTTTCAGCTCCTTGGATAGCGCCAGCCAGCCACACGGTAGGCTGATGGGTCTGCGTCTTTTCTTTTCTCCTATACAAAGTACGCCGAGTGCTCTGCTTGTGGTAGGCGCAACGCGCGGACTGCGTGTGCGGCCGTATGCAATGCACTACCATTGAAGTAGGAGATTGTCATGCTGCCATGCAAGAGCGGATGGAATCTGCGTCGTCCCGTATATGCAGTATCTGATATATGATCTGAATCATGAATGTTTGAGTTCATTCTTTTTCCGTGGTTAACCGCTGTGGCATGGATCTGCTATGGGCACTTATTTGGAACTATCAGTGATGCGCATGCGTGCCAGGCTACTGTACATTACATTACAGGCAGTCTTCTCCAAAGTACCTACATACCACCTACCTACTCGTGCATATAACGCGACAAGGCGACGCAAGATGACAGCATTCGGCTGAGCTGAGATGATGATCTCTGAAATCAATCGATTAATCAATTAATCTCTGCACCGGAGATGCCGTACCGATCCTCGCGTCATTGTAATATGCCCCGAGACTGGAATATAAATAGCTGTCTTTCTCTCTGTCAAAGGAGTAAGAGAAACAGCAACAACGAATTCCTTCATAGAAATCCCAGCCGAAACAGCAATCATGAAGTCCTCCGGAATTGTTGCTCTCGCTGCCCTGCTTCCCTTAGCGCTTGCTAAGCCTCCCTCGCCTTCGCCTGGCATGGTAAGTGCGCTGTTTGTGGATCGACTGAATGTATGTTCGAATATACTTATGATAACAACAGGAGGAGCGGTGCAAGCAAATGGGCGACGGTACGTTGGTATACTTAGGATGTAGTGAGACGACCCGACCATGCTGACCATGCCACAGATCAGACGCTCGAGTACAGCGAGAAACAGAAAAGATGGATCTGCGTGACGTCGGGACAGTCGGATATCTGCGGCACTGGCCAGGACCAGTCGACGTGGCATAAGGATCCCATAACGGGTGACTATGGGTGCTGTGACAAGGGCGAGGAGTGGGTTGTGGATGAGAAGAATAAGAGGCAGGGCTCTTGCTGCCCCAAGGGCGCTATTTACAGCTTTAATGCTGCTGCTGGTGAAGGCGCCTGCTGCGACCAGGGACAGGTCTTTAAGAGTGGATCTTGTACTGCCCCTGGGGATAGTGGCAAGTCTGGTGAGTGAAGGTCTCCTTGTCCTGGAATTCAAGCGCTGATGGTAGGTGCTTGGAAGAAGTCCCCTCTGGAACTTGCGGAGCCTACCTCAAGGATGCCAGGCTGGAGAGCCTGCTTCGGACCCTGCTGGTGCCGTGCTTCCCCTATGGCCAGGAGACCTTGAACATATTCATTGAATACTATATCTCCATTCTCCATGGCGGTCTTGATATTATCGAGATCATCTACAAGAACGGCTGCGATGATCCGCAGCCTTCTCCTCCCAGCCCCAAGCCGAAGCGTCACCCGTGGTGGAACTGCGGCGACAAGGAGCCCTGTAGATGGATTTCCCTGGAAACCAACGACGCGAAGAAGACGCTTGCGGCGACTGGCACCACTACGAAAGCCCAATTACCTAACCCGAACAGATTCGTTCCGGACTACGAGTACCCCTTCAATGTGTGGTTAACCAAGTCCCCTGACGATGACCTGGATGTCTACATCAAGGGCAAAAAGATCCAACCTCAAGCGTCGGGGACGAGCTATTTGATTCCCGGTGGTAAGTCAAACCCTGGGAGCGCTGTGACCGTATCGAGCCAGACGGGGATGCTGTAGCTAACAGATATCAGGTACCAAGGCTACGGACGTCAAGTATTCCTCCTCCACCGGGTTACAGGTCAACTTCTACGGCCAATGCACTGAAAACACCCCGTGCATCGGCAAGAGCGTGGAACCGTGGACCGTCAAATCCGTGGTGGCGCCGCCCGGAAAGGACGAGCTCGAGATAGATGTCAGCAAGTACGACTTCGACTTCATCTTTACCATGACGGACACCTCTATCACCACCGAGCAGTACACCGTGTACGCCGACGGCAAGAAGGTCGGCATGACCCATGGCCGACTGACGCTGGGCGACAAGTACAACACCGACCACATCAACGTCCAGCAGAATGGAAACGCTCCGTATGTCATTGCCAATGACGGCTTCTGGGGATCGTACCTGATCCCGAAGGGTGAGTGTACCGATCATTAATCAAGAGGCGTGCTGGTGCTGACTGGAACAGACACCGAAAAGATCACGGTGAAGATGACCGATTACGAGGTGGCCGGGTATCCCTGGTATGAGTGGCAATACCGCATTGACAGGCTCTGTGATTGCTAGGTGGATCATGAGGGTCAAGGATCTATGTATGGGTTAATTATTGCACATTCAACATCATCAGCCATAGCTATTCAACACAGGGCTGGCATCGAGGTGGGATTGGTCATAGTGAGTTCAAAGCACAGGAGTGAAGAGCGACCCACCGGTCCTATAATAAATGTCATTTTCTTCTCAGAGATTCTCGACGTAATCTCTGGTTGCAATAACATAGCAGCCCGTTGAACTTCGCTGGGTCGACAGTGCCGGATCCGGGACATAGCCTGCATAATGCAGCGCATACAGCGCATCTTGCAAGATGAGCTTTTGCTGCAGTACTGAATTAGCTATTCTGCGTTTTGCATGTCGTGCAACTGTGATCTACCTGAGGGTCCATTGTCCTTGCCTCGCGAACACTCACTGCTGTTCATTTCCTCCGCCCCTTACCTCTCGGCCCAGCTGAGTCCTCCACGAGCTCCCCGGCTCCCTTGGTCTCATCGCCGGTAGATTGACAGCTTGGCACCTGTTCTAGTGTCGCATAGACTTCCTTTCCATCGCCGCCCCCATTCCTCCCGTCCACCGCTGCAGCCTGGGCTGCTCGATTTGCCGTACATTCATCCTTCCGCCACGGTCTCGCTAGATGGGTCGATCTTCAACCCTCCCCCCGAGAGACAGATCTCACATATCCAAATCAACATCATAGGTTTAGTTATTGATCGACTTGGGGATATTGCTAACCAGGCAAGGAACTTGGAGTGTCGAAAGGAGTGTGCAGATCAAGGTGTCTTCGCAGATTACCATCATTCGCGCTCAAAACGTGCACTCAACACGTGCACTCAAGATGTGCACTCCCCTGTGAAATGGCTTTATAGCATACTTTTTAGAACGGCTGCTCTTTGTGGCTTGTACACGTGTATTGCTAGGGCATATCTGGACTTGTGGAGGGGTATTTGACATAAGCTGTAGCAGAAATCTCTGCTGTGGCGGTTCCTTAGTTCTTGCTGGTTCTTGATCCGCATCAAATTTATGCGTGTAGTGCAGATTTGACAACGCCATCCTCTCATCTTAGAACTGCAATTGGGTATAAGGTCCGTAGGCCTTGACCCTCCCTGTTGAAGGTTCTTGGGAGAAATCGCATTGTGGTACACTGCTCAGTCTAGCCGCCGCTCTTTTCTTAGAACGTTCGTTTTGACTGATTTTCAGTGACCCGAAAATGTCAGCTTCCTCGAAGTTTGGCTCATCCGGGTATCCCAGCCACACATCTAGCTTTATACCAGCAGCTTCAGCCTCGCGCGCCAGTGAAGACGGCAGCGTCCAGAGTCCTGCGGGCAGCTCCTCTTCTCTTTCAGGGTCATAGACTTGGTCAAACGAGTAGATGGTCACCGTGCGTAAATGTGGAAGATGCGCCCTCTTATTCCTGATTAAATCAAGAAGAAAAGTATCGTACTGCTCCTCGTCACCCTCCCACAAAAATTGAGTAAGGTCTCTGTCATCGTAAAAGACCTCTAAAACCTCCAGATTAGGAGGTAAGACCTTCCAGACCCCAGTCGGATCATCCCACCCACAGAGAAAGACATGGTAAATGCGTAGAGTTTGAATGGCTGTGAACTCGCTTAGATCAATGCGAGGTCCATTACCCAATCCTTCATGCTCAAGCCACGGCCTTGTCATCGTCAATTCTTCCAGCGTTCTCCTTTGTGATCGCAGTGTGCGCACAAAAGCAGCACATGTCCAGCTTTTGGCTGGCTCATCTCCATAATGGCCGTCCCACTCGCCTTGGTCGGCATCGTAGTGAAGTACTTTCAAAGCTGCTGGCCAGCTTAATACAGTGGCTAAAGCTTCCTCATGCGCCCCACAGTCAATCAGCCTCAGGCATTCCACGGGGGAGGTGCCAACATGTGAGTTGTCTTCAAATTGCATAGGCTCCCAATCCTTAAACCAGTGAATGGTAAGGCTCTGTATGTTGGTGAACCAAAAGACATGAAAGACATCACGGATAGAGCGGTCACGCCAGGAGCTGCCACATGGAATGATTGCTGAAACGATGTGTTCCTCGAGACTCGAGTTCTTCTCCAGAGTCCACTTCAGCTGCTCTAGCGGGATCTTCTCGCCGACGCGACCGTATTCACGGACAAAGATATCACGATAAAATATTGGCGTGAGAAGACTGTTCAAGCGGCGGGAGGCGAGTAACAAAGAGTGCAGGTATTTAACTCTCTGTGATGGATTATGGTCGATCACATAGCGGTGGGCGTCTCCAAGCTTATAGAATGGCAATTCGATTTGCTTAGTGTCTGTTTGTAGGTAGTCAATGATCTCTAGAATCACTTCATTGGGAAGATCCAACAGGCGTGCCATGTTTGTCGCTCTTTAGGCAATTCTGGATTAACTCCACCTTGGTAAGGATGTTCAAGGCTGCCTTGCCAGATCTTCCAAAATGTTTGGATTGTTTGCCAGGAACATTCTACAAGATTCTAGGTATCAATAGGCGATGGGCCGCGATACGATAACCACTACGGAGTACTAAGCGGGGATGGTTGATAGACTAACCAAATATAGATTGGGCATTGATATAAACACCCCCCCCCCCCCCTCGCGGATAATTTTACCCCCCTGCCTGAAGTTTTACCTCGGTTCCCTCAGCCGTCCCCCAAAAAACCGGCATCTGCATTCGTTTGCGTCTGGGATCTCAATGTTTTCCTCAGTATTGGTGTGGGTTTCAGCTTCATCATTTTTCAAAATAGAATTCATAGCATTTTCTTGCTTCTCGGTGAGTTTTTTGCTTCCGCTTTTCGTTGGTTTCTTCTCGACTTGTACGGAGTACCCTTTGGTAATGGATGCGAAGACAGCCTGGGCAACGCAACAGTTGAAAAGAGTTACCATCCCAAAGGGTTCACTACCGAATACCTTATCTTCATGGAACACTTCAATACAAGTGTCAATGATTTCAACACCATGGAAGAATACCTACACAGTGCACAAAGTGAAGATCCTCATTGACGATATGACGCTCTGACACAGTCTGGTCGCCGTTTGAATGAGTCCTTGGAACCCCTTTTGGTGTATAAGACTTTGTGACTCTCCATCCCTCGAGATTCGTCGATCAGGTCGACGAACAACGATTCGATTGAGTAGGAGTCCGGGTCTTTCCTCAACGATTGTACCATTGACTGTGTCAGAGTGTCATAGTCTTCGTTTAGACTATTCAATACCCAGGCAAAAATGAGTTGCTTGGGAAGTATGATCTCTTTACCCTTCATATTGTCAACGAGGGTCTTCACTTTGTGCAGGTATTCTTCCATGGTGTTAAAATCATTCAGACTCGTATTGAAAAATCCCATGGATATCGGGTATTCCGTAGTAAAGCCTTTTGGGATGGTAACTCTTTTCGAGTGTTGCCCAGGCTGTCTTCGCATCGGTCAGATCGACGTAAAGAAGGGGGCCATCTTCAGAGCAGTTGGATAATGGTTCCACGCACGCCGAGTACTTTTGTAGCCTCGTCGTCCTGATTATCCGCATTGTCTGATTGCCAGATATCTTCCATGATGCCATGCACGTCGTACAAATGGCGACAGAAATCACGCGCGCTGTCGAAGGACCGTGGACAGCCGCACAATGGATCTGTAGTTGGCCATTTCATCCTTTGCAGGTGAGTGTCCTTGACATAGTCCCGAAGTTTCTTGCTATGACACCAAGTGACCAATACCGGAGACTTTTCTCTGCCTTCAGAGACTCATCAGGCATCACAGAGGCAACATGGACAATAACCGGGCCGGATGATAATGTAGCGATAAATGAGGAGTTCCACATTGATGACGAGGTGAGCAGTTTGTGTAATGACTCGTGGCTTCCGCCAACGATGATGCCGCGATGCGTACAGAGTCACGTAATCCAGTTGATTCGACGAGCATGCTGGCAATTGCTGCGAGCCTGCGAACTTGGGTTCGACTCCAGACTCGGATAGCTTTCCCACCAGGGGGTTAATACCTCGTAAACGCCCCCTTAGAGCAATATGTGCCAAGTGTGCTAATTGATGAAGCTCAAAAATTCGATCCCATGTTGTGACTGACTAACACAGTATGTGCATGGTCTGTGGGATAATTTTCCCTCTACATCCTGTGATCCCATAGATCGAGGTTCTCTCGAATAGATAAGGTCGGAGTGTGCACTGTCACACCGATCTAGATCTGCAGGCCAAGCCCCGCTCATTGTGCTGGCCACCAGCCACCTCAGCTCCCCATTTTCACGACGAATTCCTTTCGAGCATTCCGCAATGTCCAACGTTGAATCGTAGCCTTTGAGTTCGGGGTCTATTGCTTCATGCCCACGACCAACACCAATGAAGATATGAGCTCGTACATCTACCCGCTGGTCGCCGTCAGACGCAGGCTCAGCATGTCCTTCAATCCAGCCAAAGCCCCAATCCCATCAGGCGCCTTGTCACGGATCATCTGGCATCTCCTTCGAATTTGCCTCTCATTCTCGCTATTGCCTGTCGATAACACCATCCTTGTGGTCGCAGGGTTCCTAGTTTGTCTCCGCTCAGCAGCCAATCGCCGCCGAGTGGCACGGACTGTCAGACCTCACCCCAGAACGGTTCTCATCACAGGTGTAGGCACTGCACACGGCTTAGCTCTAGCGAGGTCTTGGGCTGCAAAAGGGCATCGTGTGGTTGGGGCGGATGTTACAGACCTGAATCTGCCTGTGCGCTCAGGCGGGAGCCTGTCAAAGGCCATAGTTACATTTTACCAAATTTCCAAGGACCACTACGTCTCCCGGCTGCTCGACATCATCCAACGGGAGAAGGTGGACCTGTGGATCCCATGCTCACCCAATTCGACCTCCATTGAAGATGGAATGACTCGGCAGGTCATCGAGAGCCGCACCAGCTGCAAGTGCATCGCTCTCCAGACTGAGTTGGCAAATTGCTTCGCCGATCCGCATTCTTTCAGGCTTTATCTGATCGAACAGGAGCTTCCTGTGCTTGAGTATCATACTGTCAGATCTCGCGACGCAGTGCATAAGATCCTACATCGGTCGCCCACCAAAAGCTACCAGATTTCTCGGGCGACCCCATCTGCAACCGACAAGACCCTCCTTCTTCCGAGGCGTACGCTGAGCAACACATACACGAGCATCAGCGAAATACAGATTACCAAGGAGAGACCCTGGATTCTGCAGCAACAAGCCCGTCTCGGCGAGGTATTCGCGGACCTGCTTGTTGTCCGTGGACACGTCCAGGCCATTAAGGTCCGGCTGTCGGATTCCCATCCGTCTACAAGGGGCTCTCGTCTGGACAAGGCTTTGGATTTTTCTGTCCATAAGCTCATGCAGACATTCGCTGCCAAAGGTGGTGTTTGCTTGACAGGCCATCTGACTATCAAACTCATGGTCGACGAGGAATTTGACGCACACTCTGTCCGACACACTATCTACATTGCCGGTTGCACGTCTGGCGCAGAAACTGTCGAGAATCTCATGTACAATGAGCCGTGTAGTCTTATCTCTGGCTATCTCTTCGTTTTCCCTTCGGATCCAGTTGAGATAGCCCACACAACACCGACACTGTTACCAGCCCATTCAAAACCAACATTCCCCCGAGCTGCCATCCTTTCGGCTGCTTTGCAATTTTCATTGTTCCACTATTTATTCACGGCCCTAGAAGTTGCTCGGACAGAGCTAGGGAGGCTCTTCTTCTGGAATGACCCGCTGTTCTCAGTGGTTGATCCGGTTCCTTGGTGGTGGCAAGTGCATGTTTATCAGCCATTGCGAGAGATTTGGGGTCTGGTGAAACAAATCCGTGAGGCAGGACTGACTAGTTGATTTGTCTCTATGTTAGCTGTTTAGCATGAATACACGAGAGATGAGGTTATGATGTAAACCCAGGCATACGCCAAGCCAAGCGTGGCGGAGTTCCCGAAATAGATACGGGCTGTCGCCTGGGCGATCGGCTGTGGAGGGCATACGTATGCCCCTATGGAAGAAGAGACAAAGTGTTTTCAGTGCACTGAAGAGTAATTGATGAGCTGAATGCTGAACTTTCTAATTACCTCTCACCTGTAAAGCACGACAATTGCGAATTTGCGACGTTGCGACGAGAAAAGCCAGAACCAAAACAAAACAAACCCGCACTTTTTCCCCTGCGGAGCCTCAGCTTGGCTAAGACCCCTCAGATCTCATTCTTCTGGTCTGGACTTCACTCTTGTCTCATCTCTCATTCTTTGTGTCCTGTATGAATTCACGATAAATCTATTCCTCACGCAACTACCTCTTCCCTCCGGGCGCATACGAACAGGCCCCAACACCCTTGCTGCATCATCGCGGTACTGCATCCAAAATGAAGTTCCAACTACCACGACCGTCAGGCGGGAGCCTCGGACGAACGAAGAACATCCTCCATTTTGTACAGGGATTCTGTATCTTCTTATCATGGGCCATGACAATCGCCATCTGGACGAAAGGAGGCAGCGGCATTGATGGACGTACAGGCTGGTACTGGGGTCTGGTGAGTTCTCTATGCCCCGAACCGACCGCAAAACAAAGACCTTCTCCATTCTGACGTATGACCGAATGACAGTGCTGGCTGAGTATTCCCGGTCTAGTCTACCTGGTCGCAGTGCCTATGTGGCCTCGAGCCCGACGCTTTGGTAATGTTTACGCCTTCGCCTGCGTCGATATACTCTACTCGATTCTTTGGCTCAGCGCCTGGATCTGTCTGGCATCCTATGTCGCCCAAGGAAAGTCCAAGGGCGCGAGCACCGACCAAGACAAGAAATCATCCGACAACAAGTCCGGTAACGCCAGGAGAGCCGATGACAATAAAGACAACACGAAGACTGGTTGCGATAACTGGGCATATGGAAGCGCTTCCAAGTGCAAGCTGAGCGAAGCAACCACGATCATGGGCGTCGTTATCTTGTACGTTGGATTCCCCTGCTCCTAAAAAATCAACCATTTCCCCGCAAACGAAACTAACAAAAGCAGCGTCCTCTTCGCCATCACGGCCTACATGTCCTTCCGCAACGTAAAACACTTCCGCCGCACCGGCACCCTCCCCGACGCCGTTTCCGACCCAACCTTCGCCGCACAAAGCAAAGCCGCCTTCTCCTCGAACCCAGCCCACGACTTCGAAGACGAAGACGACTTCCGCTCCGGCCGCGCCGGAATGGGCACCTCTTCCCACGGCGATAGGGACGAAGACTACGCCCTCCTGCAACAAAGCGAAATAGACGACATAGGCAACGCACACGGCCGGACCGCGATGCAGGGCGCCTATGATCCTACCGCACCCGCACCCGGGGGCATTCTGCACGATTACAACAGCACCGGCTACGGTGGTGCCCATGGCCAGCACTACACGGACACCTCTACAGCGTTCAATCCGTCGGAATATACCCCTTCTGAGTACACTGCCCCTACTGGGTTTGGTGGGTCGTCGGTTAGTGGGTATGGACGGCGGCCGAGCTGAGGGAGTGTGAGCTGCTAGATGGAGGCATGACTACCTGGAATGCGGGTTGTCTTGAAAATGTTCTTTTGCGTTTTGAATATGACCCTGGAGTGGTGTTGGGCGCGTTGTTTACTCTGGGCTGATGCTCTTGTCTTTGCCATGTTTACGGCTTGTTGGCCCTGGGATTATGATTGCATGTCCTGTTTTGGATTGATTGATGTAGTAAAATAGTAAAATATAGAAGCCCTTGGATATTTGAGAATGTGACCTTTAAGCTTGGATGTATTGGTTTATGTATGTCGATTACCAATCATGTAAACTGATCTGGACTGGATCTGTAGCCGTGAACTGCTAATGTCGCATTCCCATGGCCGTCTAGTCCAAGCGGGATCTCTCATTGACCTCGGGAGCAGTTGATACCATATTCTGCCACCGCCTTTCCTATCAGTTGATTTCTGGACAGCTTGCTCTCTTGGCCTTCTCACTCGTGACAAGTACAACCCCGGAACTGGACTCGAATTGAATTGCATTTCATCAAACAGCCAGATATCGCTTCCGGAGCCATTCCTCGTATGTATTTACCCACACCCCAGTTATCCCTTACCACTCCACCCCAAAGCACCTAGCCATACATACTCCAGCTCATATGCTAACAACCCCCAGAAACCAAACACCACCCACCCACCAACCCCAAACCACGAGACCTACGTCTCAAACCACGCAAAATGGCCAGCGAAATCGACATCTACAACCAATACCCCATACACATGGACCCCAGCACAAAAGCCCTCACCCTAACACCCTCCTCCGCCCAAACACCATCCCAATCCGCCGCCATCGCCACCGAACTCGAAACCCTAAACCTCCTCCACCGCTCCCTCCTCACCCTCGACCCACCCAACATCCCCCCTGCCCCCCTCCCCCTTGAACCCCAAGCGCAGCGCCCAAATCACCAAACTCCGCGACAGCGCCAACACCGCCTACCGCAAATCCAACTACGACGAAGCCATCAAGCTCTACTCGTACGCCATCGACATGGCCCTCGCCCGCCCCGGCTGGGAGCCTGTTGCCGTTGCGCGCGACGAGCTGGCGGGCCTGTATGCGAATCGCGCGCAGGCGCATATGGCGCGCCAGGCTTGGCCTGAGGGGCTGGTGGATGCTAAGTCTAGTGTTGATTCGAAGCCGGTGGGGAATGTTAAGGCTTGGTGGAGGATTGCTAAGTGTGAGGCGGAGATGAGTCGGTATGTGGAGGCGAGGAAGTTTTTGGTTAAGGCACTGGAGATTGAGGGGAGGGACTCGGAGGGCGGGAAGGAGTTGGTTTCGTTGTTGGGGGAGGTTGAGGAGGCTTTGGCGAGGGGTGTGGCGCTTTAGATGGAGCGTGTTTTGCATCTATCTTGCTGGGCTTTTTTTCGTGGTTGTCTCGACTTTACTGCATTATTCCCTTCCCTGTTGGAACCTTTATCGGCGTTTTATGTGTGATGTGTGTTTTACTTTGGATTCGAGGCATTAATGCCAGATAAACTATCCTACCTACTTTTCTCCCGCATGTTCGTCTTTCTTGTTATATTCCATGGGAGTGGTGATATTCATTCCAATGAAGATATCTCGTTACAGGGACTGGCTGAAGGGATATTTAGGGCCCCGGGAGTAGATTCCAGCGGAGATTAAAAGGACACCTCTACAGAAATATATGTCATTTTTATATCAATAGATTCAGCTCAGAAAAACGCTGAAGACATGGAAGCCCGATGCTTAATCTTCGCGGTGGTGTGCGAGATATCACGTTTCCAAAATCGCGTTCGACTATTTGCTTTTGTCTTCCAACAATCCTCCAAAAATCCGACCCACCTAAGGGAGCCGGAGCCCACTAAATCCCTTACCTCATTCATGATTCGCCGGGTCATGCTCACACGACTTAACCCTCGGTCAGCTCAGAAGTTCCGTCTGAGAGAGTTGTTCTACCCCACCACTCTGTACTCCGTACACTCTGTGCATGAATTTTGCCATCCAGGATCTCAACAACCACACACCTGACTATCTTCAGACTTCCATTATAAATACGAGGAATATTACTTCAAAACCTTCGAAGAGCGTGGCTGGGTTGGTTGATGCTATCCGGCGTGAGGGAATCTGTAGACAATGACAATATCGACATCGGGAATGTCTTTGCCATGAGCTAGCGCAATATTAGCTCATGGCAAAGACATTCCCGACGTCGATGTTGTCATTGTCTACGGCTTTCCCTGAGATAAAGACCACGGTCTCTTCCTGCAGATGTTCGGGAGGGAGCGTATTATCTCCCCACTTCAGGGCGGAGCCTTGCCAATGCTGGCTGGGAATGAAGCACCCAATTCCTACACGGGCTCTCCAATAGGTGCCTACCTAGCACTTGGCTACTACCTAGAACCTTGGAAGAGAACAAATATCAAGCAAGAGAAAACGGATTCATTTATAAAGTACAACACATATATACAAGAAGCGTACGCAATGCTAAGCCCCCACCTCGCCCTCAAACCAAAACACTAGACCCATCACTCTTCTTACACCCACAATCCTTCACACCAGCCGCAATCTGCGTCGGCGTACGCGCAAAGCTAGGAGGCACATCGAGAACCGGACTGCGGCCGAAGAAGTTCCGCGGACGAAGAAGAAGCGTCATCGGCTCTGCAGGCATAATCGGGTAATCCTCGGGAGCAGGGAAGTGCGTCAGACCGAATGTGTGCCAAAGCACGACGTCGGTGTTATCGATCGAGCAATCGGGGCCAGCGGCTTCGATCCAGGCTGGTAGACCCGCTGAAGGCTCGCCGGAGGTCTGGGGGACGTGGCGGCCGGCTGGGTGGACTTGGTCGTCGTCGTCTGGGAGATATATTAGGACGGGAATTTGAGAGAGGTAATAGAAAGGGGAAGGTGTACTCACATTTGGTGACGTGCACGGCGTGGCGGGCGAATCCAGCTCGCTTCCAGACTAGACCACCGGCCTTGGGGAGGAGAGGAGGCACGTCGCGAGAGACGAGCTTGTAGCTGACAGGCTTCTTGCTGTAGGGGTTGAGCTTGTTGGTGTTGGCCATATCCCATGTTCGGCTGGTAGAGCCGTCATAGTCAGACATGGCCTCGGTGGGGGTAGTGAACTTGGTCTTTTTGGCATAAAAGGCGTTTCCGTATTTGTTTTCTGCGCTGCCGACCTCACCAGGGCCCTGCACGGCATCAACCTGGAAGACGGTGTTGTTAGGCCCGTCGATATTAGGATCGACGCGCAGACAGAACAGGTGCTGGTGGTTGTGGGCGTTGACGCCCGGGTAGACCTCAGTTCCCCAGCCCTTGGTATCCTCGCCTGGGTTGAGGGAGTAAGTGTTTAGGATACCGGTGAGCTTGATTTCGAGCTGGACGGTGCCGTCCTGGTGGAAGATCCAGTAGACGCAGTACTCGTAGTTAGCAGCGGTGAAGATCTGCGAGATGATGAGCTTGCGGCCGCGGGTGACGACCATTGATTCGTCACGGAAATCGGTGTGCTTGAAGAGGATGCCGGCGTCTTCTTCGTGGATGCAGATTGCGTTCTTGGTGATGGTGCTGGCGCCGGCGCGGTTGACGAATGCCGCGTCCATGTAGTGGATTGCGCCCTTGCAGTCGCAGCCTAGGGCTAGGCTGTTGGTCATGTAGCCGCCGCCGTACTCGCCGAGGTCGAAGGCGTGTTTGCGTTGGTGGGGGTGTTCGGGGTTGCCGTATGGTACGACCATCTCGGCGAGGGAGAGACGCCAGAAGATGGGGCGGACGTTGCCCTTGTCGTTGAAGGTGATGTTGTTCAGGACAATGCCCTCGCGGTAGTTGAAGCCGACGTGGATGTTCCAGTTTTGCCATTCGATTGTTCGGCCCTTGACTTCGAAAGACACGCCCTCGGGCTGGGTGATGTGGATTGGCTTGATGTCGGTACGGTATCCGCCCTCTTTCTCAATTGCGGCTGGGTGGTAGTTGTTTGGTGCAGCCTCGCTGAGGGGTCTCCGGACAGGTGGTACATCAATGTGGATGATCTCCTTGGTCTCGGAGTTGAAGATGGGACAGAAGTCCAAGGGGTATGTGTACTGGGAGTCATCGGGATGAGGACGGTAGTACATCAAGGCTTGTTGGAGACGGACTCCTGTGCCAAACCGCTCATCGTATCCGATTGTCCATGCTATAGTATCATCCGATTAGCATCATGGTCATTCCCGGGTAGAGCAGTTTCCACTTACGGTCACAGTATACTTTGTGCATATCCTCTTTGGGGATTCCAATGATTCTGCATTGCTCGATGACTTTGGGATCCTTGCGCACAATGTGCTCAACTTCCTGCAGATCCTCCATGGTGATCAAAGGCTGAACATTCGGCGTGTGCTCCCACTTGACGATCTTCTTCGCGTCCAGGTCGACCACACCATCGTAGACCTTACCACCAGGGGCAATGGCAACCACATCAGCAGCTCGAGTAGGACGCGGAGTAGATTCCGGGTCTGCTACCCAGGCCATCATCTGGGCCTTGCGGGGCTCGTACAAGGTAACGGCATTGAAGTTGAGGGGGCCATGTTCTTTGCGGATGATGCTGACAGCAGCATCGATCTCTACAGTAGATAGAGGGTCAAGAGGGTGAGGTAGCGGTGACGTTGCGCTGACCTGGTGGGTCAATTGCTGTAGTCGGTCGAGAACCATGATGTGGGGGAGGTATAGGTATAGAAGGAGATGAAGGTTTCAAGTGGAAGAGTGTGAGATTCGGGGGTAGAACCTCGGATATCAATCAAGCAGTTGCTAGGAAAAGAGATTGATAGTATTCTTGCTTGATTGCTCTCCTTAGACTTGGGCTGCAGGCTATTTAACAAGCCAAACGTCCCTCGAGCTGGTGCCATACCTCGATCCGATTAGATAAACCCCGATATGCGGGGACCGGATCTGATGTCCAGATTGGGTTAGCTTTGTATGACTATTCCCGAAAGGGCAAAGAGATGCTTGCCTGCAGCTCGCCAAGATCGACCTAGATAGGCTAGATTGATATCATGTCGAGTTGTTACTCATGTCGTTTGTCACATCGTGTGGTAGTTAGGATAGGAACATCACGTGTATTGCCAGTGGGCCCGTGGGGGAGTGCCTGGCCTCCTTTGCCGACATAGCGGTCCGTATACAGTACTTGCTGATTATTCTCGACCGAGAGAAAGCCGATAGGGTAGCTTACTGGCAGATCTTATGGGAGCATCCCAAGCATACGGAGTACTACAGGCAAATGGAGTCTAAGAGTAATTGAGCGGGCAGAAACTAACCCCCCTTTACATAGGATACAGGCCCGATCTAGCTACAATAATAAAGCAGATAAAAGACGACCTAGATGACAAGAACGAAAGGCCCAAGGCGATGAGCCATAGTAGAGCCTATCAACGCCTCGTAAATGAAGTTCAAACCAACCATATCAAACGCCAGGCACCCTCCTGCCCAACACCGTCGTCCAGACGCACACAAGCTTGCACAGGCAACAAGTCCAATGCAAAGCCACAGGCGTGAAGACAATGCCGAAGATCGAAGGAAAAGGAAAACGCGATATTCTCGTGTCTATGTACATACATCATATCATATCAAGCCCCGATGTTCCGAGAACTAACGCCTCATGCTCGGCCCATTTGGTAGGCGGGAGTCGGCGCATTGTAGCCACCTCCGTGGTGCTGAGGGGTCTGCGCGCCGGCCCCATGACTCCCCGTATTGGGAGTGCTGGGGGTGCCGCTAGGGTAGATACTAACTCCGTTGAGATTCGGCGTCTGTTGAGCCATGTTGTAGGACATTGCGGGCATTTGGCCGTTGAGGCCCCAGATCTGACCGGAGTACTTGCTTTCGTCGATAACCCCTCCGAAGATAAGCTGGCGGGTCTTCCAGTAGATCTCGCCTGTTACTAGAGAGTCCGAGCCGGCCTGATGGGCGATTCCAACGCGCTTGACACCGAGCTCATCGGCAATGTCCTGCAGACCAGACTTCTGGCCTAAGCTGGCCAAGATCTGTGATGCGGCCTGTGTGAGAGGCGAGCCGTTGACAGCTTGGTTGCGCCCCGCATGCTTCATAAGGTACTTAATGTCGTACAGTGACGGGAAGAATATTGTAAGAAGTTTGTGGAACTCCTCTTCGTTCTCTGGAAGCTGGGAGCAAAGCATGATCTTCATCAAGTAGCCGAAGTCGTAACCGGAGTGGAAAGAGACCCAGTGAACGTCTTCGAGCAGAACCAGGCCAGAGCTGATCAGCAAAGCCCCGAATTCGAAGGGATCAATGCCGTTCTTCTCGTGCATGGCAAAATCGATACCGGACTTGGCGAGCATGGCTGTTGACTCCTGGGCGTACATGTCTCCTTCGAGTGAAAATCGGAAGTTGAACTGCCATGTGCAGGGAGCGGGGACGCCGTATGCTTGCCCATTGGCATCGGTGCCTGAAGCAGGGGGAACTTCACCCTCGTCATTGAATAGAGTGATACCCAATTGAATCATCTTCAGAAGATCGACATTGCATCGGAGGGTTTGATAATGGTAATCCGCTTTGTTCGAGAACGATCCGATCGGCCGTGCAACGATACCAGGAAACTCGGTATCCTAGAGTCCAGTCAATACACTTTTCTTAGAAACCAGCCCCACGTAGTCGACGCCTTACCATGCTGATGTACGGGTACTTGTCAACCAGCTGTCTCAACACCGCCATCTCATGGGCCAGGTTGTGCTTCCAAACATCACGGATCCTCGACTTCACGGCACCACCCTTTCCTTCGAGTGCTAACCGACCATCATGGCCCTGGTGTAGCTGCTGTTGTTGCATTTGCGCACCGCGCGCGAATCCCATCTGTGCCGCATGGCTAGCCAGGCCGGTACCACCACCATCTCCTGCACCGGCTCCCGGGAAACCAGCGACCGCCATACCGTTCACAATTCCGCCGGACAGTGTGAAGGGGTTGATGTTGGTATTGGGGTTGCCCGCAAAGCCAGGATGACCAAGCGAAGGGGGCGGTAGCGTGTTCGCAGACTGCGTATGTGGGTGTTGAGATTGGAGGTGAGCTTGCTGTATGTTGTATGGAGCGCTTAGGCCAGAAGGCCCATATCTGCCAACGGGAGGTGGCATTTTGTTGTTTCGAGAGTGCGCATGGATGAAGTGACAGTTTCGTCCCTCGAAGGCGGGAGAGCTACTTGGTCGGCCGTATGCGGTTAGTGCGGGTAATTTGCCAAGCACACCTCTTTTCCTCATCTTCGGCTCCTCACTGTGCCACTTTGCGGTTTATTGCGGACTCAGGGACCAAGCTATTGTCCTTCACATCTTTTCACTATTTGCTTTTGTCTTCCAACAATCCTCCCTACCGAATCACTCCCACAATGCCCGCCCGTAACCCTACCGGTTTCGACATTGCCCAGTTCAAGGCCGCGGCTTCCCCATCTTCCGTATGGGCCAAGCAGGACCCATGGGCTCGCCAGTACGTCAAGAGATCCCGATAGAAAGCCAATCGGAGAGATACTGACATCCTACAGTGAGGCCTGGCGATACACCGGCCCCTTTAGCCGTTTCAACCGTTTCAAGGGTCTCTTCCCCGGCTTCGGTATCGCGACTGTCGCTTTCGCTGCCTACTGCACATACGAGCACTTCTTCTTGAAGGACGACCACCACCACGGTGATGCTCACCACTAGAATGCTGTCTCTTATGATCAATTGAGAATGCCGCCGACCGACTGAGCATTGAGCGGAGGACGTATACCCCGGGCGACAGGAAGTCGTCTCAGTCTCCGGACGGACCACTGTCATCTGAATCTCCAACTACAGGAGCTTTTGTCGTGTCAGGGCGGAGATGCAGCCTCTCAAGGCTCATGAGGAGCGTAGCTTCCAGATGGCGCTTTGGGTTTGATTTGTCGAATGTACATAGCTTTTGTTCCACTACCACAACAAGACGATTCCTTTCTGTTCCATCATTGACGCTACAACGAGTACTCACATTGCCTGGTGCGAGTTTTATATCAAAATTGGGATAGCTTTGAGCTTCTATAAACACGTAATATCATTATTGACATGAAACCCCCATGTATGTTTCAAACATCCAACTTTTTGTGTGCACGTTTACTCTTCGAACACCAGCGAGATACCATCATCACCAGCCGTAACAATGCGCTTTCCATCGAAGCCCTGCACGAATCCCATGATACCGCCAGCTTGCTCACCATCCTCGTTTTCAGTGGCACCCATGTGTCCCTTCCACTCCTGCATCAAACCCTGGGCAGCCGCGGCGGTACCACCACGTGCGTCCCAGCGGCGAACGACACCATCGAGGCCGACGGATGTGAGCATCCAGGAGCGGCTTTGCTGGGCCGCGGAAGCACCGGCAAGAGGCCCGGAGACAGGTGCACCGAGTTGCTTGCGGCTGGGCAAGAACTCCACCTTTACGACGGGGTTGCCATCGTGGGCCTCCCTGATATGACGGCGAACAGCGAAACGGTGAGCCGCATCGTACATCACGATCGAACCATCGACGGATCCGGCAGCAAGAAGAGTGAAAGGAGGTTGGGAGAAGGAAAGTGACTCGATGCCGTCCGTCTGAGCTTGCAGGGCGGCCATGATAGTGCCTGCAGCAGTGGCACCAGCTGATGATTGGGGCGCTGCGTTCTTGCCCTTGCCCTTGGCAGCCGGGGCAGCTGCTGTGACGCGAGGAAGGCCGACAACTCGAATGTGGCCCTCGGCACCGCCGACCGCAGCAATACCACCGCTAGGGGAGATGGCGATTGTGTAAAGACCACCCTCCACAGCAAAGCGCTGATCCTCCGCAGTCAATCCAAGAACGGCATTGGTACCCGGGGAGTATTCGATGCCAGCGGCAGCGGCAGCTCCAAACACATCGTAAACATAGAAGCTTCCGTCTTCCGAGACAGTGGCGAGCAAATTTCCATCAGGTGTCCATGCACCTGCAGTGCAGGACTCGGTGTGAGAGAAGAAAGTTTGAATGATGGAGATAGGTTGCCCGGGGTCGGTGTGATCGATACGGAAGACCCACGCGCTACCATCATTGGCACCAATAGCGATGACATTTCTCGTCTCTTCGCTGCCATTCTGGTAAGGGCACGCGGCCATCCAGTTGATCTCCTCCACTTCCTGGGCCTCGCCGAAGAACTCCCAAGCAAGGCCGGTCTTCTGGGGTGTGGTGTCCCGATAAGCTCGCAGTTTACCATCCAGACCCGCCGTGATGGCATACTCCCCTGCAGGCTCAGTGAAAACCACGGCATTCACAGTATCGGTGTGTCCGTCAAGCTTGGCCAGGGGCGAGAGAGCCTCCCGCTCCTTGGGCTGAGGGTTGGATTCGTAGCTCGACGGGAGGACAGGGCGCTGTGGGGGTGTCGAGTCAAAGATATAAGCTGTATCATCGCCAGAGCCGGTGATGACAATGTTGTTGTAAACCGGGTGTTGCGCAACACAGAATACAGAGTCTGAGTGGGAGTCGAAGTGTGCCGCTGAGTCATTTTGGAAGGTGATCTCATCTTCGATGGACATGTTCTGGTCATCATAATCTTCTCCGTCGGACATAGGCTGGTCCTCATCACGATCAAAAATCTCCTCGGCATCATCGGCCTGGATATAAGACTCCATGTCATGCTCGTTATGCGGGTCGTTTGAAGACATTTTTTTCGAGTGGGTGAGGAAGATTGGTCTTTGGAATGAAGGGAATGAATATAAAATTCAAATACGACCTGCTCCCGACTAATATTCAAGCAGAGAAGTCTGGAAGCAGCGCTGTTAAGGGTCTAGGAATGGTCTCTTTTTTTTTTCTTACCTCCCCGCTTAGAAATCCCCCACCCCGCGGCAGATTATGCCCCGACGATCACCGCCTTAGCGACCGCCTTTATGTTGGCGTGAGAAGCCACTCATTGTCAAACATTGGAAGGCGTCTATTGGGGCTTGCGTTTCTACATGGAAAGTTGCCGAAATAACATAAATGTCTGTCGCCGGGATCGGCACTGTGACGCCTGACGGCTATGGTAGCTGAAACATGCTATGTTCGAAAACTGATCTATCCAGCAAATAAACACTTCTGTATATATGGAAATGTACATCACAACAGCCCAAGAACGCAACCATCTAAAGCGCACGAGCTTTCTAAATCTTGCTGCCGGCCTTTCTCCGCGCCTCCTTCTCTTGATCACGGATCAAACGACGCAGGATCTTCCCACTGGGACTCTTGGGAATGGCATCCACAAATCTAATACCACCCATCAACCACTTGTGGCGCGCCTTATGATCCTCAACATGTTTCAGCAGAGCCTTCGTAACCGTTTCATCCGATCCGGCCGTAGACGACTTCACAATAATAGCCTTAGGAACTTCTCCCGCACGATCATCCGGGATAGCGACAACAGCGCAGTCTGCAACATCGGGATGAGCGAGGAGATGGGCTTCGAGCTCGGCGGGTGCGACTTGCAGGCCCTAGGGATGAATGTCAGATCTTGCATATTTTCCTTCAATCGGTAGGAATACAAACCTTGACCTTGATCAACTCCTTAATCCGGTCGACGATAAAGATGTGTTCCACGCCCTTCGGACTCACACGGACAACAGCCTCGTCACCGGTGAGCATCCATCCGTCCTTGAATGTCTCCTTGGTGGCCTTGTCGTTGTTCAGGTAGCCTAGGACGACACTGGGGCTACGGACTACCAGCTCGCCTGGGGTGTCGTATGTTGTGACTTCCTTGCCTTCTGGGGTAACGATGCGGGCTTCGAAGCCTGGCAGGAGGGCACCGGAGGAACCGAGGAAGATGTCGTAGGGATGGGTTGAGCTGACGACTGTGCTCGTCTCCGTCAGACCTGGTGAGAACGTTAGCTTTTGTGTTTAGCATAGCAAGGCAATGGTGGCATACCGTATCCCTGTCGGATCAAGACATTGGGGTAGTATTTGAGGAAATCGGCTGCTGTTTCCATGCCGAGAGGTGCTGCGCCTGTAAAGAGGGTCTGTACCGAGCTCAGATCATACTTGGAGCATATGGCTTGGGTGCTGAGCATGTGAATGATGATAGGAGGGACCTGGAAGATTGTCAGCAATTGGATGTATCTATGTGGCTGACGTTGAAATACTCACCAAGTAGAGGGATGTAATCTTGAATTGTTGGATGGAGTTGAGGTAGGAGTTCAGCTCGAATTTCGGAAGGACGATCGTCTGATCTCCTCGATATGCGCCGGCATGGCAAATAACCACAAGCGCATAGATGTGGCTCTGCGGAAGGAGGCCAAGACCGATTTCAGTGGCAGGTGTAATACCGTCCCCGCGGGTCCGGTAGCTCGCCTCAAACGCGGTGATTTGGAGGACGTTGGCGATGACGTTGCGGTGGGAGATCATTACTCCTTTCTTTTCGTATCATTAGCCAGAGCCTTTCCAAGATTGAGTATGAACTACTTACCGGCATGCCAGATGTTCCACTCGAGTAGCACAAAAATGCTGTGCGACGAGCTCCCTCGCCCGCACTCCATTTCATTTCCTCGACCGGCGGCAAAGACTTACCCGCCTCGAGGATCTGTGCAACTGACTTGAATTCCGCCGGAGGCTTCGCACCCCCGAGAAGCTGTTCGGGAAGATCAATCAGGTAGACTCTGCTCTTCGGGAGACCTGATTTCGCCGCAGCCTCGAGCGAGATCGATAGGAGGGGAAGACAAGTGACCAGAGCCTTGGCCTTGGAATCGAGCAGCTGGTGTCTCAATTCATCGGCCGAGTAGGATGCATTGGCGGGGGAGACGAGACCGCCCAATCGATGGACAGCCCAGAATAGGGGCACGGAATCGATCTAAATCAAACCCGGACGGATAAGCTTTTATTTCTCTTCGCCTCATGTTTGTTTCCTCCCAGCTCGGGGTGCGGTATCACCTACAGTGTTGAGAGTGAACACGGCCAACGTCTTATCCCATTCCGATCCCTGGTTCGGCGCCCAGTTCAGTTCCTTGGACAGACCACGAGCCAACAAGTCAACGCGATTGACTGTCTCCTGCGATGAGTATGACTTTCCACTGAAGCCACATGTGTACGGGTCCCGGGATTTAGCGTGTGCCCTTCTCCCATATTTCTCATTGAGCATGAACTCGCTGATTGGGATGCTGTCCGGGATGGGCGCCAGCTGGCCGGACCCCTTTGCAGGTAAGAAGACCATTTTGGTATCAGAAGATTCACGGATTTGCAGCGATACTTCTGAACTTGGTACAATCCAGGGGCGCAGATCTCCTAGAGATAGAGAAACAGTATCGGCTATTTTTGAAAGGCGGTTAGCTGCAGCCAGATGAAGCCAATGGGGTTATGCCTACATTTAGAGGGGAAGGGGGAGCAAGCAATAAATCGGCAAAGGGGTTAGGGATGGGGTGAGGGGAGATTCCCCATTTATTGAACTTGGCAGTGCGGGGAATTCGGTAAATCGACGGGAGCTGGATTACGTTCCGGTGCCCCTGACTCCTGAGTTTCGGAGATCACACCGGTTACTGAGTACCTACTGACTCTGGGTTCAACCGAAATGCGGTACCCGGTGGAACCGTGGAACTCAATACTTTAACTACGTTAAGTCCGTTGAATTGATTTGCAGGTAAGCGTTGGGGTAGTGCCAAGACTGGGATGCCTCGGTCATTGGATATCCGAGGGTACCTTTTTGACTTGATCAGCGAGCGCGTCCGTATGCTGCGTACTGAATATTAGCACGAAAAAATCACATCGGAATGTTCGCAATTGAAGTCTACAATCTTGTATGATCACTAACTAACTAGTATTATCTTAATCTATGACAGCTACACTCAGCTGCTCATAGAAGTCGTATTCACACGTTTCTAAGAATTACCTATATGTCGGTACTTTTGTACTCTTTTATCGAACCATACAGATTGGGCATTTTCTTGCAGACTTGTATTCCACTTCAATTCATTTTGCGGAAAATCGAAGCTATTCGGATCTGCTGAGAAGCTGCTGCCCGCTGACTTTCAGCCTTTCACATAGTTAGTTAGCGCAAGAATAATAGAGTGGTCTTGGCATGCAGATCGCTCTACGGCCATTGGCCCGGATTATCCACTTCCAGGGTTTAGTATGGGCATACTGTCCCCGATGTACTCGTTTCTGATATTATTTAGAAAGTACTACTCCGTACATCCAAAAGCCATCAAAAGATCATCCAAGGGCTTATGTGCAACATGATATAGCAATTAGCATCTCTTCCAGGCTCAAAGGAATCTGCTCTGTCCCTGCCCAAGTGCAGATACGGCCATTTCCAGACACCAGAGGCTGAATAGCTCCGATATAAGAACAACCCAGGACTTCAATCCAACTTTGAATTCATACTGGACTCAAGCATACCAGGCTATGTATCTCCAGAGCCTCGCCGGAAGAGATACTACCTGGTAATTACCAGATTATGTTTTACATGAGCCATCCAATCATTTGTTGCTTTTGGATGCACTTAGGTTCTATCTGAAACGAGGTGTACATCGGGGTACTATGTCAAGTCGACTGCCTCACATTGCCCAAGGTCCATAAGTCAGAGTTCTCACGCCGCGGCACTGGAAGTCTGGGGATTGACCCAAGAGCTACGCGGTAGCTCTCGATCCTCGATTCCTGTGAAACTGATTTGCCAACGAACTCCCCATCATCGCCATTTGCAGCATCCCAGTGTAATCAATCGCATATGCCTTGTCAATTTTCTCTGCAAGCGCATGTGTGTTGATTCTATGTTCCTGCATGGGGTTGCGAAGCAGAGAGGGGACTTTCTGAGGGGGGTTTGCTTATAAGTGTTGTAACATTTTCATAGAGGATCAATGCACCCATCCCCACTTTCTGGGATTATTCGCTACCTTCGACCTGGATATTCAGATTGACTGACTGAACCATTTCATGAAGCGTTTCGCGCTAGTCAAATGAGCCAGAAGCACGCCCGGTCTTCATACACGCCGCTTAGGCGCACTTGGCGGAGGTTCGAGATTTTGAGAGGGCTTCTATGATTGCAATAATCCCAAAGGCTTCAATTCTGCAAATTATGGCAGTAGAACGGACGGATACTTCATTTGTTGGTATAAAAGGCTTCACGTTAGAACGCTTCATGTCGTTACGACTTCACTTGCCAGTCTTGATGTATGTTAGTAGGCCACAAAACATGGCTCTGGAGGTGGTGAGCGGGGCAAATGGGCATTTCATATGTCATATCTGGTATTTCGCACGTGTTGGATAGCCCAAAAACACGTTTGAAGCCAGTTTTTGTTGCATTAGACAAAGACCGACGCTTATGTGAACCATCGAGGCTCTGCTCAGCGGGAGTAGTTTTGAGAGGAAGATGACATGCTTCGAAAGTCTGCACAGTACAGGATACCAACTGAAACGGAGATGGAAAAGAGATGAAATTTGTGAATGTGAAGGAGGGAAGATGAGGATGAAGCCGAAAAGTACACACGCAGTGCTTGAAGAGGTTCCTTGTTGCGTCTGAGCGAGAAGGCAGATATGTATGATGGCAGACGGTCCATAAAGCTTCCTATGCCAATTGTAAGTGTTGTCGCCGTCATCGTTGCCATCGCCATAACGATTGCTCCGGGCTCCCGTTTGCTCCTTCCATGTGACCCTGGACGACTCTTCAAGCACTGCGTGTGTACTTTCCGGCTTGGTCTTCTCGCGGCACCTTCCTAACGAGCCTCTCATCGTCATCTTCCCTCATTCACATTCCCAAATTCCATCTCCTCTTCATCTCCGTTTCAGTTTGTATCCCGTACTGTGCAGACTTCTGAAGCATGTTATCTTCCACTCAAAACCCACGCAACCTTCTGAGGAGGTCATTGTCTGCACGCTCCATGCGCAGGGCAAGGAGGCGTCCCTCAGATGATGCGCCACCAACACCTTCTCTGACAGCGCAACATCCGGCCGCCGCTGCCGCTGCATCGTGTGCAATGCGCTTTGGCCAAATCCCATCTCGGGACCCGAGAGGCCCATACAATCAGCTCGACGGTCCGGCGAGCTTCACTGGCCCTCAACAACAACCCCAGGCAGGTCATTACAGCAGCGGCGAGAACCCCTCCATGGGTCAGCAATGTTCAACATCATCTGCCGCCGCAACACCCCATCAGTCCACACTGGTCTTCTGTCGACCAGCTGTAGTCGATGACATCGGACCCGCCGCTGCCATATCGCCAATACAGGAACCCAATGGGATTGACGGACGAAACAGTTCAGTGCCTTCTTCGTTTCGACAAGTGCACAAAGCCAAGTCAATGTGGATGAGACCAGGCACTGGTGATCATCAGCCACGAACTATTACACGCTCCAAGTCCTTCCGCCAATGGAACCCTCGATCCACACAAAAGGACCAGTATTCGGGAAGAAATGATGCAGCACTTCAGCTGGCTCGTAGCCAATTTGAAGGTAGCCAAGTTGAACGTAGCGCGTCTTCCTCGGATTGTGATAACGACGACAAGGGCCGCCTCCGATCTTACATGTCGACCTTCTCACTCAGACGCAGAGAGCACAAGCCATTTCCTAAAAGCCTGCGCCAACCGAGTGAGGGTACTGCCAGTCCCTCGACCCCCGCTGACCGAAGCCTCGGGCGACCTCATAAGCATCGGTCTTTGTCTAATTCAATAAAGAGTGGATTCAAACGAGTGTTCGGGCGATCGAAGCACACTGATGCCACTGCGCAGCCATCACCACAGTCAGGCAGCTCATATGGCGTCGAGCCGGTCGTGACAACCCCGTCCACGAGAGACGTGGAAGGTGTCCCTGCTGGGAATAGTCGGAAGGCACCCCCTCCTCCCCGACCTCTTGTTCGGTCATCGACCATGGATAGTCTCTGTGATTCCGAGTCTCGCGTCACTAGCAGTGCCTCTCCTGGGGATCGGGGCCCTTCCGAGTATCCCCGGCGTCTTGCTCGGTCAGCGACCATGGATAGTCTCCGTGATTCCGAGTCGCGCGTGACTAGCTGGGCCGATTCAAGCTTGACAAACACAGTCACTTCCCGCAAGCCGGAGCATGGCAGATTGCTTCCTTCAATCGAAGAGGACGGAAAACTCGATAAGCTACTGCCACCGACACCCTCACGCGTAGTAAGCGGTACACAGAATCAACTTCCTTCTGTCCCATTGTCAAATCGCAATCTGGAGATTGACTGTCAGGACCTGTGCTCTGCGATACAGCAGGAAATCAACCGAAACCAGCGGTCCCGGTCCAACGAGGCTCCGATTTTTGGTAGGGTTCCAGAGCGTCGTGTGGCGCCACAGATGCCAGCTTCAGCATATTCCCAGTATGGCGGAGGCACTGTTCGTCATGTTCTCAGTCAAGAAGCATTAGTCTCGCCGTTTGAAACCAACGAGGCTCCGATTTTCGGTAGGATTCCACAGCGTCGTGTGGTACCAGAGATGCCAGACTCGGAACACTCTCAATATAGCAGACGCACTCTTCGTCGCGTTCCCAGCCAAGAAGCATCAATCTCGCCCGATTCATTCGCCACAGCGCGTGGGGAGCAGTCAAGTCCCCGAAAGTGTCATCTGCGCCCGGCCAAACCCTTGAAGCTTCATCCCAGCGAGTCGTCTCCGCCGAGAGCTCCACAAGAGGAGACTGACACTCTCATGGGTCCCCGTCTTCAGGACGCGACAAGGAATATCGATTCTCCAGGCCTTGGTTCTGGGATCAGGAGTGTCAATCCTTCGCCGAGTGTTAACATTGTTGATGATGCTATCGGTATCCTCATCAGTCGTCGACATGGTCAGCAAGAGTCGAGAAGTAGGATCGCTCAATTGGTTTCTTATCCCAGAGACAGCAATGGCCGTGTTCTGTCGGGAGATGAGACGGGGGTTAGAGACATTCGTAACGCTTTTCCTGTTCGAAGGATGGAGTGGGATTATTCACCGAGTATTTATTCCCGAACAAGCAGTGGCATCACCCTGCCGAGACCGGATGTGGACAGTGTCGGCAGGTCTCACGATGAATCAGGGATGGCAACCATATTTACCCAGCAGCGGATGTCCGTGTCACCCAGACATGCCCCTCCGGATTCTACCTCTGAAGATTTTTCAAAAACCAGTGCAGACTGGCATCGATGGTTGAACTCGGAGGTCGGGAAGCTTGGGCAGACCAAGCCCCCAAGGGAGCATATCAGGGAATATGAACAATTCCAAGATGAGGATGAGGAGCAGTTCCAAAATGAGAATGAAGAGTTCCAAGAGGAGGATGAGCCGTTGACAAACGTTGCGCGAGACGACGATGTCATCGCACCAGGCAACGAAGTGATCTCCATGACTCTTACCCCGGCTGAGACTTCCAGCTTCACACCTCCGGCTCATGTCCATACTGAACAGCGGAGTTCGACACGCAATTTCTCTTGGCTTGTCTGGCGCCCTTCATCCGACATGTCTGAGCAGCAAGATTTGCCGGAAAACACGATGGGTGATGCCCACACACCCACCAGTGCTTCCGCCATGCATCCTGCGACAGATTCCGCGACAAATCCCGGGACACATCCAGATGGCTCTACTTCTCCTGCGTCCAATGACTACGCTTCTCCGACATCCGCCAACTACGCTTCTCCCGCATCCGGTGACCCCATTTCTCCTTCGTCTGTCCTCCGTACTCGCGTGCATAACCAATCTGTAATGGGGCGGGAATCTCAACCCCTGCAGCCTCCCGATACACCAACGCCCAAGGCTGCTGACAGAAAGCGGGTTTTCGCAGCATCACAGCGGAACCAGTATGCAGTTCGGCGGGCTGCCATTGCCAAACACCAGCGCAGGCAACAAGAGCAAGCTGTGAACAATGAAAACTACCGCGATCAGCCGGACGAGTCCACAGGACTAGGAGTGATTGACCGCTACCTGGAGATTCGTGAAAGGTGCGAGCAGGTAGCCAACCCCAAGGAGAACATGGGCACGGCCTTTCCCAACTCCAAGATGATGGTTGAAGAATTTTTGAAGCGTCCCCGGGGGCCACAGAATCCCCCCAATGATGATGATGATACGGAGATGGGAGGGTTCCTGTGAACTAGAGGCAATGGCTAGTGGAGGGTGCTCCAACTCTACTCGTTACACTGTTCAGCGATATTATTATTGTTCTGCGAGTTTGAGCGTTGCTTGATGAATATGATGGAAGCAAATGGTATCTTTACCATCGTCAGTATTTTTGATTCTTGATATTCTTACCAATAGCCTATTCATATTCCAATGATACATTTATTACTTTGTCCTTGGGTTTGTGCTACATTAAGGATCTGAATCAGTCCAAGTTCTATTAACTTGTTGGAGTCCAACCTACTACCTAGAATTTAAGGATCTGAGTGTAACCATGGATGAGTGGCATGGGGAATACATGTACCGATTGGACCAATACATGTTCGGGGATATGCCGGGCCAATGGCCGTCGAGCGATCTGCATGTCAAGACCACTTTATTTTTGCGCTTTCTGAAAGCTCCGCTTGAAGACATGAAATGATGAAGGTACATGGAGAGTTGAGAGCGATCTACCACCTTTTTATATCAGAAACTGAACTCTTCAAGCTAGGATTCAAAGGATAACGCAGAAGTAGCAAAGGGCAAGAAGAGCGCAAAGAGGGCTACTCAGACAACAAGCACCAACTACTAGTCCCACTTCCCGCCCGCCAACTGGCAAGCACTCCGCCAACTGGCGAGGTTACATTTCCACGAATAAGTCCCCCATAATCCCACTGCGACACGTGCCACATCAGTCTGGTATTTATTTTATGAGAAAAGGTATACCTAAACTGCTTAATCCCATTAATCTCATCGACCTCGAGCTCAGCGACATCTAGGTGGCGCGATCAATAAGTAGCCTTGAAAACATAGGTACTCCGTACTCGTGCACATATCCAATAGCCTCGATCGAGCTACACACCTGCAGGTTGAGCCTTGAACATCTACGCGAGGAAGGAGGAATAGGGCACCTGTGCCTCTCAGCTTACCTACCCACCGCGTCTGGTGTGGGTGCGCCATGGTCAATCCGCCAACACAGCTGAACCGCCTTGTACCTTTTATATAGCCATGCCGTATAAAGTATACATAACAACTCCCTATACGCGAACTGTTCGCATGCTCTGACGCCCATGTATCGAGCAACTGACCAACCAGTACCTCAAAGAGGTCTGGTTCTGTAATCCCTTGCCACAAGCCCCGACAAAGACACTTGCCTGGGATCAATCTTTGTCAGAGCCTCCAGAACAGGACGCCCGGGTGCCAGCACAGACGTCCGAGTCCTCCCAGAGTATGTTTAGTATAATGAAGGCGAAAGACGTCTGTATAGTGTAGCGATCACTTTGTGTGCCTCCGAGTCACCCGTTCTTCCAGTCTCTGGCTTCGGGCATGTAGTAGGGAAGTAAGGGAGGACTGAGGAGATAGATTGGCCGAGTGGGCTATCATCGGTCGCTGTGGATTTTTGACTCCCCTTAGTGACCTAGGAAACAGAATATAGTTACTGGAACTTATCTTTGTCTGGTGAAAAATGCAGTGACTAACAAGAGATACAAAAGGTCGAGCAGGGTGATCAGTTAGGATCCTTGATTGTTGGGCCTGCTCTCTGTAACATTAGCCAAACGCACAGAGCCCGCTTCTTGATCGCTGTACTCGGACTGGATACAGCAATGACTGGCATGATCATATGAGCACCTTAGCTAGAACCAGATATTTGGCCTCCACACTCCACGTTCAGCGAACCTGACGTGGTCTGCGAGAGTTCGCGATCTATTGGGGGGTGTGGGGGGATAGTGACACGCCACGATGCGCCACAGTGGGTCCTGGCGGACATCTGCAGATCCCCCACGTGCCCCAGATCTACTACCCGTCCATACCACAGTGTTCAAGATAGTCACAGTGCTAACGGGCTAGAAAGCACCTCGGGTGCTTAGGTAGTGAGGTTATAACGGCTTATGAATTATGACATTAATTTTCGTATAGTACACAGCGAAACAATAGAGACAATCGATGACACATGACACGAATGCTTTGAGAGATGAGTCAGATGACTGAGCTACCAGCAGGACATATTGGACTTAGAATGTCTTCCAGTGCCAGTACGACCAGTGAAATACACACTGATCATACAGGCGGCGGAATATTTTGTTCTGTCGTCTGCTGTATGAACTGACCACAGAAGACTCGCACCTCTGGATCATAAACAGGCAGACCATCGATCTGCCAGAGAAGCCGGCAGATCTCGTCACTATATACATCTGGGGGAAGAGGGGAAACACAATATCAACCAAAGCAGACAGAAGAAGGGAAGAAGAGAAAGAAGAGTGCCCTCAAGATAAGCATAGTAGACAAGTCGCGCGCGACTACTGCCTCGAACCCACAAGTTTTTGGTCTGTCCCGCTTAGTACCGAAGTACGACTTTCCGCAGGCGCAGCATCATTGGGCAATCTTGTCTAGATATGAATCTTATGGCAAAAGAAGGGAAGAGGAGATTGCATCAAGGTCAGCATAGTAGACAAATTTCGCGCGACTACTGCCTTCGACCCACAAGTTTTTGGTCGACCCCGCTTAGTACCGAAGTACATCTTTCCGCAGGTGCAGCATCATTGGTCAATCTTGTCTAGGCATGGATCTTGTAGCAGAAGAGTGGGAATCGAAATATCAGCCAAAGCTGACAGGAGAAGCGAAGAGGAGCAGGCGAGAGGAGAAGGGGGGGAGAGAAGAGGATAAAAAGGAAGAGGGAAAGGGGAGAAGGGTGATGGAGAGAAGAAGAAGGAGAAGAGAAAGTGAAGAGAAGTTCCAGATATTTATACCCAAGGGTCACCTGACGGAATGTTTGCTCAGTGAAACAATCTGAAAAATCGTCCCAAGATAGACCACAGGCAACCCGGTCATACACCTCCAAGACAATGACCCCCGGGCCTTATCTACAAGCTTTGGGCAGCCCCTGGAAAACATATTGTTTTGATTGACGCTATGGTACCAGGGTGACACGCTTGCTCTCGGTTCTTCCTTGCCATTTTGAAATCGTTGAAGCATCCAGTGAGCAGAGATAACACTGACATGATTCCTACAGGTCTCCCATCACCAAGTCAACGGTAGACCGACTATGTCACGTTTTATGAATCAGTGATCCCAATCCCCGAGTGGTTTCTACTGCATGTAATTTCTCCCCCTGAGGCCTTTACTGAGGAATCTGCAGCTTGCGTCTCCGCCTTCTTGTGCTCGTCTGGTTTGCACCCTAGACATACTTATCCTCTTCTCACGTGAACAGATTGGTTTCTGGGCGTTTCAGGTCGTTAGGCATATACGAAGAAGCTCAGTGATACAGACTTCTTGCGGGAATAGATTGAAGATGTAGCCCCTGAATTCAATTTAAAATGCTGGAGATTGGTTGGGAAGAGATCACGGGGCCATTGTGGGCACTGACCTGCCCGCAAAGGTGGCAAAGGAGCAAGAGAACAGTCCGATGCTTCGACTGTCGGTCAGCAATAGCAGTCAACTTGGCTTGAAATGTTAAATGCGCATCCGGAGATTGACGCCCGATAGCGCAAAAAGCAGTATAGACATAGGTCACTACGAGAAATCAGTACGAAGACCACAAGAAGTCAAGAACTATATACAGGGCGAGACAGGCTGACAGCTAATGACTGGTTCCCGGATTAGCACATCCATAGTAGCCTTCATGGTGAAACTAGGCCAATTACGAGGGGCTTTGGCTTCCGCCGGACGCCCAGCTTCAGTTGCTGAGAGCCTGAGCGGTGATTCTTTTTCGGACCCCCAAGTAGATATCGATTCGACGATTCCCGGAATCTGATTGGTCAAGGATGTTATTCTGCTGTTCTTCACCGATTACCAGAATGTCTGATTTTGGGACCCCTATGAGTATGCGCAAGATCCAGATCATGTGACACATGACACCCTGATTTGTGTAATGCAGTATTCCATGCTTCGCCAACGGTCAGCAGTCACCGATGAGTAGTGATTTATCTAATTACTAATACAATTATACAAAGGTAGAATTCTGAATTGAGAGTAAATGACTATATTTAACTAACCAAAGGGCGATGACTGGAATCAAGGTCAGGCCTGGCGGCTATCGTCGCCCGTCAAGAGTCAAAAGACTACAAAGATGTAAGGCACTGCAAGTGGGCACATCGAAAGGGAGACAAGGTTAAGAAAAGAACAAAGAAAAACAAGCAAATGGCCGGAGAATGAGATAACGCTAGCCGGCAAGCAGGGAATCACTTCCCGTCGTAGATCTGGTCAGGCGTGAGGGTAAAATTGCCCTTCTCGATCTCCGCGGCGTCAACATGGTCGGGTTTGACATACCGCGCGGTAAGGGCAAACCGCAACTTGTTCTCCGGCACCACCGAGTGCTATATCGGTTAGCTCTGTTGTTTAGCGGTGCCAAAATGGAGGAGGGCCACGAACCTCGTAGTACCTCTGAAGGTTTTCACCGTGCATGACTACCAAGTCTCCATGGTGCAACTCCAACTTGATGGCTGGCGGAGCTTGCTTTCCCTTCTGGGTGGCAAAGAGAGTTTGTCGAGAGTTGTCATACTCATCTTGGGAGATCTCGCCAGCTTCAAACCTCTCCTTGAGCGCACGACGCTCATCTTCCAACCGGCAGCCTTTCAGCACGGGGTCCTCTTGCAGAACACTCCCAGATACAGCTTTGCCATCGCCGGCGTCCACCCGTCGAGTATGCCCGTTGAAGTGCTTATACTTCATGCGGATCCACATGGTGGATTTTGCTCCAAGTGAGAGGGTTGCAATTGTAGGGCCTAGAGAGGATTCACCGTCGTCATGGTACTAACAAATCTATGCTTTAGTCGAGAGTAGGGCCAATCTCACAGTGTCACTTACTCCTATCTTCATGCCCTCAAAGTACCCCAGCGTCAACAGCTCATTGGGAGGCATGTACATGTCTCCAGCGGAGATGACGGCTTGTTCAGTCGCCCACGAAAGACGACCCAGAGCTCGGAGAATGACCTCAGGGGCTTCGCCAAACGCCTTTGACAGCACCGACACGACATACTTATACGGGCTACCCTGTTTGATTTGGTCAGCGGAGAGGTCAGTAAACATGATGATCGGACGAGCTGACGTACGTGGTTCACCGCGAAGTGAGCGGTAAGTGTGCCCGCGACTGTCCAAAGTAAGAATCCTGAAACTTAAGATTGTGCACCTTGCTCACTTACCTAGACTGGACGAAAGCGGAAAACGTTTTAAACCGAGATCTTCACGCTGAAGACCGATAAACAGGTCGTCGGGCCCATTTGGTCGGCTGTTGATTTCTGCGTTCGCGACAAAATGGGTGATAAAGCCGACTCCATCAAGTTTGTAGGTTAGCTTGCGATAGGGAGACAAGCTAACATCATCGATCTCGGGGATCATGAATTTCCTATCGAACACCATTTCTCGTCTCATTGAGGGCTGCTCGGAATCATCGAGTAGAACTTGGCGCGAGATGGGGTTCATTGTCATGAGCCTTTCAAATGAGCAGACGTTACCGCCCGTCTGAGTGCCAGTAGAGTCATCGCTGCACTTCCACCCTCGCCACAATGTCCGTCGAATACACTTGTGACACTCGGGGCACACAATTCCTTTCCACGCACCACGAGATGTGCTGATGTCCGTGGCATCCTCATCCAGTGTCGAAAGATGATCGGGGACAAGGCTGCAGTTAGGGAGAATTTCATCGTCGGGACGACTGCGGAAGCTCAAGAAGGCAGGGTTAAAGGTTAGTTCAGGAGGACTGGAAACGTTTCCAATCTTCCAGAACCTGTCACACTCCGGCTGAAGGCACATCCAGCCATCCTCATAGACACGGATGCTGACCTTGGAGCAGCCCTCGCACTTCAGGGTTTGAGGCTTCGTGTCGAAGTCTCTGAGTTCGAGGGGCATTGGAGGAGCAGAGCCCTTTGCTGCCCACCAGCTTTTCTCCGCGAGATCCAATTTCTCAAAACGGACTTTTGCTCCATGGTTTGTACCAATTCTTTCAAACCAAACATTGGTAACCCGAAACCATGCCATGACGTTGTATCGATGTGGCAGGTCCCGATTGAGAATCTTGTGCTTGCTCCCTTTCATACTGGTCAGCTACAAGCTATACCATGCAATTCGTGATGAATTGGCAACCTACCAATAATTAACCCAACAGGAAGCTTTGACTTCAGGCTGGCAATGATGCTTCGGGCGAGCGTGCTATCAGCCTCCTGATTCTTTTGGAGGGCCAGGTTTCCCTCTGAGTCTTTGGTGCAGCAACCACCACTAATTGAGTTAATACATGCAGTCTTTAGTTGTAGGATCACACTCACATTCGAGTTATGATAATTTCTTCGTCAATGTAGGTCCGGGTACCACCGTCGGCATCAATCAGAAAGCCCCAGCAAAAGCCCTCACTGTGATACATTGCACCCTGAGTGCAATGAAACCAAGGAATTGCATCGCATAACTGCTGGCGATTCTGGGAGGATATTAGGACCTAGATGAAAGGACTCGTTATGGGAGTTTCATACCTCAGCCCACGCCGGTGGTTCGCCATGGACTTGCTCCAGGACCTGGTCAGTGCTGACCACTTTGATCTGGTCTGATGGAACTATGAGGATTAGCACGACATACATCACGTAACAAAGAACGCAAGTCAACTATCCAAGAAGCCTTTGTTACCTTTGTTTGCCGGCGCCTTTTCACTCTTGCCTTTGGTGACGCGGCCCGATCTCACCACTTGTCCAGCCACATGAGACCGACTAGCTGTCGGACGTGGAGCCATATCGCAGAATTCTAGCGCTTGCAGTCTGGTATGTTATTCCCTGGGTTAGCGTATGTGGTCTTCAGACCTATGGTGGGACTACCGTGGGATGGACTCACAGTACGAACACTCACAGTCACTCACACCCACCGCAGAAGCAAATCGGGGGTTCAATGGTGCTTCAAATGATTGCAGGTGCTTGAACGCAGATCGACGTTAATAAACGCGGAGTAGAAAGAACGAAGATTGAAGCGCGCCAGGTCAGATTGCTAGGACTCGTTGTGATGCTTCTAGGAAAGTAGGTGAAGGTTGAGAGGGAGGGAGGACGCAGGGCAGGCCTACGACAAGCCTATATACCCCCCAGGGCGGTATACAAGTCACGTAAACCTTAGATGGGATGAATCCTTGACTAAAGAAAACCTCGAACCACCCATCGATGGATGGAGATGTGCTAATTTGGACAGGTTCCAAGGTTCCAACAGATGGCGCTAAGCTCACCGTGACCTGAATGTTCCAAGCCAGGGAAGCCATTACGTGCTATCTACCGAGTCCATCCACGGGTGACCCAAGGCGATGACAAAAGGAAAGCCACCAACCTTATTTGAATGACCTCGTGTATGCAGCCAACCATGGGATCTGAGGAGAAATACGGCGATTCATATACCTACACTCTGTATGTCGACTGGACATATTTGTCCGAACCTTGACCATGCAGAGTGTGCACGTGCTTGAAAACAATGTAAGAGCTCTCGCATCGTGTTAGTACACTGTAGCAAGACAGTATGACCCTGTTCCAGTATCTCCCACGTTGTATGGCGAGCAATCTGTCGTCTCGGCTATGCAGTGTAGGTATATGAATTGCAGTATCTCTGCTCATATTCCATGGTTGGCTGCATACACGAGATCATTCCAATAAGGTTGGATAGCTTTCCTTTTGTCATCAGCTGTGGGTCACCCGTGGATGGACACTGTAGATAGCACGTAATGGCTTCCCTGGCTTGGAACATTCAGGTCACGGGCAGCTTGGGCCATCTGTTAAAACCTCGGGACCTTTCCGAATTAGCACATCTCCATCCATCGATGGGTGGGTCGTAGTTTCCGTTAGTCAGGGATTCTGCCATATAAGGTTTAACGTGACTTGTATACCGTCCTGGTAGGTTTTGTAGGCCTGCCCTGCGCCATCCCTCCCTCTCAACCTTCACTTTCATAGAAACCGCAACAACGCGTCCTATCAATCTGACCTGGCGCGTTTCAATCTTCCTTCTTTCTACTCCGCGTTCATTGACTTCGACCTGGGTTCAAACACCTGCAATCATTTCAAGCGCCATTAAACTCGCGATTTGCTTCTGTGGTGGCTGTGAGTGACCGTGTGTGTTGTACTGTGAGTCCATCCCGCGATCGGTCTGAAGATGGCATGCGCTAACCCAGGAAATGGCATATCAAACCGAAAACACTGTGATTTTGCGATATGGCTGCACGTCCTATTGCTGGTCGGTCTCATGTGGCTGGACAAGTGCTGAAATCGGGCCGCGTCACCAAAGGAAAGACGGAGGGAAACAAAGGTATAACAAAGGCTTCATGGATAGTGACAGTGGTATATGGCATGCTGATCCTAGTAGTTCCATCAGACCAGATTGAAGCGGCCATCACTGACCAAGCCCTGGAGCCAGTGCGTGCTGAACCACCCGCGTGGGCTGAGGTATGAAACTCCCATCTCGAGTCCTTCCACCTCGGTCCTAATAACCTTACAGAATTACCAACAGTTGTGCGATGCAATTCCTTGGTTCCATTGCACTCAGAGTGTGATGGATCACAATGAGCGCCTTTGCTGGGGCTTTCTGATTGATGCCGACGGTGGTACCCGGACCTACATTGACGAAGAAGTCATCATAACTCGAATGTGAGTGTGATCCTCCAACTAATGACTGCATGTATTAACTCAATTAGTGGTGATTGCTGCACCAAAGACTCAGAGGGAAACCTGGCCCTCCAAAAGAATCAGGAGGCTGATAGCACGCTCGCCCGAAGCATCATTGCCAGCCTGAACTCAAAGCTTCCTGTTGGGTTAATTATTGGTAGGTTGCCAATTCATCACGGATTGTATGGTATAGCTTGTAGCTGACCAATATGAAAGGGAGCAAGCACAAGATCCTCAATCGTGACCTGCCACATCGATACAACGTCATGGCATGGTTTCGGGTTACCAATGTTTGGTTTGAAAGAATTGGTACAAACCATGGAGCAAAAGTCCGTTTTGAGAAATTGGATCTCGCGGAGAAAAGCTGGTGGGCAGCAAAGGGCTCTGCTCCTCCAATGCCCCTCGAACTCAGAGACTTCGACACGAAGCCTCAAACCCTGAAGTGCGAGGGCTGCTCCAAGGAAAGCATCCGTGTCTATGAGGATGGCTGGATGTGCCTTCAGCCGGAGTGTGACAGGTTCTGGAAGATTGGAAACGTTTCCAGTCCTCCTGAACTAACCTTTAACCCTGCCTTCTTGAGCTTCCGCAGTCGTCCCGACGATGAAATTCTCCCTAACTGCAGCCTTGTCCCCGATCATCTTTCGACACTGAATGAGGATGCCACGGACATCAGCACATCTCGTGGTGCGTGGAAAGGAATTGTGTGCCCCGAGTGTCACAAGTGTATTCGACGAACTTTGTGGCGAGGTTGGAAGTGTTGCGATGACTCTGGCGCCGAGAGGGGTGGTAAGGTCTGCTCATTTGAAAGGCTCATGACATTTGACAATGAAGCCTATCTCGTGCCGGGTTGTATACGATGATTCCGAGCGGCCCTCAATGAAACGAGAAATGGTCTTCGATAAGAAATTCATGATCCCAGAGATCGATGATGTTAGCTTGCCACCCTATTGCAAGCTCACCTACAAACTTGATGGAGTCGGCTTCATCACCCATTTTGTCGCGAACGCAGAAATCAACAGCCGACCAAATGGGCACGACGACCTGTTTATCGGTCTTCAGCGTGAAGATCTTGGTTTAAAACTTTTTCCGCTTTTGTCCAGTCTAGGTAAGTGAGAAATGTGCACAATTCTAAGCTTCGGGATTCTTACTTTGTTGATCCGCATGACGTACAAGCTCTTCAATGGAAATACTCAACGGGTGGACACCGGCGATGGCAAATCTGTCTCTGGGAGTGCTCTGCAAGACAACTCCGTGCTGAAAGGCTGCCGGTTGGAAGATGAGTGTCGTGTGCTCAAGGAGAAGTGGAAAGCTGGCGAGATCTCCCAAGATAAGTATGACAACTCTCGGCGAACTCTCTTTGCCACCCAGAAGGGAAAGTAAGCCCCGCCAGCCAGCAAGTTGGAATTGCACCCTGGAGACATGGTAGTCATGCACGGTGCAAACCTCCAGAGATACTACGAGGCTCGTGGCCATCCTCCCTTTTGGCACCGCTAAACGACAGAGCTGACCGGGACCGGTATAGCACTCCGTGGTACCGGAGAACAAGTTGTGGTTTGCTCTTACCGCGCGGTATGTCAAGCCCGACCATGTTAACGCCGGGGAGATCGGGAAGGGCAAATTATTCCTCACGCCTGGAGAGATCTACGATGAGAAGTGATTTCCTGCTTGCCGACTAACGCCATCTCTGTTCATTCTCTTGGTTCTTTTGTGTTCTTTTTCTTTACCTTTGTCTCCTTTTCAGTGTCTCCACCTGCTTAGCTGCTGTGTTTTACATCTGTCACGTTTAGATGATAATTTTACGAGGGGCTTTAGCGTCCGCCGGACGGCCAGCTTCAATTGGTGAGCGTTGATCCTTTTTGGGACCCCCAACTTCCAAGTACTGTAGATATAGATCCCCGGGATCTGATTGGTGGAGGATGTTATTCTGCCAGTTCTCACCGATTGACATCTGAAATTTACGGAGGCTGGAGCAACTTGCCAAACGACAGTCACGTGACACGCGACCCCCCCTATCACATTCACGGATTGCTTCGCTAACCCTCAGCAATCATTTCAGTCCCTCCATGGATTTACAGGTACTGGTTGCTGGGCTAGTCTGCTAGATTCGCTATATCATTTTTGATGCACCGACACTAGCTGTATTTCCTTCGCCATACTGTGTATGAATCGGCGCCTTCTATTGGAGGCCGAGCGGGGGTTCAAAACAATTTACTTTTCATGAACCTCTGACCATTGAACATCAGGTATCACATCGTCAGTACAGCAGTCGCTGTGAGGTCATCTCGCCAGGTAACTAGCATGACTGATGAAAGTAAGTCAATCTGAACAACAATAGCAACAATAGATGTAGTACAGTAGTAGTAGGGTATAGTTAGCGAAGACAACATAGGTAGCTAGTGCGGGTGCATCGGAAACAATCGTTGGGTTTATTCCTAGAAGACAAAAAGTAAATAGTTTGGACTCCCACTCAGCCTCCGGTCGCAGGCGCACGCGCTCGATTAATAAGTAGCGAGGAAAGAGATAGGCTACCATCTTCGTAAATAGCTCCTTCACAACATCGGGGTAATTGGCGTTTTTCCCACTATTGCACCCGCATCTTCGACACGTCCACCATCGTCCACGTCCTCGCGAAGAACGTGTCGCACGCCCGACTCCAATAGCGCCCTGGCATACTGCTCATGAAGCCACGTCATGGGAGGTGACCATGGAGGCTGATCAATCTTCAAGTCTGCCCGAAAGAAACATAACTTGAACCCAAATTCAACCGAGTTTTCTTCTGGCTTCAGTTGGACGGATAATTCAATCAATCCGTCTATAGGACGTTCCTTCGTCTTCGACACGTTGTCACCACCACGAATGAGGATCGAGTTTTTGGACTTTGACAATACAATAAACTCATTCGTAATCACGGTGCCCGTGTAATACTTCGACCTCAGTAGCTCGTGTCGAGACCAGAGCTGGCCGGGCGTGTGCTCATCGTCGGTCAATCTAGCGGAGAGTATGGCACGGTGGACCGTGAATGCTGTTTGGGGAACAACTTGTTATCAGAACATTCGAAGGCCTCCTTTAAGGAAACTATTGTTGGCAAAACATACCAGGACTAGCCCAGACACCGCGGCTAAATCTCTCGATCAGTGCACCAGGTCGGTTCAAGAGCGAGGGGTTGATGTCGGAGACAGGGACCTTTCGGATAAATAGGTCGTGGACGGTGGGGTTGTTATTCGTGTTGAACTGCTTGTGGAATTTTGATTGAATGATCGGGTCTGATGGGAGGAGAGGGACGGCTTCGACGTGGCGAGTTGCATAGGAGAAGGATATGGCTGCTACTAGCCCGCTGGCTGGAAGCATGATAGGAAGCATGCGAGATACTGTAGATTGCACAGCAGGGATTCGTGGCGTCATCGTCGCGAGGTTGGGAGGTGGATGAAAAGAAACGTCGACGCGTGGAACCAAACAATCGAGGCACGAGGAAAGTATGCCTTCCCAATTTGGTAGACAAGAGGCCCGGAGAAGTGTATATCCAGCCACGGGGTCAGTCCCGTCTGGCTCGATGGACTCTTGTAGCGAATAGGTAGGTACTCGGACCTCGTACTGACTAGGTACGGATGAGAGCCCGATATCCCACGCATTCCAAAGTTGTTGTAGCCTTAGGTAGGTCGTTTATAGGTCACTTCCATTTCTGAATTCCATACATCCCTTAGGTACTAAGTAGGTGTTAGGTAGGACCTAGGTATGTTTGGGACTGTGTATACATATTCGGGCCCCTGTACCGGGCTATGGAAGTCTTACTGGGCTAGGTAGGTTGTTAGGTATGAGCCAGTTGATCACGGGCATACCTACCTACAAAATTTCCCTCCGCTTGCCTGGAACTGGCTGGAAGTCCCCTGGTCTCATGTGAGTTGGATCTACAACGTCATCAGGGAAGTAGATGTGGACGCGGTTCAAGGAAATTCACTGAAGCATGAACTTGCAGATCCGGACATGGTGTATTTGCTGATAGTGATATTCTCTTGGGAATACAGTACAGATTGAGGATGGATGGAGAAAGCACTGTTGTATTCGGGTGGACGAAGAGGAGGAAGAGAGAGGGAGAGAGAGAGCAGACACACCAGCTGGGTTCTACTATGTAATGCCTCAGGCACCAAGGCAAACACATTCTCTACGGGGTAGATAATTCATCAGCTGACCCTTAACGATCACTGCCTCCGCCTGTCATGACTTTAGTTGACTTTTATCATTATATGCAGTGCATGTTGTTATAGATTGAAGATTTGCACATCCGGCTCCTTACATTCATTATTTCATTTGCGCTCATAGCATTCACAATATTGATTCAAAACTATTCATGCTGCTCTCTTCATTACTGTGGGGGCCAAGTGGCTCAGCCTCAGCCTCAGCCTCAACCTTGCCCCAGGTTTAAACAACGTGAGATTTGGCCAGAAATGAATGTCAGTGGAAGGAGTAGGCGAGGCTAAATGACTTTAGACGTGAGCACAGTATAAGCTACTATATCCCATGTTACAAGCCGATAATATTGGAGCAATGTGCCGTATGAATACCCCGGATCCCTACGTTACGGGGAATATAAAAGCCAATATCTTCACACAGTCATCTGGCACTGCAAGGTTCAGGGTTGATGTAGATTTTATTTCAACAAAATAAGTTCTTTTGTACCAATATCCAGCCCAAATCGTGATATCATCTCAGCCTCTACTAGTTGTAGCTTTGACTCCGTTGGCGGTGGGGACTGGGCGGCACGTAAAGTACCTGGTACCTCGACTAGCGTGGGCGGATGGAGTCTCAACACACCTCTCACCTTATCCCCCTAACTCCCTTTCGCACCTCTGCTGCATTTGGCGGTGATAACCCTGTTATATTGTGAAGCTTTCATTGGGGATGCCCAGAGTCCGCTCTCAGACAGCGTGTCACTGACCCGCGAGGTCCCCCTCCTCGATTCTCTCTCCAGTCGCTCGTTTTGCCGTTTGAACCCTCTCTCCGCATTGCCTACGCCATCTCACCACCCTTCGCGCAGTCGGACCAGTCGAGTCGACAGTCAAAGCTTCACCCGCCCGAAGCCATGTCGCAATATTCAAATGGTCAACAGGCATACTATGGCCAACCCGCCCATCCCCCACCCTCTGTACAGCCTACCGCCGGCCATTATGATGGTTACACTTCCCACAACCCCGCGCAGGCCCAACATCTGCCTCGAAGGATGCCAAGTTACAATGCCGGGGATGATTCAGAATTCTTCAACCCTGCCCAGACCCAGAACGTGAGAGCGACCGAGGTGAACGCACAATATTCGGCACAAGGTCGCGGGTATGGTACCAGTCCAAGCCAGGGAAGCTATAATGTTGCGCCAGGAGGGTATGAAGACGACAGAGACTCGAGATATACACGGGCTTCGTCAGACGCCATGTCGCGCATGTCGCCGAGCCGCGCCTCTTCTCAAACGTCCTCAATGTCTTATCAGTACCAGTACTCGGCGGCCACACCATCCCAGCCGGCCTACAACCCCCAGCAATATGGCCTCCCCCAAGCGCAATCCCAACCGATCCTTGCCTATAACCCTCAGACGTACACTGGCTCAAATAATGCTTCCTACCTCCCTCCCGCTTCGGGCCACCAGCCATATAATCCTGCAGCTTATCAGTCCCCTGCGGTCTCGGGGCTGAGCTCTCCAGTTCTAACCCGAAGGCAGAGCGTAGCCTCACACTATGGGCAACCGCCGCCCACCCCACAATCGTACGGCTTCTCCCACCAGCCACCGCCTCCGCCGCCGAGAGGCCCTGATCATCCATATGGAGGACGCTCGTACCAGCCCATGTCGCCGAATCCATCACCCTCGTATGTGCCATCAAGCTCTCCGACCACAATGACTCTGCCTGCGGCCACATCGCGCCAATATTATAATCCCTCGCAAGGGACTGCGTACGAATGGCCATCACCCCAATATACCCCGGCCATCCCGAGCAGTTCTTTCGAGGAGCAACCTCCAACACCTCCGGTTCATCAGATTCAGAATGGGTTGTATGGCAAGCGCCCAAGTGTGTCGCATTCTGGCCCAGGGCGGTCCCTGCCGATTCCTCCAGGGCAATCAGATCCGCCTCAACCGCCACCTAGACGAACCGATACTTTGACTCGACACCCTCAGTCGCGACCTCTTCCTGGACCTCCGGTTGACGAAGTTGGGATGAATGGCAATCGGCTGCCCACGGAGCCTCCTATGGCGTATGAAGATGTGCTGAGGGAGGATGAGGCAGCGGCATTGGATCGCCATAACTTTGCCCGGCGTCACAGTTCCAGAGCATCGCATACGAGTTCTGCTTCACATATGCGTGTTTCGCCCGATGAACAACATACCCACACCAACGGGAGCATGGAGACAGGCACTGGGCATGTGGTGAATTATGATGCATACAGTGACGAAAGTGACGCCGAGGCTGCCGCCGGTTTGGCTATGTTGCAAGAGGATATAGCGCGCGAAGACCGCGAGCGTGAGCGTCTTGAAGGCCGCATGCGACGGGAGACGAATGCCTCGATTCTCAGCTCACGTGGATCCAATATCTCACCAAGGGGGAATTCACCACGTTCTGATCCCAACGGCGACAGCGACTTCATCGGCCATGACCTAGCTTTGTATGAAGGGGGATATCAAGGGAACTTGCACTACGGTGATGACCCTGCTTACAGTTCCGGGGAGCACTCGGATCCTGCCGTGAGTAACAAATTCCCCGCCACGTCTGGTTCGTTCAGAAGCTCGAACGTGTCTGCCGATGACCGGGAGTATTACGATGAATATGAGCATCCGCCTATCGCTTATGAATACGCCAATCGCCTGCATCACCTACCACTTGATGCCAGGGTTGATGCCGGAGGGACAGGGGGGTTATCGGCACCCGATGCCTATTCTCGGCGAATGAGCTTCGATTATGGTGATGAAGGAGAGGCCTCGTACGATCAGCCTCATTCTGGAGATCATTCCGGCGACGAGAGCCCTTATCGAGGCGCACATGAAGATTTGTTCTTCCATCCTGGGATGCGCCCCTTGCCACCCGCGCCTGTTGAGCCTGCTGGAAATGCCGATCTTGTGTCTCAATTGATGCCTGCGGGCACATACAATCGCTACGCGGGGCAGCAGGCCGACCTGGATGGTTATTCATACAACAGCCCTCCCGATCCTTATGGCGAGGGTTCGCTCAACCCATCCCCAGTGCCGCGATCGTCATCTTTGTCTACTCCTATTGGACCCCGTACCGATGCACCTATCAGATCCAAGACCGATGCCGATCGACTCAGATACAAGCAGCAGCAGCAAGAACTTCTCCTCCAACTCCAAAAGAAGGAGCTGCCTTATGTTGAACCGGCAGCGGCGGCGGCGGCAGCTGTCACGCTCGACTTGCCCACCATTCCAGCAGGCCGGCGCAAGAAGTTCCATCCTGCGAAGCTGTCATCGGAACAATTCAAGAGATGCAGCGAGCCGTGGGCTTTGAGTTCGCTTCTGTCATGGATTCGGGATCTCAGCGAGGATGAAACGGATCTCAGAGAGCAAGCCATTGCCGATGCTTTGGTCGCTTTGTTCACTCACAAAGTGCCCACCATGAATATTGCTGATGCTGAGACACTCGCTGCTCGTGTGGTCAGCGGTATGCTTGAACAGGGGGCTTTGGTCAAAGAAGAAGAATGGGTCAAGTTCGGCTCAGGCACTATTTCGGGTATCTTGTTCCAGATCACTGGCACCGGATGTTATTCTCCGATACTGCACTTGCATGAGATGCACATCGAAGATACTGATAGCTTCGGTCGGTGCTACTCACATCACTGTATGCGGACACTGAAGAAGGTCAACCTGAAGGCGCAGATGATGGCTCCGCAGAAGAAAGCCGAGGACTGGGTCACTTTCTACAAGGTGCCCAAGGAGGTCTGGGAGGCTCACCCAAGGAAAGAAATCGACCGCCAGAACAATCTGCACGAAATAGTCACCACCGAGGATTCTTACATCGCGCAACTGGATGTCCTGCGAGAGCTTTATCGCGACCAACTAGCTGCAATGAACCCTCCGATCATCCCGGCGAAGCGCTTACCCAAGTTTTTGGCCGACGTGTTTGGCAAGGTGGACGCTGTGAAAAGGGTGAACGAGGATTTCCTGTTGGCACAGCTAAAATATCGTCAAAAGGAACAGGGACCATTCATCACTGGATTCAGTGACATCTTCAGGGAATGGATTCGGAAAGCGAAGAACGTCTATATCGACTATGCTGCAACCTTCCCAACGGCAAATTATCTGATGCGCAAGGAATCAGAGCGCAACCCGCATTTCAAGCAGTTCCTGAACCAAGCGCGCGAGCACAAATTGTCAAACCGTCTTAGTTGGGATACTTTCCTCAAAGCTCCGATCACGCGCATCCAGCGCTACACCCTTCTGCTGGCGACTATCCATAAGAATATGGTAAAGGACTCCGAGGAAAAGACCAATGTGGCTCAGGCTATCGAAGAGATTAAGGTCGTGGCGTTGGAGTGCGATCACAAGGTTGGAGAGATGAACAAGAAGGCCGACTTGATGGAGCTGGCTGCCAAGTTGCAATTGCGACCTGACATGAAGAAGGAAGTCGAACTCAACCTCGAACATTTAGGTCGGCAGATCGTCCACCGAGGCGAACTACAGCGTCCTGGAACTCGCACAAGATTCCTTGTTGATACCCATGCGATCCTATTTGATCATTACCTGGTCCTTGCCAAGATCTTCACAATGCGAGATAGGGCAGTGAAGTATGAACGATATGACATCTCAAAACTGCCCATCCCCATGGACCTCCTGGGACTGGAGAGCACCGATGACGACCCGGTGATCAAATCATCTGTCAGAGGTGTTTCGACTGTCACGCCCTCCCAAGCTGGCGCTGCCAGTCCTCTGGTACATTCAGGTTCCGCGTCTGGCGTGCACGCCGCCGTTGACACCTCAAAGGACGACAAGATTCTGTACCCCTTCAAGATCAAACACCTCGGCAAGACTGGGACATACACTCTCTACGCATTCTCGGCACAAAGTCGCATGGAATGGTGCCAAAAGATCATCGAAGCCAAGACGAAACATGCTGCTGCTCTCTTCTCGCAGAACGCCGAGCCATTCCGACTGCGTGTTCTCGCGGACACTGCATTCGCATACTCTGACCATGCTCCCGGCTCCAAAAGTGTCATGATCAAGGGTACACCTCTCCATCGTGCAATCAAAGAAGTCGAGAAGCAGTATGAAAGCTCCAAGACTCGACCTCCTCCGGTTTGCAGGACTGCAGTCAACTGTGCCACCGTGTTCCAGCAGCCGGCTGGGCGAATCATGTGCGCAATTGGTACAGACTACGGCGTCTACATGTCCGAGCTGAACAACCCCCGAGGTTGGCACAGAGCTATTCCCATCACACGCGTGACACAGGTTGCTGTCTTTGAAGATTTCAATCTGCTCTTACTCATTGCAGATCGATCTCTGATTGCATACCACCTCGACGTAGTCTGTCCCGCCAACGGCAAAGCCTCACAATCATCACAAGACTCAGCTCGACGTGCCCCTCAAAAGCTATCCGGAAACCGCGAAGTGGGCTTCTTCGCCGCTGGCCGTCTGAAGGACCGGTACTTAGTCCTATACAAAAAGCGCGAGGGTCTATCCTCAACATTCAAGGTACATCCCCATCCCAACTCACACCCCAAACACCAGCAACAACAAAACTAACACCCACAGGTCCTCGAACCCGTCCTCCAAAAATCCTCCACCAACAAAACCCGCCTCTTCAGCACGCGCCGCGCCCAAACCGAATTCTTCCGCGAATACGACGAATTCTACATCCCAGCTGAAACCTACCGAATAAACATGTTCCACTCCTCCCTCGCAATCTCCACCCAAAAAGGCATCGAAGTCTTAACCCTCGACAAAAAGCACTCCTGGTCCGTCCCCGACTTCAGCACAACCGACTCCTCCGACGCCCAAGACACCCTCCACAGCATCGCCAACCGCATAACCGGCCTCAAACCCCTCGGCATGTTCCGTCTCAGCGAATCTGAATTCCTAGTCGCCTACCAGCAATGCGCCGTCTACGTCAACAAGCACGGCGACGTCTCCCGCAGCGTCGTCATGGAGTTCGTCGGCAGTGCGCACACGGCCTGTTTATACGGGAAATTCCTCATACTGTTCAATGAGGATTTCGTTGAGGTGCGCAATGCTATGAATGGGCGCCTTAGACAGGTTATTCCTGGTCATGGGGTTGTTTGTATTGATGATGGGAGTAAGACGCCTGGTGCGTTGCATGGCACGCAGGCGAGTCAGACTCAGTCGGCTTCTGGGTTTAATGGGGGCTTTTTGGGGCAGATGAATGGGGCGGATGGGGCTGCTGGTCTGGGGAATACGGTTAAGATTTGTATGCAGCATCCGGAGTATGAGCGCAGTCAGATTGTTTTGGAGTTGCTGGAGAATGAGGGACAGAAGGATTGATTCTCGTTGGATTGTTCGGTTCTTTTGTCTTTCGACTGACACCAGCTCTGTTTCTTTCGCGTTGGGTGTGGCATTTGTCGCATTCTTTCTTCGCCCTTTTCGTCTGGCCTTTTGGTTTCTTTTCTCCCGTTGCATGTGTCTGCTTGTTTTATATACCCTTTTTTTCCTCCTTGCTCATTCTTCGCCCGCCTCGTCGTCTTACGGAGTATCACCGTCCTTCTACCTGATCTAGAAAGACTTGGTGACTTGTCTTTCCCACCTCGGATTTTTTTCAGCTTGCTTGATGACAATGCTGTACATTGAAAATGCCATTGCATTTATGATTCCACGATTCTCTGATCTCATGCCTTTTATTTTCCTTATGATTTTGACTCGCTACTATGAGGGTTGGAAGGAAAGCTCAGATTTCGAATCAACTTACAAATTCCATGGAATGGAGCTGTAAACCCCACATATACATGCAAAATCGTATGAAACCAAGGTTAAACACGCATTCAATGATCAGAAAAAGTCCAATAGGTTCTTCTCTATGTGATCTAAGATATAGATAGCGCTTCCAATGGAAACAGTAACCACAAGATGAAACAGACCCCAAACCGGGGGATCCAGTATTGTAGTACAAAGCCGCATGATGAACCCAATAGACCGACAAACGATGAAAACATGAACAAGACAGCCCAACCATATAAATGACAAGATACAATGGGAGTCGGGAAAGAGAGAAAATCACGACTCAAACTCAACGACCTTGCTAATGACCTCGGCATCACGCGAAGGGGATGCACTCTTGGCAGCAGCGCCCGCACCAGAAACCTTAGACGCATGATCCGAAACATTCTTTTCATCCAAAAGAGAAGTCCTTTCGTCCCTCCCACCATCAAGCACCTCAGCACCCTCGAGCAGATCCCGATCCGCATCGCGGACAACACTGCGACGCTCAGTATCGGCGCCGTACGCGCCAGCACCCCAGCTGGGAGTTCCGCCGGGCATGACGGCGGCGCTGCTCTCGCGACGGGGGTAATCGTCTTCGTCGTCGTCTTCTTCATCTTCGTCGCGGCTGAGGGCGTTGCGCTCGAGTTCGCGTTGGGCTTCGTCCATGCGCTTTTTCACTTCGGCGGCCATGCGGATGCCGTCTGTGACGATGTTGTCGAGGACGCCGCGGAGACCCTTGCCTGGTGGCACGATGCCGCCGGAGGCGCCGGCGATGGGGGCTGTTGAGCCGGAGGAGAAGCTGGGGGAGCGGAGGCTGCCCATGTTGGAGAAGGTTGTGAGGTTTGAGGAGAGGGAGGAGGATGCGGCGAGAGCTGCTGGGTGGGGGTGGTCGGAAAGATGGAAGGATTGGGGGAAGTATGACTCGAAGAACTGCTCTAGGAGCTCGTCGGCTAGGACTACCATTCGGAAAGTGGGAAGGGTGATGTGCAGGGGGTTGTTCGGGTCGAGAGCAGGGTTGGCAGACTCAGACGTTGAGCGGTTGTGGTCGTTGGTATCTGATTTGGACGTTGCAGGAATGTCTGATTGGGATGTTGCGTCTGGTGCTGGAGACTTGCTTGATTTGGTATCGTCACCAATATCGATCAGATCTTCTTCTTCGTCATCATCGTCACCGATGGCAAAAGAGTCTAGCTGCTCAGTTGCCTCTTCCGTCGCGTCTTTTGGAGCTGTCTTTTGATTCTCTGGGTGACTAGGATCGGCGTATTCGAAGCAGCGGCGGATGAACGCGCTGACACTACCAAGGAATTTCTCGTCAGTAGTGAGCGAGTTTTCGGCATGTTCGCGGTCCCCCAACGAAGTCAGATTTTCCACGGAAGGAGTGGCAGTGATAGTGCCCTCGAATCCACGCCGGGAGAGGAACAACAGCGCCTCGGAGATCTTGAGGATGCCTTCCCGGTCAACCTGCCCATTGCCATTGTCATCGTACAAGTTGAAGAAATAGTTGATGTTGTTCATGATATCAGGAGATCCTTTAAGACGTGCGAGACCATTGACCACATTCTGAAGATTCAATCCATCCTCGGGGTCTGTGGCCCACTTGCGATAGAGGCGCTGCATGAACTCATGGTCTGCTGGCTGTCGACGGTTCGCCCACAATGCCGATCTGCCCGATGAAGATTCTTTCCTCGACGGTCCAGGAGAGTCAGCTACCGCCCATTTCGCTGTGGCGGCCAAGAATTCCCGGAAAGCATCATAATCCATGTGCGTAGGGCTAGGTCCGAGGCCAACACGACCAACCTGTGTATCAGCAGGAGGAGCTAGCATGGACAGGCGTTCAGTTTTCTTCCTCTGTTGCCGCCTCCTCTCGTCCTCGAGAACTTTCTGGTGCTGTTGCCACTGATATAACGTTTCATAGAAGCGGTCGTAGATCGTTCCAAGATCATCCACGCTCAGACGTTTGCTTTCGGGCCCTAGGTTGCGAATCGAGGTACGCTTCGCGAAGGTCTCAATATTCTCTAGCACAGCACCTTTATGCTTTTCGCGTGTCTCGGTGATCGTGCTGTGAGTGATGCCAGAAAACTCCTTGAAGGCTACAACCATCAATTCCTGGAATCGCGTGATAGCCCGTAGCTTTGGGTTTTCGGACCTCGGATGAGCAGATTCATCCAATCGTGAGAAATATGACTTCAGCACAGAGATGAACGACCCGTCGTCCTGGGTCTCGAGGAGTTCCTCGCCGTTGACTCTAAGAATGGCCAGACCGACTTGGAAAAGAACCTTTGGTCCTTCCAAGAAGAAAACATCTAGGACACGGAAAGCGAAAACAAGCGGCATGGAGTTAATGTAGAGGGAGAGGAACCATGGCAATGAGACCACAGAGAGTTGTACATCGGATTTGGTCAGATGATCCCAGAGCACAGGCATTGTTTTCTCGACCAGTGATTCGAACACTTTCTGATCGAGTAGCGTCCCGTACATTGTCGTGGAATAGTAGCCAGGGAGCAGACGATCACACAGCACGGAGAGAAGGAAAAAGGCCTGGGCCTCAGACATATATCTGGGAAAATCAGCTGGGAATCTTGAGCGAACGGGAAATTGACACCATACATCAACAATGCGGCCACCACAATATTCATGGCTTGGCAATACCCAATCTCTGGGTCAATCCAACTGTAGGCAGTGAGAACTCGTCGCAGGCGCCCGATGCCCTCCTCGCTCTGGAATCCAGGATACTCTGGCAAACTCCGATTCAAATCTTTTTCGATCTCATCAATCGCAAGAGACTCTTGTCCCTCAAACTTGGCCAATGTCTGCTGATACAGATTTGGAGTCCGTAGGCGAAGGAACAGCGAGCCCGACGTAAGCTCCCATATTTCTCCTCGTAACCGATTGGGTAACCCGACTCTGATCAGCTTGTGGAAGGTTGGTTGGCGGACTAGGGTGGCATTGCGTCCGTTTTCTGGGAGGAGATTAGCGGGATGTTCGGCAAGAATGTTGGAATAGTAGATGAATTACCTCGGAAGTATTCGCCCCAAAGTCTCATCTTACTGCGATCACGAAGCTTGCGCGCATCACCAGGGTAGCGGAAGATCAGGCCCAACCCTGCATCGGGGGGCTGACGAACGTCCGCTTCATTTCCATCTTGTCCCTTGCCCTTAGCCCCGGAGAGCAAATATTCCGAGTAACATTCCGTGACAACAGCCCGCAAACTGTCAACCTCCTTCATTGCTTCCCGTAGGCCTTTTTTCAATGTGTCGCAAAATCGCTCGCAGGCCTGTCTGCTACCGACAAGTTGTAGGATGAGGCGTTGAGGCGCCAGGTTGGGTTCTTGCTGCTTGTTGAGCAGGCCGTTCCAAGTTGTGAGTGCCAAGGAGAACACATGGCTGGCGCTATGAAGACGTTCGACGCGTCGAATACACGACAATGGCAGAATGAATCCATTGCCTGATGGCCCCGTGCCATGTGTCTGGCCAGTCCATGTAGTTGAAGCACTCGTTGTGGCAGAGGGAATGAAGCTGGTCGGCTGGGTCGAAAAGCAAATGAAACGTTCACTCAGATGTAGGCGCCCAGAATACGTATTTCCCGCTCTGTCGACCTTGCGCGGACCATCCCCTTGATTTGCTGACGAGTTCGGGAGCGGAAGAACGAGATCAGCGGTGATTTCTTGGAGCGGGTTCTGGGAATCAGGGAGTCGGAATTGTTGGCGAAATAGCGATGCCTTGGAGGCATTGTGCTCGGACGAGGATAGGGTTGGAATATTGAAGTTGGCTGGGTCAATCAGGCTCTGGGCCTTCTGAACGAAGGATGACCACGGAATCATGGTGGAGATGAGATCGGGTGGAAATTGTGAGACCGGCTTGACAGCTGATAACCGATGATGTCGGGATCGGAGCTATCTAGGGACTTGGGAGTCCAGCAGATTCGGGCTAGGAGTAAGAAAAAAAGCCCGTGCGTAATTGTAATTGAAGCTTCAAGGTCATCGTACAAGTCAAATCATCCTTGGCCGAGGACTGGGCCTACAGAACAAGAGGATCGGGTTGGGTGTTGTTGTTGGATCGATAAGAGGGGGCGTGATGATGCGGTGGCTTCACGTGACTCTTCTCAGCCTTATCCCTACTAGCTTGGCAGGACATCATTATGGAGCGATGTCTGGAAAATCGGAATAGCATTGTTTCCTACATGCTACTGTTTTTGCTCTGCAATGACGCCGGAGAGTGAGCGGAGACTGAGAGTAGACAAATACAATGGAGATATGGCTACTAAGGTAGGCTTATCACTACGACATCTCCAGGAGCCGGTTGTATCATATCAGTTTAAGTCTACACTGCATACTTGAAGTAGAAGACACAGACTCTTGATTGGCGAGGCTAGAGTAAGAGAACAAGGCGAACAAATCAAGAACAAAACGACTATTAGGACGACAAGTCCTTGTGTGTACCACGGTCACCCAACAACTATCCAGGCAAATCAATGCTTAGAAACGTCATGATAAGGACACGAGAAACCATAAAGCAAGCATTGGTCACAGACCTCGCGGTGGTGTTTCCTAGAAGCAGAAAAAGAGCACGTGAGGTAATATTAACCCAACACAGTGCGGACTGCGGTGCATAGATAATACGCATATACTTGCCCAAAAAGAGGCAGGACCGATCTTTTCCTTGATCCTGATAGAGAAACCTTGAGAGCCAGAGGGCAGGGTGAGTTCAAGTGGGTTGGCTAGCCATGGAGTGGTTGGAGGACCTAGCCAAGATTGTGAGCCTCCAACAGGTCATGCCATAGAGGATGAATGACAGAGGGAGATAAGTTTTCGTTGTAACATCCTTGTCAAGTTGCTGTGGAGCCCCAGAGGGCGGATTGAATTCATGGTGGTTTTGTCACGGAGACCAAGGGTAATGTTATGGCGACAGCGGACTTATCATTACTACGCTGAAGGCCCGTGGTATTTGTAGCATAGACCGTGGAGAAAGAGAATAATCTGGTGGAATCCCCCAGGTGCCGAATATGTGAAGCTGGACTGGCTGGGAGTGCCCCTTGATCAAAAGACAGGACTTTGGCCGACAAGTTAAATAAGGCTTGTTCTGGTCTTTTTTGTTATCGTTTTTCTTTTTTTTTGGGTTTTTGGTCTTTTGTCATTTCTGTTGCGCTCTCATTCTACCCAGTCACTCCACCGTTTTAGTTCTTGCCAAGTTGTTCCTCGACCCGACCGTGCTCGGTGTATCCAGGAAGGACGTCCTCGGGATCACAGGGGACGGCCATGAGTCCCTGCTTTTCACAAGCATCACCATTCTCCCAGGCAGCCGTGTGCTCCGCAGACTCGACGCCGCGGTGCCGTTGCCAGAAGAAAATCACGGCCTGGCCAACCAGCATGCCAACAGCGCTCGCGGTCAATCCCGCCAGCACACCTAGCACAGCTGGGACAACGATAAAGTGCACAATGCGAGAGAATGTGCGGGCGAAGGCGCTGTTGTATTGGTGATGCTGGTGAGGATGAGCAGAGCCGAACGCGTGGTGGTGGGGACCGTGGGAGTCAGGATGGATTGGTCTGTTTCCCTTGTGTTGGCCATGGCATGTCTTTGAGCGAGATTTGGCCAAGGCCATCACGCGGTCCTTGGCGCCAGCCAACAGACCTTGAATACGAGTGGCGAAAAATTCTTGCAGGCATTTGGCGTTCCCATGGCACTCCTTCCAGGAGGAATGATCGGAAGCAGAAGGGGTCTTTTCGATCTCGGTCCGAGTAATGAAAAGCCCGCCGTTGGGATCCTGAAGAACAACGATAGCGACAGTATCAACGGGCACCGGGTGGGTCTCCAGGTCGAGAACGGTGAATCGGATATCCAGCAGCTCGTAGCCAAGGTCGTCCGAGGAGCCAGCCACTGGCATTATTTCGAGTGCATACCCAACGGGCATGGGAGTAGAAACCTCGCCGTCCTCGTTGTGTTGGACGGCCAGGATTGGGAGGGGCTGCGCCGGTGGGAATATCTGACGACCGTTGACCAGCAGATTGTTGTCTGCCACAGAGAAATGCAGAGTCTGTTGGATTATGTTAGCCAGAATCGGTGGATGAACGGGTTCTGTTATCCTTACCAATGATGATGGTTTGCCGTCCATCCAACTGACGACGCCTCCCTCATTCGTTTCACGGAAGGGACAATCAGTGCAAGGCAACTCGATGACCGCATGGTGGGCCTCTTCCATAATGACGGGGTGGACATTCACAAATCCGTCTTCAACCATATCGACGTTGGGTTCCATCTCGGGGATGACCAGCATCGCGCTGGCGCCGAGGGCAGCGACGCCACCCAGCAAGGCAGATCGCATGAACATAGTGATGGAAGAAGTTCAATGCAGGGAGGTGGACCAGGGCCAAGCCGATTCCTGCTTCGTTCGAGGTCAAGTAAAGAAGTCAATGAAAGAAGAGAAATCCAACAAACTCAACGGTTATCTCGAGGAGTAGTTGGATAAGAAGTACGGAGGATGATCTTCTTCCAGCGGGAAGTGGAGTGGGTGACGCCAGCTGCTGCGCCGCTCGGGATATGATTGGTGGATTTGACAGGCGGACAGTTGGCTGACTGCGCAAGTATTCACGTGAGAGTCGCCCGCCCCAGGCCCCACAGGCCTGGGGGCACAAAAGAATCAAGCAACTGAAGCTGGGCATACGGCGGATGCCACAGCCCCTCGTAGCATAGAAACTAGAAAGGAATCAGGAATGATGAAAATTGAATCCGAGGATGGTTTTAGGTTCACAATCTAGTACCTAGGGTTGTACCTATACCTAGATTTCATCAACCTACACTCTACAGTCTACAGTACTCGGAGGCTTACTGTCACCGCCTAGTCAGGTGACCTCAGACTTCTTAGCAAAGTAGAGAAAGTCAGAATGAGACCATTCTTCCCTTCTGGGCTTACGCTGCTGACACTTATCCTAGATACGTTATAAATACCTATTGTGGAATCTTTAAGACAGCCTAAAGGCGGGGCGTAAAGGAATGAATACGACAGCGAAACCCGGGGCCGGCTGTGTACTCATGGAGTCATGTCTACAGTCTCATACAAAAAGGGGCAGCAGTCAGGACTAACTAAAGGCTGCATGAGGAAGGTACAGAGATGACAGCGACGCTGAGCTGCGCACTCTCGCATATGAATGGACAAACGAATGGAGAAGAAAATCATAACATTTTTCACTATCTACAGAGGGGATTCGGGAGCTTATCCCCATGACCGCGGAGGAGAGTGCTCCTACCCACAGTGTCCTCAGCGAAGCCGATCCCTCCTGCATGTCAGCCTCAGGCGTAGCAGTGGCGACGGGTCGGGCGGGGGACTAGACTCCTGGCTTTGATGACCAGAAGCGGTCTCTCTGCCGCCCGATTTGTCCCGCCGCTCTCCTGCAGCCTGTTCATGGCTGAGCATTGCCGGGCTATTGGCATCCTCGACCCTTCCGGCGCCCTTAACCCCCGCACGGGCTGTCCCTGTTGCCGCAGCGTCTTGGGGACTGGCTACCTGAAAAGGAGAGGTGGAGACTCAAGAGGCTGCTGTGACCTGCAACCCCTCAAGAGAGGAGATGGGCGCCGAGTCTGCCCGTCTACGCTCCTCACGCTGGGCCAAGAGCACATCAAGATGCGAACGGGTACCGGTCCGCAAGCTCCCGTGTGTTGGCCGGTCGACAATCAGCCAACTCCAGTCTGGTTCCTCCCGAGCCGGCCTAGAAGCAGGCGGCTTGATCGGGCCTTCCCCAGTGGAGGTTGGCGACGTCGACTTTGATCGGGTGGGGGCCAGCTCCGTAGCAGCTGGAGCCTCCACAACCTCATCGAGCGTGTCAAGAGGGTAGGATCCGGGCATGGTCGGCGTTGGCGAATCCCAGTCCGCTCCGAAGGGGCCTGGCTTTCAAAAGCGGGCCACCATTCTTCGTCAGACGGGTCTGACTCCGAAGTGGCCTGCCATTGAAGAGCAGGCCACCATTCGTCGTCGTCAGAGTCAGACCGAGCAGAGTCATCTTCTTCCGACGGAGAAGGCTTCAGGGCAGCAGGAGCCTGCTGGGAGAGAGCAGGCTCACTGACGACTGCCTGGACGGCGACCTTCTCCGTGCCATCCAGAACAACCGGAGTCGGCTGGGCCACAGCGCTCGTGACTGTCTGGCTCGAAGGCTCCGAGGCAGTGGGGGCTTGCTGCGAGGCAGCAAGCTCACGCACAACTCCGTCGGTGGCGACCTTCGCTTTGGCGGCCAAAACAGTCTGAAGCCACTGAGACCCAGCGGGCTCACTCACGGTTGCCTGGATAGGCACTTCCGTCGGAAGAGCCGCCAAGCGCACTTTCTCGGCTAGAGCTGGCTGCGGAACAGCTGGCACGCTCATAGCCGCCTCGAGCGGGACCTCGGCGGAGGGCTCTGGGACGATGAGAGCTGGCTCTGGAACAGCGGGTTGACTCCCAACTTCCAGAGTAGGCGCCTCCTCGGTCTCGACGCTCGGGGTGTGCGCTTGCGGCACTGGGGGCGCTGGGACAGGCACGTGGACTGCCTGGACAGGCTGCTGGGATTGACTCATCCCGGGCAAGCAACTCAGACTCGGCCTTGCGCACCGTGTCTTCTGCGACTTGCCCGACGCACCCGGTGGGTGCGATTGGCTGGATGTTGTCAATCCGAGCAAGCAGCCCAGAGCCGGCCTTGACGACCGTGGCTCTGGTGATCTGCTTCTTTCGCTCTGTCCATGGCTCCACGGGTCCCATGCGCTTTTCTGCTTTCGGATGGCTGGGCCGAGGGTAATCGATCTCCATAGGGGTCTGAGACGGCTGTTGGACAGCTGGCGCACTCATTGCTCCCTGTGGAATCGAGAGGGACTCCTCGGTCCCCAGCCATTCCATGTAGCCGTCATGCTGAGCCAAATCTTCCCCGGACTGTGACTCATCCTGGGGTTGATTCGACTCGGCGATCTGGCCCTCGGCGGGATTCGCCATCATGTCATGATCCTCCACGGGCGAAGGAACTGACGGGGTGATCTCGAGCGGCTGAAGGGCGCCGCAGGTAGCCTCGAAGGCGTCCAAGAGCGAGCCAGCCTCCAATGACTCTTGACTCGCCAGCGGAGTTGCATCTGACGACGCACTGGCAGTAACGGGCGCGGAGATCATGGCACCGTCGGAGTCATTGGTAGGCGGGTTCAGCTCACCGTTGGACGCAGTCTGGCTCGCCTCGCTCTCACCGGAGCTAGGGCCTTCACCGTTGCCCAGCCTGCGGCTGACTAGGGGGGATGGACTCGAAGCGGTGGGGCCGGTCGCTGGGGTGGATGCCGACGAGTTCTTCTTGACCTCTGTGGCGTTCTTCAGCCGCTTCGTTGATTGCGAACCTCGTGGAGCCGATCGAGTCGCAACCTTTCTTGGCATAGCACGCCGGCCGTGCTTCTGCCTGCGCTTGAGGAACTCCATGCCAAGTAAATTGGCTTGTTCGTCAAGGAGTTCGTCGAGACGGGCCTGCCCATCTCGGTGGCGCTGAGAAAGGTGCTTGTCGGCGGCTTCTTCCACGAGGTCCAACAGCGCCCTCCAAGTGTCACCGTCGCCCTCGTACGTGACCCGCCAGCGGAAGAGCGCATCTGCGTCGCCCGCAGCCTCCTTCAGTTCGCTCTTGGCTTCCTGATAGTTAGCCTCGAGGAAATCGAACTGGACTGAGAGGATTGCGATCTCTTCTGCATTGTCCTGGCGGCTAGTCTCTTCAGGGACGGTGACCCCGCCGTCGGTCCTCGGCTGCGAAGACGACTCCGTTGGCGTGGAGTCAGTCATCGCCATCTCTTGGCCGGCAATTGTCCCTTCGGCATCACCGAGTTCGTTGCTCAGCGCGCTGATCTCACGCTGGTCTTCGAGCTCGTGGCCGGAATTGGCAGGGACAATGCTGCTGGAGACTGCCTCAGAGGGGCCAGTCTCAGATTGCCGAGGACCATCGGGGTGCTGGTTTCGGATGGTGGCGGATCCGAAAGAGGGGGTTTGGGCTGTGGCGGGGCCCACCAGGGGGGTGATCCCGTGCGGGGGACCCTGGTTGTCGGTGGTAGGATTGGAGGAAGGACCATGTCGGCGCCGGGCGAGCCTCATGGCGGCACCTAGGATCTGGCGAATGCGGCGCTTCTCACGCGCCGCCTTCCAGCCAGTCCTAGGCGCAGCAGAGGCGGCGGTCTTTGAAGTGGCACCCGGGAAAGGGGTACCAGGACGCCTCTGCTCTTGAGGGGCCTCGCTCCGGCGGACCAACTGTCCTCGGAGGGTCCATCTGATACGCAGCCGCGCGGGGGGGGTTCAGAGGTGCCGCGGCGGAAGCAGGCGGCGCCATCTGAAATGGAATCACCCCGTTGCGATGCTGGGGACCCTCAGGGAGCGTTAGTCCTTCTCCGTTCTCCATTGTGCTAAGAGGATGTCAGACAAGATGTCATGAACGATCAAGAGATCGATGGATGAACAGATGAATGGGTGAACAGATGAATGGATGGACAGATGGATAGATTGATGTGTGAAGGAATAAGTGGGCGGATGAATGCATGGAAGTGTGCATGGAAGTATCGATGCATGGATGGATAGATAATCGAATACACGTGAAGGGATGTGTCATGGTATGAACGCTGATGTGACTTACTTATGATGGGCGGTTGGGTGGTTATGATTGGAGGCGACTTGGTTATTGGTGTCGGGGGTCATCTTGTACTCGATGGAGTACAACTGGAAGAATGAGAAATGATGAAGAGGAGAAGAAGAAAGATTCGAGGAAGAGGAAAAATTCATTTCTAAGTCCTGGACGAGAACAGGATCAATGAGGTCCCTGTGTGTGATTGGAAGATCCAGGATCACCGTGATCAACCAATTGGAAGTGGTTTTCTTTGTTCACGAGTGAACCCACAATCCCGTTTGTCAATGGCAAGTAGAACAATTCCTTAATAGGATATTGCATTAATAGAACAAAGAAATCTCTGCATCTCTCCTTCCCAAGTAACTGTAATGTATGTTGGGCCACACTCGCCCTTCAAGGGAACCTATGAACCCAGTCCGCCCCTGCACTTTTGATTGATTTTATCTTCTGCTTTCCTTTGCTGAAGAACCCATAGCTCTCATGAGTTGCGGCGTACACTAACGTTGGTCTCTGGTCGAGCAATCTATATGCGTGATGCGTGGTACTAGGAATAGCTATCCATCCATCTATCCTATCCTTATTTACGTAGACATTCACTCTGAACACAACGTACATTCAAGGATTTGATGTTCATTGTATGCATTGATATCCGTGCGTCGTAGATAAGGTTACGGGTCTGTGTACGGTCCGTCCCGTGCCGACCACGCCACGCGAAGATCGGTTGCTGAGACTTGGTGGGTCTGACTTTCGGGGGTCCGTGCGCTCGGGTGGCCGCAAACTTCCCTGCCCACGTCTGCTAGTGTGCTAAATGTTTGCCCTGTACTGCCTGGCCTACCTATACTATTTCTCCCACACGTCTTGTATATTCGCCCAATGCTATGTTCATACTACTGTCCTATGGCACAGAAAGAGGTATCGCGATTGAATGGAATTCATAGCCGGACTGGAATTCAGCGTCAGGCTCTAGAAACCAGATCGTATGTGCGCTACTCGAAAGATTCATCACCAAATTGAGAAAAACGTAATCGGGTCTTGACAATGCAAACGCCCCGAAATTGACAACAAATGAAGCTAAGTACGCTCCCAGGAGAATGGTATAGTTGTGATGACGAAGGGTATGAATGAGGGTTCAATTACTTTTACCTAAGAGAACAAGACTAGAGAGAGAAGAAAAGAGAAGAAGAGAGGAGAAAAAAAGGAGTAAAAACAATACAGCCGAAATCCTCCTATCACGTGACAAGTCCCTTCCTCCTAGTCCTCGTTCGATGTGCTCTCGTCACAATAGTGACCCTTTCAAACACGACGGCGCTTGGACGGCATAAAGGTGCTCGGTGGCGCGCGTCGACGAGTCACGCTTTGAACGGGCGACGCAGATGATCCGGGGGTCAGCGGACGTGGGGAAGGGGAATGGGCGAGGTGAGTAGAAGCTGAGGCCTTTGCGGTCGGGGCGGGGTGAGTAGAAGACGAGGGCTTGACGGTAGGCGCGGGGGAAGTTGGTGGGGGTCAGCGTCGCCCTTAAATCCCGGCTTGGCAGATGCAGTGACCGGCTTCTTGGTAGCGGAGACATTGGTCGAGCTGCCGGCACCAGATGACGCGCGACGTGCACCGATTGTTATCTTACGGATGGGGCGGGGGGTAGCCCCGGTCTGCGCTAGCATAGGGTGCTGGAGTGAAGATGGCAGCATACCGGGGTGCCTGGTGATGCACTGAGGGGGAGCTTGCGACGTCGATGGAGCTGGAGCCTTTGGGTGTGGCGCTGGTGTCGAAGGCGGGACGGGGCGTCGATGCTCCTCAACTAGGGCAATAGGTGCACTCTCGATCTGCGATGCACGATTGTGCAGGGATTTGGTCGGCATTGTGAGTGCGGAACTGTTCTTTGTCGACTTGAAGATCCATCTATTCTTTAAAGGGCCATGTATGTATTTGGCAGCGTCCCGTCTTCGGAGGAAGTTAACTCTGAGTTGTCTCCAGGTACGTTGAGCACCGGCCATGTGCTTGCTCTCACTGTCTGGGATGATCTTGGGAGTGAGAAGTGCACGTTTGGCGTTGATGCCGTCCATCGCCGTCTTCATCCTTTGCACATCGGCCTCGAGATCTTTTTGAGCCTGGTCGCGGAGATCATGATACATCCCATCCCAATTGTCAGTCTCCTCTGGCATTTGGTGTTTCTGCCAATTGGGTTTGTCGCGCTTGATAAGCTCCAGCGACACTTCCCTATCTTCTTTGGCGAGGTGGGGGGATGCCATTTCTTGCGCGTGCTGTAGATCAGAGAGGACAGTATTAGCCATTGGTTTACAAATTGGGGTATGTAAAGCCAGAAAAGCGCCAATACAATGATGAATTGTAGGAGTAAAGTAGAACCTACCAGTTTCTCGGGGTTAAAAGCCATGGATGACCTAGGGGCCATGCCGTACACTCGCCCGTCCGATACTGATGAATATCCATAACCCCGAGAAACAGGTAGGTTCTACTTGGAAGTCCTTTGAACATACCTTTCATGCAGCGGATAGCCGACCCAAAGAATTAAAATGATGGATAGGAGAAGAAGGAGAAAGATTTCGAGGAAGAGGAAAATTACGTTTATAGAGAACTGGATCACTGAGGTTCCTGAGTGTGATTGGATGATCCAGGATCACCCTGATCGACCAATTGGAAGTGGATTCCTTTGTTCACGAGTGAACCCACAATCCCGTTTGTCAATGGCAAGTAGATCAATTCCTTAATAGGATATTGCATCAATAGAACAAAGAAATCTCTGGATCTTTCCTTCCCGAGTAACTGCAATGTAGCTTGGGTCAGTCATACTTGCCCTTCAAGGTAACCTATAAACCACCCCTGCTGTTCCACCAGCACTTTGAATTTATTTTATTTTTTTGCTTTTATTTGCTGAAGAACCCATACCTTTCAGGAGTTGTGGAGTGCACTGATAATGGTCTCTGTTCAAGCTCTCTATACGCGTGCTCCTACTATTAGCACTAGCTATACATCTACTTATACTATCCTAATTTTTTGTTGAATAGTAATACTGGAAGGTATACTAAGCAGCATGTAACGTAACATTGTCTTCAACCAAACGAAATTGTAATTCGTGTCTGTCTGTCTATCTATCCACTGGTATGAACCCCTATTTATGCTTCGCCCTCCACGCCTTCCTGTAGTCTTTGCACATGGGCTCACGTGCTTGGGAGCCTTGGTGAAGAGAGGGGAAGTGAGCACACATGGGATATAGAGAAAGAGGGCTTATCTCTCTAAGACTCTGCCGAGGGCTTGGTCTTTGGCAGACATCCGACTTCGCGGAGCGTTGAATATTGGAGTAGAGCCGATAGCGGAAGAATTATGTGTAATTCTTCAAGATCTTTTACATATACGTTTAATCTGATCACAGTGTACATTTATGGATTCGATATTCATCGTATGCCTGCATATCTGTACATAGTACGTCGTAGATAAGGCTACGGGTCCGTGTATGGTCCGTGCCGTGCAGATCACGCCACGTGGAGACGGATGGCTGACGCTTGGCGGGCCCGACTTTCGGGGGTCCGTGCGATCGGGTTGCCGAAAACTTCCCTCCTGCAACCATTCGGATAGACTGTCCCACCCAGTCCGCAGTATGTATATTCGTACTTTGAATATCAGTACACGGTATTTCTACAGAGATACATTCAAATTTGGTTTCAGGCGTACGGTCTAATGGCGGACCCACAGTAGACAGCATGTCGCGCGCATTCGCATTAAGCCTCTAGCAAGAGAACAGATTTTCCTTTGTCTTCTGTCCCCTGCTCACTGGCCGAGTAATGTCTCAGCGCAAATCCTCGACATCTCGTGGATTTACAGTCAGTGTCGGTGTTGACAGGTATATCCGGTGTTTACTTCATCGATACGGAAGTACTGACGAGAAGATTGTGCCTTAGAAACCCACTTCAAATTCCGGCTTTATTATCTGCCGTATGCAGGCCATACCACCAAGATAATCCCCATATCTGCGACTTGGCGAACAAGACACCCCCAGTGGCGGCCGATCTACAGATGGCCAATCCAGGTCTTAGAGCCCCATGGCAATACAACGCCAATTCTTGGCTTAGGATACATATGAGTATGATAGAATATCCCCGGAAAGCGAGGACCTGGGCCGCGTCTGTTGAGGGTGCGAGAAATGGAGATCTTGGATACACGCGATATCATCGGTTGTTTCTTGAACGGGGCCTACAGTAGTGTAGCCAGCCAGTCGCCTATCAGTTACTAATGGAAGTTTTGGCTATGCGGTATCCCTGTAGAACAATAGGAAAAGGATCGTCATAGCGCTGCGCACGACAGTAATGTCACTACACCTACTATGTGTTTGTGTAACTATTCCAAGAGGTTATAAGGCTAGTGTGAGTGTGTTATTTTATCCAAGCTGTACTGCTTGCTGGTCTGTGTAGAGTCGGCTAAGTTACTTGAGGGCTCTATCCGGGGGTACGTGACACCTCTCATGACTAGGGGCCTACAAGAGAGAACGCGTCATATTCTATTCATTCACCAGGGAGCAAGTTGCGAGCCGACTAATTCGAGGGCACCAGGCGCTGCGGGACCATCGTTCTGTGGTCGGCAGTCCGCCCCCTTCATGAGACCTACGAAAGACCAGTGTGCCTTGTTGTGCTGGGTGCAGGCAAGATTCGGATCATACGAGGCAAGTCTCTATCTCCTCTGTGAAAATTAGTCCGGCGTCTAATGAAAATAGAGCAGGGTGAATCTACGCTTTGACTCGTCCTAGAGGTGTTTTGTGACGTTGGCGTGATTGACAACGGAGCGCAAGATGATCGAGCCAAAGTGAACCATCAGACATCATTGGGTCATTGCGAGTGAAGACGCCATGAAGATCTTCGATCTCGGGGTATCTCCACATTGAACACAGGTACTCCATCCAACATCGGAGGTGATTACTTGTGACTGACACATATTGTGACAGACAATAAGACAATATGGACGATTCGGATACCGTCCCTCTCCTGCCTCACGACAGCCAGTCCGTTACAGCCACGAGCCGCAGCTTGCTACCTTTATATCGCGACGACTACAGAAACATATAGAGTGAGAAGTTGACAGTAGGCCGGATGGTGTATGGTGTGTGGATCTAGGTGTTCCACAATGAATCCGATGCCTTCCCTTGTCGGTAAACCTTCGGAACACGGATTCTTTATCGGAAACTTATGGGATTGACATCAAGCTTGTAAACTGTCTTAGGGGCTATCTGTGGATGAAACCACAGTGTTCTAGTTGCGACTTGGGGTCTTTATATTGTGGGATGGGAATTTATCCTAAGCTGTTCAAACAAGAATTCTCAGGACCGAGCGTTGTAACTAGCTCGACGAGGGCCTTGCTCCAGTGGGTTCGTAGCACCAGCTCATTGTTCCAATTGATGCCTGCGATGTATATCCGTTCTTGCTTTCGTGGTACCTTTCCCGTGGTGAGCGTGGTCTGCTTCGTATATCCGGCGCTGGACCAAATGTGGCTCGGTCAAGCTCCATATTGCGAAGAGGATTGCGTGTGCTCTGGCTATACGAGGACGGGAGAATCGTCGGGAGGTCGTGGAGATGGGCAACAGCATCATGGGAAGTGAGGGATAAGGCGAGTGGTGTCAAGTTGGTATTAGTCGGGTTGCACGTTGGCCAGCATTCGTGACATAGCCGATTGAAGTTTTCAAATTGATACCTTGAATATGAGGTTTGAAAGTGTCGGAGAAACAGCTGTGCAATCAAGGGAGCATAGACAGGGCTGAATACTTCCTAAAGGGGCAACCCAGGGGAGGATCAGCGGCAAGTGGAGAGAAACGGTTACCTGCCGACCGACGATTCAGTATGAAACCATTCACGGATAGGTTGAATATGCTCAGATTTGCAGGTCTCCGGGATTGTACGATCGATTGTCTATCCCCTGATGCAGGAAGCGACGAAGAAAACCACAACAGGGATAAAGTTAGTATACAAGGGATAGAATCCAGGAAAAGTCTTCAGTCCAAAAGGTGCAAAATAGCCGTCACAGCAATCGCAATCCCAGCTACTCTTCTATTCCCCAAATGAATCCGAGTCCCCAATCCCGTCTGACTCGCCGAAGGACTCGACACCGTCGTACTACCCCCATCAACCCACGGCTGCCTAGGAAGCGAATCGGAACTCTCGCCGATCTCTGCCGCGCTAAGAACCTTGTTTTCCAGCAGCGCACAATCGATCCGGTCTTCGCGCTCCGGTATACTATTTGTGGCAGAGATCGGCCAGTCAAAGACTGTATAATAGTCAGATCCATTCCAGCGGAACGACTGGTGCATGGAGATATTGTATGCACCGCGCGCCGAGTCTTTCGAGCCTGAGCCGTCTCCCGCGAGGCAATCGGGCCAAAGCCAGTTTACATGCTTGACGGTGGATGACGGTTCCAGGTCCAAGACCGGGCCGACATAGCTTGTGTTGGAAGCGGGCTTTGTGCCGTTGGAGATGGTGAAATTGTGGGACAACGCGTCGGAGGTTAAGAAGAGGGTGATGTTGTGGAAGCGCGTAGGTGAACGGGTATCAGTGATTGCTGGCCACGGTAATTGGCCATTGCCGGATACGTCGATTGCGACTTGAAGATTGTCTAAATCATCAGCTGAAAGTTCATTGGACTGGGCGCATTGACGTGCCTCCTCCGAGGGGCGTGTTTGGCTGCGGGGCATCGACGATCGCTAGCCCTGGAGTGTAAAGCTGGCCATTGACGATGGTAAAGTTGGTCATGGTGTTGGGACTTGTAAATCTGACAAACTGACTTCTATGTAGCAGATCGTCGAGAACACCTCCTGGTACATTATGGGCGTTTTATTATCTAGGCGTCAGGGGTCTCATCTCCGGAGACTCCGCCATTTTCCTTAGCGCATTGGGATTAATTGCATTTCTTCGGCTTATTTGCCTGACCGTAACCCATTTGAGGTCATTCCAGGGCCTTCATTTCCACAACCGATATTAAAGTCAGTCTAGTCAGTTAACAGGGGCTAGAGGCACTTTTTCCGGATCTCAGAGCTACCGCACCAACTGACAACCCACAAGACTAGTCATAAACTGCGACTGAGCTGCCAAGCAGGTCTTCGATCAAGTAATCTTTTGATCGGGGAAATTCCTAAATGATTCTTTGCTTCTCCGCATAGATTTTGGAGTGCTCCACCTGGCCTGTAGTGTGGTCAGCTTGTTTCGATGCCAGTTGGCCAGCCTCGGTCGCTAGTCGGCTGTGGTTGGCCAGTTGGTTTAAACCATCCACTTGGTCCATGTTGTCCGGGCAGTTGACTTGGACAGGCAAGTCGATTTTCGTTTCATTCATTCTACATCTCTTCACTACCTGACTATCTGCTTCATAACATGTACATATACGAAGTGACTCTTGAAAATCTGGAGGCTGCGAATGCCATTGACGGTGCGTAGGAGTCGGAATATTAGGTAGAGTATTTGCCGGGCTAATTACAGGTCAACGCGTACATTTAGCAATAACAAGACTGAATGCATTCATGATGATGAGGATGATCATGCCACCTCGAGAAATCAGAGACCCGCGACTTTTGATCGGCAAGCATGTGCCCTGGCTTCTGCTAGTTTCTACTCCAAAGTCACCAAAGAGGAACGAGGGACAGGCCCAATGTTGGGTGCATGAGCCTTGACTCGTATGACGAGATTGGCTAGTCAATTGAGCCCGTTCGGGCTGATCCGCAACCAAGGTAAGAGACGTCGCATTCCTAGATTTGCCGGGCTGTAAGGGGGAAGATGTGCATTGGAAAAGCAGAGCAGAACCAAAGGTCTCAAGCACTAAGAGTATAGACGCGATCAATAATGGTAACCCGAACGCATTCGGCAGAAATTAGGCATGGAGCAACAACCAGTGTTATCCCCATCGCTGATAGTATTGGCAATCCAGGAGTCAATGACGCCAGTTATCTCTTGTCGCCCCAAAGACCGACAATACCAATGGATAGCGCAATACCGGACAACCAAGCGCGCACTCGGTGCAGCTGGCGTTCTCGGTCCATTTCCCGCTGAACGGTCTCCCCGTTCAGATCATCCTCAGCCTCGACCACGACGAGGTCTTCATCCTTCTTTGTGTTTGAATCGCGGGCCAGGGAAAAGTGGGAAACGTCGCGGATCACAGCGGATACCCAGTTCTTGAAGCCGAGGTGACGGTTGAACCAGAAGTCGACACCGTGCGCACCGACAGTGGAGGCTAGGCACAGCCAGACCATGTATGGGTGTCGGCGGCGTGGAGAAGAGAGGCACCATGCAAAGCAGAAGCAGGTGTTGGTCAGAAAAGAAAGGCGCAGGGCATATCGGCGACCCAGGCGCTTCACTTCATTCAGGGAGCGGGCGGCAGTCGTCGCTGATGGCAGAAGCTGAAGGGCCGGGATTGTGATGGCAGATGTGGAGTAGGAGAGGCCCTGTATGGTGAAGGAGAGTTGTCAGTGTTGGTTGAATCCATTGTATGATGCGATTGACGTACGGTAAGCAGACCAAGGGAGACAGTGCCGACAAACTTGCTGACGCTGATGGGACAGGCCATATTGCAAACTAGCAATCAAATTTGCTTCTCTTGAGGGTGTTTTTGACGAAGAAAATGAGGTTCAAGATGGGTTGCGCAGAAGAAACAACTTGGAAGCAGAGGACGAAGTTGCTTTGTTTTTCTTTGGTGACGTCGGGGTCCGCTTTTGCGCCAGCCAATCAGCGGGCGCATGTTCATCATTGGGGATTCATGGTCGGAAATCTACACGGAGACCTAGGTACACATACACAGTAAATATTGCCTATGTCTATGTTCATGTGGGAATCCATTGTCGTTGTTGTCATTTTTCTGGCGTGCTTTCAATTTGAAAAGATCGCGCGCTACGTTCCCCCTGCTTTACATAGTCCGACCTCGGGCGCCACAGCTAGACAATCTCCCACTTCATAACAACCTTCCTCGATCTGAACCTGTACATCCCACAGTCCTAAGGAGAGATTATAATCTTCCAAGGGAGTTTTGCACTTGTGAGATAGTCAAACGGGAACCACAGTTGTATTGCTACCTATAAGTGAAGATAACTTTTCCTAAGATATATCCCCGAATAGGTAGTGCCTCGGCCCTCGACAGAGTCGTAGGTAGATGTGAAAAAGATACTCCATTCTAAGTCTACTTCAGGACTCGCAGAACCCGTAGATATTCAGTCCCCACGCTGACAGCATCAATATTGATCGCAACTACTGTAGGTTGTCTAAAACTGTAGCTCTCGCCTCCATGGGAATAGCGGCACGTGCTGTCAGGCCGATGCCAAGCCCCGAAAACGGCTAGTGTGGATAAGTAATCATGCACAATATGCACAACTCCGAAGCCGAGGTTCATCGTGTGGGGAGCCGGGGCCGGGTATCGTCAAACCACCTCCCTAAATATCTCTCGAACTTCTCCACGACCCTTGAAGCATCCCATCCAAATACATACATAGTAAAAAACATGCCTCTTCCCAAGAATGAATATTTGAGCGACACCTGGAAGGATGGGATTTTTGGTAAGCATTTGTCGGGTTCTCGGTGGCTGTCATCTCACTAACTCCACCCAGAAAACAAGGTAGTCTTCTGCACAGGTGGTGCTGGAACTATTTGTAGTGCTCAGGTTCGGGCCTTGGTTCATCTCGGTGCCAATGCCTGCATCATCGGTCGCAACGTCGAGAAGACTGAGCGCGTCGCTAAGGACATCGCGACGGCCCGACCCGGTGCTAAGGTCATTGGTATTGGTGCCGTTGACGTGCGCAAGCTTGATAGTCTGCAGCAAGCAGTCGAACGTTGCGTCAAGGAGCTCGGAGGCATTGACTTTGTCATGTATGTTGACCGTTGAAGCCAGTGTCGAGTCTTTGATCTGGGTACTGATGGTATTCGACAGCGCCGGAGCAGCGGGCAACTTCCTCGCCTCGATTGAGCAACTTTCCGTCAATGCCTTCAAGTCAGTCATGGACATCGATGTCTTGGGGTCATATAACACCCTGAAGGCCACCCTTCCTTATCTGCAGGAGTCAGGCCGCAAGCATAGAATGGATTCCAAATCTCGTAAGTGCATCATTCAGCGGAAATGGCCATCTGTCAACAGTGAATACTGACATGATCTCAGTTCAACCAGCGCCAGGAGGCACCGGCGGAAGGATCATTTTCGTCAGCGCCACTCTTCACTACCGAGGCCAGCCCTTCCAGGCCCATGTCTCCGTTGCCAAAGCCGGTATCGATGCCTTGTCGCACAGTGTCGCCATCGAGTACGGCCCCCGCGGCATTACTTCTAACATTATCGCACCGGGTCCTATTGCACAGACTGAGGTAAGTAAACTCCTGTAGAGTGCTAATTGTCAAGATTCAATCAACTCACTTTTGTTCAGGGTCTGGAGCGCCTACTGCCATCAAATGCCCTGGAAGCGTACACCAAGTCTCAACCCCTCGGCCGCTTTGGTCACGTCCGCGACATTGCGGATGCCACTGTGTATCTGTTCTCAGATACTGGCAGCTATGTCACAGGTCAAACCCTTGTCGGTGAGTCATCATATGAGGAATCATATTGTCAGGAGTTGCGACTAACACGTCCATAGTTGATGGTGCGAACTGGCGCATGTCGGCAGGCGGTGCTTCCGGTGGAGAATTGTCTTACCCAGACTTCTTGCTCTCCGGAGATGAGGTGCCTAATGTAACTGGCAAGAAGTCGAAGTCTAAGCTCTGAGCAGATATATGGGCCATTGGGGAAACCTGAAGAATCTAGCTCTTTGGATTTGGCGGATGCAAAATTGTTGCATCCTCGAAATATTCCTGTTTGAACAGCTCACAATAAATTCCCGTCCCACAATATAAAGACCCCAAGTCGCAACTCAACACTGTCGTTTCATGCACAGACAGACCCGAATACAGTTTTCGAGCTGAATGTCAGTACAATTTCTGATAACCAGTGTGTTTTGAACCTTCACCGACAAGAGAAGGCACAGGCTTCAGCGTAGAATAGGTAGTTCCACACATCATAATGGAACCATGCGGCCTGAGCCCAACATCTCGGGCACTCTATATCCTTCCGTAGTCTTCGCGTTATGGAGGTAGCAACCTAGCCGCGGCTCGAGGCTGTAACGAACTGACCGTTGTCTAGGGGAGGGGGCGCTATCCGAATCGTAGGTAGTGTGACAGTGTCTCATCATCTGGCGCAATATGTGTCAGTTACAAGTAGTCACGTCCTAGGTCAAATGGAAGGGTTCGGTCTAATGTGGAAATCCCCCGAGATCAAAGATCTTCAGGGCATCTCGACTCACAAAGACCCAAATGATATCTGATGGTTCACTTGTCTCGATCATCTTGCGCCCCATTGTCGATCATGCCGACGTGATAAAACGCCTGTAGGAGGAGTCAAAACGGAGATTCGTCAGGCTCTATCTTTATCAGATGCTGGAGTAAACTTCACGGATGGGATAGACTTGCCTCGTATGATCCGAATCACCCAACACAACAAGGCGCACTGGTCTTCCGTGAAACTTGTGAAGCGTCAGCGACTGTATACATGGCGGATTGCCGACCAAAGACCATAATCCAGTAGCTTATGACGCCCTCGAATGAATCGGCGCACTGCGACTTGTTCCCTGGTGAATGGGTAGGATCGGACGCGTTTTCTCCTGTAAGTCCCTAGTCATGGGAGGGTATCACCGGTCTCCGAATAGAGTACCTCAGGTAATTTTAGCTGAGTCTCCACAAATCAGGGAGGAGCGTAGTTTAACCAAGGGAGCAGCCTCACAATAGCGTAATAACCTCCTAGAAGAAGCCCAGACGTAGTAGGTGTAGCGACATGGCTGCCTCAGCGCGGTTACGATCCCCTCCTTACGGCTCTACGGGCGTGTCGCATAGAGAAGAGTTCCAAGAGTAAATAATATGCTACTCGCTGGCTACATTGCTGTTTGATGCGTTCAAGAGATAAACCGATAATATTCGCGTGTATACTCAGGATCTTCATCTGGTGCACCCCCATCAGACGCAGCCTAAGGCCTGTCTTCCCGTAGGCAGTATGCCACCTGTATTATGGGCCAGGAAATACCGTGGTATCGTCATCCGGCTCTGAGACTTGTATTGGCCATCTGTAGATTGTTCGCTGCCGCGGATGTTCGGCTCCCAAATCGCAGATGCGGGGATTAATCTCGGTGTTACGGGCTGCACGCGGCACATAGGAAAGTGACGACATTTGAGGTGTCTTTCTAATGCATAAGCCTTTCCAGGTTTGTTAGTACCGGACATCTGTACCGATGGAGCAAACACCGGGTACCTTCATACAGACTGTAATTTGTAAATCCACGAGAGGTCGAGGATTGGCGGCAGCGCTGATGCATCACTCGCAGAATCAATAAGGGACAGGAGACAAAAACAATCTGCTCGTTTGCTCGAGGCTTAAGGCGAATACGATGAGCTCGATACCCTGTTTACTATGGGGCCGCGAATTAGACCATACGTAGTGGACTTGGCGACAATAAACCAAGAGTTGCCTGAAACCACCTTTGAATGGTAAATACTAATTACATGGTGCATATCTATATCGTAACGCCATGTACTGATATTCAAAGTACGGATTTCATGCCGTGGACTGCGTGGGACAGTCTACCCGAATGGTTGTAGGAGGGAAGTTTTCGGCAACCCGATCGCACGGACCCCCGGGCCCCGAGAGTGAGACCTGCCTAGCGTCAGCCAGCGGGCCCCACGTGGCGTGATCTGCACGGCACGGACCGTACACGGACCTGTAACCTTATCTACGCTGTGCAGATATGCAGGCATACAATGAATATCGAATCCATGAATGTACAGTGTGTTCATATTAAATGCATATGTATATAAACTAGTATAATTGATTAGGTGGATGTGGAGCGATAGAGAACTCGAACAGAGACCAATATTAGTGCACTCCACAACTCCTGCAAGGTATGGGTTCTTCAGCAAACAAAAGTAGAAAATAAATTAAATCCAAAGTGCAGGTGGAACAGCACGCTGGGTTTATAGGTTGCCGTAAAGGGCAAGTATGACTGACCCAAGATACATTACAGTTACTCGGGAAGGAGAGATGCAGAGATTTCTTTGTTTAATTGATGCGTTACCCTATTAAGGGATTGTCCTATTTGCCATTGACAAACGCAATTGTGGGTTCACCCGTGAACAAAGAAATAAACTTCCAATTGGGCGATCACGGTGATCTTGAATCGTCCAATCAAACACAGGGACTTCACTGATCCTCTTCTCGTCCAGGACTATAAATGAAAATTTCCTCTTCCTCGAATCTTTCTTCTTCTTCTTCTCCTCTCCAACATTATCATTCTTTCAATTGTACAACATCGAGTACAACATGAACCCCAGCCAGGACAAAGTCTCCCCGAACCACGACCACCACCAGACCCATCAAAAGTAAGTCACATCAGCTTTCATACCATGTACCTTGACCACGTCTGCTCCCTGTATGACCCTTGACACGTCCCTTCACTTGTACTCGATGAGCTATCCATCCATCCTTCTACATATCCTTTCACACATCCATCCATCAATCCATCCATCCATTCATCTGTTCATCCATTCATCCACTCATCTGTTCATCCATTCATCTGTTCATCCATTCATCTGTTCATCCATTCATCTGTTCATGCATCCATCTGCACATGCATCCATCTGCACATGCATCCATCTGTTCATCCATCCAGCTGTTCATCCATCCAGCTGTTCATCCATCCATCTATTGATATTTCATGAGATCTTGTCTGACATCCTCTTAGCACAATGGACAACGGAGAAGGATCAACGCTTCCTGAGGGTCCCCAGCGTCGGATGGGTGTGATCCCTTTCCAGATGGCGTCGCCTGCTTCCGCTGCGGCGCCTCTGCACACCCCCGCGCCCCCTCAGGAACCACAGCCTTGCAACGGGGTCATTCCCCTTCAGATGGCGTCGCCTGCTTCCTCCGCGGGACCTCTGAGCCCCCCTGCGAGCCCTCACGAGCAGAGGCGTCCTGGCAGCCCTTCCCCGGGTGCCATTTCAAGGACTGACGCCTCTGCTGCGATTTGGAACGCCTGCGCCCACGCGCCTAAGAAGCGCCGCATCGGCCTGTTCCTAGCTCTCGCTGTGAGGGACGGCACGTGTCAATGTTGTCCTTCTCCCGATCCTACCACCGACAACCAGGGTCCCCCGCACGGGATTACCCCCCTGGTGGGCCCCGCCACAGCTCAAGCCACATCTTTCGGATCCTCCAACATCCGAAGCCAGCACACCGACGGTGCTCGGCAATCCCACGACCAGATTGCGGAGTCCGGTCAACCCCAGGATGGGTCACAGTCCGGGGAAGATTTGGCTCCGCATGACGGTTGCCCGGAATGGCTGGAGACCAAGGAGTACCTCGCTACTTCGTGGTGGCCCTTTTACGAGGTGGAGGCGCCACTCATTGACCAGATTCCACTGGCAGCCAGGAGTGCGCCAGCTGTTGAACAGCTCGCCCAGGCTGCTACGGAGTACGAATACCCTTGGCCCAGCCATCCGCAGGGTGAAAAGCGCATGGAACCCGTGGAAGAATGGACAGCGCGCAAGAAGCAGATCACGAGAGACATGGTCTACAAGGGCTGGTCTGATCTGCTTGCTTGGATTGACCGGATCCAGCCAATCGCACCCACCGGGTGCGTCGGGCAAGTCGCAGAGGAAACGGTGCGCAAGGCCGAATCTGAGTTGCTTGCCCGGGATGAGTCAATCCCAGCCCAGCCTGTCCAGGCAACCCACGTGCCCGTTCCAGCGCAACCAGTCTTGGAAGTGCACACCGAGAGCGTCCAGACCGAGGAGGCGCCTACTCTGGAAGTTGGGAGTCAACCCGCTGTTCCGCAGCCAACTCCCATCGTCCCAGAGCCCTCCGCCGAGGTCCCGCTCGAGGCGGCTATGAGCGTGCCAGCTGTTCCGCAGCCAGCTCTAGCCAAGAAAGCGTGCTTCGAGACTGTTCCGACAGCAGTGCCTACCCAGGCAACCACGAGTGAGCCCGGTGATTCTCAGCCGCTCCAGACTGTTTTGGCCGCCAAAGCGAAGGTCGCCACCGACGGAGTTGTGCGTGAGCTTGCTGCCTCGCAGCAAGCCCCCACTGCCTCGGAGCCTTCGAGCCAGACAGTCACGAGCGCTGTGGCCCAGCCGACTCCGGTTGTTCTGGATGGCACGGAGAAGGTCGCCGTCCAGGCAGTCGTCAGTGAGCCTGCTCTCTCCCAGCAGGCTCCTGCTGCCCTGAAGCCTTCTCCGTCGGAAGAAGATGACTCTGCTCGGTCTGACTCTGACGACGACGAATGGTGGCCTGCTCTTCAATGGCAGGCCACTTCGGAGTCAGACCCGTCTGACGAAGAATGGTGGCCCGCTTTTGAAAGCCAGGCCCCTTCGGAGCGGACTGGGATTCGCCAACGCCGACCATGCCCGGATCCTACCCTCTTGACACGCTCGATGAGGTTGTGGAGGCTCCAGCTGCTACGGAGCTGGCCCCCACCCGATCAAAGTCGACGTCGCCAACCTCCACTGGGGAAGGCCCGATCAAGCCGCCTGCTTCTAGGCCGGCTCGGGAGGAACCAGACTGGAGTTGGCTGATTGTCGACCGGCCAACACACGGGAGCTTGCGGACCGGTACCCGTTCGCATCTTGATGTGCTCTTGGCCCAGCGTGAGGAGCGTAGACGGGCAGACTCGGCGCCCATCTCCTCTCTTGAGGGGTTGCAGGTCACAGCAGCCTCTTGAGTCTCCACCTCTCCTTTTCAGGTAGCCAGTCCCCAAGACGCTGCGGCAACAGGGACAGCCCGTGCGGGGGTTAAGGGCGCCGGAAGGGTCGAGGATGCCAATAGCCCGGCAATGCTCAGCCATGAACAGGCTGCAGGAGAGCGGCGGGACAAATCGGGCGGCAGAGAGACCGCTTCTGGTCATCAAAGCCAGGAGTCCAGTCCCCCGCCCGACCCGTCGCCACTGCTACGCCTGAGGCTGACATGCAGGAGGGATCGGCTTCGCTGAGGACACTGTGGGTAGGAGCACTCTCCTCCGCGGTCATGGGGATAAGCTCCTGAATCCCCTCTGTAGATAGTGAGAAATGTTATGATTTTCTTCTCCATTCGTTTGTCCATTCATATGCGAGATTTCGCAGCTTAGCGTCGCTGTCATCTCTGTACCTTCCTCATGCAGCCTTCAGTTAGTGCTGCCCCTTTTTGTATGAGACATGAGTACACAGCCGGCCCCGGGTTTCGCTGTTGTATTCATTCCTTTACGCCCCGGTTTTATGCTGTCTTAAAGATTCCACAGTAGGTACCTATAAGTATCTAGGATAAGTGTCAGCAGTGTAAGCTCAAAAGGGAAGAATGGTTTCATTCTGACTATCTCTGCTTTGCTAAGGCGGTGACAGTAAGGCTCCGTACTGTAGAGTGTAGGTTGATGAAATCTAGGTATAGTTAGGTACAGTCCTAGGTACTAGATTGTAAACCATCCTCGGATTCAGCATGCATCGTTTCCTTCTATGCTACGAGGGGCCGTAGCATCCGCCGTACGGCCAGCTTCAGTTGCTTGATTCTTTTTTGCCCCCAGGCCTACACATTCTCGGGATCTGATTGGTGGAAGATGATATTCTGCCGCTTCTCATCGATAGCCTAGGGCCCTAGGTTGCCAGTTGGCTGGACTGGCCAGTTGGCGGAAAGTTCGCCAACTACGCGTCTGGAACTCGGACCCAACAACTGAACAGAATATTTTTCTTGATCTTTTATTTAGAAAGATAATAGGTACAGCCTTCACGACTTCCCCAATCGCTTCCTGGGAAGCTGTGGGTTGAGGATGAGGGTAGTACGACCGTACGACGGTGTCGAGTCGGGAGTCCTGCGGCGAGTCAGACGAGGTTGGGTACTCGGATTCGTTTGTGGATTAGTGGAGTAGCTGCCAGCTACTATCTTGCTGTGAGCCTGTGACGGCCATGATGCACCTCCTGGGTTGAAGACCGTTGAATACTATCCCTTGTATACTAACTTTATCCCTGTTGTGGTTTTCTTCGAAAATTTCCTACATCGGGCGATAGACAATCAATTGTACAATCCCACCTGCAAATCCGAGCATATTCAATCTATCCGTCAATAGCTTTCATACTGAATAACCGATCGGCAGGTAACGGTTTCTCTCCGATTGCCGATGATCACCACATGTATTGCCCCTTTCGGAAGTATGCAGCTCTGTGTATTGCTCCCTTGATTGCATAGCTGTTTCTCTCAACAATTTCTAATCTCATCTTCAAGACATTTATTTCGAAACTCCAGTCAGCTATGTCACCACCATTGGACAACGCGCGTCCCGACTAATCCTCACACCAAACGCCATCTCCCTCACTTCCCATGACGCTTTTGTCCACCTCCCGACGATTCTCCCGTTCTCGCATAGCCAGGGCACTCGCAATCCTCCTCGCAATATGGAGCTTCGCCGAGCTACACCTGATTCAGCGCCGGATATACGAAGCAGACCACGCCCACCACGGGAATCGACCGCGAAAGCAAGAACGGATATACATCGCAAGCGTCAATTGGAACAATGAGCTCGTCTTGCGCACCCACTGGAGCAAAGCCCTCGTCGAGCTGGTTACAACGCTCGGTCCTGAAAATGTGTTCATCAGCATCTACGAAAGCGGGAGCTACGACAACACCAAAGGCGCGCTGCGTGAACTAGATTGGGAACTCGAGCGGATGCGGGTACCGAGGAATATCACCTTGTCGCCTGTGACGCATGAGGATGAGATAGCAGCGCCTGCTGGTGGCAATGGCTGGATTCAGACACCAAATGGGGAGAAGGAGCTTAGGCGAGTGCCATATCTAGCTCGGGTGCGGAATTTGAGCTTGTTACCTCTGCAAGACCTCGCGCGGAACGGGATTACTTTCGATAAGATATTGTTTCTGAATGATGTTGTGTTCACGGTTCGTCGAATGTTCTTCTGTCTATTATCAGGTGTGGGTTCTAACCAGTCATCAGCCGGGAGATGTGTTCGAACTTCTGGAAACCAATGACGGCCAATTCGGTGCTGCTTGCTCGTTGGATTTCTCTAAGCCTCCGGATTTCTATGATACATTTGCGCTTCGAGATAGTGAAGGCCATGAGCCTATCATGCAGACATGGCCATATTTCCGTTCCGCGATATCTCGACAGGCATTGAAACGCTTTGCTCCTGTTCCAGTGACAAGTTGTTGGAATGGCATGGGTAAGGCATCTAATTCTATAAACTTCACAGAAACTGACATGTCTCTAGTCGCAATGCCAGCTAGTCCATTCATTGGCAGCTCACCGCTACGTTTTCGAGGTATCCCTGATTCATTAGCAGAGTACCACCTCGAAGGCTCCGAATGTTGTCTTATACATGCAGACAATCCACTGTCAGTGCAGAAGGGCGTGTATCTGAACCCTCTGGTTAGGGTTGGATACAACGGCCCCGCATACACAGCTGTTCATCCAATGACGAGATGGCTCTCTGCGTGGCGTATCCTACGGGGCTTATGGGTCAATCGGCTACGTCGCCTTGGCGTCACTACATGGTTGAAGGAGCAAGTGGTTCGGAGGCGAGTAGAGAGGTGGAGAGGCTTAAGTCCTGGAAATACAGAACGCGGGGAGCTCTGCATTATCAATGAGATGCAAATTCTGCATCGATATGGCTGGATCCATGTGTAGTAAAATCACAAGACAGACTGTTTGTATAGAACAATTATGATTCTCTTCGTTAGCCCAAAGTCCAGCGAGACAACTGGTCGGAGACAAAGTTATGGCAGATCCACTTCTTAGTTACTGGTACCTCGGGCCCGAAGCCGGGCGCCACGAAGGCCCATTATGTAACCACTACAAGAATCGGCCCCGGGCGGGCACCCTCGGGGCTCGGGCCCAGGGCATAGACTATCAACAAACCTCCCACCTACCCTCCATAAACCACCAATATCCCCAGAACCACATAATGGCCCACGTCCAGATCCTAGATGGAGGCCTCGGCACGTCCCTAAATGACATCTACAACATAAAATTCGACTCAACAACGACCCCACTCTGGGCCTCCCACCTACTAGTAAGCGACCCAGCAACGCTACAAGCCTGCCAACACGACTTCGGCGTCGCAGGAGTCGACATCCTCCTAACAGCCACATACCAAGTATCAGCCGAAGGCTTCGCGCGGACAAGAACCGCCCAATATCCCGACGGGATCCCGCGTAGCGCAGTGGGGCCATTCCTAAAGACAGCAGTGGACATTGCCGAGCGCGCAAAAGTACGCGACAGCACAAGCATCGCACTCAGTCTTGGGCCCTATGGGGCATGCATGATCCCAGGACAAGAGTATAGCGGTGCATATGACGCGGGGCATGATGATGAAGAGTCGTTGTATCGCTGGCACTTGAATCGGTTGCGGATGTTTGCTGAGGCGGATGAGGGGCTTGTGTCGCGGGTGCAGTATGTTGCTTTTGAGACACTTCCGCGGGTTGATGAGGTGAGGGCTGTTAGGAGGGCGATTCGGGATTCGGGAACTGAGCTTCCGTTTTGGATTTCTTGTGTTTTTCCGAGGGATGATGAGGCTTTGCCGGATGGGAGTTCGGTTGCGGAGGTCGTGCGGGCTGCTTTGGGGGGATTGGAGGGTGGAGCTGTTCCTTGGGGGTTGGAATTAACTGTACTAAGATGCATAAGCTTTCTGGGCTTGTTGATGCGTTTGATCGGGCGGTTGCGGAGGTTATTGAGGCCCGGCAGATTGATGCTGTTCCGTGTTTGGTACTGTACCCGGATGGAACGAATGGGGAGGTTTACAACACTGCAACGCAGATTTGGGAGAAGCTTGATGGCGGGTTGGCTGATAAAGTGAGTAGACGATAATATCTGGCTATGTGACAGGAAACTCATGCTAATAGCTGATCTAGCGACCTTGGGAAGTCCAGTTGGCACAAGTGGTTGGTGAAGCCTATGAAAAGGGTCACTTCACTTCGTTTCTTGTGGGAGGATGCTGCAAAGCTTCGCACTTCGATATCCAGAAACTCGGGCAACAATTTAAGACAAAATGAGCTCTGTGGGGATGGAATGAGAATCCAGTTGTAACTAACGAACTCTACGCAACGCCCCATGCTGCTCAGGTGTTTATTTTCATCTTCTCCTGTCAGCTTTCTGTTTGGTAGAAGACCTAATGCAACATTGATTAGGGAAGCACAAGACTATGGTGCTACGCCAACGGTGAGCGGCGTTTTATCCCATTATGCCCGAGCAGAGAAATTCGAGACTTTTCTTCTTGGGTCGCTCTCGCCTTGTGTCTGGGCACGTGCTTGGACAAATATCCAATCGGGCACATGCGTGCGCTAATGCCCGTCATGCAACACCGAAACTCGGCGGTTCTCATAGGCCTTACAGATTGAAACGAGCTGTCCCCATCGATGCATGCCAAAGACTTGAATTGCGGGATGATCTCTGCCACTCTGTCACTCTGCCACGGGCTGCCAAGTGCCAAGTGTTCAGCCTAGTTAATGTCCTAGCATAAGGTGTTAGTTATGCAGCATCCATCCTAGCATAAAGCGTAATGCAGTATCTACTAGTGCGCCGAACTAGACAATTGGGCAAGCTATTGGTCGATCATGATCCGGGGGCGTGTCAGGTTTTCGCTAGATCAACTAGTTAGCGCCGATCATTTCCGCGCCCAGTTCAATTCCACGGGCGCCCAGCCCGATAAACTCTTAATCAACTTGTCCCCTCTATTCTTCCTCCCCCTTTGATCGCAAGTGATCGCGAGGAATGTCAAAATATCTTCCCCTTGCGACCGCGACTGAACAAAACTTCATCTTTTGCATGCGCGGTTCATGTTGGGATGAGTGGATTGGAGTCTTCGCAGCGAGATGTCCGGGCGGGGGCATCCCCGGTAGCCTCAAACGGGGACAGTTCTGCCTCATCCACAAAGCCACTGCCGGCTACCAAGGCCGGCGGCGGCAGGAAGCTGCCAGATTGGCTGGATCACTTCAATGCCCGTGATCTAAAAGTGCTGTTTCGCTGCTCGTTAGCTGCCTGGGTCGCGTCGCTGTTGATTTTCATCACGCCGTCGCTAAGCGTCATTGGTACCGCGACATTCTTCGCGACGTGAGCGCATCTATAATTCTCCTGTCCGTATCTGTCGCTAACGAATTAAAATCAGTCTGGTGCTATTTATGGTGCCTCCGACCGGCATTGTCTTCATTTTTCTTCTGGCGACCCTGACGCTCGTTCTTGGCATGGCATTTGGCTGGGCCTGGGGTGTCATCGCCATGAAGGCTGCCGCAGCTGCTAGACCGGCGGCGGAAACCCAGGCCAGGCTTCAAGCCCTAGGCCAGGCGGCGTCCAACCAGGCTAATGCCACTGGCCAGCCACTGGCAGCAATTCAGCAGCAGCTTATCTATAATGGCTGGATGCTTGACGCGCGTGTAACAGCTGTATACTATTCTCTAATCTGCTTTTTCATATATGCACTGGTGAGCATCTTTTGAACCGAGTATAAGTATCAATACGCTGACTCGTTTGTGCAGGCTCGTCTCCGGGCAAAAAACCCCAAATTCATTCTGCTGCAGATTTTTGCAACCATCATTGTCGATGTCACCCTGACCATTGGTCCATTGCTTCCATCTTTCAACGGGACAATCCCCAAGGTTCTGATTGAACCAGCAGCTATAGGTATCGGGCTGGGCTTGGTCTCGCACTTTATCTTCTTCCCTCGGTCTACGTCCCATGTTGTAATCGATGGCATGGAGGGGCTCGTACGGCTTCTGAAGGGACCCCTGGATGCCACGGAGACCTCGCTATTGAAAGGCGAAGACTTGAATTTGGCAGATTTGCACAAGATCAAAGCGCGGTCTATTGCTGCTTACAAGGATTTGACTCCGGCTATCGGATTCTTACCATTGGACTTGTCAGTCGGTTGGTGGGGTGCTGACGACGTCAAGAGCATGCGAAAGCCACTTCGCCAGGCTTTGCTGAGTAGCTTGTCCCTGTTGGAAGTTCATATTGCCCGGCTTGGCGGATACGCAAAACTGGAGAAACTGCGCCAGCTCACTGAGGACCGAGATTCCGACTCTGACTCCCAGGCAGCTGGCAATGAGAAGACGCGCTCGCGCGAGGTTGGTATGCGCCAGTTGATGGAAAGCGTTAATTTGGTTCAAGCACTGAGAAGCCCGGAGCATGAATCCATGCGGTCGGAAACCATCGAAGTACTGCGCGAGTCCGGCAAGCATATTCTCCCGGCGTGTCAGGAGGCTACTCAGGTAGTTGCGGAATCCTTGAACTCGGTCAACAAACGCTGGTTTGGTCGGCTGTCCAAGGAACAACTCAATGAAATGCACGAGCGGGCTCTATCCGCACTGCAGAATCTTCAGGCTTTGCGCGCATCGTTTGCGACGGACACCACCGAGCGACTGATTCAAACCCATGGAGAGGTTTTCGACGAGAAGGGCATGTTGAAGTCTCTCGATGAGCATTCGATTGTCAGGGTTAGGGGTATCACAATCGGGATGATCTTTGAAGAGCAAGTGCTCGGCGTTGCAGATGGGTGGGAGCGGGTCCTAGGACAGTTGGTTGCCCTCTTGAAAGAACGCCAGAAGGTCCGGCTGTGGCTTCCCAAGGGCTTGCGATATACGGTGAATTGGGTGCTCCGGAAGGACGCCGTGACACCTGTCCCCGCAGCTCACAACCCAGTTATCGACCCCGATGTTGCAGAGGCGCAAACCAAAGCGGCTCAGCAACATCTTCGCATCAGCAGAGGATACCGCGTTAACCGACGAAGCGGTCTCGGACGCGCTATCATCGGCACCTATCATTGGTTCATCAACACTGACGGTCTTTATGCATTGCGCATGGTGGCTGTCACTATTGCACTCGCTATCCCTGCTGCGATTCCTCACACTGCGGGCTTCTATTACCGTGAGAAGGGACTCTGGGCCCTCATCATGGGGCAGACCACACTGGTCATATACATGGCTGATTTCACCTTCTCTCTGCTTTGTCGAGCCGTCGGTACTATTGTTGGCGGTGTCCTTGGCTTGGTCGCGTGGTACATCGGATCCGGTCGTGGTGAAGGAAACCCATACGGTCTCGCTGCCATCATGGCGGCTGTGATCGTCATCCTCATGTGGGGACGTATATTCGCCCCTCCTGCGATGATGCAAGCTATGATGATGGCTGGTGCGACCTGCATCTTGATCGTTGGTTACAGCTTCGAGGATACGTAAGTAGATTGGAACCCATTGCAGAGAATCCACACGGCTGACACTACTATAGACATATCCCCGCCTATGGCAATCCTGGCTGGGGATACAGTGTCTTCTGGCGACGACTGACACTTGTTCTCATCGGATCCGCCGGCGCACTGATCGTACAGCTGTTCCCTCGACCACCGTCTGCATCCCTCCACGTCTGCAAATCCCTGTCAAACGTCATTCGCTCACTATCAGACCACTACGCTCTTCTTCTATCATGCTGGGGACAAGGGCGCGAAGAAGGCCTAGCAGCAGAAAAGCTCGCGCTTCACCTCGCGGAAACACTCGCAGGATTGGACGGGCCAATCGCATTACTGCGGTTTGAGTTCTCCAGTTCCCCATTTGACAGCGACCGTCTCGGTCAGGTGCAATCGCTGTGTCAAGAACTCAACCAGAACCTCGGTCGTCTTCTTTCCCTATCTGCTTCACTACCAGAGCATTTACAAAGCCGCTTGGCTAATCAGGCCGGTCTCCTCGACCACCACAACATCGGCGACGTCATGGCTGTTCTAGGCGTGGTCGAACAATCACTCAAGACGGGCGATCCTCTGCCTGAGATCCTGCCAACCCCATTGCTCAACCGCTGTCACAACTTCTGGCAGTCGCGTCATGTCGATATCATGCTGAGCACGGATTTGATCCGCGACGAGAATTATCGTCGGTTCTGCGTTGCTGTCAGTGCGTACCTCAAGTTCCTGGCTGCTGTGGATGACCTGGTGCTGGTGATGAAGGGCACATTGGGCGAGTCACATATCGTCAGTCGTGATTTGTTGCAGTCGCAACCTGTATAATAGTAAATGTGAGCTGTACAGCTTGTCCAGCTTGTCTTCTAATATAGTAATTATGGTTTCTTACCCGACTACGACTAGTTAAGGTAGGCATTGCGTCCATCTACTCCGTACACGTAGGTATGCATACACCAGAGACTATCATAACCACCACATAATTCCAACTCCGTGCTTTTAAACCTCATTCTATACTCCGTACTGTTTACAAGGACAGGTGTAATATCGCGGTGTCATAGAAACTGGATCCCCTCACAGTTCCCCGCACGGCCCGAATTTTCTCCAATTTCCTATTCTTACCCCAATTCTGGCGCTAAAGCAAGCTTTTTTGGATTATTTGATCTTCTTTCTTGTAAAATTTCTCGTTACTTTGTCTATAATCCCTTAATCGATAATATATACCCCCATTGGGTCATCCCATGGCTCCTTCACGTCTATCCCGTCTCCCACCGTGGATAAGCCACTGGCTTGGCTATCGCTCAGAACCCGTGAAGCCCCTACCTGCATACCAAATCGCCATCTGGTCCTTCATCACCTCCTTCTGCGGTCTATCAATCCTACAAGCCATCTTCGTCTACTCCGAATACTTCACCTCGCGCCATGTGCCAGGTATCGTTGCCTCCTATGTAAGTAGACAGCAGCCGCGAAACCCTCCCCCGAACATCCCTTGCCCCAAATACAAACTCCAAGCTAACCACAACCCCCAGGGTGCATCCGCAGTGCTTGTCTTCGGCGCAATAGAAGCCCCCCTCGCGCAACCCCGTGCCCTAGTCTTCGGCCATTTCTTCAGCGCCCTAACAGGTCTCTGCATCACAAAACTCTTCAGCCTAATGCCCGACCAAGCCCGCTTCGAGTCCCTCCGCTGGCTCGCCGCCTCGCTCTCAACAGCTATCGCTATAGTCGTCATGCAGCTGACCGAGACCACGCATCCGCCTGCCGGAGCGACAGCCCTGCTCCCCGCGACCAGCCCGGAGATCTGGCGACTTTCGTGGTATTTCTTGCCTGTTGTGTTGCTTTCGTCGGCCATGCTTCTGGTTTGTGCGCTGCTGTTCAATAATATCCATCGGAGGTATCCGGTCTTTTGGTTTGCGCCTGCGCCGGCCAAGGGCGTGGTGCCTCCAGTTGCGGTGCCGACTCGTCAGGCGGCTGATGGGGAGACTGGTAAAAGTTCTGTTTGAGTTGGGTTGTATATTTGTGTCGGTATATATGGAATAGGTTGCCTGTATATCAGGTGTAAGAGCATTCGAATCGTTGTTTGTAGACATGATGGCTTTCAATTTTGCTCGTTACATAGTACTGAGTATTCACATAGGAAATTTTGAAACTGCGAAATTCAGCAGATCGGGGCTGAATCGGACGGCACGCGACTTGGTCAGTCTATCCAAGTGCGCGTAATGCCCTAGAGATAAGAGAATATCCATCAATCACACGCCTTGGTCGCTAGTACCAACGTTCATTCCCTATTAGAATGTCAAGTACTTTGTAGCCGGGTGCCGAAACACATCCCGTGGCATATTCGGGTCATTTCGGAGCTGCTGAGCTTCCTTCGCGAAGAGCGCTATTGACTTTGCTCCCTCTGAATTCAGAACTTTTTCCAATTACTCGAAATTCCCATTTGCCTTTTCCTCATCAAAATGCTCTATGAATTCTCGCATCATCTTCAAATATTCTGCCGCGCGGACGTGGAATGGTTTAGCGTCCGGCTCCGATTCGCCTTCGCTTTCACGGTAGTCAGAGTCAGACTCTGATTCAAACCCGGAAGACTCCGATGCAATTTCGAAGGACTCGGATTCACTGTTGGAGATGTCAGGTTCTGCGGGCATATGCCATATGTGGTGGATTGAAACGGAAAGGGTTCGACGTTGTAAGCAGGGGCGTATGTTGAGCTGGCTCTCGCATGGGAATCGATCCATGCGTCGACCATCCCGTTGCTTCTCTAGCTCCTCTGTAGATTGATCGCCTTTGGTATGCATAGCATCTTGGGAGCAGTGGTATGTATACGTAGAGTTTTGGAGACCGGGCGCTGTAGCCTCTGGAGGTGTAAAGCGAAACCCTCCTTCCTTCCAAATAATCTCAGTGAGATACCGCATTGCTGCGTTGAGCTCCGATTCAGGGGATTCATTCTCGTGGACACGTAGAGAACCAGTTGACCGGTAAAATTTGACCGGTAAAGCATCTAAATCAAATGTGTAATCCCCGTTCAGTATTTCATGATGGTTCTATGGGCAAGGCGTAATTAGTACTAAGTTATTCGTGTAGTCAGCTTCTATTACTCACTAGCTTATTCCAATTGCGGAGGACCAGAATGAAGTTCTCCAACTCATCAACCAACCTCCAAGGAAGGTCTCTTCGAATGACGCTCGCAAGTGGTGTTCCGCATCCCTTGGTTGTGGATTTCAAGTTCATCCATATCAATGCTTCTCTCGGTTTGCCAATCCATTCTTAAAGACGTTGAGCAAAGGAACGCGGATGAGGGTGAGAGTGAAGGTTGAGAATATAAAAGATGCGGTGGAGGAGTTCGCGTCACTGCCAAGCAAAAAAAAAGGGTAAAGTAAACAGAAATCATGAACGATTGCATCACGTGATTGACATATCTGCACTAGCGCGCTACGCATCAAGCGCCCATAGTCTATCCAAGGGCAGCGCATGTGGACCAATTGAATCTCGCCTGAGTGTTGACCAGCAGCCTCATATTCGTCGCATTGCAACAAAGATTCTCTGCAACGATGATATAGACAATTTCAATTGTCCCACAAAAAGAAAAAGCACTTTGGCAATTCACTGCCGCAATTGCAACCAATCTTTACAAGCAAAAGGTGTTCGAGGTCAAATTATTCATAAAAAAGGGCAACCAAAATGAACCTCCAACCCACAAACATGCCACCAGGCACATCATCCTCCCACCCAGAAAGTATGAAAGCTTGGCTATATGCGCCTACATCCTCACCACTGGAGGAAACCCTGCAAAATACCCCATCCACACCCACCCCACCACCCCCAAGGAACAACGAAGTCCTCATCCGCGTCCTCAGCGCCGCTCTAAACCCCCTGGACTACAAGTTCCCATCCATGGGTCTCCCCTTCCGGCTTCTCCTCGGCAACTCAGTTTCCCCAGGCCTGGACTTCTGTGGTCGAGTAGTCGCCTCAGGCCCACTAGCGCAGCACTTCACGGAAGGCCAGCTCGTGCACGGCGCTCATCCGTACCCGACGCAGTTCGGCTCTCTGGGCGAGTATGTCTGTCTTAGCGCTGAGAATATCGTCGCTGTGCCGGACGGCGTCAGCGTTGACCATGCTGCTGCGCTGCCTCTTGCTGGGCTAACGGCGCTGCAGAGTCTGGAGGGGCGGGTTCGAGCTGGGGAGAGGGTGCTTGTAATTGGGGGGTCTGGGGGGTGTGGGACTTTTGGGATTCAGATTGCGAAGGACATGGGGGCGCATGTTACTGCTGTTTGTTCGGCGAAAAATATGGAGTTGTGTCTGAGGTATGGGGCGGATGAGGTGGTTGATTATGTTGGGGAAAAGGATCTTGTGGGGAAGTTGGAGGGGGGGGTCCTGTTTTTGATCTTGTGGTTGATTTCGTTGGGGATGAGAGGCTTTATTATGGGTGTCATCGGTTTTTAAAGGAGGGAGGTGTGTTTGTGTTGGTTGGGGTTGATGGGTTGTGGAGTTTGGCGACGAGGCTTTTGTGGCCTGCCTTCCTTGGGGGTGGGAGGAGGAAGATTGTGTTTGTTATGGTAAAGAATGATATGAGGCAGTTGGGGATGCTTGGGGAGTGGGTTGCAGAGGAGAGGATTAAGGTGCAGGTTGATGGTGTTTATGAGTTTCAGGATGTTGTGAAGGCGTTTGAGAGATTGAGGTCTCGGAGGGCGAGGGGAAAGATTGTTGTGCATGTTAATGATCCAAATGAGCATCATATGGAGGCTTTTGGGATTGGACTTTGAGTGACTGATCTCCTGTCTGGGCAATTTGTATATAAAAGTTGGACATACGATGGATGTAAATTAATCGATAGATGGAATTACGCAGGTTGCTGGAATAGCAACTTCAAACCTGTCCATTTTCTAGGTATGATACCTACAGACTACATTCCATGCTAATGGAAGTCCTCGCGGATATAGTCACCCGGTTATCACAGCCCTAACCTAGTCACTTTAACCTCAGCTCCGATCTACATCTTTACATGTTTACACGCACCTAGTACTTACTCAAAAGCTTTTATACTAAGCACTGGAATACCCTACACTCTCTACAATATCGGAGACCATCCACGAAAGCACATCGATAATTCAATCGAGAGCTAAGTCAATATATCAACCACTTCATGCCTACTCCACTCACACCGAACCCTTACGCAGTAAAACAATCCTCATCACCACAATAAAAATCACAACACTGCCGACAAGCACACTCCGCAACTTTAACATGCAACCGCTCCCACACCCTCCTCAAAATCCTCGTGACAACATCATCCCCCTCCTCATCCCTACAAAACCAAACACTCTGCTCCCGTTCCGCCAACCGCGCATCCCGCTCCGCCTCCCAGTCCTCATGCACATACCCAGGGACCGTAAGTCTCCCAATCTGCAACACCAACATCCCAAAGATCTTCTGCGAAAGCCCGTCAAACGCTGCCTCAGGCGTCCCCTCGTTAGTGACAATCATATCATCGCCTACCTCCTGCACTTCTATCGCCAGCGCCTTGCACCGCCGCGGGAAGCATATAGTATCGTCTGACAGGGAGGTGTCGGTGATGCAGGCCCAGATCCAGAGTGTGTTGGATATGAGGAGGAGATCGGATTTTATGCGCAGGGCTGTGCGGTTGAGGGTGTTGCCTTCGGCGAAGCTTTTGAGGAGGTCTGTGTATTCGGCTCGGTCACTGACGAAGTGCTTGACTGCTAGGTATCGGGTGTGCGCATCCATGGCAGATTCCATGGGGGATGGGGGGACCGGTGACCTGGCGTGAGTGGCTGCTCGAGCTTGGGGACTCGCCTTTTATATTCGAGGATTTAGGAGAGTAGTTGGGAGGGAGTATTCTTTGTTATGTGTATGCAGATATAGACAATGGGTTTAACAATCAGACAAAGACACAGAAAAGGATGAGACAAGGCCTTTGTTCGGATTCATTGCCGATGCTTTGATGCTATCGGCATCACTAGTGTTCCATTAGGTAGGTCTGCGATACCAACCGGCCAATTTGATATTGGTAGTAGACAGTGATGGTATTTGAGATGCCGAGGTTTGCTTTCGCCCCTCGTGCACTTGCTCTATAGATTTGAACAATCGATCTAAGAGTCCTCGCTCGTTATACAGCAACATTAGGCAAAGGAAGGCTGCAACTTCCCACAAGCCCTGTCCGCCAATCTCTCCTTCATAAGAACCTCATAGACATGCTCAGCCCATGAACAGCAGACCTTCCTCGTATCCTTCGGATCAATGATTTCCTCAACGCCAAACGCATTCGCCGTGCGCACAGGATTCATCAATCGCAAATACTCCTCTTCCAACTCCTTATACCGCTCCTCCTTCTTCCCAACCTTCTCGGCCTCCCTCAGCTCATGCCGATGTCCAACCTCAATCCCGCCATCAAGCGGCAAAGACCCCCATTGCCCAGACGGCCAAGCAACCTGCATAACCGGATCCCGACAGCCCAGCATAACACCGCCAGCGACACCATAGACCCGGCGCGTGACGACATTAAAGACTGGCATAGTAGTACTGAAATACGCCTTGGCAAGTTCAACGCCCCATCGCATAGTCGCTGTGCGCTCAGCAACAGTACCAATAGCGTATCCCGCTAAACACAACCGGTCAGCTTACAATCTTTTCACAAAAAGCAGCCCAGGGGTATGGTCGACTCACGAATGTCCAAAAACTGCAAAACCGGCAAATTCATCACATCACACAACTTCAACAGCCGGGTCAACTTCTGACTCCCCGCTGCATCCAACGCTCCCCCATTAACCTCACAGTTAAGCGTGATTATACCAACAGGCCGTCCACCCAACCTGGCAAGACCACCAATCGCAGTCCTTCCCCACAAAGCACCGATCTCGAACCAAGACCCCTCATCAACAACAGAAAGAATGACAGTGCGCGCATTATACATGCGATTCTGTCGTCGTGGTATAAGACTCCGCAACGAAATATCCTCGCGCTCCACAGAGTCCACGCAGGGTACTGTTGGCGGTGCGTCGGACCCGCTGTTGGGCAGGTAAGACAAGACAGTACGCAGCTGCTCGTAGCATTCTTCCTCATTAGCAGCGAGATTATCGATTGTACCATTCGTGCAATGCATCATTGGCCCGCCAAGGTCTTGAAAGTCAAGTCCTTCTTCGAAAGTCGCTCCTTCCACGACTTTCGGGCCTGCATTAAAGAGTGCTCCGATATCAGCCGCCATTACGGAGAAGTGGCAGGAGACTACTCTGGCTGCACCGAGGCCGATCTGATAGCCGGTAATTAGCACAGCGCACTCCCCAAAACGCAAAGTCCAAAGAAAAGTAGAGGGAAAGGAGAGAGAAAAAGAAAGCTCACCGCCGGCCCAACAACAGCCCCCAAATTCGGAATCCCCATATTCAACTGCTTAATCACGTACTCGAACGACGCAACATGCGGTAGATAACTCCATCCCTCCTTCTTAATCGTCGTCACACTGCCACCCCCACTACTCCCATCAACAAGCTTGACAACCGGCATCCGCAACGCAATCGCCAACTTCTCAACATAAACCGTCTTCCCCGCAGACGCCCCGTCCGCATGTCCAGACCGGATACTGAAATCATCAGCTGTAAGCAACACCTTGCGGCCGCGCAGCAGGCCAGCGCCTTGGACGTTGTTGCTGGGTACGAAGGAGACGGGTTTTTCGCGCGCATGCCCAGTCTTCTGCCATGTTGCTGTGCCGGAGACGGAGCCGATCTCGGCGAAGGTGTTTTTGTCAAGTAGAAGGTCTATGCGTTCGCGGACCCAGAGTTTGCCTGCTTGCTTTTGGCGGACGTAGCCTCGGTTTTGAGGATCGGGTGTTTGCGCTATGTTGCGCAGGGTCTGTAGTTGCGAGAGGACATCGGAGTGGTCTGCTGGGAGAGGTTCTTGAGGTTTTGGTTTGGGGTTCGGTGATATGTGGGAGGAGAGTTGGGTTAGGCGGTTCGTGGCTTGGTCTTTGTCATTCGGGGGTTTGGTGGTAGATTTTGTCATGGTGTATTCAGTATGTCGATTGACAGATTGTCAATTGATATGGAGTTCCTGGTGTTTTTTGTCTGCTGTTAACTCTGTATTAGGTAGAATTGGAGATTGTTTTAGGTGGGTGCTACTGAGGGGGTGATTGGTCCCTCCGAGGGCCGAGGTCAAATATCTTTTAGCTATGGATATCTTGTCAAGACTCAATAGTGTATCAAATATCATTTGTAGCATTTCACTATTAGAACTTCTCAACGATTTCAGTTATTATTCCATCTTAGGTATGGCAGGGTCTATTCCTATGCGTCGGAGGATCCATCTTTCACCTAATGTCAGGTCAGGTGCTGACCTCCCATCGCGAGTCGTAGATATGTCTCGGTCTCTCCCTCATTTCCTTATTTCTTCTCTTCTGAGTCTTCTTCCAAGCTCTCTAGTCCATCAGAAAACTATGAATTGTTATTCTTGCCTTGTTTTCTTTTGCGTATTTTCTAACACTATGTACTTAATCTCCTCTGCCACTTCTTGGCCTTATCCGTTTTAGTGCTCATGCCTTGCCGCTTTTCGGTCACTGAGTAAAACTAAGCACCCGACGCCCCTGGGCCTTACATAACCGGTAGCACCGTCCCAGACTCCCAAGTCCCAAGCTCCGCAAGTCGACGAATGATATCTGACTGAGTTGTGGGTCGAAGACGTGGGGTAGCGTGTTCTGCAGGGGGCTCAACCGGTCGCCCCACTAGTTACAGACTTACAGTAGATCTCGGAACCCACCGAGTCACCGACTGCCCTGTTAGCTGGTGGCCTGGTGCCCTGGGATTGGGATTGGAAAAGTGAAAACTTTCACCGGAAATTCTAAGACAGGGCTTGCCGCTTGATGGAAATTGAAAAATGACAAGCCTGTTCAATTGATGGGGTTCTACTAATCTCAACTGGCACGCAAGATTTCTGATTGGGAGCAATTGTTGGTTTACCCCGCAAACCTACGCACGGGCCAGGCATAATCAAGGGCGGTCAAGAATCGCCCCGCACTGTCCGTCAGGTAATGACCGCGGCGGTCACCGCGAGGGAGATGTGTTTGAGCAGCTCACTGACTCTGAGTCCAGACTGAAAACTACTCGTGAGCCTGACTCTGAGCGACCTCGTAAAAGCGGCGGCAGCTAAGATAGGAAAGCCCACCCGGAAGAGGGAATATGACCAGGTACCGATTAACTATCGAGGGACCTCGGGACAATCGTTTACAAGGGAGTTCTGGTGTTGGCCCGAGGTAACAAACACAATGGTTACCTATGTGACTAGTATGTAACATATTTCCTATTTCTCTCTTCTTTGTCTCCTCGTCCTTCTGAAAGTAAGAATCCGATAGTTTTCTCTTATCTTCTTCTCTTCCGACCGCTGTAGAGTAACTCCGGGAAATTGATATCCTCGCATACATTTACCCCGAAATCCACAAACCACCATGTCGTCATCCCCGCACTCACGACCCATCAAGCGATTGTTGGTCGCCAACAGGTACGGCCTCACCTGACAAGAAATGATATACTTATACTCACGCATGGAACAGAGGAGAAATCGCCGTCCGCATCCTCCACGCAGCACGAGAACTACCCTCCCCAATCGAGACATTCGCCCTTTACACAACAGACGACCGATCGCACTGCGATCTCGGCCGTCCGCGCCATACACTCCAAATTCCATCAGCATCCTTTTACCTCGACATCTCCTACCTGATCGAACTAGCCAAGACACACTCCATCGACGCCGTGCACCCGGGATATGGCTTCCTCAGCGAGAGCGCCGAGTTCGCGTACCGCATGTGGCACGAAGCTGGGTCGATCGTTATCGGCCCCGGATGGGAGAACCTCGCGCGAACGGGCGATAAATTGCAAGCCAAGCAGCTAGCGCAGAAATGCGGTGTTCCCGTGCTAGAGGCCATGAGTCGACCTACTGGCAATCTGGACGAGGCACGGGCGTTTGCGAGGCAGGTTGGGTTCCCTGTGATGATTAAGGCTGTTGATGGTGGGGGTGGGAGAGGAATTCGTCTCGTTCGGGAGGAGGGTGAGCTGGAGAATAGTCTTCAGCGGGCGATTGGGGAATCGCCGTCGAGATCTGTGTTTGTTGAGAAGGCTGCCGTGGATGGGTTCCATCATGTTGAGGTTCAGATTATCGGTGATGGGACGGGTCGGGTGAGACACCTGTGGGAGAGAGATTGCAGTGCTCAGCGGAGGTTTCAGAAGGTGGTTGAGTGTGCCCCGGCCTTGGTGAATGATAGAGGGTTGGTTGGTCGGGTTATTGAGTCTGCGCTCAGGATGGCAACTGAGGTTTGCTATCGATCGTTGGGAACGTTTGAGTTTCTGGTGAGTGAGCAGGCCGGGGAGTTCTATTTCTTAGAAGTCAATCCGCGTCTGCAGGTTGAACACACCATTACAGAATCTATCAGTGGGATAGACTTGGTGCAGACACAGCTTCTGCTGGCGCAGGGATATACATTACGTGAGTTGGGGCTTGGTGTTGAAGTCAGCGCAAACCACCCTCCACCAAATGCCTTCTCGATCCAACTTCGACTGTGTGCTGAGGATCCGAGCAACGGCTTCTCCCTAAGCATAGGCAAGGTGACTGCGTTTACCGTGCCCACCGGCCACGGAATTCGGGTAGACACCAATGTCGATGTCTCTGGTCCGGGGCTGGTTGTAGGGTCCAATTTCGACAATCTACTAGCTAAGATCATTGTGACCGCACCTACCTGGGAAGCAACTGTCAGAAAGGTCCAGCGGGTGCTGGCTGATTCGAAGATTGACGGCGTGAAAACCAACATCGGCCTTCTACGAGGAATCGTAGCCCATCGTGATTTCATGACCGGCAAAGTCGACACACAATGGCTAGGATTAAATCTCGAGACCCTCATCCAGAAAGGAGAAAGGATCTCAAAGAGTCTCCAGGCATCCAATGGCCCGTCCCGTTCTTCGCAGCAAGCGATGTCCCAGACTGTGCTGCCAGCATCCAATCTCCTATTCCGGAAAGGAGACGCATGGTCAATCACCCTAGAACCTCTCTCGGAAGATGGACTGCAATCAGACCAAGTCGCCCACCACCTACGCCTTTCCCGGGTGTTACGCAATGAATTCCCTCACTCCCTCGCTGCTGAAATTGAATATACAACTCCAACTTCGCAAGGCGCAATGCCCTACCGCATGCAACTTGAGACGACTACGACTGCCGCGTCGGCATTGGTATCCTCGTCGCATCGCCGAGGTGACCCAACGAACCCTCAACACATCATCCTGCCTCTGTCTGGCAAGTTGATGGAGATGCTGGTGTCGGAAGGACAGGATGTCGTCGAGAACCAGGTTCTGGCTTTCATCAAGCAGATGAAGATGGAGCTCGAGGTGCGGAGTCCTCGGAGTGGAAGGGTCAAGTGGGTCCATGTGATGGAGGATGAAGATGAAGATGTTGCTGAAGGCATGCTGTTGGTTGAGTTGGAGGCAAGCAATGGCAACGTGGAAGTGCGAGGGAGGTTGTGAATTCAGGGAAATTCAAGTGCCATAGCTGGATCAATGCGATCCTTATCATAAGTCATATACTGGAACCTCAAATATAACCAGCGAATCAGCTTTCTGATCCACTTGGTTCTCAGCATCATTGGTCTAGTGGTAGAATTCGTCGTTGCCATCGACGAGGCCCGTGTTCGATTCACGGATGATGCACAATCCTTTTTTTTCTTGATGAGCCAAATTTGTTCAACTGCTCGGTTGTTTTGCCAGATTGATATGGCTTCGAGTTCAGCAGAAAATCAGAAGTAGGAAATATGAATTTTAGAGAGTTCGAGTCGTGTTTACATCTTGCGGTCAACGACAAGCGGTCACTTGATTTCAGTGACGTCACCCCTTCATCTTCCCCAGCCATCTCTACGGTCCCTCTGATCCGATACCAGTGTTAGGATATCAGTATGGACGCCCTCGGTGTCTACGTGCTGACCTTTAACTGCGCCAGAAACGTGATCGATGTCGACTCGTTCGCGGATCACTTCTTCGATGCCCTCCCCGCCTCCGGTGCGGGGAGCTCCGCACCGGATCTGATTTTCCTCTCCCTGCAAGAAATAGCACCTATCGCCTACTCATTCCTCGGAGGATCCCTCCTCCTGCCGTACTTCAATGCCTTCCGGCGCGCCGTGCAGAAAGCCTCCGCGCAAAAATGGGATCAACACTACGTAAACTTCCTCACCGACAATACGGGCATGACGGGCCTGATGCTGTTCGCGCGCGACGACACCCTGCGCAAGATTGCCTGGAAAGATACAGCTCATGTCGGCGTTGGACTCCAGCAGATGGGCAATAAGGGCGCTGTCGGGGCGCGTCTGGGATACGTTGTGGATGGGCATTCGTCGAAGACTGTTGATCTTACTTTCGTTGCGGCTCACCTTGCGCCCATGGAGGACTCTTGTGAGCAGAGAAATCAAGACTGGCAGAGTATTGTTGAGCGGCTTGTGTTCACTCATGACAAGAGCGGACCAACGAAGAAGGATAGTGTCGACGAGAGTACCCGTCTGCTTGATGATGCTGCGTCCGCGCATGCGGAGGGCAGTCGGAGGGACCTCTTCGCGCCGAATGCCTACCTCTTCCTTGCCGGAGACCTGAACTACCGCACCTCGGACATCAGTCCCTCCACCGATGAAATTGCACAGTTCCCTCGGCACGACGCCCACGTTGATGATCCCACGCACTACTCTCACCTCCTGAAGAAAGACCAGCTCAAGCGCGAAATGAACCAAGGTAGAACCTTCCATGGACTGTCTGAAGCGCCGATCGACTTCCCTCCTACATATAAGTACTCGCACGCTGCGTGCCAGGACGTTCGCCAGGGCTTGGATGCCAAGGATCAGGAATGGAAATGGTCGACTCACCGCTGGCCTAGCTGGTGCGATCGGATTCTCTACCTCGAAAAGCCCACGTGGGTCGGCGAGGCTGGAAGTGTTACGCCGCTTGCATATACGGCACTGCCTCTCTTTGCGGAGTCGGATCATCGCCCTGTTGCACTCGTTGCATCAATCCCGCTCAATTCCTCCGAAGCAGCTCCAGGCAGAGATTTGGCTCCGTTCTCCATCGATCCGAGCTGGGAAGCTAAGCGCGACATGGCGCGACGGAAAGAGGTGGTGGTGGGGGGGACTTGCATATCTGGGGCTGACCAGAGAAGGAAATGGGTTGCTGGTTGTCTCGTTGTTTGGGATGTTCGGAGCATACTTCATTCTTCGATCCTTGTTGGAGGTTTGAGCGTGGACCGATACGGTGAATGGCGCTAGTGGAAACTTTCTCCCCTTGTTCGGTTTTAGTATTCCTTGCGCTCTCTTCTTATCACTTAGGAGTTTCGGAATGTCATCATGCAACACTGCTAATCGCCGAATCGGCACTGGATGATAACATTAGCACCATTATGTCCCTTCGCTCTGTTAAATTGCCTAGTTTGGCAGGAGTGTTACAGCGCCAGCAGCCTCAATCAAAGGTCCTGTGACGTGCACACCAGGACACACGGGTTTCGGACTATCGTCCGTATCTCCAATCCTTCACCGATATCTCTGTCTAATATGACACCGACTTTCATTATTCAAGCATTGGCTACAGCTTAACGGGCTTGCTGTGTATGTATATCACTCACTGCAGACCGTAAATGATCCCCCGTCTGAGCAGCAGCCTAAACCAGACACCTGCGCTCTTCTAAGTGAAGTCACATGAACGGCTCCGGCCCTAAATGGTCAGGATGCATTCTGCAGGTGAGGATGGCGTCGAGGCGGAAGATGAGGATCGCCGTGGCTTGGGTGAGTTCGCGCGAGCAAATGAGGTCACTGCATGTGGCAGGTTGTAATTTCTTAATCCCTGAACCGCCGATTATCGCTCATAGCTTGTGTCTATATGCCTGTATGAACACCTTGCTTCATAGATTCCGATGACTGCATGTGTCCTGAGCTGAGACTGTCGGCTGCAGGGGGAGATCGGCTCTACGTTGACAGGTCGCTTTTTCTGGGTGATCGTCGCTGTCATTGCTGCCATGCTGTCATAGTAAGCTTTTCACTCGTTTGTCTCCCCACTTCCTAGGTTCGTGTTACTCGAGTGGGGTGATCCCTCTCTTTTCCGTTTCTATATACAAAGAGTGTCGGCAAGGATGGCCAGTGTTTCCATGCGATGGTCCAGATGGATCTATAAGTTCTGTGGTCTTCTAGACCCCCTCTGTCTCTCCCATACCATGGATACATTTTCGGTGCCTGAAAGTTTGAACCATGGTCCACTATTCTTTGACGGGCCGCGACATCCGGATGCAGTTGTCCAGTAAATACAAAGGTCATTTTGTCATTGTGCAGGACGGAAGATCGGCCGGTGGTGTTTTTAGTTTCTTTTTTATTCTATGTATGATGTATGTCTATTCCCACTCCATGTGGGTTGTAGGCGTCTAATCAAACAGGTGCAGTTAATGTATGACGGCCATGTTGTCACACCTCTACTCTATTTCCACCATTGGTAAACGTGCAACAGCGCATAGAGGAAAAGCACACACGAGGTCAAGTGACCCGCAAAGAGCTTAATTTCCTTTTCTTCAACCAGTTCTCCAAACATGAGAAAACACGAACGTCTACTCACCGCGCCAATTGTACGCCTGTGCTGAGGAGGGGCAAGCGGGACAGCTAGGTAGAAGGGTTTCATGAAAGGCGGTGTATATTGTAATTCAAGCTTTGACTATGAGGAGATCTAGGCCGGAGTACCGGAATGCATAGTACTGGATCTGACACGATACGGAGAATGCTACCCTGCATTTTCGGGTGATTTCTTACAGATCTCGTTTCCGATTGTTTGAGGAATGCTGGTGGGGAGAAGAAAAAGAAGGGGAAAAAATGGAAAAAAAATGGAAAACAGGAACCAGATCCACAGCCTCCACAGGGATTGAAGGGAAGAACCAAACACCGTAGAACTCCAGAGCCAGGTTGAAGGGCTATTGAATCTGATTGTTTCTAGTGAAGTTTCAGACCAGCAGGACTGGCGATTTGAATGCTTATTGGTTTCTGTATTGTAGATGAGATAACGATCATCTCAACAAATAGTGACGAGAAAAGGGGAGTAGAATACCAACCTACGTATCGTATTTGATTTCCTCTGCCACTTCTTGCCCCTCCCTTCCATTCTAGTGCTCAGTGCTTGCCGCTTTTTGCTCGCTGCCGAGTACTCCGTACAACAGCCACAATTGTTTATTCAGAGATACTTCTAACCGATCATACACTAATTCCACCAACTTGCCTTGAAGGCTCGAAATCCATCTCATTTCGGCACCTGTACCCATTGCAATCAAAGACTTCTCATCGACCAGTCTTTCTTGAGGCGCGTGGATACAGTGACGAAGCAATGCCTGCAGTGCCATGACCCATGAGAATGTCGGCCAGTCAAGATCAAGGCCTTCATCAGCACCTCCAACAGTAGTCGGAGATCCTACACCAGTCGCAGATCCTACGCACTCGGACAATCTAGCTGTTAGAAGTCGGGAGACGGGAGTCGGAGTTGATTCAATCCTTCCATGTTCGGCTGCAAGAGTACAAAATGAAGACAGCCGTGGTTCGGCATGAAAGCTTGAGGATGCGGTCTCTCAGCGCTGCCGAAGGACAGACAAGAGCCGTTCAGTATGGCTGCGCCGCTGCATAGTAGATTGAATGAGATACAGCCGGATCTAGTAGTACCCTCAAACCTGCCCGAGCTCACACAGATTGGCGTTGAAAAAGTGGGTGAAGCTAATGCTCAGCAATTGAGGCTGGGGGTCCGGGGGACGCCAAAAGCCCCCTGGTATGATAGGATGAAAGAGGTCCTAGGGAGGAGTGCCCAAGGAGTCTGAGAAGATGATTGCCATAATGGGATTCGCTTCTGCCCCGCCATGACTCCGACATAGTTATCCTATTACCAAATCCATTGATGAGCTAACTACGTACAGTGGTGTCTGATTAGTATTTAACCTCCGGTACATTGGGGGCCTTGGACCCACTTTAATACTGCCAAGCAGAACCCTCGGGAATTCGAATTCATCCAATAGTTGGTGACGCGGGAAGTTTGACTAGCTGAATCAAGTAGGCGGTCCAGAGAGCGGTCAAATCCTAAAGTGGGGACCTAAGTACCGGAGGTTAAATACTAATCAGACACCACTGTATCATGAACCTGCTGCGTTAAGCCGTTGACCTGCCCAAATGTGGCGGTGCAAGCTACGTAATAGTAATGTGCCTTTTTCACCCTGTGCCAAGCCGGCTGTAATCGGTTTTCGTCAGAACACGCACTGATCACTCGGTGAGCGCTCATTGGACCTCACGACTTTATCACGTGGGGTATCTCGGCCTGAGCTCATGAGCCTCGTAAAAGTGGCGGCAGCTACGACAGGAACCACCACCCGGCAGAGGAAATACACACATGGTATGTTACGTACGGAGTACAGTGAGTCCGTGACATAGGTAAACTCCACTACTGACAGGGCTGATCAGGAGAAAGTGGGCAGAGCATCGAAGGATCGGAATGTTCCATGCAAACTTGCAAACAGGCCTGAAGGGGCCAATTGAGAAAATCATCCCCTGAGAGAAAAGTGGGGATGTTTTCCAGAACAAAACCAGAACAAACTAGGGGATCGAGCCTTGAACCTGAAACAATAGTTTAAAATGTCCCCATAACTAATCAATATACAACAAACGTTTATACTGGCCATCACACTGGCAAACTAACGGTGTGATGTTTCGAAATCCGACTTCGTGTCAGCTGCTCCACCTGGCCCTGTAATATTGAAGCGAGTCATGGATATGCATCGGACCGTCTCTTTTTTATTTTTTTCTATGCATCGAAGACCAGCATTTCAGCCGATCACAAACCCGCATCTCCGGGCCAAGGGATGGGGATCGACCAATCTCTGCAGTATGTACGATGGGTTAGAGTCATCTGATCTGTGTTGTATCTTAGTAGAATTAGGGGCAATCTTGGAATGTTCGGAACCACGCCAAGTGTCCAATGCTGCCCAGTTGGGCCAAGCAGTGGAAATAATATTCTAGTAGGTAATCTGTAAAAGAAATGTAAAGAAATAAAGAATGAAAAAAATAATAAAAAGTCGAAAATAAAGAAAATAACACAAACCAACCCCAGCAAACGGTAATAATGGAACCTAAAATTTCTCATCCTCCTATTTTTCCATGGAATTTATGCTGGTTTGACATGTCCAAGCCATTTTTTTGAGCCTCTGATATAAACCTGTCGTCCTTCTCCCGTACGTCCTCCCTTTCTTCCAATTCTCTAACGCTAGAACCTGGTGGCTGAATTGACTTCCTTCAACCTCCGACGTCATTGTGTTGTACTACACATTCTAGACCTTCCTCCTTATTCTCCGTTCCATTTAAGCTTGAGAACCTCTCTAGTCTGCTCTTTCCCTTTTTTCTTCTCCGAAACCTCAAAGATCCCCTCACCTCTTGTCGATCTAATCTGCACGATCAACGCTTATCAACATGTATTCCTGTGCAAACTATCCTCGCGGATGCCGAGGCCGTGTCAACAGCTTAAATACAAAGTGCTCTGACTGCGTTGTAGGTGATTCTGATTCCGGACTATATCTTTGACTCCATACAAAGAGGAAACAAGAAACAAAGAAATGTGAAGCAACCCATACTAACACACCTGACAGGCTCTGAACTTGCGCCGTCCGGCCTTTGCTTCGCCTTTCGCTCAACCACGTGAGTACAAGCGAATGCTGCCGTCAGAACTCTTCGGGTCTGAATCTAAGACCCCGCAGCCTGAGCTGTAATGTTGTCCAAAGGATACATGTACACGCTCGGGACGGACCGAGAATCATCCACCACCTCGCTAGTTGCGTCCTGCCGGCTGGGACTCATCGAACGAATCAAGGCTGATTCCTTTGTTCGCTGATTTGCATGCTTCCCCCACTCACCAACTCTTTCATCTGCATCGCCGGAGTTCTCTTTGTCATTCGGCGGCTGTTCTACTCTTTGTCTTGATTTCGGAATTCCGAACTCCGATTCCCTGTTTTCGCACTGTTTTCGCCCTGCTTTGACCTCATTCGACACTTACATTGGCCGGGCTGATGTACGAGGATCTTGCGCGGGACCTAAAAACGGGAACTTGATTCTGGAAGTCACCCACCATGCATGGAGTCTTTGGCGAAAGCTTCCTTTTTCACTCGCTTGGGCTTTTGTTCCTGATTCCTGGACGAAAAACGGCCCGTTTCTTCTATATTTTGCATGGGGGATAGTTAGATCGTGTTTTTTCTTTTCTCTTTTTTGCATGGATACCTACGGACATGGATCTGCCACTGGAGGGCAGTGGCGCTGGTGGATTGAGACTCAATCTGGTTGATCGTGTATAACGATTGACTTTGATTCCTTCGCTTCTTTTTCCTTGCGCATACGTGTGCTTTTGACCTTGGTCTTTTGATTTCTGATTGATGCCCCATCTCATGTTGAATATTTTCCTTCGTGAACTATGATGCCATACCCCTCTGTTTCTCATTGCGTTATCTATGATCATTCCCCTTGGTGCTATATACCTATTTACTGCATTGATACTCTCGTTCTGCTGGAATCTATGAAATCCCATCGCTCTCACACCACGAACTCCAATTTATATTCGGAAACTCAGCCCTGCCGAAGGATTCAAGTCTAGAATGACTGTTTCACCGATATGTCCCAAAAACCCCATTCATCTCAGCCGAAAGCCGAAACGGTATGTCAGCCTCGCGGGGCTGTAACCTCTTACCCCAAACACACTCTCTAAAACCGTCGAGGACTCGTGAACCCGACTGCTTCGCCCAACACGACATTTCTCGGCCCCAAACATCTTGAAACACTTTCTTCAGCCCCAATAACCAAGTAACCACTAGTTGATATTCATAACATCCACCCAATATTGAATCTCAGATCCATATTTCGCCCCTCCTCAGAAGAAAAACCCTTGAAAGATCCAGACCGACCCCGTAACACAAGTGACAATCTCCAACCCATCTCACAAGCACTATTATGATCACACTACCATCTGCGCGGTCGATCATTACCATCTCTTAATTTCTTAGTGGCTCCCGTGCCCATTGCAGGGGGCCATCCTTGTCACACAAACCGACTCACGGCTACACAAGATTTAAGTCCCTGCAACGGTTGGAACGGCTGCCGGCTAGACTCGGCGCATTGGCTTTTTTGTGCAGGTTGTGTTGGTCATGTGGTTATCTGGATTGCCTGGGCCTGGCTATCGGAGAATTAGAATTAGGGTTAGAATTTAGAATTTAGAATAAGAATTGAGAATTACCGGAATGGATGATACTTGTATTCTGTTCTATTCTATCGATTCCAAATTTCAGACTTGGCTCTGGTCGGCTCAGGAACGGAGAATGGAGATCACCTCAGTCTCAAGATTGGGATGGAATGGATGTTGCACCTATAGTAAGGTTCAAACTTCAGATAGTATGTTGGAGAAAGAAACATGGAGCCGTCGATCATCTGTCTCAGAGTCCGATAGTTCGCTCTAATTCGTGTGCTTTGTCCACATCTGAAACTATTGTCTAGGTTATTGTATGCTAAACATTTGATCTGACCAACCTTGGAAAGAACCAGCAGTCAAAGGTATGGAGTGAGAATGGTGCCAAATATGAGGTTTCGTTACAATACTTTGAAGATGTGTGTGTTGTGTGCCGGTACCTGCGTCTTGGATTCAGGGGTACGGGTAGAATTTGAAGCAGGCCCAAAAAGAGAACTTGGGAGAGGAAAAAGGATTTCGACAATCATCATGTACTTAAGACTTCGAGTTAAGACCAGCTTCGGTAATTGTTTTATCTGTAGAGATGTACATAGTACATAGCCTAATAGAGTAGGCGATGACTCGATGTAAAACGAAGCATCCAAGACAACATCGAACACAGCCTAGACTGTGTACAGCCTAGCGCATTCCATCTATTCTAGTCGCTTCTACTCTCCTTCCGTGCTCTTCCTTCTTTCGCAGTTTCCCCCCTTTTTTTCTTTTTTTAACCTCTTTTTTCTTATTTTTCTGTGCCGGCTTAATCGGTTTAGGTAATTTTGTCGGGCGCTCAGCCACAGTGCGCTTCCCAAGGTTCAGGTAGCCGTTTCAGGGTAGAACTGTGGGGGTTTGTCCGGCACGGTTGTTGGTCGAACCTCCACTGTGGTTGCCTGAAAGGAAGAACTGCGATTTTCTCCACCGTTGAAAGACACACGATACCCGATTTGTGTTGAGATCTGGGTGGCTGTGCACGTGGGTTTGATCGATTCGGGTGATCGGGTGTCAGTTTGATGGGGCTGGGTTTGTACCGACGTACGAGTACGACTCTATTTACTCGAAACAAGTGTATTCAATTGTTATCCTTGTTACATTGTAGTAAGTTACTCGGCTGTCCCTCATCTAGATTAATCTCAAACCTTCGTCTCTCGCTTATCTGACACCGACACCGGCAAATGCCACTAGCTGCATGCATGTTATGCAGTAGTTATGCAGTATGCAGTAGCTGCAACGGCTGAATGGCTGAAACGGCAAAGTGCTATACATCCACGAAAAAATTGTTCGGTAAAGAATAAAGGCAATAGGCATTCATGAATCATGATTCCAGACTCGCCCTTTTCTAGCATCTACAAGTGGGTCCCGCACATGGAATAGCTAAATCCCGATTCCCAAGCCACTCACGAGTCACGGGACACTCAATATATGGCCAGTGGCCAGGCACAAAAATGCCAGACGGTGGAGACTGGAGACATACCCGCTAGCCGACCGGATCGGGTCTCCATATCTACATCGAAGTTTCTAGATTCTCGGCTAATGGCGACATGCACGGTAGATTGGGCTGGAAGGTTTGATTAGGTTTCCACGGATTGTCCAGTAGGAATGGCTCGAGAGCGCGTATATTCAAGGCATTGCCTGGGATGCGACTGGCGGAGGACTTTCTTGCCGATGGATCTTTGGATTGCTTGTGTTGCGGATTCGTCGCGTATTACCCTACTTGCATTTTATATAGAGGCTACGTGGGCGGGATTTGGTGAATATTTGGGGTTTGGAAATAAGTTTCAGTGATTCAGTATAGCACTGGGCCCTGTCTACCACAATTACCTACGGATCCAACATCTGTCGACACACCCACTGTGCAGTCTTTGTATGGAGCTATTGGAGTGTCCAGGCTCGCTCATCTTCCAAGATCCCAGCATCGGTGACTTCTGCCTCTTCTGCAGCTCCGGAGAGTATATCCGCGTTCTGAGAATTAGCCTGAGCTGGTTGTTCTTTTTGTTCTCCTTTGTTTCTTGGCTTGGTCGAGCGATTGAATCCGACGCTACCGAGAATATCGTGTGCTATCCTGAACCCGGAGGAGGTATGCCGTATGCGCCACAATAAGGAGGTACACGTGGCTGCGGTGGCACGTGGGTTCTGATGTGTGGATCTTGATGGGAACCGGTGCATCTTGATTTGATTGTTTGGTGAGCGGATCTTCCTCAGGTGGAGACGAAGCGGACTTTTTGATTCTTGAATATCGACGGATCCATCTTTCGTAGTTCACGACGTATGTTGTGTCGTCTGCTCTCTTCAATAAACCGACGAATTGTATGCCCAGCGCCGTCTCTTATGTTAGTATTGCGGGTGAAGCGTGCCCGGTCTTCATACACGCCGCTTAGGTAGGCGCACATAGCGGAGATTCGAGATTTCGTTAACGAGAGGGCTTCTATTATTGGAAATGGCCAAAAAGGCTTCGATTCTGCAAATTATGGTAGTAGAACAGACAGATACTTCATTTGTCGGTATGGAAGGCTTCATGTTGGCACGCTCATGTCGTTAGGAGTTCACTTGCCAGCCTTCATCTATGTTAGTAGACCACAAAACATGGACCTGGAGGTGGTAAACGAGGTGAATGGACATTTCATATTTCATATCTGGTATGCTGCATCCATGTGTTGGATAGTCCAAACACACGCTCGAATCCTCTTTTGATTGAATTTGTTATTTGACAAAGACCTACGCTTATGAGAACCATCGAGACTCTGCTCAGCGTGAGTAGAGGGATTGGCGGTACATTCACTCGTGTTGCGCAAGGGTTTGGGAAAGGCCTGTGTACGTGTGCGTTTGAGCAAGAAGGTCGATATGTAAGATCGCAAGCGGTGCATGAGAGCTTCCTATGCCAATTGTAATTGTCGTCGCCGTCGTTGTCGGCATCGTCATAACGATTGCGCCGGGCTCCTGTTTACTCCTTCCATGTGACGCTGGACGACTCATCAAGCACTGCGTGCGTGCTTTCCGGGTGGCTCGTCTCGCGGCACCTTCCTAGCGAGCCACACTTCCGTGAGATTCCAAGCAGACCGTCGTGAGATTCAAATAGTGTTCTGAACGTTTGCTTCCCCTCATCGTCATCTTCCCTCACCCACAATCCCCAATTCCATATCTTTTTCATCTTCATACCAGTTTGTATCCGGTACTGTGTAGACTTGAAGCATGTCATCATCTACACAAGACTCAGGCAATTTTCTGAAAAGGTCCTTGTCTACACGCTCCATGCGCAGTGCAAGGAGACCTCCCTCAGACGATGCGCCACCAACACCTTCTCTCATCACGCAACATCCGGCCGCCGCTGCCGCTGCATCGTGTGCAATGCGATCCGGCCAAATCCCATCTCGGGACCCGAGAGGCCCATACAATCAACTCGATGATCCGGCAAACTTCGCTGGCCTCCGACAACTCCCACGAGCAGGCCATCACAGCAGCGGCGCAAACGCATCCATGGGTCAGCAGTATCCAACCTCATCTGCCACCGCAACGCCTCATCAGTCCACAGGGGTGTCCGGTCGACCAGCTGTAGTCGATGACATTGGACCCGCGGCTGCGATATCGCCAATACAGGAACGCGATGGAATCGATGGACGAAACAGTTCAGTGTCTTCTCCGTTTCGCCAAGTGCACAAAGCCAAGTCAATGTGGATCAGACAAAGCAATGGTGATCATCAGGCACGAACTATGACACACTCCAAGTCTTTTAGCCGAGGGAACCCTCGATCAACACAAAAGGACCAGTATCCGGGAAGAAATGATGACGACGACAAGGGCCGCCTCCGATCTTACATATCGGCCTTCTCGCCCGAACGCACCTTACACAATCCGTTTCGCAAAACCCTGCGCGAAACGCGTGAGAGTACTGCCAGTCCCTCCAACCCCGCTGACCAAAGCCGCGGGGGTTCTCATAAGCATCGGTCAATATCGAATTCAATCAAAAGTGGATTCAACCGTGTTTTTGGGCGATCCAAACACACCGATGCCACTGCGCGGCCGTCACCACTGTCAGGTAGTTCATATGGCGCTGAACCGGTCGTGACATCCCCATCCAAGAGAAACGTGGAAGGCGTCCCTCCTGGGGATAGTCGGAATGCACCTCCTCCTCCCCGGCCTCTTGTTCAGTCATCCACCATGGATAGTCTCTGTGGTTCGGAGTCGCGCGTCACTAGCTGGAACAATTCAAGCTTGACAAACACAGTCACTTCCCTCAAGCCGGAGCATGGCGAATCTCTTTCTTCAATCAGAGAGGATGAAAACCTCGATCAGCTACTGCCACCGCCACCTTCACGCGTAGTAAGCGGTACACAGAATGAACCTCCTTCTGCCCCATTGTTGAATCGCAATCTGCAGATTGACTGTCAGGACCTGTGCTCTGCGATACAGCATGAGATCGACCGACACCAGCGGTCCTGGTCCAACCAGGCTCCGATTGTCGCTAGGGTTCCAGAGCGTCGTGTGATTCCACGGGTGCCAGCTTCCCATTCCCAGTATGGCAGACGCACTGTTCGTCGTGTTCCCAGCCAAGAAGCATCAGTCCCGCCGGTTGAAACCAACGAGGCTCCGGTTTTCGGTTGGGTTCCAGAGCGTCGTGTGGTTCCAGAGATGCCCGGCACTCTTCGTCGTGTTCCCAGCCAAGAAACATCAATCTCGCCCGATTCATTCGCAACAGCGAGTGGGGAGCGTTCAAGTGCCCAAAAGGGCCATCTGCGCCCGGTCAAACCCTTGAAGCGTCGTCCCAGCGAGTCGTCTCCGCTAAGCGCTCCACAAGAGGAGTGTGATACTCTCATGATTCCCCGTCTTCGAGACGCGAGAAGGAACGTCGATTCTCCAAGCGTTGATTCGGGGATCAGGAGTGTCAATCCTTCAGAGAGGGCCAACATTGTTGATGATGCTCTCGGTACACCCATCAGTCGTCGGCGGCGAGAGTCGAGAAGTAGGATCGCTCTATCGAATTCTGATCCCAGCGACAGCAATGACCGTGTTCCGCCGGGAGCTGACATGGGGGTTAGAGACGTTCACAACGCTTTTCCTGTTTGGGGGATGAAGAGGGATTATTCACCGAGTATTTATTCGCGAACAACCAGTGGCATCGCTCTGTCGAGACCGGATGTTGACATTGTCGGCAGGTCCCACGATGAATCAGGGATGGCAACCGTATTTTCCCAGCAGCGGATGTACGTGTCACCCAGACCTGCCCCTCCGAATTCAACCTCTGAGAATTTCTTGACAACCAGTGCAGACTGGCAGCGATGGTTGAATTCGGAGGTCGGGAAGCTTGGACAGACCAAGCCCCCGAGGGAGCATGTCAGAGAATATGAACAATTCCAAGATGAGGATGAACAGTTCCAAGAGGAGAATGAGCAGTTCCAGGAGCAGGATGAGCAGTTGACAAACGTTGCGCGAGACGACAATGCCATCGCACTAGGCAACGATGTGATCTCCACTACTCTTACCCCGGCTAAGACTTCCAGCTTCACAACTCCGGGTCATGGTCATACTAAACAGCGGAGTCCGACACGCAATTTCTCTTGGCCTTACCCGCGACCTTCAGCCAACATGCCCGTGCAGCAAGACTTGTCGGAAAACACGGTTGGTGATGCCTACACACCAAGCAGTGCTCCCGCCATGAATCCCGCCATTAATCCCGCCATGGATCCTGCCATGGATCCCGAGACGAATTCCGCGACGGATTCCGCGACAGATCCCGATAACTACGCTTCTCCTGCATCCGGTGACCCCGTTTCTCCTTCGTCCGTCCTCCGTGAACGTCTGCATAACCAATATGCAATGGGGCTGGGATCTCAACCCCTGCAGCCTCCCGATACACCAACGCCCAAGGCTGCTAACAAGAAGCAAGTTTCCGCACAATCACAGCGGAACAAGTATGCAGTTCGGCGGGCTGCCCTTGTTCGGCACCAGCGCAGCCGACAAGAGCGATCCCTGAACAATGAAAACCACCGTGATCAGCCGGACGAGTCAACAGGAGTGATGCAGCACTTCCTGGAGATTCGTGAGATGTGTGAGCAGGTAGCAACTTCAAGGAGTACATGGGCAAGGACAGGGTCTTTCCCAACTCCAGGTGATGTTGAAGAGTTCCTGAAGCATCCTCGGGGGCCACAGAATCCCCCCAAGCCACAGAGTTCCCGCAGTGATAGCGATGCGGACATGGGAGGGCTTATCTAAGCACGTGGCAATACCTAGCGGATAGTGCCCCAACTCTACTCGTCATATTCTTATTGTTTCGGGAGTTGGGGCTTTGCTTGATCATTATGGGATGGAAGCAATTAGTATTCTTACCATCGTTAGTATTCTTGATTCTGGATATTCTTATGCAATCAATACCCTATTCTTATTCCAACCATACATCTATGACTTTGTCCTTTGGTTCGTGCTAGTTACATTAAAGATCTGGATGTAATCATGGATAAGTGGCATGATGGGGATATGCCCGCAGCCCGGCCATAATTCACCTTGGAAGTGGATGCCAAGACCACTTTATTTCTGCGCTTTCTGAAACTCCGCTTAAAGACATGGAGGTAAATGGCCAAGCCCTTCCAGGAATAGAATTCTCCAAAGGAGAAGGCAAGGTAACAAATGAGAAGAACACAGCAAAGAGGACTACTCAGACAACAGGCGCCGACTGAGTCCCACATCCCGCCAACTGGCAAACATTCCGCCAACTGGCAAGACTACAGTCCTACGACTTACCGCGCCGCGTCTGATCTGGTGTTTAGCTCCATGACAAAAGGTGGTATCAATTTTCCAAGGTCGGTTCACAAACTGCTCAATCTCATGATTCTCATTGATCTCAAGCTCAGCGGTACCCTAGGTGGCGCGATCAATAGCCTAGGAAACATACTCGTGAACATATCCAATAGCTTTGATCAAGCTACACACCTGCAAGGGGGAATACGGTATCTGTGCCTCCTAGTCTTCTATTCGTCTAGTTAGCCTCTGGCTTCAGGCGTCTAGTGGGGAGGAGATAGCCCGGTGGGCCGAGTGGGCCATCATCGGTCGCTGCGGATCTTTGACTCTCCTTAGGTAGTGACCTACAAAACAGACAATACAGTAACTGGAACACATCTTCGTGGAAAAGACAGTGACTAACGGGAGACACAAAAAAGTCGACGTGCAAGGTCATCAGTTGGCATCCTTGGTTGTCGGGCCTGCTCTCTGTAGGTAACATTAGCCAAACGCACAGAGCCCGCCTCTTGGTCACTGTACTCGGACTGGATGCAGCAATGAATAGCATGACCATATGAGCACTTCGCCAGATATCCGGCCTCCACACTCCACGTTCGGCGAACCTGACGCGGTCTGCGAGAGTTCGCAATCTATTGAGCGTGGCGCGGTGATAGTGACAACTGACACGCCACGATGCGCCACAGACTCACAGTGGGGTTTGGCGGATATCTGCAGATCCCCCACGTGCCCCAGATCTCCTACCCGTCCGTACCACAGCGTTCAAGATAGTCACAGACTCACAGTGCTAATGGAACAGAAAGCACCTCGAGTGCTGAGATTACAACGGCTTTTGGATTATGAGTTTAATTGCTCGTATTGAACACAGCGAAACAATAGAGACAATCGGAGACACATAGCACGAATGCTTTGAGAGATGACCAAATTACTAACAGGACATATTGGATTTAGGAATGTCTTCCAGTGCCAATACGACCGGTGGGATACACACTGATCATAAGGCGGCGGAATATTTTGTTCTGTCGCCTGCTGTATGAACTGATCACAGAAGACTCGCACATCTGGATCATAAACAGGCAGACCATCAATCTGCCAGAGAGATCTCGTCACTATATACATATGGGGAAAGAGAGGAATCAAAATATCAACCAAGGCAGGCAGAAGAAGGGAAGAAGAGAAGAGGAGAGTGCCTCAAGATAAGCATAGTAGACAAGTCGCGAACGACTACTGCCTTCGACCCACAAGTTTCTGGTCGGTCCCGCTTAGTACCGAAGTACGACTTTCCGCAGGCGCAGCATCATTGGGCAATCTTGTCTGAATATGAATCTTGTAGCAGAAGGAGGGAAGAGGAGATTGCATCAAGATAAGCATAGTAGACAAGTTGCACGCGACTACTGATTTCGACCCACAAGTTTTTGGTCAACCCTGCTTAGTACCGAAGTACATCTTTCCGCAGGTGCAGCATCATCGTCAATCTTGTCCAGGTATGAATCTTGTAGCAGAAGGATGGGAATCGGAATATCAGCCAAAGCTGACAGGAGAAGCGAAGAGGAGCAGGGGAGAGGATAAGGTGGGGAGAGAAGAGGATAAAACGAAGATGGAAAAGGGAGTAGGGAGATGGAGAGAAGAAGAAGAGAAAGTGAAGAGAAGTTCCAGATATTTATACCCAAGGGTCACCTGACAGGATGTTTGCTCAGTCAAACAATCTAAAAAGTCATCCCAAGATAGACCACAGGCAACACGGTCATACACCTCCAAGACGATGACCCTTGTCTACAAACTTTGGGCAGCCCCTGGAAAACATATTGTTCTGATTGACGCCATGATACCAGGGTGACACGCTTGCTCTCAATTCTTCCTTGCCATTTTAAAATCGTTGAAGTATCCAGTGAGCAGAGATAACACTGACATGATTCCTACAGGTCTCCCATCACCAAGTCAACGGTAGACCGACAGTGTCACGTTTTATGAATCAGTGATCCCAATCCCGGAGTGGTTTCTACTGCATGTAATTTCTCCCCTTGAGGCCTTTACTGAGGCATCTGCAGCTTGCGTCTCCGCCTTCTTGTGCTCGTCTGGTTTGCACCCTAGACATATGTATCCTCTTCTCACGTGAACAGATTGGTTTCTGGGGGTTCCAGGTCGCTAGGCATATACGAAGAAGCTCAGTGGTACAGACTTCTTGCGGGAATAGATTGAAGATGTAGCCCCTGAATTCAATTTAAAATGCTGGAGATTGGTTGGGAAGAGATCACGGGGCCATTGTGGGCACTGACCTGCCCGCAAAGGTGGCAAAGGAGCAAGAGAACAGTCCGATGCTTCGACTGTCGGCCAGCAATAGCAGTCAACTTGGCTTGAAATGTTAAATGCGCATCCGGAGATTGACGCCCGATAGCGCAAAAAGCAGTATAGACATAGGTCACTACGAGAAATCAGTACGAAGACCACAAGAAGTCAAGAACTATATACAGGGCGAGACAGGCTGACAGCTAATGACTGGTTCCCGGATTAGCACATCCATAGTAGCCTTCATGGTGAAACTAGGCCAATTACGAGGGGCTTTGGCTTCCGCCGGACGCCCAGCTTCAGTTGCTGAGAGCCTGAGCGGTGATTCTTTTTCGGACCCCCAAGTAGATATCGATTCGACGATTCCCGGAATCTGATTGGTCAAGGATGTTATTCTGCTGTTCTTCACCGATTACCAGAATGTCTGATTTTGGGACCCCTATGAGTATGCGCAAGATCCAGATCATGTGACACATGACACCCTTATTTGTGTAATGCAGTATTCCATGCTTCGCCAACGGTCAGCAGTCACCGATGAGTAGTGATTTATCTAATTACTAATACAATTATACAAAGGTAGAATTCTGAATTGAGAGTAAATGACTATATTTAACTAACCAAAGGGCGATGACTGGAATCAAGGTCAGGCCTGGCGGCTATCGTCGCCCGTCAAGAGTCAAAAGACTACAAAGATGTAAGGCACTGCAAGTGGGCACATCGAAAGGGAGACAAGGTTAAGAAAAGAACAAAGAAAAACAAGCAAATGGCCGGAGAATGAGATAACGCTAGCCGGCAAGCAGGGAATCACTTCCCGTCGTAGATCTGGTCAGGCGTGAGGGTAAAATTGCCCTTCTCGATCTCCGCGGCGTCAACATGGTCGGGTTTGACATACCGCGCGGTAAGGGCAAACCGCAACTTGTTCTCCGGCACCACCGAGTGCTATATCGATTAGCTCTGTTGTTTAGCGGTGCCAAAATGGAGGAGGGCCACGAACCTCGTAGTACCTCTGAAGGTTTTCACCGTGCATGACTACCAAGTCTCCATGGTGCAACTCCAACTTGATGGCTGGCGGAGCTTGCTTTCCCTTCTGGGTGGCAAAGAGAGTTTGTCGAGAGTTGTCATACTCATCTTGGGAGATCTCGCCAGCTTCAAACCTCTCCTTGAGCGCACGACGCTCATCTTCCAACCGGCAGCCTTTCAGCACGGGGTCCTCTTGCAGAACACTCCCAGATACAGCTTTGCCATCGCCGGCGTCCACCCGTCGAGTATGCCCGTTGAAGTGCTTATACTTCATGCGGATCCACATGGTGGATTTTGCTCCAAGTGAGAGGGTTGCAATTGTAGGGCCTAGAGAGGATTCACCGTCGTCATGGTACTAACAAATCTATGCTTTAGTCGAGAGTAGGGCCAATCTCACAGTGTCACTTACTCCTATCTTCATGCCCTCAAAGTACCCCAGCGTCAACAGCTCATTGGGAGGCATGTACATGTCTCCAGCGGAGATGACGGCTTGTTCAGTCGCCCACGAAAGACGACCCAGAGCTCGGAGAATGACCTCAGGGGCTTCGCCAAACGCCTTTGACAGCACCGACACGACATACTTATACGGGCTACCCTGTTTGATTTGGTCAGCGGAGAGGTCAGTAAACATGATGATCGGACGAGCTGACGTACGTGGTTCACCGCGAAGTGAGCGGTAAGTGTGCCCGCGACTGTCCAAAGTAAGAATCCTGAAACTTAAGATTGTGCACCTTGCTCACTTACCTAGACTGGACGAAAGCGGAAAACGTTTTAAACCGAGATCTTCACGCTGAAGACCGATAAACAGGTCGTCGGGCCCATTTGGTCGGCTGTTGATTTCTGCGTTCGCGACAAAATGGGTGATAAAGCCGACTCCATCAAGTTTGTAGGTTAGCTTGCGATAGGGAGACAAGCTAACATCATCGATCTCGGGGATCATGAATTTCCTATCGAACACCATTTCTCGTCTCATTGAGGGCTGCTCGGAATCATCGAGTAGAACTTGGCGCGAGATGGGGTTCATTGTCATGAGCCTTTCAAATGAGCAGACGTTACCGCCCGTCTGAGTGCCAGTAGAGTCATCGCTGCACTTCCACCCTCGCCACAATGTCCGTCGAATACACTTGTGACACTCGGGGCACACAATTCCTTTCCACGCACCACGAGATGTGCTGATGTCCGTGGCATCCTCATCCAGTGTCGAAAGATGATCGGGGACAAGGCTGCAGTTAGGGAGAATTTCATCGTCGGGACGACTGCGGAAGCTCAAGAACGCAGGGTTAAAGGTTAGTTCAGGAGGACTGGAAACGTTTCCAATCTTCCAGAACCTGTCACACTCCGGCTGAAGGCACATCCAGCCATCCTCATAGACACGGATGCTGACCTTGGAGCAGCCCTCGCACTTCAGGGTTTGAGGCTTCGTGTCGAAGTCTCTGAGTTCGAGGGGCATTGGAGGAGCAGAGCCCTTTGCTGCCCACCAGCTTTTCTCCGCGAGATCCAATTTCTCAAAACGGACTTTTGCTCCATGGTTTGTACCAATTCTTTCAAACCAAACATTGGTAACCCGAAACCATGCCATGACGTTGTATCGATGTGGCAGGTCCCGATTGAGAATCTTGTGCTTGCTCCCTTTCATACTGGTCAGCTACAAGCTATACCATGCAATTCGTGATGAATTGGCAACCTACCAATAATTAACCCAACAGGAAGCTTTGACTTCAGGCTGGCAATGATGCTTCGGGCGAGCGTGCTATCAGCCTCCTGATTCTTTTGGAGGGCCAGGTTTCCCTCTGAGTCTTTGGTGCAGCAACCACCACTAATTGAGTTAATACATGCAGTCTTTAGTTGTAGGATCACACTCACATTCGAGTTATGATAATTTCTTCGTCAATGTAGGTCCGGGTACCACCGTCGGCATCAATCAGAAAGCCCCAGCAAAAGCCCTCACTGTGATACATTGCACCCTGAGTGCAATGAAACCAAGGAATTGCATCGCATAACTGCTGGCGATTCTGGGAGGATATTAGGACCTAGATGAAAGGACTCGTTATGGGAGTTTCATACCTCAGCCCACGCCGGTGGTTCGCCATGGACTTGCTCCAGGACCTGGTCAGTGCTGACCACTTTGATCTGGTCTGATGGAACTATGAGGATTAGCACGACATACATCACGTAACAAAGAACGCAAGTCAACTATCCAAGAAGCCTTTGTTACCTTTGTTTGCCGGCGCCTTTTCACTCTTGCCTTTGGTGACGCGGCCCGATCTCACCACTTGTCCAGCCACATGAGACCGACTAGCTGTCGGACGTGGAGCCATATCGCAGAATTCTAGCGCTTGCAGTCTGGTATGTTATTCCCTGGGTTAGCGTATGTGGTCTTCAGACCTATGGTGGGACTACCGTGGGATGGACTCACAGTACGAACACTCAGTCACTCACACCCACCGCAGAAGCAAATCGGGGGTTCAATGGTGCTTCAAATGATTGCAGGTGCTTGAACCCCGATCGAAGTCAATGAACCGGGAGTAGAGAGAACGAAGATTGTAACTAGCCAGGTCAGATTGCTAGGACTCGTTGTGATGCTTCTAGGAGAGTAGGTGAAGGTTGAGAGGAGGGGGAGGACGCAGGGCAGGCCTACGACAAGCCTATATACCCCCCAGGGCGGTATACAAGTCACGTAAACCTTAGATGGGATGAATCCTTGACTAAAGAAAACCTCGAACCACCACCCATCGATGGATGGAGATGTGCTAATTTGGACAGGTTCCAAGGTTCCAACAGATGGCGCTAAGCTCACCGTGACCTGAATGTTCCAAGCCAGGGAAGCCATTACGTGCTATCTACCGAGTCCATCCACGGGTGACCCAAGGCCGATGACAAAAGGAAAGCCACCAACCTTATTTGAATGACCTCGTGTATGCAGCCAACGATGGAATCTGAGGAGAAATACTGCGATCGATATACCTACACTCTGTATGTCGACTGGACATATTTGTCCGAGCCTTGACCATGCAGAGTGTGCACGTGCTTGAAAGCAATGTATGAGCTCTTGCATCGTGTTAGTACACTGTAGCAGGACAGTATGACCCTGTTCCAGTATCTCCCACGTTGTATGGCGAGCAATCTGTCGTCTCGGCTATGCAGTGTAGGTATATGAATCGCAGTATCTCTGCTCAGATTCCATGGTTGGCTGCATACACGAGATCATTCCAATAAGGTTGGCTAGCTTTCCTTTTGTCATCAGCTGTGGGTCACCCGTGGATGGACACTGTAGATAGCACGTAATGGCTTCCCTGGCTTGGAACATTCAGGTCACGGGCAGCTTGGGCCATCTGTTAAAACCTCGGGACCTTTCCGAATTAGCACATCTCCATCCATCGATGGGTGGGTCGTAGTTTCCGTTAGTCAGGGATTCTGCCATATAAGGTTTAACGTGACTTGTATACCGTCCTGGTAGGTTTTTGTAGGCCTGCCCTGCGCCATCCCTCCCTCTCAACCTTCACTTTCATAGAAACCGCAACAACGCGTCCTATCAATCTGACCTGGCGCGTTTCAATCTTCCTTCTTTCTACTCCGCGTTCATTGACTTCGATCTGGGTTCAAACACCTGCAATCATTTCAAGCGCCATTGAACTCGCGATTTGCTTTTGTGGTGGCTGTGAGTGACCGCGTGTGTTGTACTGTGAGTCCATCCCGCGATCGGTCTGAAGATGGCATGCGCTAACCCAGGAAATGGCATATCAAACCGAAAACACTGTGATTTTGCGATATGGCTGCACGTCCTATTGCTGGTCGGCCTCATGTGGCTGGACAAGTGCTGAAATCGGGCCGCGTCACCAAAAGAAAGACGGAGGGAAACAAAGGTAACAAAGGCTTCATGGATAGTGACAGTCGTATATGGCATGCTGATCCTAGTAGTTCTATCAGATCAGATTGAAGCGGCCAGCACTGACCAAGTCCTGGAGCAAGTCCATGGTGAACCACCGGCGTGGGCTGAGGTATGAAACTCCCATCTCGAGTCCTTCCACCTCGGTCCTAATAACCTTACAGAATTGCCAACAGTTGTGCGATGCAATTCCTTGGTTCCATTGCACTCAGGGTGTGATGGATCACAATGGGCGCCTTTGCTGGGGCTTTCTCATTGATGCTGACGGTGGTACCCGGACCTACATTGACGAAGAAGTCATCATAACTCGAATGTGAGTGTGATCCTCCAACTAAGGACTGCATGTATTAACTCAATTAGTGGTGGTTGCTGCACCAAAGACTCAGAGGGAGACCTGGCCCTCCAAAAGAACCAGAAGGCTGATAGCACACTCGCCCGAAGCATCATTGCCAGCCTGAACTCAAAGCTTCCTGTTGGGTTAATTATTGGTAGGTTGCCAATTCATCACGGATTGTATGGTATAGCTTGTAGCTGACCAATATGAAAGGGAGCAAGCACAAGATCCTCAATCGTGACCTGCCACATCGGTACAACGTCATGGCATGGTTTCGGGTTACCAATGTTTGGTTTGAAAGAATTGGTATGAACCATGGAGCAAAAGTCCGTTTTGAAAAATTGGATCTCGCGGAGAAAAGCTGGTGGGCAGCAAAGGGCTCTGCTCCTCCGATGCTCCTCGAACTCAGAGACTTCGACACAAAGCCTGAAGTGCGAGGGCTGCTCCAAGGAAAGTATCCTTGTGTATGAGGATGGTTGGATGTGCCTTCAGCCGGAGTGTGACAGGTTCTGGAAGATTGGAAACGTTTCCAGTCCTCCTGAGCTAACTTTTAACCCTGCCTTCTTGAGCTTCCGCAGTCGTCCCGACGATGAAATTCGGCCTAACTGCAGCCTTGTCCCCGATCATCTTTCGACACTGGATGAGGATGCCACGGACATCAGCACATCTCGTGGTGCGTGGAAAGGAATTGTGTGCCCCGAGTGTCACAAGTGTATTCGACGGACATTGTGGCGAGGGTGGAAGTGCATCGATGACTCTGGCGCCGAGAGGGGTGGTAAGGTCTGCTCATTTGAAAGGCTCATGACAATGAAGCCTATCTCGTGCCGGGTTGTATACGATGATTCCGAGCGGCCCTCAATGAAACGAGAAATGGTGTTCGATAAGAAATTCATGATCCCAGAGATCGATGATGTTAGCTTGTCTCCCTATCGCAAGCTCACCTAGAAACTTGATGGAGTCGGCTTTATCACCCATTTTGTCGCGAACGCAGAAATCAACAGCCGACCAAATGGGCCCGACGACCTGTTTATCGGTCTTCAGCGTGAAGATCTCGGTTTAAAACGTTTTCCGCTTTCGTCCAGTCTAGGTAAGTGAGCAAGGTGCACAATTCTAAGTTTCGGGATTCTTACTTTGTTGATCCGCATGAAGTACAAGCTCTTCAATGGAAATACTCAACGGGTGGACACCGGCGATGGCAAATCTGTCTCTTGAGTGCTCTGCAAGACAACTCCGTGCTGAAAGGCTGCCAGTTGGAAGATCAGTGTCGTGTGCTCAAGGAGAAGTGTAAAGCTGGCGAGATCTCCCAAGATAAGGATGACAACTCTCGGCGAACTCTCTTTGCCACCCAGAAGGGAAAGTAAGCCCCGCCAGCCAGCAAGTTGGAATTGCACCCTGGAGACATGGTAGTCATGCACGGTGCAAACTTCCAGAGATACTACGAGGCTCGTGGCCATCCTCCCTTTTGGCACCGCTAAACGACAGAGCTGACCGGGACCGGTATAGCACTCCGTGGTACCGGAGAACAAGTTGTGGTTTGCTCTTACCGCGCGGTATGTCAAGCCCGACCATGTTAATGCCGGGGAGATCGGGAAGGGCAAATTATTCCTCACGCCTGGCCAGATCTACGATGAGAAGTGATTTCCTGCTTGCCGACTAACGCCATCTCCGTTCATTCTCTTGGTTCTTTTGTGTTCTTTTTCTTTACCTTTGTCTCCTTTTCAGTGTCTCCACCTGCTTAGCTGCTGTGTCTTACATCTGTCACGTTTAGATGATGATTTTACGAGGGGCTTTGGCGTCCGCCGGACGCCCAGCTTCAATTGGTGAGCGTTGATTCTTTTTGGAAACCCCAAGTGCTGTAGATATAGATCGCCAGGATCTGATTGGTGGAGGATGTTATTCTGCCAGTTCTCACCGATTGACATCTGAAATTTAGGGAACATCTTGCCAAACGACAGTCACGTGACACGCGACCCCCCTATCACATTCACGGATTGCTTCGCTAACCCTCAGCAATCATTTCAGTACCTCCATGGATTTACAGGTACTGGTTGCTGGGCTAGATTCGCTATATTGACATTGTTTTTGATGCACCGACACTAGCTGTATTTTCTTCGCCATACTGTGTATGAATCGGCGCCTTCATTGGAGGCTGAGCCGGCCAGCCTGGGTTCAAAACAATTTACTTTTCATGAACCTCTGACCATTGAACATCAGGTATCGCATCGTCAGTACAGCAGTCGCTGTGAGGTCATCTCGCCAGGTAACTAGCATGACTGATGAAAGTAAGTCAATCAGAACAACAAAATAGCAACAATAGATGTAGTACAGTTGTAGTAGGGTATAGCAAAGACAACATAGGTAGCTAGTGCGGGTGCATCGGAAACAATGGTTAGGTTTATTCCTAGAAGACAAGAAGTAAATAGTTTGGACTCCCACTCAGCCTCCAGTCGAAGGCGCACGCGCTCGATTAATAAGTAGCGAGGAACCTAAGAGATAGGCTACCATCTTCGTAAATAGCTCCTTCACAACATCGGGGTAATTGGCGTTTTTCCCACTATTGCGAGAGTTGGAGATAAGTTTCAGTCATTCAATATGGCACTGGGCTAGGTCTGTCTATACCACAATTACGCATCCAACATCTGCCGGCACACCCACTGTGCAGTCTTCGTGTGTAGTGTCCAGGCTCGCTCGTCTTCCAAGATCCCATCTATAACTTCTGCTTCATGCCCGTCAATGCGACAGGCTTTACCCAGCGCCTCAAATACAACGACCTGATCTCTCATGTACTGATCGACACAAGATCTCTTGATGTTGGAGGTGGGTTTCTCGTCTGGGTCCGCATTGGCGATCTCCTCGACGAACCCTTTTACACATCGGTTCACCAGGTCTGCAGCTCCGGAGAGTATATCCGCGTTCTGACAATTAGCCTGGGCTGGTCGTTGTTTCTGTTTTCCTTTGTTTCGTGGCTTGGCTGAGCGATTGCCTCCGACGCTACCGAGGACGTCGTGTGCTATCCTGAACCCTGAGGAGGTATGCGCCACAATAAGGAGGTACACGTGGCTGCGGTGCTGCGTGGATTCTGATGTGTGGATCTTGATGGGAACCGGTGCATTTTGACTTGACTGTTTAGTGAGCGGATCTTCCTCGGGTGGAGACGAAGTGGAGTGTTTGAATATCGACGGATCCATCTTTCGTAGTTCACGACGTAGACTGCGTAGTGTGCTCTCCTCAATAAACCGACGAGCCGTAAGTTCAACGTCGTCATCCCTTAGGTTAGCATTGGGGGTGGTAATATCTGGTGCCAGCACAGTGATATCGATTTGCGTAATTTTCCCACGTTTGTGATCCATGAGATTCATCAGTGGGAAGGTGTAAAAAGGTTCAGTCGTCCGTCTCTTCTCTGGAGATTCATTCTGTTCCTCCCCTTTATCTGAGCTCTGTCGAGACCCAAGTACATGAATAAGGAACGTCACTGCTCCAAGATCGATCGGTCCAGATGACCAGCCACGCTTATGCAGAATCACCGACAAAGGCGGAAGCCCAAGTTTAGCAAAATTGGGCACAATCACCTGCGACATATAGTCATACGACGGAGAATGACTCGAGTTTGTCCCGCCGGTGATATTCACCTTCACGAAAGAGCCAGGCGTTCGAGACCCAACGTGAAGAAGATACGGGTACAGAGCCTGGAAGACGAGGAAGATAGAACCAGCAGTCGTGATATTGATATCGTATTCAGATTTCACGGTGACCTGCGATAAGTCGAGCAGCGGCCCGCTCCTCGTCCTCGGTGAGTGCGGCAAGAATTCGAGGCGCTGGGAGCCGACCTCGCTGCCGGCGACCTCACTACCGCTGATCTCAGCTAACAATTTCACTGCTGCCGCATGGGATCGTTTCAGTCCCTTTTTCCCTTGTCTGTTTCCGCGGACGTGGTCGATGCTAACTGGGCGTCCTGTTAAGGCGGATAGCCCGATAGCGATGCGGACTAGCTGCCCACCTCCTTCTAGGGTGCGGCCGTCTAGGTGGACATGACTTAATTTCGATGCCAATCGCGGGGCTGGCATTTTGGATTGGTAGGCTGGCAGTGGATTATGTAAAGCTGAGATCTTGAATGTTTATGAGGTGTCGTCTTCGTTGAATTGATGGAAATTTAGAGACTATATCTATTCTGACCGGTCTGGCTTTGCAAAGGCTGAGCTTGGGTCTTGAGTCAGACACTGAGACTTTGTCATCTTGGCGTGAGTCACTGCTGCTTCTTTGGTTTAGTCGGGATCTGGACCTTGGCGCTTATGGCGCTAAGCAGAAGCTTAGCAAACCTTGTTTCTTAGATTGATGGACTCGACTTATACATACATCTAGTCGAGGTCTCAGATATGAAGGTAGTGACCTTGATGAAACGTGTACGAAGTGGTATAATCCGGATGATCCTAGTGCCTCATGTCCTGATCCTGTGCCGCTTTCTACGCAGTACATCACCCTAACCATGGGTTGTAGTGAAAATGATTCGACCCTACACAAGATGTTCATGGTATAGGTATGTTGTGTGGCATTTTCATTAAGAAATGAATCCATGCACTGCAGCACTCATCTCCACTTTCTGGTATGACTCGCTACCTTTCACCGCATATTCAGACTGACTGACTGAAACCTTCCAGAAGCCTTTCGCACTATTCAAATGAGCCAGAAGCATGCCCGGTCTTCATACACGACGCTTAGGTAGGCGCATCTAGCGGAGATTCGAGATTTCGTAAACGAAAGGCTTATAGTTATGGTTGGAATAACCGCAAAGGCTTCGATTCTTCAAATTATGGTAGTAGAACGGAGTCAACGGACAGATACTTCATTTGTTGGTATGAAAGGCTTCGTTGGCACGCCTCATGTCGTTAGGAATTCACTTATCAGTCTTCATCTATGTTAATAGGCCACAAAACATGGCCCTGGAGGTGGTAAACAAGGTGAATGGACATTTCATGAGGCCGGGGATACTCGGAAGGCACCGACAATCGGAGCCTCGTTGGATCAGGACCGCTGGTGTCGGTCGATTTCACGCTGTATCGCAGCGCACAGGTCCTGACAGTCAACCTGAATATTGCGATTGAACAATGGGGCAGAAGGAGGATCATTCTGTGTATCGCTTACTACGCGTGAAGGTGGCGGTGGCAGTAGCTGATCGAGGGTTTTGTCCTCTCTGGTTGAAGAAAGCAATTCGCCATGCTCCGGCTTGAGGGAAGTGACTGTGTTTGTCAGGGTTGAATCAGCCCAGCTGGTGACGTGCGGCTCGGAATCACAAAGACTGTCCGTGGTGGATGACCGAACAAGAGGCCGGGGATACTCGGAAGGCACCGTGCGGAGATTAGCCATGGTCGATGAGTGGACAAGAGGCCGGGGAGGAGGGGGTGCCTTCAGACTATCCCCAGGAGGGACAACTTCCACGTTCCCCTTGGACGGGGTTGTCACGACCGGTTCAACGCCATATGAACTGCGTGAGAGTGGTGGTGTCTGTGCAGTGGCATCGGTGGCATCGGTGGCATCGGTGTGCTTGGATCAGCTAGAAACACGTTTGAATCCCTTTTTCGTGGAGTTTGACAATGACCGGCGCTTATGAGAACGATCGAGACTCTGCTCGGCGGGGGTAGAGGGACTGGCAGTCCTCTCACTCGTGTCGCGCAAGGATTTGGGAGAGGCTTGTGATGCTGGTTGCGTCTGAGCGACAAGGCAGATATGTAAGATCGCAGGCGGTCCATGAAAGTTCCTCATGCCAGTTGTAATTGTCGTCGCCGTCGTTGTTGGAATCGTCGTAACGATTGCTCTGGGCTCCTGTTTGCTCCTTCCATGTGACGCTGGACGACTCATCAAGCACTGCGTGTGTGCTTTCCTGCTGGTTCTTCTCGCGGCACTTTCCTAACGAGCCATACTTCCGTGAGATTCCAAGCAGACCGTCGTGAGATTCAAATACTGTTCTGAACGTTTGCTTCCTCTCATCGTCATCTTCCTTCATCAACATTTTCCATCCCACGATCAGGTCATCACAGCAGCGGCGCGAACGCATCCATGGCTCAGCAGTATCCAACATCATCTGCCACCGGAACACCTCATCAGTCCACACAGGTGTTCAGTCGACCAGCTGTAGTTGATGATATTGGACCCGCCGCTGCGATATCGCCAGTACAGGAACGCGATGGAATCGATGGACGAAACAGTTCAGTGCCTTCTCCGATTCGCCAAGTGCACAAAGCCAAGTCAATGTGGATCAGCACTGGTGATCATCAGACACGATCTATCACACGCTCAAAGTCTTTCCGCGGAGGGGAGCCACGATTCACACAAAGGGACCAGTATTCGGGAAGAAATGATGCAGCAGTTTAGCTGGCTCGTAGCCAGTTTGAAGATAAACAGGTTGAGGTTAGCAGGTTTTCCTCGGATGCTGATAACGACAAGGGCCGCCTCCGATCTTACATATCGGCCTTCTCGCTCAAACGCAGGGTGAACAAGCCGTCCCCCAAAACCCTGCGTGAAACGAGTGAGGGTACTGCCAGTCCCTCCACCCCCGGCGACCAAAGCCTCGGGGGATCTCATAAGCATCGCTCATGGTCAAACTCCATGAAAAAGGGGTTCAAACGTGTTTTCAGCAGATCCCAGCATATCGATACCACCGATGCCACCGATGCCACTGCGCAGCCATCACCACTCTCAGGTAGGTCATATGGCGTTGAACCGGTCGTGACAACCCCGTCCAAGGGAAACGTGGAAGTTGTCCCTCCTGGGGATAGTCTGAAGGCACCCCCTCCTCTCCGGCCTCTTGTCCACTCATCGACCATGGCTAATCTCCGTACAGTGCCTTCCGAGTATCCCCGGCCTCTTGTTCGGTCATCCACCACGGACAGTCTCTGTGATTCCGAGCCGCACGTCACCAGCTGGGCTGATTCAACCCTGACAAACACAGTCACTTCCCTCAAGCCGGAGCATGGCGAATCGCTTTCTTCAACCAGAGAGGACGAAACCCTCGATCAACTACTGCCACCGCCACCTTCACGCGTAGTAAGCGATACACAGAATGATCCTTCTTCTGCCCCATTGTTCAATCGCAATATGCAGGTTGACTGTCAGGACCTGTGCGCTGTGATACAGCGTGAAATCGACCGACACCAGCGGTCCTGGTCCAACGAGGCTCCGATTGTCGGTAGGGTTCCAGAAGGCCGTGTGGTGCCACAGATGCCAGCTTCACATTCCCCGTATGGCAGACACACTGATCGTCTTGTTCCCAGTCAAGGAGCAGTAGTCTCGCCGGTTGAAAGCAACGAGGATCCCGTTCTCCGTGTGGCTATAGATCCTCGCATGCTTCCACCTCGCATGCTTCCACAGATGCCAACTTCACATTCTCAGTATGGCAGACGCACTGATCGTCATGTTCCAAGCCAAGAAGCATCGGTCTCGCCAGCTGAAACCAACGAGACTCCAAACTTCGGTAGGGTTCCAGAGCGTCGTGTGGCCCCAGAGACGCCAGGCTCAGAACACTCTCAATATCGCAGACGCACTCTTCGTCATGTTCCCAGCCAAGAAGCATCAATCTCGTCCGAGTCATTCTCCACAGCGTCTGGGGAGCAGTCAAATGCCCAAAAGTCTCATCTGCGCCCGGCCAAACGCTTGACGGTTCGCCCCAGCGAGTCATCTCCGCCAAGGACTCCACAAGAGAAGAGTGACACTCCCTTGGTTCCCCATCTTCAAGACGCGACAAGGAACGCTGATTCTCCAAGCGTTGAGTCTGGGATCAGTAGTGTCGATCCTTCGCCGAGGGCTAACATTGTTGATGATGCTCTCCGTACACTCATCAGTCGTCGTCAGCGAGAGTCGAGAAATAGGATCGCTCGATTGAATTACTATCCCAGAGATAGCAATGGCCATGTTCTGTTGGGAGATGAGACGGGGGTTAGAGACATTCGCAACGCCTTTCCTGTTCGACCTGGACGGATGAGGAGGGATTATTCACCGAGTGTTTATTCCCGAACATACAGTGGCATCGCTCTGCCAAGACCGGATGTTGACATCGACGGCGAGTCCCAAGATGAATCAGGGATGGCAACCGTGTTTACCCAGCAGCGGATGAACGTGTCACCCAGACCTGCCCCTCCGAATTCAACCTCTGAGGATTTTTTGAAAGCCAGTGAGGACTGGTATCGATGGTTGAGCTCGGAAGTCGGGAAGCTTGTCCAGACCATGCCCCCGGGCGAGCATATCAGAGAATATGAACATTTCCCGGATGAGGATGAGAAGTTCCAAGAGCAGGATGAGCGGTTCCGAGAGCAGAATGAGCAGTTGACAAACGTTGCGCGAGACGACGATGTCATCGCACCAGGCAACGATGTGATCTCTACAACTCTTACCCCGGCTGAGACTTCCAGCTTCACACCTCCAGCTCATGTCCATACTGAACAGCGGAGTTTGACACGCAATTTCTCTTGGCTTTTCTCGCGCCCTTCGTCCGACATGTCTGAGAAGAAAGATTCATCCGAAAACACGATGGGTGATGCCCACACACCCCACAGTGCTCCTGCCAGCAATCCCGCCATTCATCCAGCTCTGAGACCTGCCATGGATCGCGCCGTCAATCCCGCCCTCAATTCCGCCACAGAATCCGCGAGAGATCACAATAACTCTACCTCTCCTGCGTCCAACCACCACGCCTCTCTTGCATCCGATGAGTATGCTTCTCTCGCATCTAGTGGCCCGGTTTCTCCTTCATCTGTCCTCCGTGCACGGCTGCATAACCAATCACCAATGAGGCTGGGATCTCAACCCCTGCAGCCTCCCGACTCACCAACGCCCAAGGCTGGTGACAGAAGGCGAGTGTTTTCAGAATCACAGCGGAGCCGATATGCAGCTCGGCGGGCTGCCCTCACCCAGCCCCAGCCCATGCAACAAGGGCCATCTGTGAGCAATGAAAACCACCGCGATCAGGAGGCCACAGGGGTGTTGGATCGCTTTATGGAGATCCGTGAACGGTGCGAGGAGGCCACTCCCTCCAAGGAGAACAAGAGCACGGTCTTTCCCAACTCCAAAGCGATGGTTGAGGAATTCCTGAAGCGTTCCCGGGAGCCACGGGATCCCCCCACTGACAGCGATGGAGACATGGGAGGGTTGATGTGAGCACGTGCCCGGCTGCCTAGCGGATAGTGCCCCAGCTCTACTTATTCTTATTGTTCCGCGAGTTGGGGCTTTGCTGGATCATTATGCGATGGAAGCAATTTTTATTCTTATCATCGTTAGTATTCTTAACTCTTGATATTCTCAATCAATACCCTATTCTTATTCCAACCCTGCATTCATTACTTTGTGCTTTGGTTCGTGCTATCAAGCATCTGGATGTAAGCATGGATAAGTACCTCGTTTACGAAGTAGGTATCAAGGTATGTGTGCAGACATGATTTGGAAGACATGTACCGATTGGATGAATACATGTACTCTTGAGTCTTGACATGCCATCGAACTGCTTGTCTGATCAAACCTACGACACCAGTATCGATATCTCCCTCCTTGGAGGCAGCGAAAAATGGCGGGCTAATCAGAATAAAGGCTGATCACCCGTCGCCATAGGCTCATTGACCGCATGATAAACGACCTCATCCTACGTCAAGTGCACTGCCTCTTGCCCGAAGTCCAAAAGCCAGAATTTTCACGGTGTGGTACTGAAAGTCCAGAGATTGACCACGAGCTAGCTCTTGATTCCTCTGAAGCTGATGTTCCAAGCAACAAACTCACAGATTCCGACGAGGCAGTGCTTATCTCGGTAATGGAAGGATCCGATCCATTGGTGATGACGTTCCGGTAAGCCTGCGGCAGTTTTGGGAAGACTCCATGCCAGAATGGCTTCATTTTGTGTTTTAAGGGACCGTAGTGCTTCCCAAGTACCTCGAAGACGGTACCTTGGGAGGCCGGTGCCGATTTCATGGACTTTTTTATGTTGGGACGAAACGCGCATATCCAGTTCTGTACTACTCTTGAGAGTCTTGACTTCCTGAGTTCTCTCTGTGAAGCCATGATAAGCCACCGAGTGGTGAAACCTCTGCTGTGTAGAGGATCCGAACGGGCACTTCAGAAGCCTGGTATAGGTACTTCCATGCGATTAATTGGTGTATGTATTAGGTTTTCCGTGACAAGAGCTCTGGGTGCTCGTAAGAATTGACGTAGAAATTCCTCACCGACTTCAGACGGGAAATATATGGAGAGAGAATAATTACAGTATGTCACTTTGTTTGCTCCTTATAATAAGCAAAACGGCCGCATATTACATCAACCAACCAAGTGGCCGAGCGGTAACTCAGTCATCTTATCTTCCTTGGTCTAGTGGTGATGATTTCCGCTTGTCATTAAAACCGATAAGCGCGGGAGACCGGGGTTCGATTCCCCGAGGGAGAGATTTCTTTTTACTTTTTCTTGTTTTGCTTTCTATTTCAGTTTGGGCCATTTTCATCGCCAGGACTTGAGATCTTTGACTCCCAAAGCTAGCAGAAGGTCGCAAGTTGTTGGTATGCAACACCCACCCGAAGACTATGTTCACAACCAGACTACTCTTGACCATCCAAGACCTCTCAAGTCTACTCCAAAGAAAATCCACACAAACTACCCTTTACCAGTCACTGAATTCAAGGACAACAAGTGGACCACCCGATATCAGAAGACTACCTCCAATGCCCAGTGAAAGGCCTCCAAAGAGAGTGTATGTATGAGTTCCTCTAGTAAAGAACGACCTCGTTTGACATCGAAGATCACGGAGAATAAGCCAGTTGCACGAACCATGCGTTTGCCGCTACGGAGTATTCGGTGTAGATCTGCAGAATAATATATTCAGCTCTATTTTAGGACCGGATACATCTGAGACAGTCAATAGAGCATGTAACGTAACTAGTGTCGAGACTCGGGATCAGCATTTAGCTCGAACGGGGACCTAGTATATCCGTTGGGACTCACGCATATCGTATTCTAGTGCAATCATGCAATGATAATACGATGTTCACAATTTCCGTTCACAAAACACATGCGCATGTAATCCTCAAGAGTCAAGGTTCGAACCTGCCTCGGAAAGGCGTTTCCTGAAACGCTGATTCAAGTACCAAAAGAAAATCATTCTCCCTTGGAACGCCATCGAAGGGAGAGAGAGAGTTGATAATTTCCACAACGATCCTATTTGGCGAATCGGACTCGGACGTTTCCGAGCCCCTGGCGCGCACGCGGGGCGATATATCGATCCAGCTGCATGAAAGTCACTAGATCAGATCATATGTGGAGGAGTGGAGTGAGGCAAACATCGACCAAGGTTCAGGAAGTCAATATTGGCTAGGAGAAATACTTTTCTCAGTTTCTGATCTGGCGTCGAATGTCTCAGTTGTAGATTTCATCTGGAGGCGTTTAACCCTTACTCCAACCCATGTGCGGGGTTTGGTTTTGGTGGAAGCCGAGGACTGATGCCGAGACTGCGTGTGAATACTGAATACTTACCGCTATTACATTTGACTGGGAACGAGAGGTTGCTATGGTTGCCTTCGTAAATGCATGGTACATACGTGCTAAGATTAATATTGGACTGTATTTGAAATCAGTCTGGGGCCATGAGCCAAAGCCATGAGCCTAAGATTGTGTTCAAGGGATGAAGTCTGACAGACATGTCAACATGAACTTGTGGAAAGCGAAGATCCACTAAACCTAATTGGGAGCTCACACTGTGGGGCAAAGCAAAAGCAAAGAAAACGGTGGACCGTGGAACTCACTTTTTTCTCAACTTGCCAAGCCATCCTTAACTACACAGTAAATTACTCTCGGCGTAAACGCCCTGCCACATGGCCCATGGAGCAATTGAAATAGAGAAGTGTTCATGGTACTTGGTATGATCTGTGGGGGAGGAAAAGGGGGATCCTTGGAAACCTGCTTTGGCTTGAACTTAGTGCCCAATCTGCTTTGTTACGTACCTGCATTGGCATTTGCTTTTTTTGGCATAGCAATAACCGAGGTTTCTGTATTGAGAAAGAGCCACATGACTAATGTAATTGAGTTTTCTCTGTATAAGCGACAATTGAAATGCACAGGTGAAATGCATACATCTATCGGTCAAGAGGTAGATCCGGTATATTCCGCCAGCCCTACGATGAAGTCCAAGTCCTTACCTAGCAACCCCCTGAGCCGAGATATCACGAGCCCAGGGTTGGAGATATTTGCTGCGCTAGGTCAGCTAGACTGCAGCGGGGCGCAAAATGGGAGCAATCAAAAAGGACGCTACTGTCGTTAGCGTGGAGAGTGGAGTTTGGGGCTGTTGACACAGTATGTGTATAAGGTTTATCAGGTTTTTGTTGCAATTGGACCCCAAACTGGTCAGTGACAGGGTCAACGGTGCATGCTAATGCCAGCAGACCAATGATATCCATCCTGTACCTGAATGGACCGGTCTGGTCTCACTTTGATATCCGGATTGACTTGGCCCTAAGTCTTTGCTTGGAGAACTAAAGCACTTTGGGGCATTTTGTGATGTAGATCGACCGGTTTTCCCCTATTTTTAAGATTGTTATCATCGAGACGCTCAATATTGAGCACATATAAGGGGCCAATGCCTCTCTCTCTCTCTCTCTCTTTCCTCTTAGATCTTCATCTCTTCTAACCCCGTCACTCTTTTTTTTTTGCTGGTATCATTCAGCGTCCTTTCTTTGAATCACATATATACCCCCTCACAAATATGAAGACCTCTATCATTGCTTCCATCGCGGCTGTCGCCGCCTCCGTCACTGGAGTCGTTGCCGCCCCGGCCCCCGCTGAATTGAGCGAGCGTGGTCTGATCAGCATCCCCATCGGCCTCTGTGGAGCCATCCTCGGCAAGACCGAGTGCGAGCAGCGCAGCTCCACCTCCAGCGGCCTGATCAACGTGCCCATCGACCTCTGCGTCGCCGTCCTCGGCCAGGCCAAGTGCAAGCAGGCCGACTCCAACAACCAGGCGGACGGTTCCCTGATCAACGTCCCCATCAACGTCTGTCTCGCTGTCCTCGGCAAGGCCAAGTGCGAGCAGTCCCCCACCACCAGCGGTGGCCTCGTCAACATCCCCGTCAACCTCTGCCTCGCCGTCCTCGGTGAAGCCGACTGCAAGAGCGGCGATGCCTCGCCTGCCCCCTCCACCCCAGCCAAGGGTGGTCTGATCAGCATTCCCATCGGCCTCTGCGGAGCCGTCCTCGGCAAGACCGAGTGCGAGCAGCAGAGCTCCACCCCCAACGGCCTCATCAACGTCCCCGTCGACCTCTGCGTCGCCGTCCTCGGCCAAGCCAAGTGCGACCAGGCCGACTCCAGCCAGGGCGACGGCTCCCTGATCAACGTCCCCGTCAACGTCTGCCTCGCCGTCCTCGGCAAGGCCAAGTGCGACCAGTCCCCCACCACCAGCGACGGTCTGATCAACATCCCCATCAACGCCTGCCTCGCCGTCCTCGGTGAAGCCGACTGCACCAGCGGCTCCGGCAGCACCGTCACCGCCACCGCCATCGAGCCCACCGGTACCTCCACTGCCACCTCCACCGGCGGCGTTCCCGCCGAGACCACCACCGCCACCAACGGCGAGACCACCACCGACATCCCCACCGGAACCGGCGCTCCCTCCGGCCCCACCTCCGCTCCTACCGGCGACGCTACTACCGTCCCCTGCACTACCGGCGGTGCTGGCGTTCCCACCGGCGGTGCTGGTGTTCCCACTGGTGTCTCCCCCGTCTCCCCCAGCGGCTCCGGTAGCCCCCACGTCAGCCCCAGCGTCACCGTCGGCCGTCCTACCCCCACCGGCCGTGCCACCTCCACCATCACCAACACCGTGACTATCTGCAACGCCGCCTGCAAGAGCAAGACCTCCACCGCTCTGATCCCCCACTACACCGCCCCCGTTCCCGGTAGCGGTGCTTCCCCCAACGGCCCCGGTGCCGGTGGTGCCCCCAACTCCAGCCCTACCCCTCTCCCCTTCAACGCCGCCGGCCGCGCTACCCTGTCCGGTGTCGCCGTTGTCTTCGGTGCTCTTTGCGCCGTTGCCATGCAGATCTAAGTCGGGCTTGTTGAGTTGTAAATAGATGGGCGGGTGTGTTCCGTTGATATATATCATTTTCCTTTCGTATTGGACAATGGACATACTGTCTAACTTCTTTTTCTTTTCACTTCTGTCTTGGAAGGTTTCCAATCATGGATTAATCATAATACGATGTACGTCGAGAGATTCGGCTTCATGGAGTATCTCTGTTGGCTGTCCTCATGTGTATATGACGAATTTATTGGTTGCTCTTCTTTGATCATTCTTTTTGTTTTATCACTCTTTTATATATGCAATATAGCAGTGATCTTCATGTATTAATGAAATAGATCCGTTTATGTCCTAGGATCTTGTCAATGCTTTCCACATACCAATCTACTTGTGATACTAAGGTACCTAAGAGATGTTTACTCGAGAGATTGAACTCCTGGCCTGGTGAGGGAATCCTTAGGTTGCTATTCCAAGGTTACTTAGCTGTAAAAAGAGTCGTTAACGGGCTATCTTCAATCATTACTACCTAGTTGCTTCATGTGGATTGGATGGAAGTAGTATAACGTTAGGGCTGGCGGGATGCAACATCAGTGAGAACCCCAATTACCGCCGAGTGGCTTTAAGAAGGCAAGCTGGACATCTAGAGTACTGGACCAACAGCTGACAATGGAATCCATGCAATAGCAATCTGTCATTCATGCTCAAGTACACAGTATATTACAATTACAACCAAGACAATAATGAAGAATGTAGGCTCTTATTGAAAACCTGTAAAAATAAAAAAGTAAATCATATCCCGTTTCCCATTTCCCGTAAGACTTAAAAATTAGCAAGCGCGAAAGAGCTGAGAAAGAATTTAATCAACCTCCTCCATGGTGCTCTCGCCGGTAGCCTCGGCAGGAGCGGCAGCCTCAGTGACAGGGGCGGACTCGTCCTCCTCGATGTTCAGACCAAGGGAGACGAGCTTGTGGATGCGCTCGGAGAAGCTGGCGGGCTCCTCGATGGTGAAGCCAGAAACCAACAGGGAGGTCTCGAAGAGCAGCTGGGTGATGGACTTGACGGTGCGGTCGTTCTCGCCATCGGCCTCGACCTTCTTCTTAAGCTCCTTGATGATGGGAGACTTGGGGGAGATCTCGAAGGTCTTCTTGGAGGACATGTAGGAGGACATGGAGGTGTCACGGAGGGCCTGGGCCTTCATGATACGCTCCATGTTGGCGGACCAACCGAACTGGCCGGTACGGATGGCGCAAGGGGAGCCAACCAGCTTGTGGGAGACAACGACCTTCTCGACCTTGTCGCCGAGAACGTTCTTGAGGGCCTTGGCGAGCTCCTCGAACTCCTTCTCCTCCTTCTCGCGCTCGGCCTTCTCCTCGTCGGTCTCCTCGAGCTCGAAGTCCTTGGTGATGTCGACGAGCTTCTTGCCGTCGTACTCCTTCAGTTGGGTGAAGGCGTACTCATCAATGGGGTCAACCAGGAACAGAACCTCGAAGTTCTTCTGCTTGAGGGTGTCGAGGAAGGGAGAGTTGGCAACAGCCTTGATGGACTCGCCGGTGATGTAGTACATGTTCTTCTGATGCTCGGGCATGCGGGTGATGTAGTCGGCGAGGGAGGTCTGCTCGTCACCGGACTTGGTGGACTGGTAGCGGAGGAGCTTGGCCAGAGTGGCGCGGTTCTGGGCGTCCTCGTGGATACCGAGCTTGATGTTCTTGCTGAAGGCCTGGTAGAACTTGTCGAACTGCTCACGGTCCTCGGAGATCTCAGTGAAGAGCTCGAGGGTCTTCTTGACAATGTTCTTTTTGATGACCTTCATGATCTTGTTCTGCTGAAGGGTCTCACGGGACAGGTTGAGAGGAAGATCCTCAGAGTCGACAACACCCTTGACGAAGCTGAGCCACTCGGGGATGAGGTCGGTAGCATCGTCGGTGATGAAGACACGGCGGACGTAGAGCTTGATGTTGTTCTTGGTCTTCTTGGTCTCGAACAGGTCGAAGGGAGCACGCTTGGGAACGAAGAGGATGGCGCGGAACTCGAGCTGACCCTCGACGGAGAAGTGCTTGACACCGAGGTGGTCCTCCCAGTCGTTGGAGAGGGACTTGTAGAAGGAGGCGTACTCCTCAGTGGTGATATCAGTGGGGTTGCGAGTCCAGATGGGCTTGGTCTTGTTAAGCTCCTCCTCCTCAATCTTGGACTCCTTGACGGTCTTGGTCTTCTTCTTATCCTTCTTCTCCTCCTCGTCATCGACCTCCTCGACCTTAGGCTTCTTCTCCTCATCCTCCTCCTTGGTCTCCTCGGCCTCCTCATCGGGGACCTCGGTCTCAGTCTCCTTCAGGACGTGAAGGTAGATAGGGTAGGAAATGAACTCGGAGTGCTTGCGGACAACCTCTTTGATGCGGGCCTCGTTGAGGTAGTCCAACTGCTCATCCTTCAAGTGGAGGATGATCTTGGAACCGCGGCCGAGCTGCTCGCCCTCGGTATCCTGGTTCAGGGTGAAAGTACCACCGGCGGCGGACTCCCAGATGTACTGCTCGTCATCGTTGTGCTTGGACACGAAGGTGACACGGTCAGCAACGAGGTAGGCAGAGTAGAAACCGACACCGAACTGGCCGATCATGGAGATATCAGCACCGGCGGACAGAGCCTCCATGAACTGCTTGGTGCCGGAGCGAGCAATTGTTCCGAGGTTGTTGATCAAGTCCTAGAAGCGATGAATATTAGTGTCTCGTTACCAATTGAGTGGGAAAGTTAGTCGAGACAACTGGTAGAAACTTACAGCCTTGGTCATACCAATACCGGTATCACGGATGGTAAGGGTCTTGTTGGCCAAGTCGGGGATGATGTCGATGCGCAGATCCTTGTTGGAATCGAGCTTAGAGGGATCGGAGAGAGCCTCATAGCGGATCTTATCGAGAGCATCGGAGGCGTTGGAGATCAACTCACGAAGGAAAATTTCCTTGTTAGAGTAGACGGTATTAATGATCAGCGAAAGCAGCTGAGAGATCTCAGCCTGGAACTCGAATGTCTCAGGCATATTGGCGGGTTGTGATTCTGAAGAGAGTTGGTTAGACAGGATTTGAGGGTAGAGATAGTGAGATAGAGAGAAGGCAGATGAAGGATCTGATCAAGCGGTAAGAGGGAGATGAGAGAAGAGAGAGTGTGAGTGAATGATAACTTACAAGAACAGGGGAAAGTGATCTTAAATACGTAGCTCTGGGGGGGGGGGAGGAACCAAAGCGAAGAGAGATGAAGAAAGAATGGAGGGGATGGGGGATTCCTTTTGTGTTTCCAAAAAATCTCTGGGTGGAGAGTTTCTACGGCGATCCAGCAACTTCCACCTCGTCGGTCAGGCAACCTTAGCTGCAGCCTCTATTGATTTGGTCTATTTCTAGATTCTTCTGGAGGCAAATGCCTTGTTTCATTCGATTCTTTTGTTTTTATACAGTACAATCTTCGAATTTCTTCTCTTTTTGGTTCTATGGGCAATCTCAGTTCCTGAGGCTGTCAAACTCTAGAACCTTCCCCAGATGACTCAGCATATCAAGTCCCTGAGGCTTGGCGGTGGCACCCCAAAGACTTGGTACTGCCTACACAGTACTACTACTACTACTAGGTACTACTGTGTACTCCGTACACTTCATGAAGAACACGTTGAATCTCCTTGTATTGATAAAGTATGTTGATGAGAACACCCCCATTACATACAGATAAAGAGTATTCTCAAGCAAGAAAAAGATATTGTAATAATAGAAGCAAATACAAGAAAGATGAGAAAGGCCAGGATGGCGCACCACCGTAAGACCCTGGAGTTTGCTATGCTAGTTGAAAAAGACAGATGCGATATAACGTGGAAGAAGAGGAGACAGATCGTGGCAGGAAGACAGAGCAAGAAAGGAATATGGTGCAAGAGAAGAGACCTGGAATCGTGAGGTCAGCGACCTGATTCAAGCAAGTGAAAAGAAGTCATGTTTAAACCACAGCCCAGAGGGAAGGAAATAGAGGCAAATTTTCCAGCCAACCCGGACCAACCGCTAATATGCACTGTGACGAGAAAAAAGGGGGAGGCAATAGTCACGTAACACATGTCATTAGGAAGAAACGGGGCAAAAGAAAAAATGGAATCAAAATCGGAGTAATACAGATCCCCGAGATCATCCACCAGAGCGAAAGTGTCGAATGGCGACAGGTCACTGGGCGGGGAAGAAGAACGTAGCGAGGATCATATCAGAATCACGTTAGGGCATTTAAGCGGCCTGGGCCTGGGTGCGACCCTTGGCGGCAACGTTACCACCGCGGCCACGGGGAGTGAAGCTGCCACGGCCTTCGCGCTGGAAGCCACCACGACCCTGGCTACCAGTACGATCACCGCGACCACGACCGGCACCACCACCGCGGCCGGCGGGGAAACCATTGCTGCCGTAGGCGTTGCCACGGGGACGGCGCTCCTCAACGAGGATCTGTTCGCTACCGATCTGGTGAGGGTTGGCGGCAACGGCGGCGGCATAGCCGGAGGGCTCGTTGAATTCAACGAAGGCGCAGTTCTTGGGGCGGCTGACATCGAAGTACTTGAGCTTGCCGAAGCGAGCCAAGGTTTGCTTCAGCAGACTGGCATCGACCTTCTCGTTGACGTTCTTGATGTAAGCGAGAACGGTCTCCTCACCCGCGCGAGACTGCGACTTCTTGTGGTCGGGGCCAGCAGTCTGCCATCCAGCCTCAGCGGAAGGAGTCTCGGGGGAACGGGCAGCCTCAGCGTGAGCCGCAGGAGCAGCAGCGGGCTGAGCAGCGGGGACGGCAGCCTTAGGAGCAGCGGCAGCAGGAGCAGAAGCGGGAGCAGCCTGGGCACCGGCAGCCTTGGCAGCGGCAGCGGCCTTGGCCGCGAAAGAGGTAGTGGCGATGTTGGCCCAAGTCTTGGGGGCAGCAGGGGCGGGAGCAGCTTCCTTCTCAGCAATCTCCGCCTTCTCGGGAGCGGGAGAAGGCTCAGGAGTAGCAGGCTTCTCGGCAGTCACAACCTCAGCCGGGACGGCGGGAACAGGGGCAGGGGCCTCCTCAGCGGGAGCACCGTTGGTCTCAGGAACAACCTCCTTGGGCTGCTCCTCAACGTGACCGTTGGCCTCAACCTCCTCGAGCTTCTCGTCGACCTTAGAGACAGCAGCTTCACCCACGACCTGGGCCTCTTCCTCTTGAGCCGGAACTGCGACAGCGGCCTCGGGAGCTTCGGCAACAGGAGCCGGGGTGGGCTGCTCGGTTTCCTCCTCGGGCTCTTCGGCCATGTATCGGAAGATGTCGTTGAGCACATAGTAGCCATTAGGCTGCTCGGCAAGAACGAAAGTCTGAACAAACTTGCGGGAAGGCTCGGAGTTGTTGGAGATTTCACCAATGACGGACACCAGGATGTTGTCAAAAGAGGCCTGGGAATCAACATTCAGGACGCGAACCTTGCAGTCCTGGAACTTCAGAGAGTTGAGCTTCTCGTTGATAGCCTAAAAAATCGAAGTGCGTGGTAAGACAGTATTCATACATAGGCATTGAACTTAACGTACCTTGGTGCCAACAGTAACGGGAACGGATTCGGCCTCGGTGCCGAAGACATGCTGAGAACGGCGGGAGTAGAAGAGGTGAAGCTTCTCGGGGGTGCGGCTCATAGTGGTGTAGTACTGCTCGACGAAGTACCAGCCGACCTCATCCTTGGAGATCTCATGTTTCTGCTGATCGGTAGGAGTGGAGGTGGTGGGAGTGGAAGTCTGGGCAGGCTGGAAGCTGGCAGCATTGTTCATGGTGGCGGCTGCGTGGTTGTAGGATTCGGGGTATCCGTGCTGGGCAGGGTAGTTGCCATTGACGGGAACCTGAGTCATGTCGGCCATCGTGTAGGATTGACTTCGAATTCGGGTGAAAGAATGAGATTAAAAGTGACCGAGAGCGGTGGCAATGATGAGCGATGCTATAACAGCCGAAAAGCTTTTGATAAAAAGGTAGGCGATGGGAATGTGGGAATGTCTAGTAGTTAAAAGTTCTTCGTGTTCCCTCGCTTTACTGTATGAAAATGTTAGTTTCGAGATCTTCATGAGATCGAAGTGGACATATCGAAACTCACAATGCGAATGATAGAAGCACTGATGCAAGCAATTGAAGAGGATAGAAGATAAGAAAGAAGCAAGGCGCTTTGAGATGGCGGAAAGCGGGAAGTATAGCTGAGAAGCAAGAAAGAGTTCTTGTGCGATTGTCGGAGAGGGAGAAGTGGAGGACGGGAGAAGAAGAAGATCGAGAAGAATGTGGGGTCTGGGAAGATGACAGAGGGGCAAGAGTCGGGTAGAAGATGGCAAACCAAAGAGATGGGAATGAAGCTGTGGGAATTCGCCTTCGAAGAAAAGAACTTCCTTCTCTTTGACTCCGTGCGGGTTTCCCGCTTGGCGGGTCACCGCCCGGCAGAATTCGTATAAAGCTGGTACAAGGTTAGATCTACGAAGGGCATGCTGCGTAATATACGAATGCCTATAGACGGAGAAGCTGGGCCATTTATGAGGTAAATATGATTGATGAGTCTATTGGAAATATCGCTGCTGCGATGAAAACATGCGATATATGGAGATCTCATGAGAGAGATACGAGAGTAGAAAGGACATGAATTGAAGATGAGTCAAAAGTGGACCACAAGAGGAGAATGATTTTCGTAAAGTTCAAGATACGTGAGTCAGAAAGCATCATTGAAAAAGGGAAGAAAAGACCGGTGCCTCTAAGTCCATATTCGAGGAAGGAAAACGCGCATCCATCAAGTCAAAACGCCGCAAACTGACCCGAAAGAAAAACAAACAAACGAGGGGTATGATAGGACATCCATGGACAGGGTGCTTGACTGTCGCAGAAAAGACAAGCACAAGGACCATGTAGAGAACCGAGAAAAAGTAAACATCAGAACAACCAGAGAGTCAAGCACGTTGTTAAGAAAGCACCTAGGTGATACTTTCCCAGACGAATCACCCGCATTAGTGCGAGGCAGTCCCAGCCGCAGACTTCTCAGAGAGAGGCTTGCGCATAACAGCATCCTGGCCAGTCATTCTGCGGCCGAGAGCACGCTCAACCTTGGCACCGAGAGCAAGTTTGTTCATGTTGTCCGTCTTCTCTTCCGTAGCCACGAACCGCTGCTTGTTGAGAGGCTTGTTCTCGAGACGCTCGAATCCATCGTGAAGGTGGGAGATATCAGCGATTCTGGGGTCGCCGCTGGGCAGGCTGCCGGTTGTGCGGTCGGAGGCGGCTACCGAGGGGCTTCCACTGATGGTGGAGAAGCGCTTTGAGTTTCGGTTCTGCAGGACGTTAGAACTTGCGCGTCTCTTGGGAATGTGGATGTAAATTTCCTGCGGGGGGGCAGCTCAGATGGAGGGGTAAAAGGGAGGAGGGGTAGTCCTACGGCAATCATAGGACGCTCAGAGTCCATAGAGGGTTGGCGGGCCATTTTTCAATAGTCGATGGGGTAGTAGGAAAAAGAGAAGCCGCGCCGGAAGTGTTGCACGGGTTTAAGTTGTAGTTGAAGACCTTGAAAGCGCGGCCTGCGGAATTGCTGTTAGTGAGTGTTGAGGTCTAACGTGTGGCCATCGAGGTCAGTCAGTCTGCTGTAAAGGATACGTACAAAGTGGTCTGCGGGTTTCCGGTGGGGATACGGCGAATGTAATGAAGAAAGGGTTTAGGCGCAAGGTACCAAATTGGCGTGATGAAAATAGACGGAAAGGAGAGACGAAACGGGGGTGGGTCAAGTGAACGGTGGGGAATCGGGAAAGGGGGTGTGGGAAGGGTTTTTGTATGGCTAGAGGGATCGACGTAGTCTCAAGGCATAAAGAGGAGAGTCGGTCTAGCGAAACAACTGAAATTTTGAAACTGCCAGGAGATATTCACAATGTCATACACAACTACTGTAAAGTGTAATCCTCTCCGAGGTGATGTCAATGGAGAAACTCATTGCCGGGATTTTCTTTGCCACGTGCGGCCACGCGATGATCTCGGCAAGTATTTGCATCACTAGTGCTTCACTTCTCTTTGATACTTCATATGCCTCGGGTTTACTCGCAATGTCCTAGAAATTACATCTCATAGACTCATATCAAGGCAAATTACCCCTTGAGCAGCTACTCCAACATCCTCCACAGCTACAATGCCAATCAGGGAATCATCTCGAGCTTCGGGAGACTGAGGAGCAGGTTGAAACAGACTACACCACAACTCTAGGTGACGGTAAATTGGGTGCTGAAAACGGTTACTATTGACGCCACTTAAGCGTCCATTTTACCAAGAATCTTAGTCACCCAGGAGGCGCGTGAACCTTTCAGGATACACACTGAGCGCTCACTGAGCACCAGTACTCAGTTATCAGCTCAACCTTCACTCAGTGTGCTCAGGGCAGATGCTCAGGTGTCTCATAATGGCCAGCCCTGTCCGTTTTCCGCTTGTACGGGATGTCAGTTGGTGATGTGACCTGTGTTCACATTGGTGATGCAGGTTACAGGTGAGCCGGCGGCGCCGCCCTCGTTCATGGAAGGTCCCGCGGGCGCCCCGAACCTGGCCATGTCGTATGTGAACTAGCTTAGAGATGCTTACTGCTACATAGTTAGTGGTTTATAGAGAACATTATATTGTTACCTGTCGAACACTGTTACCTGGGCTGTCGCTTGGGTTCAATTCGTATTTTCAGTGAATAGTTGGTATTTTAAATTTTATCATATTTATCATACCCTGAGCCTCGTCGTCTTTTACCGTTCAAGTTTCAGCTTACCCACAACGTCCACACATGAGGCGGCGAGGCCATGATAGACAATCCCACACCGCGTAGATTCTGCCACATCTACTTCACTTCAGCACAACATTGTCGATCACCCAATCCATTCGAAACCATTGACTCAACTATGCCGAAACAAAAGTCATTTCTTAGTCACGCAAAGACGAAGAAGAAATCTGCTGCGAAACAGGTATGATGCAACGCAATGCGCCATTTGCACGACCACCTAGTTTGGACATGATCTAATACAGTTTTATATATAGGCGCCTGTGACCGCAGATGAGTTTCTAGCAGGTGTGTGCCTATTTCGACGCAAAATGTCCTGTAAAAATCAAAGGAAGAAAGACTAACTATTTTCCTTCCAGCTGGCGTTGAGCTTGAAGAAGCTGGCGAGAAATGGCGGGCCGGGGATGCGGCCAAGTCCATGCGCTTTTTTATGCGGGCTATCACCAACTATGATGAGGGTTTACAGAAGCATCCTGGGGCCTTTGATCTTGCTTATAACAAGTACGTATGCTGGATATGGACATTGACATTTACAAGGAAACGACTGTTTTGCATTTCCTTGATCTAATTGTTATGAATATTTGAATCATCATGTTTCAAATTACTGACACTAAACTCACAGAGCACGAGTCCAATATGAAATCACCCAGCACCCAAAACTAGCAGCCCAGTTACCCGCGCCACAGGGTGATCTCCTGCAAGTAGCGCTGCAATCGCACCGGGATGCACTGGCCCTCAGCCAGGACAATGCTGACGTGTTATTCAATTCGGGCCAGGTGCTGACCAGTATAGCGGAGTTGATGTCCAACTCCAAGCAAGACGAAGAACAGCTGATGCAGGCTGGCACTTATCTGCAAGAGGCGATCGAGCTGTTCCAGCGCTGTCTGATGATACAGGAGATGAAGTATACGGAGCAGCAAGAGGAGATCGAGCAGATGGAATCCGGGGATGTGCCACAGGAACCGGAGGTTGTACCACAGGCTGAGTCCGCGGGTCAGACGCAGGTCGAGTCCGCGGGTGAGGAGCAGGAGCAGTGGGCGATGATTGTGGAGCCGGTCACGAAGAATACGCTTGTTGATACTGCAGTTGCGCAGCTCGAGACTTTGACCACTCTGTGTAACTTGTTGACCTCGAACCCAACTGCCGGCGGTGTTGGTTGGGTGCAGGAGTACTCGTCGGAACTTGTACATTCCCGACTGCCTGCTTATGTCGAGGGATCGGACAGGCAGTATGAGGCGGCCTTGGCGCGAGCCAAGTTCATCTGTGCTTTGAATGACTTGCTCTATCGTGGCGGACATACTGATGTCCAGACATACCAGCAGGAGGTTGGACAGGGGTTCAGCCCAGACCTGGATGTATCCGCAGATCTCGATGGACTGTGTGCCAAAGCAAACGCGCTCACATCATTGAACCAGGCGCTGAATGATATCCCTCCTTCGGAGGACGATGAAGCGTTCGAAAGCGCTGTGGCGTTGCGCTGGAAATCACTCTCTACCGCCCTGGACGCATTAACGGCAGCCACCAAGCTCCCCGATGCCGCAAACCTGCCCAAGATCCACAACGGCCGCGGCGATGCCGAAATGCACAGATGGCGTCTTGGTCGCGCGCCCTGGAACCACACCATGGCGAAGCAAAACGGCGCCATGCTCCTGCGCAACGCTCAAACATACTACCGCGGAGCCGCAGCTCTAGCCCGCCGTGAAGGCGCCGCGGAGGAAGAACGCGACGGAACGGTCAAGGAAGCCATTGCCGCAGCGCTTGAAGGCCAGAGCACAAAGCTTGACCAGCTCAAAACAACAGTCCTCCCGCAAGTAGTAGCCGTGGCGCAGGAGATGGTAGAAGACGGAATGGTCGATGGCAGGGAACTGAGCGCTCTGATCTCATGAAAAAATATCATAGCAGAGAAAGAAAAATTCCCAACACCCTCACAGACCAGATTGAGCCCTCACCTCCTCATCCATCTGGATCGCATCCTGGCGAAGATGATTCTCCTTACTGAATTGCGAAGCCGCCGTAGCAGCACCCTCAATATCCGAAACCACCACCCCAAGATTCGACAACAACCGCTCAATCTCCAATCTCTGCTTCTGCACAGTCTGAGCGAGCTCCGCGTTCTCCGCATGCGTAGCCTCCAGTCTAGCATTGAGTGTCGACTGCGCTTCTTGCAAGTACGGCGTGAGATGAGCCTTATACAGGTCTTCTGCGCCAAGTGTGTGCGGACTATAGCGTAATCGAAATCAGTAACCAGGACCAGTAATCAGAAACCAATTGCAGCAAAACATACGCTATCCTTTCTTTTTCCTCCCCCTCCCCAGCTTGCTCCCTCCTAGCCCTCGCATCAGCAACAAGCCGATCAAGCTCATTCAAATGCGCAACCGCATCTCTCTCCGCAATAATATCCTCAAACTCCGCCTTCGCATTCGCCTCCAGTTTCGCGTTCAGCTGTCTCCAGACGCCCTCCAAGCTGGCCGGGACGTGGCGTGCCGGTGTTGGGAAGCAGCTTGCGAAGTTCGCGTATGAGTTTGCCCGGAGTGTGCGCGCTAAAGCTTGGTCGAAGACTTGGTTTAAGCGTGAGGCGCGGGGGCCGGGGGTTTGCGGGATTGGGGCTCGTGGGGGTGGTGATGGGGATGGCACGGGTGGTTTGTGGGAGTTGGGTTCGGTCATTGTTGATTTTCTCTGGGTGGATGGAATTAGAAGGTGTAAAGTAAGTCTACTGAGAGGATACGGGATTGGCGAATGCTGTATGTAGGAAATGGGAATGTGGTAATGTGAATCTGGATCTGGGGGTGTTGGACGGACTTCATTGACGCGACGCGACGGTCACGTGATTATATGGATTGATGGATTGGCTTTGTATTATGTCCAATAGTTGATGGAATTTTATTGATATCCCGTTAAATTGTTATATAGTAGTAGCGAAGATACTGTTAGATACAAGACATTATATGAAAGTCGTGAGAATAGGATGGGTGCAAGCAAATCAACTGCCGGCCAATGCAAGCCCTAAATAGACGGATCCAAGCCCAGCCAACTCCGACGATTATTCTCCTCGTGTTCGGATTTCGACAAGAGAGCAGGACCAGAACCTTGAGAACTCCTACGTACATGGGGTTGTCGCAGATTTGTCACTGAACAGGGTATGCGCCACGAGCATATGCGGCTATGTAGGTCAGCCCAAAGCGATTTGAATGCGGGCCACGAGATAGAGACGTATATAAGGCTGTTCCAGAAGCCTTGGAGGGGAAGGACGAAGCTGGACGCGTAGTTCAGACTGAAATTAAAGTCATTTGGACGGGCGAGGGAGTAGACTCTGTTTATTGTTGAGGGGACCTGGGATATCGAGCAATTAGCGCATAAAAATAACAAATCGGTAGGCTTAAAAGTATGAAGACATACCCATGTAACAAGTAATGCAATAAAAAACAACATCGCATATTTCGTATACGCCCACGTAGCAGAGCTAGCGTCTGTGGAGGTCCTGCGCTGCGAGTCATGATCCGATCGCCCGGACTTCACAGAATGCTCGTGTTGAAGCGGGCTCGGACCGACACTTGGCCTGGGCTCTTGGATATTGTTGGTAGTGCTCCCGCCCTCGATCGTGACAGAGTATGCCCTGAATGCATTTGGCGGTAGCCCGCGCGCGGAACCCTCCGACAAAGATCGACGTTCTGGTGTATGGCACGCAATCTCCCTGGTCACCTGGATGCCCGTCAACATGGCGAATGGAGATTCTGGTGCGATCTCTGAGTCGATGCCGCCGAGATTCCGGAGCTGACGCCGTTTTTGGTAGATCACTGTTCCTGCGCGCAGGTAGATGGCGAAGGTCAATGAGATGACAAACCAGACTGGTCCGTAGAAGATGGCGATGCGGAGAAAGTCCCATTGTACGGAGATCCAGCACCATAGCTGTTGGAGAGGAATTGGGTTAGTTCGAGCTGGTAGGATGCTATGGCTTATTCTTACAATGGCAGAGCCATATATGCGGCCTCGAGCTTGAGTTTGGATGAAGAAGTATGCGAAGGCAGGGATGAATGGGACGCCGTAGCAGCAGAGAACATATTTCCATTCCAGATGGCGTAGTTGCTCGGAATTATATTTGTGGAAGAAGGTGAGGTAGACGTTGCATGCCATTGCGAATGTCCATAATGCATCGGCGGGCATAAACCTATGTGTTGCTATCAGTGATCGTCTGCTGAAGATTGTTAACCGGTTGATACGAACCATTGAATCAGAAACCCTTGAAACTGGCACAAGGAGCTATCAACACCAGAATGGATTCCATCTGACGATATGATGGTTGCTATATTGGCCATGATATTACCCCATGATGCATAAAAGACGAGGCGGTTGATGGGTTTACGAAACGTAGGGGACCAAATGAAAGTAGCGACGATAACGAATGTGCCAACCAGGGAGATCGTCGAGCAGACACGCTCTGTGGCCGATATGGCCAACACCTGTTCCTCTGATAGTGTCATGGTATCATGATCTGTGGCCTAGTTGCCGACGGGGTTGGCTTCCAGCGCCCGAGGGTTATATCCAGCAGCGGGGGGTATGAACCGAAAGAGCCCGCCTCGCCCAAAGCTGAGAAAGTGCGTGTGATAGATCGAGGCCAGATAGACGCAGATATACCTGTGGGGACTTACTCTTGAGGGGGTTTATGGTCGTCCGGGGAGACCAGCAGAAGCCAGACGGTTCGAGACAGCTGATATGACCAAAGCACAATACCACCTGCTTATTATCCGCGGCAAAACAGATGGGATGGCAAATGAGGAAAGACCAGCCCAATCAGCATATTCACCGTTGATTCTGGAGGCTTGCAGCGAGGAAGATTCCGGGTTTATGCCCGGCATGCAAGCAAAAAGCCCACCTCCTCAATGGTGTTAGCCTCAAACAACCGCCAAGGACACGAATGAGGGCCTAGCAGATATTTTCTAAATGTTTCCATGTCTCAAACATCCACCGCATGAGTGGGCCAGGGCTCAAACCTACTCCTGACAAGAGACATGCGAACATGCCAGCGTGGGTGGTAATAACGTGCAATTTCCCGGGAAGTGCGAGGTAATCGAGCAAGGATTGAGTCAGGGCCAGTAGAGCTCTGCATAGACAGGCCTCGGAGGTATGGCCCTTGGGTTGCACCGAGTGTCAGAAATCTTGTTGAGGTGTACAGTCTTGTCCAGTGCCGCAACCCGGGGTGTCTGGTGAGAGGAGTACGGAGTACATTGTGAGTATGTTGTGAGCGGCGTTCGAGGCAAAGTCTAGCTTGGTGAATATGTCAATGGTACAACGGCGACTAGGCTTTGAAGGCCCTTGCTGAAGTCCCAAAAACAGTTCGCTGGGGTGTGACAGTCGCACAGTTGTTTCCTCCGATCCTTCCACTGCGAGCTCATTACTTGCTGCAAGAAGCCGGATTAGAATACGGGTGGCTGCAGGTTTGAAAGGAAGATCATTCGAACAGGCAGCCATGAAGAGATTCTAACGGCAGTGCTTAGTTCAGGAAAGAGTTGCTCAAGATAGGTTGCTCGAAGTAGCTGCGGCAGGTATTTTGGGATAATGAAGCGAAGTGCAGCCATGAGCTTGTTCGTCCCGAAAATCCTTGGCTGGAGTACAAGGAAGCAGCTGCAGTGGCAAGCCGAAATACTCCCGAGGATTGGAATTCCAACTGAGTCTTGGAAAGGCCCACACTTGCAGCACTTGTCTTGTTCCTTTACAACCTGGGGCGAAGCAGCATAGATTGTCGAAGAATAGCTATTTAAAGAGTCAGAAAGTTCGGATCATCTGCTCGAGGTCACAACAGAACAGCGTTCATAGTCGATCTCCAAGCGCTTCTGGCCAACCCCCCTGGGATTTGTGGCATCAAATTAAGAAAGATAAAGGCCAGGATAAAAAAAAATCAATTGATCGGGTATAACGCCGAATTCACCCCCGTGCAAAGTGTCTAATTGAGCTCGTTATCTCGTCATGCGCAGTTTAGACCGTTAATAAGCGGGCTGCGTGGGCATCATGCCTCCATACCCGGCCATCTGCTGCTGCTGGTGTTGTTGCTGCAATTTAGCCTGAATCTGGGGCAAATCATGGAACCACGGGTGCTGCAGGGCCTCGGCGGCGCTGATGCGCATCTCCGGACGAAGCTGGAGCATGCGGTTCAACAGATCCATCCCGATAGGATCCATCTGAGGGACGATCAGCGACAGATCCTGGGTGGCGTAGATGTGGAAGTCGGATTTGTATTCTGGCAGTTGCGAGATGCCGGGCCATGTGCGTTCAGATGGTGTGCCCATCAGTCGGAATATCTTGATCAACTGGTCCTCGTTCGTTGTGCCAGGGAAGAGTGGGCGACCTGTGAACATCTCTGCCATAATGCAGCCCGCAGACCAAATGTCGATGCTGGTGTTGTAGGTACGACTGCCGAGCAGGACGTCCGGTGCGCGGTACCACAGAGTCACGACTTCGTTGGAGAAGGTATTGACAGGGATACCAAATGCGCGAGCCAGCCCGAAATCACCCAGCTTCAGCTGTCCCTTCTTGTTGATCAGGAGATTCTGCGGCTTGAGGTCACGGTGGAGGACTCGGTTATCATGGCAGAAGGCGATGCCCTTCAGTAGCTGATGCATGAAGGATTTCACGGTGGCAGGGTCTAGTTGTCCGCGATCTCCGCGAGTGTCCATGTATCTCTTCAAATCTCTGTCCATGAACTCAAAAACCAGCATGAGCTTATTCTCCGTGTGGATAACATCGTAGAGCGAGACGATGCTTTCGTGCTTCAGCTCCTTCATGAGCGAGATCTCACGAATGGCAGTTGATGGTGTTCCCTCTTCCGAATCCAAGTGAATCTCCTTCAAAGCCACCATTTCGCCGGTCTGGCGATTGCGCCCTTTGAAGACCTGTAATCTGCATCAGCGGTGAATGGAGTTGGAGGATCGAGTGGCGAACGGGGAGCAAGAGAGAATAGAGAGATCGAAACGTACGGTAGCATATGTTCCTTCACCAAGCTGTAGGACAAACCCCAGTCAGTAACTGATTAACATCAAGACCGTCGAAGTCGGAAGGACATACCTTTTCCAGCTGCTGGAAGGAACTGGGCTGTTGCGGATTGGCCATTTTTTGTGGAGGTTTGGAAGCCGGTGGCCCCGATGGTTTGGGTTTAGAGAAGAGGAAGTGACCAGGAGAGACCAGACTGGAAGCAATCTTTAAAGGGTGGGCAGGATTTCTGAGATGCTCCATGCTGAGACGTGAGGGAGCCCCGCGTTGAGGGCGGGTCGGAAGTCGGGACCTGGGCCACGCTTTTTTTTGGCCGAGTCAGCGGGCGCTTACAATCTATATTTACTGCGTAATTTTATTTTATTTTATTTTGTTCTTATAGTTATTCGATGTAATCATATACTATGAAGAAAACAATATTCTTCTATCTATCCAGGTCTAAGGTCTAAATCATACATTCATTGGGAGTTGGGATACAACGGTCGGCAGGATCAACTGGGATGGGTGGCTACACCGTACATGGACAGTGGCTTCATCGCCGAGTCCGCCAAAAAGCATCGACTCGTTCCTCACCCCGCCAACGTTGATAATACCAATAGGCATGCCTCGCTTGTGAGCTCGTTCCACCAGACGCCACGCCGAGAAGGTCGCTAAGCTGCTCCCAAGAATTAGTAGCCGCCCAGCATCGTCGATCGCTTCTTCAGCCGCTGTCTTGACCACTGGTTCTATATTTTCGCCGAACATGATCACTGCAGGTTTCAATATGCCGGCATTTGACACTGGCAACAATGCTCCGTCATTCTCGACCTCTACGGTCGCCTTCGTGCCATCCCTTAGCGTCGGCGGACTCTCCAAGCAGGTCGGACAGGAAGGATAGCGGAAAGTAGAGTATGGCGCTTCGGCCAGATCAACATCGCCATCAGGATTGAGCTTCAAGCCTGCTCGCCGTTGCTGCTCCGGGTTATCGGTATCGAGAGCCCCCTTTTCAACCATGCGAGCCAAAAACGCCGCCCATGCTGGGTTGAGTCTTTCCAGCGATGCTTGGAAGTCAGCGCGGGGAAGCTCATTCCGACAGCTAGTACAGACAACTGATCGCAGATATCCATGGAGTTCGAGGGTGGGCAGTTCCGGATGTGCGAGTGAATGGAATGAGTCCACATTCTGCGTCACTACGGAACTGATATAGCCTTTGTCACCGAGATCTTTGATTGCCCAATGAGTCGAGTTCGGTTTGGCTTTCACAAGGCCGGGCCATCCGACGAAGCTGCGCGCCCAATACCTCTTGCGTGACTCATGGTTGGCAAGAAACTCGTGGTAATAGATTGGACGATAAGATTTGTTTCGTCGGTAGGTACCTTGATCCCCGCGGTAGTCTGCTAAACCGGAGGCGACGGAGATGCCTGCACCGGTCAGCAGGACTGTCTGAGAATGTCTCCCCACATCCACGCCACGGAGCCTAAAGGATGGTGGCGCCGTGAAGAAAGCGCTGACAGCCTCAATGGCACCTGCAACGGTTGCTGCAGATGGAGGGATTATAATAGCAGGCGGTAACGGGCCCGTGAAGGGAATGCGAATCGCAGGCGTCGTCATTGAAGTCGCACCATCGTCTCCGTATCGGACGGTAGTGGAGATTCTCCAACGGATTGCGTAGTTAGCTGATGCTTGGCACGGCTGCGTCAGAGGTCGTAAATGAGGGATTCGTCACCAAAGACAGTATAGATATGAGCTAGAGAAACGAAGACAAAGAGACGGTTCATAGGTTCTAGCGAGTGAACAACAAGTCAAGATATTGAAGTAATAAAGGGGTGGAGTCAATGGAGCCAGACCAGTCCGATGAGATGATAGAGATGGAAACGGATAACCAGCGTATCTGGGAATGGCGTCTTGCCGGATTACATGATCGGACCTGATCGGACATGCCCATCTTGTTCTTCCTGATAGTGATTCTTCATAATCCCTAAGAAACTGACCCTAAATACCGTGTTTCGACAAACCTCCAAAAGAACACCCTGTCCGGTCCTTGCTTTTGCCGCTCGCGTGCCTCGAAGCCGTGATGCCGCTGACGCAACCCCTGTGCAGGCTTCGTCCTCTCCACTTAAGAGTCTCTCTCGGATCTCTAGCCCAGCGGCGTGTAATTACATCCGCTCCTTTATTAAAAAAGTCTTCCTTTTTCTTTCACTCCAGACCTCGTTCCCTCCCTCCAACCTCGCTCGCTATGACCCAAACTAGAGACCATGGGGGCCATGGCCATGGTCACCATCACCACCACGATACTACCTACCTTACCTCTACAAACAAAAGCGACGCCGGTGTTCGCATTACGCGTATTGGTCTTGTCGCCAACTTATGCATGGCAATTGGAAAATTCATTGGCGGCTATGTCTTTCACTCTCAAGCCCTCATCGCCGACGCCTACCACGCGCTCACGGATCTCGTTTCTGACTTTATGACCTTGGGTACCGTTGCCTGGTCCCTCAAACCCCCGAGCGAACGATTCCCGAACGGATATGGAAAGATCGAGAGTATTGGTGCGCTGGGAGTTAGTGGGCTTCTACTTTGTGGAGGAGTGTTTATGGGTCTCAATGCAGGACAGGTCTTGCTGGCTCAGTTCTACCCCGACGTGGCCGAAACGATAGCCCACTCTGGACTGCTGGGTCATGGTCATTCACATAGTCATGGGCCAATTGGTCCTAGTGTCCATGCCGCGTGGATCGCAGCGGGCTCGATTGTGGTCAAGGAGTGGCTCTACCGTGCCAGTAAGTACAGGGATACAAAGATGTGGGCTTTCGTCTCCGGTTGACTAACTCCACTGCAGCTATGAAGGTCGCCGAAGAGCGCAAGTCATCCGTGCTTGCATCCAATGCCGTTCACCACCGCGTCGATTCCTTGACGAGTATCGTCGCCCTTTTTACAATCGGGGGAAGCTATGTTTTCCAAGACGCCACCTGGCTGGATCCAGTTGGCGGACTTCTGATTTCCCTGATGGTCATCAAAGCCGGCTGGGGCAACACATGTACTTCTCTTTTGGAATTGGCGGACACCACGGTTGATGAGGAAATTCGGCACTCGGTCAAGGATGCCGCTTCCAAGGCCATGAAGGATATCGAGGATGGACACGAAGTGATTGTTCGCGACGTGCAGGGCATGAAATCGGGTCAGAACTATTTGATGGACATTGAGTTGGCTGTGCCGGGCGCCTGGGCTATTAGCCGGTCGCGACACATCGAAGAGGTCATTCGCAATGCCGTTGGATCTGAGGTTCGTGGCGTGAAGCGCATCAAGGTTCGCTTCATTCCAGCAGAACTTCAGGAACTCACATTCTCTGATGAGTTCATCACACAAGATGTCGGCGGTGACCCGGAGACACGGTCGACTGTCCGGAAGCAACAATAGGGACTTAGGACAAGAAAGAGGTTGCGAGTAATAGGCCTCGTTTCTGCTACGATGATACCCCCCATATGCGGGATCTGTGTACACAGTACTCCGTATAGTTAGATCGAATATAAAGCATCTACAACAGCAACTGTGTACTCACTGTACTGTGGGTCGACCACAGTACTGTGTACTGCGTATAGATAGTGGGGCTCCCATTCTACCGAGAATTTAGCAGAGCTTCTTATTTACCCGGCGAACCTTCCTCGGGCTCGACTTTACATTTTGAGAAGGAATCTAGAAGTCTTAGCATAGCACTAATAAGATACTCGGTGTATACTTTCTACTCCTAACTCCTCCGACAGGAGAATCTGTACAGGAGAAAAAAAATCCGATGACAAGCAAAAGATAAGTCAGGTGAATTATGGGACGGTATTGAGGCCCCTCCACCCCTCCTCGACCGGTTATATAGTCCCTTTACATCATCGATTCATCCCACCAGGGCCTGTATCTCTACATGATCTTTTTCCCGGGTTGAATCCACTCCGACTATTTGCCTATATCCAAACCGAACATAACCCCATCTACTGCCCTTATCTTTCTTCGTGACTCTATTGTTGTGGAATTGCTAGACACTCCTGCGACTCCCCACCATGGCGTCAGATACCCCCCTCTACATTGGATTCGATCTCTCTACGCAGCAGTTGAAGGGATTAGTCGTTAACTCGGACCTCAAAGTCGTCCACGTTGCCAAATTCGACTTCGATGCCGACTCGATAGGGTTTCCGATCAAGAAAGGCGTTCTGACCAATGAAGTCGAGCATGAGGTGTTTGCACCGGTCGCTCTGTGGCTGCAGGCATTGGACGGTGTGCTGGAGAGCCTGCGCAAGCAGGGACTTGATTTCAGCCGCGTGAAGGGAGTTAGCGGTGCGGGACAGCAGCACGGGAGCGTATACTGGGGCCAGAATGCGGAGTCAATTCTCCGCAATCTTGACTCGAGCAAATCCCTCGAGGCACAACTAGAGGGCGCTTTCTCCCACCCATACAGCCCCAATTGGCAAGACTCAAGCACTCAGGTCGAATGTGACGAGTTTGATGCGGCTCTCGGCAAGCCCGAAGATTTGGCACAGGCCACTGGAAGCAAAGCACACCACGTAAGAAGATCCCAACGTCTATATATGTGCGTGGCAAACATGCTGACAATCTCGTTAGAGATTCACAGGTCCTCAAATCCTCCGATTCACGAGGAAACACCCCGAGGTATATCGGAAGACGTCGAGAATCTCACTGGTTTCTTCATTCCTGGCATCGCTATTCCTCGGCCATGTGGCCCCATTCGACATCTCCGACGTGTGCGGCATGAACCTGTGGAACATTAAGAAAGGTGCATATGACGACCGTCTGATTCAGCTCTGCTCGGGCTCCTTTGGGCCTGATGATCTCAAGCAGAAGCTTGGTGAGGTACCAGAAGATGGAGGCCTACACCTGGGTCACGTTCACAAATACTTCGTGGAGCGCTTCGGCTTCAGCCCCGATTGTACAGTTATTCCAGCAACTGGTGACAACCCGGCGACTATTCTTGCACTCCCACTGCGACCATCGGACGCAATGGTCTCACTCGGTACCTCCACGACTTTCCTCATGTCAACCCCCAGCTACAAACCCGATCCCGCCACACACTTCTTCAATCACCCGACTACCCCCAGCTTGTACATGTTCATGTTGTGCTACAAGAACGGTGGCCTGGCCCGTGAACACGTCCGAGATGCGATCAACGAGAGCTTGAAGGATACCCCTGCCCAGCCCTGGGCCAACTTTGATAAGGTTGCATTGGAGACCGCCCCGCTGGGCCAACGGAGCCCGACCGATCCGATGAAGATGGGCCTGTTCTTCCCGCGACACGAGATCGTACCCAACATTCCCAAGGGCCAGTGGCGCTTCACATATGATCCTACCACCGGACAGCTCAAGGAGACGACCGACGGATGGAATTCGCCGCAGGACGAAGCCCGCGCTATCGTGGAGAGCCAAATGATCTCGCTGCGTCTGCGGTCTAAGGACCTTACCCAGAGTCCTGGAAATGGACTTCCATCCCAGCCGCGCCGAGTTTATCTCGTCGGCGGAGGCTCCAAGAACAAGGCCATTGCCAAGATTGCTGGTGAAATTCTCGGTGGAGTCGAGGGCGTGTATTCGCTCGATATTGGCGACAATGCCTGCGCTCTCGGCGCTGCATACAAGGCTGTTTGGGGTATTGAGCGACAGCCTGGCCAGACCTTTGAGGACCTGGTTGGTCAGCGGTGGAACGAGGACGAGTTCATTGAGAAGATTGCCGAGGGCTACCAGAAGGGGGTCTTTGAGCAGTATGGCAAGGCCGTCGAGGGCTTTGAGAAGATGGAATTGCAGGTATTGCAGCAAGTGGCTGACAAAGCCGGAAAATAATGTAGATATGAAAAGTTTTAGAATCAGTTTGATATCATTTTGGGCATTCCAAAGCTATATTAGGCCCGTTATATAGGACCATATCGATCTAGTATGATGTTTCCCACGACAATGAGGCTTCCACTAAAAAACCATCGTGTGCCCCAGGTTTGCCCTACTCGGAAGAACACACAAAGAACTCCCACTTCAATCAAATCTTCTATTTATTACTTCAAACGACTGTGACTACCTCGGACTTGTCGACTTGATACTCTGGCAAGCGAAGGCGGACACGGGCACGGGACCGATTACGATATCCAGCCTGGATGATAGTTATCTCCTCCACCAAAAAAAAAACAATTTTAACAACACACACCTCCCCTCGATTACCCTCTCTCCCCCTTTTCCACGCTTCGAAGGGAGACTGGCTGGAAGATGGAAGAACAGGTTAGTCTCCCATCCTCTGTTCAGTCACAATATTAAAGAAATCCCGCTTGCCCAAAACACCGCCCCTCCCCGCCGTTTCAAACCAACCCCCCACCACTTGGAGTCCCTTAGCTCAAGACACAAAAATGATTGACCCATTACAGGTAGCAAATGCCATTGAGATCGCCTGGAATCCGTCCTCCGACCAAACCCTAAAATCACAAGCCTTCGACTACCTCAATCAACTCCGCTCCGACCCCTCCGGATGGCAGATCTGCCTCTCCCTCTTCACCAAAACCCCACAACAGCCCGAGGTCGTACGGCATGTCAGCTTGGAGATCGTCAACAGCGCTGCACAGGTCGGGTTGATCGACCCGGCCTCGCTCGGCGTTGTTCGAGATAGCTTGCTGGGCTACATCCGCCAGGCATACGGACCAGAGGCCTCGGCCACCCCTGACCCTCCTTACATTCAAAACAAAATTGCACAAACCGTCACATTCCTTTTCTCATCCCTCTATGCGAACGGCTGGGAGTCTTGCATCGATGACCTACTGAGTCTGACCAACAAATCCGCGGGCCGTGACAACCAGCTCGGCGTTATCTTTTACCTACGTGTGCTTAACTCGGTTCATGAGGAAATTGGCGATGTCTTGGTTTCCAGGTCTCGGGGGGAGCAGGACAAAGCAAATGCATTGAAGGATTTGATTCGGGAGAGGGACATGCAGAAAATTGCCAACTCGTGGCAGGAGATTCTGGCGGTGTGGCGGGATAGCGATGACACGATCGTGGAGATGTGCCTGAAGGCCGTTGGGAGCTGGGTCAGCTGGATTGATATCAGTCTTGTCGTGAATCAGACCATGCTTGATCTGTTATTCCAGCAGCTCGGACGGGCGGAGAAGCAGGAGCTTCGCGAGGGGGAACAGCGAGTGCGTGATGCGGCTATTGATGTCTTCACAGAGATCATTGGCAAGAAGATGAAGCCTCAGGATAAGATCGAGATGATCGTTTTCTTGAACCTCGACACCATCATCACGCAGCTGTCTAACAGCCCTCCCCTGCGAGACAGCCGATTCACATTCAAGTATGACACTGATTTGGCAGAGACGGTGGCTAAGCTCGTCAACAATACCGTTGTGGATATCGTGCGAGTATTGGATAACGACGCTGATCCTATCAAGGAGAAGGCCGAGAACTTGCTGCAGGTCTTCCTACCTCACATCTTGCGATTCTTCTCGGACGAATACGACGAAGTTTGCTCGACCGTCATTCCCTGCGTCAACGATGTGCTTACCTACATTCGGAAACTCGCCAAGGTGAACCCATCTTTCGAAGAGCGAAACAAGGCCATTCTCCTCCCGATTTTGAAGGCGATTATTGCGAAAATGCGGTACGACGAGACCTCGAACTGGGGCGAGGAGGACGAGCAGACGGACGAGGCCGAGTTCCAGGAGCTGCGGAAGAGACTGGGTGTGTTGCAGCAAATCATTGCCTCGGCCGACGAGCAGCTTTACATCGATGCAATCTCCGACGTGGTGGCTACAACTTTCCAGAATCTGCGGACATCTGGTGGTCAGCTTGATTGGCGTGACCTGGATCTTGCGCTGCACGAGATGTTCTTGTTTGGCGATTTGGCTGTTAAGGGCGGCAGTCTATACATGAAGGGTGCTACGACTGGCATGGCTGCGAACCGTCTCATTGAAATGATGCTTGCATTGGTGGAGTCCGATATCCGCTCCTTCACCCACCCGGCGACGCAACTCCAATACATGGAAATTTGTGTTCGCTATAGCTCTTTCTTCACCCACCACACCCACCTCATCCCCGGAGTTCTGGAGAGCTTCCTTCAGCTTGTGCACCACCCTGTTCGAAAAGTCAAGACTCGTTCTTGGTATCTGTTCCAGCGGCTAGCGAAACAGCTGCGTAGCCAAATTGGCAACGTGGTGCAGACTGTTGTGGAGTCCTTGAGTGATCTGTTGGTCATTCACGCCGAGGTGCCCTCGGAGAACGACGATGGCGATGAGATGTCTTCCGAAGACCACGAGGGCTCCGCGGACGCTATTTTCAATAGCCAGCTGTACCTATTCGAATCTGTTGGCATCATTTCGTCGACCCCCAGTGTGACCGCGGATAAGCAGGTTCTCTACGCCCAGTCGGTGATGAACCCTGTATTCGCCGACATGGAACGTAACCTCGAAGCCGCCAAGGCTAACGACGAGCGTGCACTTCTTCAAATCCACCACGACATCATGGCCCTAGGAACACTTGCCCGTGGCTATTCGGACTGGCAGCCGGGTACCAGCTCGCCTTCTACTCTCCCGGCACCAGAGGTTTCGGCAGCTTTCGCCCAGGTGGCTGAAGCTACCCTGGTTGCGCTGGAGTCCCTCAAGACCTCGTTCAACATCCGAACCGCCGCTCGCTTTGCGTTCTCACGACTCATCGGTGTTTTGGGTGCCGGAATTCTCCCTCAGCTGCCGCGTTGGATTGATGGACTCCTGACCCAGACCTCGTCGCGGGACGAGATGGCGCTCTTCCTCCGCCTTCTCGACCAGGTTATCTTTGGCTTCAAGGGCGAGATCTACAGCATTCTCGATACTCTCCTGACTCCATTCTTGCAACGGGTCTTCTCTGGAATTGCCGACCCAACCACTGGCACCGACGATGAGATCCAGCTTGCCGAGTTGAAGCGCGAGTACCTGAACTTCCTGCTAGCAGTTCTAAACAACGACCTGGGAAGCGTCATCATCAGCGAGAGGAACCAGCCTCTCTTCGAAACCGTCATTACCACCATCGAGCACTTCGCCAAGGACATCGATGACTTCACAACCGCCAAGATGGCATTCTCCGTGTTGAGCCGCATGGCAGCCTGCTGGGGCGGACCCGACATCGCCCCTGCGCCTACCAACGGCGCTGCATCCACCCAAGCCGCACTCCCCGGCTTTAGCGGATTCATGATTTCCCGCTTCTCCCCGCTCTGCTGGGCGCTCCCGACCACGGCTAACTTCAACTCCAAAGACGCGCAGGCCAAGCAGGTTCTCGCCGAGGCGGGCGGGTTGCAGCGTACCATCTACTCCAAGACGGGCATGGAATACGCTCAGTACTTGCGGGGTCAGGAACTGCCCGGTATGGGCATGGGCAATGAACTCATCGAAGAGTTCCTGACTGCTTTGAACCAGTCGGACGTGAAAGGGTTCCGGCAATTCTTCCCGGTATGTCTATCCTTTTATCCTTGGTATTATCCTTTGGTCTTATTGCATACTAACAAATGTTGCAGTCATTCATCCAACGACTGAGCGCATGAGATCTTGTTTTCCTCTCGTCTGCATTCTAGATTCCCCCAAATTCAATTCCCGTCAAATTTAAATATAACAAATTCCCTTCATGTCCTCCCCCTCCCTGCGCCCTCTATACCATCTACATCAATGCCCGTGACCCCCCAAATCCATCCCAGTACATATGTCCAGAACAGACCATGCTGGATTCGACGACTGGGAAAACACAAGAGATTCGGCCTTGAACGTCCCGAGTAAATAGCGTTTCTTACACACCCGATTGGCCCTATGCTTCAAGCCCTGTTTCCCCTGGTAGATGTCAATTGTGTAGACTGAGTAACTACCACAGTAGAACTGGAAATGAGATGCCTGGGCTATTGAAACAAATCATGCCAGCTCAGATACATACTAAGACCGAAAGCAGAGAAATAGATCATCCTCGCTCTCCCTCCATCCCTCGAAAGTGACAAGAAACCAATAACCCAATACCCAAACCCGCAACCCCTTCCATCTACTTCAACTTCAATTAAATCATAGACCTAGCAGCCTGCCTCTCACTTCGAAAGAAAAACCATCAGAACCAGTCTACAACAGAGCAAGATGTATACGAAAACACAACAAAAGTTCTTCTGACATTCCAAAGGGCAGTAGTATAGAAAAAGGAAGAGAAGAGAAGAGAAACACACTATGCAAAAAGATACTTAGCCGCATGCTCAACATGATCATCGGCAAATGTCGCCATGGTATAGTAAGAGTGATCGTAATCAGGCTGGTATCGGATATTCACGGAGAGGCCTGCATCACGGGCTGCGGCTTCGAAGTTCTCGGGGAGGAGTTGGCCTTGTTTGTAGAAGTTGTCGCCGGTACCCTGTATAGATTAGAAAGACCGCTTTTTGTAGTGGAAGAGAAGAGGAATGGGCAAGGCCGAGTATCGGCCGAAAGGGAAGAAAGGAAAAGAAACTCACCACATCAATAAGAATATCCAACGCACCCCCACTCCACTTCTTAATCAATTCAGTAGCATCATGTTCCTTCCACTTATTCTGGTCATCACCGAAGTACCCAGCAAACGCCTTCTGGCCCCAGGGACAGTTGATAGGGTTAGTGATTGGCGCAAAGGCCGAGACGGATTTGTATTTTCCCGGGTTGCGGAGGAACTGTGATGCATTAGCTTCATTCATTCCATTACCAAAAATCTTCAACAAGATCTTTTTGAAAAAGAATAGAAACAAAAACCAAGAAACATACCAAAGTAAGAGCTCCATGGCCACCCATACTATGCCCGGTAATACTAACCCGACTGGCATCCAACTGCGGGAACGCATCAAAGACAGTCTTCGGCAGTTCCTCGGTCACATAGCTGTACATGTTATAGCCTGCATTGTAAGGAGCTTTTGTTGCGTCGACGTAGAAGCCGGCGCCGGAGCCGAAGTCGTACGAGTCGTCTTCGCCGGCGATGTTTAGGCCTCCTATAAAACCTATCAGTTTCCATTTTTTTTTCCCCTTTCCCTTCATAGCAAAATCGAAAAGCAGCTGAAGGATAAGACGGAAAAGGAAAGAAGAAAGGGAAAAGACATACGCGGACTGGTATCGGGATAAAGCACCGCAATTCCCTTCTTGCTAGCGGCATGCTGGAAGAATCCCTTCTCGGAGCAATTGTCCGCTGTGCAGGTCAATCCTGAGAGGTAGATGAGGACTGGGATCTTTCCCTGCTGGGTCTGGGGTGGGAGGAAGAGGTTGAATTTCATTTCGCATTTTGTTGTTGTGGCGGCGTGGGAGAGTTTTAGGAGTTTGCCGCCAAAGGAGGCGATTGTTGCTGTTGTTGTTACGGACATGATGTATAGGGTAGTATACAGTAGGATAGTAGGATAGTAGGGGAGAAGGAGAAGAAGAAGCGGGAAGAGGGTTGACGTTACTTATGAGGGGGATTGGTCCCGCATGAGGGGAAGATCCACATAAGGAATATTATTCCTATTTGGGATTGTTCGTGTAGAGAGATGTTGAGTGTATCGACCTCCGTAGTCGGAGGGTATATGAGATGTACAGACCTTCATAAAAGACTTTCCAGCACGCCAAGCTATGCAAATGTACATCAATCCAAGAAAACCGGAACCCCATAAATAACCGGCGCAGCCCCATTCAAATACTTCAACACACAAGCCTTCCTCGAACGCGCAATAGCAACATCAAGCCCAACACCCACCCTCCTCTCCCTCCCCTCCTTCCTCACAAGCCCCCACTCATCAAAAGCCGTAGTCGTGAACCGATCAATATCGCGATCCGTAACATCCCAAAGTGTAGCAACGAGCGCCGGACTGCCAGCATGCAAATAATTCATCGGCGTGCCGTACGGCTCATACTCTCCCGCCTCGGTGAGCGTGCCACTACTACAACCCATAAGGAATGCAACGGCGCATTTTGTAAGGCGTTTGACCGTGCGGCCGCGGATATACTGAGCGCCGCTGCCGTGGCCGAAGTAAAGGAATAAAGACTTATTCTCGAGGGAGTCGCGGAATTCGTCTTCGGTTGGTTCGCGCTGGACGACTGCGGTCCAGGAAGTGAAGCGCGAGAGGTCTTTTTCAAAGGTTGTTTGGGTTGTGCGGAGATCGCCGGTTGGGTTGAGGATGTAGGAGCCGGAGGTACGGTTGACGGTGGCGCCGGAGGGGGAGGTGAAGTGGAGGATACGATCGCGGAGACATTCTAGGGAGGGAACGCGACAGACGGGGTAGCCTTGCAGACAGGGGAGGGATTCCCAGGGAAAAAGGTGGAGGGCTTTGTCAAGGACGAGGATGGTGTGTTTTGGTGGGCGGGATGCAAGCTCGTCGCGGGCGGATTCGTGGTAGCAGCGTAGGGCGTCGAGGGTGTCGACGACCATCATGTCGAAGTCGATTTCGTCGTAGGCATTGCGTTCGCCTTGGAATTGGAGGATGTCGACGACGAAGTAGAGCAGGTCCATCAGGGTGTCTTCGGGCTCTTCTTGGGCTTCGAGATCGCGGAGTCCGATGAATAAGTCTACCACGTTTTGGTGCAAGGTGAGTCGGGGCCCGTCTGCTTTGCCGCCCTTCTGTCGAGATGGGAGATGTTTGTCGAGAATGCCTTGGAATGTACTCGCGAACCGGGCCAGAGCCGTGGTATCCCGCGACAGTGGCGAGAAGACACCGCGGAATCCCCCAAACCAGATGTTTTCGATATTCTGCAGTACACTTTCCATCCGACGATCCAGCGCCTCACGCGTGTTCCACCATTCCTTCTTCGACCGCTTGTCCGTTTGAAGCTTGGCCGCATGTGCACTCTCGTTGGCTAGCTTGATGAGCGTTCGCATCTCCTCTTTGCCATCTTCGAAAGTGAACTGCTCTTCCTCGTCATCTTCCGAGTTTCCTCGGTGAAGCGGCAGACGCAAAAGGAATGGTGAGCGGTCTTTCTGTAGTCGTGAAACGACGAATTCAGTCTGGTCGGCACTCAGTGACAAAGAAAGCACATTCCAGCTTTCGGGTAGAATGTCCACGTAGTCCGCTGTGAAATTGGAACAGAGATCACCATCCAGTTCGACTGCCGAGGGGAAAGACGTGGGCCAGAGAAGAGGGTCAGCAAACTCAGCTAGCTTCCGGTCGATATCAATGGCGATCCGTTCCCGAGCAAATGCGCCAACACGGCCGATTTCTACTGATTGTCAGAGATTTGCACGACTAGGGAGGTTATTAGAACATACCGTTCATATTTGCAGGCGACTGCGCCAGCGTCGCCGGGATTCCGGGAGAAGTCGCATGGGACAGCATAGTTATCCGGCTCATCAACCGAGATGCTGCATGGCTATCAAGCGTTGAGCCTAGAATCGTAGCGTCAGAGAACACACTGGCAAGAGAATCGCTCGCCTTGGACAGCATGATCGAAAAGTCTTCGTTGGCTTTTTGAGCCTTGGTGCGCGGAGCTTTGGCTGGGGCTCTGGTTCTCCTTGTCGGTTTTGCGGGAGTAACGGGCTCTGCCGTCTTGCTCGGTGATTTGAGCGATGGTAGAGAGATCGTAGATTCAGGTAAAACGCAATACACGGCATGGCTTGCGAAACGGCGGATCGCATCACCCAGCAAATGCTCGCTTTCACCGATCTCCATAGCAATCTTGCTTTCTCGGGCTACGGCGAATTTACGGGCTTCTGCAAGCGTTTGTGCAGATCGCTCGAAGTCACGGAGCTCACGCAGACAATCGGCTTGTTGTCGGAGAATGTTGCCTTTGAGCTGGGATAGGGATTTAGATTGAACTTCGGGGAGAGTGGCCTTTGGGGCCGCGGTCTTCGTGGTTTTGGTGGAGACCGTGGTCTTGGTGGAGGCAGCACTAGTTGCGCGAGTCCGCCGAGTTGTAGTAGATGTGGTAGGTGTTGGTGTTCGCCGGCTGCTTGATCGGACACGTAGTTTGCCCATTTTATCTTCAATTTCGGCCATACCCGACGTCTCAAGGGCGGCAGGTGATTCAGCAGAGGTAACCGCAGTGATGAGCTTGTCAGCTTCGGTGAGAACGCGGAGTGCCTTGTCATGTGCGCCTTGAATCTTGTACAGAGATGCAAGCGCCATTTGGAAAGAGACGGTTTCAATGCTACTCTGGGATTGTCTAGACGACTCGGCCGCTGCAGAGAGCTGGTCCTGTCCCTCTTCGAGGTGGCCACTGATGATCCAATGACAACCGAGCTGTGTCTGTGCCGCAAGTAACCGGGCATTGGCATCGAGGGTCTTGTCGATCTTCAGCGCTTGTTCGGCGTAGTAGACAGCATCCTGGAACAAGCCATGGTGGGCAGATAGTGTGGCAAGGTTCAACAAGCAAGTGTGATGAGAGCCCAGATGCGGCCAGAACGGCGCACCTTGGATATAGCTGGCAGATACATCAGGGGTTGACCCGTTCTGAGACAGATCAAGCTTGGCCATACCATCAGCGACAGCCTCAACATCGGAGCTTCCAGCAGCAGGCAACGACTTGTCTTGCTTTTTCTGAGCGAGTCGCTCGACCTTGGCCCAGATGCGGCAGTTCAACCTCACAGACAATTTCGCAAAGTAGAGAGCCTGGGTAGCGGAGCCTTGTGCAGAGAACAAGCGAGACTGTACAAAGGCAGCATCTGCTACCAGTCTCTCCCACGAGATCTTCGACAGAACCGACAGGTTGTTCAATTCCGACTTTTGGCTCTTTTCATATAGTGCACGAGCTGCCGAAAGAACCGCGGCCGCTTTGTCGGGCTCTCCAGTCTCCAAAAGGTATTCCACCCGTGCGACTTTGTAGGAGATGGTAGCAAGAGGGGACACCTTGGCTTGAGCAAGATACTGCTCGCCCCGTGAGAGAAGTTCACCTGCCTTTTGGCAATACCCCAGACGGCAGTTCTGAAGTACCAAGCGCGAGAGAATGATGATGGCATCGGACAAATCCCCTGATTGCTGCAACTCAGCGGCACGCAAAATCAGTTCAAGGGTGCAGAGCTGGGCCTTCCAGAGCCCGTGGATCTCAGTGTAATCAACAAGCGCCTTCAACTGCAAGACCCAGTAGTCCGTGTCATCGACGCAGAGCAGTAATGTTTTCCATTCATGGCACTGGCGGGCTAATGAAGTCCAGGATGCAAGCGTATCATCAAGCTCACTCGGCCCAATCTTACCGCGGTGGAAGCCGATGATAATCCGCAATGAGTTGCTGATGTGAATTGCGAATGAGGCAAGATCGAGGTCATCTCCAACTTGTAGACCCCCGTCCAAGGCCGCTGCTCCTGCATCCAGCAGGGTATGAACCAATGATGAATCCAAAGCGGTAGGGTGTTCCAGCAGAAGCCGCAAGGCAGACAGAACTACACGAGAATGGCGAATAGGGTGGGCCTCGGGAGGGCAGAGGTCGAGTAGTGAGGAAACAGCCGAGCCTAGCATCGAGCGGAACTCTTCTTCGTTCGAGGACTGGCTGTGCATGTCGATAAGCAAGCTCATCTGCCACTCGAGAAGGAGACCTCTCTGTTCGAATTCCAGTTCGGTGTCATCGTAAACGGTAGAAGAATGCGAGCCCTTCCTCCGCAATTTCATCCTGAGAAGTGCAGAGAGGACGCGGCCTAGCATGAAGCCAGGACTCTTGGGATCTTGACTGACCGAACTCGGACTGTGCGCTGCGCTGCTCTTGGCGATTTGCTCCAGGGTACCAGACAGGATGTACTCTTCAATCGATAGTCGGAACATCTTCTCTGACTCGGTGTACATATGGCCATCGAGATACAAATGTGCCATTCTTTCGTATTTGAGAGCTGCAAATGCCGTGTCGCGTTGAGAGGGCGAGCAACTTGAAAGCAGCTGTGTGGACTGTTTGAGAAGTGGCAATAGCTCACGATAACCTTGTCCGGCTTCTTTCTCTTTGAGGTATCGAGACCAGAACAGATTTGAAAGCTTGACAAGTGCCAATCCTAAGTTCTCCGTTATCTCTGCACTTTGCCCATCAGGGGATTCGATGGTTGAGAGCAGGCGATGGCAATCGCCCAGAATGGGGAGCATGTCTTCCCAGGGTGGCCTCTGGGACATGACAGAGAGTTTCCCCACGGCCACAGCGGAATCAATTGCAGCAAGTATGATACTTCTGGAGATTTCAATGCGTTTGTTGAACATTTGAATCTCCTTTTCGTCACTCTCGTCGGTGGGCTGGCGCCCAACATAGCGCCTGAGGAACCGGAGAAAAGCCTGTAGATATTCCCTGATCTGGCTCGCAACTTCGTTTTTCTCGTCTTCGCTCTCGAAGCTTTTCGTGATAGCGACTCCAAACCAAGCAAGTGCAGTCTTCTTCAGTCTTGCTGCTTCCACAAGCAGTTCGTCCAGGTCGTTGGCGCTCCCTCTTAATTGCAACCCTAATGATCCACTTGCCTCTGACACAGCGTCCAACGTCCCTTTCAAAGATTCCTTGGAGGTTTTTAGAGCTTGGAAATGTACAGATGCAATTTTGCATCGAACCGTGGCCAGTGAAAGACTCTGTGTCTTTGAAAGAGGATTGATGGCTTCTGTGAGCAGTTTTAAAGACTCATCAAAGCAGCCCGCATCGAACGCGAGCTGGCCAAGAATAGTCATGAGCTTGGCAGCCTGGTTGGCAATTTGCGTTTCTGGTGAATTCTTCTTGATCTCTGAAATAGACGTCTGCAGCCGGGTAACCGTTTTGTAGATTGAAGCAAACTCGGCTTTCTCGATTCCCTTGCTTCGATGAGAGAAGCTACCAAAGTAGCGCAACAAAGGATCCAAAACTTCCTTGCTCTCGTCACAGACATGACCGGACAGCTTCCAGCCCAAACATCGAACCTCGAGGCAAAGTAGTTGCAGAGACAATGATGTGATGGGCTTCAAGCTATTCGATGCCTCATCCTTTGAGAACGACGTCCCCGAGCAAAGCGACAGAATTGTATTCGAAAGAAGCTGCAGTTGAAGAGCAGCTTTGTCATTTGATAGTTGACCTGCTTTCAATGCAGCCAAAATGACCTGAGCAGGGCTACTCTTATCAGAGAGTTGCAAACAAGAGCAAACCTTCTGGATTGTAGAGGGTCTTCTATCTGCAGCAAACAGTCTCATCACGTTCGATTGAAATGGAACGAGCAGTCCGTACAAAGACTTCGCATTCGAGATGTGGGTGAACGTCAAAAGATCTGACATCCGTTCTTTCGCCACCTCCTCGTCTGTCGTATCTTTCACTTCCGGGCTGTTCTTCCCACTCTTCCCACCGTCCAGATGTTGTTGGATCCTCCGCTTCAAAAGTCGGAGCTCTTTGTATGCCATGTCATTCAATCCCAGAGATAAGAGCTTCCCTGCAAGAACACATAGACCCTGCTCAAGCTGCATATTCGGGAATTGGTCGCTCCCACTGTCACTCTTGAGACTGCGCAGCGTTGACAAAGAAAGCCTGGCACATTCCGCGGCGGAGGTGATGCCCGCATCGAGTTTACCACCATTCTCGGAATTGTTCTGCCTCTTAGCCGTATGTGTCTTCGCAGCATCCGTCAATGTCTTAAGTGTAGCATTGAACACTTCTGTAGCGAAGACCATTTTCTCCTGACACGACAACACCGCCGCGTCATTCTCGACCAAAGATTGTAACGCAGCATCACTACTTTTCGTCTTCGTAGCGCGGGAGGTTCTCGTCCGAGTAGTCGAGGCCGCGGGCGGCTCTCTGGTGGATTTTGTGCGTTTCGCGGGTTTCTCGGGCATCTTAGGCGGTCCGCGGAGGAGTGTTTGGAGGGACAACACGGTAGCATCTGAGCATGTTGTCGTTGATCGAAGGGCCTGTTTCACGGACTCTGTAAGAGAGCTACCCGGCAGGACGGTGACCGCCATTTCGTGTATCGTGTTTCAAATCAAAGCTGCAGGACTGAGGTCATCGCTCTGCGCGTCGGAGTCCTTTGATGTGCAATCGCTATCGGACTCCGGCGTTGTCGCAGCAACAATAACGCTATACCGCTTTTGGGCGATGATAGCCTTATCGCCTCAGGCAATCACGAACCTCGCAACTTTTCCCGCTTCGCTGCTTGACGCTTTGCGAGTACACAGACCATGGCTACGATTTTCAGATCCAGGCCCTTTGGGCTGGGCGCGTACTTCTCTCCCGCTTCGTTCACGTTACATGCGTCACGGCAATGTCGCGCTCGCGCTGGACGCTCATATTCGACTTCCGATCGCCTCCCGAAGATCGCGGACACTTCAGTATGGACGGCGATGATTCCGCGGTTTATTCGCAATGGGAGGACGCGCAAAGATCCCACAAAAGCGAAATCTAAAGAGTGGAACCCGGCTACGTTTTATATCATCATTTTTACGCTGATCGGCTCGCAAGCCATTCGCATGATCACTTTGAAGAACGGCTATGCGGCGTATACGCGGACGACGGATGCTAAGATTGAGCTCTTGCGGGAGGTGATTGCTCGAGTCAAGAATGGAGAGAAGGTCGATGTGGAAAAGCTGCTGGGGACTGGCGATGAGGCGAAGGAAAGAGAATGGGATGAAGGTGCGTTACTGTGTTCGGCTTGGCCTTGATGGCCGGTGTCTGACTATCTTTACCCTCTAGTACTACGCGAGATCGAAGCCGAAGACTCTCTGTGGCATCAGAAGAAGAGTGCTGAGGCACAAGCTGAGAAAGTGCAGGAGTCCGTGAAAGAGCAGAAGCAAACTACAAAGCCTGTCGAAGAAAAGAGGGACGAGGAGGTTGTTAAGACAGAGTCTACAGGCAGGCTGAGATTCTATTGATTTGGTCTACTTGCGGCCTTCTTACAGAAAGACCCTTTGCTTTCACAGACATCATGGGTTCGGCCAATTCACCTCACTGAACCACCCTCGCCCCAATGAGGTCCGGTTGATCTCTTCGGTCATGAGAGCCCTTTATCCAGGAGACTTGGGTCCAGCATCTCCCACTCACATGAATTGCGCCAATGACTGAGATATCTTCCAAGGATATAATCGTAACACTACCTGTACAGGGAAATCTCTCCTCGTATCAGAACGGATACTTTGTGACCTAGTATCATACTTCATGTACATATTCACCCGAGATCGGGACACATATTTCAAAGATCACTATGAATACCTACCTAACTTCACGGGCATGGAATCCATATGACAAGGTCAGATATCGGCAGACTGCTCGGGCAATACCTTACAGCCTTGGTGATCTCAACCTCACAACCTCGAGACAGACCACGGACAGAACTACACAATTGCCTACAACTACGACCACAAGCATCAGAAGATCAACCTTCCCAAACCAAATGTATATTTAAACAGGAATAACACCACAATCAGGGCCCTCTATGACAACCCACACCTTCTTTCCAAATCTATCTGCTGTTGATACAATGCATACACACAGTTTTAGGCTCCAGAAAACGGAGAAGTGAAGACATGATGAAAAGAAGAAATGCAAGTCCAAAGCCCAGCGGAACGAAACATGAAATGGGAGACGAGATCCGAAACAAAAGTGAGAGAGAACTCATGCTGAATTGAAAGAAAATAAAGTCTCAACTGATGAGGCGAAAACGTAAATGAAACAAAAGACATCGCTAGTATTTGACAAAAGTAACACGCTCAGAAGAAGAGAGCACACCTCCCTACTTCGAGGCCTGCAGGAACTTGGGCCAGTTCTCAGGCCGCGGTACCTGCACCCGGCCGATGTTCTGGTCCAGGTCAAGAATGAGCTTGAGAGCATTCCTTGACCGGAGGTAGGGCAAAGGCGCCGTAGCGCTCTGCCCGCCCAGACCGGGCTCGATGTGACCAGTGGGGCTGATAGAGTCGCCCTCGCCGGGCATGGGAAGAGCCTTCTGCAGGACTTCGTATGCAGCCAGGGTGAAACCGAACTGAGGCGAAGAACGCATGATACGGGCGGGTCCGCCTTTGAAGAAGGCGGCCATACCCTCCTCTTTCCAGATGGTAGAAGCACAGTGGCGCAGGCCGTTGTACTTGGTGTCGCCCTTGCGGGCTTCGACTTGCAGGCGGGTTTTGATGACGTCGCAGGGGGTGGTCAAGTAGGCGGCGGGCATACCGGCAATGGCACCGGCGGTGAGGAGCTGGATGACGCCCAGCTTGTTGGTGGCGGTCTCGCCGAAGAAGTCGGACTTCAAGTGTGCGTAGGTGGGGAAGTAGATGGCCGAGAAGGGGACGTCGCGGAGGAGACAGGCGCTGGCTCCCTTGTACAGGCCAACTAGACCCAGGTTCTTGACGATCCAAAGGGCGGAGCGACGAGGGGCACCCTCGACGTTCTTGGCGATTTCACCCTGCACCTGCAGGCGGATCTTCACGATTTCGAGGGGGTTGGTGAAGACGACTTGGCAAGCACCGGCGGCACCACCAGAAATGAGCTCGTGGTAGTACTTGATTCTATGGGTATCTTTGTCTGTGAAGAAGCCACGAACGAGATCGTTAACCGTCAGCTTGATGGCCTTCTCGGGCGCCACACCAATCAACTGAGGAATGACACCGGAGTAGAGGCCGGTGAAACCCTCGTTGCGAATGACCTTCCTCGCGCAATCGATGGAGTTGTTGTACAGTCTCTCGCCGGGACGAGATGAACGCTGGTTCTGCAGACGTGTCTTGACCAGATCAATGGGGTAGACCATGAAAGCACCAAAGGCACCAGCGATACTTCCCAGGCCGAAGTGGTGTGCGGATTCGAGAACGCTGTGGAGTACGCTCTTGGTCTTTTCGGCAACTTCCTGCCCAGCGGACAAGGCCTGGCCGGCGACCATCATGGGAACGCGCCATGAAGAATCGATGACCTTGGCGAAGTCCTTCTGCGAGAGACGTCCGGAGGGCGCATCCAGTCCAGCGAAGTGGAACAGAATATCAGCCTCCATGGGCGTGAATTGGGAGAAACGGGTGATGCGGGCGGCCTCGTCGAGGAAGTCGGCGCGAGTGATCTTGCCATCGACGCTCTTCTTTGTAGCTTCCCGAACAACCAAGTCAATAATATCCATCTCGCGCATGACATTCTGGAAAGCACGGACATTGGCGTAGGAGATGCGGTTGCTGGTCGAGATATTGCACAGGGTAGGAAGGTTCTCGAGGATGTGGTCAGACAGCTTGTGTTTTGAGGTCTCGAGGATAATGCGCTGGAATTCCTCGGGCTGGATGAATCCATCGCCATCCTTGTCGAAGGTGTGGAAAGCTTGTCGGATACGCTCACCCTGCAAACCGCGCAGCATCTGAGCGAATTGGGGGTAGGTCATATCATGGCGAGACTTGGAGCGGCCACCATAGAGCGAAGCCCATTCGGAGTCCCAGTCGAAAGGAATGCTATCGGTACTCTTGTTGAGGTTGTACAGTCCCTGCACGGCGTCGAACTTTACACTTCCGGTTCCATCGAAGTCAAAAAGACGGAAGGCGATCTCGTACTCGGCGTCGGGCTTCGCGAGGAGGTTTTCGAAAGTCGCCCAGTCGGCAAGGTTCAGCTGGCCGGTTTTCCGTCGGTCTGCCACGTTGAAGAGGATACCGTATTGTTCGCGCTTGATTTTGTGCTATTGGGGGGGGGGGGTAAACACGTTAGCAATTGCGACCAAATTTGGGTACTTTTGGGCGTTTCCTGGTGCTACTCACATAGTCTTCTTGTTTGGGTGCCACGGCGTCAATGAAGTTTTCCTTGGTCATGAAAAGTTCCCCATTCTCATCCTTTTGCGCATGGCGAAGGAAATTCGCACGCGATTGGTGTGACAGTTGAGACGAGTCTGGAGCGCCCAAGAGCTGCTCCTTCACGGTAGTTGCGACACTAGCCATTGTGTATCCAGTTCAAAGATGATTCAAGGAAACAAAAAGGCCACCGCACAAAACTGAGAAAGCTGGAGAGAGGAAAGAAGGGATCGGAGAGTGGAGAAGGAGAGGAGGTGAGTCAAAAAAAAGGGAAGGGTATGAATAAAAAGTTATGCGGAATAATTAGAGAAAGGCTGAAAGCCCATAAAAAAGTCTTGGGGGCTTGTTCTTTGGATGAATTGAATATATTTGATTCTTCTAGTATCTGAATATCCGCATAAAACCCCGGTCTCTTCGTGGCCACGCGATTGAATTTTCACCCCCTTGGTTGTTTTTTGCATAATTAAGATGGCGTTATTTACCCGTGGCAGATCTTGGGGCCGAAGTCCCTTTCAATTCACCGATCTCCGCATTATTGGCCTGACCTTGGCCTTACCACTGGGTATTTGCACTCTGATGTGGACTCCATAGTGGGCTCTATTTCTTATTGTTCGAGGACCATTCTATTGACCTTCGTTTCCCTTGGAATTGACAGTTTGCCACCACGAGCCATGGCATTGAACCCATACCACTTATCCAGGGACCATCGGAGGCAAAAATCAACGGGTACACAGTCAGCAGGCGACTTTTAAACACCAAAAAAAGATAAAGATAAATATCTTAACAGGAAGAAACCGGGATAGGATAAACCTGTCACATGGTCTCTCTTCGGGACCGGTGAGTATGAATCGGGTGTCTCCGAGTTCGGTGCGGAGTCAATGGAGTCCAGAAGTTGGAGACCTTCTGTTTTATTGGTCATTTCTATCTCTTCCCCTCTCTATCCACAGTATCCAGCCTTCCAGAATTCGGTCGGGTCAACTCCGGATTCTTACATCGATCTACGGAGTACGGAGTATGTGTTCTCATCTCCTCCGCATTGCACGCAGTATTGCAGTAGCATCATACCTACCTAGCTTGATATTCTATTGAGTATCTAACGACAGTTATATGCTAGATATCACGAGTACTAGCAGCTGGTAATAGCTGCCTATGCCCTCCTAGACCCTAGAACGCATAAACTTACTTATTTAGGTCTTCTCCATATTTATCCAAGTTTCCCCGTAAGTGCACGGTTCTCCCCAGAGCTTTCAATGACAAACTCAATTCAAAGAATTGGAGAAACTCTTGTATGACAGACAGCTACTCCGTACTCTAAAGCGGAATCGGGTCATGGGTAAATCCGACTAGGTTTCTACTAAGTAGTATCTCGTTCGTGGCGGTGTAGCTACAAGATGTGTTACCGCGATTCTTGGCTGTAGCCTGTGATACCTTTCTTGGCTTAAGCTTCTGGAGGTCAGGAACGATTTACCGGGAGCCAAGCTTATTGACATTGCCTCAGGCAAATATTATGGAGTAACCTTACGCAGTAGCAATGGATTACAAGGCTTCACAGCTGAGGCTCCTTGTCGCGACTGACTCGCGAGATAACCTCCTACAGTTTTATACTAGGTAAGGCATCCTGACAAACATCTTATCTACAAAAGGCTACCTACAGTATATCACCAAGCGCCAGTAAGATGCCAGTCATCTCTGATCCTATCCAAGGACTTGCTTATGTAGTTTCACCATAACCTCGGCCACCTGCACTTACTCATACTGAACACCACCCGGCAGCTGCAAGCCTTACTCAGGTACTACACACACCTGGGACCCGCTTGATTGCCCGGTCGTCACAAACAGCTCTTGGCCGTAACCCAAGTTTCAAGCATTTGAGATAAGGACTTCAATCAGTCTATCGGAGGGCTCTCGTAAGATTCCAGTATTCCATACGCTCCATGTGCCCATGACTAGGTCGTGTCTACACATGCCTGGCTCTGAGATCAGCCTGTTTGTTTAATCGCCGATCTATGTACTCCCTTGAGTAGTGAAAATCAGCAACTCGCCGAAACGCAGAGTATCTCCATTGGCTAACATGAGATGCAGATACGTGATTTGGGCGTTCAGTGTGCATTGCCAGATATGCCAGTGCTTTCTATGAACAACATGCACTATATGGATGTATGCTCGAATCATGATGCACCACCTCCTATTCTGTTCAGTGATAAAAAGTAAAATAGAAACAAGAGTAAGTGAGTCTTAGTCTTCACCAATTAGGCACCAAAAGATGCCAACAGTTCTACAACTGATTGGCGGTCTTCCATCCCATGAGAATTCGTGCGCTATTTTATTCAAGGCTACAATTTGAGAACTAGTAGCCCTACATGATGTAGGGATATGCGTATCTCATCTAATTATAGTATGTTCACGGGCAGAAAGTACGGAGATATCTACCCAAATCCAGACCAATGAATGTCTCTGATCATCCAGTAGTGAGTGTCAATCGTCCCCATCACTGCTAGTCAATGTGATACTGCGGGGATGACACCTAATATAGCACAGTTTCATTTAGTATGGAGGCGATCTTCCTCGCCTATTGATTGATAAACCGGAAGAACATTCGACAGACCTCGAAAAGTAGCCCGGGGTGTGCTCCAGATGCAGTTGGGCCTGAGTTGGCTGCAGGCCATATTGGCCTATCGCCAAATCCCAACATCCATCACATCACACTAAGTAGACGGGAAGTCAACCTGTAATGCTTATGATTGGGCAAATACCAAGCTTTCTCAAGATAGAAACCTAAGCGTGTGATGAGGTGGTGATTTGTGCTCTGTCGTGCATAAAGTGGGCGCTTAGGGCAGAAGAAGGTGGTTGGCCCCAGCACTTGAACTTCCCCTCTCTCAACTGTATATAGCCGCCCATCTGTCTCCAGGAAATTGGATTCTCATTCCTCTATTGTCTAATTTCACTTGTTTCTATTTTCGTCTCTTCGACTTGGCTGGCCCAAGCGAGTCCTTCATCTCCTTCCTATCTGCATCGACGTCAATAATTTTTTCTCTCCTTACTTGGACACATAGCATACTTTTGTTGATCAAAGTTCTTGTCTCCCTGGAAAAACCGAAAACCAAAACTTCAACTTCAATCTAGGCTTCACCTCTCGTGGATCAATACCAGTCACAATGTACACTGCCCGTGCCGTCCGACCAAAGCTGTCTCTCAGCATCTCGACTGCCCAGAACGTCCCTCGACCCTCATTGTCACTCAAGTCACCAAGTGCGCTGCCTCGCACTCCTGTTTCGCCGATTTCAGCGGGAAGCCCGACAGCCAACAGATTCTCGACTCTACAAGTACCGAGCTATTCATACACGAACTCTTGTTCAGCAAAGAGCATCCTCAAGAAGCAGACTTCCTCACGAGCGGCCACTGGCGATAAGCGCATTCAATTCAAGGGGACGCCGACTGTCCACTGTGTCACGCCAATTGAGAATCCGGACGAGTATTACGGCAAACACACGAAGATGTCACGGGAAGAGCGGCGATGGACGGTCCGACAGTGAATCGCGGCTGGAAACATGTATCACTAATGACCGTCCATGACCGGAGTAATGGCGCAATCGGGTGGCTCTGTATAACTCGGGGTTTGTATGTTGCTTTGCAGTCCTGCCTCACTTACACCTCGAGTCTTTGGCGAACCCCCTCGATCCATTGAAGACATGGTGCATTCGACAACCAGTATCCGGCACTGCAATATGACAAGCCCAGGGACACGCTCCTGGCCAGCATTTATCCAGCCAGAGGCCCGAGGTGGCTTGCTGGGTCATGTTGCCTCTTCCGCTTTATCCCAGCCCAGATCCCGTCAATATGATCTGGGCCAGTCGGGCTGTTTGAGTACAACTATTGTGCATACTGCCATACTGAGGTGTACGTCCTGTAACCGAGGGGCAAACGATGTACGGGGCAAACGATGTACCCGTGTTTTGGAGGAACAACTATTCTTATGACGTTATGATGGGACCCGGATTGATGATTTTTGATTTGAGTACAAATTTTTTAACCTAGTCGGTCGTTACTGCAAATACATCATACAGTGGACCAGGGGTCTTCCTGACCCTGGACTCTCGAGGTATATAGTTTATGGATTCAATGATCACGTCCGTAGGGCGTAGACTCAGCTTTGAAAGGCGCAAGTAGATCATCGCGAATTGCCGTTTTGGTACTTGTCTTAGGGCACTGTCCAAGGGCTTCTCCGGCCCGTGCGCATCCAATCTTTTTCGCCCCTGTCGCCGGTCTGTATGTGAAGCATCTTCCCAATGTTATTTTCAGCGATCCCTGGTGCGACGATTCGCAGATCGGCGCTAAGTGCAAGGAGATGTTTTACCTGCCGCCGAGGTTTGCTCACGTTGGCTATTGAAACGTCCTGGTAAGCGGAGATGGATGCTCGTCCGAAGAAGAAAACCGTCCCCCAACTGACTGCTCGCCAACAATAGTGACGATACATCGGTAGCCATTGTTGAGAAGACAAAACAAGCAAATGGAACTGCAGCTAAGATTCATTTCCTCGAAAATGTAACGGCAGACACGCGCGCGCACCGCGGCATCCACCCCATCATCGCCCTTGAATCTCACCAGGACCACCTCGCAACCCTTGTACAGAAAGCCCTCAACCACCTGCCGGAGTCTACAGCTGGAGACGGATTCAAACTATTAGATGGGACTTATCGCCGCCGGCCTGATTTTATTTCCGCCACGAGAGGTCCGGGCATGCGATCCAATCTGTCCGTCGGTCTTGACACTGGAAAAGCGCTATCAGTTGCATGGCAAATACCGATGGTCGGAGTACACCACATGCAGGCACACCTCCTGACACCTCGACTCGTTTCATGTCTGGAAAACGAGGCCAATCCCGAAGTACCAGCAGTAGCGCCCGCATTCCCCTTCTTGTCCATTCTTGTCTCCGGCGGACACACGATTCTGGTCCAATCCAAAAGCCTCACGGACCATAAAATACTCGCCACTAGTGAAGATATAGCTATGGGAGAGGCACTCGATAAATCTGCAAGAGATATCCTGCCCGCTTCCCTACTCCAAGAAGCTAAGAGTACTATGTACGGCAAGACGCTGGAGCAATTCGTCTTCCCGGGTGGCAAGGCAGATTCCGCAGACTACTCGCCACCAGAGTCTCGAGGTCAAGAGATCGTCAAGCGGCAAAGTGACTGGGGATGGTCTCTGACGACTCCGTTTGCGAATACGCGGCTGATGCAGTTCAGCTTTTCTTCCATCGCCAGCATGGTTGGGAAGATCGTCAAAGATAAAACGAGGGATGGTGAGATGTCGCATAAAGAGCGTGTGGATTTAGGTCGGGAAACTATGCGTGTCTGTTTCGAGCACCTTGCTTCGCGGACTGTTATTGCCCTGGAGACTCAGCGACCATACAATACCTGCGAAGATGAGATCAAGACTCTCGTTGTTAGTGGCGGTGTTGCCGCCAACAAATTCCTCATGAAGGTGCTAACCTCCTTCCTGGAAGTGCGCGGCTTTGGTGATATGAAGATCGTTGCTCCGCCGCCATACCTGTGTACCGACAATGCGGCCATGATTGGGTGGGCAGGTATTGAGATGTTCGAGGCTGGGTTCCGATCTGAACTCAGCTGTCGTCCCCTGCGGAAATGGTCTCTTGACCCCAATGCTGGCGACGGAGGTATCCTTGGCCCAGGAGGCTGGATCCGAGAGTGACTGCCGCTGGATGGCTACGTATAAAGGTTGCATATTAGACATACCCCCCTCTGTATAATAGCTTGTGTAAATCATAGATCAGATCCCCATGCAGCTTTCTCGTAGTGCATGGATGGTAATGAATAGAATTTAGAAATAAAGCCATAGTGCATATCGACACATAAGAGCTAGAATCATCAGAGACGCCGATGCCATGTAACCTCCGAGCCCACTCATCATCCATGCATCCTCCACAGTAGGGTATCGAAGATGCGCCGTTGCAACCCATGAAAACGAACCAAACTCGCGACCGGCCGACTGTGCAATGCAAGTAGTTTGAGATAATGAAGTCGTAATCGTCGTGATCAGCCGCCCACAGGGGGGCCGTTGCGCTGCAGTGCAGCGACTTGTTTTCGAAGCTCTAGGAAAAAGTCCTTCCCATTCGCCATGTTTTGTGCTGTAATTGGGTTAACGTCTGCTATAAAGGTTGTTGCCACGAAAGGAGACTATACCCTTAGGGCCCCAAGCAGTAGATCGTGGGTGTGAACCCTCTTGGGACACCGGTTTGTAAGGCACTGACTTGCCCGCTATAGTAATGGCCCATACGTTAGGCTTGAGCAAGTTGCAAAGTAAGGATAGAACACACCTTCGGGTCCTAATATATTGCAAGACACTGGTCAGCTTTGTACCTCGCGGATTGAATGTTAACACTCACCCTTCTTTAGGGTGTTCTTGACCTCCGCGGCATTGAAGCCCCGTACAGGGACATGCGGTTCTTGTGGAGGATGGGACGCGCCCCAAGCAGTATTATTATCGCGGGCATTTCCATGTCCTCCTGTCTTATCACGATTGTTGCGCTGCGACCCATGGCGACTAGGTCCACCCCGCCATCTTAGGAAGGCAAGAACAGTTAGCGACGTAAGATCGCGCGGTATTTTGGAGCGGCAAACGCGTACCTGGTATCGTTAGAGGCGCTCATGCTGAAGGTATATGCAGAAATAAGGAATCAAAAGCTCAAGTGAAGAAATAAAATTGTCAATAGCTCTCAAGGGACAGCTATGTCAAGTCGCATGTCACGCCGCGGAGGTGATTAGAGCAGATTGCCGCCTCAGGCCAACAGGCCCATACAGCTCGGGCGTCTCCGCCTTGACCAGATAACATATCACCTCCTTGGGCCTTTCAGCTTCCACGGGCTCTGGTGTCCTTTGCGACCTCTGCGTCCTGTGATCATATCGTTATCGCGTGCACCGAGTTTTGCGACCTTGGAAAATTCCCGCGGCCCTGACCGAGTCGGCCTCTGAACGCGAGCTGACGCCGTCCGATTGACAATCACCAACCCCAACGATCAACATACACACGCGATAGCTGGTGATACAAATAATGGCACCGTCGGGCAGACATTCAATCTCTGGTCGCCCGTCGCGTCATAGACCCGGGTCCTCCCTCATATCATCGAATAGCGCCTCATTAGATTCCCCTGAGGGACCTCCTACGAAGAAAAGAAAGTACGTCCCAGGTGGTCCTGGAGGAGGAGGAAGATTCGTCGACTTTGAGGCCGCTTCTGCTGCTGCTGCTGCTGCTGCTGCCGTGGCCGACGCTGCCCAAGAAACGCCCAGGAGAGCAACTGCTCCGCGACGACACTCCACGAGCACTCGAGGCCGCCCGCCAGGTCGCGGTCGTCCTCCAGGTCGTCGCCCAGGCCGTCCCCCAGGCCGTCCCCCAGGCCGCCCACCGCGCGAACCGCGCGAAATGGAGCAACCATTACTAGCCCCTCCACCGCCACCGACCGTACCGACAACACCACCATCCATGGGTCGTCCAAGGCGCGACAAGACACAACACCTCGCTCGCTTCACCTCTTCCACAGCTGCTGCTCTTGCTCTACAGCAGGGCGATGGGTATAAACCACGCGAAGAACGCGGATGGGAGGAGTTTCATCCCGACCTGGACATCGATGGCAAACTAGCAGTCTTCACCGCTGCAGAGGTTGATGCTCCAAATCCATCTGTGCCTGTCTTGAGCTTGGAGTCGCTAGCTGGCGCGACAGTCATGGACCATTCAGGATCTCCAGTCATTGTGTCCAGTGAATTGGCTACCCCCATTCCGATCAAACGCAGGCCTGGCCGTCCACCGCGTCGTCCAGAGGCCATCCTGAATGCTCTCCTCGCCCAGCAAGGACATAAGGTCATACCGCCTCCGGGTCCCAATCCCCGGGAGAAGTTGACACTGCCGAAGCCGTCGTTCAGATTGCGCGACCCTTTCACATTCTACGAGCAGAAGGGTGTTGGTAATCAGAACTACGTTGACCGTACAATGGCGAATGTAGGATACCAGGAGAGCGACCTATTCTTGCGCCATGACCGACGCTTTATTCGAATGACTGAGGGCACACAAGAAGATGATCTGGATGTAATCCAGCCTGCCATGACGGAAGGCGATGTCAATACTACCATTGGGCGTGTGGAATACGACATGGATGAGCAGGACGAGAAATGGTTGGAAGAATACAATGCTAAGCGTCGTGAAGATCAACTCGAACCCATCAAACCTGCTGTGTTCGAAATCACCATGACCAAAATCGAGAGGGAATGGCACGCCCTGGAGAAGCGCATCCCCAAACCGAATCCCAAGCCTCCACAAACAGGACGTCTTCGCTCCAGCTCTGCGGCTGCAGTCAACGGTGAGACTGCTGGACCGGGCGAGGAACAAGATAGCAAGTGTGCTATATGTGATGACGGCGACTGCGAAAATGCGAATGCGATCGTTTTCTGCGATGGTTGCGACCTCGCAGTCCACCAAGAGTGCTACGGTGTCCCATTCATCCCAGAAGGTCAATGGCTCTGCCGCAAGTGCCAGCTACTAGGAAGAGGTTCCACAAATTGCATCTTCTGTCCTAATACCGAGGGTGCGTTCAAGCAGACAACCTCGTCGAAATGGGCTCACCTCCTCTGCTCCTTCTGGATTCCTGAGGTTTCTATTGGCAACCCGTCTCTTATGGAGCCGGTAACCGACGTTGAAAAGGTTCCACGAAGTCGCTGGAAGTTGAATTGCTACATCTGCAAGCAGCGGATGGGTGCATCTATCCAATGCAGTAACAAAAATTGCTTTGTTGCCTTCCACGTCTCATGCGCCCGCAGGGCTCAACTTTATCTGAAGATGAAGATTGGTCATGGCCTTATGGACTCCCACCTTCTCAAGGCTTTCTGCGACAAGCACGTTCCTCCTGAATGGCAGCTGGAGCATAATACCGATGTTGCAACTGCCGATGCCATGGAATATTACCGCACCACCATGCAGGGTCGGCGCTGGGGAGACAGCCAAGCTGCGGCTCTCTCTATGGGCCCGGCGCACCCCGATGACGGAGGCGAAGAGGATCGCACACTCACACCTCGCATTACCCTGACTGTGGGCGGCAATAAACGAAGGCGCGTTCCCAGAATGATTTGGAAGCTTCCCTCGGGTGCTCCTGTGATCCCTCAGGTTGTGCTGAATTCGGTAATTGCCTCTCTTGGACGATTCACGGTTCGCCAAAGAAAGCAGTATGCCGAGGATGCATCTAAATATTGGACCCTTAAACGAGAGGCGAGACGTGGAGCAGCATTGCTCAAGCGGCTTCAGTTGCAGCTAGAGACATTCTCATCTATGGAAATGACCCGAAGAGACTATGTGGCGATGGGTGTTACCGGGCACAAACGTCTGGAGCGTCGCATTGAGTTTGGTGAGCGACTTTACAAGGACTTGGATCGATTGAGAATGCTATGTGATGAAGTGAAGAAAAGGGAGAGGGAGAAGTTGAAGGATGCGGAGATGCTTCGCAGCATCGTCGATATTGTCTACTTCCCCTTGTTCCCACTGCTTTGGCCCATCTTTGAGAAAGCGCAACTGTAAGTTGTTCTTATATCTTTCCGTCAACGACCTTACTGACTTTATCATAGGCTCGACAGCAAGGGTCTGTTTGCAGCTGGTCTGATGTCCATCCGGCAGAGACTCACCGAACGTTTCTATCCTTCCGTTGCTTCCTTCTCCACCGATCTGGCCAGTCTTTTTACGTCAGAAATCGGCGTGGAGCCGGCTGGTGACACCGCCGAACTCCAAGCGCAGATCAGTGGTCGTGCCCCGGAGCTCAGCTTGGAGCAACGTGAGAAGCGAAAATTGGCCAAGAGGATCATCAAAGTCATTCAGCCTTCACTGGAAGATGCAATCAGGAAGGAGAGTGAGCTCAACCGCAAACCATTCGAGCAGGAATTGAAGGAATTAGATGCGCTTCTCGACCGCAGTGTCATCTCGCGTGGCATTTCCATTGAGCCAGAAGGTGATACTGTGCTATCTGCTCACCCTGATGCTATGGAGGGTGTCGAACCTACACTTCCTACAACGGAAGCTCCATCCGAAGCCCAGCCTGCTGCAGACGACCAACCCCCTAATGTTTCTGCGGCAGAAGATCAACCAATGGCAGAAGAGCAAACACCTGCTGAACAGCTTCCGGAGGCTGCCCCCACGTTTTATAGACACCCAACACCTATCCTGACTGAGCAGGATCAGCAGCTGCCTTTGGCTCAGGGTGGTATTCAATGGTACATGCAGCCGTTCGACCCCGTTGGTACGACTATTCACGAGGAACGGTGGACTGGACGAGATGTCATGCGCGGCATGAGTGAAGAGCTCAGTGAATTGGACGAAGATGAGCTTGAAGGGCTGAAGGACTTGGTGAACGATGGGGAGTTCAAGGCCCAGGCCCCCACCCCGGTCGCGCCACCACAGAGTACTCGCCAGACTCGACGTTTACGCGCACGATGATCATTCTCTGGACAGGCGATACCCACGGCTTTGGATTTTAGGGCAAATTGGTTTCAATGGAGTTAGGAGCTGGTCTTGTTTTTTCCTAGTGCTGTTAGTTACTGCTGTAGCTCAATTAGTCAATTCTAATCTCAGATCGTGCAAGTCTTGGCACTCCATTGTTTGTAATAGTACAGCACCCCTTGCGATCTTGCATTCAGTCTGAATGAGAAGAAATGATCTGTGTCTTAGTATTTCCTTTCAATACTGTTCTAAAAAAAGTCACGCGATTCAAAAAGCCCAGTTGAGTTGTATTTCTGCCTGAATCCTCGGGCGTATAGCTCCCGTGCTTAGTGTCTTATCAGCTGTCTAAAAGTTCCAACTTCTCTTTCTCTCCTTCCCTCTCTCTCCCTCTCTCATCCTACACCCTTCAGTCCTTTCATTCATCATGGCTGACTTTGAAAACGATACCAGCCGTTATGCGGGTACGTTATTATTTCGACTTTGATGCGCTTGCAAATGCTTACCCTTTTAATTAGACGAGCCGCGCTACGATCGCGAGCGCGAGCGCAGCGCTTCTCCTCGTGATGAGCCCCGAGCCGACCGCGACCGTGCTCGCAGCCGCTCCCCCAATGGCCGCTCTGATGATAGGTATCTAACCTAATCTTGTATATGAAATTGCTTTACTAATAAAATCATCCACAGAGCTCCGGCTCGCAAGCCCATTGAGGAAGAGGATGAGGGTGCTGTCAACACCGGCTCCAACCTCTTCGTCACTGGTATCCACCCTCGCCTGACAGAATCCGATATCTCGCGTCTCTTCGAGAAGTACGGTGATGTGGAAAACTGCTCTATCATGCTTGACCCCCACACCAAGGAGTCTCGTGGCTTTGGTTTCGTGAACATGGTTACCGCCGAGCAGGCTGATGCCGCCAAGGAAGGTCTCCAGGGTGAGGTCATCGAAGGTCGCACCTTGAGCATTGAGAAGGCTCGCCGTGCCCGCCCTCGTACCCCCACTCCTGGCAAATACTTCGGTCCCCCCAAGCGTGGTAAGTTATATTGCGTCTCCCCTTTTAGCCCCCACTTTAGCTTACGTTTCATTTTCTCAGATGGCCCTCCTGGTGGCCCTGGTGGTCGTGGCGGTCCTCGCCGTGACCGTTACGATGATCGCCGTGGCCCCTCCGGTGGTGCCTGGCGTCGTCGGGATGACGACTACTCTCGCTATGGCCGTTACGATTCTTACAACGACCGCCGCGATTACGGCCGTGACTACGGTCGTGACTATGGCCGTCGCGACTACGCTGGTGGTGGTGGTGGCGGCCGTGAGTACGGTGGTCGCCGTGAGTCTCGCGATGACTACTCTTACCGCGGCGGTGGTGACCGCTACGGAGGTAGCCGTGAGGACCGCTACAGTGGCCGTGACGACCGCCGTGGTGGCGAGGAGTCTCGCGGTGCTGGTGGTGGTGGCGGTTACTATGACCGTGATGCCAACCCTCCCAGCTTCGACGCTGGTGGCCCTCCCCGTGAGCCTCGCGAGGCTCGTGAGCCCCGTGATCCGTACGCTGGTGGTGGCGGACGTTCCTACGAAGGTCAGGCCCGCAGCAGCGCTGGTGGCGGCGGCGGTGGCGAGGATCGTTACGCTGGCAGGTAAAGTGTTCCCCGTTGTGTACTAACCAGAAACGAGATCGGTCTTGGATGTCGTTTTGATCCCCAGTGTCGATGTTTCACCATTTGTCACTTTTCACCCCCTTTTTCTTTATTTCTGGGATTGTTTTTATTGCGGAAATTGGGCTACGGGCCACGGGGCGTCGCTTGTCTTTGTTGTTTCATCTTGCTCTCGGCTCTCGTCTCGACGGTTCTTTCTACTGGACAAAAAAAACGGAGCGTTACGACTCGGCAATTTTAATCGGCCCCTGGACACTTCGGTCGCTTGATATGTCGCTTTTATGTCTGTTCGCAACGCGACTTCGAGAGAATCTTCTAGCGGCAGAGGGGAAAACAATTATCGCTGTAATTCGGTATCTCATGGCCAGCAAATTCGTCACACAGCTACAGCTACACCTTCACCTTCACCTCTACACCATCTCCAGTAACGGCTCGATTGTATTCGACTTCTCTAAACAACTGAATGATCAACCATTCGCCCTCAAAGCCGTCGACTTTGCGCTTGTAGTATCGACTTTAAACTGCAGGTCTTAACGATTTGGCAGTACCTTGCAAGGTGGGATATGTCTGTACGCTGAGTTGCTGACCTCTAGGTTTACTTCCTTTTGGCTTGGCCGGTTGGCTCGTTGTGCTTCGGCCCACTTGACTGGGATGTCCCCTTGTTACTTACTCTACTTAGGGAAGTGCCCACGAAGCCGCTCATTGAAAGATATGTAGTCTTTCAGGGTGCTACCAACAATGCAATTGGGCATCTGAGATTGCTCGTCCTGAGATTCATTTTGAGGCATCCTCGTCCAAAGGCGAGTCTCCAATCAGGCAAGTCACTGTGTCTTTGACCCAAAGCTGTATGCATTCTCTTTGATGCATATCTCAATGAAGCTTTGTCTTGGAGGATTATATAGATGATGATTGAATTCACTTTGATTTTGACAGATTTGTGTAAGGTACTGTCTAGATCTATGTCGATCGAGTCTCGGCCTTCCTTGAATTCCTTCATGTATCACGTATCACGTATCTAGCCAGCAGCCATGGAAGACCTGACCAATTATAGTTTGCTCACATGACAACCTTCACCGACCCTTTATAACCGCCATTCCGATACTTTTCAGCCGTTGACCAACTCAGATCATGGCTATCTGGAGCTGTGATACCGAGGACTGCGACAAGCCCTCTGTCCGCATAGAAGGAGATTGCATACTTTGCCGTCGTCATCTTTGCGCCAAACACCTTATGTCTGAGTTTCATACATGTCCACGGTGGGAGGTGCAGACTGAAGAAAAGAAAAAATCCCTAAAACGAGCGTGGAATAACCTTTCCTCTTCTATTACCAGGACGAAAAACACTACGATCCAGCAGCTGACCGAGCAGAACAAGAAGAGATACTCGAACTCCTCACCAAAATCAACATTACCGCACTCGCATCTCGAGCCAGCAATTTACGCAAAGGCATCGCCTGTTCCATCCAAAAACTCCAATATGACCCTTCAACACGGAACTCAGTCATGGGTGGAATGAACTACCACATCGAGATCCAATTTGCAGATAGCATCTGCTGGCTAGCGCGCATTCGAAGATTCAGTGTTACATCCCCTCCACCAGCGCTGCAGGAGTTCATACTACGCAGTGAAGTTGCCACACTTGAATTCTTGAGAAAAACCAATATCCCTACCCCAGAAGTCTTCGATTTCTGTGATGAGACGAACCCTGTTGGTGTTCGGTACATTATCATGGAAAAACTTCCAGGGAAATCCCTCTGCTGGTCTGATACTACACAAGAACAGCGGATGAAGGTGATAGAGCAGCTTGCTGATATCTATATCGAGTTACGGGCCCACCCCTTTCCCATGATGGGTTCTTTGGACGTTGGTTCTGAGCTTGCTATTGGACCGTTTGCGAAAGAGTCAATGGCTGACTTTGGGAAGTCTGGTTTGGAAATGCTTGGACCGTTCTCTTCATTGGAAGGATATTACAATGCATATATCGAATTCATTCTGGATTTGATTGTGCGGCAAGAGGCGTATGCAAACCGTCCAATAGATGCCTTTTTGATACATCTCTATCTCCAGGAGAATCTCCTGGCTATTCTGCCCGATGCTAGCCTGGATGATGGAAAGTTCTATCTCAAGCATGCGGATGAGAAAGGGGATCAGATTCTGGTTGACGACGACTTTCGAATTACAGGTATTATTGACTGGGAGTGGGCGCATACGGGTCCGAAATCTGCAACTTTCAATTCGCCTATTGTTCTCCTTCCACTTGATCGGTTCTATGGTGGGCATAATGGCCTAGGGGAGGATGAATTGGCTTTTTCGAACTTGCTTGAACAGAAGGGATGTCCGGATCTTGGGGAGATAGTCAGGAAGGGAAGGCTTCTTCATCGGTTGCAATTTTGCTGTGGTTATGAACTTCCCGATTGGAATGGATATAAGGATATCTTTATGGGACTTGTTAGGGCTGTACGCGATGGGAATGACAGTCTGGATTATGAGACTTGGAGGGCAGAGGCTATGGAGCGGTACCGTGCTGATCATCGGCTGCAAGATCTTTTGCAGATGTAGTTTACGCAGAGAAATAATGTTGCCGTAGAAATATACAGGAGCTTCGGATTGGTCTGCCTGTGGGATTGATCCTATCAGACTTCCGAGTTGTCCAAATCAAAGCAGAACATCAGTACAGTGATAAGGCATGAGAGAAAAGGTTATTCAAAAGTAGTAACGTTGGCCATGCACCCTTGAAACCCCAGAACCTCTACAGCATCAACAAGCACCTCTTGGCTGGTATCCTCCTCCCATTTCGCCGTTAAAGTCCTTGACGATTCACAACTCAACACGAGAGATACACCCGCGAGAGCAAGCGTCAAACGCAAGCCATCTTCACCATCGTCTGGAGACGGCAACAACCTTTCATCCTGACGAAACATTCGATGCACCGGTGCCAGTTGAAATACCACCGACATATCCATACTGGCAGGCGAGGAATCTTTAGGGAAGTATGCGCCGAATATGGCGTCCCCTTGACTAGTCTTACCAGAGACTAGTAGAATCCTGACCAGACCGGTTGTAGACAGGCAAGACTTTAAACCCTTGATATCTACCTTCTGGGAAGAATGGAGTATTTCTGGTGCTTCGATGGGAAAGTCTTGGGGTAGGCTCATTGAAAGCTGACTTAGGAGAGGAATATTCATGATTCGTCCCTTGGGAGGAGGCTGTGTCTTGATTGATGGTGTAAACAGTTCTTTTAACTTGTTCTGTGCTTCGGTGACCGATGATGGGGGGGATGGAATGGGTTTGGGTGAATGCAAAGGGCCGAGGACTCGACGGAGACCCAGGAATAAGTTTTGCTGCTTAGGGTCAGTATAGAACTCTTTGTTGTTGATAGCGACTAGCGTATTTTAAGACGCACTATTGAATTGCCAATAACTTCGTCAAAGGCTGTAAAGGATACGGTTGATGACTTTCGTAAGAATGCAGCCAATAGACAATCCGTCGCTGTCTCAATCTCCGCTAGAGAGCACGTAAGAACCTCCGGGTCAAGTCCAGCAGCATACAACTGAGTGAGGAGCATCAACCGAAGGAGCAGCCTAAACTCATCGGCCTGGATCGATCCACTTGCCAACGTGGGGTTTGACGAAGGGAAATGTTCCGGAAGGGGATATTGAGGTCCTTTCCTCACAGCAGTCGGGAACAGCCCATTACGCTTGAAATTCCCATACGTAACGATCTCAAGAGCTTTCCGAATGTGGTAATCATCTCCTGGGCTTCGAGCTGATCCGGCAGAGGGCCCTGGCGACTCTGTCAAGCTTTGAAACAGCAGGATTCGTTGTTCGGCGCTGAGACGTTCAGGGTAAACGAGTGATGCTTCGTTGTTATCTGGATCTAGAAGCTTGTTGCCTTCTAGTCTGAGTAGAATTATTATTCCTGTTCGTAGTACTTCTAGAGACAGGGTGCGGTGTGGATCGTTTTGATATGGAAATGAGCCTAGTCGTAGGAGGCAGCGGTGGATAATTGGGGCTGCTGAGGCTATGTGTGAGGCCAGTTCCGGAGGCAATGTGCTGATCATAAAATCTTTCAGATCAGATATAGTCCAGACTATAGCATGTTAGCCTGGGATTGAGAAGGAATAGACTCTAGGCTTTGCTGCCTCGTTGTCCTTGCATTTTGTCGAATCTGACTCGGTGCAGAAGATGTTGAAAATAGTCTCAAACCATTCTCTTTTCGTATTACTCAGGAATAATCGTGATAGGCGCCATTTGAATTGTTCCTGGAGTTCCTCTGGTGTCTGTCAGTAACTATCAGACTAGCATGTAAAGCTTGAATTGATACCGCGGGTTTGAACTGGGGGAAACTCGGTGGGAGACTCTTTGGCTACGGTCTGACCCATTGCTGTCTGAAGTCAGCACTATCACGATGATGGGGAACTGAGGGAAGGAGGGGAAAGGACGGATGCATTGACGATCAGCTGACCTGAAAAATACGCCAGTAAATCAGCCTTGTCTTGACCAATCTGAGGATTTGACTATCATTTTGCACAGTTTGCACCTGGGGCTATGTACGAGGCTATGCCCGGGGCATTGCATACAGTTCATTTTGAGTACTTGACATTCTTCACCAATACTTCCCTAATTCCACTTCCACCCATCAGAAAAACACCTTGAACTCACCGATCTCTCATCATGGGCAGAAGGCGCAAAAACAAAGCCCCCCTGGTGCCCCTGGAAGATCGCCCGATGGAAACGAGACTCACAGCCACTCTGTACGATAGAGATGACTGCAATGCCGCAATTCGCGGCCAAAAAATTCCTGGTTCTCTCGGACTGAAAGTCCAACGCTTCGCTGTTATCCGTGGCATTCGACACCACGACGGTTTCGCCCACGAGTTACGCGGCGTCACACCGGAGTTCACTCGTGCACTCAACGCGCGTGCAATTATGAGCGGAGTGATCCCGGAGATGAATAACTCCGCTGAGATACCCTATTGCATCTGGTATCCGGAACCTCCATCCCAGGAGACCCTTCGCAACTTGGTGAAGCGGTATCCCAACATGATTTATCACGCTGCTCGCTCCTGTGCCGTGGCGGGATATTCTGATCTTTACTCAGAACTTCAGGTTCTTCCTGAGGTTCATGTTGCTGCCGAGGCTCGCGACGCTAGCCTAGCAAGGAAGAACAAAGGCAGCGAGACAATATTCGAGCAAATAATGTCGAATCATGTGAAATTTGAAATCATGAATGATTATGATCGATCTGTCAATCTTGAAAACCCTCGTCCGGCACACCCCAATGGAGATACGGCGGTTTTTTCCGATCTCACTGCACGGATGCTTCATGCAGGAGGGGAAACCGACAGCAGCTAATACCAGGGGTTTGGTCAATCTTGTTGATCACATCGAGTGGGCTGGCAGAGAAACTTCAACATCACTGAGGATATGGGAATCGACGATCATAGTTGTGGTGCTGAGCCTCTGGCCAGCTTTTGGCCACTTCTGTATTCGCTTCTGCCGTTAGACCTTCCACCAGTCAATAAAGACAACCTGATTCTATCAGCTGCATATAATGGTGACGTGGATCGATACGTACGCCTACGACGCCCACATCGGATCAAACAAGAATTCCACGCTATCATTTTGGGGATATACAACCACCCCCTTTGGGCGCGATGGTGGAGCACACAGGTGCCGGAGGTCCCCGATAAAAGGGACGAGGTATCCATAAGATGCGCAATCAATGCGCGACGCATCATCAGCGACGATATTACTTGTATCACACCAAGTACTCCGAAATGGCTGGTACCTCACAGAATCTGGTGGCCCAGTGTTGCTTCCCCAGTGACCTACGTGCGTCTCGCGCAGAGAAGGCCTGATATGCTCGAGTCATGTCTACGAGCATGTATTGTCGCCGATTACGAAAAGGCGTGGGATGAAATTCTGATTGGGTCATCGGATGGCCCGAACGATTCCAAAGCCGCTCGACTTTCCAAAGTCGTCAGATCGAATATCTATGCCGAGGCTAGAGATTCATCCAATCCGCACTACCTCAACGACATAAATTCGCTTGGCACAGCCAAGGTGGAGGAGCTTGAAGCCGATATGTGCTACTTGGATGACATGTGTACTGCGAGATGGATGTATTCGCCACGCTCGACTGCCGAAAGAGTTGTAATCAAAGACAAGCCCTTTACGGTAACAGTGGGGGAGAGTGGATCAGATGGGATTCCGAGAGGGCCGGGTGATCTGGGATTCACAATTTTTGGCATGGATGCAGTTGGCTTGGATAATAAGACATGGGAGAAGGGAAGTTACATTGAGGTCGAAGATCTGTACAACATCCTCGATGCCAGAGAGCTTTCAACATAATGAATTGTAGCAAAGGCTTCAGCCAACCCTCCTAGACAATGCCTTATCGTTATTTTCACGACCCCGGAGAAAATGGGCAGAATTCTTTTCCCTCTGATTGGATGTTCGTAGTTTCGGTTGCCTTTTCGAAGTTGCAATCTTTCCGCCTGCTTATTGCAGATAGTTTGCCCCTTCCGCTCCCACCCTTACCCTACCGCTTTCCCCCTATGGAAGTAAGCAGTTCGACTTTCCGCCTGCCTTTACGGGATAGGCGAAGCTGAGCGTCGCAGTTAAATCCCAAGAGTCAAGACCATTGGGCGCTGGGAGACCTTGTCACTCACTAGTCACTCACTCGAAACTGGCTTGTGATGGTGGGAGAAGGAGACCAAAGACAGCCCATCGAATCGGGTTACCGATTCAAGATGGCGACCCATAACCCCGAGACTCACCCGCTTCCGAGTTGGGACCTTACATCCAATGGCATCTGACTCCAATTGTTGCCATGTGTTCCGCCGCTCGTTACAAGAACAACGATTGCGACTCCGATGACTCGGGACGTCCCATCGAGTCCGGCTACCGATTCAAGATGACGACCCATACAGTTACGGGCATCCGCGATACGTCGAGGAAGGTATACATTGGTGCCGCATCGCGGTGTTTCTTCTGTACAGTCTACAGATTACAGGATATGTGACAGGTCCTTATGATATGGATCAAGCTGAGAATTCCGTGCTATCTGTGAACTAGAAACATCGTGTGTTCTGTCATGCTGGATGTGCACGCTATTCGATCCCAGCGAGCTCTCAAGTTGCAACCTTGGAATCACCAGTGCTGCTGCCCAGGTGCATCAAAGTTTCCAGAGCCGTTGTCGTGGACTTGCTCAACGATTGGACCGACCAGTGCTGGGCTCATCGGCCACATCAGCCGTATCCTCTGTGCCGACTGAATCCTCTCAACTCGAATCAACATTGCGTGGCTGATCGGCCTCGGACCCTGGCAACGGACCGGTTGAATCTCTGCCGAAATCGAGATCCTCGACATATTCTTCCTCTTCCTCCACAGGAGAAAGGGGCCTTCCAAACACATACGAAGACGTGCGCGGGAGGGAAGGGGACACATTTCCGCGAGGCGATCCATATGCGCGAGGCAACGCAACAGCCATTTCGGGCTCGCTCTCGTCCGAGTCATCGGAGTCGCAATCATCGTTCTTGTAACGAGCCGCGGAACACATGGCAACGATTCGAGTCAGATGCCACTGGATGTCCAAAAGGTCCCAACTCGGAAGCGGGTGAGTCTCGGGGTTATGGGTCGCCATCTTGAATCGGTAACCCGATTCGATGGGCCGTCTTTGGTCCCCTTCTCCCACCATCACAACCATCCCGTTCATGCCAATGAGACGTTCGGAAGACAGAGCTCGTGTGGTAGTCGGAATGTTCTCAAACGATTTGTGTGCGTACTGGGGCTGCCAGTAAAATTCGATGATCATTTCTGTCATGTCGTTCGAGAGGGAACTGGGCGCAGCGCGAACAGCGCATCCAACCAAGCCGCGCGAAGGTCCTTTCGAAGACAGATCATGTTTGTGCAATCATTGACAGGGGCGTCAGGATTATTTGGATTCTTGAAGGCCGCCTTTTCCCATCGTTCGGCGGTGGCATGTCCCCAAAATACCTCGACGTACTTCCAAAAATCGGGGATCAACTGATCATACGAAAGGCGCGACTTTCCAGTAAAACTGGGAAAAATTGGAACCGCGTCATAGCTCTTGCTATTGCCTGTCAGGACGCAGTGCGAACCATCTCGTCGTTTGGCATCCCAGATTGCCCTCCGGGAATAGCCTGCGCGCCAGCTGCTGAGAGCGTCTGCCGGCGGCGGAATCTCTGAAAAAGTTGTCTTGTCGAGAGGTGGCAGGAAAGTCCAATTGAAGGGAAAACCAGTTGAAATGTTACGGAATGCCTCCGAAAAGATCGCTGAAAGGTTCGCAAGTTGGACAATCCATTCGAGCTTCCGGATGTCACAAATGTGAAGCACCGCCCATAGCTGGGTAGGCAGTCCCTGTCGCCCAATAACTGACTCGAGTGTGATGAAAAAGCTCTGTCGCTCGACTGATGGAACATTGAACCGTTCTTCGTTTGTGAGGTCAACAGTGCTGATCCGGTCTGGGAGGGCAGGCGGCGCCCTTCCGGTGAGAGGCAGGCCAGTCGGGTTTGACATTTTATCACGTGTGGTGCAGGAGCGAAAGAGATGAGCACCAGGGAAACAGAATTTATAACTTTCGCATTGTTTTTGATCACATTGTCAAGATTGTATGCGTTTTGTCGCATCCTCAAGATCGTGAACCGTTGCATACAGTCAAGATCGTCTCGTTTTGTCGCATCCTCAAGACCGTGAACCGTTTCATACAGTCAAGATCGTATGCGTTTTGTCGCATCCTCAAGACCGTGAACCGTTGCATACAGTCAAGATTGTCTCGTTTTGTCGCATCAAAAAACCTCCTCGAGGAAGGCGCACGTCTTCAGTATCCGCATTTCACCCCCGCCTGAGGAAAGCACACTATCTTGATTCCACTGTCTAGGGAAGGAGCCGGCGCCAAATGCGTGCCAGCTAGATACATTGGGAACTCGAGTATGCAGAAAAATCCGACCGTCGTTCGTCTCTAAATGGGTCATACATAACAAATGCATTGAGCTTCCTTATAGTCGTTTCATCCATTCTCGATCCCGAAGTTCCTGCATACGCTTCTCGGCCATACGTGCTCGCGGAGGCATTCCCACCGGAGGAGGTCTGATATGAGATGTGGAGGGTAGAGAGATAGAGGCACGCTCACGCTGGATAGCCTGAATGCGTCTGCGCCGGGCACTCCTAATCTCATCCGATAACTCCACAAGATCATCTATATCATCCTATTGCCGAACAGTCAGAATCCGAAATAACGGTTAGTTCGGGGGAAGGCATCATACAGGGGTATATCGTACCTAGGATTTCACCCACCAGGTGCATATTCATGACTTCGCTACCTACCTCCATCCATAAAGCGTCATATATACGATCTATCCCATTCTATCATGCATATTGGCCCTGAAACCTAGCAAGAAACGCCATAGTCAGGGGTATCAAATGGATCAAATAATGCCCATCGAGTAAAGATGTAACCACTCCAAAGCGTCCAGCATTCCCTCGAGACATCAATGCGACATCCAAGATAATCAAAAAATGAACAAGAAACCCGAACACCAAACAATAGATCAAGTACCCTCAAAACGCCCAAACCCCAATAGTCCCACCACCCTGTGTATACTCCTACTCCGACTCCTTCTTCGCCTCCCCCTCAACCTCATTACTCTTCTGCAACAAGAACTCGCCAAGCACACGGAGCGGATTCACAGGCCTGTAACCAAGAGACAACAAATATTAGCAATCCATACAGCAACAATATATATTCGCCATATCCCACTCACTGTTCTCGCGCAACAGACTTCATCCCGTCAAGCAGATACGGTACGACCTTCTCGTTGAGATAGACTCTTGCAGGTGCACCACCGGGTCGAACCTGGCCTGCGGGGATATTGCCCAGATCGCCTAGAGGTGTGCCGGAGTTGACGCCGTTTGTTTCGCCCATTGTGAACGGAGTAGATGTGGTGGAGGGGTTCGTGGGAGGTGGAGCTGAGAGGTCTGGTCTCCGTTGAATGGAAACGGGTTGATTGAGTGGGATCGCAAGGCGTAGCTTGTGGAAGGAAGATGTTGTCGCAACAAGAATTGTGGTGATTGCGGAGCGGAAGCTGTGGAGCTTGCCGTCGATCTCAAATCTGCTGGTCAAGGAGAGGGTTATGATACTCCTAGGGTTGGCTTTTTATAGGCCTATAGGCTATAGAAGGAAATTGGGACTCTAACTCTTTATACTGCAAGTCTCTCTTTAATTATTAAAATTGCTTTGCTTCCTTTCTTTTCCTTCGTTTGACCCTGCTTCTTGCTCGTATGCAAACAGGACAAACAGCTAAATGGGTTATATCCAACACGTGATCTCGTGTTTCCCTGTTCGCGAGACACGTCGATCGAGCCCGAGTTCAAAAAACCGGGAATTCGTCTCATTGGCAGTGACTGCCATGGATAACGAAAGACAATGTCACTGTTGAACTACTGGGACACGCAGCGCCCCACGAAACGCCGGCGAACCTTCGAGACTCCGAAAGCTAGCGATGCAGAGACAGAGATCAAACCGCCGCCGAAACCGAGTCCAAGTCCTGCAGTGGGGCAGACGCCCGCTCCAGACGATCTGGGATACTTACCCAGTAGCCAGACGGAACTTGAGACTTCGCTTCCTGCGATCAAAGTTGACGAGCACGCGATTGAGGAGTACGAGGCTTCGAGACATGAGGCTGAATTGGGATTACATGGGAGGCTGAGAGATGGGGTCTGGCAGAAAGGCAAAAGCTCTATCTATGTGGATGCTTTTAATCTGGCGCTGGAAACTGTGCTGGATGAGGAATCACATCTGTTCGACGAGGCGGAAATGGACATCTTTAGGCAGTGGCGGGAGCTGTCTTATGAATCACAGTATTTGTATGGGCTTTTCTTGTAAATTATGCTTTGATGGTTGATGGTTGATATTAACGTCTGAGCAGGTATGTTAGACTGTTCCTCCGCAAGACATCTGCCTGGCACCGTATCAACAAATTGAACTACTACTCCGATATCTCGGATCTGGACTCGGTGACGGAGGATCTGCAACGGAAACGCAGCCTGCCTGATTCAGAACTCGGAAATATCTTCAGATTCGCAGATGGGATAGAAGAGATCACAACGCTGGAAGAGGCTTCATCACTTCTATTACTCGACGAACTCAAGGTCTTCGCAAAGGACGCCAAAGTCCAGGGCAAGAGCAAGAAAGAGCTGCTGGCAGCTCTGCGCGAGGCAAGCCAGACCCAGAAAGGACTCAAAGACACAAACAACAGAGACAGCCATTTCACCCAGAAGATACTCGACTACACGGGCCCATGTATCCGCATCGCATCTGTACCTCGAGTCCTCTTCGAGCGAGTACACCTAGTCTTCTACCGCTCAACCGAGTGGACGGAAAACTCCCTCACGACAATCATCCTGGCTAAAATGTCCAAGAAGAAATTCCCCGGGTACATCGTCTGCCGCTCGAACTCCATCTTCGCATCCCGAGAAGCATTACTGGAATTCGAGTCCGCGATCCAAACCCAATTCGAAATAGACAACATCCTCGAATCCAACGGCCCGCCCACTACAGCCTCCCTCCAACATATCATCGACCTAGCGAACAAATGCCACCCAAGATGGCGAGAACTAGTGGAACAAGAACAAACAAAAGAAGACAGCATCTACGAAAGCGGCGAAGGAGCCTATCTCCGCCGCTTCTCGCCAGCTTGGGTACTAACCAGAATCATCCACAAAAGCCTCCATCCGCTCGGCCGCTTCAAGGAACATAAACGCGAGCACGAAGTGCTGGAAGAACTCCTCTCCCAGCGTCTCTTCCACGCTGCCCGGCGTGGCGCGTGGTACCAGCGCAAGGCGCTGCTGGAAGAACATTATATGTGGGCGTTGACGCCTGCAGATGGACGCAGTGAGGAAGCACGACGGAAGCTGTGGAAGCAGATTGCGTTGAAGACTTGCGAGACTGGATTGGAGGATCCCCTATGCCATTTAATTTATCATTATGATCTGCAGAAGCGGATTACGAAGCTGGAGAAGGCGCTGAGGATCGTCAAGCGCGAGCAGCATGATTTCGGTCATGTTATGCTTGGGAAACCGGATGAGCGGACGGTTGAGGGGATCAGAATTGAGACGGGAGATTCACCGAAGAAGGGGAAAGCGACGGTTTGGGTGGATGAGAGGGAAGGGGGCGAGTGTAGGGTTGAGAGTATGTGTTTGAGCTGGTATCGTGATCATGGATGGAAAGGGTTTCATTCTGAGGGTGGGATTGTTCGGACGTTGGTGAGTTTCAACTTTCTGGTTATTGCAGCAGAGCAGAACCCTGAACATATCCTCGCTAACAATGTACACAGTTCGGCTACCTCTTCTACGACATCCTATTCACATACGTCCCCAACGTCTTCCAAACAGCATTCCAAACCTGCCCCCTCGACCTACACACCGATGTCTTCTACCCATCCCGCGCATCAGAGATCAACCACCGCCTAGTCGAGATAACCAACGGCGAAGCCGAGAGGATCGTGCGTGAGATCCATGCCCGCGAGGGCGCAGCGCAGCCGTGCGCCGTTGGACTGGACTGGTCCTTTGATCTTAATGACCTGGTTGAGATCGTGCAGTGTTTCCGTGGCGAGGCGCTGGCTACTATCTGCAAGGTTATGGCGCAGGAGTATCAGCAGCGTGGGGGTGGGATTCCGGATCTGTTTTTGTGGAATTATGCGGAGAGGACGGTTATGTTTGTGGAGGTTAAGTCGGAGAATGATCGGCTGAGTGATACTCAAAGGCTTTGGATTCATATACTGGTGGGGGCGGGGGTTAGGGTTGAGCTTTGTAATGCTATTGCGAGGGAGGTTAGGGCGAGTGAATAGTTGCTTCCTTCTAGGAAGGGGGATAGGAAGTTTTGTGGAATATTGGTCTTTGAGGTGGACATATGCTTGTGATTATCTCTGGCTTGGTTTGATGCCTCTTTGGCTTTGTCACTTTATATCCACATAGATCCCGTCCATCTCTCATCTTTTTCTTGGTATTGTTCTCCGGCTAGACTTGCATACTCTGTTCTCTCCCCGACGGGGGGATGGGCAGCCTTTCGGGCCATTCCAGGAAAGTTCGCTGTGCCCTGTGGCGCAGTGCGATATGTTCCGGCGTCTTGTTCCTGCCGCATGTGCAGGAGCAATTCGCGTCCTCGTGCCTGAAGCGGCGGTGATACGCTTCAAAGTCCCCGTGCGTGGAGCGGATGGCAAGCCAGCGGTGTAAGACCGGTCGGGAGAGCTTGAGGTGATCCGTCTTACACCGCTGGCTTGCCATCCGCTCCACGCACGGGGACTTTGAAGCGTATCACCGCCGCCTCAGGCATAGGTCAACCCAGAACCTATATTGTTTGTCAGGATGGCGTTGCCAGATTTGGTCCCATCTACCGACATCCTGCTCCGATCATGTCGAGATTCTTTGAGCTCTGTGCAAATGGACTCTCGCTGCGGTCTGGCAGTGTCTGCGATGAATTAATCTGGCAAAGACATCATTCTGACCAACACGATCTACCTGCCAGATTTCAACATCAACCTGCTCTCGCAATCCAGCCTCGCAGATAAAGGGATATCTGCTGAGTATGCGAAGCAAGGACCCAATTTTGTGCAATCGTGAGGGCAGCATCTGTCAGACTCGGATATCCTGTGGAGGAAAGAGTCCTGAGTCTGCAACAAGTGACAAGACACACACTTAATGGTAATCGACAAAGAAGAGAGAAAATCGGGGGAATGCTGAAGTTCTGCTACAGAGGAAGAAGATGTGAGATGAAAGAGATTGATTCAGCTGGAAAATAGATGGTAGAGACTGTCTATTTATGTTCAGGGCGGGGTCATGCAAGGATGGTCCGACATGTCACATCGGATGCATGATCGAATGGGAACTAAGATGGAGAGAGCCTAGAGGTAGGTTAAACGAGAGAGATGTCCGATCAATGTCACAACAAAGGCGGTAAAAGCCTACCAGTCAATCATCGGAGCACTGAACTACGCTGGGAGCCTGGGACAGTGTCGAGACCTGACCTTGCTCACTGAGTATGCTATCTCAGTCTAACAAACGACATAGCACACGACAAGTCTACGACCAAACAATCTAGAGCATCATGAACATGGTATCAAATAATCGTAATCCTTTTTTTGTATCTAGCAGAAGATAAACCCCCAGATACGACGATCACGACGATCCGATTGGTTTCCTCCGTCAACCACACGTCCTCCCGAAAAACGCTTATGCGACAAGGGTGGAGGCAGTGGCGCTCTCGTAGCGCCAGGTGGGGGGCAGGACACCGACGGTCTTGTAGTAGCGGGACAGACGGTGAATGCGGGACTCGATCAGAATGAGGCGGAACTTGGAGTCCTTGTCCTTGCGGTTACGCTCAAGGTGCTTGCGGACAGCGACGGCCTGCATAATGTATCGTTAGCTCAATCTGCAACGGGGAAATCGAGAAAGGGAGAAAAAAAGATTTTTTACCTTCTTGATCAGGAAGTAAAGGTCCTCGGGGAGTTCGGGAGCGAGGCCTGTATTCCAATATCTCTCTGTCAGTCTAGATGTTCTGAAACCAAGCAGAGGCTTAATTGCTGGTGCATTTCTGCGACCAGTTGTCGGGGAGAGAGTCGGACAATTGCGCTTCCAAACTGAACGGTTCTTTTACCGAACCAGCACAAGTCTTTCCACGCTATTGTTCGCTCTTTTTCACCCGACGGAAGAAATTATGCGGGCGGAGGGAGTCGTACCGCTGGACTTCAAGATACGGAGGATCTTGTTACCTGCGCAAAAAAATGTCAGCATATTTCGATTCCTCGAATTTTTCATGTCGCATTTTCCAGAATTCCATACCAGTAACAATCTTGACCTGGGCAACACCGTGGGAGTCACGGAGGACAACACCGATCTGGGAAGGAGTGGCACCCTTCTTGGCCAGCTTGCAGATGTGGTCAACAACCTGGTCGGGGGTGGTCTTGAGCCACGCAGGAGGAGCGCGAGAGTAGGGGAGCGCGGAGGCGGCAATGCCCTTGCCCTTGCTGTGAAGACGACCCATTTTGATTTGGTGATGTGTCCGGAGGAAATCTGGTCGGTTGTCGGCGTGGATGAAAGATCGAAATTCAATGGAAGTGTGGACGGGAAGGATGGGGTCTGTGTGGGGTCACGTGATGAACTTCGCTTATTTCTTTTCTTTGGGAAAACTTCACTTCCATTCCTTTTTATTTCCCTTCCAACTTCAACAACCAACGATCTTGATTCCGCACTCACGTTGGCTGGAATTAATGTTTTCGGGTTCAACTTGAGGGCAAGATCATCTTTACGTCGACTCAACTCCGTGCCCTAGTCACCGTCTATCAGGTCAGTACTATCTCTCTTTGCTCGACATTCGTTTTTCCCCTTTCGACATGATGATACAACGCATTTGTTTATACTTTATTTTCTGGTACCTCTTATGTCAGAGTAGGTGTTTTCGGACACTTGCTCGATGATCTACCTGGACTTCTGATCACTTTATTCCCACTTCAAGACTTGTGTTATGAGTTGCTCGACCGTTATACTGACTACGGTTATAGACATCGATCGTTATATAGCAAGATTACTGAATACAAACATGTTACAATTGGACCTGAATCGCACAATAGTACCGCCCAGTTTTGAGGGCATATCACTTTGTTCCTTCGTACTGTACAGATATCTCCATGCGATATGCCAGTCGCAACATAGTCATATATCTAAAGGCTCAGCGTCGTAGTCGCTTGGACATTCTCCGTGTCTCTGTTGTTTGAGCCACAGGAACAATTTCTTCCTTTCGTCTCTTGCCGTTGATTTTCTTGACATCGTCCATGTCCTCAATCTTAACCTTGTCCTCAAGATCCTCGGGTATTTTCAAAGCCACACCAGTTGTCACTTTCGTCTCAATCTTGATAGCAGACTCTTCATCCTTGACTTTCACGTCAACTTTCTTAGTCGCCGCAAGCTTGTCTGCAAAGGTACGCAGGTCCGCCGTGAAGAGCACGCTATGAGCCCATCCAGCCTCCTTACCCCAAAGCTTGCGGAAGTGATTCGCAACAGCGTCATAAGTAGTCTTGTTCAAATTCTTGTTGGAGGTTTTTCCAAATCGATAGTCTCGCTGCGCAATCTGCCACACTGTGAACAGTTAGAGATAGACCGCCGACCCAATGTAGAAAACTCACCATGTGTATCCACCGGCACAGACTCTCCCCAACCTAACCCCATTAGACAAACACAGTCTGATACCTTTGGCCCCACCCCCTGCAGCTCGAGGAGCTTTTCATGAGCTTCGCGGTATCCATCCCGACCCTCCGGTTTCATCTCACCGGTAGGTTTCGGATTCACGCCAAATGGCGGACACTCGGGGTTGCTCAGAGCATCTAGCCAGCTCTTCTCTCGGTTGGATACCATGACTGCTGTTTGATATATGTACTTGGCCCGGTAGCCAAATCCTAAATTGCGAAGATTGCCCTCCACGTCCTTGGTAGCCAAGGCATCCGGGGGAGGGAAATCATGGTATGCACGGCCATCGATTGTTGCTACTGGCTTTCCATAATGTATGCATAGTTTCTCGACCATCTGTGAGATCCGTGCAATGTTGTTGTTGCTGCTGCAGATGAATGATACCAGTGCCTCCCAGGCATCTTGGCGGAGAATGCGGATTCCGGTAAACTGCGCAGCCTTTTTCTTGAAATTGGGGTCTTGTGAAGACCATTGTGCATATAATTCGGTCAAATTGGGTGTCAGGTTGAAGTAATGTTTGATAATGCGGACGAAATGGTCATTGGAGGTTTGTGTGGATGTATCCGAAGCAGACACAGATCGGTAGTATAGGTAGTTCGAGTCTTGCTTCAGTGATAGGAGATTGCCATAAAGGACACATCGCCATTCTTCACTCTCAGGGAGGTGCTGCCATCTAAGAAAGATCAGTCTGTCTGTCTTGCGATCTGAATCCCCGCCAACATACCTAAATGACTGGCCACATCTAAGGGTCGTGTTAATACAAAGCTCACCCAGACTTATAGGGAGCTTCTGCCACTCCGATAAAGCACTGGAAATCATTTTCAATAGCAAAGAGAAGCAATTGAAACTGAAACAGCCGGAGTCGATATCTCCTTATTTTGCCGGCTTTGAAAGTGAGAGTTGGGCGGTGATCGATGCCACCGCCTGCAGCTCCGGGTCAAGTTTTCCCCTTCACTGGCTACGAAGCTTCATTTTCCATCCAAGCTCAACATGAACGGTGATACGTACACATCCAGGGGTAAGAGTTCCTGCCAGCGCTCTTCATTTACATGCTAATTCTCTTTAGACTCGGGACGATCCCGCGATTACTTCGTAAGTTACCAGCTCAAGCCTGATCGCAACCTGGCCACTAACCCTAAATTTAGCGCGACGAGCGACGAGACCGCGACCGAGGCGACAGACCCGAACGAGCCGAACGTGGATCGGACCGTGGAGCTGAACGGGGCGACCGTCCTGACCGTGGAGAGAGACGCCGCTCCCGCTCACCTCACCATGGATCCCGAGGCGACTCCCGTCGTGAGCGCGAGGTGAACTCCTACTCCAGCAGCCGTGACTACCGTGCCCGCGAGCGCGAAGACCGCTACTCCGGCGGCCGCCGTGACGATCGAGAGTGGGACCGCGGCAACCGTGCGGAACGGGGTGATCGTGCCGAGCGTGGTGGTGACCGTGGTGACCGTGGTGACCGCCGACGACGCGATGTAGAGGACAGACCCCGTCGTGACTTGTTTGATGACCGACGGGGTGGTCGTGGTGGTGGTGATCGGGGCGACCGGGCTGATCGTGGTGACCGAGACCGCGAGAGACGAGAGCGAGAGCGCAAGCGCAGCGCTACGCCCCCGCGGCGCAAGGAACCCACTCCCGATCTCACAGATGTGCCTTCTGTGTTGACACGCAAACGCCGCTTGACGCAATGGGATATCAAGCCTCCTGGTTACGAGAATGTCACGGCTGAACAAGCAAAGATCTCAGGTATGTATTTCGAAGATTATGAGTTAAGGCACATTATCTAACCATTGTCCAGGGATGTTCCCTCTTCCCGGAGCTCCTCGTCAGCAGCCGATGGATCCAAGCCGCATGAAGGACTTCCTGAACCCGCCCACTGGTGATAGCGAAAACGCCGCTCTTAAGCCTTCGAACTCCCGCCAGGCAAAGCGCCTGTTCGCTTACAACCTCCCTCCCGGTGTCTCGAGCGAGACCGTCATCGCTTTCTTCAACCTCCAGCTGAACGGTCTCAATGTTGTGCGCAGCGCCGACCCTTGCATCTCAGCCCAGATCTCGCAGGATAAAACCTTCGCACTCCTGGAGTTCAAGGAGCCAAACGACGCCACAGTCGCATTGGCCTTCGACGGTATCAGCATGCCAGAGAGCGGAGAAAAGGGCCTCGAAGTCCGCCGACCAAAGGATTACATCGTCCCCAACGGCAGCGCAGACCAGCCAGCCCAGGAAGGCGTCGTGCTCAGCGAGGTGCCAGACTCACCTAACAAAATCTGCGTCTCCAACATCCCCACCTACATCCCCGAAGACCCCGTCACAATGCTCCTCAAGTCCTTCGGCGAACTCAAATCATTCGTCCTAGTCAAAGACGCATCTACAGAAGAGTCTCGCGGAATCGCTTTCTGCGAATACGCCGACCCCGCCGCAACACCCATCGCCGTCGAAGGTCTAAACGGCATGGAACTCGGCGATCGCCACCTCAAAGTCGTCCGCGCCAGCATCGGTATTACCCAAGCTTCCGGTCTGGACATGGGCGTCAACGCTATGCAAATGTTCGCCAAAACCACTTCCCAGGATCTCGAAACTACCCCGGTTCTCCAGCTCCTCAACATGGTCACACTGGACGAACTCCTCAGTGATGAGGATTACGAGGAAATCCTCGAAGATGTCAGCGAGGAGTGTGCTAAGTTCGGTAACTTGCTTGGTATTAAGATCCCTCGTCGTGGTCACGGTGCTGGGAAAATTTACATTAAGTATGATACGGCTGAGGCGGCTACTAATGCTCTCAAGGCGTTGGCTGGTCGTAAGTTCTCGGATCGGACGGTTGTTGCTTCGTACTTTGGTGTTGAGAATTTCGATACTGAGGCTTGGTGAGCATATAGTTAATTTGCTGCTTCCTTTTTATGTTTATTTCCTTTGATGCAGGCGTGTTTCTTCTACTTTCTTTTTCTTTATGGGACCAGTCGCTTTTGAAGCAGGTCTCTTGAATGTGTATCATAGCAAAAATGCTCACATCATACTCGGGCCATCCAGTCTTGTCTTTACAGACCGGGAGTAAATCTTAGGGCTGCTTAGGAACTGCGTTGTAATGTTGGTAGTTCGGTGTACTGCAGATATCTCTATGGATCGTAGGGTTGCTACATGTACTTGGTCAGTCCATGCTATACTGTGTAGGTTATAACTGATGCGACTACTGATCAAGTGCCACTACTCCCCTATATAGGGTATTTATATATTATCTACTCCGTACTGCCTACGAAAGTACATCAACATAAAGCTGAAGCGCTGAATTGACTAACACATGGACAGGCGGCGAACAACCAAAAGTCCCAAAAATAAGGAGAAAAAAAGAACGAAATGAGCGGGTAATAGGGCACACAAGAAAGCGGCAAGACAAGATATGGCGTAGCAAAAAGTACATCACAAGAAGTGAAAGGTCCCAGGCTGACTGCAGGATCGTATTATCAATCAATCGGTAAGAAAAACCATTTTTCGGTGCGTGGGCCCCATCCGGTGAGAAAGCAGTTGCGTTATGGGACGGTAAGGGAGTGTGGGAGTGACAAGTGTAAGGAAAATATGAGAACGAGAGTTGGCGACAAAATATGCCGGAAAGTATAGGCAGAGGCAAAAAAGCAATGGACATGGACATTAGCGAAGCGAGAAACCCTTTCGCTTGCCCTTCTCTTCGATGGGACGGCCGGTCTCGAGGCGGCCCTTTTTCTCCTCGAGTTCGGCGCGCTGGCGATCTAGTTGATCCTTCATCTCGCGATGTCTGGCGTAGAGTTCGTCTTCGCTCTGCTTAAGCTTGCTCTCTTTTTCGGCGACCTTCTGCTGGAAGACCATCTTCATTTCGGCTTCCATCTTGGCCAGCTTCTGCTCGTGGAGAGCGCGCTCCTCCTCCTGCTTGACGGCAGGGTTGACCTCCTTGAAGACGCTGGGGTCCTGAGCAACACCCATCAGGGTGAGCTTGTCGGAACGGTAGTTCTCGTACAAGAAGTTGTTGGTGTGCTCCTTGAGCTCCTCCATGTGGGTGCGGATCAACATCTGGCGCAGCTTGACAAAGTCGCAGTGCTCTTCGTTGTCGACCTCAATGATACCCCAGGGGTAGCTACGGCCGCGGACGCGACGACCGTCAGCAGTGGTGACCTCGGAGTTGGCACCGACAACGGCGAAAGGAACCTTGGACATAATCTCCTGGTTCTCGGCAATGGTCTCCTCGTCGTCAAGCTCGTAGCGGGGCCCCTCGAAGATCTGGATGGAGTGGGCTTCGATATCGGCAAGAATCTAGGGAAGTCAGCAAGTAATTCAAAGTCTATCACACGGTATAGAAACATACACGCTGCTTGAACAGGGCAACCTCCTCGTCAGTCAAGGTATCAGCCTTGGCAATAACGGGGATCAGGTTGACCTTGGTGTGCAGGCGGCGCATCACCTCAATATCCAGGGGCTTCAGGGAGTGGCCGGTGGGCTGGATGAAGTAGACACAGGCATGAATGCGGTTATCGACAATGTTGCTGCGGTTGACCTTGTTCTCGGCCTCGAGGTATGTGTCGTAGCGCTGCTCAATGTTCTCGACAATTGGGCGCCAGGAGTCATCGTTGTTGACAAAGTCACCGAATCCGGGGGTATCAATCACGCTCAGACGGAGACGGACGCCGTTCTCCTCAATATCGGCACTGGTCGACTGGATAGAGACGGTCTTGGGGATGATGTCGGCGTTGGGACCGGTTCGCTCCTTGGGCGGGTAAAGGGAGGTGTTGAACAGGGTGTTCACGAGAGTGGACTTTCCGAGACCAGATTCACCTGATAAATATGAGTATCGTTTGTTGGATATCTCCGTGTGACGACTTACCGACAACCATAACATTGAAGTTGAAGCCCTTGCGGACACTCTTGCGGTGCCACTGGTTGGGCAGGTTGGCGAAGCCGACGTAGCCAGTCAACTTGCGGCGGACGACGTTCTTCATGTCGGTGGCAGCCTGAGCCGCGGCCTTGGGGTCGCGGGAAGTGACGGTCTGGGCAATTCCGGAACCCATAGGGTTGCTGCGCTCGACGAAGGGCGATTCGGAGTTCGGGGTGAGAGAGTCCCGAGACGCGACGGGCGAGCTAGTCGCAGGGGAGGAAGCTTTGAACAGAAATTAGCTTCTGTGTTTGTATTTGTGGAGCAATGTTGATATTCCGAGATTGTATCTCCTATTTCACGGGGAGCTTACACATTGCGAAAGTTGGAAGGGTTCAGATACTGTAAACTGCGAATTAAGACCCTCTAGACGATGAATGCTGTCAGCCGTGTATTCTAATCTTCAGTGGGGTCGAATTGTCGCGATAGGAGCAAAAAAAAAATGTCGGGGGAGAGGAGAATGTACCTGGAAATGTAAGTCAGGTGGAAAAGGGGGGGGGGGGAGTCAAATAAGCAGAAGCGAGGGACCAGAAGAAGAAGATGAAATCAACACAAAAGGGAGAAATGAAAAGAGAGAATTGGAAGAGATGAAGAGAAGGAGGTTGGCTGCCAGTCTGGGAAAGAAAGGGGGGGAAGAAGAGAGAGGTGACGGGGGCCCAGCTATTCTGGAGTTGGTTTGGATCGACCCGCGTCGAACACCTCTTAAGTACTGTGTACTCCGTACTATGAAAGTCATATCTATCATATTCCTATATTTCGCTTATTCTCTTATTCTCTTGCTCTCTTCTTTTCGTCTGTTACTGCTATTCTGCTCTACCCCATGACGCGCGAATTCCACTTGGGGGGTTTCAGCTTGTTTTTTGCATACTTCGCAATAGAAAGCAATTCTATTCTATAGTATAAAAGTATATATCCAGCGAGCTGAGAATGAACCAGCATATAAGTCTTAGCTATATAGGCAATAGACAGGCAACTTATGTGTCAGTGACTCCCAAGTACTCCGTAGTTGCCAGATGTTCGGTTCTCCTGAGATCAGGAGATCAGGGGTTACTTACCCCCAGAATAACGGGCCAATCACCGTTCACGTGAGCTCCACTATCAGGTACATCATGACATGTAGCTACGAAGTACAAGTAGGTAACTATGTTGTTGGTATATGATAGAGCTCTTTCAATAATACATTAGAAAAGATAAAGAGATATTCCTAGCTATACACTTAATACTTATTTGCTCGTCTTGCTCTTCTTCGCTGGACGCTCATCCTCCTTATCGCCCTCCGCATCCGATGCGTCGGCCATTTCCTCATCGCTGTCACCACTGCTCTCGTGATCTGAGTCAAACTCCTCGGCCACATCGGATTCCGAAGAACCGGCAAAGTCTTCATCAACAGACGACTCATCTTCATCGGCAGACCCACGATCAGGTCGTGCCTCGTCGTCACTGGAGCCCATAGCATCATTGTCAAGAGCGGCAGCAATAAGTCCAGCAGCCTAGGAAAAACGATGAGCATCGGTGTAAGCAACACTGAAGAAAGATTACATACCTCTTCGGCCATCTCGTTCTTGAATCGAATGCTCTTAGACTTGAAGAAGTCTTCGAGGGATTTTTGCTCCTCACTGCTCACGTTAGAAAATGTACTCAGGGAACGAACGGCGTATAAGAACCCACCGGTTGATGTTGCTGAATTGGTGCTCTCCCAAGCCACCTTTCAGGCTGACAGTGATATCAAAGGTTCGGCTGGCAGATACGGCGCCTCCGACACGGGACATAGTGACGATCGCAATGTTCTCCATTTGGATGTAGGTCGCGGGTTTAGGCACAAACATAAGGCTCTTGTCCAAGAAGTACAAAAGACCCTCGTTGGCCTTGATGGAGCACTTGACGCCATGATGGCCGTGGTGGCTAAGAGCAAATTAGCAATGCGTATCTCAAATGCTGCCATGATATGCTGGTAGCGACTGACCTGACGAAGTCCTTGGAAGGCATAATGACTTTCTTCCCCGACAGGCCACGGAAAACCTTGGTCACCACTTGGTGAATTGGCTCGTCGTACCGCGCGTTCAACTTATCCTTGTACTGGCTCTCCAAGATTTCACTAAAGTTCTGTTAGCATGCAAAGTTGACAAACAGAAGCAAAGAGACTGACGGTGTCATGTTCAACTCAAGGCTAATCTCCTCGTCCAGCTTCAACTGCATGACCAGGAAAGGATAACGTGTTTGGCCCTGTCGCAGGGGCGGATCAAGACCGAGCACAATAAGTGTGTGGGTATCGTCATTCTTGGGGAGAAGGAAGAATTTCTTAATGGCCTGGTACTGAATCTTGTAGTCGTATGTTTTTCCGCGCAACCGGAAGGACGATTCGTACATGTCGATGTCGAAGCGACCTCTGGGCGTGAGGTGCAGAACATCCAAGAAAGTAGCAAAGGTATCACCGGCGACGTCTCCAATCTCGGCCTTGTCCATAAGGGTCTCGTAGAAAAGGTTGGCCGCGTTCTGTTCCTCGGCATCTTCCTCGTTCTCTTCTTCGTCGCCTTCGGCGCCCTCCGCTTTCTCCTTCTTCAGGGCCGTCCCGGGAATGTAGAATCGCATCTCGACTAGCTCGTCTGGGCCTGCTGCAGCCTTGCGGCCGCGGTTCTTTGTGCTTCCGGGCTTCACAGCGACATCCTTTGCGTCGGCGGGGAGGGCGAATTCAACGGCGACCTCATTTCTTCCAGCGAGGTTGGTGTTTGAGATTTCGGAATAAGGGACTTCGAAGGCGGGTCGATTTTGGACGTTGAAGGCGAGCTCTGCCTTTGTGAATTCTGCTTTTCCCCAGTTCCATCCTCGCAGAGCGTGCTCGCGGGTCTCCACGTTAATTCCGTACCAGATCTTGAAGGCCTTGCTTAGTCGCTCAAAGTCCTTTTTGGTGGTTAGTCGGCAAGTCAATGGTCACAGCATGGTCGAAGGGGCATACCTCCTGATCAAATCCATCCAGCTGGATCACTCCAGATGATCGCGACAGAATCTTCAGCTCAAAGCCTTTGGCAGCGCGACTCCACTGGGCCGCGCCGATGTTACTGCTGTCAAGTGTGAAGGTATCACCGCCGCCAGATGGACGCCAGCCCAGACCACTCTCAGCCAGCTTGCATTTTCCAGGCTGTTTTGAGAGGTCTAGGTAAATGTTGTCGAAGCTCTCCCTGTACGATGGTCAGTTCTGGACAGGAGATCCTTGCAAAGAATCTTACATGACGGAGGTTGAAGATCTAAATCGAGACAGATGAGAGTATGCAGAGATCGGATATTCAATATGCCTGGGGAAGATATGAGAAAGGTGGGTGCGAGATGAGGATGAGCTGAGTTGAAAGCCTTAAGATTTCGGTTTCTGGAGTTCGCGTTGCGGCGCGCCGCAGGGAGGCCACTTTCGCTAGAAAGGGCTTAGCGTTGCTGCCTGAGGCCACGAAGAGTCTGCATCTATCAACCACCGTCTCTTCTCTTCCATCTTCGCTCTTTTCATGTTGTATGTCAGTCCATTGTGATCCTCTAGGGCTTAACTTGAGATTGAAGTCAGGCTCTTCACACTTGTTGGACTAGAAACACTGTGATTATAGAGTGAAGTGCCTAAGAGATGTTGGGGAATATCGCTGGTGCTTGGATGTAGTATGCCCACCTGAAGAAAGACGCCTACATAGTCGCTGTGTACCTATGTAGCCCTACAATCAAGCTTGGGAGTCGACTCTAGATTCCATGGAGGTGACGTCCAGATCTCAACCATTAGATAATGACCTTATCAATTGTCACAAAGTTGTTTGTTTAGATATTGGCTGCATCTGAGACAACTTGCAGGCCTTGCAGATATGTCAGACCAGATGAAACAAGCGCAACATTTCCGCATTATATACACAGCAACATAGCATTATGAGGCATCACGAGCACGAACATGGTCTCCCTTGGACGAGTTATTGTACCTTACACTATGTTTTGTGCAAAAGTGCAGCACTGAAGAGGTGATGTATGAAGCAAGTCTGCAAAAAAACCAGACATTTAACCCCATTGGAGTACTTAGTTAACTATGTGCGACATCTAATGCATAACTAGAGAAATGCTAGAAACGGCCTACTTCGTAGGCAATTCTATATTTACGACGCGGTACTTAAGCGAAATGGATCGCGGGGCTCTGGACCTTCATGCTGCCACAGCTCCACTCAGCGATTTAGCTCGACGTTGGGTTACGATCGATAAATTACGGTGTATTTGCAGCTGTCAAATACTTATAACTACATAGTTAGAGGCAGATGAACGGACATGACTAATGGAGCTCATCATGAGTAACTAACTAGAGTGGAAGAGAATAATAAACAAAAAAAGTACGTACAAGCATAACTAAATGACCCTACGCAGTAACTACACAGTCAAATAAGACTGGGATATGACTTCACAGGGGACAAGGGCAGTGCTAATCTCCTGTTTTGGTCAATACCGGGCAAATTAGTGTTAGGAGAGTAGATCATCATTCTACCGAGTCGCCCTTGTCCTAGTCAAATTATCGAGATCAGGCTTATATCGCAAATATGAGCTAGTTGGATGGGACAAACAACTCAGCATCCTTGATCAATATTGACTAATTATTGCTTCTTTCTCAACGTCTTCTACATGTTGACAGGGATATCCAGACCTTCGATATCAGTCCTACGGTCCGGAGGTCCCCACTCTTCAGACGGGAAGCCGGTGCCCCGTCATTATCATTGGTTGGCTGTGCATCAGCTAGTGCATTAGCGTGGGGCCTTTGTATTTTCAAGTTGAGGAGTTCTGTATATTTGCGTATTTGTCGTAACGCCATTTCAAGCAAAAACGAAACTGGGTCTTCCCCTGGCTTCTCTCTCAAGGCTTCATCTTCATATCCAGCCATTCGTTGATTTCTCAAATGCAGTGAGACTTCGGTCTCTAGCATCATTCATTCATTTACATTCTTTCGTTGCTAAAATCGCTTTTTTTCTACGCCCACATTCTTTACACGTTCTTTGCTCTTCCACGCGTTGCGGCCTGACGGCCTCCTGAATCCCTTAGACAGCATAACCCTGTCTAGCTTTCCCACACTCGCTTCAGCCAATTCAACTGGCAAACGACACTTTTCTTGCCAGTCGTCGCTCCCACGACAATGAGGTTGTCTTCATTGCTTGGGCCCGCGACGGCCGGCTGGCCTTCGCTTCTTGCTCTCTTACCGACTCTCCACGCCCTGTCATTCGAGTCAGTCTCTGTTCCGGAACTGGATCTGACCTCGCTGGGACGGGTTTCAATCACTGGTGATTTCGACGGCGTCTCTCTTTACCAGTACAAGGGACAGACCGAATCAATTTCCACAAATGGCACTCAAGCTCTCTTAACCCCGCTCCCGAACGGCATCCTGACCAACCTTTCGTCCTCCGATGCGCAAATAATGGCAATGTGCCCCTTTACCAAAAAAGATGGAACTTTTGCAGGGATATTTGTCGGTGGCAACTTCACCAGCCTGGGTGGAGTCGATTCGCCAGGTGCTGCTCTGTTTAACCCGAATACCAGAAAGGTTACTCCCTTGCCAGGCCTTTCGGGCACGGTAGCAGCCGTGTCTTGCGATGGGGAGAATGATCGTGTCTATGTTGGAGGGAAATTCTCATACGATAACACGACGAATGCTGTTGCCTGGACGCCTGGCGAGGGTTGGAAGGAACTGCCGTTCAATGGCTTGAATGGCCCAGTCAGCTCGATCTTGAAGGCCGACAATGGCCATATCATCTTCGGAGGATCCTTCGATGCCCTGGGAAACAAGGCCAGCTCGAAAAACGAGAGACAAGTCCTTAACCTTCAAAATGCGACCGTCACGTCCGATGCAGACAGCCCTCTGGATGGTTACTCTGACCCTCGTAACATCATCTGTTCAACAAGCGGAGAGGCTGCCCAAGGAAGCACCTACCTTCTTCATGACTATGCGCCGGGATTTTGGAGAGCAGACCTCGGATTTGACTTCTTCCCGACCAAAATTCGTCTTTACAACACTCATTTGGATGGACGCGGCACTAAGGCCTTTTTGCTCCGAGCACTCCCTGATAACGGTATCATGAATCTAACTTACACCGACGAGTCAGGCAAGAAGGCCAGTTGTGAGCAGCACTGCCCGCTTTCTAGCGATCCCAGTGAGAAGTACCGGGAATTCACCATGGTCAATCCCGTCGGTATGCGGGGACTTCAGATCGAAATCCTTGATTGGTACGGACAAGGAGCTGGCTTGAATGGCATTGAGATCTTCCAGGATCAAATCTTGACATACGCTATCGATCAATACAATGAACCGACTTGCGCCGGCATCGAATACCCCGCCAAGTCATCACACACCGGCCCATGGACCATCGAGGACGGCTATATCTCTGCAAAGGTGACTGACTCCGATGCCTCAACCACAGCCGTGACTTTCGAACCGGATCTCAAGAAATCTGGCATCTACAATATCAAAGTATACACGCCCGGCTGCGTCCAGGATAACACTTGTGACTCACGGGGCACTGTCAATGTCACGGCCATCCTTTCGAATGACTCTGACGCTGAGCACTCTGTTTCGTCACTTGTCGCCCAAACCAATAACGATGATAAGTATGATACAGTTTATACTGGTTACATTGACGCCAACAGTGACTCCTTCCGACCCCAGGTTACTCTGCGTGCCAAGGACGGTCAAGGAGATCTCACCATTGTGGCCTCGCGTGTCCGCTTTCAATTGCTGTCTAGCACTGGTGGTCTCAATGGACTCTTCGACTATGATCCAACTTCCGCCTCTAAGACCACGGATCTCACAAAGTCCGACATCAACAAAGCGGGGACTTCATTGAATCACAATGCCACAATCTCCACAATGAAGGAGCATGATGATGTGATCTATGTTGCGGGCAATTTCTCCCATCACGAGATTCACAACATTGCGTCGATTAAGGAGGGCGATGTCACAGCAATGCCCGGCTCTGGCTTGAACTCTCCAGTTTTGGCAATGGCCATCCTTGACGATGTCCTGTACGTTGGAGGTCATTTCACCGACACATCTGATGGAGGTGCGGATGGTCTCGAACATGTTGCAGCATACTCACTTTCTTCCAAGAAGTGGTCGACCCTGGGGGCAGGACTTAACGGTCCTGTCAACTCAATCTGGCCCATGGAACTAAACGTATCATCTGCTATCAACGAGACCATCGTCGCAGTGAGCGGAGACTTTGATCAGATCGTTGCATCCGACGGGAAACCAGCAGTATCTGTTGCTGGTTTTGCCATCTGGGTCCCCTCCCACGAGGACTGGCTCCAGAAGCTCAATATCACACAGATGCAGTTTGGTGGTCAGCTGTCGACCGTGGCTTCGCACAACAACACACTCATAATGGCCGGTAACCTTGCCACCAATGGTATCACCGCGGGTGGTGCGGTTTCCCTAATAGACGCCGATGATCTGCAACTCATTCCTCTGTCAATGAAGGTCAACCACAAGAACCCGAGCACCGGCCTACTCACCGGTGCCTACGATACTGAATCGGACCGTAACCTCACTATCTACGGTGGTCACTTCGCAGCCGTTGGCAGCAATGGATCGATGATTACGAATATTGCTATCCTAAACGGTACCGACGAGACCATCTCAGGTCTGCCGCAAGGTGTTGACAGTAACGCAACAATTGTGTCAATGCTCGTACACAACGACACCCTCTACGCCGGTGGTAACATCACCGGCACAATTGGCCATGCGACACTGGGTGGCCTGATAGTCTTTGACCTGAACGAGAATGAGTTCTCAAAGTCCCAACCGAAATTTTCTGGCCCAGACGTTGCAGTCAATGCTATCGTCAATCGACCGGGCTCATCTGATGTCTACTTCGGAGGAAACTTTGAGGGTGTCGGACAGTTCCCGTGTCAAACTGTTTGTTACATGGATTCCACCACCGGCGACTGGACTCGGCCCGGCACGTCCCTAAGTGGCACCGTCATCGAACTCAAATGGACGAGTCAACACCGATTGATGGCTATTGGTGACCTCCAGATCGGTGGCAAGCAGGCTTCGATTGCCACCTACAGTGTGAAATCGGACAAATGGACCGCTTTCTCAGGCGCATCCCAGTCGGACATCCCCGGAAATGTCACTGCGTTCACTCCCGCTAGTGAAGACACTTCGAAGTTCTGGCTCGCAGGTACCGCCGCCAATGGCTCGGCCTTCTTCATGAGCTACGATGGCTCCAACTTCGAATCGCCTGCAAATCTATTCTCCGAGGGCACGGTCATTCGTGGCCTAGAAGTTCTTCCTGTTCGCCAGGATCATGACGAGGCCGATTTGTTGCGTAACGACCAGACTTTGTTGATCTTGGGTTCCCTTGTGATCCCTGAGTTTGGGCACGCATCTGCGGCGCTCTACAACGGAACTGATGTCACACCCTTCATCCTTTCCCAGCACGCCAATGGCCAACCAGGCAGCATGTCAATGTTCATCTCCGAGAACAAGAACACCTACACCAAAAAGACAAAACATCACTCCAATGGCATCGCAGTCTTGGTAGCCTTCTGCTGTGCTCTTGGCTCCGTCTTCCTCATTGTCCTCGCAGGTGTCATCCTGAATAAGGTGCAACGCCGCCGCCAGGGCTATGCAGCGGCTCCCCAAACATTTGGCACTGACCGACCCTCCGACATGCAGCGCCTGCCTCCCGAGTACCTGTTCAACTCCTTGGGCCAGACCAACCCCACTGCCCCTGCCATTTAATGCCCCCTTTTGCTCCAAAACACTTCACACCTCTGACTTGCTTCGAGGCTGGCGTTTTCGTTTTGTTTTTTTTATTGAAGGCAACGTTGCTATACCCAGCTGTCTAATGTTTGTTGTTTCGTCCCTATTTCTCGCGCCGGCCATATCGCGATTTACTTTCTTCATATTCTGTTTCCTTTGGCCCCTGGCACATGTGGCCGATACAATCTCCGAAATCTCCCATGTTAATATGTTTGTGTGTTGTGTATCATATGCTTTTCAGCGATCTCTTTGTTGAGTGGAATCGTGTGGGAGGTTGGAGACGAGTAGATAGCCACGCTTTGTTCGTGGGAACGACATTAATACAATACCCTTTGCTGATGGAAGGCTCGTATATGTAAGTACACTGTACAACGAAACTCTGCATACATGTAGACCTCTACTCCTTAAATTGTCGACACCTCAACATGATGCTCACGAGCAGACGAATATTCAACTGATAACTGCTCAACGAACACTGTAGTAACCTTCACCGTATGTACATACGTCCTGGCATATTCTGGTCCGCAAGCTGAACCTTGGGCGATTAACCGGAGGCTTCCGACATCTCCGGGCGTGATTAATTATTCAAATAGAACTACCCAGTTACTCAACCTCCAAGTTTGAGGAACCGATGATCCATCAGTTCACGAGCTGTCTTCCTCTCCTCCGGGAGCCAAGTGAGCATTTGCCGAACAAAGGATAAAAATGCCTCTTTATCTTCCCGTTGGAGGAATGGGATTGTATTCTCTAAGCTTCGAGACGGAATCAACTCGTTATGGCGGAATTCACCTAGGCTAGTCAGCACACCAGGTATCGACATATGTAATAGTTGGTCAACCACCTTCTGCATCAAAGAAAGGACCACCAAAGAATTCCTGAGCATTATTGCACAGTTTGCCAGAGTCGTTCACAACAGGCTGAGGCCAGTTCTGGTCCGACATAGTCTTTGATCTCGCGAGCAATGCCTTGGGGGGGGGGGGGGGGGGGGGGCAAGTAGAGCAATCATGTCCGCGAGGTGTGACCTTGCCTCGTATTTGCCGTCTGCATCATATACCTGTTTGAATAACTCCTGGCTTCCAAGGATATTCCACAACTTGCCGAACGGGATAGTTAACATTAAGGCCAAGCCAAACGAGCGGTTAAACCAACAGGGAAGTGTATAGTCGCAGGGTATCTTACCAAAACACCGAAGTTCCAAATATCCGCCTTGAAATCCCAACCGCAACCAAGGATCACCTCTGGAGCACGGTAGAAGTCTGGTTGGATGGGATAAATGCCAAGTTGCTTTCCTACCACTCCATCTCGAGAATCCGGCTTGTCAAGTCTTGTTGCGAGTCCGAAATCTGCTATTTTGGGAACCAGATTCTTGATATCTCGCCCGTCAAGAGCACCGAAGTCATTATGGCAGCGGTAGATAGTCCGACCACCCTTGCCGTCAATCTTGCATTGCATTTTTTGTTGCCGTTTTATGAAGTTGGTAAGAATGCTTTCGTTTTCGAAGCTCATGAGGATATTACTCAGCTTCAAGTCTGGATGTTGGATTAGAAAATAATATTTCGAGCAGGGGAGCGTTGCGAAAAGCTTACCACTGTGGACAACTTTGCACTCTGAGTGAAGATAATCAAGACCAGAAAGGAGGAAGTAGATATAGGCCTTCGCAATGAGCAAGGGAATCCTGCGATCAACAAAACGCCTCTGTAGAATCCAGATAGGCTCTCTCATCGGTTCGTACACAAGACATATATGCCTCCCGTCAGGGCCAGTTACTTCGACATCATCCAGACATGTACGTAGAATCACGCGGCCCCGGTGTCCTGGATTTTGCTGCGCGATATGGCTTTCAATTTCCTTTTCATGCCGAGCATCATCGGCACTGTTACTGTTAATTATTTTGAGAGCCACTGTTCGCTCATGTTGCCATTTAAATCTTGATTGGGTGGGCCATGGTCAGTTTCTCTGTAGTCAAACAAAGCATGAAAGCACATTTACAACGGGGATAGCTACCTTGAAATGTCTCTGGCGAGCCATACAGTAGATTGTGATCCCCATCCGATTTTGACGAGTAGCTGAAACCTCTCTGCCAGTACTTCCCCAGGATTTGCTGGGTAAAAACTCGCCTAATTATAACTTGGACAGAGCTCCTCGTCAACAAGTTCCTGCTGGGGAATTGGAGGCTCCGCGGTAGGCGGCACCTGCCAGAGCGACTTTTTGGCAAAGGTCAACATAGTACGTCGCGAAGTCGAGGTCAGCCGCCGAAGAGGCAACATTACTCCATCCGAGCGTTATCGGAAAGCTCTGGGGGCAGCCCTCATAAAAGCGGCGGTACCCGAATCGGGCAACTGGGCGAAAGGCGCAGAAAAACAGTTCAATAATGGACTTTCCAACCCCCAACCCGCCCTCTAACATACCACATTGAAATTCATTTCATTCCGCATCTCCACCCCTGGACTCTTGTGTAATCAGGCCGGATATCTTATATTCGCCGTTGAATAACTTGAATTCCAATCCACCGTCGGTCCAAACTGACTTTCATGTCCGACTTCGAGTTCGGCTCTCCTGCCATTTCCCTGCCACTCAGATCTGCACGTAATCGATCCCGGCTTGCTCCTGCTACGCTCTGTGCCACTCACTGCTTGATCACTGCGCACGCACAGATCGCTCCGAATGCTCCCGGATTGCCCTGGGCCCCTCCCAGAGCGATCCCAGACTAGCTCCTCCGCATGGTGATGGCCACTTCACGTGACCAAACTAGGGTCCTTAAACCGTGACAGGCCAAGACATGTTGATCTAGATCTATGTACGAATGGATTTTCTCTCTCTCTCTCTCTCTCTCTAGATCTATGTATCAGGTACAAATCAACAATTTCCTGAGGGCCTCCTAATGGCAAGTGCTGGCGGATTTAGCCAGCTTATTCAACGCTGCCTTAGTTCAACATGTGATGAGTGCTTCCACGAAGCTAGTGGGAAATTTTGGCTATTAATATTATAGTCGATATAATTTTCCAATCATAAGCGATATTTTGTACTGCTGCGTACGCACAGCCACAGCCCTCGCCCGATTTAGGCTGTGTGGGGGCCACCGGGTCACCTGTTCTCTCTCCCCGCAAGTCGATCTCCAGGTTTTTATCTTTCCCCAACCTCAACCACCGACCCTGCTTCGGATGTTGCTTTCGCATCCATTGCATGCCATTTCGGTATGCGGTCACGAACCGGCTGGTAAGTATATGCCATGATGTTGATGTGGCTTATGCTAACATCTCCCAGCTTAACGTGTCGAACACGAAAGCTTAAATGTACGGACCCATCCGTGCTCTCGATCTCTCGTCTTCCCTCAAGCAAGGACTGAATAATCTATAGGCGACGAAGAAAAACCCGAATGTTCACAGTGTCGCAAGGGTGGCCGAGAATGTCGTCCGAGCGAGGGGGTCGTCTTTCGCCATCAGCAGAACGCGTCGATGAATCGGACCTCCCCAGATGGTCGCGGTAGTCTCAACGGGTTCTATTCATATAAGAACACTTTCGACAAGGATTCCGTGTGGCTGGATGTTCCTAAACATGGTACGGCACCACTCTGGGGACATATTGTTTGTGTCTGGGGTTTTGTTTGGACGGTAGCTCATATTTGCAGTGGTTTTTGTTGACAATTCCGACCCGTACGCCGATGATCTCGAGGCCTCGCTGGCTGAACCCGGCAGTGCAGCGCAAGCACACTCAAACAACAATCGATGGGGCAGAAGCGGCTCTCGAACGAGCGATGCTGAAACGCAAGGATTGGAAGCCTTGTCGGCGGTCGCAACGCGTGATCGCTTCTCATACTCTCCCCTAGATCCTTCGGTCTCCGACTCTCCCTCCTATACCTCTCCGAACAGACAGCGAAATGCCGCTCTTCCCCCGCCTTCGCCTTCCATGTCGCTGTCGTCCACCAGCAACAATAACAATATTAATTTCCTCCTCAACCCTTCACATACGATGTCTCCGAATATCGATCCCAGCATGCAACTTTCTGACCGAGGTACGGCGCTGCCAACGAGACCCGCAGCTGCACAGAGAAGCTTGAGCCATATGAGCCACATAAGCCCCATCAACCATGCACAAGACGACAATGCAGAGGCCGACTTCGAGGTCGCTTTCCTGTTGCGTCATTATTCAGAGGGCCCGGGTCTGTGGTATGCTTTCCATCGTCCGCTGATATGAATCATGAGTAACGAAGATATTTGCAGGATGGATCTCTTCGACCTAGGGACATACTTCGCCTCATACGTCCCAGTACGAGCAAGAAGTAATCCACTCTTAAAATTCGCTGCGTGCGCATATGCTGCCAAGCAGCTGGGCAGAGTAAAAGGTGCTAAAGCACCAATGGGCGGAGTATGCTCACAACAAGCCGCCATGGAAATATGGCCTGATAAGGACCCCGACTTCTCATGGTACGGGGCAAAGTATTATGAAAAGGCAATCCAGCTGTTGATGAAGGAACTGCAGCCAGATGCAGAGGGTCCGCCTCCATTGAGTACGCCAGAAGCATTTGGTCAATGGCAGGCTGCCGAGCTGTCTGCAGATACCGATAATCCACGTAAGCGTCGGAGACGGGTCTCTGCTAGTCGGCTGTCGTATGGCGTTCATTCGGACGAGGTGCTCGCGGCGACGGCTATCTTGTCCGTGTATGAGTTCCTTGACGCCGCGGGCCCTGCGTGGAACCGTCATTTGAGTGGCGTGAAATCGCTGCTCGACGTTGCCGAAGTGGGCATGATGCCTCTTGAGCAGCGTCCGTCTCCGGGGGAGAACTCATATCAGACTTCCAAGAAGTCGGGACTGTCGAAGGCACGTAGAGCGACATTCTGGAACTTTGCGCGCCAGGATTATCTGGCTGCCTGTGAGTACTGTCTCGATGAACAAAACTTTCCTTGGAACTCTGCTGACAGAAACACAAGTCATCAATGAATGCCACACAAGACTGAACACAGATGACACAGTCCTCTGGACCGAAGCCGGTCTACTTATCGACAGCGCGGGCTATATCCGCCCGAGCAACACAGGCGCAGCAGGATACCCCGAAGACGAAGACGTAATGAAAGAAGACCTCATCAGCAACGGGCTAGTCTGGATCTTGTCCAAGATAGTCAACTTCGTAAGCTCCGGCGACAACATGCAGTTATCAGATAACCGCTCCGTCCCCGGACCGCTAGGCGTTTCGCAACAAGCCCTGCTGGAGCGGTGGCACAGGCTCGAGTCCGAGCTCGACGTATGGTACAACGGTGTCCCAGAGACCTTCCGCCCTTGCGCACGAGTAGATGCTTTCAAGACAAAGCACCACCGTCCAGTCAACGAAATCGAAGACATCTCCACCCTCCAGGAAATCTGGTACAGTCTGCCGATGTGCGCATCGGCCATGCAGCACTACCACATGGCGCGCATCTTGCTGCTGATCAACAAACCGCATGAGTCAACCAGTGGTCGGAGCACCATCGCCCTCCGGCTCCAGTCTTACCGCTCCATCGAGGCGGAGATTGCCTTTCATAGTCGCGAAATCGTCGGCATTGGGCTCTCTCGTCCGGATGGAAGTGTCAGGATCAACTCTCTGCAGCCGCTCTTTGTTAGTGGGCAGTGTTTGACCGACCCGCGCGAGCGTCGCACTACAGTGCGTCTGCTGAGGAGTATTGAGTCGGACTTGGGCTGGGCCACTGAGTATCGTGTGCAGCAGTTGCTGAAGGAGTGGGCGTGGGATGAGAGATTGACGCGATCGCCTGAAGTTGGGTCCTGAGGTTCGAGTGCCGCAGCGCAGCTCGGGGACATAGCTTGGGGGTTCAGCTGAGACTTTCTCCCAGGGCTACTTTTGATTTTGGGAAGACGTCATTCAAGGGAAAGAATATAGTCTTGCACCTGGAACGGTGCACGCTCTCTCACCAAACCACCCCATATCAAGTGGGATAAGAGAATCCCACCGAAATGAGGGGTGAAACAACCTTGACACATGTGACGTCTCACATGGCTTCAATGCTCAATGCCCGAGACAGGAGTAATGAGTGTGATACCTTCGGTGTAGCATATAGTGTACCGACTAGGTAGTAATTCCAATGGGCAAACACCAAGTATATAAAATAAAGAGAAAAAAGAAGAACAAAGCAAAACTTCAAGTAGCAAGCAAAAGATTCAATCTAAAACCTTTCCCCATTTATTTCTGCAGTGGGTTCGGTTCAGTTGCCTTTGCATATCTGCAGTCTCTCTCAAGGTCATAGCTCGATCAATTGACAGGTACTTGCTGTACTCTAGTAGTTATGATATGACTCGTTGGATCAGTAGCTCACTACTAACTGTAGCCAGTGCTTTAACAAACAGTACACAATCTGCCCGGTCAGACCAATACAGCGTGGTAGACCATCTACACACATACAAATCCAACCTCTTCACACAATCCCGAAATCCCCACATGCAGCAGAACAACCCACAATACTGCAGATTTGCCACTGCAGGTTTTCCGTCGCATGTTGTCACCGAGTCCACTCGTCCCCACTGATTTACCCTCGCGGGTAGGCAACTTATCCGAACCCAGGGTTCCACGCTTAGATCGTGGTAGATCTGCTAATTCTTGGTTACTTTCATCGTTCCGGTGATGTGTGTTGTTCTGAACTTATGTTGTATGTTGCATGTTGTGCTGCTGTGGAGATCGTTCTGGAATGGGGGGAAGTTCGGCTATGGATGGGATTTGTGTTGTGGGAGGTTGAGGGTACTGTGGGATGAAGGATTTTATGTACGGAGTAGTTATTGTGTAGTCCTCGGTTTTACCTAGAAAAGCTGTCAAAGAGGCGCGTTATATTGTAAGTTGCATTTGATTATGGTGTGAGGTTATTAGTATCGTCGGAAATCTCAGGCGTGGCTAGTCCCGAGAGCGCTGATCTTCGTGGATGTCAATCTTTGTATGTGCGCAAAATGGTTTGGTCTGAAGATCTTATATGAAAGGTGCAGGGTCGTGGGTTGTAAGGTATCTGTGCCTTTCAGCTTACCCACACAAGCTGAAAGGCACAGCCTCACAGGTATATGACAGGTTTGACATCTGGGCTCCAGTGTATCTGTATTTGTACCGAGGCGAGACATCACACATAGAATAAGTCTGAGTACATGTAGAGAGGCGAGTGAATGGAAGACAGGGAGCCACTGGTGAGTCTGGGACTGTGATTAGATCTGGGATTGGTGTTTTACTGCGTACACAGTATAGCCCAGCACTGGACAATCTTGATAGAGGACGAATGTCTAGTTTAGCTGGTCAGTATGGTCTTGGAAGGCTTGTGGCTGGCGCTAAATGCCAGAATCTATAGCGTGTAGTAGTCCTAGGTAGTATGATCCATGATATCCTATCACGACATTATTCCCGCTAGAGGAATACGAGACAGATCTTCGGACAGGAAATACATCAGGTGATATCCAACATAAGGTCCAGAAACAACAGTGATAGGACAGCGACACAGCGCCCATAAGTACAAATATTCTCCAACTGCGCTCCTTTTCACCTTTGATCGCCGTGATAGATCGCATAGCAGCATATTTCAATGCTAATCGGTCATCCAGCCATCCGATTGGACTTAAGTAAGACGAATGCCGGCAGCGATCACAGCGAGAGACAAGTCATTGGTGGTGATTGGACGGTCTACCGCGCTTCCTCGGAAAAACAGAGGTGACACTGGCCACTCTACGCACGATGCCCAGCATTCGCACACAGAATTTTTGCCCTCCAGGCACCGTGGTAAGAGCACGAGGCAATAGGAAGGTGTCTTTGATCAATGTGTCCTTGGCGACTTCAGCATTGACTCAGTTGGGGATGTTCTAAGTCCCCGAATGCACCTGTCAGCCGGCAATTTAATTTAGTCCCAGCCTTGGGTCTTGTAAAGAGCTGAAATCAAATGGAATCGTTGAACTCTTCAGTTTCTTTGAGGATTTTAAATCGAGTTAATGGACATTAACATTGTGTTCTTTGTCTACACGTGGGCCGACAGGTACCAAGACACTAGGCTTAAGCCAAGTAAGTAGAGTCCGAGGCTGAGCGATGATTGAGATAGCATCTGTATTATGTTGTATTACAATGAATTATTAGGAAATTGTCAAGTGGTACATAGACTATTACTGCGTACATGGGACGCTAACCCGTCGCCCGCGTCCCCATACCTAGAGATCTCGTCCAATTCCCCTGGTGCAGTGGTGGCGTTGAGCGTTGACCAGGGATTTCCCTGCCGTTGAGCTTTATTCATGAGATATGATGATTGTACAATGGTTGAAGGGTCACATTCTTTAGATCGACCCGTTCCGTGGCAAATCTTAGAGCTGTCCCACGTTCTACACGTTCCTTGGTTGACAGTTCCCTTTTTATCCAGTACATCCAGCCTCCAATTCTAATTGGCCAGAAAATCATATCCCCTGCATTCGCTTCCAGACTTCCCGCGTATTTTACCCCGCTAAACGAAGATGTTTCCGTTACCAAGCATGAATTGAGTTCTCGAGGACCGTGTGCCATGACCAGGGCTTGCGGTGCCTGCAGTGCCATGCGGTCGTGTGCCGTGGTAAGGACGGAGGACCTTCCAGACTCTGTGAAATTCAAAATCGGATCCACCCGATATACAAGTATACCCCCATCTGCCCACATCGGGCCATCTCCTCTCTATTTCTTATTTTGGTCTTCCATATACTCCGTACGGGGTCTTTTATATACCCTCGCGCGGGCGCGTTAGAGATTCGCGCAGGATATGCGTCTCTCGTCAACATGGACGCCCTAAATGGTCTCTGTCCATCTCCCTTCTTGCAGGAAACGCTGTTCCCCGCCGCCGGGGGATTTATCGATGGCCGCTATTGCCAGCAAGTCCCGTTGGGCAACAGCACCGTTTCTTGTTGTTTGCCATGTCCTCTAGCGGAGTGGAGATATGAAATGGGTTCGTTTGAGCGTTGCTGTCTGTGTCGGGTCTACAGAGACTAACCGTGGGCTTTCCATATAGAATTGCAGGATAAGATCGGCGTTGCAAGCTGGATCAGTGTCGCTATACTGCCTCTGTGTATCTTTTTGTTAATCTCCTACGCCGTACTGCCTGTCAAATGGACCCATCGTCATTACTTGAGCATCTGCTTTACATTGGGCATCTGTTGCATGCAGGTGAGTGAACATATGGACTATGCCCTTGAAGTGCTATGGCTCACCATCATCTAGCTCGCCTTCATCATTCCCCTCGGGGCCAAACCAGACCAATGCCACAATGCAATCACCCCCAATGACATGCGCTCCGATCTCTCCTGCGCCTTCTCCGGATCTCTCTTATTGTTCGGCGGTTGGCTGGTAGTCATATGGAGTTTCATCCGCACGTTGGCATTCCACCTCCAAGTATGCTGGGAAGTCGTCCTAGGCCCCAAGTTCATGTGGGCTGCGTTTGCCTGCGGATTAGGTATCCCTGCAGCTGGACTGACAGTAATGCTGATCTTGACCGGCGTCTCATTCCGATTCGGTAATATCTGCCATATCAATGTCACCAACGGACTATACGACTACTGGATCCCACTGATGATATTCTCCGCTGCCGCCCTCTTCCTCCAACTCTCGACAATGGGCTACTGCACCCACATCTATCTTCGCTCCCTCTTCGACAAATCTTCCTCAACCACAGGCAGTTCCGGCCCCGCCACTCTCCCATCCTACACGAATAGCGTCCGCACCGTGACAGCCCGACAGGCCTACCGACGAGTGCGTCGCATCCTACAACTCCAATGGCGCGGAATCGCCCTCGTCCTGATCATCATCGCCAACGTCATCTTCTTCGCAGTGGTCTTCATCAACCTCGACAACGCAGTCGCCCTTACACCAGAAAACGCCAAAACCGCAGGCCCCTGGCTGGAATGCCTCGGACTGACCGGTGGCGACAGGAAGCGCTGCCACCCGTACGCAGCGGCCATCGGCCCGAATGAAGGAACTCTCCTCGCAGTCGTCCTCCTGCTCTCGCTCGTCGGCTTCTGGAACTTCATCCTCTTCGCCCGCCGATCCATGTTCGTCGGCTGGATCGAAATGATCTTTGGACCGAGACGCGGCCACGAATTCGTGTCTGTAGATGCGAACAGCCGCTTCGCTGACAACAAGGGCTTCGAAATGCTGACTACGACGTCCATGAAATCGCCTGAGACATACATGCGGTCGCCATCCCCGTCGCGCATGGATGGATTCGGCCACGGCATCAACTCCGTTACAGCCCCCAGCCCGACTTTCGACCGCAGTGTGAATGCACGGGAGGCTCGCTATGTTCGCCCGTCCATGAGCTTCTCTGGGCCTAGAGTGCCTACTTCGGTACATAATTCCCGCGAGTGGGACCCGCAGTCTACTTTTGCTCCGGGGTACGGGAGAGAGTCGCCGGCATATGGACGACAATCTCCAGGGTACGGACGACAATCTCCCGGGTATGGGCGACAGCCTCCAGGGTACGGGAGAGACTGAGAATAATACGCCATTTATTTAATTTTCTTATATCTCATACATTTTTGTTTCAATAATTTCCGGGTATTTGCCCATCTGGCTTTGTGTCTACACCGAAAAAAGCAGGGGGTTAGGGTTTCTTCTCATTGAGACACGGTGTTACGGGGGCATGTCTCGCAGTATTGGGTTGCGGCGTTGGAAGTTCTATTCCGTCAGATGCGTGTATGCGCTATGTATCAATGAATTTCTTTCGGTTCAATTTCTCATCGTTCTGATTTCTGAGTGGTCTATTCTCTTCCATATCTTTGGTCAAAGCCCCCACATCTAGTTACAATATGCCTTCTAGCTGTCTACTTTTCTGACATAGTATGTCTACAACGTTTGAGCCAATACCAAGTCTATTCCATCCCCATCACGCATCAGATGTCAATTCCCACTGCAACCGTCTCAATCTCAATGGCCATGATCACAACCACATCGCCATCGGGTCTCTGCATCGGTATGCCCGTGATAAGCATAGATCAGCATCTCAACTTGTGTATCTAATTCTTCTCGGGCCGTGATCAGATTCAAAGAGGTTCTAGATTCTAACCAATACACCCGCATGGCACTTTTACCCGTAACCCTACTATCTTCCACTTCTACGGATCCACTTTGCAATATTCCCCATTTTCAATGATACAAGCAAATACCACTGTAAATCAATTGCCAGACTAAACAAACCGAATGCAACCAGCAACAGTCTAGAAGAGTTCTCCGAAACTCTAACAGGGTTTCTCTACAACCACGGCCAGCGGGCGAGTAATGACCAAGACCGCAGAGCTAACTGTAATGGATGTAGTTACTCCGTACAACCTAAACTCTTGTTTTATTTTGATTTTGATTTTTTCTGACTCCCACCTGCCTATTACACTGCTCTGGGCCCTGGCTGTTTCAGCCCCGAACCAGGCAAAACCGCCGTTCCTGCATGGGAAACACGAGGGTGGGGCCCGTGGGGGCAAGTCGTAAGCCTGCCTGAGTGCCTGTGCGTTAGAGATTTAGTTCGGCCCCCCGTAGCTGTTAGCGTGGACGGGAATGCCCAGGTGGGGGGCGGCGATTAGGTGAGATTTTGTGTGTTTTTTCGCTTCGCTAGTCAACTACTGTGTTAGTTAACTAGGGAGAGGGCTTGTTCAATTGAAAGAAGTCTACTCTATCACGGCATTGAGCGGAGTGCATACCTAAGTGTCTTTCCTTTCTTTCTTGGGTCTGCTATTATTGCGCATAGCACACTCCGTACATACAACATGCCCACATACTGCGAAATGATCACAGATCGTATAACTGCTGGGTCCGGGATCGGGAAGTCTAATTAGATTGCCAGTTTAGTACGCTGTAGAAGGTATGTCAAGGCGATGGGTGAGTTTAGAAGTTTACATTATGCAGTGTTAGTCTAGAAGCAAGAAAAACACATGTGCCTGAGGTCATTGATTCAGTCGCGTTCGCACCGAATTAACCGTCCTCGAACCTCGGACTTGATGGTAACTTAAAACTTTGTAAGTTGATCTTGATTTTGGATCGTCGCGTATTCTCAATGTGATTGTAGTTTAACTGGTTCATACATAGTTCGCTCCAGAGTCCAGACCTCAAATTCAGGTAGCGAACAGCAAAAACAGAAGTGATCCACGGTATCCACGGCTCCGTCCTCCCCGCATCCCAAACTTCGGGTCCCGGGTAAACCTCAACCATGTTCTATCTCCCACGGCTGGGACTCCTGCGACGATCATCGGTCAATCGTATCTGTTATTTGATCTAGTTGATCTACGAGACTACGGACTTCTATAAAGTATGTGGCGTACGATATTGTATTCTTGTACGAACGTGCATAATATCAATTATCACGAGCACGATATGCTGCTAGCGGTAACTCCCGACGGCCAGAGGTGGGGTGATCGACCATCGTTGTTCCTGGACTGCCACTACCGGTGTCCTCTTTTGGAATTGTACTGTAGTTGCTACGTAATTAGCCTACGTACAGGGCTGGAATGCGGCATTGAGAACTAGCTCTGTCTGTTTCCTGGGGAGAGGGTCTGGCCTAGTCGAGAGATGGATGGTTAGACGTTACCACGTGCTTTTGGTGGGGATGATGGGTAGTTCCTGCGTATAACCACCAATTATCCCGAGGTCGCATATGGTATAACTATAATTCAAGGAAGATACATAGTTCATGAATTGGCGATGATGCGTGGCTGCCACGAACCTTTGCATGTGTGGGGGAACCCTGTTTGGTCCTTGGATTTGCGCTATGTAGTAGGTATGCAATATGCAGCCTCATAAAGTGGACCGCCGAGGTAGGCCTAAGGCATGTGAAGGAATGGGGTGGGGAAACTTTATGCAGGACTGTTTATGGGTTTATTGAAGATTGGGACTTGGGTTTCCAAGATTGGGAGTAAGGTTAATTATGCCGTTTACCTATCTTGGTTCTGGCCAGATGAGGAAAGTTGAATCAAGTCAATCGACTCTGTCGAGGCCAACAATACCTATGTCTCTCGGAAGAAAGAGCACGTGGACAGATGCTGTCAAGCTCTGATTCTTTGACGTCACCTTCACTACTACCTATCAGCGTGGAACCACAATATTCCTGCGTATACAACCTTCAAATCTTGTGAGGCAAAGCAGGAGGTTGAGCACCGGGAGAATTGTATTCTCATTAGATACACAGAGACCTGCGAGCAAAGGCAAGAATGTAAAATACCACTCCCACTTGCAGCATTCGAAGGCATTGGTCACCTATGCACTATGCACAGCAGCTGTACAGACAGTCTGTACTATCTACCATAAGGTCGTTCCTCACATCGATTCTTCGCTCATGGTCCCAGGTCCCAGCAAAATGAAGGAGGTTGTCCTCTCGCATCCGAGTCCGACGCATCGAGCATCTTCCTTTTGTGACTTTTGTCATCCCCAGCGATGATGTACAAGCATAGGAACATGATAGCATCTTTCTTTGAGATGCTCGAGAGCAATTAGCAAACATAGGCTATCCAGTATCCAGGGGATGGTCACGTGGGATCCACTTATCTGTGGGGCCACGATATCAAGGCTTCCATTTCTGCATGTCCGTTAGTACTTCATAACGACTTGGTGGATCACTTTCCAACTTCGCAGATCTAAGAAAAGAATGAGAGATTTATAAAACGATATCATACAAAGCCGAATTCGAAGCTACATGAGGCAGCGATACCGTTCATGATTTCTTGCTAGCTCCAGACTCCAGTCACCTCAAAGGTACATCCATTAAGGGCGCCTACATCTATGCAGTACAACTTCCAGAATGCACATCTAACGTTTCGGTCAACACCTTCACAGTCGTCAGTCATCTCTACACACTTAACATAACTACCACTTCCGGCTACCATAAGTTCGGTGGATTCAAGGCATATCATCTCTATTCTCTACCGCCTGCTTGGAGTGTCATATTTCATCTCGCACGAACTTCAGAACGGGCTGATTCCAATCCAGTCAAGGCGTCGAGAATCTTGAGATGGTCCCTAGGACCACGTGAGCAGATGTATATGCAAACGTACACATAAGTATCTTGCTCGCACCAACTCACCCCAAGATACATCCTTGTACACTCCACAGTCTCGGAGATATCAAAGCCGATAACCCAACTTGGAAGTCACGACACACCTCGAGCATCGTCCTTTCCAACATCACTTGACTCGAGCACTAATCACATGACCGCATCTGTAGCTGTACCGTATTTTAGTACTTATTTTGTTTACTTGCTCCTCGATCCCCGCTTTTCCTTCGCTGTTTCGTTACGGTCATCACTTTCACGTTGACTTCGCTTCTTGCTCATCCGATTTTGTACCCGAAATGGATCCCCTCGACAGACTGATGCACCTCATGGAGAAGGATGAAGCTCTGATGCACCTCGCAACCGCCTCCTCGAGCCAGGGCGAGGGCACCGTTTCTATCCAGGACAATGGGGAAACTCCCCTCCTCTCTGGGCCTGCCGTCGGTCTTGCTTCTGGCATTCTCACTGCAGCATTTTCTGAGCCGCAGGCCAAGGTCAAAGATCCTGTAAGTAAACATCATTCCCGCTTTTGAGATCCAATTGGTCTGGTCACCCCACCGGAGTCGCATATTCGATGTTTCCTGTAGGATTGGAGATCATGTGGACAATCATTGACAGAAACCAAGGATGTCGATTGCTCCCACAACACCCGGAAGGTTCACCTCGAGTGTCCGAGCGCCGCCCAAGACAAGCATGATGATGCTCACTCTGACAAGACTTCCGAGAGCCAGCTCACTGCCGTCCCGACTTCGTTCACTCCGGCCGTCACAATGGCTCGCTTTTTCCCTGAAATATGTCCCCGGAAATGCGTCTGAGAAAGTCAATACAAAGTTTTATAGAGGTGAAAAGTTTTGGAACCGTACCTGGGATTTGTGAGTGAAGTCTAGTGTCTGTTGGCAAAAATATCACCGCTAATCCTCATCCAGATACTACTTGCCTGTCCCAAAGGAGATCTCGCGGGGACCTTTCCTGTTGATCCCTACTCTGCAAGCGCAAGGCTTTCTCGATGAAATCAACTCGGCTTTGAACCTCCAGCTGACCCTGACGGGCCAGGGCAAGAAAGGCCTTGTGATTAAATTCAATGAGACCACGGTGCAGCCGACGTTCCTCGGCCGATGCAGCACTCCTGAGCAGAAAGCGGACTATGAGGGAATGGTCCCAGACTCTTTGGATGACTGGGGACCGGGGACCATGGTCGTTGGAGAGTTTGAAGAGCAAATCAAGCAGTCCATTGCGACTATCAAGCGGGTGAAAAAGAAAAAGAAGAACGGTGACAGTGAAGCCCGACAGAAGAAGTGGGAAGAGTGTATGGGCCGTGTGCAAGCCCACTTTGGTCTGCGTCCTCCGTTGCAGCCAGGTCATCAACAGCCGTCGTTTGCCAATGGTCAAATCGGACCCGTTGATGTTCTAGATGTGACTAAATGGGACTTCCACGACGCACCTATCTTCATCAGTATTGACCTTGAGTGGAAAGAGAACACTCTGGGTGCGCTGACTGAGGTTGGGATCTCAACCCTGGATATGATGGACCTGCAGGGTGTGCCTCCTGGCGGCTACGGAGAAAATTGGATGAAGCATATTCGCTCCCGCCACTTGCGTGTAAGCGAGTACCGCACTTGGGTCAATAACAAATACTCCTATGGTTGTCCTGATCGGTTCGCATTTGGCGAGAGTGAGATGATTCCGGGCGCAGAGATCGGAGAAGCCGTGGACGCTGCATTCCAGCCCCCGTACATGGTCCCCAAGGAAAATGACATCGTCCGCGGATACAAGCGTCAGAAGCGCACCGTAATCCTCGTTGGTATCGATCTTCGTCATGATTTCAGGATTCTGAAGGAACAAAACAGCCAGGTTTTCCTTGGACTCGAGACCCTGGATGGTTCTTCGCCCGTTGTTCGCGAGGTCGTCGATGTGGCACAGCTGTACCGTGTAGAGCACGGGATGCCTAACCCACCAAGTCTTGAATCAATGCTAAATCAACTGAAGATCCCGAGTGCCAATCTGCATAATGCGGGCAATGATGCGAGCTGCACCCTGCGGGCTCTCGTGCGATTGATGCTTGAAGTTGCTGGGGAGGAAACGGACGTCTCTCGGAATCAGACTAACTAGATGTGTTGACTAGCCTGACTCTCGACCCTCTGAGATAGCCCGACGAGCTCTCCGCTGATTTTACACAACATATCTCCTATCAACGAAGCATTATGGATAGTCGTTACAGGAAATGGGCTCAACAGGGCTACTTGACTGGGTAGAAGCGTAGACCGGCATAATACTGTCATGGGTCAGATCCGCTTAACGCTAGCGATACGCTCTTTGGGCTATCCTACGAAGAATATCTTATGCAAAGGACTCCCGTTTCTATTCTTTGTCCTCGAGGAAGGCTATGAAGATGAAAAACTTCTATATTCAGACAGACAGCCAGAGAAATCTAAATCACAAACAAATCCTCCACATTCCACGAGAAATCCTCCTCTAGTTCACAACAACCCGATAACCATGAAATTTCATTTACAGACCACCAGCAGCACAGATCTTCTTAGCCTCAGCAACACGTTGAGAATACCGACTAGGGTAAGCAGAAACCTGCACCTTCTGGCAAAGCTTGCCAACCTCCATAGTCTTCCAGCCCTTAATGTTCTTCATCTGCTTGAAGAACTGCGCAGCAGACTTGGCAGCGTCCATGTCGGCAGCAATGTTAGGATAGTAGATAGCGCGTTGCTGGAAGATGCCAACGCTGTCGTAGTCCGAGCCGACCTTGTCATGCGGATACTTCAGGGAAGCGGGGACTTTCTTGTTGGCGTAAATGTAGATATTGGACTGGAATCGTGTTAGCTGCCGGATATTCTGGACCCATATTTTGGTGTTGGAAGGTTAGGACTTAGGGACTCACCTCGACAAGTGCAGTGGCAATACCAGCAAGACAGCCCTGACGACCCAGACCCTCCTTCTTGGCCTCCCCGATGATAGCCTTTGCGTGCTTCGACTGCGTAGCTCCAAGGCCGGGCAGGTTACCCTTGCCGCCTCCGCTGCCACCTCCGCTGCTACCGCATTTCTTGGTCACGTAGTCGTTGACTCCGGTGCGGATGTAGTAATCGGCAATGTAGCAGCCGTCGGAGGTCTTGTCCCAGATGTTGTTGCCCTTGACGCTGGTGCCGGAGGTTTGACAGGTGATTTTCACGTCGGTTCCCTTCTTGTAGCTCTTGACGACGGAGTGGGAGGTTCCGGGGCCGGAGCGGCAGTTGACGACGCTGCCCGTGATCGGGTATGCGTTGACGATGGGGGTGATGGCCGCGAAGGCGAGAGCTAGGATGGGAGTGAACAACATTTTGGTTTGGATTTGGTTTATACTTGGAGTTCAAGTGTGCGTAGTCAATGCTGGTGTTCTGAGCTGATGAATATGATATTGATGGGGATGCATCGAGCATTTTATATCCCTGGACTCTTCATTCCTTGACAAACTGAACCTCCTATCTTGCTCATTCTTGAGGCGGACCCCACGATGCTCGTATAGAACCCATGTGAAAGTGCGAAGGGGTGGGTTCGTATTCGCAGGTTGTGTCCACGATGTCCGTACCTATACCATGTTTGAAGCTGTAGAGTGAAGTAATTTGTCTATTTTCAACGGGCAGCCTCGTATCATCCCCACAGATAGAGGTAGTGTTACTTAATTATCCGATGTTGTTAAGCTTCATTCGAACATCGCTTAAGCTTGGCGCTCGTGTTCCTGAAGCCTTGCCTGTCAGGGCGTAACATGCCCTAAAAATAGCGGGCTTTTCGGGTTTTAGCGTCGATAAATGCAGATCTCCCGTATTCAGATCGAACATTTCTCTTGTTTCTGTGTTCCTGGCAGACTTGGTGCATACTCGGAAAGCCACCTTAGTGAGCCTGGGGCTCTGTGGATATATTTAGGTGTCCGCCCGGACTCCGGTCGATGTTCGAGGTGAATAGTCTCGTGTTTGTTAGCTAATATGTCTGTAGTAGAGCTGAAGCACACTTCCAATGGCTCGACACTGGGATTATTCTCGTGATTGAGGATAGCAGCTGGAGCCTGTGGTGGGGTTCGCATCGTTTACCATTTATTTGTAGTGCCAGCCCGTATACATCATCCGTTAATTACGTATCCACGCTGATTATGGTCGGGCTCAGGTGGAAAAGGGGAAGTGTAAGGAGTAATAAACATCGCACTCCGACCACACTGGCTGCACTCCCTAGACACGGGATCTCTTGGCTTAGATCGATCCAGGGATAGCTTCGAAGGAGTCGAGGAAATGGAAGCCACTTGACTATCCCATCTGCAGTTATGTATTGTAGCAGGGAGGTGGGTACTGTGTATAATGCGTGTCAGCCCATTGGGCATAAATGGACATTCATTGAGGATTCGCTTGACCGCGTCCAAGGGGTACGAGTACATAAGCCCTTCGACTCCCTGGTCTGTATCAGTACTTCCAAGGGACCGTTCGATTTCTTGCAAAGACTCGGTGAGTTGCCATACTGATGCCAACGTTGCCAAGTGCGGTAGTGTTCAAGTGTGAAGTGACACCCATTTGCCGTTGTACATAGCCGTGTCTGGATATATTGCCAAAGAATAGATTGAATAAGCTTGGAAGCTCGAAGAATACATTGAGTATGTCAACTTCGACGTTCGAAGCCTAAGCTATGTGCCCATAGTACATAGTACCAGCCCCGGGTAGAGGATATGCACATGGCCGAAGTTTAGTGCCGAAAATGGATCTCCTCGGATCGAGTCACACCGACTCGAGTTGTCAATGGCACAAATATTCCTGGTTAATGGTTTCATTGTATGTAGTAATGAATCAATTGAACGAGGTTAAAGAAATCAAAGTATGTAGAAAGCTCTCTAACCCCAGACATGGTCCCGTGGAAATTGCATCATGGCAAATACTCGACGTCACCGCGGCAGAAGGCGGAGAGGAGCTCAAGTGTGCGTGTTAACTTGCTCCCCGCTCCTCTCCCAGCCACCTTCTTATCTGTCGCCTTTCACATTCCCTACTTCTTTCTTCTTCTTCATCTCGCTCGTAATCCTACCTATCATCGATTCCCTCCATTTCCTCAGTTCTCGGCGGTCATCTATCATGGCTCCTCCTCCCGCGACCCTGCCTTTGGTTGAGAGGCTCAAGCTTCTCGTGCAGACCCTGCAGTGCGTTTCCCATGCTGGACATTGTTCAGTGATACTTCAATGCTTTGTTTATGTGTACTAATGAACGGTCATAGGTTTGCTTGGTTTGTCGGGTAGGTCTATCTGCTCAAGCGCACACCAACGACGTCTCCCGAATTTGGAGTCACTAACGAATTCTAGACATGTCACACTATTGCTCTCGGTCTTCCGTTACACCCTCTCCTGCATCTTCTTCAACTATTACTCCTCCTCGGCACAAATCGCCTATCGTCTGACGTTCATCTCGGCCGCTGTCACTTATGGAATCGTCGTGTACAAGGGCCACTTTGCCCGGGGTGTCCAGGGTAGCCCTCTGGCAATTGTGATGAAGCTCATCTCCGATGAGAATGTGCAATACCTCGGTGAGTGATTGGTGATGCGATGGTCCACATTTCACAGCTGACGCATATCCTAGGAATGGCCCTGGTCTGGCTGTACTCGCGCCAGCTCATCCTGGCTCTCCTGCCTTTCAGCGTCTACTCGGTCTTCCACGTCGCAACCTATACTCGCATGTACCTGATTCCCACCTTGCAGCCCCCTGCGCAGGCCCCTGGCTCTCCCTCCTCCCCTAGCTCGAAGCCCGCCGCCAAGCAGTCTCCCCTCGCCGAGACTATTGGGCGCTTCATCAAGCAGTACTACGATGCCAGCATGGGTGTCGTTGCCACCCTCGAGATCGCCCTGCTGTTCCGCCTGGTTCTGTCCGCTATCACCTTCTCCAAGGGAAGCTGGGTCCTCCTGATTGTCTACTTGTCTTTCTTCCGTGCCCGCTACGCCCAGAGCTCCTTCGTCCAGCAGGCTGTCCGTCAGCTCACTGCTCGCGCCGATGCCTCTATCTCCCACCAGAGCACTCCTCCTCAGGTTCGCCAGGGCTGGGAGGCCGTGAAGGGAATCGTGCGCCAGGGCTACGAGATCACCGATGTTGGCCGCTACATCTCTGGCCCTACTGCTGCTAAGAAGCCGCAGTAAATGTCCTATGCCAGCGCCGAATACCTTGCTTTGTCAAGCTGGACTTTGATGCGGGCTAGATCATTAGCCTTTGCCTTGCAGTCTTGTTGAAACAACGGTAGTTGGTGCGAGATATGAAACCACAGATTTATCTTCCATTGGCGAGTTCCCGTCCAAGCGAAGAACACGGAGAATGCCAAAGTATGGGTCGCCCGAGGTCCCAACTGTAGAAAAAGAGGAGGTGGAGGAATCCCGTCATGATGATGCTATACGCGACGACTTGTGTTTATTATTCTAGAGCTTGCCATGCATTGTCTTTGTATTTGCTTTTCTCTTGTCCACATACCTTGCTTCCGGTTCATTTCATTATTACCATTATGCAGTGATTTTATGCTGGCAATTGTGAAGCTGCACCTTCATCCAGTAGGTATCTCTAGGCAGTCCGAGTGAGTAGCATGTAACATGTCAAAGGGAACTTCATGTGGCGTCACTTCAGATTGGTCTTAGCATAGAGATAGGACAAGCGGAATGCGCAAGACTCGATCATGTGTATAGTATTGCCATTGCATATATCAGTCAGAGAACCTCAGAGCCCCTGCTAACCTGCTTACACCTGCGTACATGGATATCCAATTTCATAGGATCAAGATCAAAGATCTCCGATGGATGCAGTGACGGAATCCCGTGATTGACGCCTGAGGCGTCAGGCGACAAGTCGGGCTTGGCAACGAAAAGAAGCCTATCAGAATTTTGGCTGATGGAACAATCGTCTTACAAACATCGATCGATCATTTCTGTCCTCGTCACTCTTTTTCGATCGTCCTTACCTCCCAGGGGTGCTTATCTCCCATTGAACCCTTCAGCACCCCTCCCAATCCCCCGCCCTGGTCCCGGCCAGAAACACTCGTCGCAGTTCAGCAAAATACTGCCATGAGCCTGACCTCGCGGGTGTTCGGCCTGTTCTCGACAGCGACTTCGGACTCAACGCCCTCCCCTGCGGGGGACCCGCATAACTCAGCATGGTCTTCAGATCGAATGGGTGGAATCCACGGTGCCGAACTGGTGCCGGAGGAGGAAGAGGAAGAGCCTCGACCACCATATCTACACGTACGATTGTCTCTCGCGAGACCATAACTTTGCGCTTGGCTGATCTGATAACCTAGGCTATGTTGGCTGGAGGCATTGGGGGAACATGCGGTGACATGTTGATGCACTCACTAGACACAGTCAAGACTCGACAACAAGGCGACCCGACGCTTCCGCCTAAATACACTTCGATGGGACAGTCCTATGCAACCATCTATCGCCAAGAGGGAATATGTCGGGGATTATATGGAGGAGTGACGCCCGCCCTGCTCGGCTCGTTTCCCGGCACCGTGATTTTCTTCGGCGTGTACGAGTACACCAAGCGATTGATGATCGACTCCGGCATCAACCCTAGCATCGCCTATCTATCTGGTGGTTTCTTTGCGGACTTGGCTGCGTCGGTCGTCTATGTGCCATCCGAGGTGCTGAAAACCAGACTCCAGTTGCAGGGCCGACACAACAACCCGCATTTCAACTCGGGTTATAACTACCGCAACATGAGAGATGGTTTCCGCCAGATTGTTCGGCAGGAAGGATTTTCAGCATTATTCCACGGCTACAAGGCTACGATCTTCCGCGACCTCCCTTTTTCAGCGCTACAATTCGCATTCTACGAGAAAGAACAATCATTGGCGAAACACTGGGTTGGGAAACGAGACATTGGACTGGGCTTGGAGATCCTGACAGCCGCCACCGCCGGCGGTATGGCTGGTGTGATCACTTGTCCCCTGGATGTAGTCAAGACGCGCATTCAGACCCAGCAGAACCCGACAGATTCACCACCTGGTTCTTCAGGCGCAAAACACGCCGTTGAACACATACCCAAAGAAAGCCCTCGACCACATGCATCCTCATCATCACCTTCCCGCCCCTCACGACCACACTCGCGACCCATCTCCACATCAGGCGCAAGTACCACCATCCCACTACCCGGCGCACCCCGACTCGACACCTCCTCTGTGTTCACCGGCTTGAAGATGATCTACCGGACAGAAGGAATTGCGGGGTGGTTCCGGGGCGTGGGCCCACGCGGTGTGTGGACCAGCACACAGAGCGGGACCATGCTGGTTATGTACCAGTACCTGCTCAAACAATTTGAAGCCTATCAGTTGGAGCGGTCTTTGTAAGTTCTCATACATGCATGCATTTCCAAGGATTGCCCTTTTTCTTTTACTTTTTTCTGGGCAGGGGCGTTGGATTCTTTGTCGTTTATGACCGTGCTTTGAGCACTTTGTATGTGTACGCTACTCCGTACTGTAACTACTGTTAGACTATTAGACTGGCTGCGGCCTTTGTACCATAGAATTTTCAACTCTTACATATGGATTCAACCATAACTAAACAAAGAAATCATATAACTAAAAGAGATCTATAAAAAGATAGCCCAACTACCATCTAATTCCACATACTCCACGTCAAAGAACAGTAACAAAGAGAGTGGACGCGCTAAACGGTGTTTTGTTTTGGCGATCACCCGGATGTAAACAATTACCCGGCCCCCTCCCTTGCATCTTCCCTTCCCCATCCCCTCTAACTGTGTATCTCTAGACATTGGTCCAATTACTCTTCATACATCATGTCTCTTCCATATCTCAAGTCGCTCAAGAAGCCTGATCTGCTCAGCATAGCAGAAGAAACAGATCTGCCAGAGTAAGTTGCCCGTCGCAATCCCCCAGAACCACCCCCATTAAAACCCTCTACAGCTACAATGACTTTAACAAAACCGATCTGGTTATCCTGCTGGAGAAACACCTGCGCGAGAATCGCTCTATCTTCAATAACCTCCAAAGCCTCGCGGAATACTATTCGCGCCTCGACTCGCCACCTCGCAGAGGATCGCCCTTGAAGCGCGACACCACGCGCACTCCAGCCCGTCGCGCAAGGAAGATGGAGGAAGTCAAGCAGGAAGAATCCAGGTAGGCGCTCTTCTTTCGTCGCGCCATGCGCGACAAAGTATCTGTATAAGCGCAATATATACTAAACCCCCGCAACAGCGAGGAGGCCGAAGAACCCGAACCCAGCCCGGAAGTCGTCAGTCCAACTCCCGCCGCGTCGCGCACAAACACCCGCCAGACCAGGCGACAATCACTCCGCCAATCCATCTCCGCCATCGCAGACGCAGAGCCAACCCTGCCCGCCTCGCCGGCAATCATCACCGAGGCAATCGACGCGCAGACCGTCAAGCTGCGTGAGACTATCGACCACGTCTGGACTGCATCCGGTCTAGTCGAGCGCGCGCATTCGTTACGCGCAACCCTAAGCAACATGAAAGCCGTCGAGATCCTCGTGCTGCTCCTGGAAAGCGCCAGTCTGGCTAAAGAGCTAGTGCCGATCCGCTACCTGACTACCACGCCCCCGGTGCAAGGGGCGCAAATCCCGCCCATCCCGATCAGGGTTCCTGATCTGTTTGTCGTGCTGGAGGGGGCGTTCTGGGCGCCGTTTTCGTTGTGGTTCTTGACTTGTTTGCTGTTGCCGTTGGTTTCGGCTTACTTTATCAATTTGAGCTGGCAGGCTTCTTCGGGGCGTCGGACTAGGTCGGCGTCGCGTCTTGCGCAGTTTGATCCTTTGACGTTCAATATTGTTAAGGCTTTGCTGGTTAACGTGGTTTTTGTTAGTGGGTCCAATTTCGGTGGGGTCTATAGCAAGTTTGCGGTGCGCAAGGTTGTTGATTCTGTTCCTGGTGGTGTTTCGGGTCTTTTGACTGGGACTGCTATTGGTGGTGTTGGGGCTTTGTATGAGGCTATTCTGCACCGCTCGTGAAGGGTTACATAGGATCGGGCTGTACAGATGTGGTGAGGGTCGTTTAGGTGATTTGTTTTCCTTTGAGGGTTTTGGTCTTTTGGATGTTTTATGGTTGGTTTTGGGTCTGTGTTTAGTCCTGGGTATGTTCTTTTTCTTGTTCTTTTTCTTGTTCTTTTTCTGTCGTTCTTGGTCTCTCGTTCTACCCAGAAGGCAAGGCGGTTGTCAGGCTGGTTTATGTTCTGATTCTCTTTGAGGAGTTCTTCTCTGTTTCGCTTTTAATGATCAATCAGTCCTTTGAATGTGTAATGGCAATCGCAGGGAGTAGATGCATGTTTGGGTGGTACATTGAGCATAGTCCATGGGTCTATAGCAGTTCAATGTAGGGCACTCCAGCTAGGACGGGATATAACAGCTGTTGGGAGCCCAAGAGACAAAGAGGAAGAAAGATTCAAGAGGTTATACAATTCCCACATCACCTCTTAAACCTCTCCGCCAATTCCACCGTAAACAAAACCGGCACAGACGTCTCAACCTCCACCTTATCAGCGCGAATATGGTTACTCGTAGACACCTGCCCTCCAATCTCGGTATGCCAATCCTCCACATCCCACTCAAACCCATGAGTGGTAATCTTAGCAGGTGCCGAGAGAGGGATGATCCCGATATTCTCCTCAAAGAAGTATTCTCTTTCTGATTCTTGCTCTTCCTCTTCATCCTCCTCCTCCCCTAACTCCTTTCCTCCTGTCCCACGTTTCCGCTTCCTCGTACCCTTCTCAGACACCTCCATATCGGCGCGCCTCGTCGCCGGCGTGTGAATTATATTCCTCCCCGTCTGGATAATGAATGTGATACTCTCCTCCGAAACGAGGTAGAGATTACCACCGCCGCCTTTCGAGTCTTTATCTTCTGCAGACTCTCCGTTACGGATTGAGCGCTGCTTCTGCGTCATCATGTACAGATGGTGGACTTGGGAGAAGGCCTGGTCTACGCGGCCGCCTAGACCGCCCAGGATGACGATTTCGAGATGTGATTCATCGCTTTCAGCTGTAGGCCCACCATTGGTGTTTGGTTTGGCTGGGATCTTTGCGTTCCGTGGAGATGCTATGATCTCTGCGGCGCGGGTGTTGAGGTAGTTTAGACATTTGGTGAAGTCGGTTGAATATTGGTCTGGATCTTTGATCACTGATACACCCAGTTTCGAGTAGTGTTCTTGTACTGCTGGACGGATGGAGTCCAGGTCGCCGATTATAGCGTCGGGGATCTTATGTTGGTTAGCTTGTATGTCTGGACTTGTTGGTATTGGGCTTAGCTTCCCACAACCTGTGTACGAAGATATCTCTTACTTGAGGGCCGTTTTCGATGGTTTTGGTCATATCAAATAGCCGATTGGCGCCGCCATCGGCACACAGAATGAATGATGCTGCAGAGGTGTTAGCACTTTTCGTGACATATACAGCTCAGATATAACTACCATGTCTGCTCAAAACCCCAAATGCTTTCTCATTGATTGGCTGGTTGAGAACAAGCATAGCGTAAGGCGAAGGACTGCCCGAAGAACGGAAAAATCGACTTGGATCCCACTCCATTGAAGCTGTGCAGTGTGTGCAGTGAGCAGTCTAAACCAGATTGCTCTCTAATTCAATTGAACAAGAAATTGAAGACCAACGAACATAAGCAAAGAGTGTGGTGACGATATAATTATCTTGACCAAAGCTGCAACGTGACTGGCTGGACGGACACAACCTCAGGCCAAAATCCACCTTCGACTTTCCCAACTTCTTCATATCCCGCGCTTCAACTTCCCCCTCCGCTATCCCTTCGAGGAAACTCTCTCGGTCTCGGTCTATTCGATTGATTCCACTTCTCACAATGTTTCGTCCCGCCGCTCGCGCGCTTGCCCGTGCGCCCACCGTCGCAACCCGTACACCAGCCAACAGACGATTGATAAGCACCGGTCCGTCCAAGTCGAGGAGCTGGAAGAACACGCTCCTCCGGTTAGGTTTGGCCGGTGGTGCTGTCTACTACTATAACACGAGCAGTGTTTTCTCCGAGGAACCGAAATGTATGTCTAGCGAATTGGAGGAGAGAAGTGGCCCTTGTTGCTTGTTTTCCCGAGGTTGCTGCAAAGCTGCGACGAATACTGTCACAGGAGGCCATATTAGACCATGCATTGGGGTTGCTAACTTTTGGTTTTTTGCGGATTAGTCTCTCTTCTTTCTACGATTCAGAAACAAACGGATGACAATGCCGAAACCAAGACCATCGATGACATTACTCCCAAGATTCGGCAAGAACGGGCCGCTGCGCACAAGCGCGAGTCCGCTGCTCTCGAAGGTGGATTGAATCCTGAGGAACTGCAGGAGGAGGCTGGTCAGGAGGCTGCGTTCAACCCGGAGACTGGCGAGATTAACTGGGACTGTCCGTGTCTGGGAGGTATGGCCCACGGGCCGTGCGGAGAGGACTTCAAGGCTGCGTTTAGCTGCTTCGTTTACTCCGAGGAAGAGCCTAAGGGCATTGACTGCATTGACAAGTTCAAGTATGTTTTTTTACTGGTTGAGGGAAAGGGAGAGTCGCGGGCTAATACTTTTCGAACAGGAACATGCAAGACTGCTTCCGCCAACACCCTGATGTCTACGGCGCCGAGCTTGAAGACGACGATGAGCCCCAATCTGATGCTCCCCAATCTGATGCTCCCCAATCTGATGCTCCCCAATCCGACGCTCCCCAGACCGATGCACCCAAGACTGATGCCCCGGCTTCCTCCGAAGACCAAGTCCCTGCCACTCTGCTGGATGCCTCCTCAGAGCCGACCGAAAAGCAGGCCCGCGCCAAGGAAGTCAACGCCCAGGTGAAGGCCAACTCCATTGCTCTGGGCGACAACGTCGAGGGCGACTCCCTCATTCCCAAGGCTGCACACGATACCGAGGAGAAGAACCAGGCTAGCAAGGCTTAAGTTAGATTCCTGCCTGTTTGACGCCATCCTTTTCCCCAAATTTCCCCCAAGAGATCAGGTATACTGCTTGATCTCTTTCTCTGTGCACAGGGGAACTGGGATTGGAGTTTTGTATTATATAGACCATTTCTGCCATCTCTCCATCTCCCCTTCGCCGGTGCATTTCTTGAAGCTTCCTAGCATATCCATTCCCCCCGTGCGCTCTCGATTCTCCCGGATACTTCGTCAATGTGTAACTTAGTGTACTGATATTCACGCTCGTGTCCTTGACAATAAAGAAGGAGGGGAGATCGAATAGACTTGCATCGTTACTGCAGATAGAGAGTCAGAAACCTGATTGTATGCCTAGCTGGGAAACAAATAGAAGCCATTGGTGCTAGTTCTCCATAGAATACATGAACTACTTGATTAACCTACGACCTGATTTTCATTGCATTAGGCGAACTACCTCGGACCGAACCCCATCGCCGTTCTCCTGGTCCATATTTAACTAGACTTGAACAGAAAGTCATACACCAACATGGCAGTACACACAGCCCAGCGGCTAAACCGAAAGGGTCATGACTTTCCGCCCAGGAAGAAAGATATGTTGCCTTGGTGAGTGTGGGTATAGTGCATCAGATTGCAACAGATGTGTGCCCCAACAGTGTTCATAGGAGTAGACGCCACTGCATCTAGGTGTTTATGGCTAGGAGTTTCTAGAGAACTAAGGGAAGAGAAAGGAAAGGAAATGACAATTTGTATTACTGATTTGAGCTAGGCCTCTCTTCAGCTACGAACAGGCGCAGCGCGAGAACAGACATTGGGTATCTCAACATGGCTAAAATAGATAGGAAAATCATTAGTTGCAGGTTTCAGTCAAAACCCTGAATCGGGAATTCGGACACCGTACGCCCCATAACGCCGAGTTCATTTCCTGAATGAAGGCAGTTTCTAATACTTCCTTGCTCTTTCGCAAATTGGAGGCATGTTTGCGTTTCCGATTGGGCGATATTAACCCAAGTGCAGGACGTTGCTTGAGGATCTCAGCCCTCTCAAAGTCCAATATGATGACATTGTCAGTTTCTGAGTTGTACAAGAAGTTGCGGAGTTCTGCATCCCGATGCAGGACTCCCAAACGATGCACAGCCGAAAGCGATTCCTTCGTCTTGGCTGACATAGATGCCTCATTTTCAGGAGTGAGAACCGCACGAAGGGGAAAGCCACCAGGTCCAAGTAGCATCATATGTACGAGGTAACAAATTCCCTCGTAGCTATATGGATGTGTGAGGTCAATGCTTCCGAGATAAAGTGGAACGTTGATGCCTTGGAGTGGACGAAGCTTCTTGTAAACAAGTGCTTCATGTTTCAAGTACTTGGTGAACTCCGCGGTTGTGCATTTCGCAGGGACCGTGTAGCCGTGGGACGACAGTGATACTTTGAGAAGAGCACCACGAGCGCCATGAATTCCTAAGCTTTCGCAGTCGGCATTCACAGTTTCATCCAATTGCCGTCGAAGGAGATCGAGAAATTCGACAGAGTTGATGCGGTGATGCGTTGTTCCATGTTCTGCAGCATTTGGGCATGTCTTGTCCAACTCGCCTCGGCTGATTAAGCCACGAAGACATGCCACCGTGCAGTAACGGCGGCGATTCCCCGTCTGCTGAGAAGAGGAGCTCGTTCCGGCCGCACCGCCGGATGTAGATGTTGTCTGGGTGGTTCTAGACCCGCGATTTCGCTGGTGATTCCCAGAAGCTTGTGAGGTTCGGCTGGGCGCATCGGGAGAGTCAGAGTCGTCTTCGTCAGAGCTGGCGATCGTCTGCGATGATTGGCAGGAACTGATGGCTTTGGGGGGTGGTCTCGGGCGGAGACGGATCGGAGACATCGGGGTAAAATTGAGCCGTGCAGGGCGATACTCCGACGACGGCGTATCTTCCTTTGAGATAGTTTTCAAAATATCTTCCACCACGACTTTCCACTTTGGCAATGAATTAGCTGCTCTCTCAATCCATGACTGGGGTTCAGTGTGCAACTTAAGTGCTTGGACTGTAAAAGCAAGAGCTTGCCCGACAGCAGTCAGATGTAGGCGATTCGGACTGTCAGAGGAGGGATCCCAGCCTGTTGTGTCTCCAACGTCTCCCTTGGGGACAGACAAGTGATAGAACAGTGTCGAAGGATCCTCATCGATCCGCAGATAAATATCTGCTTCGCCAGTGCTAAACACGGCACGTTTGGTACCCGCACGAATCATATAGTCAAAAGGCTGTGTAAGAAGCCCAGCCATCACTCGACGGAGACGATCTTCGCTGGTCTCCTTCTCTTTCCCTTTGAGTACTTGGTCAACGTCCATATCCTCCAACCCCCCATAGATGTGGCCCAGTGTAACTTTATGGGGACACCTGAACTCTTTGATATAGGCTGCAACCCGCCGACTTGTTTCTGATCGTTCACCAGAGACGTTGTAAACGCAGAAGTGATCAGCACGGGGCCGGATGACAGTGGCCGGGGCTGGAGTGCTGGGTGGCGGGGGTGCCGTGACGCCCGGTTCACTTTGTGCCCTACCGGCTAGACGCCGGGAGCATCGCTGGGCTGTTGGTCGTGGGCTAATTTCCAGGTCGCGCACTCCATCCTCAATTTCCTGTTCTGGACTGAGCCTATTGGCATGATTCTCGAACTGTATGGACCCTTTCAGCTCGAATGCTTCGCGGAGAGTTGGGTCCTTATACAACTCCTCGACAATGTTTGAGACATTGAATTCGACCGCGTTCCGAATGAAAAAATCCAAATCACTCTCCGAGCCAACTCGAAAGTGGCGAAATTTCGTCTTCTCAGACTCTAAGCTAAGAAGCGGGGTGAAGAGCTTCTCTTCGGCAAGTGAAGATTTCATCAGCTGCTGCCATACTTTCAGTTGTTCCGCCGCAAAAGACTGCCAGATCTTGATTTTTCTTGGGCGGAGTTTGTTGGTGGCGTTAACAGGATCACCGCGGGTTGTTTGTGTTTTGTCCGTCTGAACTTGGAGGCCAAGGAAAATCTTTGTGTGCAGAGCATCTAAGAATGTAGGAAGGTCGGTTTTCTCAAGTCGCTTTTTGGCTTTATCAGCGCGACGAGTTTGCTCGCAAGTTGACGCTCCAACTCAGCCACTCTGTCGTCCATCTTAATATGTCGTAAGAAAATCAAGGGTTATTTGTTGTGAGAGGACTCAAGCGATCATGTTGAATGGAGGTTGTTGTTGAAGGAAGGAATTAATATATCTGTAGACTGTATCCATGGATCCTTGCCCGGGATAGTCACATGACATAAACAGAGCTCAGGTGATCGCCCCTTACCCTTTTTCCCACCACATCATAGCTCCGCACTTTCTTCCTTCTACAGCTCTCATAGCTCAGTATAATCTACAATTTGTACAACTCCTTCATGATCTCGTTTAGATTGTAGATCTTAACAGCAATAACCTGCCCTTCATCGACGACAAGCCGGTAGTAAAGATGTGCCGACATGGAATAAAGGGAAATGGAATGGGTCTGTGCGAAACCCCCCTTCCTTTTCCTCAACATTGAACTTCATTTTCCCCCTGCAGGCAGCACCAGCGCCACTGCCACCACTGCCCGTACTGTTTCCTAATGGCGGCTACCCCTGGTATTAGCCTTATGAGCCAGTACAATATCGTTCTACCGAAAAGGCCCCTGGAGTATGACTCTTCCGGCAAACCTATACCTGCATGCGAACCTTATCAATGTGCCGCGGCAATTAAGGGCGAGGATCTCCCCGTCGATCTAAGCTCGTTTTGGCATCAGAGAGCAGTCATCCGTGGGATTCGTGATTCACTTCAATTTGCAACAAGCCCGGCAATTCTTGAGCTATGCTCTGGCGACGATGGTCAGGCCCATCAATTTTCCCGCGCCCGCAATGCTCGCCTGATAATGAGTGATGTAATCCCCGATATGCAAAATCCTGCCACTCAGCCGTACTGTATCTGGTATCCTGACCTTGCATCAGAAGAAACATATCGCGAAGTCGCCCGTCGGTATCCGTCTATGCGGTATCAAGTGGGCCGAGCGTGTGCTGCAGCATGCTATACAGATCTCTACAAAGAATTGGACCTTTTGCCTGACGTTTCTATTGCGGAAGAATCCCGCGAAGTTGACAAAGACGCCGAAATCTACAAGATGTTCATGTCCGCCCCCCAACGATATGCTGTCATGGAAGATTTCTCTCGATCCGTTCATCTTGAAACCCCACGAACGCCTGCGTTTCTGACTGGCGATATGAAGCCCCGATGGGCTTTGGGACAGCGAGTTCTCCCTGGTAAAAATTTACCAGAGACGACTGCTGATGATATTGACATCGAGGAAGATGGATTTATCGGCTTTCAAGATGTCAGCTTGAAGGATATCAGCGGAATGGAGGACTACGCTGAACTGGGCCCAGGCCAGTCCGATCAACTGTGGATGCCTCTTCCGCCTGATCTCCCAAATCTTGAAAAGCTCCTTCAGACACAGATGGCCGCGTGGGAGGGCAATGTGGATCGATACAGTCGACTCATGCACCCACGCAGGCTGAGAACCGAACTTGAATACAATTGTGTTCTTCGTGGCATTTATCACAGTACAACCTTCGCCAGATGGTGGGCCTATCAGCTGGAAACAAACCCTGGACGGGCCATCCTCCCAGGTAAATTGCTCAGCGAAGGCAATGAACGGGAGTGCAGAGAGATTCGCACTGCGATCAATGCCCGCATGATAATGAACAATGAGATCTCTGGTATCGAGGATGACTCGGACTGCCTCCCTTGGGTCATATGGTGGCCCTTGAAGCCCAGTGAGAACACTCTAATGGATCTGGTTCGAAAGTGTCCGTCCATGGGACATCAAGTTGCGATCACAAGTATAATGTGTGATTACGATAGGATATTCCGAAGTTTGAAGCCCCCCTACACCAGATCCTTGTATGTGGCTGCCAGGCGAAGCGAAAATCCATTCTACCTTCAATACCTCGAGGAAATCATGAAGGAGCGCGACATAACTCCCCCGGACTTTCGCGACTTCAAGGACTTTGATTACACTGCACCAGGCTTACAGACTGATCTGGAGCCTAGAGATGATCTCGCCTCTCCCACTGTCAGCTACCATGACATGGAGATCGGGTATGGCCAATATCCCTGTGGAAATGAACACGAAGATACTCTAGGTACATATGGAGGGGGGCTAGCAAATCCGGGAAGAGTGGAGAGATACATGTGGCTCTCAACTGAAACTGCACAGAAGTTAAAAGATGAACTTGAGGTGCTCTACGAAGGTGCGGATACTGGTCTTTTGTATGGCGATGATGAACTTCATTCCAAGCTTTCACGCCGTATACAGCCCATGGATTGGTAGTATGCAGGTTTCGATATGTCGAATACAGTCAGTCCCTTTGATTTTCGAGTATTATCTGCCGAGTATTTGCTAGCTTACTTACCGATGGCAATATCGCTCGTAGATACTAGGACCAACCTTTATAATCTCAGATCAGTCCCAATCCATCTTCCACGTACAATATAGCGGGTCGAGCATGTGAGTGTGGTATAATATCGATAGCAGTTTTGTAATCTTCCTCAACTCAAGCAGCAGGTCGAACCGCAACCCCCATCGCACTTAACTCCCAAGCTACTTTCCAGGAGAACTATCATCAGCACCGAGGTTGAACAATTCTACCAGACTACCACCCTCAAATCCGGCATGGACCCCACTTGCTGCTCATCATCCATGGACGGGTCTTCCAGAGGCGACTCCCTTCTTAGATGAGCTATCATCTGGAAGTCTCGTCCACGGATGATCAGCTGTTTTTTCAAATTGCAATCCGTGCCAGATGTAAGGGGTGGTAGAACTTAAGAAGTTGCTGAACCGCAGTGCCGATAGATAATTCCCCTGAAGGAAAGTAGCTTGGGGTTGGTGTGCGTGCTGGGGGTTGCGGTCCTACTTACAGAACAAATCAATCTCGTCAACGGGAATGTCCACTTAGAGACTAAAATTAAATACAAACATCATTCAGATTACCATATTTGGTAAAAAGTTCTAAGACTGAAGAAGTATTCGCCATTCGGGCTTGTCACATCTGAGACGAGGGTGTCACCGGATTCGTGAACAGTACATATATGCACTGCAAATATCCCGTTGAGTCCCAAAGCGACCCCAGGAGGCTCTTAAATCAAGTGAGGAATCTCTCCAGCTGTTCCTGCGTCACGTTTTCTTCCGTGGGTTAGTTGGATTATGTGTGCGCACACTTATGGGTCTTGCTACCATCGTGAACACTGCTAGAGATTCTTGTCGAGAGATACGCCATTTTCGAGTCCAAGGGAATTCAGTTACATTCAATTACCCCCCTGCCGCTAGACGATAGAGATAAGTATGCTATGTTTCTGTAAAAAGCCCCTTTCCACCGCGCGATTTTGCTTCTTCGCCCCCAAAACCACCAAACCACGATCTCCGTCCACGAGGGAAGCAATGTCGAGCTGCCTCGGTGCCATGATAGGCAGGATTCTGTATGCGAGGGCGAGAGGTGTAAGGTGTAAGGCGTATCGAGCATCGGCCGGCTCAGGAACTTGCCAAGAGAGGTGCGGGTAAGTGGTAAGAAAGATCCCGGGCAGCAAGAGGGTATCGATTCCAATGGCAATCGCGACAAGGCAAAGTCGCAGAATTCCATGGCGAAAGTCCTGCTCATACACATCCGGCCATTTGCATACTCGTGTTAGACGCGATGTATGCCAGGATAAGCTCATTGGGTTGAGCCAAAGGCTTCATATGGGGGCCAGTTTACGATAGATTGATCTATCCCTGTGGCATGGCAGTAAGGAAGAGGCGTTGACTGTGTTAAGTGAAGACGTGGACCTCAGTCCAGACAATGCAGCAGTTCATTACCAATTGACGTCGCTGAGCTGGAGCTTGCGGGAACGGAAGGCAGACCGGTTGGCACCGGCTTTGTCCATGCGTTGGCTTGTCGGCGCGCGTTTCTCCTGGGGGCCTTGACGGGATTGTCTCAGTTCGAAGATCCTTCGGTTCATCAGGGGGTATTGCTCACTCTCAGTGGGCTCGGGTTCAGTCGATGCCTCGTAGTTCAGGACTAGGTTCTTGATGCGTTGTTGCTCTTCGCGGTCGGCTTGTTGCTGGCTGCGCATGGCAATGGCAAAGGTCGAGTCCGACGGGAGGTCGATCGTGCGCGTCTAGAAGTGGTTAGGGATATGCAAGCCATGTTGGGGATGTGGATACTGGTTCTCTACCTGTTGCTTGTTGCCCTTCTTTGTCATCAGGGAGAAGGCCATTGTGCTGGGCGCAACTGGCTGAGCGGGGGCTGGCTCAGGGCTAGAATCAGCGGCCATATTCTCGCGAGGGCGCTTCATCGGCAGAGGAATGTCGAAGACGGTCTTGCGTTCGAACCGTCGCGAGTCCATGCTCTCGGCCATCATTTTCTCGAATTCTCGATCAAACTCAGCCTCGGTCACTGGGTCTCGCTCCTCTTCTTGTCGGGTGACAACGATCTGTTCATTTTCGGACTCGCTCTCGCTTTCGTCATTGCCCTCGGGATTGGGTCCAGATGCCTTCGACGGGAATGCGTTAATGTGCCGTACTGATTGCAGACGAGATGGGGGACCTACATCGGCCTCGTCGCTGGATTCCTGGTCGTCCTCGATTTCGGGAATCGCGTCCTCCTCCATGTCCTCGTCAGACGAACTGCTTTCCACCTCCTCTTCGTCAGCCTCGGCCTCAATGGGCCGCTCCGACTCCGGCTGGTTGTAGTTCTGGGCCACAGCTTCACTGAAGATGCGGGTCGCTTCTTCAGCCTGGGTAGCGATTATCCACTGCGGCCGAATGGAATGGTAAGTGTCCTGCACGAGGAAGTCGATATCCATGGGTAACGGGTCCTTGGTAAATAAGTAGTACTGGAAGAAAGCAAGGAAGAAATCCAGCTTTTTCTTAGCCGAGCCACGGTCAAAGCAGTGGCCACACGTATCAAGAAGGGTGCACGCCAAACGCACGCGGAAGTAGTCATCCGGTAAGTCCAGCATGTTAATCTTACCAGGGGCAGGGGTGCCACCTTCATGGCCGAAGGTGATAATGCGGTACAGCGTGTCGAAGATGACCGGGGAATCAACCATCTTGTAGTTGTAAAGCTCACCCAAGTACTTGATCTCTGCAATGCGCTTCTGGTTAAACTTGAAGTCGTTCTGCTCAAGGCCAAGAGTAACCTGCTCCAGAATATTGTCCACAATGCCGATCACAAAATCCTGATGGTACCGGTACAAAGCACTGACAAGGATTGCCAAAAGGTGAATGCTGCCATATTTCACCTTGACCGGTTTGCTGAACACGCTTTCCAGAATCTCGACGACCTCAGGCTCCTCCCAGTGAAGTTTGCGAATGGACTTCAAGATCTTTGTGTAGTTCCGCTTGTTCATATCCAAATAGATCAATCGGCGGATATACTGCTCCATGGGCGTACGTTCCTTTTGCTGGATCGCGGGGCGTGGTGGCGGGTCGACATAGTAAATGGCATTTTCAATGACCATGCGTTCCTGCTGAGCTAGATGTTGGACGGTCTTCTTGCGGCTCAAAGTCTCGAGGAAAGACGCCATCCGGGGCGATGTTTCAGGATTGCGCAGCAGGTAACGGCCGCAATTCTCCAGCAAATTGCCAATGATTTCAATGTTCATGCGCGAAAATTCGTCGAGTGAGACCTTGAAACAGTGGAAGATGATGTGCTCCGGAACCACTCCAAACTTGGTCAATTCAGCCAGGTATCGCACATTGGCCATGCGTACTTGACCCAAGAACTCTTTGGACTTGCGTCGCTGCAGGCTTCGGAACTCCTCGTCGAGGTAGGTCGTCAGTCCTTGAGGGATGTCTGGCAGGTACTGGCCAAGCGTTGCCACCAAGCGGGAATAAAGAGGCAAGAGATCAGAGCGACCCTTGGGGATGTCCGAGACAGCTTTGACCAGCCTGTTTCGCGAGGCTTTGGAGTTAACCCAGCAGAAGTCCAGGGCGAACTGATCAACCTGGTCTTTGGTCTGCAGTTCGGGAAGCTTGGAGAGGAGAGCGTCCACCTGCGCACCCACCGTCTTGCTGGCAATTGCAGTTGACTGATCATCTGCCTCGGCAGCAGCCTTCTCATCTGAAGGCTCGGCAGCCTCGCTGGTTTCGCCATCGGGCTTCTTTTTGGCCGACTCCTCGGCTTCGCCCTTTTTCTTTTTCCATCCTCGAGCAAAACAGCAGGCACCTTGCCCTTCAGATCGACGAGATTCTCGTAAAATCGTCTCTCTTCTTCATCCTCCCAGATCCCAGCGCCTTCGCCTTGGCCTCGGAGGTAGTCAGTGGTCTTAACAAGCCCAATGCCACCACTGGCAGAAGCATCGCTAGGCTCCTTTTCAGCCAAGCTAGGCATCTCAGCTCCTAGAGCCTCGCACAGCACCTGGGTATTGGCAATGAGCTTTTCCAACACCTTGGACTGCTTCTCGAAATTCGCCTGGCGGTCCTCGAAGATCTCACCACTCTTCACGTACGCTTCGGCGTTGCGGCGATTCTGCTGTGCTAGTGCTCTCTGGTCTCGAATCACATGCGCTTTGACATCCTCGAGGTATCGGGTCAAGATGTTCCTGAATCGCTGCTGAGTCTTCTCTGGAGTCAAGGGCAGGTCAGAATCAGCGTTGTGTCCATTGGTCTCTGTTGTCTGCGTCTCCGCGCCAGCAGTCGTAGTAGCGCCGTCAGCCTCCACAGTCTTCCTGCCTTCTTCAGCAAGCTTCGAGCCAACAATATCCCAGCTGAAGCTCTTCACAAACAAGACTGCAAGGGGCAGGTTCGTATGATCACGGTCATGGCCGAGCAATTCCTTCAGAACCTCCAACGGGAACGGTTCAGCCTGCTTGTCTTGATCTTTCGCGGCCGCAGAGGGCGTCTTTGCTTTCAGCGGTGTATCGATTGTTTTGCCTCCAATGCCAACTGCACCCTCTTTGCCCTTCGCACCAAGATCCTCGGGCCGCTCGACGTCATCGAGGGTCTTCAGAACATTGACCAGCCAAAGCTCGGTGACGACGCGGAGAAGAACGCGGTGCCGAGACAGTCGGTCCTTCTCTTCGCGTTCGCGAATCTCCTGAGTCAGAGCTTTCAGCTGCGCTTTATCCGGTGTGCTCAATCCGCGGCCGAGCAGCCAGCCGATTTGTCGTGTAAACTCCCATGGACCAAAACGTTGGTGCAGCGCGCTGACAATTTCTACTCCGGCTGCAATTTCGCCGGGGGATTTTAGCTTGCAGAGGCCTTCGTAGCAGGCGGAGATGATCTCGGAAAGGTACTTGTGGAGGGAAAGGGTGCGGATATCGGCGAGGAAAGTCGAAAGGGCGGAGGCACTGATGCCGGTGCGTAGACGTTTGATGAATGCGGTGTTCTTCTTGAGGGCTGAATCAAGCGATTTGCTAGTCGTGAATACATCTGGTATCAAGTCATTAGTATCACGTCGGAGGGCTATCACGGCATTTCGTCATAGAGGGAGTGTAGATATTTACCAGATTCACCAGCCCAGGCACGCTCGTTGAGGTCGCGAAGCTCTCCTGTACGAGTAAAAGGCCAAATGTCAGTCAAAATCTCCCAGGTTGATCTCATACACCGTACTTTTTCGTTGGCGATCCATGATTGTCAAGGACCGAAGCTCAATGGGGTCCTGTCTGAATGTGGAGGAAAGCGCATAGGTGACTTGTACGCCACATTGGGTATCTGAAAAGACGAAGTCCAAGGTTGAGTTGTAGTCAGAGAGAGGGGAGAGGAAGAGAAGGTGAAGTCCAGGTAAGGTCTCCAAAGGTCCAGGGCGGAGCGGAGGTGATGGCGGACTTTTATTTGCTTATCAACTTATCCACATGTGACTTGTGCGAATAAGTCGACTCTTACACTCTTCATCTCTTCAATACTTCCTCAATTATCATCCTATTACTGCGTACATATTCCTATGTTAAATTACAGGTTTTTTTAAGCATCTCGGTATAATACTGCGTATTTCAAATGATTCATTGTTGCCCTCCGTTATCAACTTCCCCACTTCCCAAAGTCCCACGTTACAACCCTGCATCAAAGGGCGATCAATTCAATAATGCTATTGCGAACTGTTTAATCCCCACTACCTAATGCGCCTCAGAGAACCCTGACTCCTTCCCCTGTTCCGACGCGAGCAATCGTTCTTGTAGCTGGTGTTTGCGATCTTGGTGACTCCAGCTCGGTTGACGACCGAGTGTCGGCTTCCATGACTTCCCCGATGTTACCTGTCGATCAGAGCCCGATGATTCGGTGGCACCAGTTGCAGTGAAGCTTTGGCCAGAGGGAAGGGTCACTGTGTGTTCTTTCCGATCCGAGAATTGGCCGTGGTCATCATCGTTGTTCGGTGCCATTCTGGATGATTTATAGGTAGGTGAAATGAGGACAAGTCGGTGCGAGATGTATGCTAGCTATTGGAATTGGAGCTGGCTTTGAGATGGATTAGAGAAGAGAATCTTGGAAGTAACTGGTGCTCAGTTCACCACTTACTCGGGGCTTTATACCTCTTCGGTGCGGGGTACTGGAAGTCTAGATGCAATGTGGCGGAAATCAGACCAGATGGAATTCAAAGGTAGTGACAATTGTACTCTGTACTCAGTGTACTGTGTATAATGGGTCAAATATATGAAGGAGTAGGAAGTTCAGTTGATCAGCAATCGCGGTGAGGTGAAGCTATGACGTGAGGGTGGCGAATCAGCAGGGTGACGAACTACTGTGTATCTGTGCCTTGGCCCTTGGAGCTTCCCGCACCCATACACAGTACAGTAAACGACTTTCTGATTCCATCCGACATGAGATACATAGAAAATTGTCTTACATCTAAACTGTTAAACATGAAATGGCACAACCCTGAGCTGTATGACTTCAGGTGAATCAAACACCTTTGGACACAACTCATGTATGCGATTACTTGATTGCCTAGTAGCTGGAAACATCATGCAATCATTACGATAGGACAATTCGTTCTAACTCTTGAAATTGACTAGCTAACGTACAAGTCGTGAGTGCGTTCAACCATTGGAAAGCAGACTGACAAAATAGCAAAACCAACGAGGCAAAAAGCAGTACATTGAGTCCATGAAGAGCGCTTGACTTGATGTCTGGAGACACCGAGTCAGGCTGGCAGGGTATCTCCATAGAGACACCTGCAAGGCATGAGAGCCGGTGAGAGTCAATCGACTGACTTTAATCAAATAACACGACCAAGAGAAACAAATACCAAGCATTGCAACCAACTTCAAGATGTTCAAGGTGCACCAGAGCCATGTACAAGTGCTTCCGGGTACCAAAGAGTCGTGCACTTCGATGCTGTAACGAGGAAGATAGCCAGAAAGCAGGAACACAAGCACAAACCAACAGAAAAACAAGAAATTCGAGGTGAATGGATTAAAATCAGGGTATGCCTCACGCCACGCTATGCAGGCCTCCCTAGGAGCTAGGGAGACCAAGAATCACTGCAAATATTTACTAAGAAAGTCCATCCAATGAAGGAAAGACATAGGAACTTTTGCGATCGATTCATTTGGGCTTGCGCCAGAAGTATTGCTGCAAAACAAGTTAGTTGGTGTTCTCAATACATTGGCAAAAAAGTACGAACCTTGTGTTGTTTGCGACAGTTGCGCAGACCAGGCTTCCGAAGATCATTCACTACAGCTGACCGTCGCATCACATCGTCATCCTCGTCGGGAATATAATAGTATTCACTTTCAAGTGGCTTGCCAGCGGCATCCTTGCCTTCACGGGCCACTCGGCCAATGAACTTGGTCGATTCGAGAATATTGCGGATATCGTACTTGGAGAGACCGGTGGGGTTCTCATGGCCGGACTTCCAGAACGCCGGGGGAGGTTGTTCAGGATGGTAGAGAAGGGCGTTGACGACAGTCGAGAGAAAGCGAGTTGGTTAGCAGCATGGTTGCGGACTCTCTCGGACTGTTCATCCGTATACTGGGGCTTAGCCTCGGTAGTCTCCTCCTTGTCTTCGTGAACTGTGGCGGGCTGTCTAGGAGACTGCGTGGGTTGGAGGGGCTGGGCGGGCAGCAGGCCGCGAGGGGAACGAGCTGTCCGAATAGGCGAATCACCCGCATGGAAAGATGCCATACGGGGGAGGAGGTTCTCACCGAATGGTCCGAAGGAGTGGATAATAGGGTCGTTCTCTTCGTCATTGTCAGAGAACTCTTCAGACCTACCCAAGTCACTCGACTCCTCGCGGGAGGTGTGAAGGATAGCAGTTGCACGACGGGCACTTTGGGACATGACTCCTGTGACAGTGTTGTGGCGCTTCAAGGGAGAAGGCTCATCTTCGAAGACCACTACTGCGGCACGAGAACGAGAAGGTGTGAAGATGGGTGAGGAGGGGGGATGGTATGCTGCACAGCAGGCGAGGGCGAGACAGGCGATGCCAGGCGCTGGCGATCCAAAAGCGGACTTTCCTGCAGCTCTCGTCGAGAATGACGCCGTTGGGTTGGTGTTGCTTCGTCACTGGTCTGTTCCGAGTCGGTCGAAGGGCAGTCCCTTTGTTCGCTGCGAGGCCATTGAACAAGAACGCGAGCCTCATGAACATCAATCATGATATCCGCATCCTTGATGTCCGAGGTAAAGGTTTTGCCTTTGGCCAAGTCATATTTCCTCCCTTGGCAGTGTATCTTGATCCCATTCCATCCCATACACACAATCTCCACCCTATCCCGATCGAAGGGATTGGGCGCGGGCTTATATGTAGCCTTCACATGAACACGAGATATCATACGACTGGCAGCGAGCTGGTGATGACACGAGACACTGGATCTACCCATCAGGATGGACTCTCCACTCTCCGGCAACATTATAGCAGGCACGGTCGACAAGGGAGCGCGTTCGAGGGCGGCGGAGAAGGATCGTGGCAGGGAGGGTCGGGCGGCAGCGACGCCGGGAGGGGGAGGAGAGGACGACATAATATGAGTCGACGAGGTCGGGACCGGGGTGGGATATGTCGAGACATCTGGTTCGCGTGCTACACGCTTTTGAGGCCGAGGAAGGGAGGGCGACGAGCTAGGCTCGAAGGCAGGCAGCAATGCTGCAGGACGCTTCATGCCCAAGATTGAGCCGACTTGGCTCTTCAACGGAGAGGACTCCATAGTGAAAAGGTAAAGGTGGGATATGGTGGAACGGAACACTCCTACTCACGAAGCAGAAAACCTGAGTCGAGGTCGAGGTACCCGCGTTTCCGCGTGTTATACAAACTTGGAGAAGGAGGGAAGTTTGAAGGAGAGGAAGACGTCAAGGCCTCCCCTAGAGAAAAGGATGTGGTGGGAGGAAGGAAATTGGTCAAGAAGGAAGGAGGAGGAGCATTGAAGAAAAAGGAAAGCTGTGTGGTAGTGGAATGCCCTGGGCGGAGCGTCTCGTCCCTGCGCGGAAATGCACGCTTACAGACCGAGACGCGTTTTGTAGACGCCAACCACACTCCACGTCCACGCCACTTTTGCAACTAATTTTCACTTCTAAGTATTGAAAAATTGTAAAAATATGAATATGTCAGTCAAGAGGTAAAATCGTGATCTAGCGCGAATTAGACGTTGGTTTTCTCTTACAAGCTGTCACTCTGTATACCTTGCGGCGCGTCCGCGTCTCAAAGCACGTGACCCTACGCGAGTCAAGTATGAGACCCGGTTTAAGTATGTCACCGTCAGGAATGGTATTCATGACTGCGAAATTGATCGTGAATTGGCACTTGATTGCGGTATGATTAGGAATTTATGTATATTTATGTATATAGTATGTCCTCGCTCTTATATCACCAGTCTATTCAACTATCAGAACTCAATCATAATTCATACTCTACTAAGCTCATACTAGTTCTACACTGTCTCTGACCAGCCCGTACTAGGGTAACTATACAGTTCCCAGCAGAAACTAACAAGCCCCCCTAACCACCCCACTTCTTGTCACCAATTTGATCACCGACCTACATCGTCGCGTCTTCCAGCCCCCATGTGGGATGATATGACATCGACTTGAACGACAATCGATTGAATCTCACAGACATTCCTCTCTACGTAGTGAAAACATGTGGCTTACATTCCAGCCTGGTCAATATTGACAGTACTACTACTATCAAGAAAATAACCAAACACCCTACAACTTGCAGGTATTTGTTCACAAGTACTGGTGGGGTCTCGTCTCGGGTACTATTGATTCTTTACGCGGGTTTGGTTCGGTCGTGTCCACCGGTCTCCAGTTAGCTCTCAACAATAACGGTGAAGGATCTTCTTGGGAAGTTTTATGCATTCCATGTCAGCGATGGATGTATGCCTCTTGAAATCGATCCCTTGCTTAATAGTTGATTGGGTCTAGATCAATGTATGTAGTCTAAAAACCGTTCTAAGTATGGGTTATATTCAGTGAGCCTCATTGGGTGCTCATTGATTGACTCTCACTTTCATTTCTCTTCTGCCATCAATATCTTACCGTGTAACTACTTGAACATATTGTCTCTCCGCGACGTAGTCAAATTTGAGCATCTTGGCATCTCCTGCGCCTAGGACGACCACTTGAGCCCTGCCGACTTCACGAACCCTGGATATGCTATCGAAAATATGTGTCTGTGTCTGCTTTAGGACTTTGAGTTATTCTGTATTGGAAGTTTTTGTCATAGACTGATTCTGTAGAGGAGGTGGGGTTGTTTTTCCAGAAGTACCTTTCCTGTTGTAGTTGCTACAATGATTAGGGCTTCGCGCTGATATATATCCACACGTGATATCAGACAATCCGTTTCTCTGACTTCCAGATAACCTTTATCCAAGCAATATAACTGCAACTAGAACGATTGAAGAATTCCACTATTCGACCCTTTCCTAGTTCCTACGCACGAGAACAATGATGCAATCATGCATGATAGCTGGTTGGTGGGGCATACATATTGCATTGATCATGTACGCGATGTATCACATCCACTAGTATCATTAGGTTTTTGCGGCTCCTAATGGATAATTGACTAATCCCTCGCGCTGAGAGCGTAGTCGCCCGTAGTCGAAGATACTATCGACCATGCACTTGGACTACTGGTTAGCCGGCAAACTAGTCCCAGCGTGCAGTGCATGAAACAGGGAAGATGGAAATGAGAATTCAGCATATCATCGAGTGAATAAGTAGCTAGAAAACAGGCCGTACATATCTCCCGGACTAGATCACCCCGCATATGTTGGATGTCAAGCGAAGAATGGCCAGTCGACCTAACGACTGTTACAGGACCAGCTGTGTGCCATGGTTCATCTCACCGGACCGACTCAGTAAGTCGAGCCTCAACATCAAGTCACAGGACCAGCATGGACGAATTCACCAAAATCCGAAAGACGCTTGACGGGGAAAGCCAAACACAGTCCCTCTGAACAACAAAAGGAAAGGGAACGAAGGATAGATTCAAAATCAAGAACTGGTTGGTACTTGAAGATAGAAGAAGGTAAATCTAATCATCAGATAAAAGAAGAAATCGCTCCCATGAAGTTGTCTGACCAGAGGGTGAAATGTGGTCATAAGAATAAAACCGATAAAATGCAACATGGAATTGGATTTCAAACCAAGCCACGTAAAATAAACATAGAATGTAAGATACACAGAAAAGAAGAACTGATCCTTCAGATAAGAGACCATGAATATAGACAGGTGCACAAAGGGAAGTGAGACGAGAGCGACGGCTCAGCTTGCCCTAGTGTAATTCAAAGGGAACACGCCAATCTCAAGTTAGCGTGGCCAGATAGCGACTGGCGTCGACCAAATAGCCGTTGCGACACTTATTCGTAGAAGACGTAGTAGGCCTTGCCGGAGGTGACACCGACCTGGGAGACAATGTTAGCATGAGAAAATCAGGAGCAAGGTAAATCTAAGATAGAACGTACTGTGCAGCCACTGTTGCCCTGAATGGGACCCTTGGAATCATAGAACTTGCCGTTCTCGTAACGGCACTCATCGCTGAGGTCATCACCTTCGAGCTTAATGTTGAAGTCGAGAGGCTCATCGGTGGTAGGGGCGTTGGGGAAAATGGAGAGGAACTTGCCGCTCTTGGTGTAACCGACACCAAGGTTGATGGGAGCCCAGTTTCCGATGGGCTCGCTGCCGTCACCCCACTGGCAACCCTTCTCAACGGAAACTCCCTTGGGGTTAACGTAGTACTGAGCGGAGGTAGCCTTACCCTCCCAGAAGAAGTAGGTGTCACCGTCAGGGCAAGTCAGGTCGTGGGTAACACCAGGAGAGGCCGCGAGAGGGACGGTCTCAGACTCGGTGCCGGGGTAGTCAGTGCGGCAAACAGCGACGTTCTCGGACATCTGGTTCTTGACGTGAACACCACCAACGCCGGGAATGCAAAGCTGCTTGTGGCTCTTGTTGGTAAGGTAAAGCTTGCCGCCCTTGCACTGGAGACCACCAACGGACTGGCCGGTGGCACCCTGGGTGGTAGGCCACTGGGACTTTTGGTAGCCGGGGGGCAAGCGTAAGAGCACATAGCACCGCTGTGGCACTCGTCGCCCGTAACGGCGGTCACAATGTCGCTGACCAAATCGTCGAGAATAGTGACGTACTGGATACCGGAGTAACCACCAAGGCCGAGGTAGTCAAGGGCCACGGCACCGTAGTCTGAGGGGAATTCACTGCAGTCGATCTCTCCGTCAGGGAAATCAGCGGTGAGGCCCTTGGCACCGGAGCTGCTGGAGCTGCTGGTAGCAGCGGCCTTGGTGGTAGTGGATGTGGGCGCCGCAGTGGTGGTGGAGCTGGCAGGTGTGATAACAGCGGACACCTCCTGGAGGATGGCAGGAGCGACGGTAGATGTGGTCGGGGCGGCAGTTGAAGTGCTAGAGCTGCTGGAAGGGCAAGCAGCCGCGACGGCATCGTCGAGCCACTCGAGCTCGTGGTTGGCGAGACCCTTGCAGGCGTCATCAACGCTGATAGACTGAGGAGCGCCAGACTTGGAAGGGTCCATCACAACGAAATCGTAGACGACGGGGCCAGGGACTGAAACGGTCTCGGTCTCGGTGGCGCGCTTGTGGTTGTGCGCATGACCATGACCATGGCCGTGGGCAGCGGCGAGGCCAGCCGTGGCTAGCACGGCAACGGTGTTCTGGAACTTCATTGTTTTGGCGAAAGCGCAGAACTGCCCATCACAATATGTCAGTCACTCTCCTGGATGTTTAATTTGTCTTATCATTCCATCATATTTCAAATGATCAACTCGTACGCGATCGTGTTTATCGGGTCACATGAACATCGCATTTGCAGTAGCGTGCAGTCATGTCAATAAGGACCAGCGATAAGGTGGTCAACCACAGCACACCAGATCGCGTCACAGATCACGAGATATGATAGACTAACGAGGATAGCACATACATCAGAAAGGGGTTGGTCGCGCGTTTTTCGTCAACAGTCAATCGAGTAACGACAGCAGTTTTCAAAAGAGTGTGGAGAGATTCAACCTCTCTGGTGTGAGAAAACTTCGGAAAGGCGACTGCGGTTAGGAAGGAACTGGGGAAGAGGAATTCAGGAGAGGTAGTAACAGGTAACAAAAAGGAGGGGGGGGGCGATTCGGTCCCTGTCCAAATTCCGTTTAGCGTGATAATCACGGAAAAGGGGCAGAAGTTGAATTTCAAGGTCCAACTTGTCTCACACACTGCCTAGTGGGCCCCAGGAGAAAGAGTCTGGATGCGACTTGGTCCCCTTGGCATAAAGGATCCACGATGTTGTTTACTTTTCTCTTATTTGCCAGTACCGTTCTTTCTTTCTTTGTTGATTCCCGTCTTAAACTCCATTTTAAACCGTTGTAATCCATCGTCCATCGGTCCAGTGCCTTTGTTTACCTTGGGTCTCTGCGGCTTGGCGGCAAAACGAGATGAATATGCTAGGGGGAACCAATCACAGACTGATCACTGCACTCCTTTATGCCCCGTAATTCAGGTACACCAATCAGAATTTACTTTGCTATGCCGAAATTCCTTGCGTATCCATGGGTACCGACAACATGCGACCACAGGGTTCAACTCTTTAGGCCCTTCTTTATTTCAATTTCCTCGTGTATAATTCATCAACCGCACTATTGAAGCTACTTTGCAAATTTTCCTCCGTATCACAATTTGTGAATGTTTAAGTTATCCTCAACGGAGAAGGCCGAAGATGCGCCCAGGGGTATGAGTTACAGACGGAGTATGCGTGATGATACGCTTACGTAGTAAAGCGTTCGACCCCCCGACGGTCTGCTTGGCCAATATACGAAGGCACCAGCCCCTTCTATGTACTTCCGTACATCTTCTGATGGTGAGGACCAAGCAGGGGATCTCCTCTGTGCCAGCGCACGGGTCTCGGCCCGGTTCGTATTCCACTCAAACCGTAGTCCGGATATAGCCAACCACTAAATCTAATATCTGATATTCTGACCTGCTCATCCTGTCGGGAAATAAGATTAATTATCGGCCAAGTACTCCGTACTCCGTATGGCGTATGCTAAACATACGCCCCTACATCGAAGAAGCTAGGAGGTGTCTACCTACTCCGTATCCGTACCTGGATCCGACTTGTTGCTCGGTTCAAGCCATTAGTACGATGTACGTGGTACCACTATACCCCGAAAGGATGACGACTCCGTGCTATGGGTTTCTATTCACACAGAGCTCCACGATCCCGAATGTTGTACTCCCGAGGTCCTATCCACCGGAGAACATACGTTCTGTGTACTCCGTGAGTCCGTACATAGGCGATATCCAGCCAAGTTCCTGTGGCAGGTGTGCAGGCATCCACTTTTCGAGAGTCCGATGCCCCGTGGAACAATACTGATAGGCGAGCTAGAAGCCGACGGCTCGTCGATCCACAGCAATCTTAATTCCACACAGGCGTGTCCGCGTCATAACGTGCTCTCGCTGTCCTCTGGGACGTGGTACTATGGAGCAACAACAACGTGGAATTATTTGGTAGTTGGTACTATCGTCGTACCAATAGTTGCGCGAGAAAATCGGGCTTCCGGAAATTGCGCCCACTTTTAGCTATCTCCTTCTCGAGGATTAAATGACGCCAGCGTACGGAGTACAGAGACTACTAGTCAGGGGATGCCCCATTTGCCAAAATTTAAGCATTTCGTTGAAGATTAGTGCTGAAAATCTTCTACGATTCGGCTTTTCGGGTGCCACCTTCTTCTACGTGCATGTGGGAATGAAGGTCCTATGCCCGACCTTGCTGTAGCTATCATCTGCTCAATGCTTGATGCGTATAATTTAGCTTTATAGTCATTACGCTGGCACTTAGGCTGCAATACTGCAATACCAGAGAGAATTCGGTCGTTGGTCCTCGTCTGCCAGTGTGAGTGGGCAGAGGCTCAGTTTACCTCAGAGATTGGGACTACGACTGCAATGGGTTTTACCTGTACCTGAGCAACAAAATGTACTGATCAATGAGCTCGAACCGAAAGAGATATCGCGAGGACCACTGTGTCCATCCACGGCGATACCATGCTTTCCGGTCTGATTGATTGAGGTTGTCCTTCTTATCTCAGATGGACACAGTTATTGGAGATGTTTCTCGCTTAAGCTCACCAACTAGTTAGTTAGAAAGCAGACCTTTCATCAAAGCAGACCTTTATGAATTGCAGTCTGGTTGAGGTAGTACCCTCGAGTCGAGCTTTCCATCAGGCGAAAGGGAGCAAATCACAATGTCATTACTCCGTAGATCTAAATCGTCGGCATGAGCCATTGATGCTACTTGGTCCAAGCCGTCATGCCACTAACATCCGTACAGAGCGATAAGTGGACGGCTGGGAGTCAGAGCGACTTGTTCTCAAGTATTTGCGGGTCGGAACTTCGCTTCTGAAGGTATGTGTGCAAGGAATCAAGAAATAAGCTGCTTGTTTGACATGATTTCCCTATGTCGTCCGACGACCCTCATAAAATGTGCGGGTACGCAGTACATAGAGTAGTAGACAGTAGATAGAACTCTCGCCTCGAATACCCCTCAGAATCCTGCAGATCAGAGCGGTCAATGAGATACGTTATAAGGCCTCAGGCACAAACTGGGGTCCAGACTGCCAAGAACGGATGAACTGCCACCGCCTTCCGAAATTTTTTTGAGTCCCGATATGATTGCGAAAAAAATTGGAGATATTCATCGAGTCTACAAATCGCTAAAATGGGCTCCTCTACTACTCAACTCACCTCGAAGGTGACCTCGGGCTCCCCCTATCAGCTTAGCAAGCCCCAGGTTAGTATCAATGATTCCCCACGTCGAGTTTCGCAAAATACTGATCGGATGTCAATTAGACCCTCAAAGCTTCCGGCGCGCTGCTGAAGCACATCAAGACCACCCAGCAAGAACAAGAGAAGACTGCAACCAAGAAGACTCTGATTGGCGACGACGATTCCGATGTCGAGGACAGCGCGACCAAGAGCGAGGCCATTTGGCTCGTCCTCACTACCAAGCAGCATGTGGTGGACAAGAACCGCCTGAAGCCCGGCAAGATCAGCATCCCTCACTCTCTCAACACAGCTCCATCGCTCAGCATCTGCCTGATCACTGCCGATCCCCAGCGTGGCGTCAAGGATATCATTGCCGACCCGTCCTTCCCCCAGGGCCTTTCTTCCCGCATCGAGAAAGTCATTGGTTTCTCTAAGCTTAAGGCCCGCTACCAGAGCTTCGAGAGCCGTCGCCAACTGTTCTCAGAGCACGATGTTTTCCTGGCCGATGACCGTATTGCTATGCGCCTGGTTCAGACCCTCGGAAAGATCTTCTACAAGTCGAGCAAGCGCCCAATTCCCATCCGTATCGCTGAGATCGAGAAGGTGGATGGCAAGCGCGTCAAGAAGGACCCCAAGGTGCCCAACGCTCCTCCTTCCAAGGAAGAGAAGAGCGCGTCTTTCGCCTCTCCCCTAATTGTCGCTAAGGAAATCGAGCGTACCCTGAACTGCGCCTCCGTGCAGCTCGCGCCATCCACTACCGCCTCCGTCCGGGTCGGCACATCCAAGTTCACACCCGAGCAGCTGTCCGATAATATCGTCGCCGTTGTTAACGGCCTGACCGAGAAGTTCGTCGCCAAGGGCTGGAGGAACATCAAGGCTCTTCACATCAAGGGTGCCAACACCATGGCCCTGCCCATCTGGCTGGCCGATGAGTTGTGGGTGGAGGATGCCAATGTGCTGGAAGCTGCCCCCGAGACTGAAGCTATCAAGGACTCCAAGAAGCGCAAGTCCGTTGGAGACGGCAAGCTGCTTGAGGAGAAGAAGACCAAGAAGACCAAGCCGGCAGAGGATGAGGAGGAGGCTGCCTTAATCGCTGCGCGGAAAGAGAAGCTGCAAAAGCTCAAGGCCCAGGCTCTCGAGGATGGTAACACAAGCAAGCCCGCCCCATCAAAGGCCGGCGGCAAGAAGAAGAAGTCTAGTTCATGATGGTTTTAGCTCTTAATGTTTTCTGCATGTAAAGGTATTTCTGGCGTACAAAATATCACGTGTGTCTATTGTTACGATGATCCTTAGTTCCCTAGTAATGATACTAAAACTCGTCCACGTCGATGCAATATACTGGGTAGCAGAAGGAAACGAGTTTATTTGGAGGTGTGCCCCCAGGTATCAAGCCCTATACAATAACAGTCAAGGGGAGTTCTCACTTTCATAGTTCATACCTTGGCATATTGCTCCCAGGCTTATTATCATGCACGTAGTATATTCACATGTAACTTGTACCTTTCTTTACCCAAGTCTCTGTCGCTATGCCCGCTGTTCTATATGACGACATATAGTACCTCTTACTAATGACGCTGTGTTGCACTGCCCCTTTTACCCTACTAGGCGTCGGACACCTGTGGCGAAGCACGGAGTTCTCCGTTGGATCTCAATAAGATACTAACTAGGGGAAAGCTTAAAAGTCTCATTAGACTCATTCTACCATGGTACCTTCTTTCAGCACTTGAACTCTGTCAGTCTGTCGAGTCTGTCCAGTAGATAGAACTAACGGCAACCATACATTGCCTAAAATGGACGTTCGACAGGGAACCCTGGGTTTGACCTTTTCCCTACTTGGGCGTCGGCAGCTGACCAGATCAGACAGAAGGGAGCTCCTGCCGTCTGAATCTCTTCCCTTCTTTCTTCCTTCCTCAACTACCGATCTCATCATTCACAATGCCAAAGCCTCTCTGGAAGTGGCACTACCAGCAGAAGGAGGAGTTCCTCCTTTCCTTATAGCGAGGCCTCAGTCACCTGGGGTCTCGGTACATCACCAACAAGCTCCGTGAATTTGACATCCATCCGATGGGCTTCTGGGCTGGCGACACTGATCCATCATTCATCCCATACTTTTTCTCGGACACTGATACCACCTCCAAAATCGCCAACACCAATGTCAAGAGAACCCCGCAGACGACCCGTTCACCTGGGCACCCCAGGACCCCAAGGGTGCGACGGAACTCCAAGCCGGCGGCCGCAATGGCTACGATGGGGTGTCCGCATTTCCACCCGCCTCCTCCTGGAAGTTGGAGGAAGTGGGCCTATTTGCGCCAGACCCAACTCAAGAGAGGCCTTTGTGGATCCGTATAATGCCTACTGAAATCCACGATTGTCAGATTTGTCACCAAGTATGGGTGACCTTCCGATCAGTCCGCGGATCGACTTATTGCCGCAATGTCTACGTTTTCCTGAATCAGCTACGAGTCCAGATCCCGCTGAAAGGCGAGGCTCTCGTGAGAGCTAATATCCAAGGATGTTTACGGGAAGCTGCAGCCAAGTAGTACGCAAGCGAACACAGACCTCGAGAGATGAGCCCGGTGGACCACCAATTCGGTTGGTTCCCGATGCTAGAGATATGGGAGGCAAAGAGCCTCAAAGGCATTGACTCCGACAGAGAGATCCGCCCGGTGGACCACCAATTCGGTTGGTTCCCGATGCTAGAGACATGGGAGGCAAAGAGCCTCAAAGGCATTGACTCCCACAAGTTGCACCATGCACTCTCCGCGGTGTTCTCGAAAATGATCATCTCCTTCAAGTTTTGCCTCTTCGGAGTACCTAGTAGTGAATGTGTATCTTACTGGTCGGGTGAAGGGAGTCGAAACCATTGCGCACCTCAAAAGGGAGATGCACATCGTCGACAATCTAGGCCCCGGCCTGCTACTAGGAATGGATATCATTGCGCCAGAAGAAATCGAATTCGACGTGGAGGGATCCGCATTGATTCTGCATGCTCACAAAAACATGACGGTGCCGGTGACGAGATGCCAGAGTCCGCGTCCTGCATAGGTATCTCGACAATAACGGCCGCCTTCAACTGGCCTATTGAGGCTATACCCAAGCACTGGACTTTGACACGGAGGACTACGCTGAGAAGATGGATATCCTCCTTCAATGGCCTAGCCTGAGGTGGAAGGTGACACTACCAAGCCCATCCCTCTCCCACTCATCGACGAAGACGAGGAAGATGAGTGGATTAAGAGCGGAAATATGGCGCTGCCATGCGCGGAGCTCAGCGGTGAGGAGAGTGAGAGTGATCTGTGGAGTGATTCCGACGACATATGGACCAGCAGTGAGGACGAAGATTCCTCCAGCGATTGGGAGTCGGTCACAGACGCGGATGAAGTGGATGCGTGCGACCAAGTCCCCATCGGGGGATGTGGGAGGAGGGGAGGGAAGTAGGGAGTCTGGGAGGCGCCCCCGAGTCCGGTCTAACCTTGTCCACGGCAATGGCGACTATGTTTACATGTACTAGTGGCGACCCGCCACACAGTTCTTTATAATTTTGTTTTGTTCTGTTTGTTAGCGTGCATCATGTATCATAGGAGAATGTACTGGGATGAGAGAGACCTGAGACCACCATTCTTAGATCCGCCCATGTAGTCAGACACTCGTAGACATTGAGTTCGACCTCGGGCGTACGGCCTTTGGGGTCATCACGGTAACGTAGTCTCGGTGGATATTGATACTTCTACTACGCTCTGACTACTTTTCGTTGCTTTTGCTCCACTAACTACTGATAGCGTGAATAAAGAACTCATGAAAGATAATATAGAAGACAGAAGACGCCATGAGACCGAAGATTGCATGCCTTGAGAGGCCTTGTATTGACTTCATCGGCTTGGAATGATCCTTGCGGTCTGATGAATACTTCACCCTCTTATAACATTCAATACATTATTATAGAAAGGAATCAAGCTTTCTCTTGACTGCTTGATGTGTCGTAATGGCAAGAAGCCGCGTCGTGATGATCCCAAACCTTTCCGACCTCGGGCCCGCCGGTCTTGGCATGCCGACGATAGCCACCCTCACATCACCGTGAATCGCCGAGCTTCATTCTTGCTCTTCTCCCCACGCCTGGAAGAACATCGCCAGATCACCACACCAAGTCGTCACTATGATTCCCATTGCTAGACACTCTGTCCTACGGGCTGCCCGCTCCCAGCTCCAACCCACCCGGAAGTTGAGCCAGCCCGCTTCCTCGGCGCTCGCCCGCCTGCTTTCGACTCTCGCCGTTCTCGAGCAGCGGAATGGCAAGCTGGAGGCTTCCTCTTTGTCCGCAATTGCGGCTGCACAGAAGCTTGGTGGCTCAGTAACGGGCTTCCTTGCTGGCTCCGGTGTCAAGGGCACCTCCGCTGCCGAGGTTGCTAAGATTAAGGGTGTCGAGAAGGTGTTGGCCGTGGACAATGACGCATACGAGAAGGTATGTAATTCTACATTCTTTGATTGACAACGAGTTCAAGGGACTTTGGCTAACCATCCTTTCTGTTGCACTACAGGGTCTCCCCGAAAACTATGCCCCTCTTCTCGTTGAGAACATCAAGAACGGTGGATTCACCCACGTCATTGCAGGCCACTCTGCCTTCGGCAAGAGTCTGCTTCCCCGTGTGGCTGCTCTCTTGGATGTTCAACAAATCTCAGATATCACCGCTATTGAGAGCGAAGACAGTACGTGGAAGTCCGAAGACTGACTTGACATGTGATCCGGCGGCCACTGACCATAATGCAGCTTTCGTCCGCCCCATCTACGCCGGCAACGCCATCCTGACCGTCCAATCGTCCGACAATATCAAGGTCATTACAGTCCGAGGCACCGCCTTCCAGGGCGTCGAGACCGAGGGCGGCTCCGCCAAGATCGTCGAGGGAACCGACCCCAACGCCCCCGCGACCACCGAGTGGGTGTCTGAGGAACTGACCAAGTCTGAACGTCCCGATCTCGGCACAGCCACTCGTGTCGTGTCCGGAGGCCGTGGCCTGAAGTCCAAGGAGGAGTTCGACCGCATCATGCTTCCGCTGGCGGATTCCCTCGGCGCTGCCATTGGTGCTTCGCGTGCTGCTGTTGACAGCGGCTTTGCCGATAACAGTCTGCAGGTCGGCCAGACTGGTAAGAACGTTGCTCCTCAGCTCTACCTCTGTGCTGGTATCTCTGGTGCTATCCAGCACTTGGCTGGTATGAAGGACAGCAAGGTCATTGCGGCTATCAACAAGGATCCCGAGGCTCCCATCTTCCAGGTTGCTGATGTTGGCCTGGTCGGTGATCTGTTTGAGAAGGTGCCCGAGCTGACTGAGAAGCTCAAGAGCGCCTAAAATGGTTGAATGAGTCGTTTTCCTTTTGTATCATGACCTATCGAGCAGGTTGATGCCATTTTTTGTTCGTTTTATGAACCGCACAGTATACCATTGACTAGAAGACTAGAGCCGGTTTGGTTTGGTCTACAATACATGTTTCCCATATTCTGCTTCCAGCCCTCTGGTATTTATTTAGAGAGCCTAGTTAGACGAAAATACTCGAGTACAAATGTACTGTGTACACTGTATAGTAGGCAAACCTCTTAAAGGCGCAGTAAAAATACTTTGCTGCCAAAACGGGACTAGCGCGTTCTACCAGCACGCGTCGCGTCTATCCGTACCAGAGGGGAATTGTATCGGAGACCATTCAAGACCATTCAAGACCATCCAAGACCATTCAATGACATGAGATATCCCAACGCTTGAATGCTTCCCTCGTCGCCATTCTTATCGTCGTTTGATCCTGCGCTTCATCTCCACTCCGAAAGCCCAGGCCACACATTAAATCCACCATCCGAATCATTCTCCGACGATATCGAAGCAATCCACTTGCACTGCCAGGAACAAACCCGCAACCGAGTTGTAATCCAGCACCGAGCGTGGGATCTATGTGATGTGTTTCGCAGTGAAGACGACATAAGACAGGGTTTGCAATTTCTAGCCCACATTGACTGGTACCCAGGCACTAACTGCTATGTAATAGATACGCCAACCAAGACCGTTACGACCCCACGACCATTTTCTCGCGTTTCAACTCGAAAGCTCTCTTTTATTCCGTCTTCTCCACCTACAAGAATGCCTTTCATAGCACCTTCGGGCGCACTCACGCCCACGTCTGGCAATGCGACCAATGATTCGCAGAAGAGGAAAGGCACAGACGGAGAGGCAGGCTCGCAGCCGACAGAGCCCAAGCGCCCGCGCATGATCGGAGGCTTTGTTGACGATGATGACGACGATGAAGACGACCTTCCTGCCTTCAGGGACGAGCAAATGGATATTCAATATGACCTGCCACCGCAGGAGCCTTCGGCGGAACTCCCTAATATACTTGCACCAAGGCCGGCAGTCACGAAGCCAAGCGAGGCTGTCAATGCTACACCTAGCTCTTCCAGGACTCTCCCAGTATTGACACCTCGGCCCGCTCCAACAGCCCCCAAAAGATTCCAGATCAAGACTTGTGCTGGCAAGACCCATAACGTATCGCAAAAGAAAGCGCAGGCCTCCGTTTCATATCAACGAATGATTGCCAGTCGGTCTGAGGTAGAGCCTGGGAAAGCGAGGAAGAGCTATTACGGTGTCGATATCCACCAATTGCTGGACGAGGTGGCCAAGGACACGAATTCCTCGAAGGCAGTCCCTCAGCCCCGAGTTCAGCGCACTATCGAAACGAGCCATATAAGCCCGAAGCAACAAAAGAAAGACTCCGCGATGTGGACAGAAAAATACCGTGCTCGCAAATTCACTGACCTCATTGGGGATGAGCGCACCCATCGATCAGTACTCCGCTGGCTCAAGGGTTGGGAGTCCATCGTATTCCCCGGGATAGCTAAGTCTCGTGCGAAGAAACCTGCCAAGGATGATGAAGAAGAGTATATCCATCGAAAGGTGCTTTTACTCAGTGGCCCTCCTGGACTCGGAAAGACGACTCTGGCGCATGTGTGCGCCAGACAGGCTGGTTTCGAAGTGCTTGAGATTAATGCAAGTGATGACCGCAGCAAAGATGTGGTCAAAGGCCGCATTCGTGATGCGCTGGGAACAGAGAATGTCAAGGGTATGAACGTGCAGATTGGCAATACCCAGGTCCGTCGCGCCGGTAAGCCCGTCTGTGTCGTTGTAGACGAAGTCGACGGTGTCACTGGTGGCTCCGGGAGCGGTGGTGAGGGCGGCTTTATGAAGGCCCTCATCGACCTCGTTCTGCTCGATCAGCGGAACGCGAAATGGGCTTCGGAAGGCAATAAAGGCAAGAAGCGAAAGGGCGACAATTTCCGGTTCATGCGACCGTTAATCCTGGTTTGCAATGACCTTTATCACAGCAGTTTGCGGCCACTCAGGGCTTCGTCTATTGCAGAGATGATCACTGTCCGTCAGGCACCATTAGAAAACGTTGTTCAGCGAGTCAAGGTCATTTTCGACCGTGAAGGCATCCCCTGCGACGCTGATGGCGCTCGAAGGCTCTGTGAAGCGGCCTGGGGTATGGTTAGCAAAAAGCACCGCACTGCCAAATCCCAAGGCTCTGCCCAAGGTGACATCCGTAGCGTGCTTGTTGCCGCAGAATTCGTGGCACAGAAGCTTCGAAACGAGGCGTTGTCCTCCTCGCTGAGACTGACGAAGAAGTGGTTGGAGAGTCGAGTGCTCAATCCATCGGCTGAGGGTAGCTCGTTCTTCAAAGAGTTGAGTCGTGGTGGCACTCGGGAGATCGTCAACCGTGTCTTCACAGAGGGAGCCGGCTTCGCAGATGCACCTGCCAATATGAGTTTCCAAGATCGCTTCGATACCCCGAATTCCCGGGTACCTGTCGGAGTAGCGGACTTGCGCAAGCGACACGCAATCAACCGACTGCGCGAAATGGTAGATGCCAGCGGTGACCATGACCGCTGTGTATCGGAGTGTTTTGCTTCATATCCCATTCAGCAATACCAGGATGACAATTACTTCTCGAAGCCTAATGCCGCTCACGACTGGCTCTATTTCCATGATTTAATCAGCTCGAAGGTCCACTCTTCTCAGGAATGGGAGCTGGCCCCATACCTCAGCCAGTCGGTTGTCGCATTCCATCATCTATTTGCTACAGCCATGGGCCGGACGACCGAAGATGACAAAAATGACGATGGCGAGGACGAGGACGCCGAAGAGGCACACCCCTTTTCAGGACCCAGAGCCGACTTCGCTGCCTTTGAGGCGTTGAAGCAGAACCGTGCGGCTATGACTGCGTTCCACGCCTCCTTATCAGCGCCTATGACTCGCATGTTCCGGTCTACTGAAAGTGTGATCACGGATTTAATCCCCTACTTGATCCGCATGCTATCCCCCGATGTGAAACCGGTTATCATTCGTGGAAATGGAGAGCAGAGGAGCACAGCCACCGTTCGCAAAGAGTCTGAACGCGCACTCGTTCAAGCCGCAGTGCATGTCATGACTGGGATGGGCTTGACATTTGAAAAAGTACGCGTAGAACACGAAGGAAGCCACGGTGGATGGGCGTATAGAATGGAACCGTGAGTGATAATTTCCGAGGCCTTGTCCAACACTTCTAAGCTAATAACACCATCAACAGACCCATCGATTCGCTCGTCGTCTTCTCAAAAATCAAAGGCAGCACCATCGAGACCTCGGGCAGTACAGCGCCGGTACGGTACGCCGTCCGCCAGGTGCTGGACCAGGAGTATCGCAAAGCAACGACTCGCAAACAGTCTGATGCCATGAGCGCATCTAAACTCGGCGCTAAGGGTTCTAGGAAGTCCGATGATGGTGTTGCAGCGAAAGCACTCAGGGATGCGGCTATCAAGCGCGACTTCTTTGGTCGAGTAGTTGATGAACCTACACCACAGCCTAGGGACCCGGATAGTGCGGAGGCGTGGGCTGATGAGTCGTCCAAGGCTGGACGGAAGGTTTGGGTTACTTTCCACGAAGGGTTCTCGAATGCGGTCCGGAAACCGATCTCTATGGGAGAGCTGATGGCGGGGTTGTAATTATATGCATGCTTCGTTTGAGCGTTTATATCATGGCTGGGTGCTTTTCCTCTTGGTAGGTACGACACGATGCTATTTGAGTAAAATTGGCTGCCGAGAATGGGGGCTATGTTGGACGCTGATTTGAGCTCCCTGCTTTTGACCAGTATCTAGTCATCTACACGCACATAATATATGTCTGATCAGTGATCCGCTCACCCTTCACTTAGCATTGAACTGGAGCCTCAGGGGGAGGTGCATTCGTCATGGCGGTGTAATGAACTGTACTCCGTAACCTGGGTGCGTTCTGGGCCCTGGCAGACAAATATGAAGCCTGAGGCACTAAGGCCTCAACACGTTCACAGCCGCAAGTTGTAAATGTGGGTCCGCAGTGGGGCCAACGCAGTCGCTCATTGGCCCGCTCGCACTTAAACCTGTGCAACCAATCATCGGGCTCATGGCCAATCTACGGAGTACAGCTCACTGTACGGTCGATTTACAGTAGTAGTCATCTAGGAGCTAGCCCCGGCTTTTGTCGTCTAAGAAATTTCTTCAACGTCGAGCCATAACACCGTTCTGTCGACTATGAACTCCGACAAATTTGCGCAGCAATTCAGCACGCTTCGCTAGCCTTGGTCATACGCAGGTGTCTCCCCGCAAAGTGCAGAAGCCAAAGGTAAACCTTACTGAGACCAATTGATTCCAGAGAAATTTGAAAGACCCTTACTGATCGGTGATATCCTTAGCAGGTCACATTTGAACCCATTATGCGCCGATCTGCTGTCCCTGAGCCTCGTGTGCTCAGCCAGATGACTACAGTTGACACAGCCAGCGGACCTGATCATGTTGCCGAGTCTGACGAGGGTGATGATAAGAATTCATTTCCAGAAAACAGCTGGGCCGCCTGGTCCTGCTTGCTGGGCTCGTTCTTGATGATGTTTCCTTCCTTTGGATTTCAAACTGCTAGTATGGAACTGCCCCTATGCACATTTCACTCTGATCAGAATTGACATGGCTACAGTTGGATCCGTTCAGGACTATATTAGTACCCACCAGCTTGCCGACTACAGTATCAGTGATGTCGGATGGATCACAGCGGTACTCGTGTTTTTGACTTTGTTCCTAGGAGTGCAGGTCGGGCCTCTCTTCGATACTTACGGACCGAGAGTCCTCCTGATTTGCGGGAGTCTCGCCAGTTTTGCGTGCTATATGCTCTTAGCAGAATGCACGCAGTATTGGCACTTCATGCTTTGTCTTGGGATTCTAGGGGGTGTCTCGTCTGCGGTCATCACCACCGTTTCGATTTCGGTTCTTAGCCACTGGTTTTATCGCCGCCGTGCACTGGCGTCTGGAATATGCATGGCAGGCTCCTCGACCGGTGGGGCGATCATTCCCTTACTTCTGCGAACACTCTTCCAGAAGTATGACTGGCTGTGGGCAATTCGCATCATTGCGTTCATGGCTCTGGGATGCTATGCACTAGGTGTACTCTTGGTGAAGGGAAGACTGCCCCCTAGTAGCAAAAAGAGGGTAGCGATCGATATTCGAGCGCTGGCTTCACCCCGTCTTTGCTTCCTTGCCACCGCTGTCTTCTCATTTGAGTTTATTATTTTTGGTTGCGCGGCGCTGCTCCCTACTTATGTGCGCTATGCCAAGTTCTCAGAGGATATCCAGTTCTACTCCCTGACACTGCTGAATGCAATGAGTCTGTTCGGCAGAGTCCTGCCCGGTTTCGCTGCCGATCAGGTCGGGAGATTCAACATACTGCTGTCTATGGTCTGTCTCACCTTGATCATTATGGCATGTGTTTGGCTCCCATATGGATCCAATAATGAGGCGACGCTGTATGCTGTAGTCGCAATTTTCGGCTTTGGCTCTGGCGGATGGTTATCTTTGGCCCCTGTTTGTGTAAGATCTATGTCACCCACCCCTGCCGCAGTCTCAACTCCACGAATAAAGCTGACAATCCTTTAGGCAGGACAAATGTGCAAAACTGAAGAGTATGGCCGGTTCTATGGAACAGTTTACAGTGTTGCCGCGTTTGGCGTCCTCCTCACCGTGCCTGTCGGTGGCAAACTGCTTCAATCAGCATCCCCCAAAGTCCTCATTGGATTCTACTCCGCTGTTTTGCTTGTTGGGCTGATCAGCGTAGCTCTATCACGTTGGGCGGTGTTAAACTGGCGTTGGAAATGGAAGATCAAGATCTAGTCTGTCTTAGATCCGTGCATGATACGAGGGAGCGCTTGGATATAGAATAAGTTTCGTTTCGCGTCGGAAGTTCGGAACCAACTGCCCAGTGCCGCGTCGAAAATAGTAAATGCAAAAGCATAGTAAGAATTAGAAGAGAATCAAATATGAGAGAGACGATTCGAACAGAAGTGTGCGAACTTCCCCGGATTTTGTCGAGAACAGCATTTGCCACCACTGACCGCCTTAGGTGGGTCGGCTGTTTGAGGTATGATCATCGACTCATCCTTGACCACTGATTATCTCTAGCTTGGGATTGATCAACATGAAGAGAAGCTCAAATGCAGTATCAACACGCAAGACACGAAGTGGCTGCCTCACTTGCAAGTATCAACCCCTACGCCAATCTTTGAAGGCTACCATTAATCATGCATTAGGTCTCGGTATATTCGTCCCAACGGGAAACGTCAGATTCCCCACAGCTAACCATCTCGCAATGCAGACGTATCAAATGTGATGAGCATAGACCCTCCTGTCTACGATGTGTCGCATCGAAAAGGATCTGCGAGGGCTACCCGACCCCTTTGCAGCACAGCCTTTCTCCAGATTCTCTAAATGACGAGGAACGACGAGCTTTCCTCTTCTTCCGAAGCCGCACTTCGCGCCAGATCTTTGGCTACCGCGATGTAGACGCATGGCTATCAACTCTTCTGCAGCTTGGACACTGCGAAATGCCGATCAAGCATGCCCTCACAGCGCTCGCATCATTACATGAGAGCCTGGAACCAGTGGATTCCTGCGTCTCTATTCGCCGATCAAAAAAACACGCTCAGATCGCGGCTCAAGTGTTGGCCCTGAAACATTATACTTCAGCCATCAAGTCTGTGCAAACTGAAACCCCGGACATGTCCTCAAGACCGGATGTCACCATGACCCTGTGTCTTCTATTTATCTGTTTCGAGCAGTTTCGAAGCGGCGATGCCGCCTGTCTGATCCATCTGACAGCCGGCCTGAAGCTGATATATTGGTGGAGACAACATACTAATGTCTATAGCAATCTCCGAGAATATTGTCGACCGGCGCGAGATCTCATCAATGACCAAATAACGCCTGTCCTGCAACGGCTGCGCGTGCAGTTCTCTTTATGCAGGGACTCTCGACATGCACTCAGAGACTCTGGGGTTCCGCTTTATTTACCACCTCCGACTATTCCATCATCTTACTCTTCCCTTGATAATGCCCGGAAGGATTATGACCGTGCAATGAATTACGTCTTTTCCTTTCTGGAGCGTGACCAACCCGCAGACAGCCAATCACCGCAACAAACGCCTATCACTGTCCTTCGGCAGTGGAAAGCAGCCCTGGATCATTCCGATTTTTCAGCGGAACCCCCTATGATCGAAGAGTGCACACACAAACTGTTGGAGCTCTATTATCATGTCTCCACCGTCATTATTGAAACATATGGTGCCGAGTCTGAGAGCGTTTTCGATAGCTTCACCGAGAGGTTCCAGGTTATCGTCGACCTTGCCGAAAGCATCACCAAAATCTGGAAGATACAGTCACAGGATTTCAATATATTGTTCAGCTTCGATCTCGGTATCACGCCGCCGATGTTCTTCGTTGCTTCCCGCTGTCGTCATGGTTTGATACGACGGAAGGCGGTTGATCTGATGCTCCATTCTCCGTTCTACCACGGTGCTTGGCAGGATCGATACTCTGGTCTTTGTGCCCAGCGAATGATTGAGATTGAAGAAGAAAATATCGGAGCTGGTGTGGATGATATCAATGTGGAAGAGAGCCGTCGTATTCGGAAGATCTCTGCTGATTTACAAGAGAACGGGCTAGAAATTGTCATGCAGTTCACTCGATGGCCGTTCGTCTCAAACTCTCCGGTTCATACGACTTCGATTTCTGTGATATAATAGTCAATGTACTATCAACATCTCTATGGAATATGGATTACTATTTCCACAATGGCACAAACACTTGGATTTCTTTGATCCACAAGGAGCGGAGTACCTCCACATGACTCCAGATCCACCTTTTACGGTTCTTAGCACACATTTACATACTACTACTGCACAATCACTAGATGCTGCCAGGTTGATAATCATATCGATTCAATAAAGATATATCGCTGCTGAACCAATTCCGCACAAGTCAAAGAGCCATTTTTGTAGCAGCCAGAACAATAACGCGGCGAGAAAAACAATCACAGCATTAAAACATAGTAAGTGGTATCCTAATCATTCCGTCGTAGAAGCAAAAGAGGTGCAGAAAGAGCACCTAGAAACTCAAAGCAGAAGCACAAAGACCAAGCCCGCAGCCCACGAGACTCTGTGAGCGAGGTCATAACCGATTGACATATCTCGCGAGCATTGAAGAAGGTCCGATGCATGCATTCACATTTGACGCGTTCCGTTCAGCGCATGCTGAAGTACCCAGCAAGAGCTTCGTTGTGCAATCTCTTCTTCTCGAGGGTTGCGGCATTATGGCTGGGACCAGTCTTTGAGGACCTGGATAGCGAGTACCACTTGTGGTTCTTGGAAATGTCGGCTCCATTGAGGGTTGGCGCTGTGGAGATGGTGGAGTGGGTGGAGGCTGCGCGCGAGGTGGCCTTGGAGGATGCCTTGGAGGTTGAGTTGGAGTTGGAGAACATTTTGAATGAAGGTGATTTTAGGTTTTGTTTTGAGAGAGGAAATTGGTAGGTTTGAGAGTGTGAGAGGTTGAGATTGAGGATTGGTGATGGTATGGAGTAGATGTGTTCGGATGGAACTGGAAGTGTGTAGACGTGGATTTGGAGTTGGAAGGTGCAGTTTGATCTTATGATTTGGATGCTTTGAACTGGATTGGAATGTACTCGGAGGATAATCTGGGTCTTTATATAGAAGAGTCGCTGGGTGTGATCTACTAGATTTTTTTACTCCGTTCCTATGATAGTCACTCCGTATAGTTAGAAACTAAAAAATTTGAAAACGCCAGAGATCCACCTGCTAAGCCTTTGCAAGGATTAATGGAGTCTGGAATGCGTCAATATGGCTTAGACGCACCATAGACGTCAGTCTCTGCCGCCTTATGGGGCGCGCCGTCGGAGTAAATGATCGGAGTCAACTTTTGGGTCTACGGAGTAAAAGCTACTGTATCATACGTGCTGAGGCTGTGAAAGTCGAAGTCTAGAAGCTAAGCAAACTCTGATCAAACAAGTGCTTAGTGCTTACATTCTGCAGCAGAACTGCTGTCTTCTAGACCGAGACGATGACACCAGTACTCGGGTTCCCGATCGGGCAATGAGCTCGTCTAGCGGGCTTGAATACGCGGCGACTCGTATAATCTTCTACATAGAGGAAAATCATGCGAAAGGGCGTGGTGGATTTTTTTAGCGCTTGTTTGGCTTTTTGTTTTGCTATTCATGTGTTAAACAGATTCAAGGATTATGCTCGCGGATTTGAAGCCTAGATCTTGTCCGAAGGGTGTTCGGGATGGATCTAGATACTGATCTCGGGCTCCACAAGGGACAGGGATGATTTTTTTCTGTTTCATCATAGTGTCGGTTAACAACAGACAGCTTCTAATTTTGCTGTCTTGAACTATTCAGCTACAAGGTCGTTGAATATGTATACTCAAATAATGAGTCTTAATTGCAAGTAGTCGGGGCATTTACGGCATTTACGAAGTGGCTTGGAAATGACTCATTTGAGTTGTTTGCACATGTTTAATTGTCCGTGAACAAAGCACAATGAGGAGATCGTCAAAGTCAAAGCGCATATGACCTGACTCGGAACGGCGTTGACCAGGTGATTTATTATTGGAACTCCGTTGAGGATGGCGGCGTTGATTTGGGTAGTCCGATGGTAGTCCGAAGATGAGTTTTATTCCGAACGCCGATGGATGCGCACTTGTGTAAGCATCGGAGTACTTTTGGTGAGCGGTGACTTTAGTCCGATCAAGTCCAGGATCTACATGGGCTATTCCTTTCAACCTCCATTCTACTCCGTGGACCGTGGCTAATTCCAGTACCTTCCAATGGCTAGATCAAGGACGACTAAAACCTGTGATGGATTTAAAAATATACTTGCAATCATTCGTCTTCTAGGTTTTTTCTTCACTGGCACCGTTGACATGCCTTGGGCTATCTTCATTCCTATTAACATCAAAACATGTTACATGCACAGTCGAGTCATTCCGTGATTACTCCGTATAACCCTCCTTCTGGTCAATCATATCCATCGTCCGATGTTCACTTACTGCCATACAGTGCCATTCACATAGACGGCTTATGCTGGGAACTGCAACTTCAACCGCCGAAACGACTGCGAAACAGCCTGACTCCAAATTATTTGGTATTCATTTTTGACAAAATAACTGGCCATTACAATGACAGCTCTACGAATTGAATCAGACTCGATTCCTCTTTGACACGGACATGGACGATCGATTGTCCACGCTGAAGATCGCCCGGGGTTGTCCTGGTGGATCGAGATTATGGCACACCCCGCAGTCCAGCATCCAGAGACATGAACACGAGTGGATGCAAAGCATTGCAACTAACCAGTGATTGAATTCTCGGAGAGCAGGACACTGATGAGGCCGACACATCTCGGAGAGTTTTTGCAGGTGTCCTTGGGCCATTTGTCAGCGATTTGCAGATGCACTTCGATGATTTGTGATATGACGGAACACTGTGGGGTTCCCGCTGAGCTCGATATTAAAGAGCTCCGAGCCTCCGAAGATCGATTGGCCATATAACTTGCACTTCTCACACTCATTTCGCAGCTATCTTACACCCCAATCTCCCAGACCACCTTTCCACATACCAATTCAGCAAACGCAATGTCTCTCAAACCCATCACCGTCTACGGCCATGCCAGCGGCCCCAACCCTTGGAAAGTCATTATTGTCCTGGAAGAGCTGAACATTCCCTACACCCACAAGATGGTCAACCCGCCCGACATGAAGAAAGAGCCCTTCGAGTCCATCAACCCCAACGGCCGCGTCCCCGCAATCGAAGACCCAAACACAGACATCACCCTCTGGGAATCCGGCGCAATCGTCGAATACCTGGTCGAGACATACGACAAGCAGAACTCCATCAGCTTCGCCCCCGGCTCCAAGGACTACTACTTCGCCAAGCAGTGGCTGCATTTCCAGATGTCTGGCCAGGGTCCTTATTTTGGCCAGGCGTTCTGGTTCAATCACTACCACCCCGAGAAGGTGCAGAGCGCGATTGACCGCTACATCAATGAAATCCGCCGTGTCTCGGGCGTGCTGGATCGTGCCCTCCAGGGAAAGCAGTATCTTGTCGCTGAGAAGTACTCGTTTGTCGATGCTGCTTTTGTACCATGGTATCTGCTTGCTGCAAATTTCAATCTCGATCTGGAGAATAATTACCCCAACCTTGCTGGTTGGTTGAAGCGTTTGCAGGAGCGTCCTGCTGTTGCTAAGGCGATTCAGGATCGGGCCGAGGCTTGTGCGCAACATTAATGGATTTGCTTGCACCTCCTGGGGGATAAAGTGAACATTGTAGAACAGCTTGGAAGCAAATATTCAAAATTCAATATAGATGAGAATTGAAGATTCGAACGCAGGACTGAGCCTTGAGGGTATAGACTGACGTATAGACCAAATTAGAGTTATTAGACATTGCCATACTGGCGAGGATGTCAACCGTCATCCTTAATCCCAATCTCGCTTGTCTGCAAGGCAGAGAGGGACTGTTCAAGATTGTTGAAAGGAGCAAACCACAATTGCTCTGGAATTGAGCACGTGCCGTGCGGGCCGCTCCTTGACCCACCCGCTTGTTCTGCCGTGATCTTGAATGTTGCTTTCAACCTTTGACACGGACTCACAAGCAGATGTTCAGGATTATTGTTTCTATCAATCAATGGAATTACCAGAACCTCGAGTTATATTCCCTCTGCTCATATCAGTTTCCGCCTCTATCTTTCGTCTAATATCCATCTGTGGGTAGATCCCAACCCCGATAAGGTTACTACCTTATTTCCTCATCCAAGAACGCCGGTGGATTCCGGTGGCTCTGTAGTCTTGGACTTGCTACCAAGACTTGTTAGTGTCAGACCCCGCAAACCAATTCACGAATCAACATGCATACACTCGGTTTCTGGGATTCTTATCTCTTCGTGGATTTGTTTCGTGAATTGTAACGTCGGTTAGCCTCATGGCCCGATGTTACTCACATCGGTCTCCGTCCAGGTCCCCTGAAGCTATATATGAGCCCGTCGAATCTCCGTAGTTCCCCCCAATTGTTGAATACGATAGTCTCCGTATATACTCACTCCCCATATACCGAGAAACCCCTCTACGTCTACCAATGGTATCTCTGACCAGGGTTGCGCTCGTCGCCCTCGGCGCAGCGCATGGTGCAAATGCATGGGGAGAACTGGGCCACGCCGCCGTCGCATATGTTGCGCAAAAATACGTGACTCCTGAAGCCGCGTCCTGGTGAGATTCGATCCTACCTATAAGATCCAGCAACATCAACAATGCATTGCTAACAATCTTACCAGGGCAAAAGAAGTCCTCGGCGACACCTCCAGCTCATACCTAGCAAACATCGCATCCTGGGCCGACAAATATCGCCTCACAGACGAAGGGAGTTGGTCAGCACCCCTGCACTACATCGATGCCCTCGACGACCCCCCAACAAACTGCAACTTAGACTACGAGCGCGACTGCACAGCCGAGGGCTGCTCCATCTCTGCTATTGCCAATTATACTGAGCGTGTCGCCGACACTAAGCTTGCTGCGGCTGACACCACCGAGGCCCTTAAATTCCTCGTTCACTTCATCGGCGACCTCGTGCAGCCACTGCATGACGAATCCTACGAGCTTGGCGGGAACGGCATCAACACTACCTTCCAGGGGTACAGTGATAATCTCCACTCGGACTGGGATACGTACATCCCGGACGAGCTGGTTGGTGGTAGTTCGCTTGAGGATGCTCAGGGCTGGGCTGATAGTCTGGCCAAGGAGATTGATTCTGGAGACTATAAGGCTCAGGCGGCAAGTTGGATCAAGGGTGATACTGTTGATGATGTTATTGCTACTGCTACGCGATGGGCGGTCGATGCGAATGCTCTTGTTTGTACGGTTGTTATGCCGGATGGACCTGATGCTTTCGCAGAGATGGGTGACCTGTATCCTGAGTATTATGACTCCGTTATTGGGACTATCGAGGTGCAGGTTGCGAAGGGTGGGTACCGCTTGGGTAATTGGATCAATATGATCTATAAGGAGAAGATTACTCATGGCGAGGAGAAGCCTGGAAAGGGTAAGGGTCCGGGTAAGGAGCACCCTAAGCCGCCTCACCCAGGCCATGGAGGCGATGTTCTGCCTCACCCTCGTCTGCCCCCTCGTGCGAACTTGGCTAGAGCGGCTATGGGTGGATCCTGTTGTTCTTCCGAGCGTCGTGGTGAGCACAGACACTGAGAACTCGTGGTGTAAGGCGAGACAGCTGTTGGGCCTGCATAGGCCAGCAGCTCTTGCTTATTTTTGGATATTGAATGCTTGGTACATTCTTCGTTCTTGCAATCAATATGTACCTAAATAAAATGACATTGCATACATAGTTTCTCGCATGATATCTTGTAGGCAAATCTTGTTCTCAACGCTGTTAGACAGCAGATAGAGGCTTGTCGAAACACTGGTCTAGCCGCTAGGGCAATCGCCAACAAGCGAATACGCAGAGCTGCGCGCAGTGATTGGGGCGCCTCGCTTCCGTCCCTTGCATAAGCCCAGCTGCAAGAGCCTAGTGATTGTAACGCCACAGACTCCGAGAACGTGGTCGAAGGTATTGAAGAATTGGACTAAAAAGGGCTGGACCCTGGGCAGTGTTTACTGGGAGATATGGAATGGTGCAATGAGCATGGGTTGAGCATCTAGTTCTGGCGTATTCCGAGCGAATGGAACACGGATACAAATCCCTATTTCAAAGAAGCTGCCTTTTGGACTCACCTGGGGTGTTTACTGACACTCCGATTTTCACTGAGTGATTAGAATAGTTGCTGGACCAGTCCTCGTTTAGGGTCAAATCAGATCTGAAACTTCCATCTCTCAGGCTATTAGCGCAAGTACATATTGCTAGGTGCTTTGATGATCGTTGTTTGTGGAGGCAGATCAACGCTCGAAGAGGAAATTGAAGTTGATCGACGAATTGATCTCAGGTACTTAAGTCATAATGGAACAAGTTTAAGATGAAGCTAATGCAACTAAATCTAGGCTTTAGCCGTTTTGATTGACTACGGAATTGAACTGTTCATTCTCCGGGGTATGTCCGGGGGAAATAAATGTACTAAAGGTAACCGATCAGGCCGTGCATAGACCTAGTCCTTGAATGGCATAGCTCATGAGACCCCCCATGGTTTGTGATTTTCGGTATTTTCCTTCCTTTTTTTTCTTTTTCAACCTATCATTTCCTCTCATTTCCCATCATCCAAACTCTCCATACTCGACTTTGTTGAAAGTTTCTTTGTATCTTAACTTCCGTCCGGGGCCCCGCATCCTGGAAAGTTAACATGGGGAAATCCTTCAAAATTACCCCAGAACTAGCTAAAATCCCCAGATCCATAAGCTCCCTCCGGAGCCATTTTCCGCAATTTTAAACACCCCCGGCCCTCGCTCCCAAGATGGCTTACCTCAACGCCACAAACCTTCTGGTCGGGTTGACACTTGACAGCGCCTTCGGCGCCGCCCCCTAACTAACCATGTGGGCTGCAGCTAAGCTTCAAGCCAAATAGGCTCCAAGCTTTGCCCAGCTTCGGGTAAATGTCTCACATTGCAACCATTGTGCTCCCTTTCAAGAGGGAAAACCCCGGCGGGCACAGGGCTCTTCTGCCTGACCATCTGGCTGGCCAGGGCCTTATTCAATCGCACCTGGTCTTGTCTGTTTGCATGCCGATTTATGCATGTACTGCGTATCACACGTCCGGCATGCAGAGCACTAGCGCCAGATGCACAGATGGGGTACACCGTAAATATAAGACCCTGCTGTGGTCCCTTTCTGTCCACGCCTGACTTCTTTTCTTATTCCCTTTCGCTGTGACTCGCGAATAGTCTAGAAAAAATATCGGCCATGGAGACAGATGAGAAGCAGGCCGAGAAGGCCGATGTTCTGCATTCGGAGGTCTTGGTTGATTCGGATCTCATGAATGATGCCTTCGATGGCGAGAACCGCGAGCATGAGATGAGCACTTGGGAGGCTGCCAAGAAGCACCCTTGGGCTTGTCTGTGGGCGTTCACCATGTGTTTCACGATTGTGAGTTTATCCCCGGATTCGTGTTCGCAGTCTATCTGTCCGGATCCCGATGCCGATGCCGATGCCGAACATTTGCTGATGTTTTGTAGGTCATGGAATCGTTCGATATGTTCCTGAACGGTAACTTCGTTGCACTGCCCGCTTTCCGAGAGAAGTACGGTGTCCTCGTCGATGGCAACGATTGGCAGATCCCAACTAAATGGCAGAGTTCCCTCTTCCAGGCCGGTCAATGTGGTGCTTTCGTTGGTGTCTTTTTGGCCGGTCCCGTCACCAACCGTCTTGGATATCGCTGGACTACTATCTTCGCGTTGATGTTGATGAACGCTACGATTTTCGTTTCCTTCTTTGTGAGTTGCCTTGACGCGTTGTTAGCATCCACCATCTAACCGTTTCCACCTAGGCCAACTCACTCACTCTCCTTGTTGTCGGACAAGCACTTGAGGGTGTCCCTTGGGGTTTCTTCATTGCCAACTCCCCTGCCTATGCAAGTGAGATCGTCCCGCTCTCTCTTCGTGGTGCCTGTACGGCTACCCTGCAGATGAGTTGGTCTATCGGTTCAATCATCGTGGCCGCCGCTACCTATGGCTACAACAAGCGAAACGATGAGTGGGCGTGGCGAGTCCCTCTCGCCCTGCAGTGGATCTTCCCCGTAAGACTCAAACTCTCGAATAACATACCTTCAGCCATTGACTCTTTTCTAGACTCCTCTTCTCATCCTGATCTTCCTCGCCCCCGAGTCCCCTTGGTGGTTGATCCGCCGCGGACGCAAAGCAGAGGCTCTTCGCTCCATCGAGCGTCTGGGTAATAAGGACCCCGAACAGTCCCAGCAAGCGCTTGCCATGATGGAGCGTACCGTCGAGATCGAAGCACAGATGGGCGGCTCCCCTTCCCTGCTCGATCTTCTCAAGGGAACCGACTTGCGCCGAACAATCATCACCTGTTTGATCTATGCGTCGCAGAATTTCGCCGGTAACTTGATTGCCAACCAGGCAACCTACTTCTTCCAGCGTACGTACTCCCTCTCCTCCACTTCGCACAAGAACACAATAATCTAACCCCCTTATAGAAGCCGGCATGTCAAGCGACCGCGCCTTCGAACTCAACCTAATCAACTCCTGCCTCCAACTCGTCGCAAACATCATCTCCCTCCCCCTGGCCTCCGCCTTCGGCCGTCGAACCATCTTCCTCTGCGGCGCAGTCGTAAACATCACCCTCCTCCTCCTCCTCGGCATCGTCGCCTCCATCACCCAGAACGCCGCCACAAACTACGTCCAGGCCATTCTGGGAATCATCATCTCCTTCGTCTTTGCCGGTTCCCTCGGCCCGATCGCCTACACCATTATCTCCGAGACCTCCTCGGTGCGTCTGCGTGCGCTCAGCACCGGTGTCGGTCGTGCCGCCTACTACGTTGCTGAGATCCCTATGATCTACCTCGCTTCGCAGATGCTTAATCCTACCGGATGGAATCTGGCGGGTAAGTGTGGCTATGTTTGGGCTGGTACGGCTTGTGTTTGCTTTGTCTCAGCGTACTTCTTCTTGCCTGAGCTTAAGGATCGGTCGTATCGTGAGATTGATATCTTGTTCAACCGGAGGATTCCGGCTAGAAAGTTCAAAAGCACTGTTATTGATGTGAGGGATAATGAGTAAGGTGTGGAGGTTGGTTGGATTGATATCTTTAGATCATATAGACTGAATCGAAGACGCTTTACATCTGGCTGCCTTTGTGTATTTGACATGTAGCTTAATTGGTAGCCTACGTGTGAACGGCAGTCGCATTCTGGGGCAAGCTAAAGATGTCCAATCTGTAGGGCACGTGGAGAATTGTAGCCCTAACTGGCATTAGATTGAGATAGCTGTGGCTGTTTCCGGGGTCAGACCCAAGGGCGTACACAGGCGTACTTCTACTGAATCAAAGGCAAGTCTTGAGCAATAAAAATTGGCAAGGCTGTCTAATACTAGAATACCAGAAGCAAAAATAACCCACCCTGTAACTTAACACCGACGCTAACAAATCGCAAACAAGACATAGATGAAGGACCATAGCACGCGCAAGATATCTCCCTAGCACATAGAGGATACCTGATTTTTCGATCTTCTGCTGTTCTATTGATTGCATGATTAGGCAGAAGATCAAGCCATATTATGAGGATAAAATGTGATCAAGCAGAACTCTTTGTATCGGAGTCAACGGCAACATTTGCGGTCTTCTCGGATTCAGCGGTGGAAGTCGGCATGGCAGAGGGATTGTCAGCGATCTCCTGTTTAGTAGGCTCCGACAACTTGGCCTCAGCGGCAGCCAATTTGGCTGAAGTTGCGTCAAGGGTGGACTTCAGAGACTTGATGTACTCAATGGCCATCTCCACGGCGGTGGCCTTACTGATGGCTTGATTGGCTTTTTCTTTCTCCTTCTCCTTCTCCTTTTCTTTCTCGCTTTTGCCGCCGGATTCTCTGGCTTCCTTGGCGTTGCGGGCGTCGATGAACTCCTGCGGAATGAGCTGTTCAATCTCCTTGAGTGCATTGTTGATCCGATTACGGCGCCCCTGCTCGGCGAGTTTATGATTTGTGCGCTTCGAGCTCAGATTCTCGGCCAGAGTCTCTGGGTAGCTCACACCGGAAGGCAGAGTACCGTCGAGAATGTGTTGATAGTTGGACTTTGATGCGAGGTAAAGAGCATCTTGTGACATGCCTACAACATAGTTAGTACAACGGCTAGAAGATGCAGAATGGACGTTAGTCTTACCCTCGTTGCCTCGCACCAACGGCTGTATGCTGGGACTGATCTTTGGCCGCAATTGTGGGCTAGCTTGTGTGGAACTCAAACTGGCTCGTTTGCGACTAGACGCATACTTGGCTTCTGATTTCCGAGGTATAGGCCCACTCGGAGATGGCATGGCAGCTGTGCGCGGACTGGGAGCAACAGAGGCACTGGGTGTTTGATCGTACGCAGGCGAAGGGTCCAAAGATGGCGTCCCACTCGCGGAGACTGATGGGGTTCGTCTGGCGGTATCAATCCGTTGTGGTTTCGGGCGCAACTGCGAAGGTGCAGCCGCCTCTGGGAGGGAGATATCCTCCATGACCTCATCTGGGATTTCGGGCTCTGCGAGCTGCGCTTGGCCGCCAAACTGGCCTGAGGGACTTTGCAAATGCTGATTCCGCTGAATTCGCATCAGAAGCGCCGGGGTCGCAGCAGTGCCCGGCGAGGCGGTGGGAATGTAGGGAGCAATGGCAGGAGACATCCGTGGGGGAGGAACCGCAGGAGGTGGCATCAACGGTTCCGATAATGCCTCGGGAGAGACCGAGTCTTGTCCAGAACCCTCATTGCTGCTGAGTTGAATTGAGCGGAGGTCCTGATTCCGCGGCTGGGCGGAGTTTAACTCCTGTGTCAGACTATTGTAGAACTCTTCCGAGTTGGGAGCCAGCGTGCTCCGTTTGCGCTGCGCCCGAATGATAGGTGACTGTTTGACCTTTCGTGCATTGTTAAGCCGGGTAGTAGTCGTGGGTGTGGTCGATGGGCGACGACGATTGTTGGTCTTCCGAACGACGCTGGGAGAGGGTGGAGCCGAGGCTGCGGGGAGAGTATTCATTTCAGTAGTGGTGGGGACGAAGCCCACCTCCGACACCTGTCTTGCATGGTACTGGTAACTGCTAGACTCGGCGTTTTGCGCCTCTAGCGCGGGAGAGGTGAGAGGCGTGAAGTATTCGCCGGGGATGGTGTATTCAGGGAGTCCGAATTGGTTCTCTAGGGGTGTCATGGCCGGAGAAACAAGAGGGGTATAGAGAGCCTGATGAGTTAGTCAGATTGTTCATTCGATAGAACTTGCTCTGCACTTACTGCTTCCTCGTTGATTCGCGCATATTGGTCGTACATGTCCGGGGTGTCCTCCACGCGTTGGGAATAGCGGGTGCCATTGCCATGCATCTCAATGCTGTTCGGAGTGGGAGGTATCGCCGTCTGGCCATGAATGTAATGTTGACGAGTCGGGGGTTGCGACATGGGCGACGGTTGCTGCGCGCTGAAGGACGGCGTCATACTGGGAGTCGAGTAAGGCATTGGGTGACCCGCATGCGTATGCGACTGTGAGGGATCGTTGAAATCCATGAGGCCCTCCATATCACCCGAGTATTCCATAGGATGCGATCGCAAGTTATTCATATCGGAGCCCGGCCCGGTGGTCGTCGGTAGGGAATGTTGCATATTCCCTGGTCCGTGCTCGATATCGGGGAAAGGTATGTTGAAGTCGAACATGTTGGAGAACTCTTCGTCTCCGTTCGCAGTCATGAAGTTGTTTTCCTGCAGCTGCTCCGGCCACGACATGGCTGATTGATCCATTTCCCCGAGAATAGATGTGATAGCGGGTTCAATGCCAAGTTGGAAGGGCCGATCAGACCCTAAGACCGCTGAGGAGGGAAAAGAGCGTAATGGAAGCAGTCCTCGGGATATTTTTTTCCTTTTTTTTTCAATGAGACATGACACCAAAGAGCTAAGACAGTAAGATATCGGAGAAAAGGAGAATGTGGATGGGAAGGAGATCTCCCCAGGGCCCGTAAGGAAAGTGGAGTTCAACCTTTATTCGGGCGGACACGGTACATCCGACCGACTCGGCTGTTTAGGACGAGATTGCCACTGTGTGTGGTTGCTTGTTCTGTCAGTTTAATCTCCTTTCCCTGCGCTAGTTGCGCCTATGCTTATGTGACTAGAGGCACGGAACTTTTACAACGTACGTACTTCTGTGGCTTCGCTTCTCTCCTACACCAATCCACAGTGGGGATAGAGGCGGAGTACGAAGTACGGTACATACTCCGTATGCAATATGCATATATCGACTCCGTAGTCCGTACAGTTAGATATGAAATATTTTCTCTAATCTACTGTCTACAGTACTGTGTAGTTATGCACTAATAAATCATGATAATCATTATCGAATCGTTATCTTGAGCAATTTCAAACCTTGATACAAGCTCCTGCATGGATACCTCAGGCATCAATCTGAGGGGTTTATCACCTCGTGATGAGCTTACCTGAGCAAAATAACATGACATGATCACTCTTGGAAGTGATCGATTCTCATTTCTGTCTTTGTTTTGTATCCCTGATCCTGTCCAATGTTTCTTCCATCATGAGAGCTAGTCCAAACCTCCCGTTCGCTCGTAAATCCTCTCACGATCGCCTCTCAACTCCATCCCTTGATCTTGATCCCCGCACTACAACCCCCGCGACCTTCTTTCTATCCCACGATCCGCATGTCGCAGACCAAGAATCTAGTATAATCCTAGATAGTCACAGTGATGCCAAAGAGACGATGTACGGGGTACAAAGTCTGAATGATACTCTATCCCAATCGGAAATCACATCCTCTCCCCGCCATCATCCCGAGGCCAACTTGAAGCAGGTACCAGACGATTTAGATTCACACCTTGCACAGCGCCGGTCAACGTTGAAGTCTTCGAACCCAGCCACCGGGGACCTCTCCGGGCACGCATCTCCCAATTATGCTTTATCGCGGCCCTTGACCCCGCTCACTTTGGGCCTCCCCGACGACCCATCGTCGCTGCCCAGCAGCCCTAGATCTATATCCATTCAGTCAATGCGGCCACTCGATGATATCTCCATCACAGATGAAATCAATAGTCAGGCTGTTGCATCTGGCGACGAGGAGGAGAGGGTCCATGAGTCTCCACGTGTGGCCCCGGGTGGGGCCTCCCAACTTATCATGCCAAGTATCAAAATGCCTAGTCGGCGGCCGTTCACGGAGCGAGGAAAAGCCATGGGCCGGTTCAAAATTCTGCTAGCCGGTTCTTCTGGTCGGTTGAAGATATCCTAGATATCATTGTACTCTGCTAATCGCCTTGAATCAGGTTCTGGCAAAACATCGTTGATCAAATCGATTGTCCAGACATGCGACGATATTGTACATGTCGACACCATCCCACAGGTGACTGCCTTGGAGCGCCGCAGACCTTCTCGACCCCGATCTCGGGGAAAATTGAATCCTACTACAGAGATTTACGCCAGCACCAAACCTTATCCTTCATGGTGGTCGGATTTGGAGGATTCGCGCGTGCTCCAGCGTCGGAAAAGCATCGGCGAAATTGTGCTCGAAAGAAACCTCTGCTTTGTGGACACGCCCGCCACCAACCTAAGTAGCGAAGGCCAGACGGACGCTATCGGACAATATATGAGAGAGCAATTTCTCCGTGCTACCAATGCCCTCCACGGGTCGGGTGTCGATTTCCAAAACCTGCTAGCCGGGAACGGTGGATCCCAAGTGGATGCCATCCTCTATTTGATTTCTACTGGTAGGGTGGCCTGATCTTGCTCTCTGAGGTAACCACCCAAACCCAGTTGCTAATATTCGCATTACAGATACCCTCACAGCGGATGTGGAATGCATCCGCAAGCTCGGCGAGCTGAGTAATGTCATTCCAGTCATAACCAAAGCAGACACACTTACCCCAGACCAAATCACTACGTTAAAACGCCGCTTCCACGAACGAACTCGGGAGGCTGGTATCAAACTTGCCCTCTTCGGCGACCCGCCGAACGGCATGGATGGGCTAGAATCACAACCCCCATATGCCGTCTCCTCCGAGAAGGTAATCGACACAGAGACAATGGATGCAAGCACCCTAATGAGCCCAGACTACGTCCAACCACTCGTATCCTCCGAGCTAGAAGTCTTGGTCAACAGACTGTTCGACCGCGACAACCTAGCCTGGATGCGTCATTCCGCCGCAAAGAAACTCATCCAGCAACGCACCAGTTCGTTTTCCCTGCCACAGCCAATGCCGTCATTCAGTGCGCAGCCGGGTCAGACCCCATATGGATCCGCATCTGTATCTAGCAGCTGGCAGTCCATCTCCGGATCATCCCTTCCACCCGGCTCCCCACCCGGATATGCGATGGCCCGCATTGCAGACTATACCAGACACGAAGAGCGCATGGCGCAGGTCCGCCTCGCGCAGTGGGCGACAGACCTACAGCGCAGTCTGCAGAACGAGCGCGATCGCTATGCCTCACTCTCTCGGGGCGAGCGCGCCATATGGCTCACCGAGCGGCTGGGCGAATGTGTCGTCGACGGCTCGCTCGTGCCTCTATCTCAGACGCCTGGCTTCTGCAGTTTCCATGGCACTACGAGAGAAAAAGGCCCTAATGGATTCCAAGCCTTGCGTCCGCATGCTGGATCTGGGTCTGGGTATCGTGCTTCGGGCTTTAGTCCGCATGACCCGCTGGGCGTGGTTGGATGGATTGACGATCTCGGGCATCGGAGTTGGGTGCTTGTTCAGATTGTTGGGAGTGTGGGGGTTGTTGGGGGGTTGGCGCTTTGGCTTGCCCGTACTTGGGGTTTGCCGCCTCGCAATCTTTCAGATCTAAGGGTTGATTACTGGTGTGGTACTATGGAACGGTAAGTTATGAGATTATGAGGGCATGTTGCATGTGGTATGGTCTGGATGGCGTTATGGTTTCTATGTCAGTGAGGTTCGCCTCTATATTATCTGACTTTATTATTCCTTTATTATTCCCCTAATGGTCATTTCTCCCATCTTGGTGTCTGTGGCCGGTCGCTTTTCGCTGTGGCTGTTCTTGTTGCAGTACTAGGCCCTATCAATGATCATGGCTGAATAGGGATAGTTCTGCATGAAACAATCTAGGCGTGCATTGGAATGAATATTTCCTCCTACAATTTTGTTCTTCTAACCGTATATACTAGAACAAAGAGGAATTCCTCGGAATGATTAACTGGCATCTCTAGAGGAAGATATGCTCTTTTTCATTCCACAGCGTTGTTCTAGCTCATAGATGCAAAACGGGCTAAATATTTTCATGTAATTGGCAAGATGGCCGAGTTGGTCTAAGGCGCACGGTTCAGGTCAACCTGATCCCGATGGTTCATATTAAACTGTCTCCGTGTCTCGAAAGGGGCGTGGGTTCAAATCCCACTCTTGTCATATCTTTTTTTCTTTTTGTTTTTGATCGATTAATGAGAAAGTGTAGATGGAAGTCTTCGTTGTTGTGGACCTGTTGTTGCACGTGTAAGTGACCATGCCATACGAGGAATGAACTACGCAGTATATCAACGAGTCGAGTCTGAAACACCTGGGCAGGAAATTGGTATGCAAATTGGTATGATAGGTCTGGAAGAGCTGGCTGTGATACAGAGACAGAAAGGATAAAAAAATACTTCATCGGCAAGTGAAGCAAGTGAATCAATAAGAAGTTTCAATATACTACAATGCAAAGACCGGTTCTATGTACAGTTCCCGAACCGAGCCTGAGAAGAATTGCCAAATGCAAGAATAGGAACACAAGTGAAGACAAGATCGAATCGAAATAAGTAGTGGAAGCCGCTACAGCTTAGCCCGGGGAGCGGACTGCTCCTCGTTGGCCTGCTCGTAGAGCTGGTCCAAGAGGGTTCTGTATACCTTGACGACGGGAGGACGCTTAAGCTTGAGACTGTGGGAATGATATGTTAGTAATGCTGTAGATAGAATAGAGTGAGGAATATAATCGAAACTCACGTCGGGGTCAACAGGTTGTTCTCAACGGTGAATGGCTCCAATCGGAGGGCGACGTTGCGGACACGCTCGTAACCGGCAAACTTGTGCTTCTTGGCCATGCGCTCGAGATCACGGAGGACAGCGCGGCGAATCTTGTCATCGTTCAGAGTCTCCTTGATAGCCTCCAGGTCAGTCGCGGCAATGGGTCTACCCAGGACCTTGCTGGCGTAGGGAGCGAAGAGGTCGGGTGAAACACCGAAGATGCCGACCAGGAAAGTCTGCATGCTGTCACCGTGGATGTAAGCCTGGGCGATGTACCCGAGCTCGGAGAGGACGACACCCTCGAGACGCTCAGGGGAGATATACTCGCCCTGGGCGAGCTTGAGGACGTTCTTGCGACGGTCGATGATGATGAAGCGGCCGCGCTCGTCGACGGTGCAGACGTCACCGGTGCGGAACCAGCCGTCCTCGGTCAGGGCCTTGCTGGTCTCTTCCTCGTTCTTGTAGTACTCGCGGAACATGTTGTTGCCGCGAAGCAGGAGCTCACCACGGGGGAAGGGTTTGTCGTGCACGGAGTACTCCATGTCCGGCAGGGAGACCAGGCAAGCCTCAACACAGGGGGCGAGGGCACCGCAGTTGCCGGTGGTCAGATCCGAGGTGGACTGGGCGGTGGCTGAGGCATAGGACTCGGTCAAACCGTAGCCCTGGACAACGTCGGTACCAGTAGCGAGACGCAGGAAGTTGTGCAGGGTCGGGTCCAAGGGGGCGGAGCCAGAGACCATGTATTTGGCGCGCTCCAAACCGAGAGCGGCAGCTACCTTCTTAGCCCAGATGCGGTCGTACAAGGCGTGCTTGATGGTCGCCTGGGAGGGGTCGGGGTGCTTCATGTTCGCGGTCTTAGCGGCCATGACGTGTCGTGAAAGAGCGCCCTTGAAGCCAGGCTGCTCGACAGTGGCGGCACGGACAGCGGTACCGAATCTGCTGTACAGACGAGGAACAGACATGAAACCGGTGGGCTTCAGCAGCTTCAGATCGTCGACCAACTCGGTGATGTTTCCGTGGAAGTAACCGATTCGTGCACCGCCCCAGAAAGCAGTGTGCTCGGCCAGACGGGCATAGATGTGCGCCAAGGGCAAGTAAGAGCACATTGTGTCACCCTTGCCCTGATTGATAGTGATCAGACCGCAAGAGGTGGCGGCAACGGCATTACCGTGGGTCAGGACGACACCCTTGGGGGGACCGGTTGTGCCGGATGTGTAGTTGATAGTGACAATGTCAGAGGCAGAGGGAGGGTTGTATGCGCGCTTGGAGGCCACGCCCAGCTCCTCAACCTGTTCCATGGTGTAGATTGCGAGGTCCAGGCCGGTGGCCATGGACTCAAGTAGGGCACGCTTGGAGTGGCCGTCCTGCTCACCTCCGTCCAGCGGGTCCAAACTGACGATCATCTTCAGATTGGGGAGAGAAGACTTGAGCTTGATCAGAGTCGGAATGTGGGTAATAGAGGTGACAACACAGCTCAGCTCAGCGTGGTTGATGATATATTCGGTAGCGTCCGGGGCCAGGACGTCGTAGATGGAGACGGTGTAGAGGGATTGGGAAATGCAAGCCAGATCTGTCGAAGTTCAGGGTCAGCGTTCAGAGCCTCGACATCTCGTCCTCGCGGCGCAACTAACCGGTGATCTGCCATTCCGGGCGGTTCTGGGCCCAGAGACCGACACCATACTGGCCAGGGTGGTGGCAGTTGTGCTTTTGGTGCAACTCTACCAGACCAGCACCAAATGCAGCGCGTCGCTTCTGCACGGTCTCGTATGTGAGCCACTGGTACGGGTCCCAAGCCTTGGTAACGGAGTTATACGGACGCCATCCGAGGCAGTGGTTCTTGGGCTGACGGTTGGCCGTCTGCTCGAAAATGTCATGCGCAGTGGTAACCTAAAGCGGGTCAGAGACGGATACCCTCGCAATCACAGACAATCCTCATCTTCCTTACCTCGGGATCCAGAGTCCTCAAAAGCTCTTTCTGCGAGTTCCATGCGCGGTATACTGGAGTGCGGTCAGGCTGCTCGGTGCCGGCAATGGGCACAGAGTAAGCTCCGCGCTTCGGAGGTGCCTGCTTGAGCTCTGCGGCCTTGGCCAGATGAAGAGGCTGTGAGTAGAACATGTCTGTTGGTACAGCCTGGGATCAGCGAAGGATCAGGGTGAAGTAGATTCAAAAGTAACCCAAAAATCAAAGAATAGAAAGAGAACAGAAAGAGAAGGACCCTAATAAGAAAGGGGGCAAGGAATGTGGGGAGGAAACTGGAGGTGTCGAAGGACACCGGAGCGACCGACCCTTTTGGAAAAAATCTCCAGAAGGGTAAAAAGCCATGACCCGGGGCATGTGCCTCGGCTTGTTCAGGGGTACTTTCTCTAACATGGTAATTCCCATACTGGAACAGGTACCGAACCCATGTGGAGACTGCTTACTTACGCAGTACACCACGTCATTCTCCGGAATGGCCCTAACTCACATGCGTTTTGTTCCCTTTCACGTGAGAGGCCGAGCATTTAAATGATTCTATACGAGAGGTATATAAGTAGTTATGTGGTATTTAAACTATGTACGAGGTATGCAATATACAGAAAACCAACGCCAGCGGAAAATGCAATCCAAACATCCAAAAAAACGTATATACACTGTGAGGACTGCTTGCAGTCTTTAAATCACCCACAGATCCGGTTCCACGCCTTGCCGTACCATGTGGTTGGCTCGACGGTCTCCCATGTCTCGTTGTCGGCAGTGGTGCGGCCCGTATCCAGATCGGCCTCGATGGGCTTGACAAAAGCGGGGCGAAAGACGATCTTGTGGCCTGCATACAAGACCACAAACAGAATCAAACTCAGGTAGTTGATGAAAAAGTCTTTCACCTTGAAGCCCCCAACGAAAGCCGTGAATCCCTGGGTGAGGATGATCAGGATATTGAAGAACAATCCGTACCACGAGAGATAGGGCTGCCAGACGGCCTTGTACGGTAGAACATCCCGAGAGATGTTGCGAACCTTGAGAGCCCGCTGGAAAGCGAGATGGCAGGCATTCAGTGAAGACCAGGTGATGAAGCCAGCAACACCGGAGATCTGTAGCAACCAAGTGAAGACGGTGCTACCTGCGTCGGAGACGTTCAGGAATCCGAGCAACCCAAAGGCCGCGGTGAAGAGAACACTGTAGTAGGGAACGCCACGCTTGGTGGTGATCTTGAACCAATGAGGGGCAAATCCTTCCTGGGCAAGGCCAACTAGGATACGACTGCCACTGTAGACGTTGGAGTTGGCTGCCGAGAGCACCACGGTCAACAGAACTGCGTTGATAATACCGGGAAGAGCAGTCACGCCGGCACGGTTAATGGCAATAACAAATGGTGAAGCGTTGGCGTTCTGGGCACTAGCACCATCGCCCTCACTAGCCAGCAGACCATCGTCGTTGGAAGGCACGACGATTCCGAGGAAGAAGATTGTCAGGATGAAGAAGAAGACGATACGGAAGAAGGTCTTGCGGATAGCGGATGGGACGGTCTTGCGAGGGTTCTCGGTCTCGCCGGCCGCGATACCAACCAATTCAGTTCCCTGGTATGAAAATCCAGCCTGAATCAGCGTTGACCAGAATCCGACGAATTTAGCCAACGAATCATTGTTCTCGATCAGATAGGGAACAAAGGGTCCCGGGTGCACCCAATATCTGAAACCAATGTATCCTTCTTTTCCAACACCGGCATTCATGCAGATACAAAAGATCATAAATCCGATCACTGTGATGACCTTGATACTGGCGAACCAGAACTCAATTTCACCATAAAAGCCAACGGGCATCATGTTGAAAGCGATAATGACAACCCAGAAAACGGCGATGAAGATGGCGATCGGAATATCTTTATCCCAGTACTGAATGATCAGACCGGTTGCCGTCAACTCCAGCGCAAATGTCGACGCCCAAGAGAACCAATAAATCCAACCCATTGCAAATCCCAAACTCGGGTCAATCAGGCGAGCAGCGTAGGAGGTGAAAGCTCCAGGAATCGGGATATATGTGGCGATCTCTCCGAGTGCGGTCATGACGGAGTATACGATGGTTCCGACAAAGATATAAGCTATGAGAGCTCCGACGGGGCCTCCATGAGCAATGGCTGTGCCGCTACCGATGAACAAACCGGTACCAATTGTGCCACCTGCGAGAATTCGTCAACACCAGAAACGAGGGAAAAATTCGATGCCGTCGTCAAAATGTCCGACTCACCAATGGCAATCATCTGAAGATGTCTGCTCTTCAGCTTCCGCTTGAGTTCCGGCAGCGGATTGGCCTGGCGTTGAGCGCCGTATTTCTCATAATCCACATCATATGCATCCTGTGCCTGTACCGGAACTGGCACAGGCGTTTCGGTGCTCATCTTGCCCTTGGGGGTGACTGACTTGTCGTCCATTTCTGCCCGTGGCGATGCAGATGGGACGTGTGACGGAAGTTCAGTTGCAGAGAGGAGAGAGAAAAGGATCAGAGAGAGCCAGTATCCACTCCAATGGGTCCGAAGACGGGCTTTTCAGCGAAATGTGGAGCAGAACTGCCGGCACTGACTTCGATGAGGGGAATTGTGTTAGGTAAAAGAAATATGAAGAGAGGGGAAATACAACGTTGGAGGATCTTCTCTGTTCACTTTATCTTTCTCCTTTCTTTTCCCCAGAGTCTTTTCAGTTTTCACCGAGTTCTGACCAATATCGGTCAGCTATGTGGGCCGGGGAAAGAGTTTTCCAATGGTGGCGACTCTCCTCGCCCCCGTTCATTTTATATACGGAGTACTCCGTTTCTTATCTATTTCTCTGATTGATAATGTCATTTACAATATAACTACTGTAAGATCATGGTTCTCCGGCATGACCTCGAGGCTCGTACGCTTCGGGTCAGAGATGGGTGGAGCACGATGCGATAGAACGTGTCCAGGTGGGACAATGCGGGTATCTACATCTCGAACTATTCCAATAATAGGAGGTCATACTCTAGTCTCGGATCTGGGGCAAATATTCTGTTCCACGGAGGACAGAGTCCAAGTACTCCGTGTAAGTATATGATGTCTATGTTCTGATATGGTGGCGGAGAGCTAAGGAATGTATGACTTGGCACTCCGGTTGGGTCGGCATGCCGTTTGCGGAGATAGAAATGACCGAATGAGAAAGCACATAATTAACCATTAACAACTATTCACCAAGCTAAAAAAAGGGGTATCCTAACTAAAAACCCGCTCGATACTCGAATCGTGTACATCGTACTCAATGATCTTGGGCGCTTTCAAACCTCTCAAACCCCGAGATGGGCATTGTGGTGTGTTTTCGGTGCCACTCCACGCCGGTGATGCATAACGTCGACAATAGCGAAATAACTCGTGACAGCAAATAGGACCCTATATTCCACGTTTCACAGTCAGTTTTCTATACACTCAAGCGAAAAGAAAAAATAAAACTCACCATTCGATGGCACCAAATACCGTTGCTGCCTGCAGTGAGCTACATACGCTCGAATGACACAACCGAGGTCGAGGTAGCAGCGCGCCCATTGCGATAAACCCTGCAAACCAGAATATCATGGTGATCACTTCAACAGCAGGAACCACATAGCGGTGCGCCAGGCGGGGGAACCATATCGGTGCCAGAGCGAGGTAGGGCACTGCGACAAAGGCGGTCCAGCATCCGAGGAAGAGGAGGAAGTTGACTGTATCCGACCAAGCCCAACCATCCCATGTGGAGACCACTAGCAATGATCAGCATGTCACATTCGGATACTGGGCCCCTGGGGTTTGGGGTCAAGGCAGCTTACCATATCCTGTCAGTCCGATCACGATGATGCCAAAGAGCGCTTGCACGATTCGGACGGGGTATATCCACGGAAGAGCCATGTTTTGATATGGAGATGAATGTCAATATGGAGATGGGCTCGAATGCGAAATATGGAGAACTTAGAAGCTAAGGTGACTGCGGGGTTGCGTCAGAGATATCGTTTTGTAAGAGTTGCAGGGTGTGGCAGAGTATATAAACGGCAATGCAAAACGTGCAGGGATTGGGCAGCCACCGGCGTTGCGCCAGCGTCATTGCTTTTTTAACAACATGCGTAAATAGGGCTGACGTAGGGAATATTTACCTAATGAAACTTCCAATTGTTCCAGTTGTTCCGGATTTCTTTGACTGGCTGGTAACTTCCTAGAGGTTTTTTGTTTGTTTATTATATAGTGTGGACTGTGTGGTCCCTTCGATGTACACAGTACTTATCTTACTGCCTAAACATTATGTTTTACCTCCATTTTGGCCGTTTCTTTGCTGCCTATACTGAATATTCTTGGCTACAGAATGCAGGCGCAGTCCACATGACGCCAAGCTGTCGATCATTGTGGAACAGTCCATGTCCATCTCAAAATCGTATAGCGTACAACGTCATGGTTCAACTACACTGTACTTGATTCTGATGATTCCGTCGCCTTCTCTATCCTGTTACCCCTAGCCAGAAGATGAAACTTGGATCTTTATATCTGCGCAGTATATAGGTGAATCCATATTCATCATCACATGGAAATTGTGATCCTCATACTTGTCCTTTGATTGACTATGAGCGTGCCTACTACCCCAGAGGCAGTGTCAATACCCAGCAGTACCTACAAGATAGATAGCGAAGGATGCAAGTCCCTAAATACCCTAATCTTGCAGGACCGGGACAAGTATCTCCATCGTGGCTGTGTGGAGAATTCATTCGGAGTCAAGCCACACTAAACGTGATCTCTCACTGTAACTCGGTGGCTGTTTTTTGAAGGAAGCGATAAGTGTCGGAGAAAAGGCAAAGCCAATCTCCTTACTCCTAGGCAGCAACTCACATAAAGATGGTCCTTGGGTACTCTTCAGGCCTACGGCTACACAAAAAAAAGTAGAGGTCATGGTAGAGTTCATTGCTCATTTGCCTGTATAATTCTCCCGTGGTATCAACATTGAATCAATAATCACGGAACACCGCGACCATCTCATCCAGGCGCGCCACCTCTGCCAGCAACAGAGCCTCCCTGGCCCGCCAGTTGCGCAGATGCTCCAATTCAGCCTCCGAGAGGAGTTCCTCTTCGTGGCCCTTGACGTCAGTTCGTTCTGTCTTCTCGAGGAAATCCCTCTCGCGGCTTCGCTCGAACTTGATGCGCTGAATACATCGGGACATCGCCTTGTAGGTGTCCTCGGTAATACTGTTGCATACCCGGTCTGGGTCGTAATACCATAAATAAATAGTTTTGGAAGGTTGACGCTGCGCATCGCGCGGCACTTCTTGCAAATCAACGAATCCACCGGTCTGCATATGAGCAAGCGACTTGCGCAGGTCTTTGAAAGGAAGGAGACTGATGTCCTGGAGGCGTTTCTCGTCCAACTTGCCCTTGTCATGCAGAATACGGATCACCCGAAGCGCCACATCTCCGTACCGCGCCTCAATCATGTTCTCCAGCTCTCGATGGCGGAGCTTGCGGGCCAGGCCTCGGAATGCAACTCGCCATGTAGGGAGGCCGGAGATGATGTGTTTTGTTGTGAGGTTGTAAGGAGGTTGTGAAAGAAGACTGAGATGTTGATCGACCTCAAGAGCGCGGTTCTGCGCGCTCGGTCTACCTTCATGCTCACCATTCCCGTCTGTGCCGTTCGTCTCATCGTCCAACGGGCGCTTGCCGCGGCGATTTACCACGGTTGGGGGCTCCATAGGACCAATAGAGCCTGCAAGATCAAGATCCGGGTCCACGTCCTCGACAAGTGTTTTCAATTCAATTGGGGCAGAGTATTGTTCTCCCTCTTCTCCTTCACGTGGGATTTCGTAGGAGTCTCGGCAGCGGGGCGTTTGATATTCAATGCGCCGAAGTAGACAGTCGTAGACTTCGACCGAAGGGGAGGTGCGCATTCCGCCGCAAGCTCAAGGAACCTCAGATTCCGAAGCGCAACATCGAGTTTTTCGTAGTTCACTCGAACAATGAGATTAGACTGCGAGTAACGTCAGCGGTCAATGAGAGCCTTGTAAGAGAAAGATGAGACAAGCTTACATCCATTGGAATTGAACTAAGTCCATCTTCGTCTTCAGACCAATCGTTCTCTTCGTCATCATCCTCAGCATGATCCCCATTGATCCCATTGATGCCATTGCTGCCGTTTGTCGAATGCTGATTCGATACCCCGTTGGCATTATCGCGCTTCCTTTTAACACCCTGAGGGAGACCATTGTACAATAGACCACGGCTCAGGTCCCCCTCCATTCTTTGCTTAACCAGCTCCTTGGCCTTCTCTTCGATTTCCGCCGCTTGTTGCTTGCCCTTCATTTGTTTGACATCTGCTCGGGAGGCGATAATTCGAGAGGCATCGAGCCAATTGTCGTTGGGACTCTGGAAGTGTGCCTCGCGAACCCGGTGGATGTATCCGTGGGATGCAAGACTCTTCAAGGTGGGGTGAAGACGTGCCGGTTTCTCGCCCGCAGCATAATCGCCATTAGGCCTGTCAGAAGCCTCTTGGTTATCCCCGTTCCCCTCGACCTCAATTTCGGAATGGCTTGCCCCATTGGAAATGCGCTGCGTCCGGAGTTGGGGCTCGGGAAGCGTCTCGAGGTGGGCGATCGAGGTATGACCGAGGGTCATGATTCTTTCCAAGATCTGGGCCGCATATTCACCCAATCGGGTTTCAACTAGGTGGAGGATCTTTCCGGAACGTACGAGGGAGTATGCAGCTTGTGGATTGGCTTCGTAGTAGGTGTTGCCGTCGTCAAGTGAGGTGAAGTGGTAAATTAGGTGGTGCTGTATCATAGCAGCGAGGCCATTGAGCAGTTGACGTTCCGGTAAGCGAGCAAAGAATCTGAGCCGAGGAAGCGTCAATCTTTCGTAACGGTGAAGTACGGTGAAGATGCGCTGCGAAAGTTGTAAGTTCGGGTTCTTTCTCGCTGTCGCAATGTATCGCATGACAGCCCAACGGTCTGGACGAAATGACTCACAGCAAATAGCTCTCCGAAGTTATCCTCAACTAGAAGCGCACACAGCTCCGCAGAGCACTGAGTTCATGTCAGTAAGTAGCTCTCTAAATGTTGGCGAGACAGTCACATACCTGGGACATCATGGTGGGCAACAAGAATGAAAAGATCTACCAGCCTCCAAACCTCGAGAGGGGCAGTTATCGTCACCGAAGGCTCATGAGATGTGACCGGTAGAGATCTACAATTCTTAATACTTTGAGATGCGACCAGATGCAGGTCTCCACGTTCTTTTGCCTTTTTTTGCTTATCGGTATATTCACGTGATATCGAAGTCAGGTGATCCCGTTCGGCTGAAGTCGAAAGAAGGAAATGCTTTTGAGTGGGCTAGTGAGAGTCTCGGAACAATGAAAATGAATAAAACTAGTAGAAGACAGACAAATAATATCACTGTAGTTGAGGTCACAATAAGTTGTTTCTCGCTCATAGAGCTGGAAACACTGGCCGAACAAAAGTAACTCCGGTTCCGTCCGCGCTTTTGATTACTTGACCGCTGATTGGCTGGAGTGACGAGTCGGGATCTTGAAGCTTTTCGTGACCTCCAAACTGGCTCTTCCCTCCTGCTCTCTCCGCATCCCACCTCCTCCCCCGCCTCATTTGCGCTTCTTTAAAGACCCAATTAGGGTTCTAATCTACTCTTCTATCTTCCGCACATCTTTTCGGCACAGGCGACGATGCTGTCGCGGTCTTCCCTCAGCCGAAATGCGCCGCGTGCGTTCTCCGCCGCCGGCCGTCGGTCCATGGCTTCCGCTGCCAACCCGGCTTTCCAGTACGATGTCACCGAGGCTTCCGGAGTGAAGGTCGCCAACCGTCAAGTTGATGGCCCTACCGGCACCCTGGCCCTGGTTGCGAAGGCTGGTTCCCGTTACCAGCCTTTCCCTGGTTTCTCCGATGCTCTCGAGCGTTTCGCTTTCAAGGTCGGTATCTCGACATCAATTGGAATATCTCCAGGTAGATTCGATGATACTAATAGGTCAATGCCTCGGTAGTCTACCCTCAAGCGGTCTGCACTGCGAATTACCCGTGAGACTGAGCTGCTGGGCGGTCAAATCTCGTCGACACACTCGCGCGAGAACGTCGTCCTCCGGACCAAGTTCCTTTCCAAGGATCTTCCTTACTTCACAGAGCTGTTGGCTGAGGTTTCTAGCCAGACCAAGTTCGCTGGTGAGTTGGCCCCTTTCTGCCAATTCGTGATTGGTGGAGCGCAATCTATATGAGGATGCCGTACTGACTCGGAACCCCTCGTCAGACCACGAATTGAACGAGGTTGTCAGCAAACTCCTTAAGTACAAGCAGCAGGCCGTGCACTCCGACCCGGAGACCGTTGCTCTTGATGCCGCCCACGGCGTTGCCTTCCACCGCGGTCTGGGTGCCTCTATCACCCCCTCCCAGACCTCTCCTTACGAGAAGTACATCTCCGGCGATGCTCTTGCCGAGTTCGCCCAGAGCGCCTACGCCAAGTCCAACATCGCTCTTGTCGCCACCGGCCCCAACTCCGCTGAGGTCTCCAAGTGGGTTGGCCAGTTCTTCAAGGATGTTCCCACCGGCGGTGCCTCCACCAAACACAGTGTTCTGCCGTCCGTGGCCTCCAAGTACTTCGGTGGCGAGCAGCGCATTGCTTCCAAGATCGGCAACTCTGTTGTGATCGGCTTCCCCGGCTCCAGCGCCTTCGGCACCGCGGGCTACAAGGCCGAGGCTTCCGTCCTGGCTGCTCTCCTGGGCGGCGAGTCCACCATCAAATGGACTCCCGGCTTCTCTCTTCTGTCCCAGGCCACCAAGGGCTTCAACCAGCTCCGCGTTTCCACCCAGAACAACGCCTACTCCGATGCCGGTCTCTTCACCGTCACCCTGTCCGGCCAGGCCGACCAGGTCGGTGCCGCCAGCAAGAACGTCGTCGACGCCCTGAAGAAGGCCGCCGCCGGTGAGGTCGCTTCCGAGGACATCAAGAAGGCCATTGCCCTCGCTAAGTTCCGTGCCCTGGAGTCCGTCCAGACCCTCGAGACCGGTCTCGAGGCTACCGGCTCTGGTCTCATCCACGGCAACAAGCCCTACCAGATCAACGAGATTGCTGAGGCTCTCGAGAAGGTTACCGAGCAGCAGGTTAAGGAGGTATGTTCATCTTTTTTTCACCATTGATGTTGTTGTCATAATACTAATCGCTTCTACTAGGTTGCCAACACCTTCTTGACTGGCAAGGCCACTCTCGTCAGCGTCGGTGATATCCACCAGCTCCCCTTCGCCGAGGACCTCGGTCTGACCGTTTAAAATCCCTGTATACATTATGTAGAAAGGGAAAAGCCTGTTCCCTTCATTCTGGATTTGATGTGACCACTTGTGCCTAGATTCATTGCCGATATCTCCTTTGTTCTCTGAGGGTGTAGTTGACTGTAATACAATTGTACCTTATCCTTTGATTGCATTATCTTTAGCCGACAGACTGCCTTGTCTTGTGCTGACCATTGCTTCTGGTGGGTATAACATGATGGCATACAATCATTGCTTTATGCCACTGTATCATAGTGGTTTGCTGATCATATTTTGTGTGAGATTCAACTAGTTAGCTAGACCCCGGCTCTATATTCCTGCGTAAACACTATGGCACTCGAGGAGAATACTACGTATTCTTCTGGTGTATTGCCATTTGCTACTACCTAGCACTATGGATTGCATCGGGATGAACGGAGCGCAAAAAAAGGCATCATCGGGCACTTGACCTTACGATGCATGCCTCTTCCATTTAGACCAAGCATCTAGGCATGACTAGCAAAAAGTCAAAAAAGATATGACAAGAGTGGGATTTGAACCCACGCCCCTTTCGAGACACGGAGACAGTTTAATATGAACCATCGGGATCAGGTTGACCTGAACCGTGCGCCTTAGACCAACTCGGCCATCTTGCCATGATTGGTGAATGAACCAGTGTTTGCGTTACATCAACCATCTCTCAAATCTCATAGTATACAAGCCGCAGCAATTTGGGCCCCAGCAGTGAAGAATAATGGTCTCTATGGTCTCTATTCCTATCTGATCTGTAAACCCTGCCACGGCTCACTCATGACAAAAGCATAATCAACGTCGAACAGCTCTAGAGGATGAATAATATCATTAATATGAACAAAAGGGCCCCCCTGATAGGGCCGCATCTATGATCTGGCCATCACCCGGGAATGGGATAGTCCTGACCTCAATACTTGGAAAGTTTTGACTGCCTGCTTCTTTGTTAAAATTTAAGCGGATAATGCCAAAGTCAAACTACGGTACTACGATTACTTTATAATTAGGACTATCGCCGCATAACTATTGGCATTAGGCCCCACGACTTACGGTTGCCATCCAGGTACGGTACCAGATGCTGCCAGGTATTGAGCAGCTGAAGCATCTACCGTACAAAAACTGGGCAGTGGCTCATGTACTCAAAACAGCTGATTTCTGTCATCCAATGGCAAGATGGCCGAGTTGGTCTAAGGCGCACGGTTCAGGTCAACCTGATCCCGATGGTTCATATTAAACTGTCTCCGTGTCTCGAAAGGGGCGTGGGTTCAAATCCCACTCTTGTCATATATTTTTTTTGTTTTTGTCCATATCTCATCAGTTAACTATCCGATCCTTGTGCTAACTAACTAGTTAGTTAGTTAGTCGGCTAGTTAACTAGTTATCGGTTAGACAACTAGTTAACTAACTGGTATTCTCAGTGGTTTGTTTCGTTTTCTAGCTTACATTGCTCGCCTGTTGAACAAGAGCCATGATGGTCTCCCAGCCAAGCTACAGACGAGCATTGAAAGTGATGTTGCATGTCGTAAGATGTATTCATTGAATTCGTGATACTAAACAGTTACCATGTTACTAGTTAAGCAGTGCGGTCAGGCACAGCCTTAGAAGCCCGGAACGACTGCTCGAAGTCCGCAATTATGTCGTCAATGTGCTCAGTGCCGACCGAGATGCGGATTCCATCTTCGGTGACACCAGAGTCCTCACGCTCCTTGTCTGTGAGCTGTTCGTGGGTTGTGGACCAAGGGTGGATAGCCAGTGTCTTGGAATCACCAACACTACGGTGGGTTAGCAACAGCCTTCAGGGTCAGGAGGAGGGATAACGAGGATAAAACATACTTGGCAAGGTTAGAAATCAACTTGAAGTTGTCAACCACCTGAGCACCAGCAGCAGCACCGCCCTTGACACCAACAGAGAGCACACCACCAAAGCCGCGCTTAAGATACCTCTTCGCAAGGTCGTGGCTGGGGTGATCCTCCAGCCCGGGGTAAGACACCCAGCTGACATTCTCATTCTTCTGCAACCACTTCGCGAGAGCGATAGCATTGCTTGCATGACGCTCGCAACGCAGACTCAGAGTCTCAAGACCGAGGATCAGCTGCTGGGCCGCGAAAGGGTTCAGAGCAGAACCGAGGTCACGGAGGATCTCCACGCGCACGCGGATGGCGAAAGCAATGGAACCGAAAGTCTCCCAGAACTTCAGCCCGTGGTAACCCTCTGAGGGCTCGATGAACTGCGGGAAACGAGCACCGTTCTTTCCCCAGTCGAACTTTCCGCTGTCCACTACAACACCGCCAACAGTGGTACCGTGGCCGCCAATCCACTTGGTGGCACTGTGTACAACGATGTCGGCACCGTGGTCAATGGGTCGGATGAAGAAACCGCCTGCGCCAAACGTGTTGTCAACCTAGATAGTGAGAAAAATAGACAGGTTAGGTTTTGTGCTGTGTCTTTTCCTTCGAAGAATTCACATACCACGACGGGAACACCCTTCTCATGGGCAATCTTGGCAATGGCCTCAAAATCAGGCACATTGTAGCGGGGGTTACCAATGGACTCAAGGTAAACCGCCTTGGTGCGGTCATCAATGGCAGCAGCAATATCCTCGGGCTTGTCACCCTGGACGAACTTGGTGTTGATCCCCAGACGGGGAAGCATAACCTTGAACTGATTGTAAGTTCCACCGTAGAGGTTGGTAGTGGAGACGATGTTGTCTCCAGCGTGAGCCAGGGCGGCGATAGCCATGAATTGAGCCGACTGGCCGGAGGAGGCAGCAACGGCAGCGACACCACCTTCCAGGGCAGCAATTCGCTTCTCGAAGACATCGACGGTGGGGTTCATGATTCGGCTGTAGATGTTTCCGAACTCCTTGAGGCCGAAGAGCCTCGCGCCGTGAGCGGAGTCATTGAAGACGTAGGAGCTGGTAGCGTAGATTGGGACGGCGCGGGAGTTGGTCGTCGAGTCAGGCTCGTGACTTGAGGTCGTTAGAATTGTTGGGTTGAATTCTCCGGGATTCCGGGAATACTTACCCAGCGTGCAGCTGCAGGGTGTCAAAATGGAGATCTTTGGGGTCCGACATGTTCCTGAAAATGCGGGGAAACCGTAGAGCTAGATCACTATCTAGGAGGTAGACAGGACACTTTACTGTGTAAGCAATGTAATCTGGGGTATTTGACGAAGCACAACTTGAGTGTAAAATGAATTAAAGAAAGGAAATAAATAAATGAATTGGATGCCAAGTGATCCGACACGGAAGGAACTACTACGTGTAGCGGGGGGCAGATGGCGTGATCGTACTATACCTCGTTCTCATTCTTTTCTCCTAATTCTATCTTGTAATTGGAGTGTTTGCCAATATTTGTTCTCTGCTTAATGTCGCCTAGTCGTATGTATCCCGAGGGCCGAGACACGTGCTTTGCGACGAGATATTGCGGTCTTCCGAACAATGACGTGGTGTGCCGAGTCCCTCTGGCTCTCGTGACTCGGATCAAGCTGCTGTAGACTAATCTGAGATGTGAGCCTGGTCAGATTTGAAGAGCCTTCGTATGGGTTTTGAATCAAATGTTAACTCTCACATGTGACATGGAGATGTTTTGAGATTGTCTGGTGCCAGTGGTGATCACAGATGCGAGAAGAACCAGGGACTATCACATCTCTGGTCCTGACCCTGTTTCCCCCTCATGGCTATGCTAAGTTGGTTGAGAACGATGGACAAGAGATGTTGTTCTCAGTGAGTACTAAAGTAGGCTGCGATGAGTACGGAGAGATGTCCGAGCTGCAGAACAAATGATACCGTGTAGATTGGGAACGAAGGTCAAGGAGCCTGGAGTTTAGGGCAAAGGGAAGATTCTATGAACTTGTTGACATCCAAATTCCAGTCCCAAGTCTACTTATCTTGAGACGATCAAGTCGGAGCTTCTCATAACAACGGCGTTATCGTATACTCATTTCAAACCATACGCTAGCTCTGTTTTCTACTTCTTTTACTTTATTATGATGGAATGAGTGAAATGACTTTGATTTCCAAACGGTACAAGGGAATGCTTTCCTTTTTCATTCTGACTGAAGGTGTGCAAACATGCGTATCTTATGGAATCCGGCACATCAAGCAATGACTACATACTTGTGTTTCGTTCTGTTTTCCGCTCATATAGCCATATTTCGTTCCTCCCTCCATCTAATGGTAAGATGGCCGAGTTGGTCTAAGGCGCCAGGTTAAGGTACACCTTGACTCCAAACTAGCAATAGTTTCCTGGTCTCGCAAGAGGCGTGGGTTCGAATCCCACTCTTATCATTCACTTTTTGTTTTTGCAGATTCAGAATTCTACCTCGCCGCAGCCTAGATAGCTCAATGTCCCTTTTTTGTTTGGTTGCTATGGTGTAGACAGCGGCTGGTTGTGAATTTAGGGTTGTTCGTTTGCGCTTACAGATTCTGCTCCGAGTTATTCTTTCCCGACATTTGCCACGACGGACTCTACACGGACATTGTGTTGGAAGTGCAAGTATCGATATCTCCATGTTGATTGTAACATTGGATACACTTTGAAATTTAGCTTCCAATTATGTTCTTTATGCTTCCCCGGGCATATGTGAACTTTGTACTATACAACGGCTGCAGTACTTCCGCATACCTACGGGGTACACTACTTGGAATGAGAGATACATAAGCCATACTCTCTGGCTTTTCTTCCCCGAGTACCGTGATTCTGGTTCGTCTGGCCTTACTGAGCTGTGTTGCAACTAGGTTGTTTGATCGAGGTGACCATCCTACTTAGGGTGGTCTTGCCCTAAAAGTAGGAACTATGGAGTAGACCCGAGGGGAAACCCGAATACGAGGGAAGTGTCAAGATCAATGATAATCAGTGAATTAATCCTCTGCTAGTATGGTGCTTCATTCGGACCGCTTGCAATGGAATATGTTATCGCTGTCGACCCGAGGGAGAAAGTAAAAATAAGAACAAAAATAGAAGAAACAGAAAAGAAACCTCGAGATCTCCAGAGACACTTGAAAAAAAAACTTCCTCCCGCCAGATGATATGCCTTCAAATTAAAGTTTCCCATCCTCCAACGCCTGTGCCATGCGCAGCGCGTACACAGTCGTCAGACCATGCACACTCAAAAGGAAGAAAAGAGAATTAGTTGCCCTGGCCACCAGGAGGCTGGGTACCAGGCATTCCACCCTGACCACCACCCATCATGAAACCAGGGGGCAGCATGGGCATGCTGGCAAAGTTGAACCCATACGCAGGGACAGCAGGTGGGACTCCCGGATTGTTCATGTTAGACAATTCATTGTCAGGCCCACCGTACCCATCACGCTCACGACGACCACCGAAGCGAGAATCGGGAGGATTAGGACCAGTGCGAGTGGAGATGGGGCCGCGCTTGCCGCCAGTGTCAGTCGCAATGCGACGACTGATAGCCTTGGACGAGACACCAGCGCCGATCTCGATGTCGGGTTCCTCAACAACCATTCCAGATTCAATCGGGCGTCCACCAGTGCCACCATACTCCGCGGTGAGCATCCACTTGCGATCAGCCTCAGTCAATCGCTCAATAGGAATCACGCTGACTCCGGTTTGATAGTCACTGCAATCACGGGGTCCAAAACCGACACCCCAGCGAGTCTAAAGAATACGATTAGGTTAGCGAACAAAGATCCCATCGAACAACGAGTCAACGACGAGAGAAATTCTTACCCTGAGTTGCATTTCACCGGTGCGGTAAGACTCCATTCCATCACGTGCCTGCATCGCATCCTGGCGAGTCACCATCTTGATGAATGCGTGGCGCTTGTCGACGTTGACAATGCAGGTCTGAACAATTCCAAACTGGCCAAAGAGCTGGCGCAGGTGAGACTCCGAGGAGGTCACGCCACCAACGAAGAGAGTGCGGCTCAATACCTTGATCATACCCTGACCAATCGAATAGTCCCATTCAATGAACTTAGGTCCAGGGGGAGGCAGATTGGGATCCTTGTTACGAGCGGGCGAGGGCGAACGACGTCTACCAGGACCACCACGAGCGCCCATAGGGCTACGCTGGCGATATTCACCACGACGCCGGGCATCGCGAGGATCTCCACGGCGACCGGGAGATTCGTTATGATACTCTCCATAAACGGGGCTGTCGCGACGGCGAGGGGGCGAAGCATCACGGCGTCTATCCCAGCCAGGCGAGCGAGAACGACGACGATATCCAGTGGGCGGTGAACGAGGGTACTCGCGGCCACGATCATCCATGTTCTGAGAGTCCGGCTGACCCCAACCACCAACGTTGGGTGCTTGCATCGGATTGAATCCTGGCATCGGTGCACCAGGCATTCCAGGCATTCCAGGCAAACCGCCCATACCACCATTGGTCATGGTAAAGAGCTGCAAAGCAGTTCCCCACTGATCCTGGGGAATACCCTGACTAGCGAGCATCTGGAGAAGTTGGAGCTGCTGTGCCATCGCGTTGGGGTCCGGAACACCAGGCTGCGTGCCCTGAGGAAGCATTGCGGCCAACGGGTTCGGGGCCGTCATCGGGTTTGGAGTCCCACTCTGACTCTGCGGTTGGATCGCAGGGTTCTGAGCCAGGCCGGCCAGGCCCGCAAAAGGGGTTGCAACATTTCCTCCGCCATATATGTTCATCGCAGCAGTCATTTGTGAAGCAGGATCAGCGGCAGGGGTCGCAGCGGCGGAGCTGAAGGCACCGAGTGGATTGGCAGGGGCGACGGTCGCAGGGGCTGAAGGTGCAGCAGTGTTCTGCTTAGCCATATCGGCCAAGGCTTTCAGGATGCTGGAGGTATCGGGGGCGGCCGGCTGTTGCGGAATTCCGAGCGGGTTCGCATTCGGCGCAGGAGATCCCTCGGGGGTGTTGGATTCGGCGTCTGGTGGAATGTAAGCTTCAATGTGATATAGATTGATGCTGGACGATGACTTACTTTGAGCGGCATTCAACTTGTCCTTGAACGAAGCAAGCATGGATGACGGGAAGGTCGCACCGCGCTCCCAAATGTCTACCAGCTTTTTGATCTTGTCCTAGATCGAAGCAGGAATGCGTCAGTTACGTGTTCAAGATAAGAGTTACAGGATTGAGATAGCCTTCGGATTAAGGACCATGATGCAAAGCCAAAGTCGCCAAAAGGACCTTGGCTCCCGCAGAGGCCAGGATGGTGTGTTATGAGGTTCATCGTGATGATACAGGTTCCGTTGCGTACCTTTTGATCGTGTGGAGCATTGCTAATGATATCTGTCATCAAGACAGGCAAGAGATCAGTGACACGCTTGACACCTGCGGCGAAAGTGCCATCAGGCGCATCACTCCCCGGGGTCTGTCCAGCCTTACGGGCAGCCTCTACCCATTGTCGAGTTACTGAATCTACCACATAAAGCACACCCAGCTTGTGGGTGCCCGGGGCCTTCTTGAAGTGAGTGTAAATCTTCTGGATGAGAACTGATTCATTCTGCGAGCAGCGTTAGCAATCATGGATCAGTGGGACCAATGAGACAAGTCGATCGACTAAACAGGACAAGCGTACCTGTACGTTGGCACTGCATAGGTTTGTAATGCCGCCAATTTTGGAGCCGGATACACCAGGCGGCTTGAGAGCCAGCATCGACTGGAGGAGATTCTCCAGTTCAGCTACTGCGGAAGACATGATTCGAAGACTATTGTGAAAAGAGTCGTGATAAGGAGAGTGAGAGAAGGTCTCAGCTGCGGCTTAATGTAGATGAGAAGAGGCAGGTAACGTCCCAGCTACTGTACTGTGTACTGTCGCAGCGACAATGTTGTCACGAAGCCGTTTCGAGAAGAAGATATGGGTTAAGCGCGTTCCTGTCGGTTCTTCACTACAGACTCCACGAGCGTATTGTATTCACTGTCGTCCAGGGAACAGCTGCCTACAGCTGGAATACAGCCTAGGGATATGGTGTCCAGAGGGCTGTCTGGCGCCGAGTACGAGAGTACGGGGAGTACGGAAGATGTACAGCCTAGAGCGTCTTTGCAGTGAGATCCCAGAAAAAAACCAGATAAAGGGTTTACGGATTCCGAGGGGGATCCAAAGAGGTCCAGCGCAGTCAGCAGAAGGACTGGAGCTCAAGGTACTGATGAAAATGAAAGAAAAGAGATGCTGAGTTGGCGAAGATGAGGATGGTTGGAAGGATCATAAATGGCGAAGGAGGAAAGGGAGGCAGACTTTGCGACTGGCGCTAAACCTATATTGGGCATATCACGTGATGTCTGTGGCCTGCGTTCTTGGCCTTTGTCGCTCACCGAAGGCTTCATCCAATTTGACTGAGCAACAACGACGCATTACTGTGTATCGTTATTGGCAGTCATAACTACCTAACGTTGAGATATTTGAACAAGAATTGCAGATGAGGCAGATGCTACCAGTCAACTCTCAACAGTGATGCCAAATAGATAGTTAGGCAACTCATCAATAAGCACTCAGTGTCGGGCAACTTACACAGTAGTACAAATATTAATAGCTAGAGAGTCTCTTGAATTGAAAATCATTCTAAATCAAATCCATAGTTACTGTTACTGTGTATGTTGAATAATTACAACAACCTTGCTCAAGATAAGGCAAGAAACAATCAACACAGAACAACGTCCTGTTAGTTAGTTAGTTAACTACTGTGTACTTAGTTAGTTACTACAACTCTACAACCATCTGATGAGCCGAGGGTGAATATTTCTGCCCTTAGTCGCCGCCCTACGATAGCTCCCGACCTCGGTGAACCAATGTAGGAAGGCTTCGTCATTGTATGTGTCGTCATTGTATGTGTACAAAGGAGTAACTTGGGACTACAGCTAACTATATAATAATATGGCACCCCATGCCACAGAATGTTGAACTCTACCTACACAGTACGTTATGTGTTGGAGGTCGTGGCGGTATTGGATGCACAATGACATCAAAACATATCGAAGGAAGCCGAGGGTTGGTCGGTTTCTTTACGGAGTGTTTTCATATCGGGCGGATGGCGGCACGGCAGGAAATATGGCGACTTGGCAACGTCACTGCTCGCGGATAGACTTGTATTTGCAGTACCATTACAAAAGCTCAAACCTTGGAAATGGGTTAGTCATGTGGGCTAAATTACAAGGTTCGTATTTAATTATGTAGTTCACCATATTAACTATTATTAGAGATCATTTTCTGTGCTGGATACTCAATATACACATGTAATGATACGTACTATGGAAACAAAAGTATAGTCCCTAAAAAAATGGAAATACAAGCTGCTACTGATAGCAAAAGAACACATATCCAGTATGAACGCCGTATTTCGCAAGTGGCTACGTAGCCAGGGATATCCATATCCGAACGCAGTTGATCTGCCGGCAGCCCGAACCCGTCCTCTTCCGTACCGTTGGGAGGATAAATTACAAGTGCCCAGTCACTTCAGGGCTGTCTCCATGGCGACGTACGGCTAAACGAGCTTCCACGGGCTCCCGAAAGTGACCCAGTTACCGTACCGACCCGTACCGGCTGTAACACGGCCAGACGGGAAAAAACCGAGAAAATTCCAAGGCGCAAAAGAGCTCCTCCCCGAATTCTTTCCTTTCTTCCCTTTTCCTCCCCCAGGCTTTGTGACCACTTCTACATCTCCTCCATTTACCCATCACACATATCCTGTCTGATTCGGCATGGCTTCTTCCCTCAGAATCGGTACTACCGCTCTCCGGTCTTCCATCGCGAAGCCGGTGCAGGCCGCTACCTTCAATGGCATGCGCTGCTACTCCTCCGTGAAGGCTAAGGTGAGAAGCGCATCTTGCTGAATGGACTGAATCCAGCTGTACAATGGAATGCTAACCTGGTATAATCATCCAGTCCCTCAAGGACACCTTCGCCGACAACTTGCCCGCTGAGATCGAGAAGGTCAAGAAGCTCCGCAAGTATGTTCCTACACCCTCTTTCATTCGAAATCGAACAATAGCTAATCAATCGTTTCAGGGAGCACGGCAACAAGGTCATTGGTGAGGTCACCCTCGACCAGGCCTACGGTGGTGCCCGTGGCATCAAGTCTCTCGTCTGGGAGGTAAGTCGAGAAATCTCAACCAGTCCCCCTTGACAAGTGACGAAACTAACTTTTTTTTTTCAGGGTTCCGTTCTCGACTCTGAGGAGGGTATCCGTTTCCGTGGCTACACCGTAGGTTCTAATCGAATCGATCATCGAGTTTCTTGCTTTGCTCACCGTTTCTCCTAGATTCCCGAGTGCCAGAAGCTCCTGCCCAAGGCTCCCGGTGGCGAGGAGCCCTTGCCCGAGGGTCTCTTCTGGCTCTTGTTGACTGGCGAGATCCCCTCCGAGCAGCAGGTCCGTGATCTGTCCGCCGAGTGGGCTGCCCGCTCCGATGTTCCCAAGTTCGTTGAGGAGCTCATCGACCGTTGCCCCAACACCCTCCACCCCATGGCTCAGTTCTCTCTTGCCGTGACTGCTCTTGAGCACGAGTCTGCCTTCGCCAAGGCCTACGCCAAGGGTGTCAACAAGAAGGAGTACTGGACCTACACCTACGAGGACTCCATGGACCTCATCGCCAAGCTGCCCACCATCGCCGCCCGCATCTACCGCAACGTCTTCAAAGATGGCAAGGTCGCCCCTATCCAGAAGGACAAGGATTACTCCTTCAACTTGGCCAACCAGCTTGGCTTCGGTGGCAACAAGGACTTCGTTGAGCTCATGCGTCTGTACCTGACCATCCACTCCGACCACGAGGGTGGTAACGTCAGCGCCCACACCACCCACTTGGTTGGCAGTGCTCTGAGCTCCCCCATGCTCTCCCTGTCCGCTGGTCTCCAAGGTCTTGCCGGTCCCCTTCACGGTCTGGCTAACCAGGAGGTCCTGAACTGGATCACCAAGATGAAGCAGTCCGTCGGCAACGACCTCAGCGACCAGTCCATCAAGGACTACCTCTGGTCTACCCTGAACAGCGGCCAGGTCGTCCCCGGTTACGGCCACGCCGTCCTGCGCAAGACTGACCCTCGTTACGTCTCCCAGCGCGAGTTTGCTCTCCGCAAGCTTCCCGATGACCCTCTGTTCAAGCTGGTCAGCCAGGTCTACAAGATCGCCCCCGGCGTTCTGACCGAGCACGGCAAGACCAAGAACCCCTACCCCAACGTCGATGCCCACTCCGGTGTCCTCCTCCAGTACTACGGTCTGACTGAGGCTAACTACTACACCGTCCTGTTCGGTGTTTCCCGTGCCCTCGGTGTCCTTCCCCAGCTGATCATCGACCGTGCTCTTGGCATGCCCATTGAGCGCCCCAAGTCCTTCAGCACCCAGGCCTACGCCAAGCTGGTCGGTGCTCAGCTTTAAGCGCATGACTTTGTTCTCTTTCCCATTTTCTTTTAATATCTCCCTTTGGGGCCCGGTGAGGACGCGGGTTAGACATTTTGTATTATTTCCCTTGTTTGACCGAGAGAGTCTTTGGTTATTTTCATGTTGTATGATAGGGACTTGATCGGTTCGAGCGGGCCTTGTAACAGAACTTCCATGTCAAATCATTTTATGATCTCCACTCTGTACGCAGTAGTTAGTTTATTTTTGTCTTTTTTTTTTGCATGTGGATTGTGGTTGTTATGCGATCGGCACGGGGAAACACACAGTCACTCCGGTATTCGATTGTAGTAGCTATGTGGTTTTGGCCTATAGTTATGCACATGAAATCACTATCTTTGCACTGTGTACACATCTAGATATCGGTCAATCGTTTCAAAGCTTCTAAATTTGTGTCGGGACTGGAGTTACAGCGTAGATATCAAACGGTCTGACGGCTACCTGTGTTGAATCGAGCACATGCCAGATTGTTGGGACGGGACACCACTCAACCGCCGATGGCCCCGACCCACCTTTTGCTAGGGATCACATACGCATATGAACACAGATACTCCGTACATTATGTTGTACGCAGTATTGAGTCTAAAGATATAGACATATTAATGAATATCAATTGAAAGTAACCAAGAATGATACAATACAATTGATTAACACTATCATCATGAAAGTGCCGAGGGATGTATTCCGAATTCCTTCCCCCAGCTGCATGGGTGGTATGGGAGGTACCCAGTACCCAATAGTATGGGTGGAAACTCTGGAGATCAAATGTACTCAGTACGAGCTATCCCCCCCCCAGCTTACCTCCCGACCCGAGCTTATTTCCCCCGACCCTATAAGACATCTGGCTTCCTCTCCTCCTTCTTCTTCCACTCACTTCCCCTACTTGCACTCCATCTTCTTTCGACTTTTCTTAGTCTTCTTTCCCCTCCAAACGCACGAAGCCCCCTATATCCCTTGGTCAGGGCCCCTTTCAGCGCAACCCCCATCGCAGAATGTCTACAACTTCATCCGCGGCCTCGGCCCCTAAGCTCGAGAAGAAGCCCGTCAAGTTCAGCAACCTGTTGCTGGGCGCAGGATTGAACTTGTTTGAGGTCACTACATTGGGACAGGTATGATATACCCTCCGATGATCACAATGGTTACCCTGAATTTGCAACTGACCATTCCCAGCCGCTGGAGGTGACCAAGACAACCATGGCCGCCAACCGAGGCGATAGCTTCGTGGGTGCTATGAGTCGGATTTGGGGCCGTGGCGGCATCTTCGGTTGTAAGTGACGAATTCAATACCCGCTTCCAATATCCCCCGACCCTCCGTCCTTGGCGGCGTGGGGAGGGACCCGCCTCAAATCATGACCCAAAATACTAATTGCGAACGTCGGATGTTTAGACTACCAGGGACTCATTCCGTGGGCCTGGATTGAGGCATCCACCAAGGGTGCGGTTCTCCTCTTCGTCGCCTCCGAGGCCGAGTACTACGCCCGCTCCTTCGGCGCCAATGACTTCGTCTCCGGTATCAGTGGTGGTATGGCTGGTGGTGTCGCCCAGGCTTACGCTACCATGGGCTTCTGTACCTGCATGAAGACGGTCGAGATTACCAAGCATAAGATGGCCTCCTCGGGCGTCAAGCCACCCAGCACCTTCGCGACCTTTATGGATATCTACCGCAAGGAGGGTATCCGCGGTATCAACCGTGGTGTCAACGCTGTCGCCATTCGTCAGACTACCAACTGGGGTTCTCGCTTCGGTCTGTCCCGTCTGGCCGAGACCGCCATCCGCAAGGTCACCGGCAAGGAAGATGGTACCAAGCTGTCCGCATGGGAAAAGATCTTGGCGTCCAGTCTCGGTGGTGGTTTGTCCGCATGGAACCAGCCGATTGAGGTCATCCGTGTCGAGATGCAGAGCAAGACTCCTGACCCTAACCGCCCCAAGAACTTGACCGTTGGCAAGACCTTCAAGTACATCTACGACAGCAATGGCATCCGTGGTCTCTACCGCGGTGTGACCCCCCGTATCGGCCTGGGCATTTGGCAGACCGTCTGCATGGTGGCTCTTGGTGACATGTAAGTTCCACTTCTGCCCCCGATTCTCCAGACTCTTCCCCCTGATTCTATCGTCATCGATCCACTTTTTTCTGGGTTTTTCATGTGAGACCTCGGGCTAACCAGTTCTCCTTTGCACCGAACAGGGCCAAAGAAGCAGTTGAAAAACTGACCGGCGACAAAGTCACCGCGAAGCACTAGAGAAGGTTTGAGATACCCTTCTCTGCCTTGCAGCCTTCGGAGTGGAAAATTTGCATTAGTCTAGATCCAATTGCTTATACAGCTTTCATGATTAGTCCGGACTTGGACAGACCCGATACCCATTGAATACCTTTGCAAGTTTTCTCAGCAATACTTTATTCAATTTCTTTTTTTTGTGCATTGTCATGGGCTGTACTTTTTCTGTCTCGCAAATAATCAATCCATTTCATATGCTACAACATCAACTTTTCGCATTGGGTACGCACCAGGAACACGATGCCGAGTTACATGGACAAAAGATAATAATCGCAAGCAATGCTCCATCAATGCGAACAAATCCCGTCACTGCTTAATCCACTTGGAAACCAATCTGATCCACTGACCCCCGCCTTCGATCTTCAATGTAAACATTCAACCCCAGACAGGAATCATCCGATTTCGGCGCGTGAATCGGCCCTTTCCTTCAGCCCGACGAACCCATCCATGACCGTAACTAAAGATGAAAATGGATCAATACCTGAGCAACAAGCCCTATTGACCAATTGCAGTGTTTGCACTAGATACTGTAATTCCAATTTCACCTGCAGGATACTTGTCTGTATGTTGTAGCATCTATTCGATCAGCGGGCCGCAACCTCGGCTTGTAGTTAGACATTAGAGTCCATGCACTCCGGACATCATCCCGGCTGCCCGTCGGTTATTTCGGATCTGCGGTATTGCCATGTAGGCTGTGGCTAAATTGTCTGAAGAGCGGGTATTATCGGTGTTTGAATTCTAGTTCTTAGCGGTACAGGATCTTCATACATGGCAGTAAGTGGTGATTGCATCTCTGACAACGCTCTTGAAGCTTATGGTGCATCTAAATCCTTGCACATTTTCGTTCCCGTTTATATAGCCATATTTCTCACTTCCCGGTATCTAATGGTAAGATGGCCGAGTTGGTCTAAGGCGCCAGGTTAAGGTACACCTTGACTCCAAACTAGCAATAGTTTCCTGGTCTCGCAAGAGGCGTGGGTTCGAATCCCACTCTTATCATTTCCTTTTGCTTTTTTGATTCACAATCTGGTGCTAATAGGTCATACGCAATTCCTAATTTTTTAATTTCTCCGGGTTGATGATGCTATATCTCCAGAGTCTCCATATCGATGTATCAGCTACAGTGGTTAGGGTTAGCTAAAATAGCCCTACGGGAGGTGTTCCACGAGAATGCTTACTTGGAATCTCGCCGGCATCTGTAGACTTACGTGTATTCACATTAGGAATTTCAGGGTTCCTTACAATGAGACATCTTCTGTTCATCTGTTGGTTTTAAAGGCATGTACGATCTACTAGTAATTAGTAGGTCCGATGTTTGCCTTAACCAGCATTTCAGTCGGCACTGTCGGCTATATGCATAGCGGGCGAGGCGTGAATCACTCAGAGGCCATCCGTGGGAGGAATAGACATTCGACGACATTAGACGTACTCTAGTACGAATGGCCGGCCAGGTATTCTTTCCCGGGAGATCATGGTCTTCGCATGAGGTCGACTCATATACCTATCCTTCCTTGTTTCTCTGTGCATTTTTCTTCTACGTTGAGCAAGCTGTGTCTATGAAAAATAAAGTGATTGCTTGCTTCCCTTTGCACTCGGGGATCATGCGATCTTAAATCAAACGCGTTGCCTATAGACCGCGGTTGCGCACATCAGAATTTCCTTCCTTTGGAGGCATATAGCAGTTTTGAACATTCAGAACTGTCGCCTATGATATTCTCATTAGTTGCACCTGAAGTATAAAACCCCACAGGAGCGTCGATATCCCGTAAGGGTTTCGAGTTTGCGTATAGTATTCGGTGTAATAGCACATATACCCTGTTAGGGCTAGACTGTGGGTTCTCCGGTCATCAGAATCCAAGTCACACGAATAGCCCAAATCACCGGTGGCGGTATCAATAGTCTACTATGCCAGTGGCCCTGTACCATTATACCAACACGCATATATAAAGCAGCAACGGACAGAAGACAAAACGCAACCCACACAGCCTGGGGGATTCGCTACGGGTTTTGTGATAGTAAAGAAGAACGGTCCACCTATTTACCTGTGGGCCGTGGATGGAGTCAATGTAAAATTTCCACCTGCTTCGCGCTTTAGTTGTTGTTGTGGGTAGACACAAGTGACACCATGATCAATTGTGTGTTCATGTCGCTATTGAGCTGTACTGCTTAATGTAGTCATAATTTGCGCCTCTCTTCATCTAGTGGTAAGATGGCCGAGTTGGTCTAAGGCGCCAGGTTAAGGTATACCTTAACTCCACAACTAGCAATAGTTTCCTGGTCTCGCAAGAGGCGTGGGTTCGAATCCCACTCTTATCATTTCCTTTTTGTTTTTGACTCCACCTTACTATGACCTTGATGCGGTTCAATTGATGTTATTTTTGACGTTGTGGTGCAGAGGTGTGCGGCGGTTGGCGCTAGATTTTAGGGTTGTGAATTTTGCGCTAGCGAACACCTCCTATTTACTAACGAATGTCGGCTTCCTGCAGCACATTGGATCACATCAAATCCAAATAGATATTCATCAGGCTTCGCCAGAGGGCAAGTCTGTCTGTGCTGTGGATGTGGACTAGACTTGTGATTCTTACCAGTCTACCCGAGACTGAGAGGTTGTGCGGGCTTGCCAAACAGAGACAAAGTCATCACTACCTATGCATCGCCATGCTCTGATCGTGTGCACCAAAAGAATGCCTAGCATTGACAACAGAGACCTAGCTTTTCTGAGCAGATTTTATACGAACAGGGAATCGATAAAGGCCATAAATATACACTGGAGATGTAATGTTCAGAGGAACATGCCGACATTGGCATTCAAATAATGGGTTCTTTGGCCATTGCATCCAAGCCCATCAAGATGTCTCCCTTCCAAAGAGTACGTATATGTTCTGCCCCAGAGCTGTGTACGTGCCGATTGCCTCGGGGTAGCCAGGAAAATAGCCTTGAGGATCGCAGTCTATAGCAGAGCAACAATTGTTCTTGGATATGCTCTGGCCACACAAGAATGAGAGCCAAAGAAAGAAAACGGCCCCCTTGAATTAAGTCTCCTTCGCCACACCATCAAATGTATGGTACAGTCAATATGAAAGTCTTTCAAAAAGAGTATAAAAGAACAAAAAGTGAATGATAAGAGTGGGATTCGAACCCACGCCTCTTGCGAGACCAGGAAACTATTGCTAGTTTGGAGTCAAGGTGTACCTTAACCTGGCGCCTTAGACCAACTCGGCCATCTTACCATTAGATAACAGAGAATTGAAAACATGGCTGAATGAGTGGAAATCATGCACAAGCCCGAAAAGCGCCTGGCCTTCAATTGCTGCGACATGAATTTGCTTGTCAATCGAGGGTTACCCTTCTTGACTAGCCTTTAAGTTTGTGTCTCTTTGCACCAGTGGTTATATGGACATTTTGAAAAGGACTGGTCATGGAGGCATGTCGATGATTGTAGAGTTATGCAGGGCAATAACTATTCACAATCAGACGGAATGTCAGGTAGCTGGTCCCCATCTAGCTAGGTTTATACTATACATGTAGAACTCAAAGAAAACCAATAATACAGCTTATATCGAACATGGCATATGGATCAATCAAGCCCATTGCCGGGGGTGTCGCAGCACATCCATGAGTTCCTTCTCCTTGGTCTTATCCTCCGCTAGGTCATCTTCCTCGCCAACTGACATGTCTTCCGTCCTCGTGCCAGAGACAGGGTCCATGTAGGCCCAGCTTGCGGTGCGCGGAAGACTCATCAAAATACTTTCAATGCGGGCATTTGGTGTGCGCAGGCCAAAGCTGGTTCCGCGGTCATAGACAAGGTTGAACTCGACGTAGCGACCCCGTCGGAGCTGTTGCCACTCCTTTTGTTCCGGAGTGTAAAGCATATCTTTGCGTCGCTCAAGGATGGGAACATATGATGGGAGGAAAGATGCAAGACCGTCCGAAACGAACGAGAACAGTGTCTCCTGGGGGTTGGAGGATGAGCCGGCGGATGGCTGGAGGAAGCTGGCGTCGAGGTCGTCGAAGAAGATACCTCCGACACCACGGCATTCACCTCGGTGTGGAATGTAGAAATACTTGTCACACCAGGCCTTGAACTTGGGGTAGTATGTAGCGTCGTGGCGGTCGCACGTATCCTTAATGGTCTTGTGGAAGTGCTGAGCATCCTCTGGGAAGAGGTAGGTCGGGGTCAAATCTGTGCCACCTCCGAACCACCAGTTCTTGTCCCCGTTGATAGGGTCCTTGGGATCCGAGGTCTCGAAGTATCGGTAGTTGAGGTGGACAGTCGGGGCCATGGGATTGTGTGGGTGCAAGACGAGCGAGAGACCAGCAGCGAAGAAGTCCAGCGACTCTACATCCGAGCCAACGAAGGACTTATGATCGGCACGCATCTTCTCAATGGCTGGCCGAGGCAATTTGCCGTACACCACGGAAACGTTGACGCCTGCCTTCTCGAAGACATTTCCGTCCTGCAGCACACATGAGACGCCCCCGCCGCCATTGGGACGCGACCAAGTATCTGTCTTAAATTCCTGCCCGTCAATTCTGCCGAGCTCCTCAATAATCTTCTGTTGATGCTGCTTGATGAGCTTTTCCATCCGTAACCGCATCGGCGAGTGCTCGTTGATTTTAGATGATTGTTTCAAAGCCTCATCCACTTCGGCGATAGATGGGGCATCAAGTTCCGTGACATCTTCTGTCATCTGAAACAAATCAGCAACTTCCTCTGTGTCTGGAAAAAGCGCCATGTCTTACCATTGAGTATATGATTGCGCCAATGAATGGCACGCCAAAGGCGAGGCGCAAGTAGGGCCGCCAGACGGTGAAAGGCTTTGTCTGAGGCGGCTTCTGCTCAGTAGAGTATGCGCGAAATGAGGGCCTGGTGCTACGACCAGCAATGCGAGTGCTACGAGCAGACAGCTGCGTCAGCGACCTCCGTAGAGGTGTGTATGACCGGGTGGCCATTTTCGCAACAGGGTTGGAGGCACGCTGGAGGCCAAAAGAGCGGAGTATGGATGGTCAGGACTGGAAGAGTGGTAATCTGTACCAACACAAAGAATAACCAGAGGAAGAGACCGCAATGGATCAATTGAGCAAAATACCACGCAATTCGGCATTAAAATCGTATGACTTTGTCAAGAGCTGACCTCGGGAGTTTGATCTGTTTGCCTGGATGAGATAAGCACGATAAGCGGCTCCGGGGCACCGGGGAAGCACTCCATCTCAAGACTAGGCTAAGCTGATTTCCAGATGTTTGGCCATGTATATAACTATCTGCTGGGTTTGATATGGATTATCTAAAATGCATCAATAATATCAGCAATATATCAAGTCTCGTGCCACGTGAGTTGAACTCTCCAGGCATCTGATTTCTGCCGCGTGACTATGACTCACCGCCCATGGACCCCGTGATAGTATTACCGTAACGTCAGCGGGGAACTCCTCGCCTTGTCATCCTCTTATCACCCCTCTTCATCTATCTCTTCTTCCTGTTTATCGCCAGAGACATCACACTTCGAGCATCTGAGTGAAAGCTCATCACTTCTATCGACTTTACACCAGAGCTCGGTCTTTTGATCCTACGTGCTCTCCACTCGACCCGCTCTCACTTATCTACGCCTTATCAGTCACGATGCGATCCAAGTTCAAGGACGAACACCCTTTCGAGAAGCGAAAGGCTGAGGCCGAACGCATTCGCCAGAAATATGCTGACCGTATTCCTGTGAGTTTCTTTGCTTCTAGAGGGGATTTCCTTGACCCGAGAGGTGGTTGCTGGGACTCTCGGGTCCTCACCGCTTATTCGGCAGCTAATACCGCAATCTACAGGTCATCTGCGAGAAGGTCGAGAAGTCGGACATCGCCACCATTGACAAGAAGAAATACCTGGTGCCGGCCGATCTCACCGTGGGACAGTTCGTTTACGTTATTCGCAAGCGCATAAAGCTCTCCCCCGAGAAGGCTATCTTCATCTTCGTTGATGAGGTCCTCCCTCCCACTGCTGCACTCATGAGCAGCATCTACGAAGAGCACAAGGACGAAGATGGCTTTTTATACATCACGTATGTCGCTCTCTCCTCGTTGATAGATGAACTCATACTGACATAAGCATAGATACTCGGGCGAGAACACTTTCGGTGGCCTGTAGAGGTTGTCCAGTCTCTTTCACTGCTCTACTACCGAGTCTTCTGATCGGAATGTGTGATCAGTAATAGGGAACGGGTAAGCGACAGGGAGCCCGCGACCTTGGAATTCTTGAGTTTGGGTCACTGGCGTTTCATTTGGTGTTCTGCGCATTTCCTTTCTGACTTTGCTTGACAACTATTGCTTTAGCTGAAACTACGATCATTATGAAAACCTCACTGGCTGCGGTAATGTTTTGGGATTCTTTCGCCATTCTACTTTGTTTTCCCTGCCGAGCTATGATGGAGGACCTACCTGGAAACCGCAGCTCAGGCTAGATAACATGGCTTTATACACCAAGGACAATATGAGTTTCCTGTTCAGCTTGCATGGTTCATATAATGAATACACGTAAAAAGTAGATTGATAAGTAGAGCAGCTACTAAATATTCGATGTCTCCACTGTCATACAACGGATTTCTTGGCTCTCCGATGGCGGATCCGAATTAGGACTAGTGTCAATTCGGGAGGTTGATAAAATTTAAGTCCGAAGAGAGAGCACATGTTCCTGAGTCCATCATCGGCGTTGTCATTGCTCTGTCTTTCTCTGTCTTTTTTTGGCGATCTCTTCACATTTGAAAATTATGTCTCCCGCTATCGCTACTGGTGCAGGCTCTGCCTCCAAGGATGTTAAGAAGGAGTCTGCCACTGCTCGTCTCCTCGGATCCGGTATGACTCGATCAATTGCTCCAAAATACGCACCCGATTACTGACGTGACTCTTGTAGGCTCTGCCGGTATTGCTGAGTTGATGATATTCCACCCCGTACGACCAAACCACTCCGATATGAGACTCATTGCGACCCGATACTGATATCCTCCATAGGTTGACACCACTGCCAAGCGATTGATGAGCAACCAGACTCGGGTGAGATTGGAATTGTCTACATTGTACATGTATCCTGTTGTTGACTGGGTTCTTGATAGATTACCAGCGCTACCGCTTTCAAGGAGGTTGTCTTCAGGGAGCACGCCAATGCCTCAGTCGGCCGCAAGTTCACTTCTCTGTTCCCCGGTCTCGGTTACGCTGCCGGTTACAAGGTTCGTGACTCATGTCGGTGACTTGTGAATAGGGGACGCAGTAACTAACGTCACTTCGAATTGCCACAGGTCCTTCAGCGCATCTACAAGTACGGCGGCCAGCCGTTCGCACGCGACTACCTTGCTAAGCACCACGGTTCCGACTTCGATAATGCATTTGGCAAGGGTACCGGAAAGGCCATCATGCACGCCACTGCTGGAAGGTAAGAACAAGTGTGCCTCGGAACACATGGATTCATCTAACGTCCCAATCTCCAGTTTGATCGGTATTGGAGAGATCGTCCTGCTTCCTCTGGACGTCCTTAAGATTAAGCGTCAGACTAACCCTGAGGCGTTCCGCGGCCGTGGCCTCTTCAAGATTGTGGCCGATGAGGGTATGGGCCTGTACCGCGGTGCTGGCTGGACTGCCGCCCGTAACGCCCCCGGATCCTTCGCTGTATGATTATCATCCCCCGGTTTCTATCACTGGATGACGTCTAACAAATGTTACAGCTCTTCGGTGGTTCCGCTTTCGCCAAGGAAAAGATCTACAAGTTGAACGATTACAACAAGGCCTCTTGGGGCCAGAACTTTGTCGCCTCGGTTTGCGGTGCTAGCGCCTCTCTGATCGTGTCCGCTCCCCTCGATGTCATCAAGACTCGCATCCAGAACCGCAACTTCGAGAACCCCGAGTCTGGATTCAAGATTGTCTCCAAGATGCTTAAGAATGAGGGTCCTACCAGTTTCTTCAAGGGCCTGACCCCCAAGCTGCTGATGACAGGTCCCAAGCTGGTCTTCAGCTTCTGGCTGGCACAGACACTGATTCCCGCTTTCGGTCAGGTTGTATAGAGGCCGTGTTGTTATAATGGTTGCATCTCCCCTTTTCTCTTCTTCTCATCCTTTCTTGGGCCAGGTCAATTGCCCGGAAGTTTGTATTTTTCATAGACATGTTTATTTACTGTGTGGATCTACTTATGTAGCAGATTTCCTCTGCCATCTCCTGGATTCTCTTTACGTTTTAGTACTCCCCTCTTGCTGCTTCTTGACAGAATATGAGAAATGTTCCCTTGGAAGATGTATATGTACTCTCAATCTACTACCGCCGATTGTCAGATACTGCTCTTTGGCTACTACCATGACCTTCCAATTAGCTTCCAGTGCCGCTTTCAGTAGCTACGGACAGACGGTGTATTGTACGCATGATGGGATTCATATGGTCGGGAACTTCCAGGGCTCAAGAAGCACCTTTCCAACAGCATGGACATGCCAATAACAGTACTGCTAAGAAACAGCCAAAGCACAAAGGTTCTATTCAATTGACCTCGATTCTATGGCGTATATAGACAGGATTATAATCACAGTAATGAGACGGGATGTATAGTGGGAATCTCAACATACAACCTTGGAAAATCAGCAAAAGAAAACAAGACGAAAACAAAAAGCAAACAACTATATACTAGAAACAAGATCAAAACTCCTACTGGCCAGCAACGGCGCTTCTTTGCCTTGCTAGCCAACCCTTGGAATCTCCCGTACTGGCTCCATGACGATATCGTGATACCGTCATGTTGTTGTTCTGCCATCGGCTCTGGAGGTGATACCAAGCCGAGCCCACAAGGCTGAGTTCTCGGGCTTGGCTGTCGATAATGTTCTGAAGCTCGAGCTAGGATGTTCCATCAGCATACTGTAGAGTAGTAGAGAAATAAAGGCATTGGAGTCCAGTAATCGATGACTTACCTCTCGTTCTTTGGGAATCCCATTGTCAAAATTTTCTTCGTAGTTTCTCATTCGCTCACGAAGTGATTTGACCAGCTCGTTCTGCTGCTGAATGTACTGTGATATCAAGCCGAGGTTAGCGTTACCAAACAAGAGAACAGGATAAATTCATGTGAAAGACCAACCTCCGCACGCTGAGCTAGTCGTTCGACATTCTTCTCGAGAACTCCGGCGCACTGTTTCAAGAGCTCGACGCTGGATTTCTGCGGCGCTTCGCCCTCGGTATTGTGGGTTTCAAATTCGCCCAGCAGCATCTGCATCTCCTTCATTACCACCTGATCTTCAGAGCTGATCTCGCTTTGCTTGCTATCGAGCATCTTGCGCAGTTCCTCCCGTTCAGCGCAGACTTCGCGCACCAGTGTCTGACTGGCATCTACCTCGGCTTCCAGGTGATGTACGTTCTGTGTGAGGGTGTCCCAGTCACCCCGGAGTTTCGTCAACTCGCTAGAGTTATATTCTTCAAGTCCGCGAAGCATGTCTACCTGCTCCATATTGACGAGACCAACTTTGGCATTGTAAGCCATGTGTGAAGATATGTGGAATTTCGGCATTTCTGGACTTACGTTCAGCTTGTGCATCAGATAGGTCCCGTTTGGTGGTTTCCAAAGAATCTTGGATCTCGGCAATCTTCTTCAAAGCACTGGTATAATTCTCGTATAGTTTCCAGTAGTCCTCACTTGTAAAACATGTTAGATGTTGCTCCTTTGAGGGACAGTGTAGGGTGATCATACCTCTGGCTAGAACCAGCGCGTGCCAGTTGCACGGATGCAGCAAAAGATTCAGAGAAGCCACCGGTGTGAGAGCCCGACTAGGAGTTATCAGTACCAAAACAGAATGGCTGAAGATATATGATACACGTACAGCTGAAGGTGCTTTGATGGACTCCATTTCCCGCTTCAAATCGTCATTCTCGGATTTACTGTTGATCATTAGCATCTGATAGAATGTCAAAGAGAATGAGATGTGCATACAGCTGAGATTCTTTGACACCGAGTGCTTCAAAGTCCTTGTGCAATGTTCCCTGCGTCTTCGGCGTTTCAGACCCAGGAGACTGGGTTCCGGGCATACCGTCCATTTCACCCAGACGTTCACGTAGTTCGCTGATTAGGGCATCGTCCCTCTCGTGTTGTTCGTTTGCACTCTCTAACCGCTCCGTGAGAGCATGGTTATTGAACTCGAGTTGTTTCTTCAGGTTTTGGATTTCGGTGCATTCCTGTTCAACTTGAGGCAGAAGCTTGCGGTATTCTTCTAGTTCCACGTCACGCTCCGAGGACCACCGCTGCTGCGCGTCTGACTCCTTCAGCTGTTGCTGGAGATCTTTGATCTGGTTTTTGAGGGTCTGGTTCTCCTTTTCGAAGTCTTGACTGGCCTGCAATTTCTGGCGATATTTCTCTGCCGCATTTGCTTTGCGAGCGAGCTGATCCTTTTCAGTGCGGAGCTCATCATAGTCATCCTGTAACTTCTGGTAGCGTTGGTTCTTGACGCGCAAGGACTCCACTGTCATCCGAAGACTGTCAATCTCGTCCTGGGCTGCAGTCAACTTCGCCTCTTGGGAGGCGATTAGATCATCCTGTTGGCGGGTCTTGCTTTCTAGCGCCTTCGCATTGAACCCGATATCGCCTTTTCCAGATTTCAAGGTAACCAGCCGGTCCTCAGTGGACGCGAGACGGTTCTGGAGAGTGTCGTTATTCTCCTGGAGGCGCGCCAGGCGATTGTGCAGGTCCTCCAACGCCTTCTCCAATTCCTTTTTCTCATGTGTCAAACGGTCGTTTTCCGCAAGCACCTTCCCGACGCGTTCCTCAAATTGTAGTTCAAGATCCACGGGGCGATCATGCTTTGCTAGGTCTTCCCTCAGCTCGTCCGCAGCATCCATGGGCTCATATTGGCCGTTATGCGCCTCCTCGATAATATCTTTGAGTCCTTCCTGAGTGGAGGTGCTCAATTCTTGGAGTGTTTGCACGTATGTTCCGGCGTTTGGGGAGCTGATCGCTGCAATCAGGAGAAGCTTCAGCAGCTTGTTTGTCTCCTTGGTCGAGGCTTTTTCCGCGACGGCTTCGAGATCGGGCGATGGATCGAGACCGGAGGGCAGGGTGTCATCGTTCTGGTGCCGAATGTAGTTAAGGAGCAGCTTGTGGATGTGCTTCAGGTTCTGCCACTTGGCCACCCAATGGTCGGAGGCGTTGCGCTCCGGGATTTCCTCGAGGAAGTACTGAGGATCAATATCCTGGAGAATCTCCCATAGGATGATTCCATCGGTCAATTCATCAATGGCTCGGAGAGTCTTTCCTAGGGAGAAGCTGTTGATCCATTCCAATAGGACCTTGGTTACCATGTGTTCCGATGCCATGGCGAATTCACGCGTTTAGTCGAGTGTGAGGCAAACTGGATAAAGTTCCAGCATTTCCAAGACTCCAAAGTGAGTGTCAATGGAAACGACTGTTTCCGAGGCTCTCAGGTGAGTTTCCAGCGGGTCCACGCGCGTTCGCGTTCGAGGTCGGGAGGAACCACAACGACCGAAATCAACTAGCGGGGGGATCGGCCCTATGTATCAATGGTATCCATACTCTTTCATTGTTACATAGCAGACCCATTTGGCTATTTACTTTCAAAACGTAGTGAATGTGATGATGTATAAGGAGTGTCAGTTGCTATAGATCGAAAGGTACCAACAAAACCATCAATATGCGCCCTTCGAGCCCGTCCACAGGTTCAACCAATTACTCCACATCGTACAAAGACCCCGAGGTTGCAGAAATTCACGCAAGTATTCCCGAATAAAAACCAAAAAAAGGTGTTACTATCTTGATTGGTACATTGCAGCTGGGGTTTGCCAGTGCCCCGACCGATCACCATGATATGCTCAGAGCCAGCTGTGCCGTGGGATTCGTAGCCCCAGCACCTGATTAAACAGTAGCAAGAATATCCTAGATGGCCGCTTCATAATCGCCGTACGCATTCACAATCTTATCTTCCTCGATAGTGGGACTGTATTTGACGTCCTGCGTGGAGAGTGTATTGAGAGCGCTCACAGGAGCATCGGCGGCGAAGCCACTAGAGCTATAGTTAGAAACTGTTTTCCGAAAGAGAAATACCACTGAGGTCGTACTTGATTAGATCTGCAGGAGAGATACACGTCAGCATCAACACATCAATGGAAACGCTATCTGAATATCAATTCAAGGGAGTCAAGTCAGAACTTACGGTATTCATGTGTGATGACGCCACCCTAAGAGTGTCAGCCAAGAACCATGATAGCCTCATGAAACCAGAGGTGCACTGCGTACTGAAGCCACTAGCGACTCTTTGGCCTGAATAACCACTGAATCAGGCGTTCCCTTGGGGAAAGTGACGACCACGGACTTGAACGACTCAGCTAGTGCTAGTGGTAGAGCCAACAGGCCGACTGCGAATGTAAATCTCATATTGAAAGGATAATAACGTCTTTCAAGTAAGTTGAATGTAGATTAGTATTGTTTGACTGGGAGAGAAGTGGGAGCCTGGGAGGAATGGAGGAAGGGCGCCTGGCGTCATCTCCCGATCACATGATTAAACTCAGACAATCCCCCGGAGCCTTTTCTCTGTCCGACTCTTCTCTCACCACTTCACTTCTCGTCACCAGAACTCTCCTACATTGATTCATTACCTCACAGCGTTGACTTGCGATTCTTGGCATTTGAAGTCTTCTTTGATTATATCCTACCACTTTTCTTTCGTTTTGAGCGAGACGCGCTTCGACCTGACAATCCTCTACCCTCGACGTTGCTCCATCCCTCGGCGATTTATCATTGACTTGAAGATAGATACACAAGGGTGCTGGAAGGTCACAGGCTGGATTGTACTGAGGGCAAGCGTCTAATCCTGTTTTTGTCTCAAATTTTCGCAAAGATAGCTAGCCAAGCATTTACATTTTCCGCCTATTTCTCCATCTTTGTGTTGAACCAAGAGATTCTGTTCCTTGGGACGAGGACGAAGATTAAGAAAAGAAGACAGTCTCGATAGTCACAGAAGCAAAGGACGAGTGAAAAACAGAAAAAAAAACCAAGGAAAAGACTGCACAAGTGGAAGGTACTGGAACGGGGTTGGGCTTGCTATTGATTTTTGCTCTCCATTTCCGATAATCCAAATCTCGACTCTCCAATCATTGACACCATGTCTTCTGCTGAGATTGCGGAGGACTACAAGAGTTCATTGGAGGATCTAACCTCCAACGATGGAATGCAGATCCGCACACTGACCGTCATCGCCAAAGAAAATACGGACTACGCACAGGCTATCTCCCGAGTATTGGAGAATCACATTCGGACAGTAGGTGTTCTCATTTCCATTCGTTTTCCGGGAGGCGTAGCAAAAGATGAGTACTGACCGCTATGTAGACACCACCGCCACAGAAGCTTCCTGCCCTCTATGTAGCCGATTCTATCGTCAAGAACATTGGGAACCCATATACCGGCTTCTTGGGTAGAAACATGTATCAGACATTCATGAATGTCTATACTTTGGTAGATGGAAACACCCGAAAGAAGTTAGACGAGATGCTCAACACATGGAAGTTACCTGCTCCAGGGTCAAAGGACACACGGCCAGTCTTTCCTCCTGAAATCACGCGCAACATTGAGAGCGCTCTCATCAAAGCACGTACCGCAGCTCTGCAACAGCAACAGGCCAGAGCCCAACCCGACATCCTCGGCCGTAGTCGTGCAAGTGTGACTCCAACTGGCCGGACTAACAGCCCCATGCCTCAAAACCACCAACATGCCCAGAATGGTCATTCCACCCCAGTAAGACCGTCTTTCCTTTGCGTCTTACGTCCAAAGCTAATCTGAATCCCACAGACACCTTCACTCCCGCAGAGACAGGATCTTGATTACCTCAATCGAGATGTGGACGCCCTGATTGTTTCTGCAAAGAAAGACTTTGCTAATAGTCCTTTTAACCCGGTTTCTCAGCAACGTTTGAAGGCGTTGGTAGATCTTCAGGCAATCCTACAGACGCAACAGCTCTCTCCAGAACAGTTGAAACTCGTCCGTGATCAGGTCTCTGCACTTGCTGCATCAAGGCCACCCTCTGTTCCTCCTATAGCAGGTCCGAGTGGCTCGGCAGTGTCAACTCCTCCAGTAATTCCACCCGCACCACCAGTCTCGCAACCCTTCCAGCAGCTTCTAAACTCCGGCACTCTCGCCGGACTGATCAAAGCTACCGCTTCACGTCAGCAGCCGACCCCGCCACCACAGATGCCTGCTGCGCTGCCTCAGATGCCCCAGATCCCTCAGCAGGGTAATACTCCACAGCCAGCAGCACAGGAAAACCCCCTCATTGCTGCACTAAGAGCTCGTGGACTTTTACCCGGTGGACCGACACCTTCCTCTCTTACGCCTTCCACTTCGACACCCGTCCCTGGGAGAACTACTTTGCCTTTCATCTTACCTAATGGAATGCAAGTAACACCGCCAGCTCCGTCTCAAACCCCAATCGCCGCCAATGGCTCTGGAGTTCCCATGAAGTCAGCTGCCATGAAGATTCCTCGGTTTGCGCTTCTCGTCTCACTTTATGACTCCCGGCCGAACCGGTGTGGAACTTGCGGCCGTCGCTTCCTGACCACGGATGAAGGCAAGGAAATGAAGGCACGTCATCTGGACTGGCATTTCAAAACCAATCAGCGCATGACCGAGTCTTCCAGGCGGGCTCAGAACCGTAGCTGGTATGTCGACGAAAGGGTACGTTCATCACATCTATCCACTGTTCCGAATTCTGTCTCTAACCTATTCACAGGACTGGATCAAATCTCGGGAGGCTGGCGACGAAAACGGCGCTGTAGACACTCAGCCCACCACTGAAGGGACTGCAGGTGTTGATGGCAATGCTAAGCAAGAGCCGCCTAAGCCGTGGATTCGAGCACCGAATGATGCTACTCTCCGCAACACTCCTTGTCCCATCTGCCAGGAGAAGTTTGAATCGACCTGGTCTGAGGATGTCCAAGACTGGATCTGGCAAGACGCCACCAAGGTTGGAAGCAGAGTATATCACGCTAGCTGCTACGCGGAAGTTACTAAAGGTCCTGCACCGACGAGCCAGCGCACAGGCACACCCGACTCAGTGTTGGGCAAGCGCAAAGCTGAAGTAAGTACCGCCAACAGCGTTTGAACTGCTTTCAATGTCTCAGAGAGCTAACTATCCACAGGGGACGGAATCACCAGGCCATAAGACACGCATCAAGACCGAGCCCGCTTAAGGTGGATCTCTTTTGTATTATATTTTTGCATTGCATGGGGAAAATCCAAATCCCTCTTTAGCGTTCCTCTGGCTTCAATGACTCCTCTTAAGACTCTTAAGACAGTCCCACAGTCCCATTTATCCGTGTGGTAGTTTAAGACACGGTGTTTGCCCCGCTCGGTTCAACTCCGGACTCCAGATCTCCCCACCGATTATAAATAAATTCCACGTCTTGTCCTCTTTTTCATCTTCAATCCTGATCCCTTGTATCATCTTATAATTGTCTTCAAATTTCAATATCTCCATCATGGCACCACATGTTGTTCGATGGGGTATCATGGGTATGAGACACCTAAATCTGCGAAGAGACAAAAGCTAACTTGTATTGATAGCCACTGGCTGGATCGCTGAGAGTAAGGAATTAGGAATTGCCAACGCCATAATGTACAGGAGAGACTGATCTTTCCCCGTAGTGTTCACAAAGGACCTTCTCATCGACCCCAATGTCCGTGATGCCTCAGATATAGCCCACCAAATTGTGGCTGTCGCCTCATCCTCATCCAAGGAAAAGGCTGAGCAATTCATCACAGCACGTGGGATCACCAACCCCTGCTCCGCATATGGTGACTACGAGACTCTCGTGGCTGATCCCAACGTCGATGTGATCTACGTGGCAACCCCGCACTCCCATCACTACCAGAACGTCAGACTGGCGCTGGAGGCGGGCAAGAATGTGCTCTGCGAGAAAGCGTTCACCGTCAACGCTGCTCAGGCTAAGATCCTCGTCGACATCGCCCGCGAGAAGAAGCTCTTCCTCATGGAAGCGGTCTGGACTCGCTATTTCCCGCTCAGTATCCAGATTCGCGAGCTCATCCAGAAGGGTGAGATCGGCGAGGTGCTGCGTGTCGTGGCTGATACAAGCTTCGGCGAAGATGTCGAGACGAAATGGGGTACTGCGCATCGCATGGTGAACCCTGATCTGGCCGGTGGTGCTCTCTTGGATTGTGGGTTCTTCTAACGTTTCTTTTCTTTTTGCTAAAAGTTTGGCTAATTTTGCTTCTACAGTGGGTATCTACTCCCTTACCTGGGTCTTCCAGATCCTGTATCACACTTTACCCCGAGACCAAAGAAGGCCACCCACTGTCTCTTCGCAGATGACTTCCTATCATCTCACTGGTGTGGACGAGTCTACCACCATGCTCCTCAGCTTCCCCACAAGCACGCCTTCTAACGGCCCTCACCCGCAACGGTCGCACGGTGTGGCCCTGACCAACATTCGTGTCGCGGCTGACCCGGATGAGAAGGGATCTGCTGGTCCTGCCATTCGTATTCAGGGCACTAAGGGCGAGGTTCAGGTGCGTGGCAATCCGTTCCGGCCACAGAGCTACCGCGTTATTCCCAAGGGTGGCGGCGAGATCCGCGAGGTCCAGTCCGTGTTCCCAGGTCAGGGCCACGGCATGTACTGGGAAGCTGACGAGGTTGCTCGCTGTCTCCGCGATGGGAAGCTCGAGAGCGAGGGCTTGCCGTGGGAGGAGAGTATCGTTATCATGGAAGTTATGGATGAAGTGCGTAAGCAGGGCGGTTTGACCTATCCCCAGAAGATTGAGTCTACTGAGTATCCTCTGCAATTGTAGAGACTGGCTACATGGAGAAAGGAAATATAACAACTTCTATGTAGATATATCGTGACATCCTCCCGTGTTAACCCTGTCAAGCTCCCAGAACACATAATATGTGACTACGGGATTTACCATAGACTCCATTGAATGCATGCCGATCTTGAGTGTATTTGGTACTCACATGGTACACACATACTACTGTACATCGCGATCAAGGGGATAAGCCCAGGTCTATATGTGGACGAAAACGCCAGCCATGCTCCCGATGTGCCCCCAATTAAGAAAAAACATAGGAAAAACGGTGGACATCATGGAGCCTGGACTGGTAACCAAATTACCTCCACCCAAAAAATTCCTGTTTTTTTTCTTTGTGATCAATCCAACAGAATCCGTTTACTGGCGGAAGACACCAAGGATGCTCTTCCACACCTGACCAGGCTCTTGGCTGGCATCAATGCCGCGCCAGATACCGGTCTTCTTGTAGTACTCGACGACGGGGGTGGTCTGGGCGTGGTAGGTAGCCAGACGCTTGGTAAGGGTATCGGCATTGTCATCGGAACGCTGGATCAGCGGCTCTCCGGAAACATCGTCCTTCATGTCCTCCTTGGGAGGGTTGAAGATCTTGTGGTACGAGCGGCCGGACGAAGGGTGGACCAGGCGACCGGTGATACGAGCCACCAACAGGGAGTCGTCGATTTGCAGCTCGATGGCGTGCTGAAGGGTCTGATCACGGGCGACAAGCATGTCATCGAGACGCTCGGCCTGCGCGACGGTCCGGGGGAAACCATCCAGAATGAAACTATCCACCTTGCGTGTTAGCTTCAACCAGTGCGCGGAAGATAAAATGCTCTTGAGAGAGATGGACATGTACGCACCCGTTCTTGCACTCTGCATTGTTGTCAAGCTCGCTCTTGATCATGTTGATCATGATCTCGTCGCTGACAAGACCACCCTGGTCCATGATCTTCTTGGCCTCCTTGCCGAGCTCACTCTTCTTCGCGACCTGGGACCGCAGCATGTCTCCGGTGGCCTATTCGGGCAATTCATTAGTGGGAAAGAGCCTATGCTGTGCTCGGACAAACTTCTACTCACCAGGTGGCAAGCGCAGTACTTTTCCTTAAGCTTCGGGGCCTGGGTACCCTTTCCTAATTGAAATTGTTAATATACATGGCCTTCCCAACTGTCCATATATCGCGTACCTGCACCAGGAGGACCCATCAGGATGATGCGCATCTGCTCGGCGGCGGACTTGGGCTTGCCGCCATTGGCGAGACGGCTCTCAAGCTCGGCAACCTTTGCCTGGAGCTGATCGATGGTGTTCTTCAGGCCAGAAACGGCATCTTCAGTGATGGGAGCCATTGTGATTGAGGGAAGTGAGGCGATTGGAGGTTGCAGAAGGGAAAGGCTTTCGTAGACGGGGAAACGGAGAAATGGGGAAAGGGAAGATTCGCAGGTCCTTGGCGCCCGAGGCTCGGAGCACCCGCTTTCGACTGTGTACGGAGTAGTATTGTCTATACTCAGTACTAGGAACTGGGACAGACCCGACTTGACGTCTTGAAAGAGAAAATTGATGTATTTTACTGCTCTATACTATACATCCTAGACATTACTATATCTAGCGACTGCTTGCCTACGTTCCCTTCCACCCATCTGTTCCCCAAGCCACGTCGGCGGAAACGTTGGAAGTGGCTGAATCTGCTTATTAAGATCTCCAGCCTCAATGGCGCAGGTCTGTGGCGGAGAGCTCTCAAAGCGCCGGTGCATCATCGCTCTCCATCCGCATTCTCCTGCCTCGCGTTGATTTGCTATTACATTGAAGTTTTTTTTTTCTTGATCTACAAGCTTCAATCGTCCTCATAGATTTGATTTCTTCTCGATCTCCTCTCACTCTTTTTCACCATGCCTGCCACTACAGCAGACACACTATCCCTCGTCAACCGTTCCGTGACGGTTGCTCCATTAGTCCTCCTTTCTGTCGCAGATCACTATGGGAGAACAGCAAAGGGCACCCGGAAACGTGTTGTAGGTGTTCTACTGGGTGAGAACACGGGTGATAATGTCCGGGTATCAAACAGTTTTGCTGGTGAGTGCAAGCTTCGATGGATCCCCATAGGACAGATAAGCTGACTGTGTTTACGTTTCTAGTCCCATTCGAAGAAGATGAGAAAGACCCATCTGTGTGGTTCTTGGATCACAACTTCGTTGAGTCGATGAGGGATATGTTCAAGAAGATCAATGCTCGCGAGAAACTAGTCGGCTGGTACCACTCAGGTCCTAAACTGCGCGCCTCGGATTTGGAGATCAATGAGCTCTTCAAGAAATACACACCCAACCCCTTGCTGGTTATTGTGGATGTGCAACCGAAGGAAGTGGGTGTGCCCACGGATGCGTACTTCGCTGTGGATGAAATCAAGGATGTGAGTTTGTGTTGAACATGAGACCCTTTAGCCCAGCATCGCTGACCCATTATTTTTGCACCTGCAGGATGGAACTACAACCTCCCGAACATTTGTGCACACCCCATCGATAATCGAGGCCGAAGAAGCAGAGGAGATTGGCGTGGAGCACCTCCTCCGAGACATCAGAGACGTCGCTGTCGGCACACTTTCCACCCGTATCACGTCGCAGCTGCAGTCACTGCAAGGATTGCATCTGCGGCTACGCGATATTGGCCAATATCTTCAGAAGGTTCTCGACAAGGAACTCCCCGTCAACCACGCTATCCTTGGAAATCTCCAGGATGTTTTCAACCTCCTTCCCAATCTGTCCACCCCAACGGCGACACAGCGGGTCCCCAGCCAGGAGCCGCAGATGGAGAACAGCGAATTAGCACGGGCTATGAGCATCAAGACCAACGATCAGTTGATGGCTATCTACATCAGCAGCTTGATCCGTGCTATCACGGCATTCCATGACTTAATCGAGAACAAGATCCAGAACCGGCAGCAGCAGGAAGAGAGTGAGATGAAGCGTGAACAAGAGGCCAATGGGACCAAGGGAGATAAGGATGCCAAAAAAGCTAGCTCGCCTAGTGACGAACAGAAGGAGGAGCAGGACAGTTCCGATAAGAAGAAGAACTGAGGGACTTTTCTTAATTTATGCACTTACCATTGTCATTCTATTCGAGTGAACAATATGATCTTCCAATCCCTTTCCCCCTATCTCGCGGTCTCTGCTGGGCCAAAGTAGGGCTAACTATACGTATCACGGGTAGACAAGGACCACTCACTTCGCTAACGATCAGTCCTTGGTTAATAGCTATCTATTCAAAAATCCCTGAAGTACAACTTGTGTTTCTGTAGCTGGCAGGCGATAACTCCCGTGGTCTTTTGAGGGTTGAAGACACACTTAGTTTGACTGTAAAGCCAAGACACACAATGCATCAACCGAACGAGAGTTGGTTTACAGTCCATAAAGCGATTTTACCCACCATCCACCCCCTCTCTCTCATTCTCGGAGCAGGTCCATGGGTGGTCGCTTCAGCAGCTGCCACGGACCAAGTATCCCATGTCAACCAACAAGATATTGAGTACTGTTGGTCTGGCACATCGAGAAGATGGACAAGCCTATCAGCCGCCCCAGCCAGCACACCAACCCGCTAATTCCTCCATGGAAACAAGTAATCTGCCATCCCCGTCAGCCCCGAATAGTCCTGGACACCGTACATGCAGAACGCAGGCTAAGATATGTTTGCAGGCAGGAGGCGATACACGCGCTGTGCCACGCGCCAGAGTTCCACCGAATGGGTAGGTGATAGGTTTGTCTCCGTGTCCATGTACCCCGAGATGGGGATGATTTGCGGCATCCCACTGAGGCAGTTGGGGGGCATTTCGGTATGCAGACAGGGTGAACGTAGGACAACTGCAATTCCAGGCACGCAGCCGAACCTCGTAGCCCTTTTCATGCTCGCGAGTGGAAGGGGTGGTTGCTGAGGCAGGAAGTGAGGACGGTGCCGAGGCAGATATCACGAGGAAAATATTCTCTGGGCCCAGGGGTGTAGCCTCGTGAGAAGAAGTGACATCGGATCGATCAGAAGTAATCTGATGGACTAATTTGCGATCTAGGATGTCTAGGGCTGGGAGAAAGTCGTTTGGAAATAGACAATGAAGTGTTAACATCAACGGTTTCAGGCTTGCGGTCTCTGATGCCGAAAGTCCAGGAAAGGCCGGATGTGTCTGGTCTGCTTTGTATTGAGCCAGTTCGGTAATCAGACGATCGATAAATATCGCAGGGTAGGGCTGGGAAGAATCCATGGGAGGAAACTCAGGAAAGAGATGTGAAGAGATTTCTAGACGAACACAAGTATATAACTGACACTAGCTACGACTATAATTCCACACACCTCAACTATTCATAACTAAGCCTAAAGGTCCGAAGGTTCACTTGGACTTGGGCTTGGGCTTGGGCTTGGGCTTGGTCTTGGTCTTTTTACTCTTTGGTGCCTTTGTCACTGTTCCTGCCGCTTCATCGATCTTTCTCTTCTTCCCCTTTCCAACATCTCCTCCTCCTGCTCCTCCTCCTGCTCCTCCTCCTGCTCCTCCTCCTGCTCCTCCTCCTGCTCCTCCTCCTGCTCCTCCTCCTGCTCCTCCTCCTGCTCCTCCTCCTGCTCCTCCTCCTGCTCCTCCTCCTCCTTCCCCTCCTTCCCCTCCTTCCCCTCCTTCTTCTTCTCCTCCTCCTCCTCCTCCTTTTCTAGCGAGATTATTGAAGATCATCCCTTGGCATTGGACATCCAGCTTGCTCTGTCCTTGTCCCTTGTCTGCAGCCAACGTTATCCGGAGTAGCCCTCGTTGCTTAACCCATGTGACTGCTGGCTTTCCATCCTCAACCCTAAGCGCTGCTTCCTCCGTCTCCTTCTCCTCCCTTCCTTCCTTCGCTTTTGCTGCGCGTTCCAAAGCGCCATCAAGCAACTTAGGAAGTATAGAAGTCAAGGAGGCGTCCAAAGCAGTCTTTATGGTTTTAGTGAGTTTTCCAGCCACCGCTTCCGTAATCGCTTCTAATGCGCCTTCACTCAGACTCAGCCCCGACTGTGATGACGTTGGCAGCTGCGAAGTGCCTGAAGTGGACGGAGACTCATCAAGGCTGGCAGGAATGGCTGCCTCCTGCGTATCATTGTCATCCGTGGGCAATCGGCAGTATGCAAATACAACCCCGTTGTCTTGTACGAGGTTGGTATCTATTGTGTTGCTTTCCATGTCCGTGATCTTCTCGTCACTAGCTTCCCTCCATCTGGAGTCCTTGCCCCTGACGGCAATTATGTAATGCCCGCCCGTGGCCTTATTGCCCACATGCCTGATCACCGAGCTCAGTTTATATTTAACAAGACCAGCACCCTTGACAGGCAGCACGGCCGCGGAGTGGTAGCTCTGGTTGATGAGCAGCACCTCGTTCACTGCCAGGCTTGTGGTTATTTTCTCCATGTTGTTGTCCACGCGGTTAACTTGAATCAAGAGAACCTCGGGAAAACTCGCAAACGTTTCGAGAACAATGGATGGGCCCTTACAAGTGCGACATGCTGGAGCGATCTCTTGACGGCTCATGTATTGTGAGATTGCCAGTTGCATGTCTCTCGTTATACCGGCTTCATCCTGGGGAAACGGCAGAGTCAACATGAAACGACTTTCGGTTTCGTTTGATGGCGGGCAAGGCTTCACGGAACGGCATGCCTGTGTAGAGAGAATGGTCGTCGCGAAGATCTCCTTCAAATCATGTTGGCTATGAACTCACGTCAGTGCCTGTGAAACAAGATGGGAAGAGAAGGGGCATCACAAAGGACATACAACAATGGTAAGGTTGCCTTGCAGAGCTGTTCGAAAACCACCTGCAGGTACTCGGCAGGATCCTCCTCGATCTCGGCCTCCTTCTCCTTTTTGGGATCATTGCCAGGGTTTTTCCAAGCCTTGAATATTTTATTGGTTAATGGGGTGAGGTGGGCTGTGATATCTTTTTTATCACTCCAGTAGGCCAGACAGAGCTTGTGAAGCTCACACAGTTTACATACTCCTGCGTCGGCGCAAGGGGAATTATCAAGGCGATGGCATTGATCATATATATCGAGCCAGTTATAAAGAACTGGCAGGTGTAGCAGCATCTGGAAGCTGACATTTCGATAACACTGCACGTCCCTGTTTTTAAATCCCCCATGGGTTCGTTGGACCACGCCAGCACTCCATGTCTTTGATATCGGAATCTATTGGCCGGGTAAGTCACAATGTCAAGTAAATCTGTCTAGGCACTTACTCTAGCCGTGAGGGCACTTGAGCCGTCTTCGGTTACCTCTTCGCTTGGGTTGTCTTCGGTTACCTCTTCGCTTGGGTTGTCTTCGGTTACCTCTTTGCTTGAGTCGTCTTCGGTTACCTCTTTGCTTGAGTCGTCTTCGGTTACCTCTTCGCTTGGGTTGTCTTCGATTTCCACACTCACTCCGTCGGGATCTGCAGCCATGTCGATAGTAGTTACTGTGTATACTGTGTACAATAGTTGAATATGTCTATATGAAGTCCCGTAGGGATATGGGCTCATATTTATCTTGGTCATTTTCTCCATGCCTAGAGCTGAATTCTTTGAATCAACGATAGAATGAAAGGTAAGAGTTCAAAGGAAGTCTGAGGTTGAGTCAACGTCAAGTCCCCAACAAAGAGGCCTTTGGTAATCTATTAATAAAATCAAAGAGAGATGATACAAATCAAAGATGAAGAGAGTTGTGGAGTTGAAGTGACATTTCTAAGTATAGAAAATGGAGACTCTCTCCACTTCTCCCCTCGAGAACCATCCTGTTTTCTTCCCCAGGGAGTCAGGGACTCAGGGACCCGAGTCAGGGCCCAGAGTCTGAAGATCAGCTGTTGTTTTTCGTACATACGTACTTCTCGGTATTTTTTTATTCCCCCGGATATATTCGGATATTTTCATTTCCATAGCTGCCAGGACGTCTGTGCTGGAAAAAAGGCAACGATCGTCGTTGATCCACTTGGACGTTTAATGGTTCCTGTCAAGTTGCCTTGGTTGCCTACAAGGAAATTGAAGGGCCGAGATAATAAGAGCTGATCGGTGCATTGACAAAACGGGGTGTTTCAGGCAAAATTGATCGTCGAAGAACAGCCAGATTGAGAGAGGGAGTCGAGAGGAGAAAAATTGGATAGAGTAGAGAGGAACTCGTGTTCGAGGCCTGAGCATGTTTTAAATTGCAACGTGGAGAAGAACGATCTCATGCAGATATTGGCGGTCAGCTCGTTTATGAGAGATTGACATGGACCCACTGCTCCCTTAATTTGGGAGTGTTGGACTGTTGGACTGTTGGTGACTGGTGTGTAATAGTTATAGTCTATAACTATTACTCCGTATAGTAATATGGTAGTAATATACTGTGTCTGTAGTATGTAGTATAATATATGAAATATGAAATACATATGGAATATGAATATGAATATGAATATGAATGAAATGGAGCCTAAGGCCCCACCGAGAAAAATCCCCGACTGGCCCACTGGGTGAAGAGAAAAGCCGTTAGGATCTGGAACTTTTAGTTGCAACGGTTAGCGTCTGGGCCATCACTCATTTAACAAAAGGGTGATGCGGGTCCCCGTTATTTAGGAGTATACACCACTGACAGTCTGACACAGTAGAACTTAAGTTATTCAGTAAAGGTAGAAAGGAATAGAATATCCTAATTATCTAGTCATTTCTCTAGTTAATCGTCTATACTCTATGCTTTATACTCTATATACTCTATCTATACTCATCTATAGTTACTCATAACCTAATCTATTCTATCCTTAATTAAAAATCCAGTGGATATTTTTATTTCCTGGTAAATTACCTCCCGGTCTAAGACTCTCCTCTCCTCTCTAGGGACTGTCACTCGTTTCATCTTTCAACTGATACTCTCTTTTCTTTTCTCTTCTCTTCCTCTACTGTGTAGTAACTCTGACCACCCAATCCCATACTCTCTTGACGACATACAGTTCCAACTTTCTTTTCCCCTCTTCTCTCTGTCCCTGGGTGGTTGTTCTGTCGTCATTGGAGATCACGAGCACCTTCCCTCTTTTCTTTTGGCTTTCCTCCTTCCTCTTTCCAACATCTCTCTGGCTTTCGTTTCTATTCTATTCTTCTATCCGCGCATATGATTGCGTTACAACATCGGCCTATATTGCCTCCAGTCAAAGTGGATATCTCACTGCTACTCAAGCCTCAAGATGAAGAAGAAGCCGCCCCGGGCCACAACGCCGGGTACCCTCCCAGAACGACGGGGTCACTGGGATTGGGACCTATGATGACCATGCCCGGCCCCACGGCCATGGCCATGCCACCAATGGCCAAGACCGGCCCCTCAGGTGCTGCCAAGCGCCTACAACCTTCACACACGGCCGAATCGCCGGCAAAGAAACAGTCCAAGTGGTCGCCAGATGAGGACGCCTTGATCATCGAGCTACGTGGCAGCGGCATGAAATGGGAAGATATCAGCAAACGACTCCCCGGCCGCAGTGCCATCAGTTGCCGTCTTCATTACCAAAACTACTTGGAACGCCGAAGTGAATGGGATGAGGACAAGAAGAACAAACTAGCCCGTTTATATGAAAGGTAGGGATCACACGAGATCTTGAAACCAGAACAGTCCCACTAATCCCGATCCCATCGTAACAGATTCAAAGCCGAAATGTGGTCCAAGGTAGCGGAGGAAATGGCTATCCCATGGCGGGCAGCAGAGGCCATGCACTGGCAGCTGGGCGAGCAGGAGATGGCTCGCCGCGCCGGGGTGGTGCCATTCTCACTCTCCAGTACCGCCATCGACCCCCCCACCACCAGAACACGCCGTGCCAGCACCTCTTTGTCCCGACCCAGGAAAGGCTCCTCCTCGCGCGCAATCCCCGGGCATCTGCCGGGCCTTCCACCCCAACTTCCGTCTCTGGAAGAGCTTACGGCAGGCGTTCCTGCATATGCACCCGCACCGCCTCCCCGAGAGAGTTCTATGGAATGGGACGACCGGAGATGGGAGTGCCGCCCAATCTCATGGGTCCTCATCTGGGCATGCCTCCTCGGACCATGCCCTAGAATGGAATGACGACGAAGATGATACCTCCCTGTTCTTTTCTCTTTTTTTTGGTCCTTCTTCGCTTTCTGGTTTCTTTGGTCATTTGTTACGAATTGCATAGCGCCGGCTGGAGGTATATCGTGGTTTATGAGGACAGTGAATCGTATAGATGATTCCGAACCCTCGGTGTTGGTTGATTTTGTTTTCTTTTGTTTGCAGAAGCTTTGGCGGGGCCAGAAGTGCGAATTAATGTGTTTCTTCATGCCTCCGAGGCCGGCTCTCGGACAGCATACAACCACATCTTAAACGCGATGAGGCGTCTTGGGATTCGCGACCGCGATCGCCCACCAATTATCTTTCTCGTACCCGGATTCCAGTACACGGCCGCCAGCATTGGCGATATCTTGCTCTAGCTCGCCTTCCGCATACAGGTGGTAGTAGCGATGGAAGGTCTGGGGTTGGTCACCCTTGCGAACCCAGGGTACCATGCGATCTTGCTCATCGCCCTTGTCCCAACCTCGACGGCTGTTCTTTTGCTCCAGAGCCCAGGCGTAGATCAAGACCCTCCCGCCCTCTTGCGTCTCCGAGTCTGGCCTCACCGTTCGCAACATCTCCGCAACAGCCTGGACTCGTCGAGCGGGAGTGGACAAATGGTGTACTACTGCGATCGAAATGGCAAAGTCAAAGCGGGCATCACGGTGTGGGAGGTCCAGAATATCGGCCACCACGGTCGAATGCGGCTGGTGCTTGAGAGCAATCCGAGCCAGGTTTTCAGATCTGTGCCACGGATTAGCCCCAGTCGGGGGAGAGGAGTGCACGATATCCCAGATAAAGTAGTCTATAGAAGAATTTCAAAGATACTGTTTTATCGACACATACCTATCGGAAGCCACAATGAATACATCTCGATTAACCATCAGATTTTTGCCATTACCACACCCTACATCTAGACCCACTGAGCCTGGTGGCAAGCCTTTAAGAAACTGCTCAACTATGGGCCATGGCTGGGGGAAAGATTAGTTCGGACAGAGTCGAGGCCTCTCACTTGTCAAACTCACCTTGTAGCGGGTGGCAGAGAAATGTTGAGCGATTTCCTGATACACTTCATGGACATTTTGTTGCTCATAGGCCTCGCCTGGCTGTTGGGATGCCATTCTGTGAATCTGTTTCTTGTGGGTTATGGGAGCTGTTGAGGTTGAGAAGTCAAGCGAGGACATCACGTGGCTTATGCTCCGTAACTTTTTGTAACTTCGGGTATGAAATCAAATCGACATCATTTTATGAAATTATGAGCATAACTTCTATGTATATACATACAGGCAGGATCTCTGTCTCAGATTGATGCAGGGCTGGTGGCCATAACGGTGCTTTGCGCCGCAACGCTGTACAGACCTGAGGCACCAAGGCATCAATCCTGGACCCATGGGAATTGATACATCCACAACATTATTATCTAGGTCAGCACCCGTTATTCCCTACCTACATACCTACCTCCTATCTCACCGCCAAGCTCCAATTCCCTGAGCTACTATCGGGGGTTTACTGTAATAGCCTTACCAGGCATTAGGCCGCATTACCACGACACGGCGACCTGGCGACCCCCCCTATTCGCTCTTTCCTGCCCTCGCTCTTTCCTCTTGAACATTCGCACCTCCCCCTCTCCTTAACTCACCTCTTTCATCCCTTGATCCATCTCCCCCGCCTCTTCAAAATGGACCAGATTGAAAAGATCCGAACAAGTTCAGCAACCGACTCGGCTTCGTCGGACTCTGAAATCTTACCACGTGAACCAGTGTTCTCGCTTTCTGGGTATACCAACTTGTCGGAAGCTCTGAAATTTATCGCAAGCGAAGCAACCCCCGAGTATGCCCTTTTCGTCGATATCCCATTGAAGTGGGGCCAACGAATCCTTGAACGGCTGGAGAAGGACGATGGTAAGATCTTTGGCCGAAAGTATAGGTATACTTGGAACTCTCACGAAAGAACACTTCGGCTCTCGATGCCTTCACCCATCCACGAAGCAGTGACATCTTGGTATTTCCAGATGACATTGACATGGGTTAGTAATGGGATTATCACCCTCGAAGAAGCGAAAGAGGCTACGCCTTCAACAAATACCCCATTCACCATGCCAGCATCCCCGTACCAACAATCTACCAAGATCCCAGATGTCGCCGTCACGCCCGATGACGGTCAGAGCTTACCCTCATTTGTCATAGAGGTAGGGTGGACCGAACCCATGACGGCACTGCAAGCCGACATGGAGCTCCTGCTGTGCGGGAGCGAAGGACAAATCCAGATGGGGCTTGTCGTCAAGTGGTACCTCCAGAGGCGGACCGGAACTGTACGAGGGACTGCATGCCTTTGGGCGTTAGATGCTTATGGACGACTGACGAAACAACAGGAGGAGGTATGTACACAGCAGACCTGGACATATGTACTTTCGTGTATAGGTAACTACTCCATGCTATGTTACTAATAACATCTTTCAGACCATCTTCCCACGACATCAAAGTGGGCCTCAGGTGCTCAGCCTCACTCGAGGCCAGTTGTGGCGGGGGTCTTTGGACGCGATGCGTAACCCGGACGAGGTTGTCAACCTCGATCTCGACCTCCTGAGGGTTCAAGCCTCGAAGGCTCTTGCTAAGATGGGGCTTGCGCCCGCAACGTGACTCCTGCGGGCCTAAGCTGACTGTCTACAGAGCAATGTCTCTGCGTCTCCTCCTCGGCGTCTCCCCCGTGTGGGCCTCGTGGGTCCAAGTGCCACCGCCCTCTAATTCCCTTGCGAGCCTATATTCGCTCAGTCGTCCCAGGTTGAAGAACCAGGTTGCCAGCCGCTGAGCCGAGCCGTCCCGTGGAAGCGCTGTCCCCAGAGAGTGCCCGTCGAGTAGTTCCAGGTCGAGACGTGTATTGTGGGCAGTGGAGCGTGAGGTGTGCGAACGTCTCTGGTGCGCAGCCCTCTTGGCAGAGCGGGGATTCGATGTCTGGGACTCCCTGCGGTGGAGGAACGCATTCAGCCCGATAGCTCCTGTGCGAGCTTGGGCGAGGAGCGAGCTCTTCGCCTTGGTGAGCCCCCAGTGTAGCTTGAGGGGGTTTAGCAGCGGGTCGAGATCGTATTCGTCCGCCGCTTTCCCATTGCGGCTTCGTCGTTCCCTCACGTCTTCTAATCTCCGCCGCCTTCTGGACTTCCACTCCCGCAACGTCGGGTCGTCCACGTCCACGTCCATCCACTGCATAGGGCTGGATGCCTGTGAAGTAGGCATACCATCTGTATCCGCATCTGGTGCTACCCATTGCTCGGCCCAAACCCGTCTCCACAAGACGCTCCCTGGTGTGGCGGTGCGGGCTGGTCTCCTACCCCGTCGCGTTCTCACCTTCGTTGCCACCCCTGCGCATACGGTGCGAAGGAGGTGGGCCATCCCGGTCTGCTCGAGTCGTTGTTCAGCCTTCGCCACCCATCGCGAGAGGTAGAGGTCTAGTGGAGGGCACCGCGCTTCGGACTCGACATTATGCACCGGAGTTGCCTTGTAGGCCCCAGTGACAGCCCGTAGTCTGGGCCGTGAGCAGGGCCTTGGCGGGGCCCCGAGGATTGCCGCTCCTCGACGTGGGGGTGTGCCACGCACTAGCACCGTATGCCATAACGCTCCTGATGACCTTGGTGTAAATTTCCCTGGCCTTAGAGACACGAACACCCAAGTTTTGCCGCAAAGCCGGGTAAGCGCCAGGGATTGGGTCTCCAATTTGACGCGGACCCTTTTGGCTTCTTTGAAGGAGAGCTTCCGATCGAGCCAAACTCCGAGAAACCGAGCAGATTCAACAGTGGCTAGGGTAGCCCGGCCCTCATCAAGGATGCAGACTCCTTCCGCTCGGGGAAGGCGCGTCCTGGTGAAATGAATCCGTTCGCTCTTCTTTGGCCCAAATCTCATACCTCTTTCCCTGGCCCACTCGTCACAGATCCCGTAAGCGTGTTCCAAGATCATGCAAGTGTCCTTCGCAAACGCCAGAAGGTTCGTGTCGTCTGCAAAACCAATAGTGGCCAAGCCGCTGATGTTACCCAGTCTCCTGTAGAGCGATGTCGCAGAAAGAATCAAGAGGACGGGCGACAGCGGGGATCCTTGGGGCGTGCCTTGTGTAATCCTCTGTCTTGCTGAGGTGCCCCGTCGAACCGGAGACATAGAAGGTATATGGGGGTCAGATTTGCTGCGTATACTCCGTAGATCTAGATCACAACGGTAGGGTATCATGACTATGGTCATAGGGCTGCCATTAAAAGTGAGTAAAATGTAAATATTTCAACAATGAACAAAGTCCAGATTAGCTGTCCCCAGATTCTATCTCAGACTATCTGTACACATGTACACAGCATGCCCATGGTAGTATAAAACGTATACAGTCTATCTAGTTATCTCACGCTTTGAAGCTATGACTTGTACACTTGGACACTTGGACCACCGCTAACCTGACCAGTCTCAAACTCTCATAAAACTTTAATCCAAAAAGGGATCTCCCTGAATTGGTTGTCCCACGTGATATTGATATCAGTTTCATTCTCGACTGCGTCTGGTCTCCTGTTCCTCCAGGGCTCAGGGCGGAGACGCTGACTAAGAATCCACTTTCGAGATCGTTGTATTGGAAGATATTCCGGTTCCTGTTCGTCTGTCATCCCTACAAGATCAATTGTGAGTACTGTCTCCTCTGTTAAAGACCTGTCGTTTCCTTGCCTATATCATGAGCTGTCGTTTCTCGACTGTCAACTACCCACAAGGTGCGCTGGCAAGTGCAGCCAGCTACTCATGAGCCCTCTCAGGGGATATTTGATATCACAGCCCATGTAAAATCCCGTTCTAATATTGACTGAGGAAAAATCAACACATGAAACCATACCTGGCTGATCTTGATTATCTTCCGTCCCCTCTCACACAGCCGTCGTGAACTTGCATTGCATCCACAACGGTCAGTTCTAACCGTGAATTCTAGAAAACACAAGAGGACAAGAGTGATACAAGATGGCGTTCCAGCCTACCCCGATGGATATTTCCGTCATCATCACCAATGCAGCCTTAGGCAAACCCGGGAACTCGGAGCCCCGGTTCTTGACTGAACGTCGCATCACCCCAACCTGGACCGTGATGCAGGTCAAGGCAAAGCTGGAGACCATGACGGGTATTCCACCCGGTAGCCAGCGCCTGCGAGTGAAAGTGCCCGGTCGACCTGATCAATGGGCTGACGGGGATGACCGTCTGATTGGGGATTGGGGATTGGTGAAGGGGTCAGAGATCGAGGTTCGTCTCTTCTCTTCCCTATCCTGCTGTTTCTTCCCTCGCCGCTTTATGGTTTGCATGTCAATATATTGAATGTCCAGGAATGATATGCGGTATGGGGAGTCATATATTGATGTCGGTTGTCTTTCTAGGTCCATGACAGCCGGCCGCAGACCATGCGGGCCAACTTCACCGACCTTTCGTCGGTCGAGAAGTATGTGCTGCCCACTGAAACTTATGAAGCCCGTTCGGACTCCGTTTTGGCCTGGAAGAAGAACCAGAAACTGGGTCGATTTGACCCGAACGCTCTATCACCCGAAGAGTCTCTGCGCCACCAGGTCGAGAAAGACAGGAGCGATATCCAGACGAGAGGTTCGTTGGAAGGTAACCAAGCATTACTGTATCGTTATCCTAACGCCTTATTCGCAGGAGTTGCCACTGGCAAAAGGGCTATCATTCTGCCTTCATCTCCGCCACATATTCGGCGTGGCACAATTCGCTTTGTTGGACCCGTTCCGGCCATCCCTATCACTGGCCCGGGTCGCGAGCTTCAACAGGATGCAGAGCTTCCAGCAGATCTCCAGCCGATCTGGGTCGGGATCGAGCTAGACGAACCGATGGGGAAGAACGACGGCAGTGTGAACGGACAGCGCTACTTCGAGTGCTTAGCCAACAGAGGAGTCTTTGTGAAGCCCGAAAAGGTGGAGGTGGGAGAATTCCCCCGCTGGGCTTGGACGATGACCTGGACGATCTAATGGAAGAGATCTGAGATGCCTCATCTCCACGTTAACCAATGAACATACACACTAGAGACAGATACCAAAAAAGTGGAATATATTTTCAAACTCCTTGGATAAATGAGGCTCCGTCTTCCAATCCTCATTCGCTCAATTCGGGTACTGCCCAATAAACTGCAGACCCGGACGGCGAAAGAACAATGCCCAAGTCCCTGATAATAGCATGAAACAAGTCGCTGAAGAACAATTGACAATGAAATGACACCAGACGCGCCGACAGAATAAAGATTATTTCAGGGTATCCACGTAATTGAAAAAGAGGTAGCATGGCGCGTCGTCAATACCTGTGATGGGAAGAATGAATTGCAGAGCTCATCGAAATGGTCTATTTGCCAGTCTTCTTCTGCTTGCCCTTGGGACGACCCTTGCCTTTCTTAGCAGGGGCAGGAGCAGCAGCAGCAGCAGCAGCAGCAGCAGTGTCGGCTTCAAATTCGCTCTCAGGAACAACATCCTGAGACATCTGCGGCGTGTCGTTTCCATTCTCGCTCTCATCTGGAACACAGCCTTGCGTGAAGAACAGACGGGCCTCTTTTCGGTGAGTGTTTGCAAAGCTATAATAGTTGCCTAAGAAGAGAATTCTGGCGTCAACAGATTGATACGTGTCGAGACAGATAAAATGAAGCTCACCTCGAGGGACCTGGAATACACAACCCTTCCCGGCACTGAATTGGACCCCGGAGATATCCACTTGAACACGCCCGTGACAGACATAGAAGACCATATGCATTTTTTTCGAGTTTTTGGGTTTCTTGACCCCGTCCGGTGGGAGCTCTACTACTCCAGACCCGATGAACGACGAGCTTAGCAGCTTCGCAAATCGGAACGTTGAATCCTTCACCTCCCTAGTCTCAATTCCTGAGGGGGCATATGCGATGTCTGAATAGAGAGACAAAAATGTGAGTCAGAGGACCAAAACATGGAATTATTGGAAATATCATACCTAGGACTTCCTCCTCCTTCGAACTGGTTTGCGTTTTGCCATCCCATTTGAGCGTGTAGCCATGGAGAACGCCGCCCTCTTTCTCCCAGAGATCGACATCTTCATCCTCGTCTGACGATTCATCCTTTTGCTTCTTTGATTTGGTCTTGTGGGACGCTGAGCGCTTTCCCTTCTTGGGTTTCTTTGTGGGCTCTTGCTCCTCGGTGCGAATGACTTCTTTGATGGTTGAAAGAGGATATCGATGTCCCTCAGCTGCCTCCCCATCACCGAAAACGCATCGTTCATTTCGCCAATATGCCAATGGTCGGACTGATACCCGCCCGGATCGAGTGTGAGTCGCACTACTGTCGGTAGGAATCTCACGTTTCAAAATGTATAGACTTCGGCCTTTCAGAGGGCCGGTGCGGTTCGCATAGTTCTCAACAACTCGATCCAATTCCGGCCCCAAAGGTTGTCGCACGGGTTGTGCCGCTTCTGCGGTGTTGCGCTTTTTAGTTGGCCGGGGATCGACTTCGTCTTCCGCGGCGCGGCGCTGAGCTTTTGGACGTCCGCGCGGCGCAGGAGGTTTCGCCTGGTGATTGTTTGCCTTGGGATTCTTTGGCACACTCTTGGTTGTCGACTTGCTCACAACCGGCTCTGCCTGAAGCGAAGTCGAGTCAGCCGTAGATGAATTGTCGTCGTGATCAGGTCGATTCAGCTCGGGAGAATTAGGCAACTCCTCCACTGCAGCGGAACCCGATTGGACTTCCAGATCGTCCCCAAAGTCTGGTTGTACTGCAGCAAAGGAATTCTCGTCACTGTCACCGTCGGAAAAGTCGGAAAAGTCATGCAGGACCGCAGGCTCAGATTCTGCTGCTATCTGGGCTTTCTTTATCGGTTTCTGCCGTACGCCATTCCTCTGGTTCGGTCGTCCCACGTTCAAGGAGCGAGTAGATAACGGAGAGACATCTTGACGCGACTCTTCCCGCACGACAGCCGAACCTTTACCATCGGACGGACTGGACGACTGGGAAAGATCTTCGGGATCCGGAGTCGATTGCAACGCTGGCGTCCTCCGGGGAGATCCAGTGAGACCGGACTTCATCGGCGAGCGCGCGGCAGGCGGGGGGAGAAACGAGGCACGATGGCCGTTGGCGCCTTTAAGGAAATCCATGGGCTCTGGCGCATTGCCTATATAATTTGCATGAGCGCGCGATTAGTCGACCACGGGAGAGTTCCCCAGTTTGCGCACCTTCATCTATAGACATGATCTCGGACCCAGCCGATGAGTTATCTTCGTCTTCAAATCCATTCAATCTGACTGGCGACTTCTCAGGAGAAGAGAAGAGGCCGTCTACTTCTTCCATTCCATGCTCGTCGCGCCGACCCTCTTTGAGAGTCATACCGGTGCGTCTATACATATGTTAGTAAAGATGCCAGGCTAGTATACCGAAACTGTGACACGTCTACTCACCTTCCTTTGGTTCCGACATTGGAGTAATCGAAGTCGCGGGGCTTTCCCACCCCTCGTGCCATCTTGGAAATTAAGCCAGGATAGAAATCGTGATCAATGTTCCAGCTCAAGGGGAAGAAAGAGAAGCAAGGGTGGAAGACACAAAGGTGGAGGAGGGGAGGAATGCGACGGAATTTGGGGCGGGAAGAGCAACACGCGCCCACCCGCTAATCCCGAACAGTCGACGCGTTGTGCATACTTAACACGAAGAAATCTTTTGACCTCGTCACTCTTGAATACTTCTCGAAACAAACAGATTCAAACTTATATACTCTATCATGGAAGACGAATCCCCTATCAATCCTCCCCTGGATTCCTCCACCTTCGTTCCTCCTAGCGTGATCTCTGAACATCTTCTCTCCGGCGAATCCTACGCGTACTACACGCCATGTCCAAATAAAATTACGCCTCAGAATAACTCACTCAGCACTCACGATACTGCTGAGAGTACACCGTGCGTATTGGGCGTCGATGAGGCCGGCCGAGGTCCAGTGCTAGGGCCAATGGTGTACGGCGCCTTCTACCTTCCTCTGGATCTCCATCACTCGCTCTTGACCGAGCAGCACAGCTTTGACGACAGCAAAGTGCTCACACCCGCAGTGCGAGCAAATCTGATGCACCTGCTGAACACACCTGGAGACTCGTTGTTTGAATCTTGCGGGTATGCGGTCAAAGTACTTTCAGCCCGCGACATCTCTTCCGGCATGATGAGATCACCCACCGCAGTATACAACCTGAACGCGCAGGCCATGGATGCGACAGTGGAGATTATTCGCGGGGTGGTCGAAGATCGGGGAGTGGATGTCCGAGAGGTGTACATTGATACGATTGGCAACCCGGCGACGTACCAACAGAAATTGGAGCGGATCTTTCCATCTCTCAAGATCACGGTGGCCAAGAAGGCCGATTCCCTGTATCCTTGCGTCAGTGCCGCTAGTGTGGCAGCCAAGGTGACGCGTGATGTGGCCCTGGAAATCATGTATGAGGCTGTGCTTCGGGCTGAGCAGTCACTGGGCCCGGCCCTCGAGACCTGGGGAAGCGGCTATCCTTCAGATTCCAAATGTGTCGGCTGGCTGCGACGCACCATGGATCCTGTGTTTGGGTGGGGCAACGAGTGCCGATTCAGCTGGGGCACCGCGAAAGAGATGCTTGAAATGAAAGGCGGAGCACGGGTCGATTGGCCTGCGGAAGAGGACGAAGGTGCTCCGCGGCTTGACGACTTTTTACTGTCATCGGGCGGTAAAAGTACAAATAAGGATGGGCTACGAGATTGGTATGGCCACAGGCAAGCCGAGATTCTCTGAATACGAATGCTCGCTTTGTGATGGGATTAGCTATTAACGTTAATAAAACATGAATGATACCCCTTTGGCTTGAGCCAAGCACAGCAAAAGTGAAATCAAATGAAGGATAGACTAGTAAAAAGAGTTGTCATATGGAAACATAATGGGTATCATGGGTGAAGGTATTCGGCTATCTGCGGAAATTCACAGTGTAGCGGTCGAGAAGTAGAAGTTATCCCAAAGGTATTCATAATCCTCCACGACACTGCCCACCAAATCCAACAATGGCTTGCCTTTCATCTTTTCGGTAAAACTGTGGATCCAGGGCCTGTTTTCCAATGTTAGTCTTCAAGTAACTTTGGATCAGCTGGAGCTCTTACTTGGTGATAGTCTCGTAGAATGCGCCCCGCATCATCCACCAGCCCATTGACCATCCACGTTTCTTCAATTCTTCTCGCTCGAGCCCTGTGAGGCCTCGAAGACCGCCAGCAACCCTTTCGCGGAAGTCACGCTTTGCGAGTTGACGGCAGCCATATTCCATGCCGAATCCGAGAAGCCAGGGCCGCCAGCTTCGCTTGTCGCCACTCCATTTTTGCATCGCCATGGCGTAGAAGACAGGTCGAAGAATGTATAGCACTTCAGCTAGTTGCCCTTGTCCTGTAGCCCGATGAAGAAGCGCCTTTGGGGGTTTGATATCATCGGCTGTGAGCACTTTGGAGATAAGATAGTTCGACACGTCGTTGGCGTCTGGGAGAGATGGAAGGGATAGTCCTGTGCGAGGCATCGTCCAACTCAAGTCTGAAGACCGCTCGCTCACCGGGGTATCCATCCCGTTCCAGTCACCCTGTCCATCCTCATCTTCTGTCGTTCTGGGATCGACCTCGCGCTCTGGAAGTGGGGGGCTGACCAGGGGCCTGGAGTTGGTCAATCGCAGAAGGAGCAAGCGGCAGACTGCCTTTGCGAATTCGATAAAGACAACTACCCGCCAACGGGTTTTCTGGCCACGCCGCCGCGCTGCCATTTCCCAGAGAAGCTCGGTGTATTGGAGCATCTGCAGTGCAAGCGCTACCTGGCGATACAGCGAAGAGCGAGAGGTCCAATACTTGGTATAACGGGAGTGGGGGGTGGGTGGTGGCCGAGAAACAGTCGACGGAAGTCGATCAATGACTCGAGAAACAAGGGAGTCATGGTACAAGGATAACAACTGGACACCGGAGTGTACTGCAGGGGCTATCAGCAGGCGCGCTCAAATGTAAGTGCAATGTTACACTCACCACATTCTGACGGTATCTCTGATTCGCGGTATCGTCCTAGTAGATTATATTGGCAAGAAGTTCCCCGAAGACAACAACCTCAGTCCAATCTCACCTGGGATGATATAAGTCAAGGACCTCAGCGCAGACTCGACTTGGCCAACCGAACTGGCGTTCTTGGTCACAAAGTCCTCATAGATCAAAAGCCATTTCGATGGTTGCAAGAGAGCTGGTGATATTGGATTCCGAGTGTCGCTAATAGTTTTCATCTTTCTTCAAGGCAAGTTGAGATAGCTGCGAAGGAAACGAGATCCGGGGGAGGACGGGGTCACCAGGGGGCACGTGGTCCCGCATTTGCCAAGACGCCTGGGCCGAGGCTGATGCTTTCGGATGGCGCCGCATCGATTTGACCCTTCGTGCCTTGTACTGTGTACTGCGTACGATATAATACTGATAGATATGCATTGTACAAATAATACACTAGGATAGTCCGATATTCAAATATGTTTCAGTCCTGCATGAGGCATGCTTGGGGTAGATCAGAGATGTAAGTCGTCCTATTCATCCGCCCATGTCCATAGTCCCCCCGGGCGCATAGCCTCTCGATATCGTTCCTCCACCTTCTCGCGTTCCAACTTCTTGGCAGCTTCGAGGTCATCTTCCTCCTCTTGCGTGTCTGGCATGTCAGTTCGCCAAAACCCGGGAGGAGATTGAGCTCGTTGGTGGGTGTGTCGATGTCGTCCATACTGGTTGGCTAAGGCCCTTGCTCTCGCTTCCACCAGGAGATTCTCGCGCTCTTCGCCGCTCAGGTTCTGGAGCAATTGCGAATTCGGGCCCAAGAATTCTCTTAGTATCGCCCGATCTTCTTCTTGTTCTGCCCCAGATTTACCGGGGATGCCTCCAACGCGGGCCATGGCTCGGAAACGATCCCCACAACATCCAGGCCGAGTACACCCCGACATGCATTTGCGCTCATTCTTTTTTCGCACGACTGTGTCATATGCATAGTCAAGCCCTTGGTTTCTAGCCGGATTGATTTTGAAATGTTCCAGCCCGAGGCAACGAAGAGGTCTTGCTCTGAATGGTTCATCGTCAGGATCTATATTCGGGACCAATTCACTCGCATTCCGAGACGTCGTTTGGTCAGAGTCGGGTGTAACAGCCTTCCTTGTAGCGGACCCGGAACACTTGGTCGAGTTGTGGAGTGCCGATTTGGGCGGAACTGACTTTTCAAGGAGATCTTCTAGACGCCTTTGTGCACACCCACTATTGGTCTTCGTGTTCGAGGGACCAAGATTGACGCCAGGGCTAAACTTCGAAGATCTTTGATCCTCGCCATCTTCTGCCAGGGCGGGTATGGCACGTCGCTCCAAATATTCAAGGCACTTGGTCGAAGACCCTTGTGCAGAGGTGGTGATGCGCGCATTGCCGTCGACTGGTTGGAGTATAGAGCCCCGTTGAACTGGCAACTTGTTCCAAATACGCTTCGAGCGACATGCGTTGTTTGTGCTGTTGTCTGTCTCCAAAGTGTTCGCAACCTGAATATCACGGTGGGCTTTTCGTTTCATGGGTGTTTGTATTTTGTCGCCTATCTCATCAAGATCTTGCGTACTGACAAACGGCTGTTCACTGTGGTGTATTGAAGTCCGAAGAGGGCTGGAGGACAACAACTCATTCTTGACAACAGCAGGGCGCTCGGAGCTCATGTCCGGCTGGGTGTGTCCGGAGTTTCTGACAGGAATCGGTGAAAGCCCCTGCCTCGTCTGCTGCAGGCAAACATTGGCCTGGGGGCGAATTGGTGCAGGGAATCGTGACGGTTCCACTTCAGATCTAGGGGAGCTAGACTGAGTGGAAGCCGGTTCTGGTGTCGGGGCGCGTGTTGGGGTTTGGTCATCTTCGAGTTTGACGGCTGTGTCCACCTCAGATGCACATGACCCCTTGTGTGATAGCTTGGTAGCTTTGTCTGGAGGAGTCGAGCACTCTGCTCTTGGCCGCTTCCTCGAGGAGCCCTGGATGGTCTGCGAGTGTCCTTCGTCAAATTCGTCAGAAATGGGGCTTAGCACTCTGCGAAATTTGACTCGTTTGCCATTAAGAACAAGCGAAAATTCTTCACACTCTAGTTGCTGTTCCCATCGCCGTAGCTTCATTTTATGCTGCAATATGCGGGTTTTGAGACCGCTCCAAGTTTGGATGAATGTTTGTAAATTGGTATATAGGGCAGTGTACTTGGCCTCGACTCTCTTCCGAGATTTCTGCACATCGCAGTGGTCATCATCCAGGTCACTTCCCCATAGATTCTTTGGATCAAATTCAGACTCTAGATTGGCGTATTCCTTGGGGAGCTCGAGGTCTCGCGGATCAACCTCATATTGTTGTAGTTCACTCTGGAGTATGGCGATATCATCCTGAAGCTCGCGGATTCTGGTCTCAGTTTGTAGCTGGGATTGTCTGGCCAGTGCCTGTTTGACTCCGGTCTCTTTCGCGTGCGAACCAAGGTGAGATTTCATCTGTTTGTAGGCATTATCGAAGGAAGCCTCACAAGCAACTGCCACAGCAGCATGGAGTTCCTTGATAACTTCCATTGTAAAGTCTCTGGGGTGCGATTGAGCATAAGCCGACTTATCGCCAAGAGAGATCACGCAAATACAAGCGTGGAGACGCGTCGCGACCAAATGGGCACACGTGAGCTTATCAATGATAAGGACGAGACGGAGGTCACGGCGAGGGGGCGGAAACATGTAATATACTGTGTACTGTATGTCAATTCATATTCCAATCTAGATTATGATTGAAGAAATAATTATTTATTTTGCTTTCACCTTTTCATACTCATTTTTACTCTCGACTCGGTCCTGGAATTGAGATGTCTATGCACGGAGTAGACGCCAATCAATTGTGACGGCTGCCGTACAAACATCCAAAGTCCCCCGGCATTGTGGCCAATATTTGACTCCACCCACAATGTCCCTTTATCCACTGTCTCCCTCCGAGCACCCACAATTTCCTGGACAATAGCTATAAGCAATTTTGATAGTCTGAGTCCCAGGATGTCAAAACGGTGCAGAGACTGGGATTCTGATACTCCCCAAAAACGGATTCGCACTCGGAACAATGTTGGGCCTCGTGATCGTCTGTCTGGTCTAAGTAATGAGTTACTCCTCCATATCCTTTCTTTCCTCCCGGTCTCGTCTCTGAACGTGTGTCAAAGGTTTGCTTTCCTAATTCCGATCTACCTCTCTACTGATTCTGACTGACTTGCTGCCACAACCAGGTTATCTCGTCGCTTCCATGCCCTTGGTGGAGACTCCGAGCTATGGAAGAGGCAATACTACTCGCAATGGGTTCGCCCCCGTGCCCGTCGGCTCGCAAATGCCAGGCGCACAGTCATGCCGGCCAGAACAGATTATTCGCCCAAAGTCGCAACATGGTTTGACCATGGCCACTTGGCACAGGAGGGCAATTGGAAACGGCAGTACCGACTCCGGCATAATTGGTCCAAAGGGCTATGTCGGTTTACTGAGGTTGAGTTTCCTCAGCCACCATGCTCCCCTGCGCTGGTCAGATTCTGCGCTGGGGTTGTTTTCACAGCGGACTTGACTCATGGGCTCCGGGCTTGGACTGCAACAGACTCGGCGTGTTGTCTTGCAAATGTTCCCTTCTCAAGTCCGTCGGAAACATCGGCTGCAGCCCCGACGGCGTTGGCCGTAAGCCACATCCAAGACAAGGTCGAGATCTCAATCGGACTAGAAAATGGCGGCCTCATTCTCTTCATTTTCAATCTGCGGACCTCGAAGCTGGAGCGGCAATCTTCTCACGTTGGCTGCAACGATGCTGCCATCACCGCAATGGCCCTTTCATCCCCATACCTCATGGTAGTGTCCCAGCACAAGGCCTTGACACTGTACCATCTGCAGCGAGGCAGTCATGGATTAGGCGATGCCCCCGAGATCTCTGAGCTCCGCCAGCTTGCGTCTCTCAAAGCAGAGAATATCGTTGCGCCAATGACACTGTCTCTCAGGCCTTCGCCGTCCGAAATTGTCGCTACTATTGTGTACAGTTTCTTCCACATTGGCTGTGGGTGGTCCCTAGGAATTCAAGAGCTGCGACTAGGTCAGGATGGACAACAACTTGATTCGCGATTGGCTACTACAGTGGATTCCCAATATGGATTGGGGCCGCTTCACTCCAGAAAACCGCGATTCTCAGCAGCGGAGTCGGTCGAAGACCAATTCCCCAATAGCCTTAGGGCACCGTTCATCCGACATCAGCAGCCGCCAACCTCTATGTCCTATTCCCACCCGTACTTGCTAACGTCCCATGCTGACAACACGCTGACCATGTACCTTGTGGTGTCTACAGCCGACAGTTTGTTTGTCCAAGGCGGCCGGCGGCTTTGGGGTCATACTTCTTCGGTATCCGCCGTTCAGGTAACCAACCGCGGGAAAGCTGTTTCAGTGAGTTCCCGAGGAGATGATATTCGAATATGGGAACTAGAGACGGTGATCTCCTCCCTCGGCAGTCGCAGAGCTTTTAAAGATGAGAACAGCGTTCAGCTCAGCCCTGAAAACAAACAGGATTTGAAATCAGAACCCGAGCCAGAGCCAGAACTTGAGCCAGGGCTGGTGCCGACTACGAGCTCCCACAATTTAGGAAGTGTTTTGTCTCACATGCCAGGATGTGTCGGGTTTGACGACGAACGAGTACTGCTCCTTCGAGAGAAATCATTGGGAACGCAGCTACTCGAATGTTACGACTTCACCTAATGTTCTGATATAGTCTCGTATTTGGCGAGAAACCAATTATAATATGAAAGGAGCAATACTACTATGATTCCCATACGTTAGCTCCCATTGACCAATCAATCGGGTAGCACACAAGGTACTCAACCCAGGACTGGGGGACCCTGGGCAGGACAAAGGGAGTTGCATATAAATCTGCTTTGTATTTGCAGTCTTCTGTTTCTTCTTTCTTCCCTCCTATTTTCAATGAACTTTTACAGAAACTTCAAATCACCTGGAGAAGGACTATTTAACTGTACGAATCCGATTTCGGAGTGATTTGTCAAACTCTCAGAATGGAAGTGTTATATCATTATATCATGATTGAAAGTCTGAAAGGAAGATGAGAAAGAAGGCGGATACTCTTTTCCCTACAGAAGAGAGAGAGAGACTGAGAGAGGTGAAAATTGAAACTCCCCTCTCAGTCAGGGCGGTCAGCTTTGGAAGAATTTCTTCCCCCGCACTACAATAATTATTTTTCGACTCTTCTTCTCTTCTTCGTTTTTTGCTTATCTTACTTCTGTCCTTTTCTTCCATCACTTATTCATTATGGATTTCCCCCCTGCTGGACGCGGCGGCTGCTTCAACTGTAAGCTCTCGCTCTCTTTCCTATCCTGCTCGTCAAATTCGAATGAAAACCCATGTGAATACGTCATATTCCTGAAGCTCCAGCTCCTGGTGCTCAAATTTTGGGGAATTGGCGGTCTTGCGTGCGGCTGATTCATCCCTCTTTGTTTCTCGACTTGGGGATTTTCTCTGGTCTGGGTGATTTACTAACTTGGAGATAGGTGGCGAAGCTTCTCATCAGGTAATTACGGCCCTTGAGGTCGTCCGATCTCAATATTCAGCTTGCGACATTGAATAAGAAAAGGAAGAAACTCTCAAGTCTGGAGGCTTATTTGCTTTATTTAGGCCAAGGATTGCCCCAAGAAGGGAAACCCTACCTGGTAATTCCTCTCCTAACACTCTGATATATCGTTTCAAGAGCTAATCCAGTTTCTCAATAGCTACAACTGCAACGGTATGCTTGTATTCCAAGAAAAATGTTAATGATTAGAGGTTGGAACATTGCTAATCAAATAAATTCAATCTACAGGCCAAGGTCACTTGAGTAAGTTCAAGACGGACATTCTAAAGTATCGCTGAACCTGACTGACATTTCACGAAGGCCGTGAATGCCAGGAGCCCGCCAAGGAGAAGTCCTGCTACCGTTGCGGCCAGACCGGACATCTTTCCCGCGAATGCCCCCAGGGCGGTGACAGCGGCTACTCTGGTGGTTCTCAGGAATGCTACAAGTGCGGACAGGTCGGCCACATTGCGCGAAACTGCTCCCAGGGTGGTAACTACGGTGGTGGCTACGGTGGCGGTTATGGTGGTGGCTTCGGTGGCCCCGGTGCCGGTGGTCGCCAGCAGACCTGCTACTCGTGCGGTGGTTTCGGCCACATGGCCCGTGACTGCACTCAGGGTCAGAAGTGCTACAACTGTGAGTATACCGGTTATTTGCCCTGCTGGGGACCTACTGCTAACCTATGATTAGGCGGCGAGGTTGGCCACGTCTCCCGCGACTGCCCTACTGAGGCCAAGGGTGAGCGCATGTGCTACAAGTGCAAGCAACCCGGCCACGTTCAGTCCGCCTGCCCTAACTGAGGTGTCTATTGATTGCATTGCTCTTTTGGTCAACATCTTTCTTCGATTTCCCTGAGGTTGGGCACCATTTTTCATGCATGCACGAAACGAATTCTTCTTTTTTACTACCTGAAAAATGTATGATTAGAGATCAACACCGGACAAGGTTGACATGATCTAGCTTGTGATGTTTCCTACCTGCCTAGGATTGTTTGGTTATTTTCCTGGGCTTTACGATAACACGTATAAATTTGACAGTAGGAAGCCTTCCGAGGTGCGAATGCGAGTATCTGCACAATTTGATTCTCTAGGTTTTCTCCAGGCTCACGTTTCGACATGTCAGTGGGATGCGCGTATGATGTGAAAAAACTGATCTGAACCGGTTCAAAGTATGACGGCAACGCCGTACACTCAACGTCTATCCATATAGCACATGTAAGTCGATTACGAGCTGCAACTGCACATCATAGCCCTCTTGTACTTGGGGACATCTCCACAGAAACGCTCTTCTTCTTCCTTGTGGAGACCCCATTCATCGTTGAATGGATTCAGAGCCATTCGCATGATCCGGTCCAGAATATCTCGGTCGCCTTTGCGCTCAACGCGCTCGATAACCTCGTCGAGAATCCACCCTCGAGGCACAAACTAACATTGATTGGTCAATCAAAGTCGAGTTCCGGATGGTCGAGTCCGAACCAGTACTTACATTGGGGTTGACCGATTTCATGTCCCGTTGTCTTTCCTCGTCGTTGGCAGGCCCCCAATCTTCCAGGACGCGAGCCCGCCAGCTATCAAGCCATTTGGCAATGCGATCCCTAGCTGTAGCGTCGGTGTATCCGATGCCACCGAAGCCTTCCGCATGGAAGAACACTGACGCTGCTTCTCTTCGGTCTTCTTCCGTCTCCAATCTGGATATTGGCAGCCCCGAAAGCCGACGGAAGAAGTGACTGAAATCTAGTTCGAGTGCTTCAAGGGTATCCAGCATCTCCGAAAAGAGGGTTTGGAAGTCAGAATCGGCCTGTGTCTTGAGTCCTAGCCTCCGGCTCATCAAGCGCTTGTACTCGTTTAGGAAGACCGCTTTGTATTCTTCACCCACGCGCTCGATGATGGTCTCGGCGCGTTTGATTAGTTCCGGTTCGAAATCCTCCGTCACACCATCGTTCACAAAGTTCTCGTCGTCCACCCGACTTCCGGCCCCGATCAGCTCACCCAATGACTCTCCCAGTCGAACCAGATTCCACCAGATAATGCTGGGCTGATTACGATAGGCGTATCGCAGCATGTGGTCATCATGGTTCGGGGTGTACTGGGGATCGAAGTTATCCATGAATGCAAATGGGCCGTAGTCTAGCGACAATCCATAGATCGATGTGTTATCAGTATTCAGCACTCCATTCATGAAACCATATGCTTGCCACGCGGCCACTGTTTTTGCGTTGCGGCGAGCGATTTCTCGGTACAGTCTAGCAAATCGATTCTCCTGTACATCTTGGTGCTCTTGCACTTGGTCGCCAGGAATACCCCTTGGGGGGTTATCAATTTGCGAGGACGACTGCTGATCACGCAGCGATATAATGGAGGGGAGAGACTCCCACCCGCCAAAAACGTCTTCAGCGACATATGTCGCAAGCTTCCTGATCAGCTCACGATCTCCGCGAACACGAAGAAGGTCAAAGGTGCCAATTCTCAACCAACTCTCGGCAAACCTTGCAACAATAGCCCCCGGCTCAATACGCTCTCGCAGTACCTTAGCTTTGGGTGCTAAGGTGATTGAAAGTGCCCGCGTAGTTGGTATACCAAGGGCGGAAAGAGCTATCAATTTAATCAGCGCGTCAATTCTCGGTGTTTCAAGCGGACGTACGAACCCTCTGAGACCACATATTCACGGATACTTGACCGGAGGACAGCTTTGCCGTCTGCGAAACGTGAATAGGGGGTTCTGCCTGCCCCTTTCAGTTGCAACTCGTATCGTGTATTGGTCTGCGGGTTGGTGCACTCGAAGAGGCTGATTGCACGCTAGGTTTGTCTGTCATTAGTATCCATGCTGCACCGAGCTCTTGTCTATATCAACATACCCCGTCTCCAAGTTGTCCAGCCCATGAACCGCTATGTATTGTCAGTTTGAATGATGCATCTCGAGCTTTTATATGGCTTACAATTGCCACCCTGTACATGTCAGTCTTCTTGACTCCCCCTTGTATAAAAATATTTATACTGACCTCCATAACACTGGGCCCATGGATAGATTCCACCCTTTTCCTCATTCCAAAAAATCTCGTTGCCTGCGACCAGGGCCTTGAACTGTGACGTGCGCTCCTCGCCTGGCTTCAATCCCAAATCTCTCATCGCCTTCATACTGACGCTTAGTAGCTCTGGTTCGTCAGTCGGCTCCGGGCGGACCCAAGTAAACAGAGCTCCCTTGACCATTCGAGGCCCTAAACTTTCCCGCGGCGCTTTGTGCGAGGATTCCGGGGTATCAAAGGCTGGATCTGGGGGCATCTTAGACGTGAATACATTGGTTCTTGGCAAGTCAGCCAAGGAACAGATCCCGGCTGTCGAAAGATGCGAAGCCATCTGATTCAAACGATTCCGTGCTGGTGGTCGCAGGCTGGTCGGTGAAAACATATACCTTCTTGAATACGCCAGCACTCGGAAATTCATAGAGAGTTATCAAGCCGGAAATGATTGAAATTAAGAGTAATGGTGAACATAAAAGTTGTGGGAGGTCACACCTGGGCATGACCAGGAATGACATAATGTCAGCTACTTAACTAACTAGTTAATAATCGCGTGGGGAAGAACCTAAGGTTGGTCGTTCCACATCGTAGTTACAGGATGTACTGTACGGTTGTACCTCTACTGTAGTTACTAGTAACGGACGGAGTACACAGTAGTAGATGCTCTGGTAACGAATGTAAGATCCATACATGTATTTTCGATAGCTGTAATAGACAATACGGCAACGATAAGCAGATAAGAAACAGGCACCGTATTGACCCAACGTAACCTCCAATTCGACGAGTCTTTCATTGCATCCGGGGACATTTCCCATCTCTCGCTCCTTCATGGAAAGAGGTCACCCTCTCATTGTGATCAAGCCGCCCTTTATCTTCTCTCTCTTACTGTCCATTCTCCAATTCCAATTGCGCAACTTCAATATCCTAGGGGTTATGGGATCAATCCCCACGCGCGACTGTGATAGGATGCCCTCAGTATTCGGCTTCTGAACAAGGCCGGATCTTGTACATCTATCATCCCTTATTTGACTCAATGCCCTCATTGTGACGGGATACTCGCTGTATTGACTGGAGAGACAGGGCTCGGGGACACGCTTTGACCTGACTTGTGCGTAAAGCGCGTATGATACTGGCATCTTTGGTGGAAGAACGTGGCGTGACCCCGGCGAACTGCGATGTCGATGAACGAGAAACGCCATTCCCACATCACCATAACTTCTCGAACTGCAAGTTCACCCGCGCCGGACCGTGCAGCGCTTGATCAACGATTGCAGCGCCTCTCTGACGAGGTCCTGCCGCCTGTCCCTTATCTACTCACTTTCCCGACAAAAACCCCCTTTAGCTTGGGAGATCGGCCGTCTAACAATTGGGCTGTAGGGCATGACAGACCCTTCAGCTTGGATGAGCAGCAACTACAATATATGACCTTTTTGACCCACCACGACACCGATTCATTACTACTGGCCGTTGGGGACTGGTCGGACGAGACAGGTCGCATGATGGCTGATCGACCGAGGGCGCCAAGCGCCGGGGACAGTTCAAGAGAAACCGTGGCGAAGAAGAAGATCAGCCTCAAGGACTACAAGACTCAAGAGACCAGTGGCGCTGTCGCATCCCCCATGGGCCTTGAGGCTGGTAGCCGAGGCGCATCAAACTCCACCAAATCCGAAGAGAGACCACATACCACAACTTCGGACCTAGCCAAGAGTAGCGACGGAACCAGATTGCCTAGAATTCCACCGAAAGCGCATCCGAATCTCTCTCCCGAAAAACCGGGAATGAAACGGCCGTCTAGCTCGGAACTTGATTTCAGCACTTCGGGGTGCAAAAAGCCGGAAGCATATCCCACCAAGAAACCGCGACTATCTCCCGAGAAAGAGGTCCGCCATGATTCCAGTCCTTCGAAGTCGCATACACCCAAGTTACCGGCACTCCTGTCGCCCACTCTCCCACCAACGTCGGGTGGCCCTCGACTTCCACGGTTGCTGTCTCCTACCCTTCCCCCGGACATCGAAAAGGAATTGGCCCGTCTTGAGGACCGATCGCCGCCTCGTAGTAGTCGAGCAGAAAAGACATTGCCCGCGAGAGACTCAAGTGCCCATGAACACTTGAACGACCATCCCCGTGCCAATATACAACGAGCGCAGCTTATCACTAAACTGCGCTACGGTAGAGCAAATCGGAAACGTGTTGAAGCTTTGCTCAAATTTTCTGGTAAAAGGAAAGCGCATCGGTCAGATTCACTGATCAGCCAGGATACCGACCGAGATGATGTTTCTAACTCTAGAAAGATGGGTGAAGATGATGGTTCATCGCGCTTGAACCCCTCACTCGCGGATTCGAAAAGCAAGAAGCATGAAAGCGATGGATCTCTCGGCGCCCAGGGCTATCGCACCAAAGAGCTGAAAGGACTACCCGAAAAGCCTCGAACGCCAGTACCTCAACCACCTCTGACCTCCCATTCAATCGCACATGACAAGGTCAAAGTGACTGCTGACACGCCGATGAAAAATTTGAAACCCCCTTTCTCTCGACGAACCGATATTGGAGAGGTTGATTCCAAAGCTCCTCATCCCGCCAACAAACGTCATTACGTTGATCCTGGGTCAGTCACAAAAGCTTCTCCAACGCAAGCAGAGAGTCGCACGCGCAATGAACGGCAAATTTGGTGGGATGAGTGGCAAAGATTTGCAACAATTGGTCGGGAATTGAAACATGCAGCGGAACGGCATACCTCCAGGAAAGGAACCTCGGCCACTGATGAAAAGCTGGCTGTTGTGACTGCCATTGAGGCGTTGCTGTCCTTTATCATGGCATTTGTGGCGAACGATCAGGCTAAGGCGTTATCACGCCAGGTTGGAGATTCCTCTACATGGCTGTCTATTGTACCATACTGGCGCGTGGTCAAGAAGAACAGTGTGCCCTACCCGGCCTTGAACAGTCTTTGCTTGCTGCTTGGAGCTATCTCCTTCACTGCCATCCACTCTCTCGACCTCGAACGCCTTGCCATCAGCCCAATTCCTGGGGAGCACACCCCAGTTCCCACGCCTGGGAGCGATGGCAACGCAGCCATGTCGGATGAGAACAAAAGAAGCAGGAAGGAGTTCTCGGAACTCAAAACCCGTCTTCCTGAGTTCTACAAAGATTCCCAACGACTGTGGCTAGAGGGCAGCCGGGGTCTCTCTGAAGATGTTCTTGGCCATGAGTTTCCCACGGTCTGGTCTCAACGATCTCGAAATTATTCCGAACGAGGCCGATCATCCCTCAAGGCTGGCGACTATGCCGGAAGCTATTTTCTACCACTTTGTGGCACTACTCCGCCCATTGAAGTAGTTCGTTTCGGCTGGTCCCTCCTCAAAGAATGGTGCTCGAAAGAACGGGTGGAATGGAATGGACGTCTCGGTCTTTAGTTTTATAGCTTATGCTTGACATCCCTTTCTTTCCCCTGGTTCGAAAATGAGTTCGTTCATCTGGCGTCCTAGGAGGGCTTTCTTTGTCTTCTTTTCACACGAGCTATCATTTTCCCACCCATTCCCTTCCGTCATGATACCACGAGCACTGGATTTTCATGTAGCTATTTGCAATTCGAATATACCACGGGGGTTGTCAAATGAATCATTTCTTATTGCAACAGGAACGAACGTATCTTGGAATCTGTGCACATCTGAGATCTATGTCCAAACTGGATATTCTGGGGTTGCCCCAGTCTCCCGAGTCCCGAGGGAGGTCAACCTTCTACACCAAGCCAGCAAGTTTACTACATCATGGTATGGGAGAATCATAACCGCTCGTTCATATAGAGATACCGTGCACATGTCATAGCCCTAAAAGCGTCTTCTTTCATCGGGGCTTTGGTAAATTGAAATGATGACCTAAACGTCCTGATGTTCATGTCCGAAGTGAGACGGCGAGTCTCCAAAGAGCCAGCCAGCCTCACGACAATACCGAGCTTCTCTGCCATAGATACCGACTTCGCTTGCCCAGCAAATTACGGCCGCATCTACAATATCCGCGACGACACCTTCCATTGCACCCAGCGTGGTCCAGCCAATGGTTCCCGCAATAAGACCTACCACGTAGGCATAGAGACTACCGCGAATGGTGCCACCGGTAGCAAAGGTTGTTAGGTTTCGAGCAGTAGTCACCCAACCACCAAATCCTAAGGCCAACGACATGATGAAACGGGCGGCATAGAGAATCAATTTGGACAGCCTGTATGAGAGAAGAGTGCCCGAGCCCGCAGGGGACCGAGGCAAGGAACGGGAATGTAGAGATGTTGCGGCTGCTGACGGGGTAAGGATTGTCATTTGGCTCAAGCCTCGGGAGGAAGCCGCAAGAGGCTGCGAATGAATCGCTGCATAGGTAAGAGAAAGGGGATTGGTCAAGTAAGTGATCGGGGTGGGGATGAGTGAATAGGCAAACAGACTGAGCAATGAGGAGATGCGGCCCGGTAGCACGAGAAGAGGAACTCGGATCAGTAAGCCCAGTAGTCTGGACACAGAGATGGTGCCAAAGAGCGCCGTGGTAGCATGTACGAGGGCTGCCTGGACGATTTGCCTGGAGGTGGGTGCGGGTGTGGCCAACCGGTGGAAATACCACTGGCTCACGGTTGCAGCCGTGACAGCACGCTGGATGCCCGCGATGACGCCGATTGACCAGAGATAAACCATAACGAAATAGATACCGAGCCACCAGCTACCCGCGTCAATAATGAATGATCTTGAGCTGACAAGATGACCACCCAAGAACACGCGAGTGAACATCAACATCCATATCCACGTCCAGGAAACAACGCAGACCAAGGCACCCAGACCAAGAGCAAGAAGCTCGGGATTGGCAGCTAATATTCGGCAGGCAAATTCCAGTATCCCTATAGCTTTCCCGATAGACTGGCGGCCGCGAAGAACATTGTAAATCCACAGGGTGGCCACAAGGAACGGAACCACAGAGCCCCATCTCATTGCCTTGTCTTGGATACTCATCCCATGCCATGGTCCCTTGAAGCTTGAGATGAAAGAATACAAGGAGAAAGAGTATAAAATAGTAGGGACGGCGACTAGAATCATGTGGACCAGCAGTCGCACATAGGATCGTAGTAAGGCCAACCAGAGAAGAGAGACGAGGACAGATACGACCGTGTATATCGCGAGCAGAAAGAAAGACCTATGAACGGTCATGTATATTGTATCGCCCCATCTTGATTTGTCGCCAGATGGGGTAGATGTGTGAAGATATACGAGAAATGCCGAAGCAAACAATCCCGCAAGAGATATCAAGAACAACTGACCCCAAAAGGCGTCGTGTACCATGTTCTCTGAGGCCAAGGGTGACATCGATGTAGGGAATGAGCTCGCCGAGCTAGGCGGTCGTGGGCGATTTGACGACAACAGCCCAGTCTGCTCCACTGCAGGCCCTAGTATGTTGGGCGCAGAGGGATCATCCGTTGGAGTCTGGACTCGAAATCGTTGCACGGGTGGGTCCTGAGCACCGGGACCGGGCAACGCCTGATCATCGTCATTGTCAGTGCGTAGGGAATCCACCAAACCAATATCAACTAGGTGGCCTCGAGCCTTGCTACTGCTAGGACTGGTAGATACTATTTCGTGCTCTGCAGTTTCTGCCACAGATTCGATAGGGAATGGGCGAGCAGCAGAGACACCTTTATCTCCCCGCCATGAGCTCTTGATGCCTTTTCCATTGCCTGGACGATCATCGTACATTGCACTATCCTCGTCGAATGCCGAACGTTCAGAGTCCTCAAGTTCAGAGGAGTCCTTCAAGTTGCTATCGCCGAAATGCCGCCTTGACCGTTGGAGAGCATAGAAATCAGCAATCTCGCGTTCCCGTTCCGTTTCGTCATCTTCCTCTCGAAATTCATCGGTAGCACTGAAGAAAAGAGGAGCATGTTGACCGGAACCACGGGAAGCAAAAGGAAAGTGAGATATCTGGGATGCACCCGACCGATAAGGGTCGCTAGGTCGTAAGAAAGAACGCGATGAGGGATGTCGAGGATTGCCTTGATGTTGACCAGGGCGGCTACGACCTGACCTTTGAACTTCGTCTGGTCGAGGTGTTATTCGTGATTGTGACTGAGCAAGAAATCGTGAAGCATCTAAGAGGAATGTTAGCAATATGTTCCAGTTTCCAAAATCTCGCGGCGCCTACATTCGGAGAACATGGCTTGTTCTTGCGACAAGGAAAATACGGTGAGTGGATAGGCCGGTGATAACCCGATAACCACTAAAAGATGGGAGTGAATCAAACGGTCAGGATTGGTGGGAGAAGGCAGTGGACAGAGAGAGAGAGAGAGAGGGGAGGGAGAGATGGAATGTATTTCTTGTGATATGTCGAACCTAAAGGAAAAAGAGAGGAAAGGTGAAAAGTCCGAGATGAAGTGACTTGCGGTCGTAGGAGGATCACGCTGGTAAAAGCGTCATGCGGGCACGTCAGGCTAGATAGATGACTCAGCTGATAACCATCTCCAACTCTAAGTAATCATCTCCGCTTTCTTTCCTCATCTTTAATTCTTGGGTTTATCTGCTCTCTCTCTCTCCATGTCACAGCCATGGGATTATATTGCTAAGCTTGTCTGCATTGGCGACTCTGGCACCGGCAAGTCCAGCGTAAGTGCCATCTATCTTTGAGCTTCAGCTCCGCTAATCAGACAACAGCTCACTGTCCGGCTTTGTGAAGGCCGCTTTTCCCCATCTCATGATGTGACGATCGGAGTTGAGTTTGGATCTCGAATCGTCCCAGTTGGTCCTCCGGCATCGCTAGAACTTGAACTCGATGAGCCTGTTCCCAGGGCGACGACGGGTGATGCATCCCCGGAAGCGTCTGTCACCTCCGGTCTTCCTACCCCTCCACGAAGGCCACAAGGTTCCCCCAGTCAGAAGCGCATGAAACTTTCTTTGTGGGATACTGCTGGGCAGGAGACGTACAAGTCCATCACCCGGTCGTACTTTCGAGGCGCTTCCGGGGCTCTTCTAGTCTTTGATATATCCAGGCGCTCGACCTTCACATCATGTACCCAGTGGCTGCACGATCTACGGCAAATAGCTGAAGATGGCATCGTCGTCATTTTAGTTGGTAATAAAACCGATCTGACGGGAGTCGCTTCTGGGTCAAACCAAAGGCAGGTTACGGAGAAGGAGGCAGAGGAATGGTGCCGCGTGAATAATGTGGTTCGTTATGTTGAAACCAGCGCCAAATCTGGGGATGGCGTTGAACGAGCGTTTCTGGAAGTTGCCGAGAGAATCTATCGTAACATTGAAATGGGAGCATATGACCTCAATGATCGACGGAGCGGCGTGAAAGGATTCGGTGCCTCAGGAGGACCAAACGCGGGAGTGCCTAGAACCATCACATTGGGCATGGACGATGCAATGCGCAAAGGTGGCAATGGCTGGACCGGGGGGTGTTGCTGATATCGCCCAAGCAGGGCTCGTATTAATAGTGCCAGCCAAGCTGGACAACACGGCTTCTGATGTTCATAATTATCTACACTACTACCAAGGTATTGAGCGTGACCATTACCATGACTGTCAGCCACAGAGTAGCTTCAATGACTTTGCGATTCGTTACAGATATCATTGTTAGATAGACAGTGAAAGTAAAGGCAGAATTATATGGGCTGATACAATTCCTCTCTAGGTGTGCAGAGTCCATTCGAGAATTTGGTAGATCAACACCAGCTAGAAAGCAAAGGTCACCCCGTCACAAAAAATGGCGCATAATCAGTTCTCATTCGCAATTTTCCATCCGGGGAGCCAGCGCAGATGATTCCATTGCTGGTTGGAGCCCTCCATCCCGAACACGATCGCTCGGAAATGGATGAATAACCCGATGATGGTCACGTAGAGCAGGGCATACACTGCCGCAGAAACTCTGGGGTTCATCCTCCGCGTTACCCAATCGATGCAGAAGCCGAAGTTCAAGATGGCGTAGTAGAGAGCCGGGTAGTAGTGGTGGACGTAAGTCACTCGGGCCATGATGATGAAGGGAAGGTAATGCAAGACCCATCCAATGACCGGATACAACCCGGAGTAGTGAATGTGACTAATTTCCTCGCTGCTGAGATCCTTGTACCCTCTTTGCCAGCGTAAAAGGTACCAAAGGAACAGAAGACCAAATCCACCTAGACTGGCAGTGCTTCCCCAATAGACCAGGGGGTTCCCGAGAAGGTAGTACTTGACGACACTGTCATCCCAAGAACACATGCGCAAGCCGACATTCAGGATCGGCCATTGCCAAAACTTCGAAGCCAAGTCATCCTGCTTATCGGGATCTGGAACAAGGGCATTGTTGGACGTCATCATGGCCACATTCAGGTGGATGAAATCCTTCAAGAAGGGTGATTTATAAGAGCCAGGATCACCAGGGGGCACTAGGCATAAGTCAGCGGGTCTGATCAGGCTCATCAATGGCAGAGGGAAGAAAGGGGGGACTCACAGCGATCATTAGTATGCGACTCAACATTCCAGTGGGTGTAGACGTCACCAGGTTTGTTTTCTTTGGTGCAGGTTGTTTCAATTTGTTTGAATCCCCATTGAGGGAGATTGACGTTTCCTGCCCGAAGATAACAGCCCAGGACCGGATGGCGGAGCCTGAAGGCCGTAGTGAGTGTCCGAATCCTAGACCGGTCGCGGGATGCAACATCATTGACCACCTCCACTTTCCAGTGGTCTTTGTCGTCTCCAATGGTGATGTTTCCGTACGCCGAGACCTCATGGTGTGATTTAGTTATGGGCGCTGGGATAGCGTGGGAATGCAGGTTACGGCCAGTCTGTCCGTGAATTAACCGAATGACATGGCCATCACCAATGAATCGTAAATCAGCATTGACATCGTAATCGGCTTCTTGGCGGTTGGGGTAGATGAACCAGTCATTGTTGGCATCCTTGTGATGGTAGCAAGTGACCTGCTGCTGCATAGATCCCTCAGGGAAAGTCTGGACATGAGAGTGGAGAAGCCCTCCACCGTATCCCATGTTTTTAAGGGTGACACGCGATCCAATTGCAACCTCAAGAGGGCTGTCTCTGCCGACCTCAGTACCTCGTAGGTTTGCTTGGAAAAGGGAGCTCATCTGGGCATCCCCGGGTCCACTGTTAGCCAACACCAGGAAATGCAGATAGAAAGAAAACATGTACACCAAGACTGGGATCACAATCAATCCCACAACTCGGGCAACCAAGTGCTTTGCAAGCACAGTCTGTCAAATGATCAGTAATTGAGCTGAATGGGACTGGAAGGAGGCGCGCTCACCTGTGGCATCTTCAGGTCACCGAATTTGTTCCACAGGTCATTGATAGTGTAGAGACCGACAAGAGCGGTACAGAAGAAACCGACCCACTTAACACTGCAGACACATCCAATGCTCAAGCCAGTCAAACAAAGCCAGATGTACCATTCCAATGAGAAACTGGCATGCTGCAACCGATGGAACCTGGCCCAGCACATCGTAGTAGTAAATGTGAAGCACAGCAGCATCGAATCAAGAAGTATAAAGCGAGAGATTGTAGCATAGGAGTTCTCGCAAAGTACCATGAGGCTGATCAGCCAGACTGTGGCTCGGCGGAAGTTCAGCTCTCGCGCAGTATAATAAGCGAGAGGAATGCAAACTATTCCAAAGGCAGCATTGAAGGCTCGCATAAAGGTATAATTCACATCTTCAGGGTACTTCTCGCCGGACTTGAATTCGAAAGACCCATTATATCCAGCAAGATAGCCGGACAGGCCAACTAGCATCTTCCCCAAGGGTGGGTGGACATCGAAGTAGAACTCGCGTTTGAGATAGTGGGAGCCAAATTTACCGAAGTGGGCCTCATCCCAGGTCACAATGTTGGAGCGGCCGATCTGATAGAGGCGGGTGAAGAGGGCGAGGGCAGTCAAGATGATGGGAGCAATTATCGGTTCCCACCTAGCGAGCACATGGAGAAATGAGGGGGACTATGATGGGGTGTTAGTTAACAATCCATGCGGATGGCTAGGCGGGGAATTCTGAGGGTTTGCCCGGCTATTCTCACCTGCAATCTAGCTTTCTTTCCATCTTGCTCGTTCAGGCGAGTTGAGTCCGTCAAATGTTTGCTGGTGTCAGGGACATTTCTCCGACGAAGGTCAGAATCATGTTTGGCGCCTGTGCTCACGGCAGTGTCTAGGACAGCCATAATGTGTTTGAGGTGAAAAGAAAGTCGTGTTCAATAGAGTTGGGTGTGGTAGTAACGAGAACAATTGATGGTGAGGGACCAGACCGATAACAGTAGGGTAGGTTGGGCCTAGGACATAGTCAATCCCTCCAAAGCAAATGAGTGGTAGAAGAGCAATGCTAACGGATTCACCGAAAGCAAAGAGTCAAGTAAAAAGAAAAGAAGCAAAAAGAAAAAGTGTAGTAAGAAGCAAGAGAGAGTGGGCCAAGGAAAGAAGGAGAAGTGAGTTCCGTGGCCTCTGAGGATAAACAAGTCCACTTATTAGCCCGAGCCGTTTTCAGAACGTGGCCCTTGCAACCTTGTCTCCTTTTGACCAATTTTCTATTTATACCTCTCTCTAGTTATTTGTGTCCGTTCACGACTTCACGTATTGTTAGTTATGATCATTAACCTTAATTCTTTTATATCTTTTATTTTTCATCTCATTCAGTTAATGCTACATTATGTACATTATGTACATAACAAATATGTACATAACCTCGCATCAAGTACCATCTAAAAAGCCTTATGTGGACAATATATCATGATTTATTCCTGCCAAAAGAATGACCCAAATCCAACGAGGCATCTCTTCTAGTAGCGAAATAAAATCTATACTACAAAACTGACAAAACAGCGATCAAAGACGGACAACGGACATGGTATATAGCTCAAGGAAATGGATATGTGTTGTGGAGAAGGAATCAACAGAGAAATCCCACCAGTGATGGTATGTGCGAAGGAGAGATGTATGACCAAAACCCAAGCCATGGGATGTTGAGTAGACCTTCTATCGCTCGTCCCCTTCTCCTTGCTCCAGACGTCTGTATTGACTGCTGGGAACGCCAGCGCCAGCTGCTCGGTTTCGACTGACCATGCTTGAGATCCAGCCACCGATTCCTTCGCCTCGGATGCCGTCCCGTTGGGAATTCGAGCGTCCACGTTTACTGGTCCCTTCATGACTTGAAGTCGGCGGATCGATATCTAGACCAGGGATAGAGTTCTCTGCCCCAAATTGAGCGTACTGCCGATGCAGGTCAAGTGACGGGACGGGTGAACCGGCACCCATCAGGGAACCTCGCTCGCCTTGAGTGGCGGGCGTGGGCATGGTGGTGGAAGCATCGCCAAAAAGAGCGTCCATATCTTCCAGGCGGACCCCACTCGTTTCGGGGTATAAGAAATAAACTGTAGGAATAGGTCAGTACTGCAGACATCATCCGCATGACTAGGGGCAGACGAGGAATCCTACCAAGCACAAAACTACATGCACAGAAGAATGCATGGACCAAGTATAGCCGCCACTTAATGATCTCTTGGAGGATAGGGGTCACCTCGCCAACGAGCCAATTAAATGCCCAGTTTGAAGCGGTGCTCAAGCTTGCACCTTTGGCACGGATGCTCAAGGGCAGAATCTCCGGAGGGTACAACCATGGAATGGGCCCCCAGGAAGCCCCGAAAGCTGCATTATAGAGCATGACGAAGATGACCGTCAACTTTGGAGTAGCGGGAATTTCGATGTAGATGAAATAAGAGATGAGAGAAAGGGAAATCATCATGGCAACAGCGCCCGAAAGCAAGATCGGTCGTCGACCCCAGCCATCCACCAGATACCATGGTGGTATGGTAGACAGTAAGTACGAAATACCGTTAATTCCAGTCATAAGGATGGCATCCCGTCCAGCCCAACCAGCCTATATTCGATTTTGGTCAGCATTAGCGTATGACATTTTGGACATTTCTGAGTAAGGATAGACGATTTTGGGGATCAGAAACAGCATGTGGCTTTCCTACCGATTCAAACACGTAAGGAGCATAATAAGAGATCACGTTGATCCCGTTGAGTTGCGCTAGGGCTTGGGCGGACATGGCAATCAAAACACGTTTGCGATACCGGCGGAACATGTCTGAATAGGATCGTTCGCCTTCTTGGCGCTGGACGAGAACGTTCATCTTGATTTCCCGGTATTCTTGGCGTGCTTTATCATTAAGAGGGTCGCCCCCACCATAAAGATTTGCGATTACCACCATACCCTCCTCGTCGTGGTCATTATCAAGAAGCCATCTAGATACGGAGCTAGGAGTTAGCCTGACAACTTTGAAAGGAAAGCCTCTACTCACCTAGGTGATTCACATATCATGAGACTGCCAACTCCAAGCAAGGCCCCCATGACACATTGGAAGAGAAGTGGGAGGCGCCAGGAGTAGTCGTTGTCGATGAAGCTGCAAAAATAGTCAACCCACACGCTGGTTGCATATCCAGCTATATTGCCAGTGAATTCGATGCATGCGAGCTTTCCACGGTTGTGCGGAGGCTTGAGATTCATCAGTACACCGAGCACGAAGCGGGAACGACCGCCCAAGAAAAATTATAGTGTTGGCGACTACATACCGAAATTTCAGACTGGTAGACTGGCACGATGGTGGAGAGGGCACCGACACCAAGACCGGCAATGACACGGCCGACTATCATCATGGGAATGCCTGTTGCACATGTTTGAAGAGCGCCTCCGATGAAGAACACAATAGAGCCATAGAGGATAGTCCTTCGGCGGCCGAGAATATCACCAACACGTCCCACAAGAAGGGAGGATATGAATGCTCCGACTTCGAGAACCGCAACCACAGTGCCAATTGTAGCCCGAGAGGGCTGGTTGAAGTAGTCGCGGAAGAACCAGCCACTGCATCTGTTAGCCACGTGTTCGTCCCAATATCCGTGACAGGTCTATGCTGGAGGAGTGAGATACGAACGTTATGATGCCAGACATAACACCCTGGTCATAGCCGAAAAGAAAGACGCCCAGTGACACAAAAACGCTTGTGAAGTAACTATATGTATTTAGAGTCAGCGGTGCTATCACAACATTATAATTTGAGGTACCTACAGTAACGGCTTCCCAACCAAGCCATGCATCTGGGCGTTCGGGCTGTTCCTGGGTGTCATGATGGCAGCCAGCACGCGTTCGCCCGTTGAGATTCGGCGTGGGGGAGGGGTTGGTATCCGAATCTTTTCAATGTCGATCACAGAACACTCGTTGCTCAATTCTGAAGAATCGTGTACGTGCTTGCGGTGTTTCCGTCGCCCCTTTGGACGCAAGAGCTGTCGATCCGAAGATGTGCGAAGGTGGACCTGCAACGGATCCTCCGTTCCAGTAAACTGCTCGGCAAGGTCACCGCTGTCTGACCAGGTTGAGAAGTCAGACTCAACCGAGCGAGCAGACGACTGGGAAGATCGTCGACTTCCCTTCTCGCTAGTAGACTCCAGTGGGTTGGCCGAATATCTTGATGTGCGGGAATCAGAGGGTAAGGGCTGGAGGGGTATGTTAGAGGAGCGTGGGGAGGAAGTGATCGGAGTAATGATGGCGATGCTGACGGGCTGAACCTCGCAGCCCTCTGGGGAAGGAATGCGGTGTCGATCTCGGGACACAGGTGATATCGATAAGAGGTTCTCCACAAGGAGTCAGCACCACAACTTCCGGGGGGTTTACGAGTCACGATGAGGCAACACCACTCAGGCGATGTGGGCAGTGGATACCAAGGACTACGCAAAGGCGCACGCGACGCAGGATGACGAGGTGCTGTCAGAACGGGTGACGCGAAGGCGGAGATCCGGGGGAGGGGGTGCGTTTGGGCCAAAGTAAGGGTCTCCGAAGCCAATCAAGAGAGCATTACACCAACAAAATTCAAATATAGTCTGGGACACCCGACAGGTACAGATGAGTTTAATCAGATGATGGAAGATGTTTGGGAAGCTAGATAGTACGTCAAAAGGTAAAGTATAAGAGAAGCCGAAGGTCGTTCTTAATACAATGCCCGGTAATGTACGCATACGTACACGGTTTTTCTAGAAGCGGGAAGGATCGACGGATAGGTAAGGTTACTAACTATTTATGGACAAGGACCCTAACCGAATCACTCCGTAGATAATTAATATGTACTCCGTACACTATTCGCCATGTGTATGTGTCCACGGGACCATGGTCCATTATGTAGTTACGTGATCATGTAAAGAAACTTATTCTCGGGGGCACCGCCTAACTGTTGTACTGTGTACTTCCAAGGTCATATCCACATCTAATCACTCATAAACGAACCGGTATAGTTATAGAAGGTTTGAATGTCACCGTCCAAGTCATGGGCGTATCTACGATAGTGCTTTGAATTTTGAATATAGCATGGTTGGTTGAACGTTGGGTATCGTATGTATATGTGCGTAACTGTAGGCCTGAACCGTCTCTTCCCTGGAACGAACGGTGAACGGAATAGCATAGATACAGAAAACCGAGAGAGGATAGAATGGGAGGTTCCCGTCGGATAAAACATGTTAGCTGAGAAGAATGTCATATCCATCACTCTGGATATGGACAGCATCAGCAAGACTTGCGTACCGTCGGCGCACCAATTCGAAAATGATCAAACCGGCGCTGGTGCTAGGTACTTGGCGGATAGAACTCCCGATAAACCCACGAAACAACCAGGGACGCCAGCCCCCGGCCCGCACAGCCTTCCGCTTGCATCTCTTGAAGGTCTCTTGGTAGGCGTGGTAGTATAGCCGCATCATCTTCTGCCTCGAGGGTACGAAACTGGCCTGATGATCCAGATATTCCAGCCGGCCCAGATGAAGATCTTGAATCCGGCTTAGGGGATGCTGAATGGTTTGCTGAGCGATCGACGCCACAAAACCAGCCATCAATAGGAAAATGGGCTCCAATGAATAATGGGGTTTGATGAGCGGCACACCACGATCACTAGACTCAGATGATGAAAGCATGCCCACATGGTGGGCTTGTAAGGACCCGTAGTACCAGGCAACGAAAGTGTAGTAGGACTGCGACTTGATGTATTCAAACGAGGAGAAGAACACCGCGTAGCCAAGCGAGTCTCGCATAAACGAGAGGCTCCATCCTGCAAAGACCCCACGGAGACCAATCTGCTTGAGCTTATGGTGACCATAATGCCACATACTCCGATACTGACCCTCCAGCATGTCACTGGTTTGGAAGCGGACCTGCAAGGCGTCCAGAGGGGCGGCTACAATCGACTGAATTGTACCGGCAGTAAACCCAGCAGCAAAGGTTGCAGAAGGAGAAGCCGGTGGCCAGACTCGCTTGACGCCTTGGGAAGTTGGTTCATGTAGAGCCCCCAAAACCTGGAGGTAAGATGTATAGAGAACGGCGCCGACACTGGTAAACCCCGTTAAAACTCTTGATGCCAAGGTATTCTCCCTAGGAAAACTCTTACCCTGCATTTGCCATTAAAGGTGGAAGAACCTGGTTAGGGATAAACCGCCAGCCATATGTCCGAACAGCATGAAGCAGTAATCCTGGAGTTGTTGTGTGTAGGGACCATTTTCCTTCGGCAACACGGGGATTCACGGCTCTCGCAAATGCCTGTCCCAAACAATACGTCAAAAAGACCAGTGATTAGCGGATTGTACTTCTTAGCCGTCGGAAGCGGTGGGAGAGTGTACCATATAGCTAGATAAGGTATCGTCAACACAAAGAACATGATGCCCACAGACACTACATACTCAACACGCGTACGAAAAAAAGCTTTGATCGGCGCTCTGAAATAGAAAGCAACCATCTGCGCACTCACTGCACGCACGCCTGCTGCAGATGCTCCTGTAGCTGCATCATTGCGAGAAGTCCTGTGTGAACTTCCTGGGAGTTCACCAAGGTGGGGCTCGAGAAGGATGGGAGATATTGGTGACTTCATTGTTTATAGGCTCAAATGATCGCACTGTACATCGTAGGAGGGGATGGTCATGAGTCGTCAACGGGATACTGGCTCGATGCTGATGTGTAGTGGAATCTGGGTAATGGAGGTAGGCGTATGAATGGTTCCGGATCGAATGAGCAAGTGTAAGCTCACTGACATGTTGACTAAAGAGTTTGAGGGGGTATAAGGAAAAGGAACGGGAGCCTTCCGCCAAAATATAAAAAGGGCAGAAGCTCAATGAGAGAGCGATACGGGGTATCAGCAAAACATTCGTTTTTTTAAGAGTTGGACCCAGGGTTGAATGAAAAAGGACACTAATACGAAAGTGGTAATAATTTGATACGGTAGCCCATTGAGACCAAAACGTCAGAATCAGAACGCGCTTTTCGCGTTCCCTTCCCCCAGCACTTCACTTTCTGCTTTGATCAATCCTCACAGCCTAAGCTCCGTTGGTGTCTGTTGCTCTTCCATCATCACAGCTGTCACATGGTTGCTGCATTCACTATCAGCTTATCTACACCATTTTTAATAGCATCTCTCGCTACACCCTCAGCGGCTCTTCAACTTTTCTATTCAGCTCCTCACCATCCACCTAGTCTCCTATTGCGGCATATACTGCTAGCATCAGACCGCCAACATGGCTGAGGAGATTACCATTGACGACACCAACTTTTACAACCGCCTCTCTAGCTTTTATGCCTCATGGAAGGCCGACAGGCGCTCGGGCAATGCCCTCTTCGGCAACGCAGGGTCTATGGTCATTTTGATGGGCAAGACCGACGAGGAGAATTCCTTCCAGAAGAACAACGCCATGCATGTGGGTGACTGATCTCCCGTCGTGCTGTCCGGTTATGAACGAGGCTGGGATCCTGATGGCAGTGTCGCTGACTGGCTTCGTCTTTAGTTTTGGCTTCTTGGGTATGAATTCCCAGCCACCCTATTTGTCCTCACGACCGAATCGATCTATGTGGTCACTACAGCCAAGAAAGGTGATATTTAATATATGTGTGTTGTACTGGTCACAGCTGATGGGATAAATTGCAGCGAAACACCTCGAGCCACTGAAAGGGGGCAAGATCCCACTCGAGATCTTGGTCACCACCAAAGATCCAGAAACGAAAACAAAAGCATTTGAAAAATGCTTGGATGTTATCAAAGGCGCGGGGGTGAGCTTTAGATGAGCTTTAAACACTGATTTGGTCTTCTCTGGGCTAACCACTGTATATGCAGAACAAAGTCGGTACTTTGCCCAAGAGTACGGCCTCGGGGCCCTTCGCGGATGAATGGAAACGTGCATTTGCAGAAATATCGAAAGAAGTGGAGGAGGTTGACATAACACCCGCACTTTCGGCTGCTTTTGCAATCAAAGATTCTGATGAACTGGTTGGTTCACCTATGACAGTGCGCTCAAGCGAAATTGACATTCACTAACACAATATCAAGGTCTCGATTCGCAATGCCTCCAGAGCATGCAGTGGCTTAATGTCAGAGTACTTCGTCGATGAGATGTCTCGTTTGCTCGACGAAGAAAAGAAAATGACACACAAGGCTCTCGCCGCGAAAGTTGATGCCAAGATTGACGATGCGAAATTCTTCAACAAACTGGCGCGGCTACCCTCAGACTTCGACCCTCAGCAGATTGACTGGGCTTACGGCCCTGTAATTCAAAGCGGAGGGGTCTACGATCTGAAGCTCACGGCGACACCCGACAGCAGAAACCTTGAACCGGGTATCATTCTATCCAGCTTCGGAATCAGGTACAAGACATATAGTTCCCTTATTGCGCGTACCTATTTGGTTGATCCCACCAAATCACAAGAAGCAAATTATGCCTTTCTGCTGAGTCTTCATGAAGCAACCATGAAAGAGATTCGGGATGGCGTGGTAGCCAAAGATGTTTACAACAAGGCTATGGGTCTCGTTCGGTCTAAGAAGCCCGAATTGGAGGCACACTTCCTGAAGAATGTCGGTGCGGGCATTGGAATTGAGCTGCGCGATGCCAATATGGTCCTCAACTCCAAAAACAACCGTGTCCTGAAAAATGGCATGACACTGTCCATCACGATTGGACTGACTGATGTGAAGGATCCAGAGTCGAAGAGCGCCAAGAATGGCGGATACTCTATGGTCATCACTGACACGATTCGCGTTGGAGAAAGCGGGCCTCACATTTTCACCAAAGACGCTGGGATCGACATGGACTCGATCTCTTTCTATTTCGGCGATGAGGAAGAGCCCGAGAAGCCCGTCAAAGAGAAGAAGGAGACAAAGTCCAGTGCGATTGCTGGTAGAAACGTCACGAGGACAAAGCTTCGTGCTGAACGGCCCACCCAGGTCAACGAAGGAGCCGAAGCCCGTCGTCGGGAGCACCAGAAAGAGCTCGCTGCGAAGAAGACGAAGGAGGGCCTGGAGCGGTTCGCTGGTACCACTGGAGATGATAACGGGGTTGCACAAAAGAAGTTCAAGCGTTTTGAGTCTTACAAGCGAGACAACCAACTGCCTGCTAAGGTCAAGGATCTTACCGTTTATGTCGACCTGAAAACCTCGACTGTGATTGTGCCTATCATGGGCCGGCCTGTTCCCTTCCACATCAACACCATAAAGAATGCCAGCAAAAGCGATGAGGGAGAGTACGCCTACCTACGGATCAACTTCCTATCGCCGGGCCAGGGTGTTGGTCGGAAAGATGACCAACCTTTTGAAGATCTGTCGGCCCATTTTGTCCGCAACCTCACTCTCCGGTCCAAGGACAATGATCGTCTTGCACGAGTTGCCCAAGATATCACTGAACTGCGCAAGACGGCTCTACGCCGAGAGCAGGAGAAGAAGGAACTGGAGGATGTCGTGGAGCAGGATAAACTGGTTGAAATCAGGAACCGACGCCCCGTTAAACTCCCTGACGTTTATCTGCGACCTCCTTTGGACGGTAAGCGAGTTCCCGGAGAAGTCGAGATCCATCAAAATGGTCTTCGGTACCTATCGCCTTTCCGCAACGAGCATGTTGATGTGCTCTTCAGCAACGTAAAGCATCTTTTCTTCCAGCCATGCGCCCATGAATTGATTGTCTTGATTCATGTACATCTCAAAACGCCGATCATGATCGGAAAGCGGAAGACAAAGGACATCCAGTTTTACCGCGAGGCCACGGAGATGCAATTCGATGAGACTGGAAATCGTCGGCGCAAGCACCGCTACGGAGATGAGGAGGAGTTTGAGGCTGAACAGGAAGAGAGACGGCGTAGAGCTGCGTTGGACCGTGAGTTCAAGGCTTTCGCCGAGAAAATTGCAGACGCTGGCAAAGACGAGGGTGTTGATGTCGATATCCCATTCAGGGAGATCGGCTTCACTGGCGTGCCCAATCGCTCCAACGTCTTGATTCAACCGACTACAGATGCTCTTGTCCAGCTTACTGAGCCTCCTTTTACGACGGTCACGCTGAATGAGATCGAGATTGCTCATTTGGAGAGAGTTCAGGTAATTACTTCCATAAACTGTCATTGTATCAGTACAATCTACTAACACGTGCACAGTTTGGACTCAAAAATTTCGACATGGTCCTTATTTTCAAAGATTTCCGCCGGACTCCCGTTCATATTAACACGATTCCCGTTGAAGCACTCGAAGGTGTCAAGGACTGGCTTGATTCTGTTGATATTGCCTTCACCGAGGGTCCACTGAACCTGAACTGGACCACGATCATGAAGACAGTGGTCAGTGATCCATATGGTTTCTTCGCTGATGGCGGCTGGTCTTTCTTGTCCGCCGAATCGGACTCTGAGAATGGCTCAGATGAGGAGGAGGAGTCGGCTTTCGAGCTATCCGAATCGGAACTTGCAGCTGGAGACGAGAGTTCTGAGGAGGACAGTGAATTTGACGATGATGCGAGCGCCGATGCCAGCGATGAAGAGTTCAGCGGTGATGAAGAGAGTGGGGAGGACTGGGATGAACTCGAGGAAAAGGCGAAACGTAAAGACAAAGAGACCAACCTTGAGGAGAACGATCGTGGTACGAAACGCAAACGCTAATCGAACGTGGTGACCATTCTTACTAGGGCACCAATCGTTGCTTTCTTGCATGTTGTGTGTACGTTGTCCTTCATGCGCTAGCTCATGGACGGTAACGATGGGCCACTGTTCTTCTTGCTGATTGGCAGGGGGAAGACCGACACAAGTCATGATATTAATCAGGAGGAAAGGTAGTCGCTCGTCTGTACTTTATTCAGTTTAAATCATATTCATACGGAGTTCTCTTTTCTCCACGGGTAATATGTATCTCAAATTGCAGCATCAATGCCAGACTAGATGGGTTGTTTATAGACATACAGATATACGGGATTGTACCTGGCTTGTTGCCAGTCACAGGTGACTACCAAGCGATGGAAAGAGACTGTTGGCTATATGAGGTGAGAACGCGACAAAATCCACATCTGGGGCTAAGGTCGCGGGAAACAGACGTGTAAGGCAAGCGATCTCAAGCACTATGCATTACTTCCCCTCGCGCATCGAGGTCCACATACTTCGCATGCGTTGTCCCTGTCCGGGTGTGAAGCTCTCATAGCACACGTCAGACGAATAATCCATGAAGTTATGGATCTCATCCTGCCCAGGCGAGTCCGGGCACGAATCCTTCCGGGCAGGGCACCCATCTGTCGGAGTGGACTGTTGTGGTGTGTCACTTATATAATCCCCGGGGTTATCTGCCGAGCAGGATTCTCCCTGGAATGTATGTAGAAGGCCATTCCAGTGACCGATTTCGTGAATGGCAGTTCCACCTCGATTGTAAAGATCCAAAGAGCCACCGGGCATGGTCTTAGCCAAAATATTGCAGCCATCCTTCACGTAGTGGGAGGCTGGGCTACTGGCATTCACACTCGGATCAGGCAAGGTACAGAATCCAAGGACACTCGATGCCAGGTCATTGCTGCTGCTTGCCCCCTTTGCTCGAAAGCGCGCCCTGCTTGCCCAGGAGCAGCCTGGAGATCGGTTTGGAAATAAACGTTCAATGTCCGATAGCTTCCTTTACGAAGGGCTGTTTTCATAGCCATATCATCCGCATTACTTGCCCATACATCATTGACATGACGGGTCACGCCTTGCAACCTATAGGAAATGCCAGCGTCTGCATAGGATTGTTGCAGAATAGAGAGCTATGGGTAGAGTTGAATTAGCACCAACATGCCCTTTTGAACGGAAAGGCAGAACTGACCTGTGAATCAATCATATCATCAGAGACCTGAGCAATCTCTGACTTGCTGCTGATGATATGGAACCAGGTATCGATCTCAATCGGAACCATCCTGGCCTGCGAACTGCCAAATTCTGCTTCATCCGACTTTAGGCGGGCTACTTCAGAGACAAATTCTGGGCCAGGGTCTTCAGTGGCACAGACACCTCTTCTCTGGACAGTAAGGGGGCTGCACTCAACATGCAGACACAGGACCATGACAAGGACCACAAGCTGAGTAAATGAGCGACAGATCATGTTGGCGTTGGGAGCCCTTGGGTATTGATGCTCCCCCTTCACGCCTGTTTCAGAGAAGAGAACGGATGGGGTGGATAAAAACGAAACTAAACGAGTGTATGGAGTAAAGAGAGACAGAGGAAGAAGAGGTAAGAATTGAAATGGAACAGAACATGAAACTCCTCAGCCTTGAAATACACCAATCTGTCGTATCATAGGCATATGACTGGGATTTCCCCAACCCTAAACATGCCATCAACGCCTAATTCCATGATCCGAAGGAATGCGGCGTCACACGGGAATGCACATCATGAGCAAAGAATGCGAGCATTTCAAAGATCAGCATAGGAAGAGCGCGGAAGAACTAGATTGGTATGTCGGAGTTTCTTGAGCTTCCTCGAACCAGATGAGGTCACCACAAGGCTCAGAAAAGAATGTCGTTGAATGGCAATGTCAAGTTAGATACATGGATATAACACCATGCTAAACACCAATTTCCCGGAAATCCCAATGGATATTTACATGTCTGAAACATCGAATACTTGAATAGTATTTGAAGCACTCGGGGGAGAGAGACAGAAAAAGAAAAAAGAGAGAACGCCAAAGCAGAACAGACAGAACGGAAGTGGAACATAATTAAGGGGCATTGGAGCCATACCTATCATCCCGTCCTGTTGCGACGGCAGTGTTCGGCTGATTTGAATCCCAAGTAAGATATGTGTGATCACCAAGTTTCCTGTAGACCCCGAAAGTTAGCCTGTTGAATCTCAACGAGCAACAGATGTTAAGAGCAAAGTCATACCTCGGACGCACTAAATGTGCTACAGTGAAGAGAGCCCCAAGAAGTACGCAAATTCCTCCAACGACTATATAGGCAATGCCCATGAAAGGGTTCTTTCCTCCAAGAACTGTCCGAGTGGAGATCAAGATCGATTTTGTTCCAGCATATTTGGTGACATTGAAATCTGAAATCCAATTAGCAAAGGCAAATAAACAAGGCAGTCATAGAGAACATACTATCACCAATGTCAATCGCATAGGTCCCAGCGGGCATGCCATGTGTGTCGTTACGGCGAGAAAGCTTGCTGAATGATGGCAAACCAGCTGTTCTCATCCAAACCATGAAATCTTCATTTTCATGCAAGTTGGGAATGCTTTTATAAACGCCATCTTGACTGGCCCAAGCCCAATTGGGGGGTGGTAGCACTTGATCCGAGGTGTATTTCGTCTGCTTGATGAGTTCCTTGTCACTGTCCCACGCGATACCCTTCTTAGTCATTTCGTAGAAGGTGGTCTCATTGCCGGTTTCATTCGGGTCTTGGACCAACGGCTGCATTATGGTATCGTTGAAGAACGAGTTGGCGATCAGGCCACATGGATAGTAGACCTTGTGAGCAGTGGTGTTGACCGCCAACGGGTCGCATGGGCCACCCTTGATTGTATTGTAAGAGACAGCGTCTCCTTTCAGCTGATTCAAATCCAATGAGGCGACATATCGGCGATGGTTTTGATAGAAGTTGGTGAGGCGATAGTACATGAAAACAGGTGCTGGAAGCTCGTTGGGGATCTCGAAAAGAAGACGGCAGGTGATGGCGCCCGAGTCATTTGACTTTCTCCAGCTGGGGGGCGTAAAAGGCTTAGATGATTTGAAGGTCGCAGAGTAACGAGGAACGAAATCATAACCGTTGGTCGGTGCCAGGGTCGCGCAGTCGGAGTAATCGATCGAGATTTCTTGGACCTAAGCACATGGATCGTCAGAGATATTTCGAGCACGGAGACATGGGATTTGAGCATACGAGAGAGCTTGCCCATAGGAGAACACCACCGATTGGGGCGAAAATAACGCCAACGATGAAAAACAGAGGGAGAACGCTCTTAGGGGTCAAGATTGGTCTGGCGAAGGGGTTAGTACCAACAGAACCTGGACAAAACAATATGGATCTCAAGCTCACTGCCATGCTTTCAGTCGTTGCTGGCGAAAAGCAGTATCTGGGTGAACAGGTTAGTCTTAGCAAAGGCTTTGTGAAGACCCATCCAGGACCTACTGGCTGGTCGGCGAGTCTTTGGCTTTTTGTCATCATCGTCCCTCGTACGCTGTTCCTCAATGGACTCAGCACGAGTCACCCCATCCTGAGACATGGCTTCCACTTCCACTTTTCAGAATGATTCAGGAGAGGAACTGGGAGATGGAAGTCAGGCTGATGATAAGAGAAGGGATACGTCAAAAAAAGGTGGCGCCGGACTGTCGGAGGATTACGATCGCCACCGCTTTAGTTTAAATTAGAAACACCTCCACATCCAACACATCAAACTGTATGTACGATCTGATGTACTCTTTTCTACCTTATCTTGACTGAACCGCTTGATCAAAATAGATTACATGTCAATGTGGATTTCAATTTCAATTCATGTACAATTTGATGTACGAATACCAATATCAGGTCAGGGTATCAAGCCTTATCATATGTGCTATTGACGTTCTGAAAGGGAGAACCACGAAGCAAGACCAAGTGCAAGATGAGAAAAAAACAAAACACCCATGGCTAACCAAGCCTGCCCTCTTAGACCGAATGGAAATTCAAGCACCTAACGCCATAGCCAGCAATCAAGGTTAAAGAGTAAACCCATGTATGCGGGGTGAGAGGGGAATAGAACAAGGGAGTAAAGTGAGCAAAAAAGCAGAACAACAAGGGGGAATCTTGAGAATGGAAAGAACGTGTCGTAAAAAGTCGTGAAAAAAGTAGCAAGGGAAGAAATTGAAAGGCAGACTGCAGATCTGTAAGTACCCGTGCATTGACTTGGTCAGGTTCAGCAAGATGGATTAATAGTCGTGAGCTGTACTTCGCATTTGCGGACACTGAGGTCGTGTCAGTTGATGGAAATGATGTCTTGGTGGCTCAGCCGGTCGATAGGGAAAAGGGGGGGGAGAGAGAGACATAGGGGTCATAAATCAGCGGCATTGTAATTCACGTCATGCACAACCAGCTGCCATCACACCAGATATTGGCGGAAGAGTTCGGCATCAAACCAACCCACACGTTCATAAGCAGTCCAAAGTTTGCTGGCTTTGTTGACGTCGATCTTGCAGGCCTGCTGAGCATCCGTTTTACGGAATTCTTTGCCCACACCGAGAGCTCGAACCCGAGCCTCGAAAATACGACGCTTGCTGCATAAATAGGTCGCACATGACAGTCTGAGGGTGGAGGCCAGATTGAGCTCGGCCGGACTGAGCATATGTCTGTCCGGGTCATTGCTAAGGTCCAACATCTGCCCTTTCCAATCCGCCTTCAATGCTTTAGAATTGTTCCCTAGCGTATCCGCCGGCGGCGAATAATCCTTGAGTGAGTGGTAATCGGTGTCGTCACGATTCGTGCCTAGAGCACGCGGTTTGGGGATTGGAGTCTGTGGAGTATCGAACGTGTCGAACACCTGCTGCTTTGGAGTGGACTTGGGGGTGCGCTTGACCCGGACACGTTGCGCGCGCGGTTGAACTCCTGTTTTCTTCGCCGGGGCTGGGGCAATCTTCTTCAACTTAGGCTCGTAATCTCCAGGGCGATGACGATTCATCATGAGAATTTGACGCTCCAGTATGTCGCGTTCCTCCCGAGCCCAAGCAGCCGGGTTGCGATTATACAGGGTTGAAACGATAGGAACACAGGAGAGCGCCAGGAGATATTCATCTCGTGTTGGTTTGTTCGACTTATTGCGAAACATAGCCATATGAGAATCAATGTGGCTTTCCACGAGCGCCTCTGCAGAAGCAGGGTGAACGGGTCCGAACAACGGCTCATCGGCGGCAGCGTCAGTAACGGAGTCCTGGCGAGGGAAAAGGAGAGGGTCCCTGGGAGACCCCACCTCCCTCTCGATTTGATCCGACACATGTGAATTGCTTTTCTTGTTCCCTGTGTACGGAGTAACAGGTGGCGATGGAAGGTCCATCTCTGACTGCGTCCGTTTCCGATTAATTGAGATAGGTGGAAGCTTTATGTCGCCAGGGGAAGATTCTCGGGGTTTTGCAAATGGCGAAATCGAAGTAGCAAAGCTCTCGAGTGGCTTGGTCTCGGGGGGTGACATAAGGCTGGAAACGGACGGGAGACGATGCATGGTGGGAGGCTGTGTGGCTGGCTGCCAGCCAGTGGATGAAGTCATTCCAGGTTAAATACCGCTGGGCCAGCGATAATTGGCGATGGTAAGGTTAAGTAGTCAATGTTGTCCAGGGAAACGGTTTCCAGAAGTTTTGGGGGATGGGGGAGATGGATACACCAGGTGATGTGAGAAGATGGATGGCGAAGGCTGATGAGCGGAGTGTTTATGGAACTCAATGGAAGTTGAATCACCAGGCGAAACAGATGATTTGTCAGGTCTACCTCTTTGTCTCTCTGAGTGGCGATAAACCAGACTTAAGTCTCGGCGTTAAGGCTCCAATGGCCGAATGAGTCAATATGATGAAGAGGGTGATAGTCCATCGATGGGGAATGGACCAAATGAAGGGGAATAGTGGAGAGAAAGATGGAAAGTAAGAAAGAGAGAGAGAGAGAGGAGAGAGGGGAATCGAGTAAGGAACCGGGATCGAAAGCGAACTGTGAGTCAGTTGGGATGGGGCTGAGGGTGATGATAAACTGCGGGGTGGCGCTTAGCGATGGAGAGTCCGAGTTTCTCCAAGGCTCATGAGACCAATGGACTGGCTGGAATAGGACTAGTGGAGGGTATCAGAGCGGGCATCAAGGGATCTGAGAGGGGGGAATTGGGCGTCATTTGAAAGGAACCAGCTGATCTCATCATTTGGTTCCCCCTCTTTATTTCAGTATGGTAATGGTACCAAGACCCTCATACATCACCAGGTTGAAAGTATTGTAGTATAGGTACCTTGATGTACATGGTTAGTAACTTGGCCAAGTATGTACCAGTACCAGAGTTCTCCTCGTCTCTTCTTTCCTGCCTAATCTCCGCTGCCACATGACAACATCCCATGCGGGCAATCACCTAATAAGAACAGCCGCAGGAGTAGGCCAATCATTAAAGAGCACCCCACCCCTGCCCCATGTGATCTATTACTGTAGATCTTTATCTTTGGATGTTCTTGTATTGCAATCTTCCAGTCTTCTCAATTCTTCTTAGGAAAAAGAAAATGTGACTTCACTTTTACTTGGTCAATCTGACTCAGAGAATTTGCAATCCCTTTTCTACCAATCAAAGAACTAGCATTTCAAGTGTGACTCATTGTAGTTAATGGGTGGTTTCTAATGTTAGAACACATGTTCAATGACTGCCTACCATGTACCTCAGGTCCATAAGTGATTTTCGTACTACAGTATGTACATATGCAACTCAAAGTCTACGGAGTAGATACTTCTATCTACAAAATGATAAACAAACATGATGTCATCTTCACATAGAGATACGACATATAACTAGCGTTTATGAAGAATGCTTCCAGCTGCTAGCTAGCAGCGCAGTTCTTCCTTATCCTGTCGTTTTCAACATGGTAATCTCTGTGTATACATGACCGCGCCAGAATCAATTACACAGTGCAGCATCATATGATATCTGTTGGAGCCCCTTTTACTACTGTGTGGAAATGAAGTTCATACTTCCTCTGTGTAGGTACGTATGTCCCCTACCCTCAACATCAACGTCGCCGTCCTTCTAAACTACCCACTAGTTGTTGAAAGCAAGAAAACTAGCCCCATCTAGGTCAGAGCACCCCCACTCGGTCGATTACTACTGTATACATATTACTGTGTACAAGGATGCGTCTTCAAATGCTGGTCTGTGCTTGAGTAGATAAGGCGTGTAGTCAACTACCTTGGACACTCGCAGTCCCACTTATGCAAAGCATCTGGGATTTATAGGCAAATATCCCAATCTGCTAGCATTCCCGACTCCGGAGCGCATCCCTCATTGAGTTCCTTGGAAAAAAGTGTCACGGATAAAGATCCTTGATTCCTTACAACCGGAGCCGGGAGTGATAATGCCACGAGCGACAGGGTTTAGTTACATATAAGACGGGAGTAGTCCAATGAGGTGGAACATGAGAACGTGCCAGGAATATGCAAGAGGTCTATGACCCTCGCTTGCCCTCTTCCTCTCCATCATTTGATAATCTGGTGTAAAGTGCACTCTTCATCTGAAGAGTTCTGTGACTCGTCATAGCATTTCATCAAGTGTCCTCTCTGCAGAGACTAGTGGATCAGTATCGGCACATTATGATGATGATGATGTATTGAATACATTTGCCCGATGTAGCTCGCTCTAATAATATGCTGCTATGCGGGACCCGGGAGTGTGTCAGGCCTGTCGACAGCTGGAAAGAGTGGTCGCCAGCCCACTGGGCAAAGCGAGGTTCCAACCAATCGCCCTCGAATGGAAAGATAAACACACAAAGTCAAAATGAACGTCATTCTACTCCTGATCACGGGTGTGACCAGGGTCTCGCTCCAACACACACCATCCCCACATCCCCTTCGCTCCAGCCGCCCAGTCTTGTCGACACCGCTTGCGTGTTCGCTTGGATCAAGGGAGTACAATGGACCTGACATGCACTCCTAATGGGCGCCATTCCTCTTCTTTTCCCGTCACACCGTCTACGGGGTCTTTGTCTCTGCTCTTTTGCCATCACCTTCTTCCTCGCCTAGTGCCATAGGACCAACTGTCCGAAATTGGCCCAAAAGACCGGTCTTGACCATGAATTCGACCACAATCCTGCGGGCCTCCGGCCGTGTCAGGAGTTCACCTCGATGGAGAGTGATTCCTTTGTCGGAGAGAGCGCGTTTCATCCAGTCTCGCTCGTCCCGGTGCAGGAGACATCCCAGCGGGACATGAGTTATCGTTCGATTTGCCAAGATCGCAACCATACCGCGCTGTTTCATGTCGGTTGATATGATACAGGACCCAGGTAAGCCCCTAGGCCAATTCGCCCAGTTGTAAGCTGCATCGGAATACACGTCGGCGCTTTCGCAAGCCTGACCAGTATTCTAGAGTCTTCTTTTTCGGTATCTCAATTAGGCGTTTCGTCGGTTGACTGGTCGTCTCCGTCGCCCACATCATCTTCCACTCCAACTTCGCTTCGCTGCGGCTGCGAGGCATGCCGCATGCGGCATGGCCCTCCGTCGAGAGGGTTATGTGGCCCGTCCGGGTCCTGCGCTGCTTATCTTGCGTGTTAGTCTGCGATCTCATTGCCAATGACTCCTTGATGTGCAAGAATCCATCTCAATTCTGTCCAGGCCCCTCTGCCAGCAAACCGCTGGATCGAGTCGAGGCATCCTGACAGATAGACCTGTCCCGATGGCATCCGTGGTCGCTTGAGTGCCTCTAGCGCTGCTTTAGTGTCCACAAAGGTGCATTTCTCGCCTGCTCAACCAGTGGTTATGTGCTTTCCAGAGCCATCGCGAGTGCCATCTCGATGGCTCGAAGTTCTGCCGCATATATGGTGGACAATTCATCATCTCCCACCTGGCTATGGGCATGTCAATCCACAAGGTCCACGACCGCTGTCGCTCCAATCCTTCCATCAATTCCGCTGCCGTCAGTGTACAAAATCAGGGGCATTTCTTCTGGACCTTTTGTCAGGATCTGATTATGACGGTTGACCGCAACTTCTCTATCCCCAATGATCACCTTTTGGCGGTGCCTGCCATGGTGCTTGGATGAATGCTTTCCGACTGCCCCAGTTCTTCGACAAAGGTCCCGGGGGAGCCGTGAGGCATCTGTCCGCCTGCCAGGTCTGCGCCTCCATGGGTGTCCATCCAGCCCAGTCTCTCTTTTCTGCCGGTCAGCACCATAGCATCAATCATGGGACGGCGAATACCGGCCCTGTTCGTAGTCGCAAGCTGTTTCTTTCACTAATCGGTTCATGTGAACAGAGATAGGTGGTAGGTGAAGCTCGACGTTCAGTGCCTCTGCTGCCGTGGTCTTGAAAGCTCCGCTGGTGAGACATGCTGCCCGTTTCTGTATTGCTGCGAAAGACTTGCAGTTTGCGCATGCCTTGAACCTATTGATGAGCATTAGTTGGACGTCGTTTCCTGAGTTTGTGTAGTAGACGTGCACGGGAGACATTGTCTATGCTCCAGACACGTCCAGCAGCAGCAGAGCCACCACTGGCTTGCCCTTCCCCAAGTGGTTTTGATTCAGTCGATGATAATGTGGATAGCATGATCAATGGATATGCCCTTTCGCACGCCTAGATGGGTTCGTGAGAGTAAGCCCCGTTGGTTTCTGCTGTAGCTGATTCGTCGTGTAAGTGGTGTAATGGTTTAGTTAGACCCGCTTCTCACTATGGCCCTGCACGCTGCCGTAGCTTTTCCCCGCACGCTCCGGTTCTGCCACCGCCCTGACCGCTACTTCTACACAGTAGAGTTAACTATTGTTCTGGTTGTTCCGCTCCTTCTCTTCTTCGAGCTTTTCGTTCACTGCATGTGGCCTAGCCAGTATTAAATCAATTTGGCTTGAGCCGTTCACACGTTGTGCGACAACTGCCTCCAGAAACTTCCCGAGCGTTGTTCAGCAGCGCGACGGATCGGAAGGAATTTGCGGGCTGGTAGTCGCTTTTACCTTGCTTTCGGAGCACAACTGTGATTGAGCGCTGGAAATGTGACGGGTTGTATCCCGTGTTTATGCATGCGTTGAATAACTGAACCAGTGTTTCCAGAATTACCGGTACCCCGATGAGCTTGTGCCAGAGAGAGTTCGGTATACCGTCTCCTCCGGGCGCTGCCCCTACTTTCGCTCCTCGTACCGCCTCCTATAACTATCTCGGGCGATGATTAATGGAAACTCAATTTGCCGTGGGTACAGGAATGAGTCTGTCGGTTAGATCAGCTGGCGGTGGTGTTGGGAAGAAGGCAATTGTAAGGAGGGGAGTCCCAAGATACTGGATGGGGTAGTGGACGACCCAATAGCAAAGGACTAAGGTCAGGTTGAAGGATGCATGAACCGATAAGATAAGAAGATGCGGAGTAATGCGGAGTAATACGGAGGTTTGCACTTCGGGTTCTTGTTAGATCCTCAAGAATCAATTGATGTTTCTACCCACCAAAAGATATCCTTGATTCGTATCGTCTATCTTATTGCCTTCAGCAACAAACTGTCACGGGGTATATCAATCAGAGGGTGACAGGTCACTGATCCTTTGAAGTCATGTGTTATATCAATCAAAGGGGACATGTCACTGATCCTTTGAAGTGCTGACGTGAGCTGACGTGTGATGATTTGAAATCATGTGTTGATATCTTTGTTGGTTCATGATCTCTTTATTTGTTCATCATCTCTGGTGTGGCTGAGCATCATGGGGTTAGAGATCATGTATCTATAAATCTACTGATCGAGCCGGCCTGGGAAAGGCAAGAATCAGTCTCTGTTCTACTACTGAATCTATCAAGTCTTATTCTTCACATCCATTTTCTTCTTACCTAGTTGACAGGTCTTCTGTCCTGTAAACAGTCACCCTAACACAAACCTCTGTATTACTCCGCATCTTCTTATCTTATCACCTCAGTCCTTTGCTATCCGTGCCTTTTAGCTTCCCACCCATTGGGTCGTCCACTACCCCACCAATCTCTTGGGACTCCCTCCCTTGACATGCCATTGAGGCGATCCTGACCCCTCAGGTTCTTCACGGCGAATGTGTCGCAATTGGCATGGTGAAGGAAGCCGAGCTTGCGAGGCATCTGGGTATCCTGAAAGATGTTGCTGTGGCTCGTGTGGTCAAGTGCATCTCAGCCTATGGCTTGCCCACCTCCATGAAAGATGCACGTGTTCGCAAGTGTTACGCGTAGCCGACTGGTCACGGTGAGTTAGGATAACTTTGGGTTATACTTGCCTGATCCTAGCTGCGGATTCCAAGAGTATCTCTCAATCGTACCGTTGCTTCGCAAAGCCTTACTGCGGGATGGATCCTGTTGAGTGTCTTGCAGAACGTGCCAGAAGTGCGCGCCGAGTAAGTCAATCACCGAGTATTGCTACTGAGTGAATCCCCTACTCGTAGGTTGGGTTGTCTTGAGGGTGAACTGTGAAGTGCAAAGTACTAAAGGTAGTAACCAAGTAACAATGTGCAATTGATCGCGAAGAACTAAATACATGATGCTGAAATGAGTGTCCTTATATATCCAGTCCTTCCTATCGCCGATGAGTCGGGACTCATCGCCGATGCGCCAGAACTCATCGCTGATGAGTCCATCCTATCACTGATAGGATGTAGTCACGTGGGGTTTTTACCGTGCTTCCCACATTTAGGGCGTAATCTCGGTGCTGGTAGAATGGTGGCCGTTTCCCGCGTCGCGCTAACCGTCTCATGGAGTAATAGGGTATTGTTCGCGACGGTTAGCCGCAGGCTGTTTCTTGCTCCTGCCCTGAATGTCTTTGCCTTGGGCCCCCTGGGGCATGCCCAAGTATACCGAAACACACGTGACAACGCTAATCCCTAGCGTCCGTAGAATGATTGGTTCACGGTTGCTACTCAAATAGCTGCGGCCCCCGCGCTTCCTTGAGGTCCGTAACAGCAAGTTGACTGCTGGCAAGCACTGCTCTGTGGATCAACTATTGTTCAACATGGCTTTGGACAAGAAGAATGATGGCCCTAAAAAGAAGGTTGTGCTCTTGTCAGCAATTGGCCGCACTCATGAGCCGAATGCAAGTGTCGTCTCCAATTCCGATATTGCTGTCGTTCTTTCTCCCAGCGTCGAGGTTCACCCCGGAGTGCCGAGTTCGCTCAATGTCACTTGCGCACCCCCGGATCCAAGAGTATCTCTAACCGTGCCCTCGTGCTTGCCGCGCTTGGCTCTGGTTCCTGTCGCATCAAGAATCTTTTGCACTCCGATGACACCGAGGCCATGCTGAATGCCTTGGAGCGGCTCGGTGTGGCGACCTTCTCCTGGGAAGAGGAAGGTGAGGTTCTCGTTGTGAACGGTAAAGGCGGAAAGATTGTCGGAAGCCCTTCGCCTTTGTACTTGGGTAGTGCTGGTACTGCTTCCAGATTCCTTACAGCAATCCGGAATTCCGCTTTTTGCTCGACTGTTTCTGCGAGAGTCCCAGGCGTTTGGGGATCTTTCAGCGAGGGAGTGATACCATTTCCTAGGTCCCATCTCTGGTTTCTTGCCCATTTGGCCAATCGCCACATACCCTGTGGGCCATCTTCAACGACCTGCTGGACTCGGCGCTGGTGCGCTTTTTTTGACGATTCACGTTTTCTTGTTGCGTGCTTTCGTGTAGCACATCCAGCTGTAGGGTCTTTGGTTCTCGTATGCCTGCGACTTGACATTGAGTGTACAGTTGCGGTCAAAGAAGGTCGTCGCCTACGTGAAAACGCGACTCGTCAAGAAAAGTTTATCAAGGTCGGGGTTCGACCACTATTATGGTTTTGACTTTTCCCCATGGGGTTGATTCCTCGATTGCTGATTGGATCACGCCCATAAGCTCCTGGCATTTGCCTTCTATCCTCTGCGGATCTGCTTGGTATAATAGGCCTGCCGCCTCCTGTCTGTAGGCCCGCTTCGATTTTCTGTATAAGTTTCTGATCAATAGTTGCGTTCCAATTTCTTCTCTTCTGTTGTCCGGCGATGGGTGATAATATCAAGTATAGTCCTGATCAGGAAATGGTCGGATGATGTTCAATGTCATCCGCGGCCCGCCCTCTCGCAAATGATAAGCCTGTTGACCAGGTTGGATGTGATGAACGTGAGGTCAATCGCCGATGACTGATCGCTTCGAGACCAGGTTCCTTGTTGGGTCGCTAACTTGAGTCCCCATTTGTTGACAATTTCTAGGAGTTGCTTGGTCTCCCGATCGGCCCTATTTCTTAGTCCTCCCCATCTCGGATGATGCGCGGTCATAATTCCAAGGATGATGTGTTCTCCATGAGGACATTTTGACAGCTCATTTCTTGAATGTCCAAGAGTCATGCTGCCTGACCTATTGTTAGTATTGTATATTAGCACCATTGTATAGTTATACTATATGTTGTGGATGAAGAGATCTGTCCAGTCTCTGCCTTGATGAGCATTCCTTAGTTTCAGCAACTGGTAGTCCTACGAGACGAGTTGGGACGACCAAGTGCTCGGGTCAAGCCCTTTAGACACAAATAGGCATAGGTCCGGTCCGGTTGGGACTTGGGAGTTGGGAGAGACCCGAGGTGTGACGGTCTAAGCCTAGGCGGAGAGTTGCGATTCTGCCGGGCTGATATTTTAGTTGAGGCCGTGCCCCGCTTTTCCTTCCTTTCTTTTTATTCTTCACCTTTAGTATTCTCGTAATTGATACAACAATCTTATTTGTTTTTGATCGTGATACGAGGCTCGTACTTGATCGTCCTGGCCTTGGGCCGATCCATCAACTGCTGCTTTTGGTGGGTGAATTAGCTGGAATGTTGCCACAGGTTGGTGTGTTGCAGTTTGTTCTTCCATGTGTCCTGCACCCGAGGACGTTTTTGTCTCCGAGAAACGTTGCCATCACTGACCACGATGTGTGTACGTTGTATTGAAGAATCTCAACCGATCTCATTGATAGGTTTTGTTCGTCATCGTCTCCTCCGCTGGCCTCGTGTCATCATCATTCGGGTCTTCAATTGTCGGTGTGCCTATGAAGGGAAATTGTCTTTGAGGTTTTCGACTCTTTGTTACCAGGCCAACTGGCCGGGGCAAGCGGGAGACCCTGACAGATCTCCAGTACGTACTCCGTTATTGCTTTCCACCCGTTGCCAAGCATGTCATGACTGACTCATGTGAACCTTATCTGCATTGACACCTGTATACTACGTCAGACAGTAGGAGAGGCTTGGGGATAAAGGCCCATGCACTTGGGGTCCTTGATATATCCTCAAGAATCAATTGATGTTTCAACCCCCCAAAAGACATATTGATTCGTATCGTCTACTGTTAAGATCCTGTACTGTGGGTATGAATTGGAAACCTGACATGACAACTAGTTAGTTGTCATAGTGGTCCTTTTTGGTTAACGCCTGGACTTACGTTAGGTAGGTGGTGTCAGGCCCACATGCCGTAACATCTACCTTGTTGCCTTCAGCAACCACCGTATCATCGTCGCTTAAACCTTATCCACTCATTCATCCTTTTTCTGCCTGACCTTTGGTCCTTTGGCACTGGGTCGTCCACCACCCCATCCAGTGCCATTAGGCTTTCCTCCTTATAGTATCTGTTCAAAAGTCGGCGGAGACGACCCGATTGGTATCGCTTGTCACTGTTACGATGATGCCAGTTCCTCAAAGATAGAAGAGTGCATTTGAACTAGAATATTGAAGACAGAGAGGGAAGGAGAAGAAGGAAGAAGGGAAGTGAGGGATGGGGCCTTGACATAGATCCTCACGTCATGCGTTCTGTTCTCTAGCACATCCCTCCGTCTTGTTCAATGCACCTTCAAAAGCAAACAACAAAAGTAATAATAAGCAGCAAACCTGTCACACCGTCACACGTGACAGTCACTGCTTGGAATTTAGAATCACCATTTTGCAGTATTCGGGGCTCCCTGGGGCCAGCTCCTCCTCGTCTGGCTCGGACGTGTTGCCGGTCTGATTTGTTAGTGATGACCTCGTCGATGAATTGGGTAAGCTGGTATTCTATGCTATTCTGCTGAGTGTCAGGATGAGGAGAATCGACCCGAGTGGATTGATGCATCTAGGAGGATTATGGCAGAGGAAGGAATGGTGGCAGTGAATGGAAGAAAAGTTTCTTAGAAAGAATGTGGAAGAAAGAATGTGGAAGGAAGTTGGCGGAGTCAAGTGAGTTTTGATTTGTCTGCAAGAGCTTGATGCGATACTGTAGTGATGATTAAACTAATACCTAGAGGGTTTGACTCCTTCTTATCTTTGCACTTCATGTGCTGTGTCAAGGGGATCACGAGGGGGAGAAAAGTAGGACACCTTAGGGCAGTGCGATTGAAGAAGGAGGGTGGCTGTTACGATGAAGCTCTTTCGAAAACAGAAGTATTCGATTCACTTGAATAAAGAAAACAACAAGACTGGAGAAGAGAAGAGAGAAGGAAGAAAAACAAAAGGAGAGAAGAGAAAAGATATACTACGCTTCCCCTCCTCTCACGTGGCAAAGTCCACTTCCACTTCCAGTTCCAGTCCAGTTCCAGTCCAGTTCCAGTCCAGTTCCAGTCCATGTGACTTGATGTGTCACAATGGCGCCCTTCAGGAGTGCAGTGCCAGGTCCACTGTACTCCCTTGATCCAAGCGGGCACACGAGCGGCAGCCGACAAGGGTGAGCGGCTGGAACGAAGCGGACATGGAATTGCTATGTGGTGAGATGTAGCTCTGGTCCCTACGGCCAGAAGTGGGGATGACACTCATTTTGTTTTTGTATCATTTGATTCATCATTTCTTTTGTTATAGCTTACTTTTTTTCCCTTCGAGGGCGACTGGTCGGAAATGCGCAAAGCTGGCACCCGCACTTTTCAGCTGTCGCCACTCGCCAGGCCTGACCGCAATCCCGCATAGCAGCTTATACTTAGAGCGAGCTACATCGGGCAAATGAATTTCTCCTCTCTCTCTCATGTGCTGTGTTTTAGTTTTATCTTTGCACTTCATGTTGTGTTTGATAATAGATTCCGCAGTCGTCTGTCCGGAAGCATTAATTCGCAATCGTCTGTTACGATGATGCCAGTTCCTCAAAGATAGAAGAGTGCATTTGGACTAGAATATTGAAGACAGAGAGGGAAGGAGAAGAAGGAAGAAGGGAAGTGAGAGATGGGGCCTTGACATAGATCCTCGCGTCATGTGTTCCCTGGCACATCCCTCCGTCTAGTTCAATGCACCTTCAAAAGCAAACACAAAAGTAATAATAAACAGCAAACCTGTCACACGTGACATCGTCGGTCCGTCCACGTCAATCTGTGGACGTCAGTCCGCAGGCGTCTGTCCGTTAACATGTCTTGATATTTTTAGGTCATATTAATATTTTTAGATCTTACAATGCGGACTGTAAGATCTAAACATATAGAGATATCCCCAAAACCAAAGACAACAAAGATGCTATCACCCATAAAAGGGAGACGGGTATTCAAACTAAACCCTATAGCAAACACCGCAACAATCAAAGAATCGTGGATCATCAATGATGAGAAGACCTACAGATATATAGCCCGATGGATAATTCAAGGCTTCGATCAGAAACTAGCAATAGACTTCCTGGAAACGTTCTCTACTACATGTACATGGCGTATGCTGTTGATAATACCTACCAACAAAGGATGGGTTATCCTACAATATGATGTCAAAAATGCATTCGTGCATCCCTACATAGACGCCGAAATCTATACCATATTACCTGAAGGGATATATGATGACAGTACCAAATGCTGCCGCTCGAAGAAAGCAATCTATGGTCTAAAGCAAGTCCAAGACTGTGATACAAATACTTCACAAGGCCCTATCGAAAATGGTTTTAGGGTTTTACCTTATGACGGAGTCTACATCAATACAGAAACAAATTGGATATTATTATTTATTATTCTTACGCTGTTTTAGGCGGTTGGCCGCCTCGCCCCTGTGCGCAAGCAGTCCCTCCTCGGTTCAATTGCGTATTAATATGCTGCATTCACGATATACTAACCATTCATACAGGTAAGCAGTGTATCGGAGACCTCATGACGAAGCTGAAGTCTTCTATCAGAGTCGAGGAACTGGGACCAGTGTCCACATTCCTAGGAAATGACATTATCGTCAAAGACAAAGAACTGTACATCAATCAGTCCAGATAGACCGACAAACTATTGAACAAATTTGATATTGTAAGATCTAAAAATATCAATATGACCTAAAAATATCAAGACACGTTAACGGACAGACGCCTGCGGACTGACGTAACATGAAGATACAACACAAGTGAACCGTAACGTTCATAGATTGACGCGGACGGACTGAGGATTGCGATTTATTGCTTCCGGACAGACGATTGCGGAATCTCACCAAACACAGCACATGAAGTGCAAAGATAAATAGGAGTCAAATCCCCCAGGGGAATTTAGTTTTAGCATCAGTACCATCATCAAGTTCTTGCAACACAATCAAACTTACTTGACTCCACCATCTTTCTTCCACATTCTCCCTAAGAACCTTTCCTCCCAAACATCTTCACCGCCACCATTCCTTCCTCTGCCATAATCTTCCTTGAGGTTATGAGCCCGGCAAAATCCCTGCTTCAGCAATAGACCCTTATCACCCATATCGACTTGCTGAACTACGTCTTGGAATTTGTTTCACCAGACAGACATACGCCATGATGACATCCCTCGAAAAGATCTCAGTCGCCAAGCTCAAAGGCTCCGAGAACTATACCATCTGGGCTATCCGCGTCAAGGCCATCTTGACGAAAGAGGACCTCATCTCTGTCCTCACCACTTCAACCTCGCAAAACAAGAACGAGAAGGCGCTGTCTATCATACAGCTCCTGTGTGAGGATGGACCCCTCCTCTACATCAAAGATTGTTCCGATGCCAAAACAGCCTGGACAACCCTCGAGTCGTGCTACGACCCAAAAGGGTTCACGACCGAGTACCTCATTTTCAAAGAGTTTTTTTAACACGCCGCTTGAGGACTTCGACACCATGGAGGAGTACCTCATCGTCAAGACACTCAATGACGATCTCAAGGGCAAGAACATTCTTCTTCCCAAGCAACTGATAATTGCTTGGGTGCTGAATAGCCTGAGCGACGAATATGAGACATTGACCCAGTCAATCGTCCAATCACTCCGAAAAGACCCTGAGTCTTATACGACCGAATCACTGTTCGCCGATCTCATCAACGAATCTCGTGGTATCGAAAATCACAAATTTCTATTCACCAAGAGAGGAACAAAAACCCCTTGGAAAAAACAAGCGCAGAATGCTCCTTATTGTGAACACTGCAAAATACCCACACATTATACCACAAAATGCTGGTACCTATTTCCGGACAAATCTCCGGAAGGTTGGCAAGCTCGCCGAACGGCACCAGCACCAGCACCAGCCCCAGCTCCAACTACAATTCCAAACAAAACATACAAGGTT